CCCTAAACCCTAAACCCTAAACCCTAAACCCTAAACCCTAAACCCTAAACCCTAAACCCTAAACCCTAAACCCTAAACCCTAAACCCTAAACCCTAAACCCTAAACCCTAAACCCTAAACCCTAAACCCTAAACCCTAAACCCTAAACCCTAAACCCTAAACCCTAAACCCTAAACCCTAAACCCTAAACCCTAAACCCTCTGTGAAAATAATGGAACCCCAAGCACTCCTCTTGCGTGACACACAGTCGATTTGGGTGGAAAGCCTGCGGAGGATCCTTTATGCCGCAAGCTTTCTCACACAAATTTCTTCGTTGCCATCTCGAGCCGTGAAGTCTTTCCAAGATGGGTCCTCTGCTTTCCATGTCGAAGCGACAGTTCTGCAAGCCATAAAGGGGAGTCGCGCAATGAGGCAGCTAGTAAGGCGTGGTTCGGCAACTAACGATAGACCTTAAACTTAAAGGTGCTCAATAAATTTGACGTACGTCGCTACGGCGTCGTCGGTCATCGGAACGATGTGTCCGCGTTCGTGTTCAAAGACTTGAGCGTTCGCGCCGAACGCCTCTGCTACGCGTCGCGCCTGCGCTGGTGGGTTGATGACATCGCGCTCGCCGACGACGTGCAAACTGCGAACGACGTCCGACGGCATCGTTTCTAGCTTGGCCGCCGCACACGTCGGCCAGGCGGCGCCGACGATGATGGCCAATTCTTTAATCGCTCTTTCCTCTTTTTGCTTCCCTCCGTCCTCCGCGATAACTAAAGCAGCGAGCATGGCGCCTTGAGAAAAACCAAACAGGCCGTCCCACGGGCCGGCCTCGATCACGCGCTTCATCGAAATATCTAACCCAGGAAGCGACGCGGCGTTGTAAGTGCGCTGTCCGGGCTGCAACGTCCACCATCCGCGCCCGCCCGGGTTCGGCTCTGGTTGGGTGCCATCGGCGAAATGCCAGTCCCAACTGTTCGAGGTCGCGTCCACGAGCGGTGCGAGCCCGCGCGCGAACGAGGCCGCGTTCCCACCCTTGCCGTGCAAGCAAAGCATGCGTTTCTTGCGCGTCACATCACCATCGCTCGAGACCATCGTCGCCGTCGCCGCGCGAGCGATGGGTGGCATCGCGCGCCTCGATGTGGTGGACTCGACTCGTCACTTTCCGCCGCCGCGCGATGCCCGCGCGCGATGCCCAAGCGTAAGCGACGGCCGTGGTTGAGCGAAGACGCGGCGAACGCGGCGAACGCGAACGCGAGCTCAAAGGCGAGCGCGCGACGCGAACGCGAACGCGCGTTTCGCGAAGCCCATCCCGAGCGCTTCATCGATGAAGAGACGGACGACGAGAAGAACGCGCGACGCGACGCGCGTGCGGGCGAGGCCCGTGCGCACGGAGATGCTCGAGATGGGAGCGCACTCGGGTCGTTCCTCGATGTGGGTGCGCCGCGCGAACGCAGACGAGGTGGGCACGGACGACGCGCGCGCGACGACGCTGGAACGACAGACCCGACGACTTTGCCCACGCACGCGCCGTGTCAAACGAGAGACGATATAGATGCGCAGGAGTTTGAACGACGACGGGCGCGCGTGGAGGCGGTGACGAGAGAGATTGGAACGTGCGCGCGGCACAAGCAGTTGGCACGGGCGTGTGAGATGTTTGTGAACTTGGTCTCTCGCGAGGGGTTGGTGCCATCGCCTTACACGTACGCGTCGTTGCTCAACGCGTACGTGAACACGGGAACTATGGATGGTGCCGAGGCGTTAATGGAGCGTATGCGAGACGTCGGGTGCGCGCCAAACGTCGTAGCGTACACGACAATGTTGAAGGGCTACATGCTCGTGGCGAATGTCGACGCCGCGTGGCGAACGCTCAACGGAATTATGCACAACCGAATGTCGCCCGATAGCCGCGCTGTGAACACGTACATTCGAGTGTGCGTGCGATGTGGGAACCTGCAAATGGCGCGCCGCGCTTTTGATCGCATGCGTGACTGGGATGTGGTTCCGGACGCCACAACGCACAAGCTCATCGGTCGCTTGCTCGCGCAAGGATTGAAGCGCGACGAACTGAAGGCATTAATCAAGCGCACCGTCAAGGGCGAGCACTTGAGATGGACGAAGGACCCAAGCAGCGGGCCTTGTCAATTTTGGCGCGCTGGGAAATGCGAGCGAGGCGTGAATTGTCGTTTTTATCACGACGATTCAATCGTGCAAAGCGACGCGCGCGTGCGTGAGATTGAATCAAATGATACTTTGGCGAGCATGTACGTGAATCACGCGCATGCGTCGGCAATTTCAGGAGACGTGAAACAGAGCAAAAAGTCGCTTCGCAAAGCCGCAGAGTATCTGACCGAAAATGTCACCGCGGAAGCTTTGACAGTCGGCGGTCTGAAGGATAAAGACGAGCGGGCCGAGTTGTTTCGTCAAACAAACCGCGACGAGCTCAAACTCGAGATGCGACGCATCGAGGACTTCGTCGAACGATTGATGAGTGGCAAACAACAGCCTCCGAAGCTGGACGAACATTTGTCGAGAAGTTTAATCTTTAGTTCACGACTTTTCCAAGAAGTACCAGAACGCGGCGCAAAGATGTCGAGCGAGGAAGTCGACGCACTGCGCGACAATCTCTACGCCGCGTTGAAGGACACGATGGGGTTGAACGACGATTCCGACGGCTCGGTCAAGCGTGCGATTCGTAAAGTCATCGCAAAAGATGGTACGATACGATTTGATCGCATGTTTGGACGTTCCAAAAAGGAGAAGCGCGAGCTGAATGTTGAAGTCGCCGCTGGGAATGGGGACTGGGCTGTGGCTCAAGCGAAGACTGACGCCTCGGCGGATTGGATCTCTCTCGAGCTTCGTCACGACCGCGTCTACAGCATTTTCTCCCGCGCCGTGTGTTCAGGTGCTTCGAATTTCGCCGCGATGGGTGGTGACGCGGCGTACATCATGCGTCGTTACGTCGCCTCAGAATCAGTATCGCACGTGTTCGTGAACTTCCCGGAGCCGCCGCATCACAGCGGCGACGCTGCGGCGGATAACTCTCTTGCTCTGCTCAACGAGGAGTTTTTCCGCGACATTCACGCGTGTCTCAGACGTGCATACACTTCGACAGATGCTCCCGGTGGTTTAACGATATTTAGCGACAACCACAGATACATGCAGGCGCTCGCACGCACGCTTGCTGAGCTTGATATATTCACCGCTCGCGACGACGTCGACCTGGCGTCGGGCGCGCCGGCGAATCAATACGAAACGATTCGCGGCGTTCGTTTGTATCAGGGCGTACCCGGTCCTTCCGCTGGCCATCGCGTGTACGAACAGTCGTATTTCGATCGATTTTGGGAAAACGGCCAGCACGTCGATCGGTATTTCATCAGTCTTGTAAGAAAATAGTGTAGTCGTCGAATCCGCGCGAATGCGTCATTGCGCGACTCCCCTCCCGCGTTCGCCGCGGGCGTTGCGTATCCGTGCGATGGGGAAGAACGACGACGAACGCGGCATCGAGCGCCGCCGAATCTTGCTCGTATTCGACCTCAACGGCTTGTTCGTCGAGCGCTTCCGAAACGGAAAATTCACCAGACCTCACGCGGTCGACGCCATCGAAACGGAGCGCGCCGTTGAGATCGAAGACGCTGTGCCGCGCGCCTCTTCTCCGGTGTCTTCGCGTACGCGCGGTGCGGCGACGCGACTCGAGGTCGTGGAGCCGGACTTTCGGGTTGGCCGTCACAACCATTACGTTAGGCGCTACACTGAAGAATTTTTGCGCTGGGCTCATGGGCGCTTCGACGTCGCTGTGTGGTCTTCTGCGATGGAAGTGAACACGACGGCGATGGTGGAAAATATATGGCCGTCCGATTTACGGTCGAAGATCGCGTTCGTGCTCAATCAAGACCACTGCGCGGTGGACGGCGTGATGAAAACCAAAGGCGGCTCGAAAGGAACAAAGCCAAAGTTTCTGAAACCGCTGTCGGTGGTGTGGGAAAAGTTTGCGGATAGGTTCGATGCTATGAACACGTTACTCATCGACGACGACGCGTACAAGGCCATTCGCAACCCTGCGAATACGGCAATCCATCCGAAACCATTTTCTGTGGCGACGCGTGATTCCGACGACGGACTCAGCGCGAATGGCGCGCTCCGCAAATACCTCGCGAGACTTCTCGCGAGCGACTCGGTGCCCGACTTCGTCAAGGCAAATCGCTTCATCGACGGACAACATGACGAAAGGTCAAATGAAGGATTTGTCGAAGATGTAGCAAAGAGCATTGAAACGGTTAACGCAAAACTCGCCGCGTTGCGCGTTCAAGAGAAGGTATCACGGCAAAAGACGAAACCCGAGATGAGGATTCCACTTCCGAAATCGCTCATCATGAGGAACGCGGCGAAGACTCGAACGATCGCGCCCGTCGAGCCCGTCGTAACGCCGACGAGCGAACGAACACGGAGCACTAGGTAGCAACTAGAGAAGTAGCGTTTTAGTTTTAGTTAGTTTTAGCGTACCCCGACCAAGACCTCAGTGCGCGCCGCGCGCTCGAACGCACTATGCCCAAGAAGAAACAGGAAATCATCACCACGCGCGCGTCAAATCGGCTGAAAGCACGCGCCGCGGCGGCGCAGGAAGCCGCGGACGAGGCGATGCGCGCCGGCAAGCGTCCGGCAGTTGCTGCACGAAAGGCTGCGGTAAAGCTCGCCAAAGTCGCCGCCGATGCCGCAAAGTCGGTGACTGCGAGGGACAAGCGAGGGAATAAGCGCCTGAACGTCGTCGAAGCAGACGCAGCGGCCGAAGATGGCGCGAAAGAGGCGCGGGCTCCGCCGCCGCCACCGAAGAAGAATGCGAAAAAAAGCTCGGCGAACGCGCTCGTGGCGGCGTCGGGGGCCATCGGGAACACGCGCGCGGTGAGTGCGGTGAAACACGACAAGCTTCTCGTCCTCGACCTTAACGGGCTGTTCATCGATCGTCGAATCAAGAGACACGTGAGGGAGGGCGACGACGACGTGGCGTCCGACGAAGAACTACGCACTGAGTTGAGGCTGGACGTGGACTCGATCGAGGCGCCGACAAACTCGAAGGAAGTGACGGAGGACGCCAAAGTTGGCAACTTTTACGTGTACGAACGTCCACACATGCGCGAGTTTATTGAATGGGTGCACACGCGGTTTGAAGTGGGCGTGTGGTCGAGCGCCAACTTTCGAAACACGACGAATTTGGTAGACTACGTGTGGGGCGAGCACAAAAACAAAATCGCATTCGTTTGGGGGCAAGAAAGGTGCTCTGATGTTGGCATCGCGCCCTCATCGACGTCGACGCGCCCAATGTTTCTCAAAGAATTGAAACACGTCTGGAAACTTAAAAGGAACACGGGGCTATCTCACTTCAACAAAACGAATACGCTTTTGATTGACGACTCGCCTTACAAAGCCATTCGAAACCCCGCGCACACCGCCATCCATCCGTGCGGATTCACCACGGACGATCGTGAGTCGGACGATTTGTTGAGTGAACATGGCGCGCTTCGCCAATATCTCGAGCGATTGTCAGACGCAAAATCTGTCCCTGACTTCGTGCAGACCAACCCGTGGAATGGTGGGAAGATCAGCGAGCAGCACCAAAGGCAAATTGCACACGCACACGAAGCTTGCGCAATCGCGACTCAAAAGGCAAAGGCAAAGCTATTTGCTTTCAGGGATCCTTTGGAAATCGATTTGGACGAGGAGCTCGCCGACCCTTTGGAAATCGATTTGGACAATCTCTAGCGTCCACTACAATCTACGAATCTAGCTAGCCCTAAGTAAGTTTTATTTGTGATAGCCTCATCATTAGCTCTTCTTTTGGACGCGTTGGGATCGCACTCGCAGACCAGAAGCGAAGCATCGGTAAGCAGTTTGTCGAAATTGCATACTCGCCGACGCGCACCTCGCGCGGTTTTGGATCGATGGCGAAAGAAAACGCTGATGCGTGCGGTGGGCTCGACGAATCTTCGCCATCGTGATACCGATACTGCTTGCGACACTCGAATATCATCTCATTCAAAGATGTCGCGTACGACACGGCTGTTCGTACCGCCGCGGAATCTTTGCCGCCGAGAACGTTTGAGGCGTGACCGCGCACGACGTGACCGCCCGTGACAGCTCCCAGATCTCTTTCCTCGTCGCTACTCTTTATCAAACGCGACGTCACTCGACCATGCTTTTTCACTATCGCCAGGATCTCGTTCCGAACTTCTAGCGGCGTGAGCGCCATTCCGGCTTCGCCGGTTAGCCAACAGTCGGCTTGAGCCGTGCCGTCGTCTAAAATCACAGAAGCCTCGACTTCGAACACACCCGGCCTCGAAGTTCCACGTGCTGAGGGGCGACACACGTCACATCCAGCCAAAACTGCGGGTAACCTGCGCTTGGTCGCGCCAGTGGCGGGGTTAACGCTCACGTGCATGAGTGATCCGGCGTCGCAACCGCACGCCGGACAGCACCAGCGAACCGTCAACATGGACACCGAAACGACTCGAGCACGCACCGCGAACGTTCGTCTACTGATTACCAGCCGCTCGCCTGAGTTGCGCATTTCTTCGTCAAAGAGTGCACGAATCGACTGCCTCATCGAAATATTCGTCAAAAGTGGCAGGTATTCAGATGTCGACGCGCATCGCTCGTGGATCTCAATCGTCGTCACGCCGGGATTCAGTTTGACGTATATGTTCATTGACGCCGCAGAAAGATGACGCATCGCGCGATGAATCGTAATTTTTGCTCCTATGCCCACTCCGACGGGAAGGCTGAACGCGGACGTCTTACAGTACACGTCGACAACGTCGTGCGTCTCGACGTCTTGAACTTTGAATCTCGGCTCCCAGCCAAACTGTGATTGGGATTCTCTACGATTTTCACTCTCAAACCATTCTTCGGCGACGATGATACACCTAAATGACACAAGTTCTGGTGATGGTTGCCACGAATCTGCACTGCTGAGATGTTTCGCGAAGACTTTGCCCCACACTAGAACATCTCGCACGTCGCGCACTTCGGGCGTCGCCGTCATCTCGTCGTCTTCATCGTCGGGCAACACGAAAGCGTCAACATCTGGACGCTCGTCGACGATAAACGTCGTCGCCCCGGAATTCAGAGTCGGGACGATCGGAATCAAATACGTCGTGCCGTGTCGAAGCAGACAGAACCAACTGTTCTTGGGTCCGAAAGAGACGGCGATTCTGCCGCTGCTTCGAGACTCGTGCGTCGTGTTCACTATGACGCCGTCCAACGTCTTTACGCCCCCTTGCGCCGTATAGACCTGAATGCTCGTACGTTGTTTCACTTCGGACGACGCATCGATTGTGAAAGTCCACGTCGGGGCGACGATAGGATGAGAAAACTTGGAACTGGCGAGTCGCGGCGGGAGCAGCTGCGCGCCCTTCGTCGCCGAATTGACGGCCACGTACATGGTGCCGTGGCTCTCTGATTTGGCGCTCGATGTCGGGTTTTGAATGACGACAATATTATCCGAGTCCACGCATAGACTCACGCGCACCGAAGCGTTGTGATGGTTCAACGCGTCGGCGCGAGAACCGACGTACGCGCCTTCGCACATGATTTCGCACTCCCTGAGCACGACGAGTTTGTTCAACATGCTCGGCGCGGGCGCTCGTTTCAAGAATGATTCGATGCAAAGCTCCACAGCTCCTGATGCGTCGACGACGTGGAGTCGTCCATACATGCAGCGTAATATGCCCATGACGTAACGAGGTGGATCAACCTCGCCCAACCGCCCCGTCGCGCGAATGACGACTTTACCTTCGTTGCGAGTGCTGCCGCGCTTGCACGCGGCGGCGACTTTGTTTTCATCTTTCCACTTCTCAAATACGGCGTCTTTCAACGAGTTTATCGTCGGGACGTCGAAATTACTGATGGACTCCCCGCCCAGTGGCGTCGGAGCGAAAAACTCTCGGTAAACGTCTGCTCGTTTGAACGCCTTCGAGCCCAAGTCGTGCATCGCCAGTAACAGCGGCGCCGCGGTTTGTTCGTCGCTCGCTTCACCCGTCTTCCCGAGCGCGTACTCGGCGCTCGCGACATCGATCAGCCTAGAATCGTTCAGAATATCAAAGTTGGTCTCAAAAACTTCCCGCCATGCCGCGGCGGCTTCGGCGTACACGAAATTCGACTGTTCCACGACGTACTTGAGCACGCGCGAAAACCGATTCGCCTTTTCGTCCGCGTTGTCTGAGTACATCTCGGTCTCTCCTTCCGATGCGTTCTCCGTCGATGTGCGCTTTATCACAATTTGGGTGCGTAAATCAACACCGAGCGTCTCCACGACCCGCTCGTTGTATTCATCGACTCGCCAAACAGGATGCGCGTGCGTTACGACGACGCGCGCGCCGACGCGCAAACCGGAAACGACGATCTTTGAGTCGACGAGAGGAACGTGCGTAAACGTGAGTTTGACGTCCCGTCCTTGAGCGTCACGCAGGATCGCGTACGCACGACTAGTACGAACCGATACGACGTGTCCTTCAAACCTATCCACCGTCGCCCCTGCGCCGCACATGGCGCACGCGCACGCGCAGCGACGCACTCTGCGCTCGCCAAAGGTGAGACTAACCACGTGAAACTCAGCCGTGGCGGAAAATGCGCGTAATTCGTGCGTCGCGTCGCCCTTGAATAACACGACTTTGCGTAAATTTCGCATCTCCACCCTCGAACCGACGCACTGTCTTAATATGCACTCCCATCGCGCCAGAAACTCTCCGTTAAAAATGATCGGAATCTGCGCGCCGGCGTCGTCTTCGTTTCTAAGCGCGCACATGAAGAACGTCGACTCACCGGTGGTGATGATCGGACTCACAGCCTCTAAAATACCTCGATGACACGCCCCTAATTTCCCGTTCAACGCTCGAGCGTCGTTCGCCACGCCATCCTCGTCTTCCAACGGTCCGCAAGCCAAGGACTCCTCGAATCCGTCGTCGTCGTACGCGCGTTCGACGCAGTTCGCCTCGACGACGACGGCGTCTCCATTCCTCGCGTCTGTCACGACGACGAAATCTCGCACGCAAACGACGCGTCCTAAATCATGTGCCTTCACGTCCACGCTCGCCAGGCGCACCTCCGCGCCGCCGTCTTCGTCTTTGTCTTTCGCCGTCCACGTCCACCCCCCGCTCGCGTCGTCTCTTCTTCGCAACCCGAGCGTCGCGCGCATGACGACGCCTTTGACGTCCGCGTTCGAGTTGGCACCGCGCAGTATCTCGCCCACCGTTCGCACGGCGTCGACGTCTCCGCGCGTCTTTCTCGTCGTCGTCGTCGTCGTCGTCGTCGCTTCGTCGTCGCCGCGCCTCCCACATCCGTCGCGTCGTCCGTCGCCTTCGCGCCGTCCCGTCTTTGACGCCCTCGGCGCGTCGTCGACTCGGTCGTCGTCCGCGTCGTCGCGCGGCGGCGGCGTCCCTCGCACCGCGATCGCCATCGCGCGCGCCGTCGCGCGCGCCGTCGTCTGTCGCGTGCCCGGTTTCAAATCGAATCGACCGTCGCCTAAACCCTAAACACCCGGATGTGCGGGCGCGCAATTTGAAATCGACAGACTCGGCGCGCCCGTCGCGGGCCGGCGCGATGCGCGGCCCGCGCGCCGCCGCACTCGAGGACGCGCGCGATCGTCGTCGACGTCGAACGTCGAAGAAAAAGCGAACCTCGAAGCCGCGCGCGATGCTGTGGGTGGATAAACACCGCCCGCACGCCCTGGGCGAGTGCGACGCGATCAACACGGCGCAGGCGAAACATTTGAAGCTGCTGATCGCGAATGGGGACTGCCCGCACTTGTTCTTTTACGGGCCGTCGGGGGCGGGGAAGAAGACGCTCGCGCTCGGGGTTTTACGCGAAATCTTCGGACCGGGCGCGGAGAAGGTGAAGTTGGAGAACAAGACGTGGAAGATTGACCAAAACGATCGAAAGATTGAAGTCGAGTTGGCGATGATGTCGAGCAACCATCACTGCGAGATGAATCCGAGCGATTGCGGGAGCAAGGATCGGTACGTGGTGCAAGAAGTGATCAAAGAAATGGCGCGATCGAGACCGATCGACAGCGATGGGTGCGAGGGGTTTAAGGTTTTAGTGCTCACCGAAGTCGACCGGCTGTCGCGCGAGGCGCAGTATGGCTTGAGACGCACGATGGAAAAGTATAGCGCGTCGTGTCGGTTGTTTCTCATCGCCGAGAGACCGAGTCGAGTGATGGATGCGTTACAATCGCGGTGCTTGCCCGTGCGAGTGCCCGGGCCGAGGGTTGAAGAGATTGAAAATTTGTTACACGACGTGGCGAAGAAGGAAAAGTTGGAGCTGCCTCCAGAGCTCGCGACGCGCGTCGCGACGGCCAGCGGACGGAACATGCGGCGGGCGTTATTGGCTTTGGAGACGTGCAGAGTCAACTCGTACCCGTTCAAACCTACACAAGCGGTGCAGACGACGGATTGGGAGTTGTACATTAACCAGATTGGCGCCGAGATCTTAGCTGAGCAGTCACCGGCGAGGCTGTTGCAAGTGCGAGGACGTCTGTACGAACTCATCGTCAACTGCATTCCGCCCGAAATAATCTTGCAGAACCTCGCCAAGGCTCTGATGCGTCGCGTTGACGTCGAAGTTAAGCATCAAATCGTGTTTTGGGCCGCCCACTTTGATGTTCGCATGCAACGCGGATCCAAAGCCATCATGCACTTGGAAGCGTTCGTCGCGCAATTCATGGCGCTCTACAAGTCGCATTTGATCAAGGCGTTTGGCTAGACGGAAATTCATTAGTTTGTGACAAGGGACGACCATAGCGGATTGGTAATGATATGATTTACAAAATTGTACTCGGTGCACCCGTCGTCGTCGTTTCGTGCGCGCCTCGTTGACCCGCTTCCCGCTCGTCGTTTGTTTTTTGAAAAACGACGGCGCGCTTATGCTCTTCACTTACCCTTTTCGGCATCTCCTAACAGCGGGGAAGTTTCGGAAGTCTCTCCCTTTCTGGCGCGCCCCTGAGTGCAAATGCCCATGTACACGAAGAGTAACGCGACGCCGATGGCGATGTAGTTGCTGTAGTTGGAGAAATCAAACGAGTGCGCGCCGGCGCTCGCGGCGGCGTTCACCTTCGTGCCGACGGCGAGGACCCAAATGTCCGGCACGTACTTGGCGACCACCTTCGCGGAACCGCCAGCAGCCAATGGAACGGCCCAGTTACACGCGGCCGAGGCCGTGTCCGCACACTCAGTGACTCCGCCGGCGACGAAGATGGCGAAGGAGGCGCCGACGGCGACCAACGCGCCGCCGACGAAGGAAAACAAAATCCCAAGTTTGTCCGTGGTAAACGGCGTCACCAAATAAAGACCACCGATAGCGCCGACAACGTTGATCACGATCGTCGCCGAGATGGGCACGTCGTCAACGATGTGGTTCGTGACCGAAGAGATACCGACGGCGCACATCAAACCGACGACGACGCCGAACAACTTATAGACGTTCGCCGCCACGCTCACCAAAATCAACGCCACGACGGCGGCGCTGCCGTAGTTGACGTAATCGTTGTCCGGAATCGTCACCGAGTCGCCGAGCACGTTCGGTACGAGATCTCGCAACAGATCGATCGCCATCAAACCGAGCCACACGCCGAAGCCCGCGACGAGGGCGAGCGTCAACTTTTGGTCGTGCTTCCGTCCCGCCAACGCGAGCGCGATGCCGACCGGAAGCGCGGCGACGCCGATCGTGGTCTCGATCGCGCGGCTCTCAAAGTATTCCTTCACCAACGCCGCTCGCGTGACGTTCGTCGCCCACGACGCCGCGGCGTCGGACGCATGCGCCTGGGTGTTGACACCGGCGTCCGCGTTCGCGAAGGCGTCGGGCGCGGCGTCCGCGTTCGCGTTCGCGGCGTCACCGCCGCCCGGCGCGTCTTGTCCGATCGCCGCCGCGCGCTCGGCGCGGTGTCGCGGTAACGATCGGCTCGGCATCGTCGCAGAGTGGAGCCGACGTGTGGTGTTCGCCGCCCCGGCGCGCGGGCGGTCGGTCGGGCGACGACCTCGACGACCGTCGTCACGACGCGGCGCTCGACGCGAGATCGACCGAAGCGATGACGGACGCGATGGAGGGCGTCGAAGCCGCGGCCGCGGCGTCGATGGCGGCCGCGCGGGCGGTGAGCGCGCGCGTCGGCGGCGCGAACGCGAACGCGAACGCGGACGCGAGCGCGAATGCGGCGAACGGCGATGACGCGCGCGCGACGACGGACGATCGCATGGACGACGGCGAGGGCGAACGATCGAGGCGAGGACGAGGCTCGCGCGCGCGGCGACGGGGCGACGAAGAGAGCGGCGAAGGCGGGAACCGAGGACGGGTGTCGGTGTTGGATCGATTGGGGAAGACGAATCAGAATCAACCGTCGAGACGAGGGAACGACCGAGGAGGTGGGACGTTCAAGCGACGAGGCGAAGATTCCAGGCAAAGAAGAGACCGTCGCGATGATATCGATCGACGATACCGCGATGACGACCGACGGGGCTATCGCGGACCGCCGCGCGGACCGCCGCCGCTTCCTCGCGGACCGCCGCCGGGACCGTGCCGGATTGAAAAGCGAGAAGCAGACGGCGTCGTCATCGCGCGCGCGTTCGGCGCAGAGATCATTCAAGTGTCACCCACGGGAGAGATGTGTTTGCGCCGTCCGACGGACGCCGCGAGCGATGGACCGCGTTGCGATACTGAGGTGCTGAACGCGTTCAACTCGTGCTTGAATAAGTTTGGATTCAAGGTTTCGGCGTCACCCGCCGATCAAACGCAGTGGAGTTTATCGGACGGTAAACGCCTCTCGAGATTTGTGGACGGTGTCATCGTGCCCGCGCCGGTACCACCGGGCCCAGGGCGTGGACTGGCGATGATGCTGACGGCGCCCGTGGGCGGCGGTCGAGGCGGCGGTCGAGGCGGGTTTTCGCGCGGTGGTCGCGGCGGTCGCGGTGGGATGATGATGATGTTCTGAATGTCCTGAATGTCCAGATGTTGTTTCATAACTTATTCTAGCGTCGTTAATCAATAATCAATGTTGCGTCGTAGACGTCGTGTGTATTTCTTTGAACGCGCGCGCGAACCACCGCTTCGCCGTCATGTATCCTCGTCCTCTTCGTACTCGAACACTCCCAAGGTGTCCATGGCATCTCTCATCGCTATTTTCGCTAAAGCCATCTGTATGCGCGACCCTGGATCGAGTCCGATCGCGCTCGTCATCGTTCTCACGCCTCGTCTCGCGACGTCCTCCGCCTCGCCTCGCCCGCGCGACGACGACCCGCCGCCGTAACCGCCTCGTCTGCCGCCACCGCCCGCGCCACCGCCGCCCGCGCCTCCTCGCGTTCCGCTCAAAAACTCTTCCAAAGCCGTCGACGCGCGTCCGTTTCCCGCGGACGTCGTCGACGCCGCGCTCCGCCCGCTCGCGACGACGCCGCGCGTCGCGCCTCGCGCGGGCGCCGTCGTCGCGCGCGTCGTCGCGCGCGTCGTCGCCGCCCCCCCCGCGCCGGCGCGCGACGCGGACGTCGCGACGACCATCGATCGTCGCGCCAGCGCGCGCGCGCGCGTCGCCCACGCCGACATCGGCCGCGGCACCGACGAGCCGTCGTCGTCGTCGTTCGAGTCGTTCGAGTCGTCGTGTCGCGCGGAAACGCGCGCGCGGCGCGCGCGTTTCCGTGACGGCCTCGGGGTTTAGGGTGTGTATCGACGGTACACCGATATCGATGTTTCACGCGCTTGAATGCGAGAGAAACGTCGCATTTAATTTAATTTCACGATCGATCGCGCGCCCCGCGACGCCCGCCCGCGACGCGCGCGCGCGTCCGTCTTTTCGTGACGCGCTCGAGATGGTCAAGTTCCTCAAGGTACGTCGCGGACGATGCGGGACGATGCAAACGCATTCGTTACGCGCGCGCGTCGTTCGGGCGCACGCCGCGCGCGCGCGGACGGCGCCGACGCCGCGCGCGCGCGATCCGCGCCAGACCCTGAACGACGGGGACGCGCGCGAACGATCTTGGGACGACGGCCGCGCGGCGCGGCGCGCATCGATGCGGTCGACGCGAACGATGACTGACGCGGTTTTAATCGTATTCGCGCGCAGCCCGGTAAGGTTGTTGTCGTGCTTCAAGGCCGCTATGCGGGTAAGAAGGCTGTGATTGTGAAGAATGTGGACGATGGGTCTTCGGCTCATCCCTACGGGCACGCGCTCGTGTGCGGTCTGTCCACGATCCCGCGCAAGGTACGTTTCGATCGCGAGCGTTATTTTCGATCGAACCCCGGCGCGACGAGCGCTCGAACGCGTTCGCGACGCGCTCAGGACGACGCGCGAGAACGTTGCATCCTCTGGTGAAAGCCCTAGACCTTTGGCGAGAGCCCGCGACGAGCTTGAAGACGAAAGACACTGACGAATTTTCGCATCTCCACGCGCGATTAAACACGCACAGGTGACGAAGAAGATGGATGAAAAGAAGCAAGCCAAGCGCTCGCGATGCAAGACGTTCATCAAGAACGTCAACTACTCTCACCTCATGCCGACGCGTTACACGCTCGACGTCGACCTCAAGAATGTCGTCACGTCCGACGCGTTGGACAACGCCACCAAGAAGGTTGCGGCGCAAAAGGAGGCGAAGAAGCTTCTCGAGGAGCGATTCAAGACTGGCAAGTCTCGTTGGTTCTTCACCCGTCTTGCCTTTTAAGCGTCGTGCGTCGGAGGAAGGCAATAGGCGAGAACTTAGACTTGGATGTTTGGTGAACACGATCATTAGCGGAGAAATTGGTCTCTCTCGTGTGTGATGCGCGCAACTAGATACACATTTAATGTTTTAATGCCACATCAACACGTGAAAATCAAGATGTCGCGCGTATTGCCGCCGCAGAGTAGTTTTCAGCCCGCGACTGTCCGCGCGAGGTCGACTGGGGCGTGGGCGACTCGTCGTTTTGTCTACGAGTTTTTTAGCTTCGTTTCACAAACACACTAACACCGCAACGCACGCGCATGCGGTCTCAAAAGTAACTATTCACGATAGGGAAACACGGGTAACACACAATTAAGCAACGTCTGGATTCGTCCAGGGTAAAGAATAAATTTTTACGCGGTGGCGACGCGATGGAGCATCTTGAAGTTGTCGGCGATGATCTCCGTGCTCGGAGACGAGCGGTACGTGACACCGTTTGCCTTGGCCCACGCCTTCAGTAGCGGGCGAAGTTTATGGTAGTTGTAACGCGGCATCGTGGGGAACAAGTGATGCTCCAACTGCGTATCCATTCCGCCCCAAATCCACGTTTCCAAGCCGCCGAAGACGCACTCGGCGTCGCGCGTCGAGCGGAATTGCCCTTCCACGTACTCTGGATTCTCACCAAACTCCATGATTTCTTCGCTCTGGTGCGTCGCACTCACGAGAGCGCCGACGAGGAAACCACTGAGCGTGATAGAGCCGACAGCCACCTGCCACGGCATCATCGTCGCCAAGAAGAGATAGTTTGCCCCGATGAAGGCGAGCTCTTTGTAATCCCTCTTCTTCCACGCGGTTTGAACCGAGTGGAATCGCCAGAGCCAAAACATAATGGATAGCAGTGGGTAGCCGTAGATGTGCTGGAACTTGCGCATGGGGTGATCCGGTCGGCCGGACTCTTGCGGCGAGCGCAAGAAGAAGAACGGCTCCATCATGACGTCGTTGTCGAGGTGCTCTTCATTCGTAAACGAGTGGTGCATCGAGTGCTTTTGCATCCACCACTCCACACTGTGGCCATTCAAAATAGTCGGCATGTAGCGCATCAACGAGCACCACGGCCCACGTCCGTGGACGTAGTCGTGACCCAACCAACCCGCTTGTTCCATCCCGAGTCCGAGCAAAATAGTCGCCCAGACGGGGTGCGAATACGCGAGAGCGGTTCCGCTCACGTACAGAGCGACGACTTGGAAGAGCGCCCAAGCTTCTTTGAGCGGTTGGCGCTTGAAGAATCCGTCCTCCGCGAGCTTGTCGCGCAATTCACCGAACGCCATGCTCACCGCGTACGATTTCTCATCCGGAAGGCGAGACTTGTCCGCCGGCGGGTCGCAGCGCGGAAGCTTCTTCAACCTTTGCACGGCCAAATCCGAGCCGTTGGGGCCGTACGAATGCAGCGCGTAGAACACGTCCGTGGCGTCGCGTCCATCGAAAAAGTACAGCCACCGTTCGCCGCCCGGATGCGCCTTGGCCCACCCCCGACAGTCGTACCACTCGTCTCCGATTTTCACGCGAATCGGTTCATTCTTATCCCTCCCCTCCGGCGCGTCGTACGTCGGCACCGCGAGCGGATTCGCCACCGCCCCGATCGTCTGCGCGCTTCTCCGTCTCTTCCCATCGACCGCGCTCGCGCGCTCGCGCGTCACCGCCAGCGCGCCTCGCGCGCGCCCGTCCCGCGCGCGCCCCGTCGACGTCGGCGCCGCGCGCACCGCGACGTCGGCGCGCGCGAACACGCGCGCGCGACGCGCCGATCGCGCGCCCGCGGGCGCGGTCGCGCGCGCGTTCGTGAGCATGTGCGTCGCGTTCGCCGCGCCGACCATCGGAAGCGCGCGACGACGCGCAGAGTGCGGACGCGCGCGGTTCGCGCAACGTCACGACGGCGTCGGCGCGTGGGCGCGTCGGACAGTCGGACGCGTGCGGATGACATCGAACCGTCGAATCGCGCGCGATCGATCGCGCGTCGATCGAAAGCGTCGATCGATCGACGCCCGGTCGATCGCCGATCGCCGATCGCCGATCGCCGATCGCCGATCGCCAATCGCCAATCGTCGCGTCTTCGTCGCCCCGCCCGCGCGCCGCAGAAGAAGACGCCGCCTCGACGCGCCGCGCGACGCGACGATGGCGCGCGACGGTGACGTGGACGCGCGCGATGACGCCGTCACGGTCGAAGCGCGCGTCGTCGAACACGACGCCGTGGGTAAACGCGCGCCGTCACCGCCGACGGCGACGCGCGGCGACGCGAACGCGGCGTCGGCGAGCTCGGACGACGAAGAGGCTGCGGCTGCGCAGCGGGCGGATAGGGCGCGCTTGGAGGGGTGCGTGCGAGAGATTTTGCGGGCTTTAGGAGAAGACGTCGAGCGAGAGGGATTATTAGACACCCCCTCGCGCGTGGCCAAGGCGTTGATGTTCGCGACGCGCGGTTACGACGCGTGCGCGACGGTGGCGCTAGGGACGGCGCTGTTTCACGAGACGGGCATGGCGAACGCGATGCGAACGACGACGACGAATGAGATCGCGAATGGCACGCACGATATGGTGCTCGTGAGGGATATTCCAGTGTTCAGCACGTGCGCGGAGACATTCATGCCGTTCTACGGGGTGATTCACGTCGGGTACGCCCCGAACGCGGGCGTCATCGTTGGCTTGAGCAAGCTCGCGCGCGTCGCGGAGGTGTACGCGAGACGATTACAAACCCCAGATGGGTTAGCACGAGCGGTGGCGCAGGCACTACACGATGTTGCATCACCACTGGGGGTTGGGGTTTCATTTACCGGCGTGCGGCTAGGCCCGTTCGGGCCTCGCGAGACGCAAGGGCGAGCGAGCACGGGGTGCTTCGCGACGTCCAGCTCGGTGTGGTGGGAAGAGTTCGGGGCGTTAGTTCAGCTCGGCGGTGCACCGTCGGAACTATCACGAGGTATTTGGGGCGATGATGCGCGTTACTGCGGGGCGTGTGATGACGACAAGGATGGCGTGGCGAGTACGAAGGGGCGAGGAGGAGCCGAGACGCTCGTAGACGAAGCGGCGAGAAGAGCCGTCGAGGGGGTGAGCGAGTCTGTCTACGCGGGAGTGAAGCAACTATTAAATGCGTTGAATCTAGAAGACCGAGTGAGCGAGGCGACGGACGGGAAAATCACATTAGAAGACACCGCGAGACGGTTTTCGACTCTTTTGTCGGCGATGCGTTCGGGCGCAGACGTACCTTTTAGCGTCATCGAAGAGTCAGCAGCTCGCGACGACGCGACGACGAACGAGGACGTCATCGATGGTGTCTGCGTCGTGCGCGATTTGCACATGTCCACAGTGTGCGAACATCATCTGTTGCCGTTTCACGGGACGGTGAGTGTGGCGTACGCGTTGGGACCAGACTCTTCGCGCGCACTGAGCCGGGATACGCTACAAGCGCTCGTGACTCGACATTCACGAAGGCTGCAAGTGCAAGAGCGACTCACGCGCGATGTCGCAGAAGAAGTTAGCAAACTTACGGGAGGATTAGGGGTCATGGTGGCCGCGCGCGCGGCGCATCTTTGCATGGTGAGTCGAGGTGTGGAAAAGCCGGGGAGTTCGACGTGCACAGTGACGAAACTCGGTCGTTTTGCCTCCGAGCCCGCGCTGCGCTCGCGTGTGTGGGAGCGCCTCGCTTCGGCTCGCCGTTGATATTCAGAAGAGGATTGTATGTAATAACTAAACGCGCCTTTTGGCGTCGGGCGTGTGGGTAAATGGGAGCAGAAAGAACTCCATCCGTTTTACAACCGCGTCGCTACGATTTCGCTTCATCACCCTACGAATGCCTGCGGCTTGTTCGCCATCATCGCCTTAATGTCCATAAAGTGCGAATCCTGAACTCTCGATAGATTGCCAGCCGCCGCCCCTTGCGCGGCGACGTGTTTCTTCAGGGCTTGCCCGAGAACCAACGCCAACTCGGTGTGGAACCAAAGCAACTCGTGTTCCATGTTCGCGCAGCAACGCTCGTATCTCTCGTGCGTCTGCGTTCGTTCGATTCGCAAGTCACTCACCGCGAGTTCTATCTTTTGTTTTTCTTCTCTCTTCGGCCCAGGCTCTGGGACACCCATGGTGGATAGCTTACTCTCGATTCGTTCGATGCTAGACGACACCTTGTTGTAGTGATCGACGACACGCTTTCTCGCGTCGAATGCCGCCACTACGGCGGTGCACAACGCGTGAACTTCGTTGAGGGAATCTAAGAACTCCGACGACATCAATTCCGACGCCTGTCTCTGCGGAGGAATGAGCGCAGTGAATAAATCGCTGAGTCTTTGCCACCACACGCCCTTGGCCCCCGACTGGGCGAAAACGGAACGAGCCTTCTCCTCTTGTCCCGCCAAAAGCTCCAAGCACGCGTTGAACTCCTCGTACGCGCTCACCGTGTGTGCGCCATGCTTTTGCAACGCGCTCGTCGCCGCTATGAGCTTTTCCAAACGCAGTTTCAGTTTGGTCACGTATTCGACGACGTCGACGTGTTGTTGCTTTTCGCGCATGACGTCGACGGACATCGACGAAGTCAGGGACTTCATGTCCGACGTGTTCAGCGTTGACAACCACGAAGTCACCGATGAGACGCCTTCGCTCAAGACGCCGCGTTCGTACCACGGCACGCGCTGCGTCCAAGACTTTGAGTCTTGCGTTAAGAACGCGTGCAAGTCGGCGGATTTTCTCACCAGCGGGTGCGCCGCGCACCTCGCCATGAACGCGGCTAATCCTTTTCGTCTTCGCTCGATCCCGCGCGACGACGGGTCGTCCATGTGTAAGATCGTCTTCGACGGCAACAGCGGGATGATGACTCCGTCGCAATTCGCCCCGAGTTGTTTGCTCAACCACTCGAAATCTGAAAATCGCCGCGTCGAACACCCGCTCGAATCTTTCCCACCGTACGTCGCGCTGTCCGTCCAGTACGTCACCTTGTACTCGATGTGCTTGCTCAGGCCGTCGCCCACGCGGTGCGGATCTCCGATCTCGATCACAAGTCCCGCGTCGTCGTCGTCGTCGTCCGCGTCCGCGCTCGCGCGCGTCGCGTATCCCGTCGGCACGCGAATCGCGCCCACGTCGCTCGGCGTCGTCGGTCGAGGGCCGGGCGTCAGGAACGCCGCGCGCTCGTCCGACGCCGCGGTCGTCGTCGTCGTCGGCGTCGTCATCGTCGTCGTCGTCGTCGGACGCACCGAGATGACGCGTCGCGCGGTGACGCGGCGACGCCATCGTTCGCCCCGCGTCGCCGTTCGCGCGTCCGAGGTCGAGCCGACGGGCCGACGGGCCGACGCGCACACCGAGGCGCGTCGATCCGTTCGCGACGCGCCGCGCGTCGATCGGAAAGCGCGGCGCGTCGAACCTTTCGTCGTCGCGGGGCGTGGCGTCCGTCGTCCGACGCGCGCGCGCGCCATGGCGAACGCCGGGATCGGGTTGTCGCAGTTTGCGTTCGTCGGGACGTTCATCGCGGCGGTGAAGAAAACGATCGCGGGACCGCGAGAGGAACCGCCCGAACACCTGAAGTGCGTCATCACGCAGGAGCTGTTTCGAGATCCCGTGGTGCTGGTGCAAACGGGGTACACGTACGACCGAATCGCCATCCAACGCTGGCTCGCGGCCAAGTTTCCGCCGACGGATCCGACGAGTAACGTCGAGTTGTGGTGCACGGATCTCGTCCCGAATTGGTCGCTACGTCAGAGCGTCGATGAGTGGGGGGTCGCGAATGGATACGGCGCCATGGATCCACCCGAAGAGGCGGTGCGAGTGACGAAGGATGGCAGACCGATGGGGCGACGCTCGGCCAACGCCACGAGCGCGACGGCGCTGACGCACCAATATTTGCAAGCGCTTCATCGCACACATCCGCGGCACGCGGCGGTTTTAGTATTTTTGATGACGTTTACCCTGGGCACGATCACGGTGACCACGCTCACGGTGGTTCACAGCGCGTACGCAGCCGTCGGCGCGGCGCTTCGTCACGAAGCCGTCGCTCGGATGCTCGACGGCCCGGCTCAAAGTTTCGTTTGGTGGTTTTGCGTCGGCGGGTTTCTTTTCTTGGCGCACTGCGGCGCGCAGGATGTGCCTCCCGTCGCGCGCGGTCGCGAACGGGTCGATCGACGAGGTCGCGCGCAAGACGTCGTGGGACGCGGTTTCTTTCGCCGTCTCGGCGTCGCGCGCTGACGCGGCGTCGCCCGACGTCGTCTTCGGCGTAAGCGTCCGCGCTGTGCGTCGTCGTCGCGTTCGTTGTACCGCTAGTAGGTAGTTTCTATGTAATTCTCTCGTGTAAATCACACCTCGTGTGTTTAGCATTTCGTCCGTTCGTTTGGGCGTTCCCTCTCGATCCCGTCGCCCCGGCGCGATCTCGGGTTCTGGCGCCGGCGCGATCTCGGCGCCCGCCGTCGGGGTCGCCCGCCCGACGAGGCCACGTCGCGTCACACGCGTGCCCGAGGCCGGCGGCGACGCTCGCGAGCGCGCGCGAACGCGCACGAACGCTGCGTAAGAAATCGTCTCGAGCGTTGCGTCGCGCGCACCGAGCGTCGCGCGCGGGCACGCGCGCGCGCACCGCGAACGCCGCGAACGTGGACCCGCGCGCCCATCGGGTGGCGTTCGAGCGCGCGGGAACTGTGATATCATGTCGCACGCGCGCGCGAGCGACGGCGCGAACGGGACGTCGACGCTCGCGAAGGATGCAGATGAAATCCACGCATCGAACGGTACCGACGCACGCGCGACGTCAAGCGCGATCGAGCGTACGACGGGCGATGGGCGCGAGGTTGGACACGAGAGCTGGGAGGTTGTGAGCGGGAAGAAATCTTCAAAAACGTCTGGTAAAACGAGCGCGGAAAGCGCGGGAACGAGCGAGGATGGGAAGAAACGAAGAAATAGTGGAAGCGGCTCTCGCGCTGGGGGGGCGCAGAGGGCGGATAAGGTGAACGCGGGTAAAGGAAGTCCACCAGACGTTCAAGCGGCGAGCGGCGAGGCCTCGAGCGGCGGCGCCGAACCGTCGGGATGGGCCGCCATCGTCACCGGAAGACTTAGCCCGAGCGAAGTGCCGGCGTCGTCGGTGGTGTCAAGTGAGACCACGGGCACACCAGCCGTTGAGCGCCTCAACTTGTCGCGAGAGAAGGATGAGGCGATGCGCGAAGTCGCGGCGCAAGACGACTCTACAGATGGTTCGCCGCGAACCGCGCGCGAGACGCACATCATAGACGGAGCTCGCGAAAACGCACAAGCTGTCGGTGCTGGTGCGAAGGCATTACGTGGCTGGGCTTCTATTTTAGGTGGCAGTAGCGGATTCCCCGAGGAAAATCCTCGAAGCAAGTCGCCGAACGCGACCCAAGAGACGGCGGTAGCGGCAACGGAGGTGGCGCATGAGCCGACTAAGGCCACGGCGGCGCCTAGCGCTCCGGCGTGGGGTGGATGGGGAGCTCAAGCACCGCCAAAGGTTGACTTGAAGGCGACGATGGAAGAGGACGCTGCGGCGGCTGCGGCCGCTCCTCCTCCTCCTCCGCCTTCGAAGAAGGAGTCGAAAAAGACGGAGGACAAGCCAGGCAAACAAAATGGGCGCAAGAAGGATTCTAAGAAGGACAAGTCTTCTAGCAAGCAACGTCAGCAAGATACGTATCGCAAGGATAACAATAAACCGGTCCGAAGCTCGGTGCCGGTGACCAAGGTTTCAGAACCATCCGTCGACGCGTCTGCTGACCGTCCCAGAGCCCCTATGACGTCTGAAGTTGAAGATTTGCTCGTCGCAAAACTGGGAAGTGAGCTGCTTGACTGCGCGCACATGCAATTTTTCACTCCCACGGCGCATTTGCTGAAGAAGGAGAGACGTGCGGTGGACATCGTCATTCGAGCCATGAGCGCCATCGTTCAGACGCTGTTTCCGGCGACCGGTCTCGATGTTTTTGGTTCGTACCCTACGCGCGCATGGGTGCCAGGGTCGAGTAATTTGGACTTGTCGCTGGATCTCCCTCCCGAGGCGATGATCGCTTCCCATCCGGAGCGGCGAATGGAGGCTTTAAATACGCTCGCCATGGCTTTGCGTACGAATCCTTGGGTGCTCGACGTCACCGTCGTCCCGAGCTCGCACAGACCTTTGCTGCGCATGACGACGCATACTGCGTTCTTTCAGGCAATGCCGCAGCAACTGCCGAGTAAAACATCGGCGTCGATTGCGGCAGCTATCGCCGCCGTCACACCGCCGCCGGTAACCTCTGGGGACGGAACGCCGCCTCTGCCACCTGGCCCGCGTCCCGGCGCGCCGCCATTCGGTATTCCAGGCTTGGGTCAAAACGGTCTAGGCTTGCCGCTCGAAGTACACATTTCTCTGAAAGATGCGAATCACAAGGGGCTGTCGTCGATGCAATTTGTGCAGGCTGCAGAAGAGCAACACGGCGCTTTGGCTCCGTTGGTGTGCGTGCAAAAGGCAGTTTTAGCGAGTAAAGGTTTGCGAGGCGTCTACCGCGGTGGTCTGGGAAGCTACGCGCTCACTTTGATGGCCCTCACCGCGATTCAACTTCGCAATAGCCAAGAGAGCGAAACGGAGGATGAAACCGTCGTGAGAGTGAGCACGTCCAAGGACGAGGCAAAAAAGTCGGACGAAGACGAGGCCAATTCGCGAGACGCCCTCATTCTCGGCCGAGCCATGTTGAACTTCCTCAAACTGTACGGATTCGAAACGGATCTTTCCAAGGACATTATTTCAGTGCACAGCGGTGGTGACGGCGTATGGGGCGTTCTTTCAGAAGCCGCTCAATTTCCGGCGCCGCTCGGTTCTGGTTTACGCGTCAAGGATCCATTAGATGGATCAAATAATGCTGGAGCGGGATGTTTCGGCATTGCGGGTGTGCAAGCAGTATTCAGAGAGCAGTTGGAAACGCTCCGAAAGGCTGCGGAGAATGGCTTTGAGAGTAATGTCCCACTCTTGATGCAGCTCTTCACGCTAGGTGGATCGCAAAAAGTCTTTGTCGTTTGAGTAGCACGTTGATTGAAAAACACGGCGCGCGAATAATGCAATATTATTACATGAACAGCTAAAATCGCTCTAATCCTCTACCAGAAGTCCTCTAATCATCGGCGGGGGGTTTAACGCTATAAATTTGTTGAATGTAACCAGCAGCTGCTCCGAGAACGGCCCCCGAGATAATCAAAGTTAACTCGTCCTGTTCGAAGATTGGGTGTAACACGCGTTCGAACTCCTGCGGCGTCATCAACTTCATTCGTTCACGCATGAGTTCTTTGAGCCCGAGCGTCGCGTCCGTGTACTCATGCAATACGTGTATGTGCTCCGGCAGCTTTTCAACCACTTTACGACAAACTTCGTCGATCAATGAAACGTCCAAATCCGCCACCGACATCCCACGGGCAGCCGCCTCTTCCACGACAAACTTTTTCGTGTACTGTTCCAGCATAGCGTTGAATTCGGGTCCTTTGTCACCATTCAACATATTGTTCCAAATATTCTCGCTTTTCAGCACTTTCTCTGTGAGGTAGTCGCTAAAAGTACCGCTCACCTCGTGTTGACGCTGCAAGAACAAACCCTGTATCTTAAACGGTCCGACAAAGACGGGCTCGACTGGTTCGAATATGCACTTTAGTGCCAACCAGTTCGTCAATAAGCCGACGATCATACCACCTATAGTGATTGACCACGGGTTGTCATAAAACGCCCAAACGACCATCTGAATGACGCCCAGCAAGAAACCAAAAAACAACCCGCTATTGACTAGGAAATCGAGCTCTGCTGCGCCGCAACGCCGAAACAAATCGACGAGCACAACTCGGTCGGTGCACATCGCCGTCACGACGAGCTCTTTTAAATCGATGACGTGATCGACTTGCTGTTGGAGCAGCGTCACGAAACCAGATAAGTAAGTGGACACGACGCCACCGACTTCGCCGAGCGTCGGCGTTGGCAGCGCCGGCACTGCGCTCTCGGCGAGTTTGAGCGACCAATCTGGAATCATTTCACTCGCGATTTTCGACGCCATATTCGGCACTTCTGTGAGAAGTAAAGAGGACACCGCCGTTGGGTCGAGGAGCATAAAAACCGCTTGCACGTTCACGAGCTTCTCGGTGACCATGGTAACCATCGTCAAAGACATTTGCGCGGCTTTCGCCGGCACGATGCCTTGCCAGCCCAAGATACCGAGCGGTTGGAGAATGTCGAAACCGTACACCGAGCCTTCGACGTACTGGAACAGCGGAATCCCTAGAAAATTGATCGGGTAAAAAATCATCTTCACCGCGAGCCAGTTCGTGAACCATCCAACGAAGGCGGCGACGAGCGGAATCAAGAGCATACCTTTGCGATCAGCGTTAAACTTATCAACGGCCCGCGCGATGACTTTATTCGAAAGAACTGCGCTCAACTTTCCTCGCAACGAATCCATGGAGTTGAACATGCGACGCTCGAAGGCTTTCGTACGTTTCTGAATACTAAGTAAACGCCAATTATTGCGAATTTCCATGACCACGTCGCGAATATCGAATCGTCTCGCGAGCGAGGCGAGGCTGTCGACGGCGTCGCGCGTGAACCTATACGCTCGGCGAAAAACGACGCGTATCAACGCCACGGTCACCAATCGTCGCACGATAACGCTGACATTCGACCCCTGTGCGAGACTTCCTAGCATCACGAGCGCGGCGACGCAAGCGAATAACGTCTTCGGGTCGCGAAAGTTAACAGCTCGCCGCGACTGAATTCGTCGAACGCCCTGCTCCGCGTACGTTTTCTCATCGATGCGTTCCGATCGACGCGACTCGTATCGCTCGTACGAGTCAAAGTCATCACCGTCGTTCAGGCGCGCCGTCGTCGCGACGCGCGCTCGCGCGTCGCTCGCGGCCCGTTTACGAAGTGCGATGCGCGTCGACGCGATTCGTGACGACGACGGCGAGAGTGACGCGCGTCGCGCGCTCGTCGACGCGCGTGCATGCGCGAGGTTGCGTCGCGCGCTCGTCGACGCGACGCGCGCGCGCGCGGTCGCGAGCGGTCGTCGCGCGACGCTCGACCGTTGCGCCTCCATTGTGCGGCAAAGTCGTTGCGGCGGTTTCAGCAAAGCCTCGCGACGCCGAGACGTTTGCGAGGAAACGCGTAGATCGGTGAACCGAACGCGCGCGAGAAGCAGAACGCGAACGAATTTCGTGAAACAACAAACAAAGCTAAGGATCGTTCGGGGCGCCGAGCAACGGCGCCACGACGTCGCGGTGGTGAGATATCTGCGCGGCGAAACCGCGAGCGTCCAAGTCCTTCCAATCCGGGAAGTCACATTTCACGGCGTCGCTCGCGCGACTCGCGAGGGCGGGGAAGTGTTGGCGCAAGGCATCGATGACGAGCGACGCGACCTGGCGCTGGCCGGCCTCGCTAAAGTGCAAACCGTCGCAGAATTGCGTCTCGTCGACTTCGCCGTTTGAAAACTCTAGCGCGGCGTGCAAGTCGACGACGGGAATGTCGTAGAAGCGCGCGACGCGCTTCATCGCCTCGGCGTATGGCTTGACGCCGGCGTTGGTTCTGTTCGGCGCTGTATCGTTGAGCAACGACCCAAATCCCAATCCAGGCTGCGCCGCGCGCGTCGCGCAGTCTCGAAGCCACGCTTCGTCGTCTACGGGCGGCGGCGTGATGAATAAAATTCTCGGCGACGGTTGCATTCGTCGCACGCGCTCGACGATCGTTTTCAGGTTTTGTTCGTATCGCGGTAGCGGGACATGCTGCACGTCACCCGCGGACGAGTTCTTGGCGCACGCGTCGTTGGATCCGAACAGTATCGTCACCAAAACCGGCGCCCGCTTGTACGTCGCGAACGCCCCGTCGTCGTCCACGTCTTCGTTCAACGGAAACACCTCATCGAGCAAGCACAGCGCGTGTTCGGTGTTGTACCCACTGTACCCTCGGCATCGCACGTCCGCAAATCTCCGAAATTCGTGCTGCACTCGCGCCCCGAACCCACCGTCCTCGAACGATCGTTCGGTGAGCGAGTCGCCGAACAACACGACGCTTTCCCTGCGCGCGCGTCCGAGATTCGCCCCCCCTCCCCCCGCGCGCGCTCCCGTCGCTCGCCGCGCCGCCGCGATCCGCGCGTCGTCCATCGCATCGCCCGCGCCTTTCGACTCGCTCGCCCTGCCCCTCCCTCCGTCCTCGTTCACGCTCGTCGTCTCTCTCGCGCGCTTCGCGTTCGCTCTGTCCTTTTCTCGTCGTCGCAGGCACGGCTTACACAGCTTCCTCGTCCCCGTTCGCGCGCGTCCCGTCTTCGTCTCGACGTTCGTGTACGGCTGTCCCTCTCGTTCGCACCCCGTTTTCGTCTCGCCGCGCGTCCTCGCGCTCGCGCGCGCGCGCGCGCACGCGACGCATCCTTCGCACCGGCAGAAGATGCGTCGCGTCGTCGTCGTCGCGTCGTCGCGCGCGCCCGGCGCGTCGTCGCGCGCGTCGTCGCGCGCGTCGTCGTCGCGCGTCTCGCGCGTCGTCTCGCGCGTCATCGCGCGTCGCGCGTCACCGTGTGCGACGCGCTCGACGACGAAAGTGAGAAGACGAAAGATGGAGCGACGCGACGCGACACAGCGCGTCGCGCGACGAGGACGACGCGAGCGCGTCACGCGACGCGCGTCGTCCATCGCGACGCGACGGGCGTCGCGGTGACGCGCGCGACGAGACCGCGCGGCGGACCGTCGCGAACGAACGAACAGACGAACGAACGAACGAACGATGGAACGCATCGCGAGCCTGGACGCGACGAACGCGACGAACGCGACGACGACGGAGGCGACTGGCGATGGTGAACGAACGATGGTGATGCTGGTCGATCGATACGCGCCCGAGGACGCGAACGCGCTGACGACGCCGACGAAAAAATTGGAGGCGGTGCGAGCGTGGCTCGAACGCGGCGGCGCGCTGTGCGCGAGCGGACCGCCGGGATGCGGGAAGGCGAGCGCGATCAAGTGCGTGGCGAAAGAGTTTGGATACGAAGTGAGCGAATGGAAAGCGCCGACGCCGACGCTGTGGAGAGAACACGCGCACGCGAGAGGGAATGAAAATTATGGGATAGAGTACGCGAGCAAGGTGGACGAGTTCGCGGCGTACGTCGCGCGGGCGACCAAGTACGAACCGTTGTCGTTTTTAAAGCCCACGACGAGGGGCGGAAACGGCGCGCGCGGCGCGCGAAATGGAAGTGCGAACGGGACGTCGACGGCGAAAGGAAAGTCGCGAGGCGTGGTGTTGATGGTGCGAGACATTCCGAGCAGCGACGAGAGCGGACGCGCGCGCGTGCTCGAGGCGATTCGAACGTTAACCACGGCGCGGAACGGACCGCCGTGTGCGGTCGTGCTCACGGAAGAAGACGATGGGGGTGGTGGCGGTGGATCGAGCAGTCGAGGAGAGATACTCGCCCGGGACGTGAGAGCGGTGATGGAGCAAGCGGGGGCGACGTGTATTAATTTCAACGCCACGACGGCGGCGGCGATGACAAAGACGTTGCTGCGCGTGCGCGAGGCTGAGGGATTTGTCATCCCGGATTCGGAAATCGACGCCATCGTGCAAGCATCACACGGTGATTTGCGCAGCGCCCTGGGAGCGCTCGAGTTCTGGTGCATGGGAAAGACAAAGCCAGATGCGGCGAAAAAGCCGGCGAAAAAGGCGCCCAAGCGCAAGCGCGGCGAACCCAAGGAGGCGCCTTCGGAAGCGGCCGTCGCGCGCGCCAAGATGAGCTCCCGCGATCAAGGCCTGGGATTATTTCACGCCCTCGGCAAGTTTCTTTACAACAAACGCGAAACCACAGAGGTTATGGAAATTAAAGGCTTTGAAACCATGGACGAATCGTTGCGGCGACCGCCGGCTCGGTACGATCCCGAGGAAGTCCTCTCGCGCTCTGGCATAGGCGCCGAAACCGCGGTGGGTTTTCTGTTCGAAAACTTTCCAGATTTCATAGATTCTAGATGCATAGATTGGGTGGCGGCCGGAACGAGATACTTATCGGACGCCGCGATATTGGCTCGAGGAGGCGTTTCGACGTACGGCTTTCGTCGCGGACGCGAGGACGTGGGCGACGAAGGCGACGGCGCGATCGACCCCAACGTCCTCGGCGAGTACGCCGCCGGTTCGGTGGCGACGCGTGGAGTTTTATTCTCTTCCAAACGATCCTCCGCGGGCTTTCTCCCCATGCGTGGACCGAGCGCGATGAAAAATGATCGCGCCGCGGCTTCGAACCGCGAGGAAGTCCGCGCCGTCGTCGCCGCCGCGCACGACGGCGACTTCTCCGTCGGCGGCACGACGACCGCCGCCGCGATCGAGACCCTTCCCGCGTTGCGTTTGATCTCCAGCGCTTCCTCTGCAGGCGCGGCTTTGGTTCCTTTCCTTCCCGCTCGTTGGCGTTCCGCTCGGGAGGACGACGCCGCGTTTCGCCGTCGCGTCGCCGCCCTCCCTCTTCCCGCCGCCGCGCCTCTTCCCGCCGCGCTCGCCTCGGGCGTCGCCTTGGCGATCGATCGCGGCGCCAAGGGTGCGCACGCGCCTCCGTTAACCCTGGACGACATCGACGATTTAGAGGACGACATCGAGTCCGATTCCGACCCCTGAGCGTCCCGCGAATGCAACCAAAAGATGAAACCAAAGCCGCGCCGCCGCCGACGGTGACGCGACATCGCGTCGCGTCGCGTCGCGTCTCGTCTCGCCGTCGTCGCGCCCGACGACCGCGCGCGGCTTCGAGGACGCGCGCGCGGATCCGCGATGGAGTTCAGGCCGTACGTCACGCCCGAGCGCGGCGCGTGCGGCGGCGTCGTCGCGCGCGTCGCGTTGCTGTCGCTCGGCGGCGCGCTCGGATTCATCACCTTCGTGCTCGCCGCGTACGCGGTGAGCGAGACGCGCGCGATGCGAGACGAGATGGAAGCGAACCGCGCGCACCCGTTCTTAACCCTGGGACGCGTCAAGGCGGGATACGCGGGCGCGAGCGCGTATCGAGGCGCGGGATCGTGGCACGATCAAAAGCCCATGCCGAACATCTCGGGGATCTCGGGCGTGAGCGATTTACAAGCCGTGACGGGTAATCACGGTAACGTGTACCTGTTCGGCGGAATCGACACCGCGGGAACCGTGCTCGATCGGGTGTTGGAGTACGACGTGATTCGTCAGACGTACGCCACGAAGCTGCCGCTCGACGACGCGCGGGCGCGCTTCGGCGCGGGCGCGCTCACGAGTGCTTCGACGGGACTCGTCGATCGAATCGTCGTCGCGGGCGGCGTCGATTCGACTCAAAACGCGATTAAAACGGCCGAGTATTACGATCTCTCTACTGGTCGTTCCGCGGCGCCGGGCCTGAGCTACGATCACATGGACGGTTGCATGGCGAGCACCGGCGACGCCGTCTACATGATGGGCGGCTGGAGAGCGGTTGGATACGATTGGTTCAGCGTTTCTAAGGTTGAAAAGCTCACCCGTACTGGCACCGCGTGGGAAACTATGGCCGACATGCCCTCCCCACGCGGTGACTGCGCCGCCGCTGGTTTGAAAGGCAAGGTGTACGTCGCCGGCGGCTACGACGACGCGACTTTCAACCACACCGTGGGTTTCAAAAAGAATCTCTACATGTACGACCCCGCCACGAATACGTGGACGGAAAAGGCACCGATGAAACACGAACGCGGCGATCTTCAACTCGTGGCGCTTGACGACACTCTGCTCGCCATCGGCGGGGAAATCAAGCAAGCCCGACCCGACGGTTCGCACGCGAACATTGTCGCGTCGCACTACGTCGAGGAATACTTTCCCGAAAAGGATCAATGGGAAGAGCGTGCGTACATCGGTAACGCGCGATTCCGATTCGGCGCGGCAAAGTCCGACTGGGGCACGCACGTCTTTGGCGGTTCTCCAGTGTGCCTCGACCCGGTGAACGCCAATGTGTACACCTATTGCGACGGCTTGCAAATGAGCAGTCACGAAGTCTACTTTGAACTCTCTCATCCGGACGTGTGGGTCAACTACGACGCCGCGCACGAGTTCTAAGAGCTGATTAATTTAAACGATCGGCGAGCACTTGTTTGTTTTCCTCGTCCGCGCATGGCTCGGCGGCGAGGTGTTGTCTCTTTGGCGTAGACTAGATAGAGATCAACCTTTTTGCACTTCTTTTTTCCCGGCGTCGCGGTTTCCGCGGCGCGGGATTGTTTCTTTGGCAGTAGATGATACTAGACAGAAACAACTTCTTTAATCTTCCTACATACTTACGAGCTACTCACTAATATCTATCACGCCGATTCCGCGTACACGACGTACGGCATCGTCCCGAGCGTCACCGGCGACGTCGTCGAATCTCCGACGGCGCCGCGAACGGTGCCCAAACCGAGATTGTACGTCCCCGCTTTTAACGCGGGAGCGACGCACACGATGCCCGCATCGGCGTTTGCATCCGTGGTCACGAGCGGGGTCCATCCATTGACGACGATGGACCCGAAACGACACGACGTCATCGACGTCGCCGCGACGCTATTCCCCAAAGTGAAAACCACACGAGTGCCGCCGTACGTCGGTCCAAGATGCGGCGCTATGGAGTGCTGGTACACGAGCGTATTTCCCATGAAGGAATACTTCGGCCCGCTCGCTACGGCGGCTAGACTACTCCCCGCGACGATCACTTGCACGGACGACGACACCGTTCCCACGTACGGGGTCTCGCACGCGATGAGCGCGGACGAGACGAACGAGCCGAGCGAAGAGCCGCTCTTGTCCACGCCGAACGAACATCGCGGCACCGCGCCGTCGCCGGCGCGGACTGTTTCGTGGAAGTTATTCCCCGTGACCCACACCACGGCACCGCCTTCGGATGGACCGCGCGCAGGCGAGACCGAGGACGTCGTCGGCGTCGCGGTAATCTTCAAAACGACGTCGCTGTCGTGCGGTCGCGACGTCGGCAAATCCCGACCGTGGTAACTCATCATCACCGTCACGAATCCCGTGGCGAGCTGATTGTCGTGCAAACACGCGCTGCTCGTACTCGTCGCGGTCTCACCCACACCTTGAGTGACGCAGAGCAAGGATAACGAAAACGTCGGATACGGGTCCGCACTCCACGAATACGTCGTCGGAAGCGTACCGCTTTCGCTCGCGGATACCACGCCGTAAAATTCATCGACGACGTCCAAAGTCGCCCCGGCGCTCTTCTTACCCGAGTTCATCGACGGTACCGCGGCCACCCAAACATCTTTCGACGTCGCGGGCGCCATCGCGGGCGCGATGACTGTGATCGTGTACGCGTTACTCGCCGAAGCCGCGACGCTAATCGCGCCAAAGCGCACGTACGGCGCTCCGTCGTCCGTAAACATGGCGCCTAAAATCCCCGCCACGGTGACGTCGACCCCGATCCCCCCAGTCACGTGCGTCGCGTTCTTATCCTTGCTCGTGATCGCGAGCGCGTCCAAATTAATTCGTTCTACGAGCGCCACTCGACTCTCTCCGAAGCTGTACATGGACGCCTCCTCCGCGCTCGTCGACGGCGCCGCGAATCGCGGCACTTCGCACATCACGAGCGCGCTCGACACGTACACGCCCATGCCGGCGTAAGAAACCTCGAACCCTCCGCTCGTCGCCCCTCGCCACTCGCACTCGCGCGCGCGCCCGACGATGTCCGGACTCCCGTCTTTCGGCAGCGCGTTTCGTCCCGTCAGCCTCGACACGTCGCCCTCCGTCGCCACGTGCGGCGACGACCTCGTCAGCACGCCGTTCATCTCGCGAACAAAGTTCACCACGCTCGACATTCCGAGCTCGTGAAACAGCACCGCGTCGACGCCACCGTTCGAGCTCAACCCCAACGCGACGAATCCCTCGCGTCCGCTCGGCGTATCGCACCGCACTCCCGTCGTTCCCGCGATGACGCTCGCGTCGTACGACTCCCCCGGCGACCCCCCGAACACGCATCGCAGCTGTCCCGGCACGCTCGCCGCCGCCGAGCTCCCGGGCGGAAAGTTCAACCCGAACACATCCACCCCTCCCGTCGTTCCGAGCGACGTCGTCGTCGACGGCACGCCCACCGCCAGCAAACCGACGTCCGACGCGTGCGTGTATCCTCGCGCGCCGCGTCCTCGCGCGCGCCACCACGCCGCGCACGCCGCGACCGCGCGCGCGTCGAAGCGCCGTCGCGCGCGCGTCCGCGTCGTCGTCCTCGCCTTCGCTCGCCTCGACCGTCGCGCGTCGTCGACGCGATCGCGCGTCGCGCGCGCGCGTTCGCGCGTCGCCCGCGACCGTTCGTCCCGCGGCATCGAATCGAATCGAATCGCGCGCGCGTCGTCGTCGTCGCGTCGCGCGTCGTCACCGCGCGCCGTCTCGCGCGTCCGACGCGCGTCGCCGCATCGCGCGCGCGCCTCGCGATCGCCGCGGTCGCCGGTCGCGCGCGCGTCCGTGTGCGGGCGCGGCGCCGCGACGTCGCGCGCGAACCGATCGATCGATCGATCGATCGATCTCGATCGCGATCGACGCGTCGTCGATCGCGGGTTCGATTCGATCGACGACGCGTCGATCGCGATGGGTTCGATTCGAGCGATCGACGCGCGCGCGCGATGCCTCGCGATCGCGCGCGATCGCGATCGCGATCGACAGACGACGACGCGACGGACGCGTCGGCGCGAACGACGCGCGACTCGCGCGCGAGGCATCGCGCGGGCGATCGCGGCGATCGACGCGGCGCGCGACGCGGCGCGCGACGCGCGGGGACACCGTGAATCGATAATCATCCACGTGTTCGCATCTTGCGGATGAGCGCGTCCGTGGCGTCGCCGGAGACGGCGAAGAAACAGCGAGAGGAAGACGCGCAGGCGTTGAAGCGCGCGATGGACGCGGTGGCGAACCCGACGCGAGTGGAGGCGACGACGGAGACGACGGAGACGACGGAGACGACGGAGACGACGACGAAGGACGCGAGCGAAGAGGCGAAAGAGGACGCGGTGGAGACGACGACGACGACGACGACGACGACGACGACGACGAATGAAACGGAACGACCGCAACAGACGGCGACGGACGAGGACTACGCGCGATTGGATGCGTATTTGAGTACCGGGTTCGGTTTGGTGCACGCCGACGGGAAAGACGGCGAGGGGCGAACGGTGGTGACGGTGAACGCGACGCGGATTCCGGGCTGGGCCGGCAGCGCGGATCGCGATAACTCGATGAATCTCATCATCAATACGCTCGAACGCGTGGCGGCGGCTGGGGAGTACGTCGTCGTGGTGTATTTCGGCGACGACGACCGATCGAAGGGCGTCGTGCCGACACACTCGCTCAACTGGCTCGGCGACCTCCACGACAAGTTGGCGTACGCGGTGCGGAAAAACGTGCAAAGAATTGTCTTCGTGAACGCGACGTGGATCATGAGCAGCATCATCTCGTTGACGATGACGTTCGCCACGTCAAAGGCGAGCAAGAAATTCGCGTGGACCAAATCCCTGGACGACATGGACAAGGACACGGGATACAACGTCCACCAAGCGATGTGCGGCGAAAAGTTTCTTGCCTCGGTCGGTAGAAAAGTCGTGTACGCCGAATCCGAAGCCGCCGCGCCCGCGCCCGCCGCATCGTCGTAAATAGTAGTCGAATTTTAATCGAATGCAAGAGTTGATACTCGTCCACGTCGCGCGCGGCGTTTCGATTTCTCATATGAATGGGATTTTATTAATCAATTACGTACGTTAAGGAGGGGTATTACTTCTTCACCGCCTTCAACACGGCGGAGAAATCTTCGTCGTCGCATCCATCGCGTCTCGCGCGCTTGTACAACTCGTTCGCCGCGGCGGCGACGGGCATCTCTTGGGCGAGCTCGTCGGCCAACGCGATGGCCAATCGCATATCCTTTTGCTGGTGCTTGAGCGGGAACGCCGGAGCGAATTTCCCGGCGTTCATCGACGGACCTTTGAGAGCGAACATCGGCGACGCGATGGCGCCCAAAGAGATCACTTGAAGCAAAGTGTCCGGATCCAAGTCGCACTTTTCCGAAAGCGTCAAGCCTTCGGCGAAGGCGCCCATCATGCTTCCCATGATCATGTTCACCACGAGCTTCATCTTCGCCCCTTGACCGACTTCGCCCAGGAAGAAATGCGCTTTGCCCATGGTTTCCAGCGGCGCCTGGCACCTTCCGTACAGCGCTTCATCCCCGGCGCACAAAAAGATGAGCGCGCCGTCCTCGGCGGGTTTCTTCGACCCGCTCACCGGCGCCTCCAAAAATTCCGCCCCCGTCGATCGCACGATCGCCGCAATCTCGCTCGACGTCTTCGCATCGACCGTGGACACGTCCACGTATCCCTTTCCAGCGCTCAATCCATCCTTCGCCGCGCGCGCCACCGCCAGCGCCGCCTCCGGCGTGCTCACCATGACGAACGTCACCTCCGCCGCCGCGCACGCCTCGCTCGCGCTCTTCGCCTCGCGCGCGCCCGCCTCGACCACCGGCGCCGTCGCCGCGCTCGTGCGATTCCACACGATCACCTCGTGTCCCGCGTTCAACAGGTTCTTCGCCATGGGCACGCCCATGATCCCGCATCCCAGAAACGCGATCTTCATCGCCTTCGTCGACGCGTTCGCGACGCGCGGAGACGCGCGGTTCGCGACGACGCGCGATCGATCGAGCGCGCGTCCGCGCGCGTTCGACGACGCGTTCGAGTGTGCGCTCGAGTGTGTGCGCGCACCGAGGGCGCACGACATAGTCTGCGGGACGGCGTCCGCGTCCGCCCTCTCGCCGTCGCGTCGTCGTCGACGATGACGGCGCGCGACGCCGCGATTCGAAACCGCGATGCGTTGAATCGCTCACGCGCGTGATGCGTTACATCTACATCGCTAACGCGCCGACCCCTCGAGCTCGTCTCGCAGGCGCATCTCCAACTCGCGCTTGGCGGCGAGAATCTTCGACACCTCGGAGACCGCGGCGCGGAGCTGGCTCTCGAGCATGGACTTGGCCGTGCGCTCCGTCGCGAGGTCGCGCTCGAGCTCGGCGACGCGAGCCCTGAGCGCGGAGAGCTCGTCGGGGGCGTCGTCCTTGGACGGACCGGGCATGCCGCCGGTGTACGCGCGGGGTGAAGACGCGCGCGCGCCGGCGCGCGCGCTCGATGACGTGGACGCGGCTGTCGACCGACGCGCTCGGTGCGCGTCGGCGCGCGCGGGATTGGGAGCGAGGGCGACGGAAGACGCGAGCATGGCGACGCGCGGCGCGCGCTTCGCGCAGTGCGGCGCGCGGGTCGGTTGACGCGGTTTTTTGTTTTTCGTTTATACAACATCGTTAGGCGATGATCGCGCGGATTACCTGTTTTCGCTGTAAATCTTGGCACCTTCGGTGGTGAAGTCGGCGTTTTTGAAGTTGAACGTGCGCACTTTGTGCTTGGCGCCGCCGTAGTTGAGGACGCCGTCGGACACGCCCGTGCCTTCGTATTGTAATAAGCGATCCCACTCTTCAGTTTGCTTGCCGTAACGGAACAGAGCGAGAGTGCTCGGGAAGTGCGTGTCGTCGCACACGTTGGCTTCGGCTTGCGCGGACGCCAGCGCTTCGGCTTCATCGCTCGATTGTAAGAGCGCGCGGCGTCTGCCCGGCGCGTCGAAGCAGGTGCTAATCTTCAAGCAGCGGGGAGCGCTCTGCAAGTGCACGGAAATGCGCGAGCCACCGATCAAGGGTTCGTGGATGAACGCACCCTGCTGATCGGCCAAGTAGCCCCAGCCCTTCTCCGCGCGCTTTTGCCACGCGTGCGTCGCGCTCTCGCTCGCGAGCTCAAACGACTGCGCGGCGAGTTCGTCTTTGCAGTCGTCATCCGAGTACAACATTAACCCACTCAAGTCCCACTGGTTGTGCGTCTTACTCGGTGACTCGCTCCCCTTCAGCGATTCTAATCGCCACCAGTCACCCAATCGCCCCGCCTCCTCGTCTGCCTCGTCTTCGCCGTCCATCAACTCCACCGTAGGTCGTCCCGTCTTCGGATCCTTCTTCACGTTGTTGAATTGATGTCTCTCCGTCGGTGAAGACAGCGCGAACTTCGTCACCGCGTCTCGCGTCGCCGGATTTACCATCGTGTACACCAACAACGCCATGCTTGCGATCAACAAGATCGAACTCGCGAGATTACACCGGCAAAACACATTCGTCGAGTTGGCGTTTTGCTTCGCCTCCTCCGAGGAGTCGAATATATCATCCACGAGATCGCTCTCGTCCGCGTCGACGCCAGGTCCGATCTCCACATCTTTCTGTTGTTCGTACGCACCCACGGCGTGCGCGGGCGGGGCGTCAGGGCCGAGAGACGCGAGTAATCGCGCCTTATCGTCATCCTCCAATCCTCCGTCGTCGTCGACGAAACCGCCCTCGTCGTCGTCGTCCACGGTGAATTGCGCGCGTTTAGACATCGGCCTCGCGTGCGCGAAAGTAGTTTCTTCTCAACCGTCCGTTCGAGCGTCCGCGTGTCGCTCGCACGCGTCAACGTCTGCGGCGAGATCGCGGTCCGATGCGATCCACACGAGGTGGCGCCGAGACTCGCGGCGCGTTGACAGAGGCGGACGCGGCGTCGATCGTCGAGGCGGAACGCGGCGGCGGGGATTACCGTGAAGTAATGACGGTAAAGTAATGAAAAATAATCAATAATGACAACACGGAGAGAACGACGCGCGCACTCATAACTCGCTCTTCGCCGCGAGCTCGTCCTTCGCTGCGAGCAGCGCGGCGGCGGTCGCTTGTTGAGTCGACGCGCCCGAGTCTTTCAGTTCGCCAAACGTTTGCGAAATCGATCGCACCATCTTAGCTATGTCTTCCGACGACGCCGACGCGCTGTTCGCGGTGGCTTTCTGTTTGCGAGGCTTGGCGCCCAAATCCGGCAGTCCGGCGATTTTCTTCGGCACGGCGTCTTCGACGGCGCCCGGCGCCAAACATTCTCCGAGCGCGCTCGTCCCCGAAGTGTGCCGCATGCGCTGTTCAAACATTCCCAACATCGGTCCCAACGCTTGACCGATTTCCGTCGACAAGAACACGTCCGGTAAATCCAGAATCTGCTGCGGAATGTCTTTACCGACGAGAAACATCGCCGCCTCCGAGGTAAAGTTGTTGCAGTTGTGTCTCAATAAATTGTACGTTTCCGACGTGTATCGCGGTTGCACCTCGCGCAAGAAATCGCGAAACATCTCCTCGTCCACCTCCGTCGTCCCCAACGCCTCGACGCGCAACGGCGCCCCGAACTGCGTCTGCACGTGCGACGCCGGCGCGCACTGCAAGCCTTGCCCGAACCAATACTCCTTCCCGTGCACGACGATGCCGGTGTGATACACCGCCTCGATCTCCTTCCCCAGCAACTGCTGCGACATCATTCGCGCCATTCCACCGCTATCGAGCGCGAGTCGTCGTTTCGTCAGTCACCGCGTCGCCGCCGTCGCGTCGTCCGCGTCGTCGCGTCTTCTAGAAGATGCTTCATCGCGTCGCGTCGCGTCGCGTCGCGTCGCGTCGTCGCGTCCTCGCGCGCGCACCTCAGGTCGTACACGTGCAACGAGACGTCGTGCGTCGTCATCGCGTCGCGTTCGGGCGCGCTCGACGTTCGTTATCCCTCGTCGCGCGAGCGAGTGACGTCGAGTCGGTCGTCGGTCGGCGGCTCGTCTCGACGCGCGATCGCCATCGCGCGACGCGGACGCGCGATACGCGCACCGACGCGCGCCGACGTCGAGCTCGACGAGAGACGACGACGACGACGACGACGACGACGACGACGCGATGCCCGCGCGCGCGAGCGCGAAGCACGCCCTCGGATGCCTCGCCGTCGGCGCGATGCTGCGGAAATGCGTGGACGCGCGACGACCGAGATATAAAAAGCGACGCGGTGCGTACTCGACGCGGACGCGGGCGAGCGCGGACGGCGCGGTCGCGCGGTGGCACAACGCGGATTTACCGCACGCGAAAGCGTTTCGCGTCGAACCGTTCGAGGGGTGCGGGACGGTGCACGAGGTGTTCGAGTACGCGGTGAAGCGACACGCGAGCAGACCGGCGCTGGGCGAACGGGACGTCGAGGAGACGACGAAGACGACGACGAGCGACGGGCGAGAGGTGGAAAAATTACGATTGGGAGGGTATAAATGGATGACGTTTCGAGAGGCGAGCGAACGGGTGAGCGCGATCGCGAGTGGGTTGGTGGATCTCGCGGGGTTGAAGCCGCAAGACAAGGTGATAATCTACGCCGATACCAAGCGCGATTGGCAGCTCACGGCGCAGGCGTGCTTTCGAATGAATCTCACGGTGGTGACGATTTACGCCACGCTCGGTGAAGACGGGGTGAAGCATGGGATAAATCAAACCAAGGCAAGCGTCGTCGTGTGCGATGGAAAACTCTTGAAGACGTTGACAAACGTCGCCGGGGATTGTCCGTCGCTCAAGCACGTGGTGACGATGGGCGAGCCCGAACAAGCGTCGTTGGATAAGTTACCCAAGAGTGTGTTCCAAATCGGACTAGACGAGGTCGCAACGCTCGGTGCGCGCAAGCCCATGGCGGCGCGGCCGCCGAAATCGACCGACATCGCGGTTTTGATGTACACCAGCGGTACCACGGGGGCGCCGAAGGGCGTCATGTTGAACCACTCCAACGTGTGCGCGACGATGACTGGCCTCAAAGACGCGGGTGATTTTACCAATAAGGACGTCTACTTGGCGTACCTGCCGCTGGCACACATCATGGAGATGGCGGCGGAAACGGTGATGCTCGCTCTCGGTGCCGCGATCGGTTACGGCTCGCCGCAAACGCTCACGGACACTGGATTGAAGCTCGCGCCGGGCACGCGAGGCGACGCGCCTACGTTGAAGCCGACGTTCATGGTGTTCGCTCCGGCCGTGCTCGATCGAGTCCGTCAAGCCGTGCAGGCCAAGTTTAGCGCCGCAAAACCGGCGTTGAAGAAACTCATCAACGCGGGCTTGGTAGCGGGTCGTAAAGACTTTGAAAACGGTAAAATCGGCGCGCCGTTCTTGTACAACGCCATCATCTTTAAAAAGGTGCAAAAGCTCATCGGTGGACGCGTGCGTATCATGATTTCTGGGTCCGCGCCGCTGTCGCGCGAGACGCAAATCTTCATGCAAACGTGCTTCCGATGCCCGGTTCGTCAAGGTTATGGGTTAACTGAAACCGGTTCGTGCGGTACCATCGCTTCGTTTGACGATTATTCGCCAACCGTCGGTCAAGTCCTCACCTCGGTGAGCATCTCTCTCCGCGATTGGGAAGAAGGTGGATACCGAGTCGCGGACGAAAAAGACCCGTCCATCGGTATGCCTCGCGGTGAAGTTCTCATCGGTGGTCCCGTCGTGTGCCAAGGGTACTTCACTGCGCCTCACATGCCCGACCCAGAGCTCGAAGCGAAGAACGCATCCGAGTTCTCCGTCATCGACGGCGTGCGTTACTTCCACACCGGCGATGTCGGCCAATTCACCGCTGACGGTCAATTGATGATCATCGATCGCAAAAAAGACTTGGTCAAGCTTCAACAAGGCGAATACGTCGCCCTGAGCAAGGTCGAGAACGTCTTGAAGCAATCCCCGTACGTCGCCATGGCCATGGCGTATGCCGATTCCAAGCACTCGTATTGCATCGCCGTCGTCGTCGTCAACGAGGCGCCGCTGAAAAAGCTCGCGTCGAGCAAGGGCATCACCGGCGACGTCGACACGCTGTGCGCAAACTCCACGATCATCAAGGAAATTTCATCTGCGTGCAAATCGGCGTGTAAGACTGGGAAACTCGTCGGTTTCGAGACGCCGACGACGTACATCTTAACCGCCGAGCCGTGGACTCCGGATAACGACTTGGTCACCGCGGCGTTCAAGTTAAAGCGACAAAACATCGTTAAAGCCTTCAAAACAGAAATCGATCGCGCGTACGCGTGAGTGTTCTTGTCAATCATCGCATCAAAGCATCTTCTCAACGTCGTCGCGTCTCGCGTCTCGAGTCCCAGCCAGTCGCGTCGAGTGGTCATTCCACGAACCCATCGTCGCTCGCGCCCCAATCCGCGACGCGTCATGCCGCTCGCGACATCGCGCGCTAAGAAACACGACGCCATCGACGACGCGTTGACGGCGGAAGACGCGCGAGAACACGCGGATAAGTTGGCGAAATCTTTGTCCATCTTCGCCACGATCCCGCGCGCCATCGCCGAGGCGCACATTCGTTTACGAGGTCGAGCGTGTCCAGACGAGCGCGCGAGCGACGCCGACGTGCGAGGCGCGCTACTGAAAGCGCTGAGCGATGAAGTCTTGGCCGAGCGAGAGTGTAAGCTAAAGGGAACGAAGTTTGAGCCGTACGTGAACGCACGGCCGAAGCCGGCTGCGGCTGCAGCGGCGGCTCGAACGGGACGGACGACGACGCGCGCGGTGGTCGATGGCGATCGTCGAAGCGCGTCGAGAGAGACGAAAATAATCGGTGGCGATCGTGGAGACGGCTCCGATAGCGATAGTTCGGTTGGTGTGGCGAGCAAATTCGTGCCACGGGAAATCGAAGACGAAGACGAAGACGAAGACGAAGACGAAGACGAAGACGAAGACGCGACGACGAGCGACGACGAGGAAGAAGAGTATAGCAGTGACGGAGATTATAGCGGCGAAGATGACTACGCCGATGACGGTGGAAATTTCTTCGGTCGAGCGGCAGAGGAACCGCCGGCACCTGAAGGGGCGAATCCGTTCGCGAGCATGGGGGACGTCGATTTCGGCGAAGAGGCGCGCGCACAAATCGAAGAAGCGAAGCGTATCGTGGCCGAACGCAAGGCGCAAGCGTCGAATTTAGCGGATGCATTAGCGAGCCTACAAACGTCGGACCCGGTGTCGCCGACGCCTTCAGGCCGTGTCGCGTTCAGCGACAAGGGCGACGACGTTGCCAGCATCGCCGGCTCCATCGCGGGTTCAGACTTCACCGACCGCTTCGATGCGATATCAATAGCTTCCATCGCCGCCACGCTCGGATCTGACGCCACAGATCGAGTTGCAGACGTCGACGGGAGTGAATTCGACGTCGCCAGTCTCGCATCTCATGGCACGCATCGTGCGACCACCGACCTCGGCTCGGACGACGAGCGCGAAGCCGCAATTTTCGAGAGCGAGGACGAGCGCGACAGCGTCAGTTCGGACGAGCGTCACGGCGCCAAGGAAAATGCTCCACCATCGCCTCCATCACCGTAGTAGCTCGCTTTAACACAACGCACCGTACGCGATACTCGCGCTCGACGGGCGCGAACGCCGCGCTCGGGGCAAACTGAAATCGCCACGTCACCGTCGCCGAAAAGGTCAATCGAAACGCGTCGTCCCGCACTTCTCGACCGCCTCGGTGCGCGCGCGCGACGCGCGCCCGACGACGCACGCCGCGCTTCGTAAACTCTCGCGTCTCGCGCGGTCGTCATGACGGCGCCGAGCGTGAGCAACGGCACGACGCGTTCGCTGATTTGGTTTCGCAAAGCGCTGCGCGTCCACGATAATCCCGCTCTCGCCGCGGGCATCGCGCGCGCGAAGAGCGCGCAACCGGTGTTCGTGCTCGATCCGTGGTTCTGTAAGCCCTCGCGGGTGGGGGCGAATCGCATGCGGTTCTTGTTGCAATCGCTGCGCGACTTGGACGCGACGCTGCGAGAACGCGGCAGTTCGCTGCTGGTGCTGCACGGCGAACCGCGAGTGGTGTTGCCGCGAGCGTGCAAGACGTGGAAGGTTGATTTGGTGACGTGGGAACACGATATCGAACCGTATGCGAAAATGAGAGACACCGCGGTGCGAGGCGCGCTGGAGCGCGCGGGAGTAGAGTGCGCGTCGTCGAGCGGACACACGCTGTACGACGTGGAGGAGATGTTGGCGAAGTGTCATGGGAAACCACCGACGACGTATTCGCAGTTTTTGAAGATTGTAGATAAAATGGGTGCACCTGCGGCCGCTTTGGATGCGCCGAAGGCGATGCCGGCGCCGTTCACGGGGACAGCAGAGGAGACGAAGGAATTAGTCGCGGGAGTGGCGGATGCGTACGGGATCCCCACTTTGGAGGAGCTCGGTTACGAAGCCATGCATGACGACGAAGGTTTTCAAGCGATCGGAGGTGAAACCGAAGGCTTGAGACGTCTACGCAGACAACTGTCGCGCACGGAATGGGTGCACACGTTTCAAAAGCCAGATACAAATCCCACGACGCTTTTTCATGCCTTGGGCGCGAAAAAGCCAAAGCCAAAGAGTCCGTTCGAAATCGCAGCGCGAGACGCGGGAAGCAAAAATGACGCAACAAACACTGCAGCGAATAGTGATATGCTGATGACACCGTCCACGACAGCGCTGAGTCCGTACATGAAATTCGGTTGCGTGTCGCCGCGAGTGTTTTATCACGAGCTCAACGCCGTGCTCGCAAAGTTTGAGGGCAAAGGTCAACCTTCGCAACCGCCGGTGAGTCTCATGGGACAACTGATGTGGCGCGAATTCTACTATCTCGTCGGCGCGGGGACGCCGAATTTCGATAAGATGGAAGGAAATCCAATCTGCAGGCAAATTCCTTGGAACAAGGATCGTGAGCTCTTCGCGGCTTGGGAGAACGCGCAAACCGGGTTCCCTTGGATCGACGCCGCGATGACCCAGCTTCGCCTCGAGGGATGGATCCATCACTTGGCTCGACACGCCGTGGCGTGCTTCCTGACCCGTGGTGATCTATTCGTGCACTGGGAGTGGGGCAGAGACACGTTCGATCGCGACCTCGTCGACGCCGATTGGGCGCTGAACAACGGCAACTGGATGTGGCTCTCGTGTTCGTGTTTCTTTTACCAATATTTCCGAGTGTACGGTCCGCACTCGTTCGCGAAAAAGTACGACAAGGACGGCGCGTACGTCAAGCACTACCTCCCCGTGCTGAAGAATATGCCCGCCAAGTACGTGTACGAACCTTGGCTCGCCCCTCTCGACGTGCAGAAGAAAGCCGGTTGCGTCGTCGGCGTCGATTATCCCGCTCCGATCGTCGACCACGCCACGGCGAGCAAGGCGTGCATAGATAAGATCGCCACCGCTTACGCCGCTCACAAGGACGCCACCGCGGTGGCTGGGAAGAAGCGTAAAGCCGGCGAATAAACTCGTTGATTCGTTAATTTAAAAAGCCTCTCGCGCGCGGCGTCCACCACACTGCACAGGCGCCTCACAACGCGACGCGCGTTCGTCATGTCGCTCGAGCGCGAGCGCTTGCTCGATCGCGCGACGTCGAACGCGGCCGCGTCGTCGCGCGATGACAGACGAACGCGCGCTGTTCGTCTCATCGCCACCGCTTCGTGCGTCGGCGTCGCGACGTACGCGCTCGCGCGCGCCAGCGGGATGATGTTCGCACCGTCGCTCGGTAACACCCAACGCGATTCGCGCTTCGGCGCATCGTCCATCGACGCTACCGAGCGAACGGTGCGAGAGTATAAGGACGAATTGTCAATCCTCTCGTGGTCGCACGATCGCGGATTCGAGACGCACAGAGGATCGTGGAGGCAGGAGGCGCGAAGCGCCGACGCGAACGAGACGCCGGACGCGCCGGCGAAGGACGAGCGCGACGTGTCGAATCGTCAACGAGGGGCGGCAACGCTGATGGCGCAAACGATCGCAAAGTACATGCCTGGTCGATTATCGGAGACGTCGGCGCCGTTCGAGTTGTTGTACTCGACGTGGGACATGCCGTCGACGCCGTGCTTGGACGCCGAGTACGCGCAGAAGTTGTGCGAGTTTGATCGATGGGTACCTATATTTAACTTTGGGAGCTCGTTCAAGGATCAAACCGTGCTGCCGACAATGGTGCCAGCCACGCTCGGCGCGCTTCGTAGTTGTTTCATCGAGGGTTTGAATCCGCATTTAGGCTTTAGCGCGGACGACGAGCCACAGTGCGACTTTTTACGCTTCCCGACGACAAAGTATTCCGAGCAAGGAAAGTGCGACGCCAAGCTCGCTCAGTGTCGGTATCACGGATTGTTTTCGCTCAATGCCGTGGATGATAAGTCGATGTACGAGTGGGATAATCTCAAACCGCAGGTGGAATGGCGCGGGAGCGACTATTCGTTTCTCGCGCCCCGGGTACCGGGGCACAAGCCTGACGCGAATGAGTTTTTGAGCGAAATCGCGTCTTCAGCCAATGTTTCGCAGGCCTTACACGATATGGCGTTTTCCACCGATATTGGACCACGTCTCAGGGCGGTACTGTTTTCAAAGTTGTACCCCGAGCTCATCGACGCCAAGTTTTTCAACTGGAAAAATCAGTCGAGCGCGCGCGACAAGATGGCCGCCGAACTCGGTATTGACGCCACGGAACGCTTAACTGAAGAGGCGCTGGGCAAATACAAGTATCATCTCGACCTCGGCGGTGGTGGAGGGACGACGTGGAGCGGACTGATTCCCAAACTCACCATGCCGGGCGTGCTGTTGCACCACGAGACGTCGATGAAGGATTCGTACTTTGACACTCTGAAGCCGTGGGTGCACTACGTGCCCGTCGCAGAAGACCTACACGACGTTTTTGAGAAGATTTCTTGGTGCGAAACGCACCCCGAGGAAGCACGAAATATCAGCGCCAACGCCAACGACTGGGTTCGCGACTTCCGAGGCTTGAAATCGCTGCTTCGTCACAACTATCAAGCCCTGGCGATTCCCTTGGCGAAAACGCTCGATCCCTCTGGCGAGACGCTGCTAGACTTTGAAGCCGCGCACGTGGCCGCGCGCGCCGAGCGCCTGGCCGCGCGCGCCGCAAAACTCGCCATCAAAGCGTCCAGAGACGCCGCCAAAGCCGCGAAGGCCACCAACGTTTCCGATTAACCCCCGTTCCGCGCTGTATCAACAGTATCAACACCATCCGTCCACCAGCCGCGCGACGCTCCGTTTTCAAGCCTCCGCCATCGATCGCTCGACGCGCCACACGCGCGCGCGATGCTCGGTCGCGCGCGCGATGACGTCGCCGAGCGCGCGGCACTCCTCGACGTCCCCGACGCCCCGTCGTCGTCGCGCGTCGCCGACGTCGACGTCGACGTCGACCGACGCGCGCGCGCGGGACACCAACACCCAAGCGCTTCGCCCGTGTTTCGCTCGCGAGTGCTCGGGTTCGCGTGCGCGTTCATCCTCGTCGCGTGCGCGTCGCGCGTGGGAAACGTTCCCCTGAGACTGCGACCGCCGATCGAGAAGCGCACGGCGCGCACGGTGAAAGAGTACGGACACGAGGGGGAGTTGCACTTGCTGCGCTGGACGTCGGCGGGTGGATTCGAAGCCGTCGAGTTGGGTCAGTCGACGGATGGCGTCAAGCAGCGCGCGGTGGAGGCGGTGAAGGTGATGATTGAAACGATAAAGAGGTATTACCCGCATCGGCTCGAGGATGGGCGGAATCCGTTCGAGTTGCTTTTCGAAGTATCGGACAAGCCGTCGACGCATTGCGTGTCCGCGCAGGCGAAGTGCGCGACGAGAGCGTGGGCACCGATATATGCGTTCGGTAGCGTGCCGAAAAACGTCGAGCACGTGTTACCGACGATGATTCACGCGCCCTTGGTTCCGCTCGCGTCTTGTTACACTGAGAACATCGCGACGTACAACGTGTCCATGAGTGGGCTTGACGCTGAGACGACGTCGTGCCCGTTTCTGAATTACCCGACGAAAAAGTATAGCGAGTTGGCCAAGTGTGATCCGGACGGCGATGTGAGCGGACAAGCTGCGTGTACGCCATACGCCCACGGATTATTTTCGCTCGACGCCGTGGAGGACAAGTCGTTGTACGAATGGAACTCGTTGGTTAACAAAGTCTTTTGGAGAGGGAGCGATTACGCGTTCTTGACGCCGTCGTACCCGGATTTTGCCTCGACGTCCGAAAACTTTTTGCCATGGTTGATGGAAGAGGCGAACAAAATGAAAGCGATGAAGATGTTGTTGCGAAATAGTGACGTCGGTCCGCGCTTTAGGGCGGTTCTGATGTCGAAGTTGCACCCCGAGCTCATCGACGCCAAGTTTTTCAACTGGAAAAATCAGTCGAGCGCGCGCGACAAGATGGCCGCCGAACTCGGTATTGACGCCACGGAACGCTTAACTGAAGAGGCGCTGGGCAAATACAAGTATCATCTCGACCTCGGCGGTGGTGGAGGGACGACGTGGAGCGGACTGATTCCCAAACTCACCATGCCGGGCGTGCTGTTGCACCACGAGACGTCGATGAAGGATTCGTACTTTGACACTCTGAAGCCGTGGGTGCACTACGTGCCCGTCGCAGAAGACCTACACGATCTTGCTGAACGCGTGCGATGGCTCGAAACCCATCCGACCGCGGCGCAGCGCATCAGCGCCAACGCCAACGACTGGGTTCGCGACTTCCGACGCCTGCGATCGCTCTTGGCGTACAACTATCGCCTTCTCGCAGTTCCGCTGTCGCTCTCCCTCGACGCCAAGCCGTTACCGTTATTTGCACCCTCCGCGAGCGTCCAAGCGACGAAATCCGAAGCCGAAGCCATCGACGCTGACCTCGCGTCGCCGCAACATCGCGCCGCCGTCGCCGCCGCCGGCGCGTCTCGCCGCCGTCGCGCGTCGGCTCGCCCCGCGGCGCGCGACACCCCCCGCGCGCCGTCGCTCTAGTCCTAGAACACCGTCCGTTAGTTTATCACGCACCACTTCGTTCATCGCGCGCGTCGCTTTCGCGCCCGCTCGCGGCCGTCTCCTTCTTCTCTCCTCTCCTCTCTTCGCGCGTCCGCGGCGGCTCGCGGTCCCGGTCCTTCTCAAGATGTCCCGCCCGATCGACGCCCACTTCGATCGGCATCGCGCGACGCGCGCGTGGACGTTGGACGCGCGATGCGACGCCGCGCGCGCGAGTCGACGCGCGGTGCGTTCGCGTGCGTTCTGTTCGCGCTGCTCGCCGCGGTGTGCGCGCGCGCGAGCGATTACTACGCCGCGCTCGGCGTGTCGCGCGGCGCGGAGGAGTCCCAGATCAAGCGCGCGTACCGAAAGCTCGCGCTGAAGTACCACCCGGATAAGAACCCGAACGACGAGCGCGCGAAGAAAAAGTTCACGGAAATCTCGCAGGCGTACGAGGTGCTGAGCGATAAGGAGAAGCGGTCGATATACGATCGGTACGGCGAGGACGGGGTGAAGCAACACGAACAGAGCGGCGGACGAGGCGGCGGCGGGGCGCAAGATATCTTTAGTCAGTTCTTCGGCGGCGGTGGACCGTTCGGAGGATTCGGGGGATTCGGAGGAGAACAGGAAGAACCGGAAACGCCGAAAGGGACGACGATTAAGGTTGATTTGGGGATGACGGTGAAGGAAATTTATCTCGGGGCGACGGCGCCGGTGACGCGGGAAAAGTTGGTGACGAAGAGCGCGAGAGGGACGAGGAAGTGTAACTGCCGACAGAAGCTCGTGACGCGACAAGTCGGACCGGGGATGTATCAGCAGTACACCGAGCAAACGTGCGAGGATTGCCCGAACGTTAAATTGGTGCGCGAGCGCGCGGATCTAAAAGTCGAGGTCGATGCGGGCGCCCCCGTCGGGCACGAAATTCTATTTTTTGAAGAAGGCGACGCGATGATCGATGGCGACCCCGGAGATTTGCTCTTCGTCGTGCAAACTTTGGAGGATAAAGAGAACAGGATCACGCGCGTCGGTAAGAGCGATTTGCACATGACGTACGAAATTACCCTCGTCGAGGCGCTCAACGGATTTTCTAAAATCTTCAAGCACTACGACGGCCACGACGTCGTCATCGCTCGAACCGGGGTGACGGTACCTTTCGACAAAATGACGCTCAAGGGCGAAGGCTTGCCGAAGCACAATCAATTCAAAAAGTTCGGTGACATGTTCATCACGTTTCAAGTCCAGTTCCCGGCGTCGTTGGACCAGAAGCAACGCGACGTCGTCTCGAAGACGTTCGCCTCGTCGAAATTTGTCGAGGTCGGCAAAGTGGTCGTATAAATCAATTACAACGTTGCGATGGTATATTTCACCAATAACCTATCGATTCTTGGATGATGTTAAACGTTCTTATTATTTGTTCTTCACCGTCTCGCGCGCTTGAAACGTTGTGTCGCGATTTCACGTCGGGAGTCGCGCTTTTACTTGAGCAGCAAATCCAGTTCGATTCGCGAAAAATCGACAGTCGCCGGCGACGTTTCGAGCTTCTTCCCCTTTCTACCGCCCATCGTCGTCGAACCGAGGATCAAGCTCGCCTCGACGTTGGCCGTGAAGGCGGTCTTGTCGCCGTCGTGCAGCTCGAGATTCCTCTTCACGCAAAAGCCGTTTTGCATCGCCGGAGACGTCACGCCATTCGTCGTCAAAAACTGAAACCCGACGTACGGTTCGTGATCCTTGTAATCGAAGTTCCCGCTCACCTTCAGCTGCACCGCGTCCAAATCGAACGTCTTCTCGTAAAACACCGTGTGCTTGCGCGTGTCGAGATTAATGTCTCCGTTGAACCACGAATCCGTCACCTTCCACTGCAGGTTGGGCTTGTAATTGAAGACCTCCTTCCCGAACGCCTCGCCATCGTTCGCCGCCTGCAGCGGCACGTCCGTCCCCGCCGTGACGACCACGTCCGGCGCGATCGGTATCCGCAATCGAAACTGCTTTCGAATCCGCAGCAGCACCTCGGGCGCGCTTCCAAACTTGACGTACTTTTGCAGCGAATCGAGCCCGCTCTCCACCTTTCCCGTCAAGTCTTCCAGCGTGTCGACCGCGGCGTCGCGCGCGTCTTCCACGTGCTCGTTCCACGATTGTTGTTTTCGGTTCATCGTCGCCGCGCTCGAGCGTCTCGCGCCTCGCGCCTCGCGTCGGGGCGTCGGGGCGTCTCGGAATCCGGTCGCGCGACCGGACGTCGACCGCGACCGCCCGGACGAGTCGCGAACGGTCGACGCGACCCGCAGACGGCGACGGCGACCCGCGGACGGCGACGGGCGCGATGGACGATAGAAAAAGTGCGCGCGATGACGAGCGATGATGGCGACGACGCGACGACGCGACGCGCGCGAGGGAACGACGCGACGACGCGAGGACTGACGGCGACGACGACGGGACGAATTGCATCGTTTGTAGAAATCGGTATCGGGTTGACGAGCTTTGGATGCGGATTCACCGCGCTCGGGGTGGTGTTTTTCTTCGACCGAGGGTTGTTAGCGATGGGGAATCTGATGTTCCTGTCGGGGGTCACGCTCACGATCGGGCCGAAGCAGACGGTGAAGTTTTTCGTGAGGCCGAGGAACCAACGCGGGGCGTTTTGTTTTCTCTTCGGGCTGGCGTTGGTGCTGTACGGGTGGCCGTTTATCGGGTTATTGGTGGAAGGGTACGGGTTTGTGGCGCTGTTTAGTGCGTTCTTCCCGACGGTTTTGATATTTTTAAAGAGGGTTCCGGTGTTGGGGTCGTTTCTGTCGCTTCCGGGCGTGAAACACGTGACGACGAGCATCATAGGAAAATCGCAAACGCTGCCGGTGTGATCGCGTTCGCGGGGCGAAGGCGGAACTACCTAGAATAATAAGAATCATTGTTGTGAATGGATGAATGTCATAGGGCGTATCTATATCTAGCGTTGTGTCGGCGTTGTCGTGTGTGTGTGCACGCGTGCGCGCGCTCGCGCGATTTACGCGCAGGCGGATGAATCCGCCGTGACGGTGTCGAACGCGGCTTCGTCGTCTTGCGCAGCTAATCGTTCCAGCGCTTCGATCGCGCTCGTACCGAAACCTTTCGGTTCACGGCTGGAGACGGAATCAACCACGAAGTCAAGCGTCACGATAGCCACTGCCGGTGTCGGCAAGCGCTTCGCGAACGGAACGTAAACGTCGGCGTACGGCGCTCGATGCGCGGACTTGTTGGGAGCCATATCGACGACGACGACGACGGGAGAGTTCCTCGGGGACGAGGGCGACAATGAATCGCCGATGTCTTCGATTCGCGTCACCACGGCGCCATCGGCTCGAGCGAATTGCATGTTCATCTCGAGCTGATTCGAGTCGCGAAATTTGCCGAGATAGACGAAGTGCCAGGTCGAGAAAACTTTTGCGCCACCGTTCTCTCGCGCTCGTTTCGGTCCACCGAGATTTCCGCACGAGTCGCCTTGGATCTCGAACGCATCTTCATCCACGCAGCGTTGCTGTTCCAAACACGATTTCACCCACGCGCTGCTCAAGATCCAGCACCCTTGGATGAGCGCTTCGTAAAATTTGGCGCTCTTCTTTCGTAAAACCATGCTTCCGGAATCAACCTTGCCTTTGCCGAAGACGACGTGCGTCGTTTGAGGCGAAAACATCGACTCATAGACGAAGTCAAACTGCTTGCAGAACTTTTCCAATTCCTTCTTTTCGGCGTCAGACAAGAGAGAGCCGCACACGCGAGTCTCGCGCGTCGTCTTGAGAAGTTCGTAGCTGGAATCCGAAGGATCGATGGAAACGAGCGACTTTTGACGCTTTGTCGCAGACTTGCCGTTCGTCGGCGCTTGTGCGCGCTTCAAACTGGGCGCTCTCGTAGCCGGTCGCTGCGCGGGCAGAAGCGCGAGAGGAAGAGTCGAGTGCGCCGGGCACGAAATTGAAAAGTGCTCGCCGTCGTACGTCGTTCCCTGAACCAGTCGCGCGCACCAAATATGATACGATTTCTTGCATCTCGATTCGCTGCACCCCGACGGAGCACCCACTTTCTTGCAGTAGGCACACTTCAGACTTTTCGCTCTCCGGACCTCCGCGCAAACGTTCGTCAAGCCTCCGTCGACTGAGCTCACGACGAGCGGCGCCCAAAGCGCGCACGTCGTGTGACAGTGTTCCACGACCGTTTTCCTCGAAATCTTCTCCTCGAAACGTTCGACGCTTTCCCCAACCTCGCTCCCACGCTTGCAAAACGCGCACGGATGGCGACCCTGGACGGCAGCGTTCGGATCGATCACCGCTCCCGTCCACGGCGCGCGCGTCTCCCTCTCCACCGTCTCCTCCGTCGCCGTCGACGCTTCTTCTAATTCCCCCACCAACTCCTCAAACGCCCCGTTCCCACGTCGCCCACCTCCGTTTTCATCTCCAAACGCATGCGGTAGCGTTGGAAGCTTTCGCATGTTCGCCATGATCTCCTTCAACTGCGACACGCTCGTTCTTCGCTGCGGCGCTCGCGCGTTGTGCTTCCTCAGCTGCGTCGCCGGAATCTGTGACCCATACGGCACTTCCGTCTCCATCACCGACGCCACCGCCGCCAAAACGTTCGTATACGCGCTCACAATCTTCTCAAACCGCTCATCCTTCCGCGACTCTCGCTTCGTGCACGGCGCTCTGCACGTCGGGCACGGCTGTTTCCTATCGAACAACGTCTTCGCGCACGCCGCGCAAAAATAATGCGAGCACGCCAGCTTCGTCGGCTTTTTCGGCAGGCTCAGGCACACCGCGCAGCACAAGTGTTGTCCGAGCGCGTCCAGCGACGTCGTCAGCGTCGTTTTCGCCGTCTCCAGGCACGCGTCCAGCGTCATCCTTCGGTGCCTCGTTTGAATTCAATCGAATGCAATCCACCACCGTTTCCTCGTTTCCGCCTCGTTTCCGCGTCGCGTCGCGTCGCGTCGCGCGCGCGCGTCGACGGCGTCGCGTCGCGTCGCGCGCGCGTCTCGTCGTCCGTCCTCGCGCGCCGTCGCGCGTCGCGCTCTCCCGTCGCGCGCGCCGCCGTCTGTCGCGTCCGAGAGCGTCTTCTCGGACGCGCCGATCGATCGATCGGATCGATCGATCGATCGAATGATCGGCACTCGGCGACGATGATGATGATGGTGAGGACGACGACGACGAGGACGACGACGACGACGACGACGCGCGCGAACGCGCGCGCGACGAAGCGACGAACGACGCGCGTCGCGACGCGCGCGCGCGCGAACGGCGAACGAGGAACGTCGGCGTCGGCGGCGTCGACGTCGCGGGACGACGGGCGTAACCGTATCGGGGAAATCGTCGCGACGACGGCGAGCGCTTTGGCGCTCGCGATGGGCGCGCCGGACGCGCGGGCGATCGACATGCAAATAGTGGATTCGACGACGTCCGAGTACATGCGACGACGGGACGAGGCGGCGAGTTTTAAGTGCTCGGGCGGGATGTTCGATTGCGATTCGGATAGACGAGAGTACGCGCGCGCGCAGACGGAGCGCCTGCGAGCGAGAATCGCGACGAGGGATCCGGAGATGGACGCCGAGGAGGTTTCGCCGTGCACGGTGGAGGATCCGTGCACGGATAACGTGCTGCAGGCGGCGTTGGCGGGGGTGCAAGGCTTGACGACGAGCGAAAAATTGGAAAAGATGGGACGACCGACGGACGCGGTGAATTCGTCGAGTCAGTATTTCGGTTTTTGAAAATGAATGCGGCGTGTAATCGAATCAATCTAAACATCTATGCTTCTATTAGGTGCGTGGCTTCGTCGACCGCGCTGTCTTCCTCGCGCAGCTCGCCCCAAGACGTGCCGACGGCGAGTTTGATTGGCGTCGGCACGGCGAGTTTGATCGCGTTCTCCATGACGTTCTTCACCGCTCGCGCGCACTCTGGGACGTAGTCTTCGTCGACTTCGAACAAAAGTTCGTCGTGGATCTGTGCGACGAGAGTGACGCGCTTTTTATTCACTGATCCCGGCGCGACGTCGTTTGCAAATCTTCCCGCGCCGACGGCGCTCGTCCATCGCAGCATCGCCGTCTTCATCATGTCCGCGGCTGTTCCTTGAATGATCGTATTCACAGCTTGCCTTTGCGCCTCGCTGCGTTCGCTGAAGACTTTGGAGTGGATTTTCGGCAACGCGCGATGTCGACCGGACATCGGAAGCGTCACCGCTCCGGTTTGTTCCGCGCGTTGCAACACGCGAGTTATCCATTGATTCACCTTTGGAAACGCTCGATGAAACGCGGCGATGTATCCCTGCGCCTCGCTCTTCGGTACGCCGAGTTTTTCGGCCAAACCCGTGGCGTGTTGGCCGTACACGATTCCGTACGCCGTGCGCTTGGCGATGTCACGCGTGCTCTTTTCCGCTGGCGCGTCGAGCGGTAAGCCTTTACCGGCGTTCCAAATCGCCACGAACACGTCGCCTTTCGCCTGTCGTAACAGCGATATGAGGCGATCATCGCCGCTCAAGTGTGCCAAAACTCGCAGTTCAATTTGACTGTAATCCGCCGCGATGAATGTGCGCCCGGTGGGTGCGACGAAGCAGTTTCGCATCGTTCCCCGACCTACTTGCTGAATGTTAGGATGACTCGAGGACAATCTCCCGGTCGCCGTCTTTGTGTTGTTCCATTGCGTGTGAATTCTGGCGCGACCGTCGGCGGCGATGACGGCTGATTTGTCGTAATTGTCGCACATCGCTCTTTCTTTCAACGCGCCTCGATGATTCAACACGATTTGTGCGAAATGATGATGCTTCACTAGCGACTGCAGGACTTCGACACTCGTCGATAAATGGCTCGACTTGGAACCTTTCATCGCGTGCGCGCTCGGCGTCGGTAGCTTGAGCTTGTTATACAAGACGTCGGCGACTTGCTGCGCGCTCGCCAAATTGATGTCGACTCCGATGCACTTTTGGGCCTCGCGCTCAAGCTCTTCGACGCGACGATTCGCGGCCCGTCTCTGCTCGTCCGCGCGCGTCCGATCGAACCCAACACCGTGGTGTTGAAGCACGCCGAGAGCGACTGCGACTTTGGCTTCGACGTCTCGCGCGAGCGGGGCGTCGCCTCGAGGGACGAACGAAAGCGCCGCGGTCAAGTCGGATTGAAAACACCCGAGCGCGTCGCTCCATGATGCATCTTTACACGCGCCCGTGTCCGCGATGCCCCCATCGTAGGCGCGATCGGGATTGGCCAACCACGCGTCGATGCGACAATCGACGACGCGCGTCGTCGACGCGTCCACGCCAGTCACGCCCGCGTCCATCGCCGCGTGAACGATGTCTTGCGCGTGATACGTCACAACTCGACACTTCGCAAAAATCTTTTCTAAACGCGCTCTCGTCGTCGCGCGGTTCGCGGCGCGCAAAAAAAACGCCTCTCCCGTCGACGCCATCACCGCGCCGAAACCGAGCACCGCTCGATCGACGGCGGACGCGTCGTCGTCGTCGCCATCGTCAGCATCACCACCGACCGCCGAAAGAGTCGCGAAGCGTTTCGCCGCCTTTTTCGCCGCCTTCTTTTCGTTCGCATCGACGTCACGAAAATTCGAACTGTACCCGAACCAAATCTCCAAGTCTCCCGCCACGCGCGCGACGTCTCTTCGCAGCACGCCGAGCGCGCACGTCGCGTCCTCGCCGCCATCCTCCAACGCTCGATCGAACGCCTCTCCGCTGTGGTCCGCATCGCACCACGCCGCATTTTTCTCGAAATCAATCCCCTCCATCGCGTCTCCTCGTCCGGTCTCGAACGCCAACGCCATCGCCTCCGCCTCCGCGCTCGGTTTCGCCTTCGCCTTCGCCTTCGCCTTCGCCTTCGCGCGTCGCTTCTCGCCGCCGCCGCGCGTCGTCGTCGTCGTCGTCGTCGCCGGGCGTTTCCGCGTCGCCGACGCGTCGGCGTCGACGAACACCGGCGCGACGGTCGTCGTCGTCGTCGTTTCCGTCGCGTCGCCGGGCGGCGGTTTGGTTTTCCATCGCCATCGAAACGTCGCCATCGCGCGCCGTCGCGTCGCGCGCGCCGCTCGCGCGTCGCGACGCCGCGAGAACTACGCGCGATGCGCCTCGCGCGCGCGCGTGACGGCGTCGGCGCGCGATGGCGTCGCGTCGCGTCGTCGCATCGTCGTCGCGAAGTGCGGTGACGCGCGCGTCACATCGAAGCGACGCGCGCGTTCGCCGCGCGACGCTTCGACGGACGCGACGGACGCGCGCGCGCGCGTCTTCAGCGCGCGCGTCGTCGTCGCGTGCGCGATCGCGATCGCGATGGCGTCCGGACGCGCCGGGACGCCGGCGGCGACGCTCGGGACGCTGCGCGCGCACGACGCGAAGCGCGCGCTCGCGGTGGATCGGTTGATCCTGGGGGCGTCGCCGCTGGCGGGAATATACCGCGGCGTCGACGCGAGCGAGGCCGCGGCGACGGTGCGCGCGGCGCTCGACGTCGGGTTCACGCGGTTCGACACGGCGCCGCACTACGGGTTGGGGCTGAGCGAGACGCGCCTGGGCGAGGCGCTGCGAACGCACGCGAAGAAGGCGGTGAAGGTGTACACCAAGGTGGGAAGGGTGATGAAACCGATGGATGAAGTGACGGAAAGCGAACGCGAGTCGGTGGTCGAGTGGGGGAACGTGCCGGGAAACGACGGGTGCATATTTCCAGACGCCCCGCGAGACGTGTTGCCCGTGCTCGATTATTCCGCGAATGGGTTCGTGCGATCGCACGCCGATAGTTTAAACAGGCTTGGGATTGATAGAATAGAGGGATTGAGGATTCACGACGCCGAGACGCCCGAAAGGTTCGAGGCGGCGACGACCGGGGGCGGCGTGCGCGCGTTGACGGCGCTTCGCGACGCGGGAACCATTTCAGAGGTATCGCTCGGGATGAACGACGCCTCGTACGTGTTGCGAATGATTCGCGAGAATCCCCCAGGAACGTTCGACTCGGTCATGATGGCCGGTTCGTGGAACTTGCTCGATCAAGACGGTCTCGAAGTCTTGCTCGAGTGCCAAGCGCGAAACATCAAGGTGCACAACGCCGGCGTCTTCGCCAGCGGCGTCCTCGTCGGCGGTTCGCACTACAAGTACGGCCCCGCTCCCGACGAGATCAAGCGGCGCACCGAAAAGTGGAACGTCTTGGCGCGCGCGTACGACATCCCTCTCCCCGCCATCGCCCTCGCCTTCGCCCTCACTCCCGAAGTCGTCGACTCGTGCGCCGTCGGCGTCAAGTCCCCCGACGAGGTCGCCCAATCCGTCGCCTGGCTCGCCGACGCCGCCCGCGTCCCGCGCCAGCTTTGGCTCGACGCGTTTTCTCAAGGTTTACTCGCGTGGATCCCGTCCTAGGCCCTCGTTCGTCGCGACGACCACGTAATTCAGAAACTTTCGGAAACGCTCGTGCCCACACCCGATCTCGCCTTTTCGCGCGCGAAGATCTCCGCTGACGGGGATCGATCTGGGGAACATTTCGACACATCGCGACGCGCGGTGATGCGCGCGACGACGCGCGCGCCCTCGCGACCGCCGAGTCGGTTGCGGCGATCGTCCGTCGACGCGCGCGACGACGCGCGCGCGCGCGCGTCGTCGTCGTCGTCGTCGACGTCGTCGGAGGGACGGCATCGCATCTCCGCGCGCGACGCATCGTTCGGCGCGGGCGAACGAGACGCGGGCGACGACGCGCGCGCGGCGACGCGAGATGACTGCGCGATGATGGAAGACGACGCGCGAACGTACGAGACGGACGATAGCGACGGGAGCGACACGGTGACGGCGCTGATCGAGAGAACGACGGAGACGGAGAAGATTACGCGAGATTACTGCGCGACGGAGGATTCGGCGCGCGAGCGAACGGGAGACGCGAACGCGAGCGATGCGATGATCGAGGCGTTGGAGGGGAAGATAAAGGCGTGCGAAGGCGCGAGCGCGTCTGGGAAGGGGGCACAGGCGCTGTATGCGAAGAAAGCGGCGGCGGAGACGGCGTTGGGGAAACTCTCCGACGCGTTGACTTCGTCTAAAAGAGTGATCGAGATAGCGCCGCTCTGGTTTCGTGGTTACGTGCTGCTCTCCGAAGTGACGTTGCGACAGTGTTGCGACTCATCATCGGTGAACGACGTGGACGCGGCGAAAGAAATCGCAAAGGCGGCGCTCGAGAGAGCGCTTTTTTTGGAACCAAACGTCTCGAAAGATTCAAAGTTTCTTAGTTTATGCGCGAAAATTGGCGCCATGTCGGCTTCATAGGTCGCCGGCGCGCGGGTCGACATTTAGGTTACGACGATAAGACGCGTCTTATCACACGTCGCGTCTTTCGTCCAGTTTTGCTAGCACTACTCTCTTCTAATACACGTTTTGACTGGTTGTACTAAGCCGCTCTTCGATCGATCACTCGAGCGACAGATTGCTCATGTCTGGTTCATCGCCGTGCTCCACGTCTCTGCTCGTGCGCACGTCCGCGTCTTCGCCGTAACCGATGGCGCAATCGCACTGATACAGCATGAATTGCAAACTGTCTTCGTCGGAAATGTCCAGCGGTACGAATGAAATCAGGGAAAAATCCTCCATGACGCTCGCGATCGCGCGATTGAGCTTGCGATACTTTGGATCCATTCTTTCATCGAGCTCGTCCGCCAACGCGGTGTGATCTGGGGTGAGATATGGGTCCAAAACCGTCTTGTCCTCCAACATGTCCACCTTGCTGAACACGTTGACGTGCGGCAGCTCCAAATGCAACATCGCGCTCTGCGCTTGCAAGCATCCGGCGATAAATTTCGAGCCGTCGGTGATAAATTGCGAATCGAGCACGTACACGCACACCATTCGCCACCCCCAGTTCATCATCTGTTTCGTGAACGATCGAAACGCCGTGTGATGCGAGTACAGCTCGAGTTGCCCGGGGCAATCGAAGATCACCATGTCGTCCTCCGTGTACCCTTCCAGCTGTTCGGCCAGCCAATCGTCCATGTTATCCTCGAAGTACTCCATGCAGAACATGAGCGCGCCGTTCGGGCCGAGGTCTTCCTCCTCCATGACGTCTTCGAGGGAGATGAGTTCGCGAACGTCCGCAGTCACCGGGTAGCGGAAGTCGTCCGCCGCCGGGTCGAGGTTGATCACGTGCACCGTTCGACCGATCGAGGCGCAGTGCTGATGGATGTTGTAACAGTACGTCGATTTACCCGAACCCGCGGGACCGACGACGAGTTGAGCGTACGGCATGGCGGCTGACGAGACGCGAGCGAGGCGACGACTGAGGCGACGACGACGACCGAGGGGCGACTGTCGCGGGGATTTTGATACAAACAAAATGCGTCGAATTGATGATGAGAATAGAGACGCGCGAATCGAATAGAGCTACAGCCTATCCTTACGTTTGCGTCCGGTAAATTTGCTATCGCTTGCGACTTGGACGCCGCGATTTCTGTACTGCTCCTTCTTCTTGTGCACCCACGCTTTGCCTTTGATATTCTTCCCTTTCTTGTACTTCCCGCTCCTATCGCTCTTTCTTCCGTCCATGCGCATTCCTCGTCGCTCGATGTCGTCGTCATCGTCGAACTCTCCCTTCGGCGTCGGCAACTGTTCGGGCGGACCCGCGGCGAGGGCTAAGAAATACTTCTTCGCGCGCGTGGAGTTTGGATAATCCACGACTAAACCACCGCTAAATCCAACGCGAAGCGCCGCCGTCGTGATCATCTCCGCCTGCCTCGGCCCATCGGGGTAGATTTGTAAAATCGCCTTGGCGCCGCGTTTCAGGCTCTTGTACAACTGCGTGAAAAACGTCTTCAATCTTCTTTGCGGCACGTGCGCGCTGTTATCGGCGTTGCACAACCACTGCACCGCGGAAATACTCACGCACCCATCGAATACGCCCGGTCGAAACGGCACTCCGTGTCCCATATCATTCCTCAACACGTCTCCCTCCACCTCGCGCTCCTTCGCCACCTCCAGCATGCTCGCCGACAAATCCATTCCGATCCATTCGTGTCCGAGCTCGGTCAAGCGATCGCCCGACAGCCCGCTCCCGCATCCAACATCGAGCAATAACCTCGGGACGCCGTCGTCCGGGAAGTTTAACAGCTCCACCGCGCGTTCGGTGAGCCGCTCTTGAATCTCCACCACGCGCGAGCTCTGCGAGTACTTTCGAGCCTCGGTGTCGTTATAAAACACGTCCGCGGGCGCGGTGAGCTCGGGACGAGACATCTGTGACCGTGTTCGTCCTTCTCACGACGCGTCGCGCGCGCACACGTCCGCGTCGCGGTGTGCGACGACGCGAAAGTGCTCGGTGCGTGGCGGCGGCGTTTTCCGGTGCGGTCGATCGAAGCCGCATCGCGCGCCGCATCGCGCGCGTTTTCGACGTTCGCGCGCGCAACGCAGCGTGAGCGCACGCTGAGCGCACTCGACGTTCTCGATGGCGTCCATCGCCGGCGTGGACGACACGCTGGACGTCGACGCGACGGACGTGGTGAAAATCATCCTGCAGTGGGCGAGAGAATCCGGACTCGACGCCACGCACGCGGCGCTGTCCGCGGAGACGAACACGTCGTTGAACGCGATTGAAGACGTGGATGCGTTTAAACGCGACGTCACGCACGGAAGGTGGGACGCGGTGCTGCCACAGTTGGCGAAACTGCGACTGCCCAAGAATGTGCTGGAGGATGCGTACGAGCACGTGACGCTGGAGATGTGCGAACTGGGTGAACAAGACACCGCACGGGCGATTCTGAGGCAATCAAACGTCATGCGAGTGATGAAAGAGGAACAGAGTCGGCGGTACGGACGATTAGAGCATTACGTGAGCGCGAGGACGTTCACCGCGGAGGACGCGTACGCGGGGACGACGAAGGAAAAGCGACGGGAAAAGTTAGCCGAGGCGCTCTTGCGAGAGGTGGTCGTCGTGCCGCCGTCGAGATTGTTGGCGCTCATCGGCCAGGCGTTGAAATGGCAGAAGAGCACTGGGGCGCTGCCGCCTGGGACGGCGTTTGATTTGTTTCGAGGCCAAGCGCAGGTGGAGGAGGAAGAGGAAGAGCAGTGTCCGACGACGTCGCACAAGAGGATCAAGTTTTCCAAAAAGTCCTTCCCCGAGTGCGCGCGATTCAGTCCTTGCGGTGGTATGTTGGCCACGGGTTCGGCGGATGGATTCATAGAGATTTGGGATCCGTACAGTGGTAAGTTGAGAAAGGATTTGAAGTATCAGGCGGAGGATACGTTGATGATGCACGACGACGCCGTGCTCGCGCTCGCCTTTAGCCAAGACTCCGATATGCTCGCTTCGGGTTCACAAGATGGTAAGATCAAGGTCTGGCGCGTGAGCACGGGTACGTGTTTGAGAAAATTCGAAAAAGCTCATCAAGGCGGCGTCACGAGCGTCACCTTTAGCAAGGATGGTTCGCAGGTGCTCAGCGGATCTTTCGACGGTCTCGTTCGAGTGCACGGATTAAAGAGCGGTAAATTATTGAAAGAGTTTAGAGGGCATACGTCGTATGTGAACTCGGTGGCTTTCACAGAAGATGAGACGGATGTCGTCTCTGCGTCGAGCGACGGTTCAGTCAAGGTCTGGGACGCGAAGACGTCCGAGTGCAAGTGCACTTTCAAGCCGCCACCGCCGGTTAATCCGAACAAAGACGATGACGAAGAGACATATCAAACTGGTACAGTCCCAGCCGTGTTGTCTGCGATTCCACATCCGAAAAATGACGCACAAATTATCGTCACTTCGAAATCAAACGCCGTCGTCGTGTGCACGCTCGCGGGCGACGTCGTGGAAACGTACTGGACGAACAAGACCGCGCTACCGCACACCATCGTCGCGGCGACGCCTTCACCGCGAGGTGAATGGATTTACGCCACGAGCGAAATCGGTGAACTGTATTGCTTTAGCACCGAAACCAAAAAGCTCGAGTCCACCGTCTTCAACCTGCACGAGAGCTCCACGCTCGGCGTCGCTCACCATCCTCGAAGAAACCTCGTCGCCACGTTTAGCTCTATCGGCGAACTCAAGACTTGGAAACCGTGAGCGCTGATCCCGTTAAAATTTGTATCTCATTAGTTGGAATGCGTATCGTCGCGAGAGACGCTCGAATCCGACCTCGCCGTTCTCCAGTCTCGTCGTCGCGGCAACAACACTTAGACTTCACTTCCACGCGCTGATCTCGCGCTCCATGGACGGTCACTACCGCAAAAATGCAAAATCCATCGAAGGCATGATTCGGCGCGCTTCTACGAAAGAGAAAGCCGCGGTCGCGTGCTCGGTGGTCACACTGATCCTCCTCGCGATGCGCTTCTTCATCACCGATCACGACGTGCTCTTCTTGCTCGCCGAGTTCGTGCACTTCGTCGGAATCGGGTTTCTGGCGTACAAGCTGCTGAAACATAAAAACTGCACCGGATTGAGCCTGAAGACGCAGCAGTTGACGGCGGCATTCCTTGCGATTCGGTTGTATTGTTCGTTGATGATGGAGTACGACTGGCACACGCTGTTGGACGCGTTGACGTTGGCGGCGACGATATGGGTGTGTAAGATGATGAAGACGAGCGTGCGGACGACGTATAATGAAAATTTAGATCCAACGCCGCTGGCGATCATCGTCGGGCCGTGCGTGGTGTTGGCGGTGTTCGCGCACCCGACGACGCGACACTGGTGGATTAATCGCGTGGCGTGGGCGACGTGCGTGTACTTGGAGGCGATCAGCGTGCTCCCGCAGTTACAGATGATGCAAAAGGCGAGGGTAGTGGAGAGGTTTACGGCGAATTACGTGTTCGCGTTAGGCGTGGCGCGATTTTTGTCGTGCGCGCACTGGATTTTGCAAGTGTTTGACGGGAAATCATACTTGCAGACGGCGCTCGGCAAAGGGATCTGGCCGGTGATGGTGTTGGTCAGCGAGATCGTGCAGACGGGAATTTTAGCTGATTTCTGTTACTACTACGTCTTGTCTTTTGCGCAGGGAGACGCCAACGTCCACCTTCCTGTGTGACGAACTTGTGTCATAATCAGTTGCTCCATCAAATTAAAAACGCGCTACGCGACGTTATCGTGTCCTACGTTCGCCACGATGACCGATGCCTTCGGTGCTATCTTTTCTAAAGTTAACCTCACCGTGCAATCGTACTTGACGTGCGCGCCGGGGCACTCGAGCAACAAACACTGCTCGATCGAAGACAAGTCTTTTCCTTGTGCCACCATTCGAGCGAACACGACTTGCAACGGACTCATCGACGGATTGTACGCGGCGCATTCCAGCGACCATCCTACGAACACTCCACCACAGCTCGTTTTGATCGCAATACCAGCGCGCGATGAGCTATAAGGCGCGTACGCTTTACGCATCGCCTCGAGCGCGAGCGGCACCAGCGCGTTCCAGTCGTCGCCGTGACGCTCCAGCAAGTGCGTCAACGGCATCAAGTCAGCCGACGGAGGCACCTTCTCTCCGTGCACGTAAGCTAACGTAGCGAATTGTGCGTTCATACCAGAATCATCGACCCACGACTTTTCCAACAGCAGCGTTCTCGCGCTCTCGTCCTCGCCGTCGTCTAACAAATCCATCGGCCCAAACGCGTGCGGCAAAAGCTCCGCCAGCGGCGACCGCCACTTCCTCGTCACGCACCGCAAGCCCCCGGCGTCGCGTAATTCATTCATAAATTGTCTACAGTGTCCACACGGCGCCTCCGTGGTCGCGATGGCTTCTACTTTCCGTTCCTCGTTCGCCATCGCCGTGACGAGCGCAAACTGCTCCGCGTGTATGGAGTGATTCAGCGGTACCGCGCTGATTTCCACGTTCACCCCCAAGTACACGTTCCCGCTCGCCCCTCGAGCCGCGGCGCCGACGTGAAATCGACTCGTCGGCGGTCTGGCGTACCTCGACACGCTCTGCGCGAACCGCAGGAGCAACGCATCCGCGTCATCGGTGGATAGCGCGCGCCGCGTCGTGCTCACGACGCTCTCGAGAACGACAAAGCTCCCTCGAGCGACGGCGTCGTCGACGACGCGCGCGACGATGTCTTCGTGCGCGTCCGCGGGCATCGCGCGCGAGCGAGCGCCGAGACGACGTGTGACGACGGCGCGTCCAGAAGGAAATATTCAATGAAAAATGTGCTATGGCGTGCTCGCGTCGCGACGGCGCGTTTACTCGGAAGGGGCTTCGATCGGCGCTTGGTCGACGGCGGGCTTCGTTTCGTTGACGAGATTTTCGGCGCCGTCGACGATCTTCATGGAGATGATCTCGTCGTCGACCTTGAGATCGCGCAGGAGCTCTTGGTTCTCGACGACGTAACCGAAGATGGAGTAGCGACCGTCCAAAATGTTGGTGCCGGACGGCGTGAGTTCGGATTCGCGAAGGAGGAAGAAGAACTGGGACGACGCCGAGTTCGGTTCCGCTTCGCGACGCGCCATCGCGAGCGTACCGAACGCGTTGAACGGCAGCACCGGCTGGTCGCGGTAACGGCCGAGTTCCTCCAGCGTCAACTCGTATTCCGGCACCTTGTCGCCTTGCACCATGATTTCCAGAGGAACCGTGCGCTCGACGCCGCCAAGCTTGAAACCGTCACCGCCCTTCGGCTTACCGCTTTGTACGACGAAACCATCGGAGCGCTGGATCGGCATCTTGTCGTAAAAACCCAAGTTGATCAAATCGGCAAAGTTACCCGCGCTCACCGGGGCGTTGTAACCGTCGAGGACGATCTTCAACACGCCGCCATCCGTGTTCGCGTTGTCCTTGATTTTCACCAGCATGTCCACCGTCGCCCGACCCTTCAACAACGGCCTGTCCGCGTATTGCGCGGGGACGTCAAATGGGAAACCATCAATCATATCTTCCTCGATGCGACCGACGAGCGAGAGCGCCTCTTGTTGCTGCAACGGCACCTCTTGCTTGTCCTTTTGAGCGACGATGACTTGGAAATCCGTCAACACACTCTCGAGCTCTTTCAATGCCTGCTCACCGTCCGCCTTCTTCCCCGACGCGAGAGCCTCAACGATCTTACCGCGTTGCTCCTTGACAATCTTCAAAGAGCCGTTCACGCTCGATTCGACGCCGGAGAATTTCACTCCCGGCACGCGCAAGTCGTCGCTGATGCTCTCGAGCTTCTTCTGAATGGCGCGAATCGGCTTATTGCTCACCGGCAACGCGTTTCGCAACAGCGCCTTGGCGTTCGTGATGGGATTCGCTTCCAATCCAGCGACTTGGCCGATCTCCATCGGCGTCACCGGCGACGCGAACGCTTCCAGAGTCGGCGCGGAGACGCACGCCGTCGCGGCGATCGCCATCAAACTCTTCGCGATCGATTTCGCCGCGCTCGGGGCGTCTTCGCCCGCAGCGTGCGCGCGCACGACGGTCAACGCGCTTTGCTTGCGCGTGTTGACTGTTTTCGCGCGCAAAGCGCGCGCTGGGCGCGCGCACGCGCGTCCGATGGTGGGTGACGTCGACCCCGGCATTTTGGATAAAGTCGTCCTTTACGAGCGTCCACCAACGCGCTGAGTCGCACGAACGCGCTCGGGCGCGACGAAAAGCGCGTCGAAGCGAGTTTCCGTCTTCGGAGTCGTGCTGCGACGAGCGCGCGCGAATGTGCGGTCGCCCCGCGCGCGCGCCGCGGTTTTCGCAAACTATCGGCTACTCTAACGCTACAAACTCTAGACGCGCGCGTCGTCACCTGCGCCCGGCGGGCTCGCGATACGCCCTATTCGCGCGATACAACGCGTAGATTTCATCCCCTCCGATCGACGCGTCCGTCGGGCGGCTGCCCAGTCCCGCGCGCGCGGGTCCGTCTGTCTCGCGCGCGTTCGCCGTCGGCGCCGCGCGCGTCGGCGCCGCCGCCGTCCCCGCCCGACCGCGTTCCGACGCCCGCGCGCGCTCATCGTGCTCCAACATCGATTTCGCCGACGCCGAGGCGTCGTATCCGCGCACGTCGCGATCGAACCGCTCGAGTCGACGCTCGACGTACGCTCGCGGCGGTTCCCGCGCCGCCCTCGTCGTCGTCGCCTCCACCGCGCGGTACAGCCCCGCGACGCCCGCGTTCGCGCGTCGCGCGCGCATCGCGAGCGTCCCGACCGCCGTTCCCGTCCCGCGCGTCTCGCGCGTCGTCGCGCGCGCGTCGAGATCGATCTCGTTCGCGTCGCCCGCGCCCGAGTCTCGCGCGTCGTCCCGCGCGCGCGCCCCGAGCGCCGCCGCGATGCGCTCGGCGCGCCTGCGCGCCTCCTCCACCATCGCGCTCGCGGGCGCGGGCTCCATCGCGCGCGGCGCGTCGCCGCGTCGCCGCGTCGTCGGCGCGCTGTGTCGACGCCGTGTCATTTCATGTCGCGCGCGTCGCGGCTCGTCTCGCTCGCCCCGCGCGCTCGCGTCGCGCGCCGACGCGCGACGCGCGCGATGGCGGGACCGCCGACGCCCGCGCGACCGCTCGGGCGCGTCGCGCGCGGCGCGGCGACGGCGAGGGTGAAGATCGACGCGTGGTTGGACTTTGCGTGCCCGTTTTCGGGACGGTTTTGGAGAAACTGCACGGCGGCGTGGGCGAGTTACGACGGGAAAGCGGACGTCGCGATCGTCGTGTACAATCAACCGCAACCGTGGCACGCGCAGAGCGCGCTGGCGCACGAGGTGTCGTTGGGGGTGGAACGACTGCGCGGCGAGGACGCGTTCGTCGCGTTTTGCGAGGCGGCGTTTAGCGAGAAAAACTGGGACAAGTTCACGGATAAGTTCACGGAAAAGATGACCAAGGGGGAGATGTACGATTTGTACGTCGACGTCGCGCGCGAGGCGATGACGGGCGCGATGGGCGCGGACGCCGCGGCGTCGACGGCGGGCGAAGTGCGAAAACTTTTGGAATTGGACGCCGAGGCGTTGGCGCGCGGGGAGAAGAATCCGGGCAACGCGATGACGCAGCAGTTGAAGTTTTACGTCAAACTCGGACGGCAAACGGGCGTGCACGTGTCGCCGAGCGCGTACGTGAACGGACTGTTCGCGGATACCTCGAGCGGGTGGAGCGAGAGCGAGTGGCACGCGTTTTTCGACGCCGCGCGTGGCAAGTGAGCGCAGCGATCATCGCGCCGCAGCTTCTCGTCAGTCTTAGCGAATGCCTTTTAAACTCTAATTACAGACAAAGCGAGATAACATCACGGATCCTCTGACTTTTCTTCGTTCGCCTCGGCGGCGTCGCGTTCGGCGAGCTCCGCCTTGGCCTGGTCGAGCAGATCCTTGCCGTCGAAATAATCCAGCGTCTTTTGTCCGGCGAGCGCGATCAATCCGACGCCGTTCGCCGCGTACACGAACGTGGCCAAGTACGTCAGCCCCTCGACGATCGTGCGCACGGTGATGGAAATTTGTCGCACCGTCTCGCTCTCCGGCAGCGCCTTCCCGTCGAACGACGCGCTCACCTTGGACGCGAACGCGTACAGCACGACAGAGATCCCGATCCCCGTCAAACCTCCGGTAAAACTCTGCATCGCCGTCAGCTCTTTCGTCTTCTTCGCGCGCTCTTCGTCGATTTTCGCTCGTTCCTCCTCCGGCAACCTATTCGCCACGCGAAACTCCCTCGCCTTCCCGCTTCGCTTCTGCACCGCGCGCGCAAAGTACCAGAACGAAAACCCCGTGAACAGGACGCCGAACACGTTCTGCAGCGGCGTCGCCTCTTCCGTGGGCACGCCGTACGAGTCGTACACCCCCGCGACGGCGACGCCGCCGTCGACCGCCGCGACCCACGCCGCCGCCGCCGCCGCGCGCGCCGTCGCCGTCGCCGTCGCCCGCCCTCGCGCGCGCGCGTCCGCGTCCGCGCGCGCGACGCCGTTTCTCGCGTCACCGTCCTCGTCCGCGCGCGTCGTCGTCGTCGTCGCCGTCGTCGCGCGCGTCGTCGTCCTCATCTTTCGTTCGCCGTCGCCGCGCGTCGCCGTCCACCGTCGCGTCGCGCGCGCGCGTCGCGCCGCGGGCGCCGCGCGCGCGCGCGCGCGCGCGCCCGTCCGCGCCCGCATCGCCCCGTCTCGCGTTCGCGCGCGCGTGTGCGGCGCGCCCGCGCGGCGCCGCGTCACATCGAGTCGCGCCGTCGTCGATCGATGTCGCGCGACGCCGACGCGCGCGGGCGCGCGGTGTACGTCGGGAACCTGCCGCTCGACGCGTCGTCGCGCGACGTCGACCGACGGTTCGCGGCGCACGGCGTCGTGGCGCGCGTCGAGGTCAAGCGACCGCGACATCCGCCGGCGTTCGCGTTCGTGACGTTCGACGACGCGCGCGACGCCGAGCGCGCGGCGCGGGCGGAGGACGGGACGACGTTCGATGGGAGACGCGTGCGCGCGGAGCTGGCGCGGGGACGACGGGACGGCGGGAGGGAGAGGGAGAGGGAGAGGGAGAGGGAGGCGCGCGGCGACTGGGACCGCGGCGACCGGGACGACGGCGACGGGCGCGATAGATACGCGGGACGGATGCGAAGCGATCGAGAGGGGCCGTACGATCGACCGCGATGGCGCGATGGCGCGGACGCGCGATCGATGGTGCGGGAGCGCGCGGCGACGCGAAAGACGGAGCATTCGGTGAAGGTGGAGGATTTGCCGCGAGGCGCGGATTGGCGAGACGTGAAGGACGCGTTTCGACGCGCGGGACGGGTGACGTACGCGAGCACGTTCGTCGATCGCGATGGACGGAGGTGCGCGGAGGTACACTTTGAGAGCGCGGACGACGTCGAACGAGCGATCGACGCGTTCGACGATAGGGAGTTTGAGATTTCCGGCGGCGCGCGCGAGTACGTGCGGGTGTTTCGTCGAGCGCCGAGACGTCGTCGAGAGGGCGGGCATCGACCGCGGAGTTACTCGCGCGAGCGGTACTCCGATGACCGCGTCCGGCGCGCGCGAAGTCGCAGCCGTAGCTTCAGCCGTAGCTTCAGCCGGTCGCGCAGCCGCAGTCGCGACGAACGCGACGACGGCCCGTCGCGGAGCCCGTCGCCCGAAATCATCGAGCGACGCCGCTCGCGCAGCAGAACGCCGTCGCGGCGCGACGACGATTCGCCTCGGCGCGGGCGGTCGCCCACGCCGCGGGGCGCGCGATCGCGCGAGCCCTCATTCGACGACCTCGCGGCGAACGATTAACGAACGATTCAATTTCTAAAATTCTTCACAAAATCACTTCATCTTTTCAATCGCCGCTCGACAGTCGACGCTCGCGCCGCGTCCTTTCCCTCGCTCGAACGCCTCGAGCACGCGCCAAATCAACGCCTCGTACTCATCCTCTAAAAACTCCCCATCCTCCGTCACGAACTCTTCGCACCGCACGTCGCATCGCACCGCGTCCTTCGCCTCGCACTTCCCGTCGCTCTTCGCGCTCACGATCACCTCGAGCGTCTCCGCCAGTCGCGCGCACCGCACGTGCACCGTCAGCCCATCCTTCGACCGTTCGTTTCTCGCCCACGCCGCCGGTTCGCGTCCATCGCAATCCACCCCTCGCGCTCGCGTCAGCAGCAGCGCGTCTCGCTCCGCGTACTTCGCCACGCACGGCGCCCCGCACGCCAGCGCCCCGTACGCCGCCGCGCACGCCCATCGCGTCGCGTCGTTCGTCATCGTCACCGCGTGCGCCGCGCACGCCGCGCCGATCGCCGCGATCGACAGCGCGATCTTCGCGTCCACCGTGCGCGTGTCCTCGTCGTAGCCCGCGTCGAGGACCGCGCACACCGTCGCGTCGTCGTACGCGCGCCGCACCGCGACGTGGTCGTACACGTTCGAGATCGGCGTCGCCATCGCGCGTCGCGGTCGCGATCGAGCGTCGCGATTTCGGGGTCGCGCGCGTCGTGCGCAGCGCGCGTCGCGCGGCGCTCGCGCGCGTCGTCGCGCGCGCGCGTGTGCGGGACGGCGTCGAACGCGTTCGCGACGCCATCGCGCGCGTCCCGCACACGCGCGCGCGGCGTCGCGCTCGATCGCGCTCGATCGCGCTCGATCGCGCGCCGCGACGCGGCGTCGAACGCGGCGCGCGCGCGATGGCGCGCGAGCGACGCAGGGACGACGTGACGCTGCCGCGAGCGACGAAACTCGCGCTGATTCGCTTCCCGGGATACGTCGACGACGTCGACGCGTGCGAACGGATGCTGGGCGGACGCGCGGCGCTGTCCGAGGCGTGCTTTCCGAGAGAAACCTCGCGGCGACGCGCGGCGGGAGGGCGCGCGACGTCGGAGGACGGCGCGACGACGGGGCGACGACGACGGGACGGCGGGCGGTTGGAGCTGCGATTCGCGAACGCGAACGCGAACGCGAAGGCGAAGGCGAACGGGCGTCGGTCGGTGGCGTACGGCGAACGAAGGGAGACGCGGTCGATCGTGTTGAAAATGACGGAACGCGCGGACGCGAACGGCGGGACGAGGACGGAGGTGGAGGCGATCGGGTTGGCGCGGCGAGTGTTTTTGTTTCGAGGCGCGGCGGATTTCGGACGACGAAACGAGGGACGAGACGACGACGCGGGACGACGGGACGCGGTTGACGGGGTGAAGTGGTTGAAGGATGCGAAGGGAGGGGCGAACGATCCGTTCGAGCTCGGGAACGAGGGCGATGGGGGGGTCGGGGGGATGGGCGCGACGTCGCTGCGGCCGCCGTTGTACACGCGAGACGACATTCCCGTGGCGAATTATTTTGAGCAAAACGATACGGGGGCGACGACGACGCGGGAGGTTGATTTCCACGAGATCGCGGTGCCTACTCGAGGTTTGGCGATGGAAGACGCCTCGAGCGCGGCGGTGAGCGCGATGCGGGCGTTGATGGAAGAGAGAGACGTTTGGGCGCCGCTCGCGGCGTTGGCGCGTCTGCCGAAATCGTTGGCGGACGAAATCGTTTCGCGAAAGCTTCACGCGACGACGTGTTATCAGTTCTCGAGCGGGCCTTTTAAGAAGTCGTGGATTAAAGTCGGCGTCGACCCGCGATTTGATAGGACGTACGTGCGTCATCAAACCGTGACGCTTCGATTACCCGCGAATTGGTTTCGGGACGACGACGAAGAGGGCGCGCGTCGCAAAGAGCGATTCTCCCTCAGCTCGCGCGCCGATCGCGGATATCACGCCGCCATTCACGGGTTTCGAGCGATACCGGACGCGAGACACCCAGTCTTATCGCTCGCTGATATCGATCTGCCGAGCGTGCGCGCCGCGGTGGAACGCGCGGCGACGTGCGAGGACCCGCCGAGCGCGTGCGACGAGCGTCGCGGCTGGCTATCCGCCGCGCTTCATCGCAAGATCCAGCGCGCCATACTTCGCGGCTACCAAACATTGCTGAACGGTGGTGACCCGATCGCCGTCGACGAAGCCTCGATGGCCGACGCGGACGACGCCGCGGTGGACGACGATTTCATCGCGAACGACGCCGCCGCGCCCAAAGTCGCCGCCGACGACGACGAAGGCGACGAGTACGAAATTCTCGCCGGCGACGATGATTCCGGCGACGACGACATCGCGTAGAAATAGATTGTGTAACGAAATAGACGCACGCTTTGATTCGCGCGTTCGCGTTCGCGTTCGCGTTCGCGTTCGGCGCCTAGGGCAACAGTCCCGCGCGCGCGCGCCGCCCGACATTCGCCGTCGCGCGCGTCGCGCCGCGTCTCGCACGCGACAAACACGCTTCGCGCGCATGTCCACCACCGCGCTCGCGCGCGCGGCGTCCAGAATCGCGCGCGCCGCGCTCGAAACTTCCGCGTCGACGCCTCTGACGCGATCGATCTCCTCCACCGCCGCGGCGTCGCGCGCGCACGGTCTAGACGCCTTCGTGGACGCGAACAGAGACGAAAAAACCTTCGTCGGTCGCGAGTGGCTCGCGAGCGACCTGCGGAACAAGTCGTACGAGGACCTGCACGAGCTGTGGTACGTGCTGCTCAAGGAGCGAAACATGCTGCTGACGGAACGATACCTGGCGAGAACGAATCGCGAACCCATGCGAGCGCCGCAGAGGATGACCAAGGTGAGAAAGAGCATGGCGAGGATTAAACTCGTGCTCACGGAGCGGGCGAGAGAGGAAGCGGGAGGAGATCCGCAAAAGTTATTCGAGATGATGCGTTTGATAAACGCCAAGTGAGCGCGCGTCTCGTTTGTAAATAGCCACGTTAGCGACTTCGTTCACGCGCGACGTTCGCCGCTGGGCTAATGGGCTAATGGCCTAATGAGCTAAGCGTCTACTGGGCGTCGCTATGATTATGTTCGCCGAGCGCGTCGGTCTCGCCGCCGTCGTCGTCGTCGTCGTCGTCGCTCGCTCGACCGAGTTCAATCCAGCACGACAGCGCAGTCTCTTCGCGTTCGCGGACTCCGAGCATTAATCGAGGGATGCGATGTCGTAAATCGACGATGCACGAACACCCGGTGAATTGAATGTCATTCTCGACGCCGATCCTGTTCGCGCACACGAAGTACGGGCTCATTGTTTTGCCTAAAAGAGGCTGCAGCCTCGACATCCAGTAAGACACCGTCTCGCCGAAATCGACAGGCTTCCGTTTGATCTCTTCTGGGTCGTCGGGATGCGCCGACGTCCACGCCGAGCTGAAGAGAATCAAATCGCTCCCGACGCACGCGTTCGCGAGCTCGAAATCCGTCCAAGGCGCCTCGAATTTGTACGGATTAATATCCATGCAAATCGCCGACACGCACTTCACGTCCCGAACCACCTCGGCGTACGCCGACCCCGCGCCACGGACGAAGCACTTCATCGCGAGCGTGAAAACCTCAAAACCTCGGCGTCCCTCGACCGCCCACGCCTCGTCCACGAAGTACAGGTGCGATTTGTCGTACCGACGCGCGACGTCGCCGTCGGGCGCGAAAACCGTCTGCGAGTTGAACAACTCCCCGCTCGTCGCCTCCTCCCTGCAGTGTCCGAGCGCCACGTGCGTGTCGTACGTCATCGCGATCTCGCGCGCCCACGCGAGCGCGCGCGCGCTCTCGCGCGCCACCGCGCGCGCGTCGTCCTCGTCGCGCAACGCGTAACGACTGAAACCGAGCTCCGGGCAAACAACCATCCCCACGCCTCGATCGCGCGTCAGCGCCGCGCGCACGCGCGCGTCGACGCGCGCGACGTTCTCCGCCACCGTTTCCGCGCGCGTCGGGTCCGTCTGCACGACGCACACGCGCGCGCGCGCGTCCTCACCGCGCATGCCCGCCGCCGCCGCCGGCACACTGTGACGCCGCGCGTCGTCGCGCGCGCGCGCGCTCGGCCCTCGCCGCGCGAACGCGCGCGCGATGATCTCCAGCCTCGCCTGGGTGCCTCCCGGCGCCGCGAGCGCGTCGCCCAAGTACGCGGACGTCCCCGAAGAGGAGCTCGAGCGGCTCGCGCATCGCGCGCGCGACGTCGCGCGTCGCCGCGACTCGCGACGGCGCGACTCCGACGCCTCGGACGCGTCGGAAGACGAGGATGGGATGACGGACGATGATTCGGACGCGTCGAGCGGCGACGCGTCGGACGAGAGCGACTGGGAAGAGGTCGAGGCGGACGCGGAGGAGGATTTGGACGAAATGGCGGCGGACGAAGAAGACGCGAAAGAAACGACGACCAAGGCGGTGGCGAAGGCGAAGGCGGTGGCGAAAGCGGCGAAAGGAATGGTTGATGATCTCGCGGAACTGAACATGGACGCGTACGACGATGAAGAGGAGGATGAACGCGCGGCGGCGGGACGGTTGTTCGGAAGCGGACGCATGACGCACTACGACGGAAACGAGGACGATCCGTACATGACGATTAAGGATAGCGATGACGACGAGGATGAGATGCCGGACGATATGACGATGGCGGAGACGGATTTGGTGATATTGGCGGCGCGAACGGACGAGGATGTGTCGCATTTGGAGGTGTGGGTGTACGAGGAGGCGGGAGTGACGGGGAACGCGGAGACGAATTTGTACGTGCATCACGACGTGCTTTTACCGGCGTTTCCGTTGAGTGTGGCGTGGATGAATTGCGCACCCAAGAGCGGGACGAATGAAGTCAACTGTGCGGCGATCGGGACGATGTATCCAGGGATCGAGATTTGGGATTTGGATTGCGTGGACGCCGTCGAGCCGGTGACGACGCTGGGGGGATATTCAGACGAGGCGATCAAGGCTGCGAGTAAAAAGGGTAAGAAGGGCGGCAAGAAAGAGTCGAAAGCGTTGAAAGGCGGCTCACACGAAGACGCCGTCATGGGATTGTCGTGGAATCGCGAGTTTAGAAACGTCCTGGCGTCGGCGAGCGCCGACACGACGGTTAAGATTTGGGACATCGCGACGGAAACCGCCTCGCAAACGCTGAATCATCACAAAGGGAAAGTGCAGGCGTGCGAATGGAACCCAGCTGAACCTACTGTGCTTCTCACAGGATCTTACGATAAAACGGCTCAAGTTGTAGACGTCCGCGCGCCCGATAATGCATCACTTACGTGGAAAGTCGGCGCCGACGTCGAGAGCGCAATTTGGCACGTCGGATCGCCGACGCAGTTTTTAGTATCGAACGAAGATGGGCTCGTGATGTGCTTCGATACACGCATGGGATCAAAGTCGGACTGTGTTTTCAAGCTCCAGGCGCACGACAAGGCCACAACAGGGCTGAGCATGGCGTCTGGTGCGCCCAACCTATTGACGACGTGCTCCACGGACAAGTCGATCAAATTGTGGGATTTGAACGATGGTAAACCGTCCTTACTGTGTCAGCACTCTCCTCAAGTGGGAGCTATTTTTGCGTGTGGATTTTCGCCTTCGGTGCCGTATTTGATAGCCGCCGCTGGCTCCAAGGGCACCGTGGCGGTTTGGGACATCCTGTCGGAAGCCGCAGTCAAGCAAACTCACGGAAAAACTCTCGAACAATACTATCGCGTGTCAAAGTAATAAAAACTACCAATCACTAGATTTCACTACAAAGTTACGCGTTCAACTGTCGCGTGAGGGTCTCAAACTTCTCTTGAAGAAGCTTTTCGCGCGTTCGCGCGGCTTCCACAAGCTCGAGCCAGTATTCGATTCTATTAGGCGCTGCGCGTTCTTCTTGCACGTGCAAAACGGCGTAAGACGCCGCCTCAGTGGACAAAGCCTTGACTTCCTCCACAGTCTTCTTCAGTTTGTTGCACAATTCTCCATTCCGCTTCTGAAGCCCGGCCGTGAGGAGGATACATTTTTGCTCCAACTTGGCTGCGCGTTTTGCGTCCTTCTCCATTTCCCCTCTAACGAGTTCGAAAGTCGCTTTTGCCGCTTCGAGCTGTTGTTCTTTCGACGCTTCATCGACAGAGATCTGCGCATTGAGACTCGGTACGAAAATAAGTTTCTTCCGCTCCGCGACGAGCGCAGCGGAGAAGGCTTCGGCGAAATCTTCTCTCGACACGTTTTGCTCTCGCAACATCTCATCAGCCTCCGTATCGACGAGTCGACGGGCCGCCACGAGCAAAGATTCGTCAAAATCTTCGAGTGCGGGCGCGGACTTGGACTTCTTGCCATATTTGGCGATGTCGTTCTCAAGCAAGGCGTGCGCCTCTTCGTTGACGAGCTTCGAAATCGAATCCTCGGCGAGCGGCGCGACTGGCGTCAACTCAGTCGGTCGAGGTAAATCGCGCTGGACAGCTTGGGAGCGCTTACGGCGTTGAATCGCTTCATACTCCGCCAAGGCCGCGGCTTCGCGCGCACGAACGTCGGCTTCATCTTCCACGACGGCGTCCTCCATCGGCTCGTCTTCCATCGGCTCGTCTGGGAGATCAATTTGATATTCGTTTTGTGGCTTCGGAAGCGACATGAACGCACTCTTCAATGAGGCAGCAGTCGACGCAGTGTGTGCACGTCGCTCTCGCGCCGAGAGATCGCCGAAGTGCGAGGCATACTGGTCGTTGATGTTCAATCCGTCGCGAATGGGCGTTTGCCCGTGCAGTGACGGCGTCGCGCCCATGTGCGAGCTCACATCACTTCGCGACGGCGTCGGTGCCGCTTTCGCGTGGCTTGGCGTCGCACCAGCAAAGTCAGTGGGCATGACGGCCGCCGCCTCTTCAGCACCACCGAATAAAGTCGACTGTTGTTGACGTCGGGCGGCTTGCTGCTGGGCCTCGATCAAAATCGCGTCGCCCCCGACTTGAGGCGTTCGCATCGGCGTTCGCCCGGCTAATCCGGACGAGGTCGCCGGCGTTTGCCCGTATGATCCTAATAGCCCAGATGCAGGCGTCGCGCTGCCGTCGTCGAGCAAGCCGACGCCTCCTTTGCCAATCTTTGCGATGTCCTCCAGCTCTCGGTCAGACACTTGCGGCGTCGGTAACATGAGCTTCGATCGTCGAAAAAACGACGCGTCGTTCACTTTGAGCGCTTGTTGTACTGCACCGGGCATATCGCGACGCTCTTGCATTTTCTGTTTCGCCGCCTCACGCTTCTTGCTCTCTTCGTCTAATTGCTTTGCGCTCTTCTTCCCTTCGAGCTCGGCGAGCGAAATTGGTTTAAACACCTTTGCAGATTGCTGCTTTGCAAATGCTTCGTCTTCTTCGCGCGTATCGTACATCACTGCGTCCGGCTTTCGTTCAAACGCGATTTCGGCGTTGTAATCCACGCCTCGAACGCGCTTTGCGCGCCGCACGTGTGCGATTCCTGCCGCCTTCAGTTCGCGCTTCTTTTGCAACTCAGCCAACCTTCTCGCCTCCTCCAACTGCTTCTCCCGTGCTTTTCGCTTCGCTTTTTTACCCTTCGTGTTCGCAAGTCTCGCTCGAGCCTCAGCGAGCATCTCCTTCTCGTCTTCATCCATATCCACCGCATCCGGTTTCGCCGGCTTCGTCTCTGGGTTAGGGTCAATTTCCCCCGGACGCAGTCTTCTCGGATCATCTCCGGCGTCGTAATCGTCATCCTTCGCGCACGCCGCATCGAGTAACTTCTCATATCTCTCCAAGCACTGACTCGGCGTCCGTCCGACCACGGGCGCGATCGTTCTCCACTGCGTCGGCATCAATTTCGCCAGGTGCAGCAGCTTTTCGTCCTCCTCCCGCGTCCACTCCGTCTTTTTGATGCTCGGATCGAGCCATTCGAACCATCGCGCTTTGCACTGCTTCGCCGACTTCCGATTCAACAGCGACGCGATTCTCGGCCACTGGTTCTTGCCGTACTTCATCACCGCCGCCTTTAAGATCTCATCTTCGGTGTTTTTCCACACGCCGCCTTTGATTTGGATGCGCATGGTTCGCGTCTCTCTTCCGTCGTCGTCGGCGTCGTCGTTCGCACGAAGGGCGCGGCGCTGAAAGCGTCTTTACCTTCGTCTTCGTCGCGAGACCGCGCGCGTCGGTCGGTCGGTCGTGACGCGCGCGCGCGACTGGCGCACGATCGCGGGGCGAGAATGCGCCGGCGAGGCGGCGAGACGCAAGGTTGCTTGTTATTATTTCAACGCGGCGGCGCCGAGGCCCCTACGCGACGCGTCGTGCGCCGTGATAAGTAGTAAAGTATACGAAAGCGCATATTAAGTCGCAACATCGCTTCGGACGACCGAAGGAGTGCGTTATTGACGTTTACGTTAATGACTGTTAACGACGACGACTGTTCGACGCCGGTTATTGACTGTTAACGACGACGACTGTTCGACGCCGGTTATTGAGGGGAGTAATATCGTTAGACGTTGACGGCGCCGCCCTTCTTGGAGCCGCTCGGGTCTTCACTGTACGCCTTCGCGCCGTGCATGGAGACGTCCAAGCCCATCCTGCGGTCGCCTTCGCGGGGGACGACATCCATGAACTTTTCGAGAACCTTGATGATGGCGTAGCCCATGACGAAGGAGTACGCGGCGCAGCCGACGGCGGCGAGCAGCTGCTTGCCGAAGAGCTTACCGCCAGCTTCGAAGGCATTCCCAGTCATGGCGGCGCTGGAGAAGATGCCGACGCAGAGGGTACCGAAGAAACCACCCATACCGTGCACGGCCCACACATCGAGCGCGTCGTCGAGGTTGTACTTCTTCGTGAGTTCGATGCACGCGTAGCACCACGGCACGCAGAGCGTACCGATGGTGAGCGCGGCCCACGGCTTGACGTACGCGGCGCACGGCGTGATGGTGGCCAAACCAGCGATAGCGCCGACGCAGGCGCCAACAAGGGTGGGCTTGCCTTCCATCTTCCACTCGAGCATGAGCCAGAAGAAGAGAGCGGCGGAGGCGGAGATTTCAGAGTTCATCGCGGCGAGCGCGGCCGACTCGTTCGCCGCAAGGGCGGAGCCGCCGTTGAAACCGAACCAGCCGAACCAGAGAAGACCGGTGCCGAGGGCAACGAAAGGGATGTTGTGCGGGTTGGTGTCGACGTCGTCACCCTCGAGCTTTCGGCGGTTGGGCAGCGCCACGACGGTGGCCAAGGCGGAGAAGCCCGCGGTGATGTGCACGACGATGCCGCCGGCGAAATCCTTGACGCCGTTGCGAGCCATCCAGCCCCCGCCCCACACCCAGTGGGCGAACGGGAAGTACACCAAGTGCACCCAGAAGAAGATGAACAGGACGTACGGCACGAATCGCACGCGATCCGCGAACGCGCCCGTCATCAGGCTCGGCGCGATGACGGCGAACATGCCTTGGAATCCCGCGAACACGAGCCCCGGCATCCCCTCGGCGTACGGCAATTCTTGCGTCGCCAAGTTTTCCAGGAAGTAGTGCGTGCGCGCGCTGCCGATCACGCCGTTCTTCGACGTCCCGAAGCACAGCGAGTACCCCCAGACGGCCCAAACCAGCGTGATCAATCCCATCGACACGTAATTTTGCATCATGATCGTCAGCACGTTGGACGATCGCACGAGACCGCCGTAGAAGAACGCCAGTCCCGGCGTCATGAGGTTCACGAGCGCCATGGAGACGATCATGAACGCGGTGGTGCCCGCATCGATGGCCATCTTCGCTCGCTCGCGTGCGGCGCGCTGTTCTGCGGCGCTGTGCTGCGGCGCGCGCCGCCGCGTCGGCGCGAACCGCCGCGCGTCCGAACGAAATCTATATCTATATATTAGAAGGCTTTAAATACGTATTTCTCTGTGAGTATGATTTATCTTGCGTGTAGATACTGTATGTACAAACAGTGACACATTAGATACGACGCCCCGGGGGAACTTCGGCGAATTCAATCGACACCGCCGCGCGCGCGCCATCGAGCGACGCGGGCGGCGCGCATGTCGCGCGCGCGCGCGAGATGCGACGCGATGCCGTCGACGATCGCACCCCGCGCGCCCGCGCGCGCGTTCGCGTCCAAACGCGCGCTGGACGCGATGCGAAAGCTGCGCGAACGATGCGACGACGGGCGTCGCGCGGTGCGCGACGCGCTCGCGGCGAGCGCGGACGCGCTCCGAGGGACGCGCGCGAGCGCGAAGGAGACGGAGACGGCGATGGAGGCGTTCGTGAACGGGGCGAGGGAGGTGCTGACGCGATCGGGCGATCGGACGGGGGTGGGGAAGGAGAACGAGAGGTGCGACGCGGCGACGCGAGCGACGCGCCAACAGTTATCTCGCGAGACGCGAGGACGAGACGAGAGACGAACGGGACGGGCGCGATGGACGACGCGGGAGGGCGGTCGAGGGATGAAATCAATTGTGGTGACGCGTGGATCAGCGCGATCGGTGGTCAGAGCTCGAGGCGCGCGAGGGTGAAGACGAATGGAAGACTGACGACGAAGACGCGCCGCGCGGCGCGCGACGGCGACGCGCAGCGCGAAAGCGACGACGACGACGCGCGGGAGCGCGAGGAAGAGCGGCGGCGCGCACGCCTCGAAAGGTGTGACGCCTGGTAAGGGGTTACGCGCGAGAGGGGGGGAGAATGTTGGGGATTCGAAGGGAGAGACGGCGAGGGCGAGGGCGACGGATGGCGCGACGGTTCCCCCCGAGGCGAGCGCGAGCGAGGCGAGCGAGGGACGAACGGTTGAGGTTAGCGGTGCGGGCGGCGAGGAAACGGGCGCGAACAAGTCTGAAAAAGATGGCGTGATGGCCGATGACACTGCGCGAGACGGTGGACATTCGACCGAGGCGTCTGGCGGCGCGCGCGTATCCGCGGCGCGCGCGTACGCCGACGTGCAGACGCCAAAGAACGTGAAGAAGATTGCGTGGCAAACCGCGGGGGCGTCGAACGAGCGCGTGACGAGAAAGAGTATGCGAAGTGCGACGCGGGGCGGTGCGCCGGTTTCGACGGTGAAGAACGTGAACGAAGATGCTGAGATGAAGGACGGCGCGGCGCCGCTCGACGACGCGCCGAAGAGCAAATCTGTCGACGCCGCGAAGATTGAAGAGCAGCAGGATCCATCCTCGGCCGGGCAGTCGAGCGAAAAGCGGAAGCGCGCCAAAGCGCGAGCAAACGGTATGGCTTTTCTTAAGGCTGATATCCCCGCGCTCGCCGCACAGAATCCCAAAGCCGGCGGCGCGGTGGTTTCGACCGAGTTGAGAATTTCCCCCCGCACGCTCGCGATGGACAAGGCAAAGCAGAGTGCGTCGAAGGAACCCGCGGCGGCACCAGGGACGGCGACGATGACGTCTGAATCGAAAGAACCCGCATCAGCGCCCACAGTGGTGGCACCCGTCCTAGCGCCGCGCACCGTCGCTCCCAAGCATCCAGTCGATCAGCGCAGTTTGATGGAGTCGTTTATGATTCAGCCTGAGAATGTATCGGCCGCGGTCGATCTCGCACCGTTGTCATCGTTCCAAAAAATGTCGGCGACGCCTTCTCAGGTGAAGGCTTTCCAATCTATGAGCTTGAACACGCCTTCTCACCAGGCAACTCTCGGCGAGCAATCCGCGCAACGTCCCAAACCGCCGTCTTCGCTGGCGCCGGTGACGACGGCGGCTGAGGCGAACGATGTCATGAGTCGACTCAAGCGCGCGATGGAGGCTCGATCACGCGCGGACGAAGAGAACAAGCGTCAATTAGAGAGTGCGCTTCGACAAAAGGAAGAAGAGCGCAAGCGACGCGAGATGGAGATGCAGGCGCGAAAGGCCAAGCAAGCTGATCAGGAAGCGCGCGAGCGAGAAGAACGACGCCTGCGTCAAGAGCGTTTGGCTCAGTTTCGACTTCAAGAAGAAGAGGCGCAACGAAAGGCGGCGATGGAGAAGAGTAAGTGGGCAAAGATGCTTGAGGAACAAAAGAAGGCGACGTTTGACGTGTCGACGAAGCCAATGCCAGTGTCGTTGAAACGCACGAGCGGTCAATCTGGTTTCACGTCTTCCGCTTCTCACGAAGCAGAAAAGCGTCGCCGACTGCTCGAGAACGCGCAAGCGGCAATTCATGGCCATTCCCATCAATCTTCGGCCGCCATGCGCACACCCACTCGCTCCATCTTCAGGACCAATTTTGCTTCGTCTTCGTCGCAGCAGCAACGCACGCCGTTGGATTCGTATCCGATTTCACCCTATTGCAGCAGCGACAGCGAAGACGATGAGCGACCGAAAAAAATGATCCCGGGATGGGCTCGTGGCGACGCCCTCGTTCCCCAGTTGAAAGCGCAGTCTTATGTGGACCCGGATGACATCTTCCCGAACCCCAGCCTCACGTGCAGCCTCGGCAAAATCTTCAAAAAGTCTAGCCACGACCGCCGACGTAGCAGTAGCAACTGGGCGCACGACAGGTTAACGCTCCAAGAGGAGTTAAGTTACAAGCAAAAGATGGGATTTCGCTAACATTATTCTAGCAATGTAAACGATACGCTACATACGGTACTGCTGTTCGCTTGCTCGCTCGCTTACTCGCTCGCCTATGTCTTGACGGGATGGCCGTTTTCATCCAAACCTTCGACGCGCGGAAAGAGAGCGAGCTTTTCAACCTTAGTTCCCGGCTTCAATCCGCCCCATTTCGTTCGTTGTGCGATCGATCCCTCACCAAGGCCGACTCCAGCGTCGAATTCCGCCATCTTGTTGGGCATCAAAGGCTCCAACAACACCGCGGCGATGCGAAGCGCTTCGAGGCACTGGTACAAACAAGCCGCCAATTCGGCGCTCTTTGACTCGTCCTTAGCCATGCGGAAAGGCTCGGTTTCCGTGATGAATAAATCGACATCCATGACGATGTTTTTCGCCGCCGCTGCGGCGCGAGGAAGGTCCAACTTGTCGTACGCCGTCAACGCGTCTTGAACGTGCGCGCTCGTGCGCGCCGGCCAGTCCCAGTTATCGAACGTCACCCGCGCACCGTTCGCCTCTTCGCTTCGCACTTCGCCGTCGAAGTACTTGTTAATCATCGCGGTCGTACGACTGACGCTGTTACCCATGGTATTCACTAGATCGCTCGAATAGATTTCTTGAACGCGTTCGGCGCTAAAGTTGGCGTCTTGCGCGCCGATCGGTCCTTCGACGGCGAGATAGTATCGCATCGCATCCAAACCGTAATGCTCCTTGAATCGATCCATGCAAGCCAAATCAACGAAGTTACCTAGTGATTTCGACATCTTGCGTCCCTCGCGAATCCAGAAAGCGTGCGCGTGCACGCGCTGAGGAAGCGGCAAATCGAGCGCCATGAGGAGCGCGGGCCAAATCACCGAGTGAAACCAAGAAATTTCCTTGGCCATGATGTGCATGCTCGCGGGCCAGTACTTGGATCGATCGGCGTAAACGATGGAATCCTTACCATCGCCAAGACCGATAGCGGTGATGTAATTCATCAACGCGTCGATCCACACGTAAATGACGTGCTTTTCGTCATCCGGCATCGGGATGCCCCACTTGAAGTTGGTACGCGAAATCGGCACGTCGTTCAACCCTTCATTCAATCGACCGATCATCTCGTTACGCCTCGCGCTGGGCGTCAAAAAATCTGGGTTATCAGCGTGCAGCGCCTCGAGCTCCTTCTGGAACTTGCTCAATCGAAAGTAATAATTTTCCTCGCTCGAGCGAACCATATCCTTTCCGCTAATCGGGCTCTTGTAATCGAGCTCCTTCGCCTTGGATTCGGTGTAATACTCCTCTTGTCCTTCGTCGTACCACCCCTCAAAGCGACCCAAGTACACCGCATCCTTCTCCTGCAGCACCTTCACCAACGCCCGCACTTGTCTCTCGTGATAATCATCCGTCGTGCGAATAAACTCGTCGAAGGAAATATCGTACGCCGTCATGACGTCGCGAAACTTTTGACTATTCTCATCCGCCAACGCCTGCGGTTCGATCCCTCGCTTCTCCGCGCTTTGCTCCACCTTCAATCCGTGTTCATCCGTGCCCGTGAGAAAGAACACGTCCTCCCCACGCGCCCTTCGATACCTCGCGTACGCGTCCGCCACCGTCGACGTGTACACGTGCCCGATGTGCGGCTGATCGTTCACGTAATATATCGGCGTCGTCACGAACGTCGGCCCTTCGCTCGCGCGCGCCGCGACCGCGCATCCCCGTCCGCGCGTCGTCGCTCGCGTCGTCGCCGCGCGCGCGACGCATCCGCGCGTCGCCGTCGCCGTCGCCGCCGTCGCCGTCGTCGTCACCGCCGTCGTCCGCGTTCGTCCCGCGACCGTCGTCGCGCGTCGCGCGCGCGCCGTCCGTCGCGACAGCATCATCACCCGCGACGTCGCGGACGCGAGCGCCATCGCGCGCCGTCTCGCGCGTCGACGCGTGGCGCCGGCGTCGACGCCGCGCGCGCGTCCGACCGCGCGAGATTTCGCCGCGCGAGGGCGAACGCTGGTTTCGCCACTCGAGGGCGAAAAGACGGATTCGGATTCGAACGCGCGTCGCGACGGGCGCGACCGGCGCACGTCGACGCGCGCCGCGATGGCGCCCGGACGGGCGAAGAAGCGCGCGACGCCGGACGAGGGCGTGAACTTCGCGCTGAAACGCCTGCGCGACGGGCGCGATGGACGCGAGGGCTCGCTCGATGAGGTGCTCGCAAAGGTGCGGGCGCTCGAGCGCGCGGTGAAGGCGAAGCGAGGCGGACGGCGGACGCTGGACGATCTCGGATTGGCGACGACGTATCGCGAGGTCGAGGACAGGGACGCGAGGGAGATCGCGGCGGCGATCGAGCAGGTGATGATCGCGGCGGCGAAGAGCATCGTGGCGGGCGACGGGTTCGAATACGTGCTGCCGAGTCGAGGGGCGACGGATCAGGTGTACGTGGAGGCGCTCGATCGAATCGTGCTGAAGAATAAGACGACGAAAGCGAATTTTGCGGCGGTGTCGAGCGTGCGGAAGGTGACGATTCTGACGCGGGTGATGCAGTTGGTGCACGGGGTGCTGAGTCGCGGGATTCACGTCACGAAGCGGGATTTGTTTTACACCGACGTCAAGTTGTTCAAGGATCAGAAGGATTCCGACGCGGTGTTGGACGATATTTCGTGCATGCTCGGATGCACGCGTAACTCGCTGCACGTCGTGGCGTCGGAAAAGGGCGTCGTCGTCGGACGGTTGCAATACAAGGAGGACGGCGACGAAATCGACTGCACGAAGATGGGAGTGGGCGGTAAGGCGATTCCGAGCAACATCGATAAAGTGAGGGATATGCGCACCGACGCCAAGTTCGTACTGCTCGTCGAGAAAGATGCGGCGTTCATGCGCCTCGCCGAGGACCGATTTTACAACAAGTACCCGTGCATAATCATAACCGCCAAAGGACAACCCGACGTCGCGACGCGCTTGTTCTTGAGCAAGGTGAAGAGAGATTTGAAAATCCCGGTGTTAGCGCTGGTTGACGCCGATCCGTACGGGTTGAAAATCATCTCAGTGTACATGCAAGGTTCGAAGAACATGGCTTTCGATAGCGGAAACCTCACCACGCCCGATATCAAATGGCTCGGCGTCCGCCCGAGCGATTTGGACAAGTTCAAAATCCCCGAACAGTGTCGCCTAGAGATGACGGCAAAGGATATTGAAACGGGGCATCACATGCTCAACGAGGATTTCATTAAAAGCAACCCGGAGTGGGTGAAGGAAATCAACATCATGCTCGAAACGAAAACCAAGGCGGAAATTCAGTCGTTGAGTAGCTACGGCTTTCAATACCTGAGCGAGGTGTACTTGCCTTTGAAGCTGTTAGAAGGGGACTGGATTTAGACGTTTGTACAATAGAAGACGACTCGAACGTAAATTTACTCGCTAAGAATCAATCACTTGCACGGGCTATACTACTATTTGCTAGAACCAATGGAGCATCTTCCTTCCATTTGTGATGCTTTTTATCTCCGACTCGTGTTGCCGCACGATTCCGTCGCAACTGACGTAAATTTTGAGCTCGTTCAGGCGCAGCAGGCGCGCGAGGTACATGTCGATCACGAGGCTCGATGGCAAATGACGTAATATCTGCATAGCGCCTTTCCAGCTCACGACGATGACGGTCGTTCTCGAAAACGTCGTGAACGCCCTGAACAATTTCACTCCTTCGTCGGCGTTCGTCGGGCGACGAACTCTCACGCGGTGCAACCATGACGACGGGGCACGCCATACAGACTCGCGACAATACTCCGGATTCGCATCCAACGATATGATGTCGTAATCATCGGGTACTGAATTCAGCAAGGTGCCAAACTTGCGCTCGAACAACTCAAAGTCTACGTTTGCGTCGTCTTCAAAGATTACGATGGATTGTTCGCGCACGGCGCGGTCTCTACGCTCAGCCTCCATCCCAACCCTCAACGCCGTTTGAACGTCCGGCCACGGTTCCTCGCGCTCACCGTTTTGCGCCGACACGAAATTCGCCAGAATCCCAAACGACGCTAAGTTTCCAATGGCGCTAAACCGAATCGCGTCGCCCTGGTACAACCGATGCTTCTCGATGTCCGCCGTGACGCTCGCGTACGCCGCTCGCGGATGCACCAGCGCGTTCGCGTACGTGCGCCACGCGTTCTCCCCATCCCGTCTCGACCAAAACGTCCGAATCTTCCTGTTCTCCTCGTAGCGAACGACGTATCCTCGCCCCTCGATCTCTCGCGCCTGCTCCGCTCGCTCGAGCTTCGTCGCGTTCGTCGCCGCGCACGCCGTCGCGTGCCTCGACCGTTCCAACATCGCGCACAACCGCCGCGCGTTCTCCGCGCGCTCGGGAATCCACGACGACGTCAACACGCGCGCCCGCGTCGGCGTCGCGCGCGCGCCCGCGTCGTCCCGCGTCGACGCGCCGAACCACGCGTCCGTCCTCGTCCCAACCGACCCAAACGTTCGCGCCAAAACCAACGCGCAGACGACCGCCAGCGCGCACGCGCGCGCGCACCGTCGCGGTTTACGCCGCGCGACGCTCGGCGCCATCGCCGCGCGCTCGGACGCGCGCGCGGTCGCCGCGGCGGCGCGCTCTGCCGTTCGAATCGTTTCGAGCGCTCGTCAGACGGCCGCGCGCGACGACCCGCGCGCGCGACGCGAATGTCGCCGCCGTCCGTCCCGCGCGAGCTCGTGTACGCCATCGCGCGCGCCGCGTGGGTCGCGGACGACGATCGCGAGCGCCGCGAGCGCGGCGTCGAGCGCGAGTTCGACGCGACGGCGAAGCCGGAGGCGCTGGAGGTGATGGCGACGCTCGTCGAGGCGTTCGTCGAGGAGGCGACGCATCGCGCGTGCGCGCTGGCCACGCTCGAGGGCGCGCGCGCGGTGGACGGAGAACACCTCGAACGCGTGTTGCCGCAGTTGATGCTGGATTTCGCGGGGTGAGCGCGACGGCGACGGCAGCGCGAGACGTCGCGGCGGCGGCGGCGACGGCGGCGACGATAGAGCGCGAGGATAGAATGTAAAGAAATTAGAGGTTCACGCGCTTGAGTGCGTTAAAAGTGGTCGTCGCGCGCGCGGGGGACGAACGAGGCGGCGTCGAAACGGCGCCTCGTTCCAACCGTCAAAGCTCCGAATCGCGGAAAACGATAATCATCTCTCCGGTTCGGGATTACCGGCGACGGAGACTAAGTTGATGCAGTAGCGGTTACCGTTACGGTCTGGCAAATTATGTCCCAAGTGCGTTCCCGTCGTGCTGACGCACTCGCCGTCGCGCAAACATCGGACGTTTTCTTGCACCATCTCCGCGTCTCTGAAGCTCGGCCAACCGTGCGCTCTGGACTCCTTCTCGAATTCCGCCCACGTTCGCCCTCGAGGTGCGATGAAAAGCGGCGCGCCCGTCACTGAATCGTAATACGTCACCTCGCCTTTATCCTTCACCTCGGAGATCCAGTTCGTGCTCCACGCGTACCCGGCGTGTTCCGCGTAGTGCCTGTTAAAGTTGCAAATTCGATCCGCGAGTTCGCGATCGCTGCCGTAGCGCAGATTCTTCATCACCGCGTGCTCGCTCGTGCCGTGCGCCTTTTGCGACATCACGCTCTCGTCGGCGACGATCGGCAGGCCCTTCAAACCTTCGGGTATCGGGGCGCCTTTGCATCCATCGGACACGCCCGGAATCTTCGCGCCGTCGAGGAACGCGCGCGTCGCGGGCGACGATCGCGACGCGCTCGCGCCCATGATGGACGCCTTCGCGCGGAGTGGTCGCGCGATCAGGGACGCCCGCGCGGTGCGCATCGCGTCGACGAGTGGCGCGCGCGTCGCGGTCGAGCGATGACGTGTCCCGCTGGCGCGACGTCCGGACAGCTCGACGCGCGATGCGGGCGTCGACGGCGACCGCGGCGCGCGCGCGCGCGCGCGGAAACGTCGCACCGTCGACGCGACGCGCGGAGGCGACGCGGGCGCGCGCGGTGAGCCGACGCGAGGGTGTTTTACTCGCGACGATGCTTTCGGTGAGTCTCGCGGGACGACGACGCGCGACGGCGGCGGAGGAAGACGAGGACGGCGCGACGACGACGACGACGACTGAGACGAAGAAAAGGGTCGTGATTACCGGGTCGAACTCGGGGATCGGGCTCGACGCGGCGACGAAACTCGCGGCGAGCGGGGACTGGGTCGTCGTGTTGGCGTGCCGAACGCGCGCGAAGGCGGAGGCGGCCAAGGCGAATATATTGTCTGCGACGAACGCGGACGGGGCGAACATCGAGTGCGTCGAGTGCGATTTGTCGAGTTTGGACTCGGTGCGCGCTTTCGTGCGCGAGGTGAGGAAAACGGGCGGTGTCGACGCTTTGTGTCTGAACGCCGGCGTGGAATACAGCGGCGATCCCGTGGTGCATCGAACGAGGGACGGTTTCGAGGAGACGTTCGGTGTGAACCATTTGGGGCACTTTTTGCTCGCCAACTTGTTATTGGAGGATCTCGAAAAGTCGAGCGAGGCGCATCCGCGAATCGTCGTGACGGCGAGCGAGGTGCACGACCCGGCGTCGCCGGGAGGATCGGTGGGCAGCGGCGCGCACATCGGCGACTTGCGAGGCCTCGAACGCGACGGCGCGGCGTTCGAGATGGCGGACGGTGAAGCGTTCGACGCCGATAAGGCGTACAAAGACTCTAAGTTGGCGAACATGCTCTTCATGTACGAGCTCGAGCGACGCCTGCAGGCGAGAAACTCGAAAATCACGGTGAACGCGTTCGGTCCGGGACTCATCACGCGCACCGGCTTATTTCGCAACCAAAATCCTCTCTTCGTCAAAGTCTTCGACTTCGCCACGAACGAGATTTTCCACGTCGCAGAAACCGTTTCCGGAGGTGGGAACTGCTTAGTCTTCATGCTCACCGACCCTTCGCTCGAGGGCAGCGGGGGCGTGTACTGGAACAACGATTTGTCGCCCGGCGCGCCGCCGTCCCTCGTCGCCGCCGGACACAAATTCGCTCAAACCAACTCTTCTGTCGAATCAAACGATGCCGTCGAAGCGCAAAAGCTTTGGAAGCTCAGCGAATCGCTCGTCGGGTTGGCCTAGCGCCGCGTCGCGCTCGTTGTTATATACTCGATACGTCGCGTACGCTCGCGCTCGCGCTCTCGCACTCGCTCGCTCGTCACAACTCGTCGTCGCCATGCGCACCGTCGCCCACGCGCGCGTCTCCCCGACGTCGTCGTCCCGGCCATCGACGTCGGCGTCTGCGTTGGCGCGTCGCGCCTCCTTCCGCGTCGCCGTGCGCGGCGACACCGCGCGCGACGCGTTTTTCGCGCTCGGTCCCGCTCGACCGCGCGCGCGCCGCGCGCACGCCGCGCCGCGCGCGTTCCTGTGGTGGAGCCGCGAGAAGGAGCTGCGCAAGCGATGGAAGCAGCTCGCCGACTTCGCCGCGGACGAGATCCCGGAGAGCTCGCCGTTGGCACGCTCGAAAGGACTCATCCAGTGGGTGGGTGAATATCCGCTCACGGCGGCGTCCGCGGCGACGGCCATCGCCGGCGGCGTCAGCGCGCTGATCTCCGCCGCGGTGTTGCCCGTCGTCGTCGGCGTCGCCGTGCTCGCGCTGCCGGGCTTGCTGTTCGCGTTCGTCGGTACGGCGGCGGTGGCGTCGCTCGTCGGAGCGCTCGTGCTGCTGCTGTCGCTGCCGGCGTTGGGATTTTTGTCGGTGTTCGGAGGGACGATCGCCGCGGCGGCGAGCGCAAAGTTATTACCGATCGCGATCATCGGGTCGGGACTGTTGTTCGGCGCGAACGCGATCAAGTGGGGGATGTCGGGCGACGCTCGCGCGGAGCGCTTGAAGGCGGGCGCCGACGTCGACGACGACGCTTGGTCGCCTCGAAACGTCAACGCCGTCGACGACACGGACGAAAGCAGCAGCTCGGAAGATTACGAGGAAACAGTTAAACGTAATTTCGACGCGCGTTTGCGCGCCTTAGACGAAAAGAAGAAGAAGTGATGTTGTAGCCCGTGTAAAGCGTCACTCCTCGCCGCGCTCTATCCAGTAACCACCGACGATGACCGCGCTCGAAGAAATCTCCACCGACGAGCTCATGCGCGAGATTCAGCGGCGGCTGGAGTGCCAAAATAAGCCAGACAAGCGCTTGATCCTCATCGGTCCGCCGGGATGCGGCAAGGTGCGCGTTTTCGACCGTCAACTTCGACCGTCAAAACCTCAAAAAGCGCGCTTCGGGACACCCGACTGACGACGCGTCTCGACGCCGAACAGGGAACGCAATCGCCTAAGATTAAATCCGACCACTGCCTGTGCCACCTCGCGACGGGGGACATGTTACGCGCGGCGGTGGCGGCGAAAACGCCGAACGGCGTGAAGGCCAAGCAAGCCATGGAGAGCGGAGCGCTCGTGAGCGACGATATCGTGGTCGGGTGCGTGTGGAGCGTTGCGATGGCGCGTTCGAGCGCGAGTGATGATACACGAGGCCCTACGCTGTGTTCTTGTGTCCTGCGCGGTGACTGACAGAGATGCTTCACTTGTGAATGTAGGATTATCGAGGAAGCCGTCAAGGCGCCCGAGTGCCGAAACGGTTTCATTTTGGACGGGTTCCCGAGAACGGTGCCGCAAGCGGTGAAGTTGGACGAGATGCTCTCTGCGAAAGGGGTATCGATCGATGCAGTGCTGAACTTTGAAGTGCCGGATGAGGTACTCGTAGAAAGGGTGGAGGGACGATGGATCCACCCCGCGAGCGGGCGATCGTACCACACGAAGTTTGCTCCGCCGAAGGTTGAAGGGAAGGATGATTTCACGGGAGAACCTTTAATTAAGCGTAAGGATGACAACGCGGAGACCCTTAAGTCACGCTTGCAAGCGTTTCACACGCAAACGCAACCGGTTATCGATTACTACGCGATAGCAAAGAAGGTTACTGAAATTCACGCCAACAAACCAGCCAGCGATGTCGAAGCGCAAATTGCAGCGGCGTTGAAGTAGTTGAGTGCAAATCACGGTGTAACAAAACAAAAGGACTACTCTTCATATGTGTATGTACTCGCGTCAGACTTACCAAACATGAGCTCTGCCGTCGAAAGCTCGCTTTCGTCAAACTCTTCCTCGTCTTCGTCGTCCGAATCTCCAGGCGCCTCCAAGCCAAGAATGGACGAAAGCCGTTCCAACAGGGGGCGGAAAGTGCTCGCCGCCGGCGACAAGTCCGTGGCCCCAACAGAAGCTTCGGCCATTTGCTGCGAGCACATGTTTCTGATCTCGATCGCCCGAACGTCGTCGCCTTCTCTCTCCTCCATCATGGCCCACGTAAGCCACGTGCGCTCGCTGCTCGCGTCGACGTTAACCGCACATTTGAAGAGCTGTCGCGCGAGGGAGATATTTTCTTCTCGCGATTCCAATACCCCCCATGCATGAAACAAGCGCGCGGCGTCTCGATTCTTTGGATTAACCCATACGCCTCGTTGAAACAGATTGCGCGCGCGATCGATTTCTCCCGCTCGCCACTCCGCCATCGCCCATGCGTTCCAGTTCGCCTGGTGTTGGGGATCCATCATCGTCCCTTGCTCAAAGTACTTGCGCGCCTGTTCCAGATTCCCTTGCTCTGCCTCGAGCTTTGCGAGTGCTTGAAGCAAATGCGTGTCCAAGGGATTCAATTTGCATCCCTTGGTCAGGAGCTCCTTCGCGCGGTCGCAATACCCGAGCTTGGCTTCCCACACCCCCCACGCGAGCCAAATAAACTTGCTCTTCGGGGCAACCATCAAACCCTTTTGAAAAAGCTTGCGCGCTTGCTCTTCGTCGCCCGCTTTCGCTTCTAACATGGCCCAAGAGCGCCAGATGGCGCCAGATTTCGCTCCCGCCTCTGTGCGAACGCCTTGCCTGAAATGTTCCCTCGCCTCGGAGATACGCCCGCGCTCGAGCGCCATGACGCCGAGCGAGTGGTACAGATGGGCAGACGCATCCATCGGCGGCACCAACCGCACACCTTTGATGTACAATTCTCTGGCGCGCTGATAATTTCCCAAGTTCTTTTCCATCGATCCCCATCCGTGCCAAGCCGCGGCGTGCGTTTTATCCGCCGCCGTCGCCGCGTCGTAATACTTTCTCGCCAGCGCAATGTTCCCAGCCTTTTCCTCGAGCACGGCGAGAGCAACCCACAAATACGCGTTGTCTCCTCCCTTGGCGTCGCATCCAGCTTGGTAAATCGCGCGCGCATCATCCAACCGACGCATCTGCACCAGTGTCTGCCCTATTCCGCAGTACGCGCGCCCATCCGTGACGTCGTACGACATCGCCTTCTCGAACATCGCTATCGCCTCTAAGCGCTTTGCGTTCCTCTCATCCACGGATTTCATGAAGCCCGCCTCATTTCGCAATTTCCGCGCGCGGTACAGCGCCAAGTCTTGATTGATCTTGAGCGGCTTCGCGTCTCCGCTCGTCGCCTCGACGCTCCCCAACATCTGCATCTTCGATCCCGGACTCGCGATCGTCGACGACTCCCCGCTGCGACGACTTCTTTCCAACACCGCGTTCTCGTACGTCAGCTCGGGCATGGCGCGCGATCTCGCGCCGTTCGCGCTCGTCCGCTCCGTCGTCCCCGCGCCGGCGTCCCGTCGCCTTATCTCCCGCCCATCGCCATCGTCGTCGTCGTCCAGGCTCATCGACGCGCTCGACGCGCGACACGTTGATCGTTGCGTCCTCCCGCGCCATCGTCGCGCCGTTCGCATCGCTCGCGCGTCGACGCGCCGCGCATTTCCCATCGGGACGTCACGATGCGTCGACGTTCGCGTCGACGTCGTCGCGCGTTCCGTCGCCCCGACGCATCGCGCGCGGGCGAGCGCGCGGGCGTCGACGCTCGCGAGCATCATCGACGCGCTCGCACCGAGGGCGTGGGCCATCGCGCGTGCGAACGCGCGCGCGTGTGCGGATACGATGATTGGAATGCGGCGACTCCAGCGCTGGACGCCGGGCTCGCGGCGAAAGACCCGAACCGAGCGACGGCGAGTCGAGCCAAACGCGCGCGCGGGGTCTACGAGCTAGAGCTGATTCACTAAATAACTAACGAAGTTGCGCGCGCTATCGCGGCGCGTCGGAGGCGTCCGGGGAGACGACCGTCGCGCGGCGTCGCGAGGTGAGGCGACCGCCGTCCGCGCCGGCGATGCCGGTGTTCCAAGCGTCCGTCTCTCTCGGGCCCGTGGAGATGATGCGCGGGGCCTGGCCGGATGGCGTGGCGACGCGCATGTTCCCGACAACACGCGCACCGCCGGCGTTGGTGTTATCGACGTGCGGACGACGCGCGCGACGACGATCTCCCATGCCGAAAATGTCGGCGCCGACGAAACTTGGACCAGTGTGCATGCGCGGCTGATTTTCAGCTTCGGCGGCCTCGGGGTCGTCCTTGGCGAGGCGCCTTCTGATCAAGTACCCGATCGCCGCGGTGATAGAAAGTGCGAGCCATATGGCGATGAGGCCCCAAAGCGATCCGCAGCGAGCGATGGTGGCGAAAGCGCGCTCGCGCACCACGTGCTCGTCCGACGGACGCGTGTCCTCGTACGTTCCCTTGGTGATGGTTTCCATCGCTCGCTGCACCTTGATAAACATCTCCTTCTTCTTCTGATCGTTCCCAGTCTTATCGGGATGATACTTCATGCTTAAGTCTCTGAATCTCTTACGAATTTGAGTCGACGTCGATGTACGACTGACCCCGAGCACGCGAAACGGATCCTCACCCTCCTCGGTTTCGTATCCCAACAGCGACGCGTATTGCTCGAAATACCACCACAGCTTTTGGTACTCCGGTTTCTTCCGTCGCCGAATTACGCGCTCGAACCAATTCGAATGAAAATATGCCGCGCCGAATATCAACAGTATGGGCATCACCGCCGCGAACGCTACGAGCCAAATGGCGAGCGACCAAAACGCGTTCGGGCCAAAGTACCACCCGCGCACCTCTTGCGCCGTGCTCACCCCTTGATACAGCGTCAACCCGACAAAAAGCTCGCGCACGCCCTCCAAACGCCACACCGTATGCAATATGAACCCAAGAAACGGCACGATCGGCCACAGGTACGGGTACGTCGCGCATTTGAACACCGGAAGCACGCCGGCGGTGATTATCAAAAAGTATCCCAATCTCGCCCTTCCCGCGGCGTGTAACCCCCACTGCACGCCCGCCGACACCGCGCCGTAAAATGCGATCGAAACATACGGCACGCGCGCGCGCCGCCACGACTCTGGATGCACCTTTCCAGCGCGCACGAGCTTTGGAATCATGATCATTTGCTGGCAAATGCCGAAAAACTCGCGCAGGGACCAACTCAAGATGACGTGCGCGATGCTCGCGCACACGCCCTCGACGTCGTCGGAGGACATCATGGCGATCATCATGGCGATTCTGAACCATGGCACGCCCATGGTGGCGACGGCTCTGGACGACCGCCGACCGGTCGTCCACGCCCACCCAGGAGTGAGGTTGTTAGCGGGCGAACGCGCGAACGCCGGGGACGGGCTATTTTAAGCTCTTCACACGCGGTCGCGGATCGACTCGAGGCGCGCGTGGGTTTGAGAGCGATTTTCGACGCTCGGCGGGTTTGCCTCGAAAGCGCGCGCGCGATCGGTGATGGGGACGGATACATTGGAAAAGTTGCGCTCGGCGGCGATGGACGAATTGGACGCGTTTGCGGCGCGCGAGCCCGAGAGGGCGTTGGAGTTAAAGGTGCGATCGGTGAACGGTTCACGCGTGGGATGTGCACACGAATGGGAGCACGTGTCGTCACGTGTGCGTGAGACTGAATGACGCGTTTGTCGTGATTGCGTTAGAAACTTTGCGAAGACGCAGAGGCGAGGCGCGGTCAAATGCGCCGACTCAGAACTCGACTCGAGCAAGTCGCCGATTTTGAACGTGAGACCGCGGCGCAGACGCGAGAAAGCATCGATGCGTTGGAAGCACGCATACGCACGTTAGAAGATCTCGTGCGTGCGCGAGACGCGGCCGTACGGGAAAGCGAACAGGCGAGGCTGACGTTGCTCGAGAAGACGAAACGCCTTCAAGCCGAAGCGTCGACGCGAGCGGACGATCTTGAACTCAACGTGCAACGCGCGAAGCGAATGGAGGAAACAGTTGCGCTATTGACGAGTAAGGTAGCCGATCTCGAGCGCGTGCGCTTGGAAAACACCGAGCTTTACGGTGAGTTGGATGAAAATAAACGCGCCGCCGTCGCGCTCGAACGACAGGTGGACTTGTACAGAGAAACCGCGCGAGCCGCGGAGAGCCGGCAACTCACCGCCGAACTCGCGGCGGCAAAGAGCGAAGCGCTATTGAAGCAATACCTCTCCTCTCCAGCGGGCGAAGACCGTTTACGTCTCGAAAATCGCATCGGCGCGTTGCAAGAAAAGATTCGAGACTTGTCCACGAAGGAATCCCGCCTCGCCGAGCGCTTTCGCACGGTGCTCACCGACGAGCTCGCGAGCACTCGACACGCGCTCGCACTCGAAAAGCTTCGCACGACTAGCACTTTTTAATTTAACCCTATGAGCGTGGCGCGCATGGCGCGATTCAGTTAAAATACTACTAAGCCGCCGTCGTCTCGCTAAGCGCTCTCGTCGCTACGCGTCCGATCGCCCCGCTCGCTCGATCTCGACGCCCCCAAAGACTAATACAAACTCAATTAATCTCTAAGCTCGGCGCGCTCGCGCTCTGCGCTTGCAGCGCGTTCACCTTGCGCAGACTATCCGCCACCGCTTCCTCGGGCGACTCGTAGCTCTGAAAATCCACCTCCACCGCGCCCTCGTTGTACGTGGACGTCGCGTAAAATCCCGCCCCCGCGGCGACGATCCCGATCACCAGCAGCGCGTACTGCGCCGCGTTTCCGAGCCCCTCGAAGCTTTCGCTCTCCCACGGGTCGTCGACGAGCATTTCCGGCGGGAGCGATCGCTGTTTGTCAGCGCTGAGCGGGGTGGGGACGTCGTCTTGCGTCGAGGATTGCGACGTCGCGCGACCGCCTTCGGAGATGATCTTCGGCGTGACGCTCGATCGTTTCTTTGCCGAGCACTTCACGGCGGTGCGCGCGCGCGCGACGGGGGCGCTCGTGGACGCGAGGGCGACGAGCGTGGTCATCGCGCGAGGCGCGGTGTGCGGATAAGCGCGTCGTAGCGGCGAGCGAGCGGTGCGTTACGACGACGACGCGAACGATGAATCGCGCTCTGAAGATGATGACTGTATATTACTTCGCGGATGTCTTGCGCTTGCGGGCGGGCTTGCGCTTGCGTTTGGATTTGCCGGTGCCCGCGGGCGCGCGCTTCTTCGGCGGCGCCTTGGCGGCGACGGCGATGGCCCAGTCGTCGTCGTCTCTGGGGAGTCGACCGGCGCGACGGAGGCAGTTATCGCAGGATTCACCGCAGACTTCGCGAGAAATATGCTCGCCGAGGTACGCGAGCAGAGCAACGCGGCGGCAGCGCGTGCGATCCTCGAGAAAGTCTTGCACCGCCTCGAGAAGCGGCATGGATTTCTCAAGCCGGCTTCGCTTCGAGACGCCTTTTTGGGGCATCTTGATGAGTCGCTCGATGCGGCCGATATCGCCACGAGCGTAGAGCACGACACCCTTGGCTGGAAGTCCATCGCGACCGGCGCGCCCGACTTCTTGATACAAGCCTTCAAGACTTTTTGGCGCGCAATGATGGACAACCCAACGCACGTTTGGCTTGTCGATGCCCATTCCGAAAGCGATTGTGGCGCAGCACACGGAGACTTCGCCGCTCATCCATTTATTCTGCACAGCGAGACGTTGTGAATCTGTCATCCCGGCATGATACGCCGCCGCACTCGGACCCGGTGGAAGATGTTCGCGCTGACGACGCAAGCGTGCGTCATTCAGCGCTTTCGCCACGTTCGCTGTTTCGTCGCGCGAGAGGCAGTACACGATGCCGGCGTTGTTGGGGCCAAACTCTTGGGCGATCCAATCGGCAAACTTTTCCAAGTCGTACAAATCTCGTTTAGGCATCACCGTGAATGAAATATTCGGGCGGTTGAAAGTCACGACGAAAGACTTTGCCGTCTTCGCAATCTTTAATATCTTCATCACGTCGGTGCGAACCGCCATCGTCGCCGTCGCCGTCAACGCCGTGATGGGAACGTTTGGATAATTTTTCCGAAGCGAGCCCAAAGCCTTATAATCTGGTCTAAAGTCGTGCCCCCAGGACGACACACAGTGCGCTTCGTCGATGACGAACCGCGTCAACAACCCATTCCTGTCTAACTGATCCATTATGTCTGCCAGCGTCGAGCTCGATGCGAGTTTTTCTGGGGTCACGTACAGCAATCGAATCGTCGGCTTTCGCTTTCGTAATTCGCGCAGAACCGCCACTGCGTCTCCTTGCGACTGCGCAGAGCTAAGAAACGTCGCAGGAATGTTGAAGTCTTTCACTAAGTGCGATACCTGATCCTGGATGAGAGACAGGAGCGGCGAGCACACGATGGTGACGCCACCTTGTAAAATCGCGGGTAGCATGTAACACAACGACTTCCCACCGCCAGTTGGCATTAAGACGAAACAATCTTCGCCCCGAACGCTCTGCTCGCAAATTTCTCGCTGACAGTGCCGGAACGAGGCATTCTTGAAAATCATCGTGTTCGCTAAATCAAAATCGTCCATATCTTCCCAATTCGTCGGCACCGCCGTCGACGTGGTGGGACGCTGAACATTCGCTATGTCCGTGTTTCTGCGCACATCCGACGCCGCGACGGTCGTTATCGCGCGCACATTCGCACTCGATCGAACCACGGGCGGCTTCACGCCCGCCATCGCCAGTACAGCCTCCCCGCGTCGAAACTCCACACCGTTGCTCGTGCCTCGCCCGACGAACGCGGGCGCCGTCGACTTCCCGTACCCATTCTCTCTCGTCCACGCCACGCTCCCTCCCAAAACATCTCGACCCGCCACACGCTTCGCTAACTCGCGTTCGCGCTCGGAATCCTCGTCTGAATCGCTCAAAATCACCACGCTCTGACTCGTCGCCGCCGCGTTCGATCGCCGGCGCGTCCTCGGCGGCGACAAATCGCTCTCCGACTCCAACTCCACCACATCAACGCTCGCCGTCGCCACGACATCGCGACCACGTTTCACGCGCTCGCTCTCTTCGCCCGCGTCCTCATCCGCGTCCTCGATCTCATCCTCCGTCGTCTCTTCGTCGTCGTCGCTCTCCGTCAGCTGTCGCTCGCGACAAAACTGCACAAACTCCTCACCCACGATCTCCGCCCGCACCTCGCTCGCGTGCTCGTCGAACGGCTTCAAAAACAACTCCACCGCGCGCGCCGCGACCGCCTCGCGCACCCCGACGCTCGTCGCGCGCGCGACGAGCTCGCGCTGATTTTTTGAACACTTCCAGCGCCCCGTCGCGCGCTCCCTCGCGGCGGGCGTCGCGCGCTCCCTCGCGGCGCGCTCGAACATGGCGGCGATGCCGCTCGCGCGCGGCGCCGCCGTCGCGCGCGGCGCGCGCGCGCGCGCGCGAGACGCCATCGCGCGCGAGTCTGCGGCACTTCGCGTCGACGAGGACGCGCCGACGCGCCGACGCGACGCGCGCGCGACGACGCCGGGGCGCCGAACGAAACGCGCGGGATGTCGATCGCGGCGCGGGGCGGCGCCGCGACGCGCGTCGGGCGCGAGCGACGCGCGCGAGGGATGAATCGGACGTGGAATTGGGTCGCGCTCGTCGCGCTCGCGTTCGCCGCGGTGGCGCGCGCGGAGACGCTCGTTGACGTTGAGCTCGCGGTCGCGGATGACGTCGGCGCGAGCGTGCGCGCGCGCGCGGGACGACGCGCGCTCGGGGCGAAACCGGCGGTGCAGGCGCCGGAACCGCCGCCGCCGCCGGCGACGAAGAAGGAGCGGTTGCGCGCGCAGTTTGAACTCGCGAGAGAAGACGCGGAACGCGCGCCTTGCGCGCCGAGTAAGGTGCAGGGCGGACGGGAGGCGAAGTGCGATCACGTGCGCTCGACGGACGCGTGTGACGGGCGGTTGAAGGCGTATTTGGAATACTCGTATTGCGACGACGAAGCGTTCGGGATGCAAAACATGGTGACGCCGGTGATCGGGTTGACGCTCATCGCCGTCGCGTCGACGTATGCGTTGGCGGTCGCGGCTGGGACGTTTTTCGTGCCGGCGTTGGAGTACACGGCGACGTTGATGAAGATTTCTCCGGAAGCCGCGGGGGTGACGCTGTTGGCGTTGGGTAACGGCGCGCCGGATCTTTACGCGCAAGTGTCAGAATTAAGTGAAGGCGTGCTTCCGGACCTCAACGTCGTCATCGGTTCGACGCTCGGTAGTGGGTTCTTCATCGCCACCGTCGTGCTCGGCGTGGTGATTCGGGCGTCGCCGAACGCCGTCGTGATTAACAAGGACGCGCTCGGAGCGTCCATGGGATTGTTCGCCGTGGCGAACATCGCTTTGCTGTTGGCGATGTGCTTCGGTACGTTTAAGATGTGGTATACTATGACGTTCTTCGTCTCCTACGCGACGTACTTTTGCTTCATCGCGTTTCGCGACACCTCGATTCACGACGCGCAAGGCGACAGGCCGTCGTTGGAAGAGGGCAAGGGGGAAAAGCGACTCGAGCCGTTGTTCGACTTAGCATCGCAAAAAGGTGGTCCAGATGACATCAAAGGCTCGGTGCGCCCGATGAAGACGACGGCGAAAGACGGTGACGGCATCGTCGCCTCCGCGACGGCGGACATGAATGTGTACGAGAAGAAGTTGGCTTTGATCACGGTGCCCGTGCGCGTGGCGATGGCGTTCACGATGCCCGTCGTTCGCGCGGGAGACATGGATAAATTTTACGCCGTCACGTTGGGATTCATCGGACCGTTCTTCTTCTTGTGCGCACCCGGTAACGAATTCATGAGCGTCATCGGGTCGGACGAGGCGACGACGATGTTGTACAACATCGCCGTCGCCGGCGCGTGCAGCTTTGGCGTCGCCGCCGTCGTCAGCACAAAATACAAAGCGACCCCGCTTCCCGCATCCACAGAATTCGCCTCTATGTTCGCATTCGTGCAATCCATCTGTTGGATGCACTTGATGTCCAACGAGCTCGTCATGTCGTTGGGTGCGCTCGCGAAAATCTTTGGCATCGACGAAGAAGTTTTCGGCGTCTCCTTCGTCGCGTGGGGCGACGGCATCGGCGATCTCGTCGCCTGCCACGCCGTCGCCAAGGCTGGTCAAGTCACCATGGCCGTCGTCGCATGTTTTGCTGGCCCTGTCTTCAACTTGCTCATCGGTCTCGCCAGTTCCATCGCCTTTCTCACCACCATCTTGGGCGACCTCCCTTTCAACGTCAAGCAGGGCGAAATCGTCTTGGCCGTCGGCTCCCTGTTCTCCGTGATGTTCACCATCTCCCAGCTCCGTCACCGCTCGCCTCGCGAGTTCGAAATCCCACGTTCGTTCGCCAACGCCGCCTTCGCGACGTACGGCGCGTTTTTGCTCATCTACCTCTTGTGCGAGGCGCGGCTTTTATTCGTCTCCAAGCTCGCGTCGTGAAGTCGCGCGTTGTAATCTCATCTCATCGCACTCATCGCGCGCGTTCCGCACACGCGCGCGCGCGACGCCGCACCTCTCGCGCGCGATGTCCCGCTTCCTCTGGGAGACCTCTGGCGCGTACCGCGCCCTCGTCCGCGTCACCGCGCGCTCAAAACTCGCCATGGGCGTCTTCGTCGTCGTCTCCTGCGTCGCCGTGCCGCTCGGCGCGACGTACGCGGTGATGGGCGCGACGAACCCCGAGGGCGCCGAAGACGCGCGCGCGCGAGAGGTGCTCGCGGGACGCGGGATGTCGGGACGACGCGAATCGCTGGACTCGCGAATGCTGCGAGAGAGGAACAGACAGAATTTGATGGACATGCTGCGAGACGCGAACGATGGAGGAGCCAACATGGACGCGCGGTGGAAAAAGGCGCTCGGGAAGCGAACGTAGGGATTTTTGTCGCGCGAAGGGCGTTAGATTTAGGGACTGTATTGCTACTATCGATGATTTTAATTTAATTTAATTTACGGCGCGCGGCGCGCGTCGAGCGCCCGGAGCGCGCGCTCGGCGACGTCGGCGCCGATCGCGTCCGCGGGTCCGGCGCCCTTGCCCTGACACGCACCGACGGCTATGATGTTCGCGCCTGGGCCTAGTGTTTGAATTTTCAACGAACCGTCGTCGGACGTGGAGTACGCGCACGCCTTGGACGTCAAGCTTTGGAAATTCGTCGAAGGAAACAAGTGGAATAAGATTTCTTGGAGCTGATCCGCCACGACTTCGTCGCCGTCGCTGGACATCCAATCCGCGAGCTCGCGTTCGGTGCGAGCCCAACTCGGGTCGCTCTTGTCGAAGTAGTCGAGCGGGCCTCCACCGATCTTGATGTACCACCCCGGCGCGGGTTCGGGGCCCGGGTAATAAATCGGCGGCAACACGTAGACGGATTTCGCCTCGTTCACGCTGTGATCGCTCCCTCCGCCCGACGACGCGCGCACGCGCGCCGCATCGAGCACGGCTCGAGGTACCTCGTACTTGATCGTGGGCATCGTCGCGAGCGCGCCGAGCGCTTCGGACTCGAGCACCTCGGCGAGTAAAACGGTGCGCCGCGCGATTTTCACGTCGCCGAAATCCGCGCTCGCGTCGTCCGTCAATAACCCGCACTCGCGCGCCAGGGGCTCGGTGTAGAACCCACACGCGAGCACACACACGTCACACGCGTACGTCTCCCCCGTGGACGTGCGCACCTCGCACTCGCCCGTCGCCGCGTTCGATTCCACGCGTTCGCACGTCGTCCGCGTCACCGTCGCCCTCCCCTCGCTCGCCCTCCGCATCAGCGCGTTCTGCGCCGCTCGCATCGCGTGCGGGTTCACGTACCCCCCGACTTCGTCCCACACCGCCTCGTACTCGCTCGGAATCCCATCTCGCGCGAGAAATCCCCACGCCTCCGCGACGCCGCCGTCCGCGTTCGTCCTTCGCTCGTGCGTCACCCCTCGCGCTCGCAACCGCGCCGCCCCTCGCTCCACGAACGCCTCGCTCCCGATCGCCAGCGACCCTTTACGCGTGAAAAACTGTATCCCGCTCAGTCGCTCCGCTTCCTCGAACCCATCGATCGATCGCGCGTTCAGCGCCGTCCACTCGTCTCGTCCCTCCGCGTCGAGCGGCCGCGCGATGCGTCCCAGATCATCGCTCCCGCTCCGCAGCCGCTCGCTGTCCAGCACCGCCACGCGCAGCTCCGGTCGACGCTCGCTGACGTGCCTCGCGCACGCCGCGCCGATCGGCCCGTTCCCGGCGACGACGACGTCGACGCGCGTCGCCGTGCGTGGGTCCTCGTTCATTCGCGCCGTCGCGTCGCGTCGCCCGCGGTCACCGCGCCGCGCGCGCGACGCGACGCGACGGCGCGCGACGCCCGCTCGCGTCGTCGACGCGCCCGCGCCCGCGCGCGACATGTCGCGCGCGACTCTGCCGCGACGCCGTCGGCGCGGCTGCACGAAACGAAGACGCGTCGCTCACGAATCAATCAATCGGTGGTAATACAACGCGAATCGCGTCGACGCGTCGACGCGACGCGATTCGGGCGACGACCGGTGCGTCGCCTCACCGCGCGTCGCGCCCGCGGTCGCTCGGACGCCTCGCTAAATCCCGTCGCCTCCGCCCCGCGCGCGTCCTCGCAGCAGCGTCGCCTTGGCCTCGTTGATCTTCGTGCTCAGAAACGCCGACCCGCCCGCGTCGGGATGGTTCGCCATCATCACGCGTCGGTGCGCGTCGAGCACGCGCTGCCGCGCCGCGCCCTCGCGGACGCCGAGGATGAGCGCGGCTTCGCGCCGGGTCATCGTCGCCTCGAATCCGCCGTGGTAAAACGCGCGCGCGCGCGGGCCGGCGAGCGCCCACGCCTCGACCGTCGTCACGACGGCGCGCGCGGCGAGCGCGGTCGCGGCGACGGCGAGGCCGGTGACCAGGGGCGTGGCCATCCGCGCCGCGCGTCGAGGAGTGACGACATCGGCGACGCCCCGCGACCGCATTCGACGACGTGCGCGCGACCGCGACGCGTCGATCGCGGCGATCGCGGCCGCGACGCGCGACGGACGCGCGCGAGACCGCGCGAGGGACGTCGACGGGGGTCTCGCGATGCCGCCGCGACGGTCGGCGCGGTCGAAATCGCCGGCGAAAGCGACGAAGGATGCGATTGCGAACGCGGCGGCGGACGCGACGGCGACGAAACGACGACCGGACGCGCGCGAGGCGACGGACGAGGGCGCGCGGACGGTGAAAGCGGCGCGAACGGCGCGAGGGACGGCGGCGGGGCGGGGGAGCGCGCGTGGGGGGGGTAGTAGAGGGTTGACGACGCGCGCGATCGAGGACGACGCGCTGTTCGCGACGGCGCGAGAGACGTGGCGGCGAAACGACGGCGAAGCGGCGTACGACGGCGAGGTGGTGCGAAAGATTTACGAGGAGGAGCTTGGGGGGGGGAGAGCGGCGGCGGCGACGGGGCGATTGCAGGTTTTGGACGCGACGGGGTACGCGGAACGGTTTCTCGCCGTCGGCGCGCGCGATCGAGGGAATTGCGATCGAGCGCTCGTGATGTCGGTGATTTTAGGGGTGAATGAAAAGTTTCGACAAGGCGTGGACGGATTCGGGGCGTTCGCGGGAGAGGAAGGCGCGACGGCGTTTCGGAACGCGCTCGAGAGCGCGCTCGACGCGTACGCGTCGTTGACGACGATCGAGAAGACGGCGTGCTTGATGTTCCTCATCAAGACGTTTGCGAGTTTGGAAAACGAAGCCGTGCGCGCGGTTGCGCTGCCGTTGGTGTCGCTGCCGCTGTGGAACAAACTCAGCGAAGGGCGTTTGCAATTGGAATTGACCAAGCACGAGTCGCTCGCGAAGCATCACTCGAAAATGTTGAAAAAGGAAGCCAAGACGGCGAAAAAGGCGGCCGAAGCGGGAGAAGCGCACGTGCCGATCGGAGAACGCCGCGAGTCGTGCTGGCTCGTGCGCGTGATTGATGATTTCGTGTCGTACGCCTCGGACGCGACGGACGAGGACGGCGTGCGCTTTTGCGAACGGTTCATGGAGTTGGTGATTGATTTACTCTCTCAGCTCCCCACGCGTCGCTTCACGCGCACGCTCATGAGCGACAAGGCGTTGCTCGTGAAAGCACGCATGGTTCCGTTGTACACGGCCCCGAACGGTCGCCTGTACGCGCAGTTGGTCGATTTGTTCACATTTTACCAGTACTTTGAAATCGACGATCACACGGGCGCGGCGCTCAAAGACGAAGAAGTCGCGTCCGCACACTACGATCGCTTGCTTCAGCTGCAAAGGTTAGCGTTCAAGTACATCCCAAAGTTGAAAGATCTCGCGCTCGGGAACTGCGCTGGGATCGAGAGAAGAAAGAACTTGATTCAGCACCTCGCCGTGCTCGAGCCCGAGGAGTTGTTCAAGCTCGTCACAGCGCAGCTTCGTTTGGTGGATCCGAATGATCCGTGGGCGAAGGACCCGAAATTTTTGTTAGAGGTCATGGTCAACGTGTTCGAAAAAAGGCGCAGTCAGCGCCAGATGATAAACTCCATGCCGCTCTACCCGAACGAGGACGTTTTGTGGAACGAAAACATCATTCCGAGCATCGAGTACGACGGTCAGGGCGCGTTGGCGTTGCCCAAACTCAACTTGCAGTTTTTGACCATGCACGATTACTTGCTTCGAAATTTCAACTTGTTCCGCCTGGAAGCGACGTATGAAATTCGCGAGGACCTAGCTGATGTGTTGAAGCGCATGCAGCCCGTCGGCGATGGCAGCGGTGCTCGCGCGCGTTTCAACGGCTGGGCGCGTATGGCGATAGAAATTCCTTCTAACGGCGTCGAAGTCGTTGAGGTATGTAAGCCGAACGTCGGTGAATCGAAGCCTGCCGCGGTGACGATTGAGGTTTCAGTGGACTTTAAAAATGCGCGTCCTGACGTGCGAGAGGAATGGGATCGATTGCGCGTGCATGACGTCGTCTTTATGCTCGACTGCGAGGGCGTCGGTCCGAGCTCGAGCGAAGCTAAGAATCCTGGAGAAAAGTTCGGTCTTCGCCACGTGCGCGGTGCCGAAGTGATTGATATTCGTGATGGGTATGGGACGTACTTGAAAGAGTTTAGGTCAAGAAATCCGAACCCACGCGAAGACGACAAGCCACCGAAAACCGTCACCGGAACGCGTCGCATCTTTACGCTTGCGCTCGACACGGCGCAGTATCAAATGGACGTGAACAAGCAGAAAGAAGGAGGCGAAAACGTCTACAATCGACTGAACGTGCTCGTTCGCCGCGAAGCGAAAGAAAATAACTTCAAGGCGATCCTGGCGTGCATTCGAGACTTGATGAACACCGACGTCAGCGTTCCAGAGTGGCTGCACGACGTGTTTTTGGGTTACGGCGATCCCTCCGCCGCTGCGTTGTTGAACACACACGAAGCCTTGCACACGATTGATTTCAAAGACACTTTCTTGGATGAGCAACACCTAGTGGAATCGTTCCCGAATCATAAAGTTTCGTGGAAGAACAAGGCGAAGAAGCACATCGCACCATTTCGCGTCACGTTTCCGAAACCGGAAGACGAGACTCAAGACACAATTGAAGTGGAATCGTACGTCCGTCCTGATCCCGGTCCGTATCCGGAAGATCAGCCGAACACGAACCAAGTTCGTTTCACGCCCGTACAAGTTGAAGCGATTCGCGCCGGGTTAAACCCGGGATTGACCATGGTCGTCGGTCCGCCCGGTACGGGGAAGACGGATACGGCGGCGCAAATCATGCACTGCCTGTACCACAACGAGCCGGGTCAGCGTACGCTTCTCATCACGCATTCCAACGCGGCGCTGAACGACTTATTCATCAAGCTTCTTCAGCGCGATGTCCCAGCGCGCTATTTGTTGCGTCTCGGCCAAGGCGAATCCGAACTCGACACAGACTTGAGTTTTACTCGCGCCGGCCGCGTCGACGCCATGTTGACCAAGCGCTTGGAGATTTTGGCTGAAGTCGAAAAGCTCGCGGATTCGATCGGGCTCAATGGTGAGGATGTTGCGTACACGTGTGAAACTGCGGGATTCTTTTGGAAAATTCACGTGCTGGCGAAGTGGGAAAAGTTCACCGCCGACTTTGATGCGAGCGACGAAAAGAACTTCGTGGAGACGTCGTTCCCATTTAAGGATTATTTCGCCTCGGCGCCGAACCAGCCACTTTTCTTGGGCAAAGACAAAGAAGAAGACTTTTCGCGCGCAAAAGGCTGCATGCGGCATCTGCAGGTGATGTTCACCGCCTTGGAAGAGTGTCGGGCGTTCGAATTACTTCGTACGCAAGGCGACCGCTCCGAGTACTTGCTCACCAAGCAAGCGAAGATCATCGCCATGACGTGCACGCACGCCGCGTTGAAGAGACATGATTTCATCAAGCAGAGCTTGCGATACGACAACTTGATCATCGAAGAAGGCGCTCAGATTCTCGAAATCGAAACCTTCATACCGATGTTACTTCAGAAGAATGAAGACGGTCACTCGCGTCTCAAGCGCGTCGTCATGATTGGCGATCACAACCAGCTTCCACCCGTGGTGAAGCACATGGCGTTTCAAAAGTATTCGAACATGGATCAATCCATGTTCGCTCGCTTCGTGCGTTTGGGTACGCCGTACACGCAGCTTGACGCGCAAGGTCGTGCGCGCACCGAGTTGGCCAACTTGTACAACTGGCGTTACAAAAACTTGGGCAACCTCCCGAACACGCAAACGGGGCCGTACACGCTCGCGAACGCGGGATTCGCCCATCCGTTGCAATTCGTGGATGTTCGTGGAGAAGAGTCGACACCGACGCCGTTCTTCTACCAGAATCTCACCGAAGCGGAGTATATCGTCAGCGTGTACCAATACATGCGCATGTGCGGCTACCCGGCTGAGAAGATTTCCATCTTGACGACGTACAACGGGCAAAAGAATTTGCTTTGCGACGTCGTGAATCAAAGGTGCACGAATCACCCGTTATTCGGCGCGCCCGCTCACGTCACGACCGTGGACAAGTTCCAAGGCCAACAAAACGACTTCATTTTGCTTTCGTTGGTGCGCAGCAAGACTGTCGGTCACTTGCGAGACGTCCGTCGTATGGTCGTTGCGTTTTCGCGCGCGCGATTCGGCTTGTACGTCTTCGGCAACTGCGACATGTTCTCCGAGTGTTTCGAGTTAGCGCCGGCGTTCGAGACGCTGGCCAAGTACCCTACCACACTCGAATTGTGTGTGGGCGAAAAGTACGGCGCGTGCGATCGCAAGACGAGCGATCAAGGCGAAAATACCGAAACAATCGCCGACGGCGCCGCCATGGGTTCGGCGGTAAACACGCTTGCGTCGCAGTGGCAAGCGAGCCAAATGGCGGTGCACGCCAAAAAATAGTCAACCATCTTAGGCGATTATCGTTGTCAAATAAGCAGGATCGATCATGGATTCAAACCCTTCCCTCGACGCATTCGCTTCGCGCCTGGAATCCTCCGTCGCTTCGCGCGAGACTGAGATTCCGAAAATCCCTCAAAGATCTCCATTCGCGCGCGCGCCCATCGTCCGCGATGGACGACCTCGACGTCGATTTCGACTTCGAGGACAAGCTCGATGTCAACGACACCCAACCCCAGGCCCCGCCGCCCGAGCTCAACGAGCGCGGGCGTAAAAACTACCGTCAAACCGTGTGCAGGCACTGGCTGCGAAACTTGTGCATGAAGGGCAACGCGTGCGGGTTCCTGCACCAGTTCGACAAGTCCCGCATGCCCACGTGTCGGTTTTTCGCAAAGTACGGCGAGTGCAAGGAACCGGATTGTCCGTACAAGCACTCGTTGGAGGACATGAAGGATTGCAACATGTACAAGCTCGGGTTCTGCATTCACGGGTCGCTGTGCAGGTTTAGACACGTGAAATTGCCGGGACCGCCGCCGCCGGTGGAAGAACAGGCGCTGATTGGACAACCGGGACACCTGCACGGGGCGAAGTCGTTTAAACAGCGCGAACGGGAGAAGATGATGTCGCAGGCGTTGGCGCCGAGGCCGGAGGCGGACTCGACGTTTAAGCCGCCGCCGTTGCCGCCGGGACCGCCGCCGAAGGATGCGAAAAAGCTGGAAGAAAGGTTGGCGCTGCCGCCTACGACGATAGAGCATACTGGACACGATGCTGGACGGGTGTCGGTGCCCCCACCGCCTACGATGCAGGCACCGGCGCAGAGGACGGAGCCGCCGGCGAGACCTAGCGCGCCGCCGGGCAGGCCAAGCGCGCCGTCGAGGGCGCCGACGGGGGCGCGTCCGCCCGTCGCTCCGCCGGGAGCGCCGCCGGGTTTACCGCCGGGCGTGTCTGCGCCCGCGGCACCGGCGGCGAAATTGCGCGGATGGGGTGCGGGAGGCGTGAAGCGTAAAGCCGAATCCGCGCCCGAAGTACCGGAGGCGGATGGATTTCCGGGCGCGGCGTAACTAGTCTGTGTTTGTTTAGCAAGTTTGTTAGAATCATTACAACGTTCACACTCACTAGATAAAAAATCATTTCCCCCAATCGTCATCGCCCCAGTCTTCATCCGGTTCTTTCGCGGACTTTTCCTCTTCCGAGTCGCTCACGCCCCACTCGTCGAGTGCGCTCGCGGACTGCGTTCGACTCGACGAACGGCTCGCATTTTGGTTCGCGCGCTGCGGCTGCGGCCGCGGCTGGCTCTGCGCGCTCTGAAAACTCGACGAGCTGCCGAATCCAGCGTACTTACCGCCTTGCGATGGGGGTAAGTTTGACGGACGATGCGAGTTTTCGGCTTGCTTACGGGCGAAGAAGTCGTCTCGCTGCGCGGCGACGGGATCGCGATCGCGCCGCTCTGCGTCGTCCCAGCCCGCGCCCCAACCGTCGTTTTTCCGTTGTGCGTATTGCGGGTCGGCGCTGTTACCGCCGCGAGGAAATCCATCGTCGAATCCCGTGGTGGGGATATCGCTCGTCAAGGTTTCGATCGACTTCATCGCTTGCCCGGAGACGGCTTTGAAAAAACCCCAACCTTGCTTCGCGAGTTCCGACGCCTTATTCGCCGCCACGGTCGCGGTTTGCGACGCGCGATGCTGAAGCTGATCGTAGTCTCCGTCAGAGATGTTGCTCACGATGGACGACGTCGCCTGCGCCGCGCGGTTCGCCGCGCTCATCGTAAACTGCCCGAGCTTGGACGTCACGTTGCTCACCTGCCCGATGATGGCCTCGAACTCGTCCTCCTGCCGCGGCGCGCCGCCACCGCCCGATCCAAACCCGACGTACTTCCCGCCCTGACTCGGATGCAACCCCTCGGGCTTATTCGCGTTCAACGCTTGCTGCCGCGCGAAGAACGCGTCCTTTTGCGCCGCGCTCGCCGCGTACTCCGACGCCGTGTACTCCTCTCCCGGTCTCGCGCCCGCGCGTCCGCGCCCTCGCCCGTCGTCTATCCCACCATCATTCCACCCCCCCCCATCGCCTCCGTGCCCTCGTCCTCGGCCCTCCGCGTCTCGACGCGTCTCCGCGTCTTCTCGCCGCGCGCCTCGCTCGACCCGCGTCGGCGCCGTCCACGCCTCCCCGTTCGCCTCCGCCGCGACCTTCTCCCTGAACACCCGCGCCGCGTCGGAATTATACTTTTCCTTTATCGCCGTCCGTCTCGGCACGCCGTGTCGCTCCAAGAACGCGTTCAACGCGTCGTTCCCGCCCGCCCGCATCTTCGCCAGCTGCGCCGCGCTCCACGAATCCATCGACGCCGATCGCACGAAGCTCACGTGCACGCCCAGCGATCTGTGCACGCCCGAGCACTCCAAGCACACGAACGCGCCGTGCGACACGCTCGCCCACTGCGGGTTCTTCGTCTCGCAGTCCGCGCACTGCGCGTTGCCGTCCGCGCGCTGGAGCGCGCGAAGCGCGTCGCGCGCGTCCGGCGACGCCATGGCGCGCGTCGAGCGCTCGACGTCCCGAGCGCGTCGAGCGATACAGCGAGACGCGCGTCCGAGACGATCGAGAGACGCGCGCGCGCGTCCGGCCGCGATCGCGCGGCGCGATGGCGAGATTCGCGATCGGAATCTCCGCGTCCGAGACGTCCGAGACGTCCGAGACGATCGAGCGACGCGAGCGTTCGCGAACGGCAGTCGCGCGCGCGCCCACACGCGATCGAGGCGCGCGTGCGATACGACGAACGCGGCGTCGCGATGCCGAGCTTCCGCGATCGCGCGCACGCGGACGCGCGCGCGGCGCGCGCGGCGCCGGCGTACGCGCACCCGACGGCGAAGGAGCGCGAGTCGATGGCGCAGATGCGCGCGTGGTTGGCGCGCGATGGATCGGCGCTGCCGCGCACGATGACGCGCGCGGAGTGCGGTGGGGAAGAGCGCGCGCTGTTGAAGTTCGTGCGGGCGAGGAAGAGCGCGGAGAAGTCGTACGAGATGCTGAGGAACACGCTGGCGTGGCGGGCGAGGGAACGCGTGGACGCGTGCCTGTCGGAACCGATCGACGACGATAAATTGAAACACGTGGAGAGGATACCGGCGTATTACGCCGGGTTCGGGAAGACTGGACATCCGATCTACGTCGAGCACACGGCGGTGATTCCGTGGCCGACGATATTGGAGCACATGACGGCGGATGAGTTTTTGAAGAGTCAGGTGCAGACGCTCGAGTGGCAGGCGAGCGTGGTGTATCCGGAGGCGTCGCGACGGGCGGGGGAGCCGATCACGCAGGTGATTAACGTTTGGGATTTGAAAGGGCTCACCATGAGTGGGTTCACGAGCGAGATCAGGGCGTTCGTGAAGAAGGCGAGCGCGGTGGCGCAGGACAATTATCCCGAAGGATTGTACGCCGCGTACATCGTCAACGCCCCGAAGATTTTCTCCTTCGTTTGGGCGGTGGTTAAGCAGTTTTTAGACGCTAAAACGGTGGCTAAGGTGCACATTTACGGCAGTGGGTCGAAAATGTACGAAAAACTCTTAGATAGGCTCGGGCCGGCGACGCTGCTGCGCAAGGAGATGCTGTGCTGCCGGACGAAAGAAATCGGCGAAGCCGAGGCGGCCGCCGGGTTGCAACCCGCGCACGGTGCCACGCAAGAATGGATCAAATCGCAGCTAAAGGGCGAGGAACCCACGGGTGGGGCCGCCCCTGGATCGCTCCGTCGCGAGAGTAGCACGCAGAACCTGTACGACGTCTTCTTCGACGCCGCATCCGAACTTCCGCCGTCGTCCATGACCGAAAGGGAACTCGAACGATACGCGACGACAAAAGACTCGTTCGGACTGGCGAGCGAACAACCCGATGCGCTCGCACCGGATGTCGTGGACGAGAAGCAGAAGTGTTGCAAATGTTGCTAGCGCGTCGCCGCGATAGTCAAAGTGACGACCGAGGACACGCATCGTAGCCAATCTTGTACATTCTAGCATGCAATAACTTATAATAACAGCGACATCCGTCGTTCAAATCATTTTACATCGTCACCATCGTCTAGTACGACGGCGATTCATAATCTAAGAAGAGTGTGTACACGAGAGGAACGCGCTCGAGTCGAGCGCGTCTAGAAATCAACCTCCGGTTGTTGCGTCGGCAAAAGTGAAAACCGCTTCTTCAGCGCGACTCGTTGCTTCGAAAACTTATCATCCGGCGAAAATCTCGCCGGGTGCGCCGATTGCGTCGGCGTTCCATCCGGGGCGGTTTTCTGCGTCGCGAAATCCGGCGCGTCAGTCGCGCGTCCGTAGGGTTGCGTCGCCTCGCGCGCGCGTCGCGAATTCGCCTCGCGCGTCGTCGCCCGCGCTCGCGCACCTTGAGCGTGTACACCCGCTCGCCCTTCTCGTTCATGTAATACATCAAGTACCTGCGTTCGTTCGCGCGCGTTCGACGCGCGTCAGTCGCTCGCGTTCGCGTCCCGTCGCCGCTCGAAATTCCGGCGGCGGCGATCGCCTCTCGGCGTTTCCGCGCCGTCCCCGTCCCGCGTCCGCGACGCCGCGTCCGCGTCCGCGATCGCGCGCGCGTCGCGCGATTCTCGCCCGCGCGTCGCGTCGTCGCGTCGTCGCGTCGTCGCGCGCACGCACATGTCGCTCGTGACCTCGCGTCGCGCAATGCCGAATCGGCATTCGCCGGCGCGCCATGTCGCGCGCGCTGCGGCGCCTCGCGCGCGCCAAGCACGACGCGGCGACGAATCCCATGGGGTTCCTGCTCGAGAACCCGCTGAAGCTGTACCGCGATTGCATGCGGTTGGCGGATTTCTTGGCGCACAAGCAGGGACACTCCAGGGACGCGCTGCGCGCGACGGTGCGAGCGCCGTGGAGGACGCACAGGGACGAGCGCGATCCGGAAAAAATCGTGGCGCTGCGAGAGAACGCGGTGCGGGGGCTGTCGAATTACATGATGTACGAGGCGTCGCGGGGCGCGATGGCGGGGACGCCGGCGTTCGCGAAGGAGGACGAGGAAGAGCGACGAGAGTAGACGAGAGTAGACGAGAGTAGACGCGAAGGATGTAACATATTGCGATTTGATGGTTTCACGAGTCGCTAGTGCGCCGCGTCGCCGCGAGCGAGCGCTCGCCAGAGGCAACCGCCGAGCATGACGATTTGAGGATACGAAAACGCCGCAATCGAAATCGCGAACGTCAACGAGAATGCGTGCTTGATTCGTCGCTCTTGCGTCGGAATCGGCCGCAGCGCTAAACCGAAGGCAATTTGATGCGTTATGAACATGCTCAGCGCGTAGAGCCAAAGAAATGCACGACTGTCGCTTCTCGGCACGCTCGCCCTTCGCAAAGGAATGATGAAGAACCCGACGCCCATGAGAATTCCCAAACCGAAGCAATACGACATCGCCAGCGCTGGTCCGATGGGAATACCGAGCAACAACCGCAAGCACACCCACACCGAGCAAAACGTGGTCAAGAAGATCCAAATCACGTCCCCGACCGCGGGTCCGTATTCGCGCGCGTCGTCGCCTCGATCTCGTTCCGACGCGACGCCGGCTCTCCTGAGAAGTCGTCCCACGAAGCTCTCCGGCACGTCAAACTGCGTCGACTCCCTGCACACTTCGCACACGTTCGATCCCTTCGTTCGCAACCACTTCTCCGCGCACGTTTCGTGGACGTAGACGCCGACGCACGCGCACTCGAGTTTCACCAGCCTTGACTCTGGCAACTCCTCGACGTCGCAGAGACACACTCGGCACACGGCATCGGCGGGCGCGTCGTCGTCGGATGGGCGTGGCGCCGGATGTGTCGCGGATGGGCATGGCGTCGACGCATCGACGCGCGGCGGCATGACGTTCGGGTCGAGTGACGAGCGTCATTGTGTGCGTCGGCGCGCTCGAGACGGTTCGCGTTCCACGAGGCGATCGCGGTGGTTAATACAACAACAACAGCGAGGCTGGCGGATAGCGCGACGGCGATCACGCGGACGCTTCTTTCGCTTCTTCGTCCTCGTTCGTCGCGTCCGCGACGGCTTCGGTCGGTTCGATCGGTGCGTCGGCGGGTGCGTCGGCGGTCGGCGCGGCTTCGATCGGCGGCGGCTCGAGATCGTGCAAGCCGTGCGCCTCCAACGCGGCTTTCGCTTCGGCCTCCTCCTTCAGCGCGGCGCGCTTCGCGCGCTCGTCGGCTAATTGCCTGGCGGCTTCTTTGTTTGCCTCTTCTTCCTTGATCGCGCGCTTGATGAGCTTGGCGCAGTCGTCGTGCCCCTTTTTATTGGCGATTTGGCGCGGCGTCTTCCCCTTGGCGTCGACGGCGGCGGTGTTCGCGCCTCGCTTGAGGAGCAAACCGACGACGTCTTCGTACCCACCGCTGCACGCGGCGTGAAGTGGCGTCGCACCTTTTCCATCGAGCGATTCGATCTGCATGTCACTATCGAGCAAGAGTTCGACGACGTCGTCGTGGCCTTTTCTCGCGGCGAGATGCAGCGCCGTGGCGCCGTTGCCCGCGCGCGTCTCGACGTCGCACCCAGCCTTGATCAAGCGACTCACCACGTTGACGTGTCCTTTAGAACACGCGACGTGTAACGCGTTGTTATCGCAGTCGTCCTGCGCGTCCAAGTTTGCACCGCTCTTGATCAAGAGCTTCACCATCTCGACGTTGCCCTTGGCGGCGGCGACGAGCAACGGCGTCGTCGAATCTTCCTCCGACTTCGGCTCGTTCACGTTCGCACCGAGCTCGAGGAGTTCGCGCGCGTCGACCACATCCCCGCTCGCCACCGCCGCGTGCAGCGCGCCCGCCTCTTTCGCCCGCGCCGCCTTCTTCTTCAACATCTTTTTCGACGGTTCTTTATCCATCCCAAACATTTCCTCCGCCGTCTTCTCCTTCGGCGCGTCCGCCTCGTCCTCGGAGTCCGCGTTCCTGGGCTTAGGCGGTGGATTATCCCACGAATAACTCGTCGCGTTCCTATTATTCATCCCCCCCGGTCCACCGTCACCGAAATTCGCCGCGCCGCCGCCGCCGCCCGCGCGTTCGTACGACGCCGCCTTCTCTCCCGCGGGTCCCCTCGACCCCTCCCCGCGCTGTGCGTCCCACTCCGGCGTCGGCGGCATATTATGCGCTTCCGCCTCCTTCTTCTCGCCGCTTTTCCCTCCGAACATCGCGCCCGCTTTATCCGCGACGCTTCGCGCCGTCGACGTCAATCCATCCTTCAGCGAACTCAAATCGATCCCACGACCCTGCGTCGCCCCATCTCCTCGCTGCTTCGTCCCGTTCGCCCCATCGGCCGCGCGTCAGTCTCCATCGCCTCCCCGTCGCGCGTCTCGCCTCTCTTCGCGCATCGCGTCGCCATCCGCGTCGCGATCCTCGTCGGCGTGGATGGTGTTACGCATCCATCGATTCGCGTCGCGTCGCGTCGCGTCGCGCCGCCGCGCCGCCGCGCCGTCGTCGCTCGCACCTGGTGCGTCTCGCCCACGCGCTCGTACCCCGCGGTCCAGTTCTTGAGCGCGTCCATCGTCGTCGCGCTGTGCCGCGCGTCGTCACTCCATCGCGCGCGCGTCGTCGCGCCTCCATGCTCGCGCCGCTCGCGCGCGTCGCGCGTCGCGCGAGGACGACGGCCGAGGACGCGTCGTCGTGGTCGGCGGCGGCGCGGCGGGCGTCGCGTGCGCGCGCGCGCTCGCGGCGACGCGCGAGGTGACGCTGTTCGACGGCGGACGCGCGCCGGGAGGGCGGGCGTCGACGCGAGAGGGACGAAGAGGGGCGTGGGAGCACGGCGCGCGCTTCGTCGACGTCGAACGCGAACGCGAACGGGAACGCGACGACGACGACGACGACGCAGCGGACGCGTGGATGCGAGACAGAGCGCGCGAGGGCGCGTTCGTAAGATGGGAAGGCGCGGTGGTGGCGCTGCGCGGCGGACGCGCGGTGAAGAAAAGGCTGGGCGCGCGACGGACGGCGACGCCGTCGTTCGGCGCCGTCGCGAAGGCGCTGCTCGAAAAGGTGGATTTGCGCGCGAGCGCGCGCGTCGTCGGGTTCGACGCGAGCGACGTCGACGGCGCGGGCGTGGTGGTGAAGTATCGAAGCGCGGCGCCGGACGAGGGAGGCGAGACGCGGTCGATGTCGGGGTTCGACGTGGTGGTGCTGGCGGATAAGAACGCGGCGAACGTCGCGGACGCGTTGGGCGTGGAAGAGCTCGCGCGAGCGATGCGGGAGGTGCCGTCGGTGCCGTCGTTGGTGTTGATGGTGACTTTGAATCGCGCGCCGGCGATCGAATTCGTGGGGGCTGAGATTGAGAACGACGACGCGTTGAGTTGGATCTCGAACGAGTCGTCGAAACCGTCGCGGCGGCGCGACGCCAACTGTTGGGTCGCGCACTCCACCGACGCGTACGCGCGCGCGAAAGTGAATCTCGACACGCGTCCCGGAACTCGCGAGCACGACGCGTGGATGGACGCGGTCGCGAACGAGATGAGCGAGTCGTTGTTGCGAATTCTTCGCGAAGCCGAGGCGAACGCCGACGTCGACGTCGACGGCGCTCCGCTGGAGATTACGTACGCGCGCGCCCATCGCTGGGGCGCCGCGTTCCCGGCGGCCGTCGCCGCGGGCGCCGAAAAGTCCAAATTTCTTCGCGCCACGTCGACGTCGCCGACCGGTCGCGTCACCACCGTGTACGCCGTCGGCGACTATTGCGTCGAGCACGATAGATTCGGCGGCTTTCGCGCCGCCGTCGCGAGCGGTCTCGCCTGCGCCGAAGACATACTCGCGACGAAATCGGCGCGTTCAAAACTTTAGCGGCGCATCGTCGTCATCTGTATCATACGCATTGTTTGTCTCCGAGCGCCCGTCGTCTTCGCGAGTCCTCACTTCGGTGCTCGCGCGCGCCGTCGTCGCCATGCTCATCCTCTTCGGTCGCCATCCCACCCCTGGTCGCTGTAAATCCCGCCTCGCCCGCGCGTTGAACTCCGACGAAGCCGCCGCGGCGATCTACGACGCCATCGTGCGCGTCGTCTTGCTCAGAACGTCTCGCGAACGCGACGACCGGGACACCGGTGGGTTACAGTTGAAATTTTCGTGCGCGTCCAGCGACGACGTCGCCGCGTGCGAAGCGCTGTTCGCGACCGGTGGGCGCTGGCGAGCGTGCGCGCGAAACGCGCGCGACGCGGCGGCGATCGAGGTGGAGGCGCAGACGCAGGTGGATGATTTAGGCGCGCGCATCGTCGAGGCGTTTCGCCGCGAAGTCGACGGCGACGCTCGATCGAGCGATTCCTCGATCGGACGCGCGGTCTGCGTCGCGGGAACGGACGTTCCGGAGTTTTCGAGAGCGCACGCGCTCGAGGCGCTGGCTCTCGTGGAGGGCGCGTCGAGCGCGGACGCGCCGCGCGTCGCGTTCGGCCCGTCGCGAGACGGCGGCTTTTACTGCGTCGCCGCGCGCGCCACGCGCGCTAATTGCGACGCCCTCGAGCGCGCGCTCGCGGGCGTCCGCTGGAGCGCGTCGACGACGCTCGAAGAGTGCGCGCGCAACTGCCGCGCGAACGGTTTCGACGTGCGCGCGACGATGCCGGAATTATTAGACGTCGACGACGACGGCGATTTGGACGCCCTCCTCGCCGAGCGTCTCGCCGCCGACGACGAGCGCGAGTCCCCAGCCGTGCGCGACGCGTTCGCGGAAATGGTGCGAATATTAGAGAACAGCCGCGCGGCGCGGCCTTAGATTTAGCCCTTCCGGCGATGAGGTGTGATGGAATCGTCGTCGTCGTCGTCGCCTCGGCGCTCGCGTCGCGCGCGAATTCGCCCGCGGCGCCACACCGCGCCTCGGCGCGACGCGCGCCATGGACCCGCGCTTCGGTCGCGACCGCGCGAACGCGCGCGCGCGCGCGCGCGCGCCGCCGCCGCCGCCGCCGTTGCCGCACCGCGCGCCGCCACCGCCACCGCCACCGCCGCACCCCGCGAACGACGACGCGAACGTCGAGATCGACGTCGACGCGCTGCGATCGATGCCCAAGGACGAGCGGCGCGCGCTGGCGCGCATCGCCAAAGCGCTGCTGTCCGCCGAGGACGAAGAGACGAAGATCGAGCTCGCGGCGGAGTTGCAAAAGAGATGCGCGCGCGCGGCGAATGCGGCGGCGAACGGGACGGCGACGCCGAACGCGGGACGCGAGGACGACGACGCGCGACGACGCGATGAGGACTCGAACGCGACGGGAACGTCGGCGATGGCGCGCGCGGGCGCGCGGTTCGGCGACTGGACGGCGTCGCGAGAGGACGCCGAGACGCCGAGGACGAAGAAGCGCAAGACGACGACGAGCGAGACGGCGAGCGGGACGGTTCCGTCGTCGACCGAACGCGCGGCGCGCATGGATCGCGCGCAGCGATTCGCGCGGGAGGCGATACAGTTCGCGAGCGACGTGGCGAACGCGAAGGGGCGCGGGACGCCGACGATGCAGGAGATGAAGATGCGCGACGCCGCGGCGGTGGGGACGAACACGGCGCTGGAGAAGACGTATTTACGCCTGACGGAGGCTCCGTCGATGGCCACGGTGCGACCGCCGCACGTGTTAGAGCGCGCGCTCGAGTTGGTAAAGAGTAAATGGGTCGCGCATAAAGATTACGAGGGTTACGCCAAGGATCAGTTGAAATCGATCCGGCAGGATTTGACGGTGCAGCACATTCGCGACGGGGATTTGGTGTTGCAGACGTACCAGACGCACGCGCGCATCGCGCTCGAGTGCGGAGATTTAGCGGAGTATAATCAGTGCCAAGCCGTGCTGAAGGTGCTTCACGCGGAACTACTCGAGCGCACGTTCGGCGTCGATCACCCGTCGCCGTCGAAAAAGGGGAAAAAGTCTGCGTCCAAAAAGTCGAGCGGGAAGAAGCGATCGTCGAGCGAACGCGACGAAGACACGGATCGTTTCCCGGAAGGTACGGACGATATCGCCGAGTTCGCGGCGTACAGATTAATCTACGCCGCGGGCGCGGGCTCGAAGGGCGAGCGAAGTGCCGCGCTTCTGCGCGAGCTTCGCGACATCCCGCCGCGGCTGCGAACGCACCCCTTCCTGGAGCACGCCGTCCGCGTCTGCCGAGCGCTCGCGTCGTCCAACTTCCACCGTTTCTTCGCCCTGTACAACACCGTTCCGCGCATGGGCGCGTACCTCATGGACATCATCGCTCCATCCGTTCGCACGGACGCCGTTCGCGCCGTTCTCCGCGCGTACGCTCCCACCGTTCCCGTGGAATTCGTCGCCTCGGCGCTCGGCTTTTCCTCGAGCGCTTCGTGCGCCGACGCCCTGGCCGAGCGCCATCGCGCCGTCTTCGACGGCGCCGCGCGCGATCGCCTCGACGTCAGGGCCACGAACGCCGCCATCGCCGCCAACGCCGTTCGACCGTCCGTGTTAGATCGTCTCGCGCGTTTTTAATCGCGCCCGAGCGCGCGTCCCGCCCCGTCCCGTCCCGACGACAGTTGGTAAAGTGCGCTGGGCGCACATCGCGGCGCGATTCCTGACGCGAGCATGGCGCGCGCGAAGATGACGTCGAGGCGCGCGCCCGGCGGTAAGGTCCGCCGTCCGCAGTTCACCGTCGGGTCGCCTCGCGCGCCCGCGCGCGATCGCGTCGGCGCGAGCGACGCCGCGCGGCGCAACCGCACGCTCGCGCGCGTCTTCGCGCTCGGCGAGGATTGGACGGTGGCGGACGCGCGCGCGCGCGAGCGAGCGTTCCTCGCCGAGTGCGACGACGGCGCGTGGACCGGGCTGACGACGTACGACGCGCTGGAGGAACACGGGCTGTTCACGGCGGTGGTGGAGGCGGGATGGCACGAATTGTGTCGAGCGCTCGGCGTCGACGAGGACGAACGCGCGGCGTACGGACCGTGGCGGTACGTTCCGGGACGGATTTCGCACGAAGCGGTGCCGTGGGATGATTTCGACGAAATGTATTGGAAGCACAAGGCGAAGGGACTCGTGGACGACGATTTGATCGAGACTTTAGAAGACGAAGGCGACGAAGACGAATACGTCACGACGCACGCCAAGCTTTCTCGCGACGACGTGGCGTCGCTTCTGGAGGAGTACGGTAAGCGTTACCTGTTCCTCATCGTCCGCGAATTTGAAGGCGCCGACCACGTGGCGGCGAAGAGCCTAGCGTTGGACGCCAATATGGAGTACGTGCGGCACCAGCACGAGCAGAAGAGCGCGCACCCGGGCGTGCCCATGGCGAGGCTTTTAGATCCGAAAGAGCTCTCTTTCGACGAAATCAAGGCTATGTATAAGGCGGCGGGGCTGCGCGTAGGAAAGAACGCCAAGCGCGAGTCGCTTCTCAGAGAACTCGTCATTGAGGACAGAGCGCTCGAGCTCGACGCGTACGGAAAGGCGTTCGCAAAAGTTGTGAAGCGGCTCGACGTGGAGACCAAAAAGTTGCAGGACAAAATAGAAAAAGCCGTGAACAAAGCCGTCAAGTCCGTGATCATCGACAAGTGGGACACCGATCGCAAAAATGATTTCCTCGCCACTCACGACCATTGGAGCGACGAGCGAAAGAAGGCTTGGCACGATGGCGTTGCCAGTCGATTGAAGAAGACGCAGAACGCGAAAAAGGTGCAGCCGAAGACGACGAAAGCGCAGCCGAAGACGACGAAAGCGCAGCCGAAGACGACGAAAGCGCAGCCGAAGACGACGAAAGCGCAGGCTAATAAACCGGCGAAACCCAAACGAAAACGAAACGATCCGTTGGTCACGTCGGACTTCGCCGTCGGGATGGAATTGTACGTCCGAGGCGCGAAAGGCGAGACGTGGCACGCCGAGGTGACGAAAGTGCGACCGTCGAACGCGAAGTGCCCGATCGAGGTAGCTTGGCTCGTCAAGCAAAGCGATGATGCATACGTGTACTGGGACTGCGCGCACAGAGACGTGATCGATTTGCGCACCGTCCTCGAGACGCACGCGCCCGGGCACTTTCCAGCCGGGAAACGCGCGCGGTGCGTCGCGTGCGAGGCGGCGAAAACCACGTGCGCCAAGCGCGCGAAGACGTGACAACCGCATCGACGATAATCACTCGATTTCCGAACGCGACCACCGCCCGAATCGCTCGCATTACCGCGTATTCATTGTAGACCCAAATGCGTCGCGTTCGTCCCGTCCCGTCCCGTCCCGTCGAGGTGACAGAATTCACGATCCAACGCATTCCGCGACGTTCGACGCGCTCGCACGCCCGCGCTCGCACGCTCCGCGCCCTCGCGCGCGCTCGATATGTTCACGACGGCGTCCACGACGCTCCAATTCGCGCGCGCGCGCGTCGACGCGCCGCGAAAGCGCGCGCGCGCGATGCGTGAGTCAGCACGAGATAACCGTCGCGGTGGGTTCGCGCTGACGACGCGCGCGAGCAAGGACGACCGACCGACGAAGGCGTCGGAAGAGCTCGCGGAAAAGTTCACCACGGGTGGCGGCGGCGCCGATGGATTCTGCGATTACGACGACATCAAGGACGCGATCAAGGAGTGCGAGGGACTGGAGGGCGCGAAGCTCGAGGCGTGCTACGCGCAGTACGGATGTAACCTCGAATCCGTGACCGAGCACTACGCGAAAGCGGCGGGGATCGACAGCAAGAATGAAAAGGCGAAGTAGGCTTGACTAGGTACGCGCGTACCGTGTAAGTTATTACAACAACAAGAAAGAATATTTCGACGCGGCGATCATTTGAAAAAGCACATTTTTCCGTAGTGCATCAACGTTCTGTAAAAGAACTTTTCCTGTAACAAGACGCGGGAGAGCTGGGAGTCAGCCTTGGACGTGCCCGGGACGGCGACCATGTGAGCGTAACCGCGAGCGTTGTGGTACCAATCGATCGGGACGCCCGGTTGGCCGTAAACGTCGACGCGCGCGCAGCGGTTGGATCGAAGGAGCATGAGCAGGGCGACGAACGCCGGTGATGGGTCGCCGCGATAGCCCCAACCGACGACGTTCGAGCCTAGCTCGAGGTCCGCGGAGAGCGAGTCGTGGATGATGCGGCCGACCTTGCGCGCAGATTCGTAGGCTTGCTCGTCCAACTCCACCGTTATCACGTCTTCCGGGCCGTCGCGAATCATGGTGAATTTGCAATACTTGCGTTCCGTCAAGACGTTGCAGTACACAGCCGTGTCGTGCGCGTCGATAGCGGTGGCGAATCGACTGACAGCTCCGTTGTATCGTTCGCCAGTTTCGGGATTATACTCCGCCTCGGTCGTCCACGCGCAGGTGCCCATGCCTTGCGGCGCGCCGCCAAGCGACGGAAGGTCGGTGGCGTTAAACTTGGTACGCGGATCGTTGGAGTATTTAATCAACACCGTTGACAGACGCTTTAACGTCTCCGCGCTCGCTTGTGGATTCACCACGGCAGCCGCATCGGCCTTGAGCGCTCGTGCGAGTAAGTCTGTCGCCATGTCGGCGCATTGCATCGTTTTGAATTGGCAGCGAGCGTCGTAGCCCGTGATGTTCGCGGCGTGAAATATTAATTGCCGCTCCGTGGTTTCTTTCCTCCAATCCATGTCTTTCGTCATTCCGCTCAACATTAGCGGGTTTTGGAATCTATACCTCCGCACGAGCTTGCCGTCTTTGTGGATAAGCGTCGACGTAGGCACCTCCACCTCGACGTCTTGCGCGCCGTCTTCTCCCTCGTCGTCCGCGTCGCCCAATAATTTACGCCTACCGATGACGTTCGGCAACGGATCACGTCCCGAAATGATCTTCAACTCCTCCTCCTCTGTCACAATCTCGCTCTCCAGCGTCTTTTCCGCCTCCTTCATCTCCGTCTTCGCCTCCTTCAGTTCCTCCTTCACCGACTCTTCCTCCTCCAACTCGCTCGCCGTGCGCACCTTTTCCGTCGTCTTCGCCTCTTTGGTCAGGTAAAACGCCCGTTCACCGTCCAATTCGTGCAACTCTAACCCAGGAATCACCGCCGTGGGCGTGAAATCATTCTTCAAGCACTGATCCGGCACTCCTAGCGCGGCCCATCGTCGCGTGGCGTCTCTCGGCGGCGCCGTCGCCGACGATCGTTCCGGCGTCTTCGTCCGCATCGACACGCGCCCGTGTCGACCGACGATGTGCGATTTACTCCCTCCTCGATCGCCCGCGCCGACGTCCGTCGTCACCGCCGCGACGACCAACGCGACGAGGAATATCGCCGCCACGCTCGCCGCCACGAAGAGCGCCGGGTCGCGCGCCCAATCGAATCGCACCCCCGACCGCAGCGCCCGCCGCGCGATCGCGCGCGCCATCGTCGTCGTCCGCGACGTCGTCGGCGCGCTCTTACCTCTCGCGTCCTTTCCCTGTTCGAGCGCGCGTCGTCGTCAGTCTCGTTCGCGCGCGTCTCGATCGCGACGTCGCCGCGTTTCGCATCGTTCGTTCGTCCACCGCCGTCGTCGCGGCGTCGCGCGCGCGCGCACCTCGTCCATCGCGACCTCTTCGTCGTCGCCGCGCCTCGGCGCGTCGCGCGCGTCCATCGCGTCCGTCGCGCGTCGAGGTGTCGACCGAAGTCGCGCGTCGATTCGATTCGATTCGATTCGATTCGATCGACGCGCGCGGACGCACACGGCGACGCGCGCGCCGCGGGCATGGAGCGCGAGTCGGCGCCGATACGCGCCGCGCGTCGAGCGTTCGGCGCGACGGACGACGACGCGCGCGCGAGCGCGAGGGACGGCGCGCGCGCGCGCGGGCGAGGGCCAACACCAAAACCAAAGGCGGAGCTCGCGCGCGGAGGCGCGCTGGCGAGCGCGCGGAGCGCGACGCTGGCGCTGGCGAGCCTGTGCGCGATCGCGGTGGTGAGCGCGCGACTGGACGCCGCGTCGAGGGGCGCGCGGGCGAGCGCGGTGGTGGTGGGAACGACGACGAGGACGAGGACGACGGCGACGGCGACGCTGCGCGAGGACGAGGCGGTGGAGCCGGAGTTGCGCGTGGGCGATCGCAGCGTGGCGTACGTCGCCAAGGGATGGAACGCGGAGCGAAGATTGATAGGGGACGATAAGATCGAGGCGATTTGGGAAGGACCGGCGGCGGAGAACGCGGCGGGGGAGTTTGAGGCGACGAAGCCGAAGGGCGCGCTGTTGGCGCTGCACGGTTGTCATCATAGCGCGAAGGACTTCTTCGCGACGAACACGAAGTGCTCGCAGTGTCGAGGACTTGCGCAAGAAATGGCGATTACACGCACGGCGCTGAATCGAGGATACGTCGTGTTGGCGATTTCGTCGTTGGGGACGTGTTGGAGCAAGGACATCGACGCGCCGCGCGTGCAGGCGGTGTTGGACGTCTTTTACAACGACACCGCGCTGAGTGACTTGCCATTGTTTGCGTTTGGTGCGTCGAGCGGTGGTTCGTTTGTGGGAGCGATGCCGCAAATGCAACTGACGCCGAAGGCGGCGGGTTTAATTATTCAAATCGCTCCGGGACCGACGGCGTCGGGCGTCGTCGGCGAAGTTTTGGCGGATTACCCGCCGACGGTGTTCTCGCACATGCCGCGCGACGCGCGCACCGCCGAGTTCATCGCAGCGTCGATCGCAGACTTCCGCAACGCCGGCGTTCGCATAATTGAATCTCGTCTAGAGCCGAGAGCGATCGACGACGCATATTTCTACGAACAAAGTTTTGGACGAGTCTCTGAAGAGGAGAGCGCGGCGATGGTCGCTTCTCTTCGCTCCTTTAACTTGATCGACGCCCAGGGCTTGCTCACGGAGGATCCGCGTTTGTTCGACGACGATCATATCATCATGATCAAACGACACGCACCGGAGTGGGATAGCTTGCTCGCCGACCAGAGCGATACGCGCGAGTTATTAAACGTCGCGTACGCCATGCACGAGCTCAGCGCGCAGGACTTTAGCAAGAACTTTGCGTGGCTCGTTCGTTCGCACGCGCGCGTCGCGCGCTCGACGTCTTAGTTCGATTGGTGGGTTTTGTAATGACTATCTTGTTCGTAGAAGTATTATTAATCCGACGAGGTTTTAAGCTTCTGAAACTCTTCGTCCAACTCGTCTGTCGCCGACCGCGTCGACGAGCCGTGCTTCTTCTTTGACAGGTGTTCGGATACATCGGCGTCGTCCTCGACGTCGTCATCTTTGGACGAGTGGCTCGACGAGTGATGCTTCTTCGACGAAGAGTGCTTTGAAGAGAGTTTCGTGCTCTTCTCTTCTTCTTCTTCTTCTTCTTCTTCTTCTTCTTCTTCTTCTTCTTCGTCGCGATGGCTATGTTTGGAGTGTTTCGAGTGCTTGGAATGGTGATGACTGTGACCGATTTTTGCGACGTAATCGACCCCGGGACACTCTGTGGCGTGTATGTTCAAATCGTCGCACACGGCCGGAGGGCAGTACGGCCAACCGTCCATGGGATCGTCCACGCTTTTCAACATGCACATTCTACACGGCGTCTCGCCCGGCTTCTGACACGCGCTCGGCACGCCCTCGTGGTTCGCGCACTCCCAATCGCGAAAGGCGTGACGCCCGGCGTTACGATTGCCGACATCCGTCGAGCAATCACCGAGATCGTACTTCTTCTCCTTCGATCTCGTCTCCACGCCTTCGCACCCAGAGACTTCGTACTTGTCGCACACCCACGAGCTACACTTCGCCGTGCCCGACCCCTCTTTCGACGCTTCCGAGCCGGCGAGATGACAAAACTGGCACCCGTGCGACCCGACGCAGTTCGACGGCACTCCCTCGTCGTCGGTGCAGTGCTTGTTGTACTGCTGATACAGCCCGATCGCTCGATCGCCGTGCGACGCGTCGCAATCCACCTTCGGCGGCGGCGGCGGCCGCGGCGGATGATGCGGATGCGGCGGCGGCGGCGTCGGCGGCGGCATCGGCGGCGTCGGCGGCGGCATCGGCGGCGGCATCGGCGGCGCCGGCGGCGACTCCGCCCCGATCCCGAACCCTCCGTCCCACCCCCGTCGCGCGAGCGCCAGCGCGCCGACGCACGCCGCCGCCGCCGCCGCGCCGACGCGTCCTCGCCACCGCCCCATCTCGCGCCCGCGCGCGCGCGCCGCGTCCCCGCCGCGTCCCCGCTCGACGTCTTCGTCCTCGCGCGCGTCCTCGCGCGCGCGCGCGTCCTCGCGCGTTCGCCGCGCGCGTCCGCGCGTCGCCTCGTCGTCGTCGTCGCTCGCGCTCGATCCCGCGCCCGACGACGCGCGCGCCGTCCGCGCGTCGCGCGCCGACGCGCGTTCGCCGCGAAGGAGCGCCTCGCGCTCGTCGCGCGACGACCGCGGCATCCTCGCCCGCGCCGTCGTCTCGCGCGCGCGACGACGCCGTCGCGATGGTGTTGCGCGCGCGGCGTTACGAAAACCCGTAACACACCGCACACGCGTGCGATCGCGCGCGCGCGTCCCGTCCCATCGCGCGCCGTATTTAAGCCCCGAGGGACTCGCGCTCGAGTCGCGACTCGTCGACGAGATCGGATCCGTCGATCGCGCGAAGATACGCCCGCACACCCCGACGACGACGATGCTCGCGCGCACGACCGCACCGACTCGCACGACCGCCACGCTGCGCAGGTGCGCGCGAAGCGCGACGCGAATCGCGGCGCGGCGCGACCGCGCGCGCGACCGGAGACCGAGGACGCGCGACCGGAGACCGAGGACGCGAGGACGAGGGAATCGTCGCGCGAGGCGCGGCGAGGCGAGCGATCGCGCGCGCGAACGGACGAGAGGACTGACGAGACGCGATGGTGACGAATGAATAGCCGCGTGGCGAAGCAAACGCGCACGGCGAAGCGCGGCGCGCGCGTCGCGGCGCGCGCGTTCGATGACGTGAACGTCGTGATCTCGTCGGCGAACGCGATTTGCCTGGCGTTGGGACGATTCGTGTTTTTGCCGTACCAACGCGCGCAAGTCGAACGCGTGGGCGCGCCGACGCAAAACGGACAGACGCACTTCGCGGCGGGCGACTCGCGCGCGGAGGAGGCGTCCTTCATCGTGTCGACGAACGATCCGGCTGGGTTCACGATCGTGGACCTGCTCGCGTGGGGGTCCATCGGGCACGCCGTCGGATTTCTCGCGCTCGCGTCCCAGTCGGCGCAAACGATGTTGTGAGCGTCGCCGCCGCCTCTAGTGGGTTTGTGATCGTATGAAAGACCGAACATAAGTCAATAATTCAATCGCGCTACGCTAAGAATGCTACTTTCTATGTGAGCTACGTGTGAGGCGGGGGGCGAAGAAACTGCCGCGCGTGCGCGCTCAACTCGCCGGCGTTTTCGAAATCCGACGCCGAGACAAAGGCGTTGACGCGCTCGAGCTTGAGCAAACGCAACGCGTCGGCGTTCAAATCGAGATCGAAATCGTCGTGAAGTTTTGAAATCGTGCGCGTCAACGCGTCGACGTTTGCGAGATCGGTCTCGTAGGTCAAGTTCACGCACTCGCGCTGGTGCGCTCGCAAGACGCTCGCCGTCGCCTCGTACCATCGCTTGTCCTCTCGAATGAGATTTCTGAACGTTTTCTCGATAAACTTCACCCGCACGTTCGCGGACGTGACGTTCGGATCGCGCGCGGTGATGTTTTCCGCGTCGAAAGGCTCGGCAGCCTCTCGAATCTGCTGGAACGGCGCGTCGCCGTTCACCGCACGCATCGACGACGCGTACATGTCGAGCTTGTTTTCGCGACTCAAGCACAACAGCACGGGGTCTTCCGTAGCGGCGTCCAAGATGGCGCTGAGAACATCTTCCGAATGTTTGCTCGTCTCGGGCGTTGAATGGATGTGCGCGCCGATGATGGATACGTACACCTTGTCCACGCCAGCCTCCCACGCTCGGCTCAATACTTCGTTGACGAACTCACCCGGATACGTCAGCGAGGCGTCAATCGTGGCATCCTTGACGCCGATGTCTTGCAAGTACTTTCGGAGCTTTGAACGCCAAGACGTTTCGTCGTCTTTGTCGGGGAGTTCGTCCACCGACCACCAATCGCCAAGGGTGATGTAATTCGCAAAAAACGAATCCGTTCGCACCTGGCCGTCTCGCTCCCACAACGTGGACGACGTCGGATGATTGGAAGACGTCGCAAGCGCTTCACCGAGAAGTGACGCGCCGCCGCGCAAAGGCGACGAAGCGAGCACGAGACGGGCTTTTTTATACACGCCCTCGGTTTCGTGCAATCGCACGCGCGTGACGAGCGAGCTCGTAGCCTCGGACGAGAGCACGCGAACGAAAGACAGCGCCCACTTGTGCACGAGATCTTCATCTGCCGGGATGTTCTTCTCGAGCCATTCCACCACCATGGCTTGTCGCTCTTGATTCGTGCACCCATCCTGCCAACTCGCGCCGTGAAACGAAAAGTGGTCGATAGCGTACGATTGCGGGTACGCGCTGGCGATCGACGTGCACGGAAGAGTCGTTTTCCAAAACGTCCCGTCCGCCTCCTCCACGAGCGCGTTTGAGAGCGACAACGGATTCCAATCATCGTTGCCAGATGTCACACGCCGCCACGTCTGCGTCACGTACTTAGTGAACGACGATTTCGTACCATCTAAATCGCTCCCATCCACCGCCTTGCCGTTATTCATCATCCACCGCATGCCAGGATCGTTCTTGGCGTCTTCGTGCGTGACTTGCTTGACGCACGTATCGAACTCATTTTCGCCGCATCCGAGCGGGTACGCGACGTCGCGATCGAGCCTCAGTATCGTGTCTCTCAAATCGTTCGCACGAATGATGTGCGACAACCACACAGGACCCGTGATCGCGTTCGCGATGCACCGCTTGCCGAAATCTATGTTTTGCAGGTATCCGTCCGAGGAGGTGTCGTTGAACAAACTTCGAAACACGCTCGCTCCGGGCGTGAGCGCGCCGAATATCCCAGCGCTAAAGAACCTCGAGTCCCCGGGGTCGGCCACCATGAACACCTCCTTGTTCGCCCGCAACGTCTTATGAAACAACGGCGTGATGTCCTTGAACAACTCCACGTTCGTGTCCAAGTACAATCCGCCGTGACGAAACAACACCTCGTACTTCATCAAATCCACCAACATCGAATACACGTTCGATCCCGTGAGTTGATGAAACGCCCGCCCGCGCTCGAGCGTCGCCAGCGTAATCGGAAAGTTCCTCTCATTAATGTCTCCCTCCGTCCACAGCCGCATCTCCCACCCAGCCGCCTCCAACACCCTTCGGTTGCGCTCGAAAATCATTCGCTTCACCCCCGGCACCTCGCTCCCGAGCCAAATCTCGTGCGCCACGCGCACGAACGCCCCCGCGTCGCTCTGTTTCGCCAGCATCTCCTCCCTGGCCACCATCCCACACACGCCCAGCGTCAGCATCGTCGCCACGACGATCGGATGCGTCGCCCACGTCGTCGTCGCGCGCAGCCAGCCGCGTCGTCGCTCGGGGTGTTGACGCGTCGTCGCGTCGCCGCGCTCGACGTCCGGCGCGTCATCGCGCGCGCGCGCGAGCAGCGCGAGCGACTCGTCGCCGCCGGCGATCGCCGCCGACCGCGCGCCGTCGCCGACGCCCATCGCCGCGTCGTCTGCCGTCCGCTCGCCGATGGTGTTACGCCGCGCGCGAACTTCGAGGTCGATACGAAACGCCGTCTTGGTTTGCGCACCATGCAAAAACGTCTCTTCGTCTTCCGAACGCGATCATCGCCCGCCGCGCGCCGCGCGCGCGGCGTCACACGCGCGCGCGCGACGACGCGATCGATCGACGCGCGCGCGACGGACGCGCGCGGCGAACGCGCGCGCGGCGCGAGACGACGCGCGGCGCGACGTCGGGGACTCGAATTCGGACGGTTCGGTGAAAGCCGCGCGCGGCGAGGCGTCGGTGACGATGGCGCGGGCGAGGCGTCGCGCGATCGTCGCGGTGCTGGCGTGGGCGTGCGCGAACGCGATCGCGGCGCGCGCGGAGGATCCCGGGACGCACTGCACGACGAACGCGAGCGATCTGGCGCCGTGCGCGAGCGGTGGGGGATCGGCGTGCTGCGCGGCGATTACGGAGTGGAACGCGAAGGGGTGCTTTTGCGACGGCGTGGCCACCGCGCTCGACGCCACGCAAAGCGCCGGGGCTGTTTCGTTCGCGAGCGCGTGTTCGGTGACAAGAACGACGGCGAGCGGTGACGCGATCTGCGTGGCGGCGCTGGCGAACCAGGGTGGTTCTTCTTCTTCGTCGTCGGGATCTCCGCCCGCGACGCCGGCGCCGCCGGCGGGTCCCGCCGCGCCCACGGATGTGTACGCCCTTCGCACCGGTGCGAACGAGATCACGCTCGCGTGGTCCGCGAGCACGTCGAGCGATGTCGTGGCGTACGCGATCGATGCGTGCGATTCGGCGAATCTCGCGACGTGCGCTACGCCGACGCGAACCACCGTCGCGGCGTCCGCCGGGACGAGCAAAGTCTTCTCAGGGGTGTCCGCTCCGAACACCATGGTGTACCGCATCAAGTCTGCGACGCTGACGGAAGCGGGTGCGTCTTCGTCACCGACGGCGATTCCCGTGATCGACGCGCGCGATTCGATCCTCGTCTCAAACGACGCGTCGACGAGTTCTTCGTCGTCGAGTTGCGGCTCCTTCGCGACGCCGTGCGATTCCGTTGGATCGGCGCTCGCCGCGACGACATCCTCGCCGTCGACGCCGCGATCGATCTTGGTACTCCCTGGCACACACACATCTTCGTGCGGATCCACGCTCGGGTCTACGGGCGATGTCACGGTCACCTCAGCGCTCGGGGCGTCTCGCACCGTTTTGGATTGCGGCGAAAACTCTCGAGGTTTCGAAATCTCCGGGTCAGACGCCATCGAAATCTCTGGTCTCACGGTAAAGAAAGGCCTCGCCACCACGGGTGGTGGATTTAAAATTACGAACGCCGATTCGGTGACGATTGACAGTGTCGACGTCGTCGAATGCAAATCGCAAACCATGGGCGGCGGCTTGCACGCGATCAACTCCACGCCGACGATTCGACATTCTCGATTCATCGGCAACATCGGTGGGAACGATCGAAGCGGCAACAACGTCCGTGGAGCCGGCGCGTACTTTCAGACGTCTTCGCACGCTTCGTTGCAAAACGTGAGCTTCATCGGAAACGAACTGATGGATAGTGGCAAGGGCGCCGGATTGAACGTCGACGAGAACTCAAACGTCACCGCCGTTGGATTAACGCTCAAGGACAACAAGGCTTTCTTCGCCGCCGGCCTCTTTGTCGGTAGTGGCTGTCATGGTAACTTTTCAAATATTGTCGCCACGGGCAACGAAGCGTCGTACGGGGCTGCTATCGGTGTCTTTGCCGGTGGTAGACCAAAGTTCAACGGCGGCACCGTGTCAAAGAATACCGCCACTCTCTGGGGCGCGGGCGTCATCGTGTACACCACCGCGTCCGCCGAATTCAACGGATTCAATTTCACAGAAAATGAAGCCGAAATCGGCGGTGGTGTCTTCATGTACTCCCAAAGCTCGGCCAAGATGTATAACTCGCGCGTGTCTTCGAACGTCGTTTCCAAGCACGGCGCCGGGATTCGCGTCGAGGACCGCGCCGACCTCGCGTTGGTGAGCACCGAAGTTTCGCACAACGTCGCGAATCTCGGCGGTGGTGGCGCACACGTCACTACCGGCTCGCTACTTTCCGTGAGGGGTGGTAAGTTCGAGAACAACACCGCTCCGAACGGTGCCGCATTCATGTGCGAAGGCGGCGCTCACGGCGGAGGCGAAATCGTCGGCTCTGGCGTCAGCGTCAAATCCAACGTCGCTTCTGGTCTCGGCGGCGCTATGTATCTCGCAGGTGCGTGCGATGTTCAAGTTAAAGACGCATCTGAGATTGAATCCAACTCCGCTGTGAGTGGCTCGAGCTGCCGTTCGTTGTACGCCGTCGGTGGAGGCGCTTTTGCGCTCGTACCAAACACCGAGAACGCGCCGACGAAGCTCGCAATCGAAGGTTCAACGATCGTTCGCAGAAACACTGCGCCAACTGGTGGAGCGATTTTCGTCATTCCTGCATCGACTTCTGCCGATGTGAACTCTCCGCGGGGAGCGCAAATCACCGTGACATCATCGACGTTGTCTAACAACGAAGCCAACGGCTGCGGTTCAACCGTACCCGGTCGCGGTGGGGCAATGTTTGTGGCTGCGGGCAACCACACGCTACTGCAAGCCTCACTCAGTGAAAACACGGCGGACAAAGATGGTGGAGCGGTGTTCATCGCGAGCTTCGGCGCGCTGACGATGGATTCTTGCACCACGAGCGACAACACAGTGTCTCGGTTCGGCGGCGCCGTGGCGCACGCTGGCGCCAAACTCAAAGTCACTGCCGGTGTGATCGAATCCAACAACGCGGGCAGCGGTGGTGGCGTGTACATCGGTGCTGATAATACCTTGCCTATGTTTGCTCTGATTGGCACGTCGTTAAAGACGAACTCGGCGACTCGCGGTGGGGCAATGTATTTCGCCGCAAATCTCGCGCTCGGAATGCTGAGTCAGCTCTCCCTCGATCGCAACGTCGCGACAGCTGGGGCTGATTCGTACTGGCTTCGCTCGTCGAGTGCGAACGCGGAGTTTACGTGTACTGGATGCGCTTACGCTCACGCCAGTGGCTCGAGTACCGGTGTCATCGCGACCGAGGCTCTCGCGCTGACGACCGCCAGAGCGATCGCTTCGCGAATTCAATCTGGAAAAGTCACGGACGATTACTCCGTTCAGCTCGTGGACTTCTACTCGAACCCCGTGACGAGTGAGATCGCGCCGACAGAGTGTACGATTGCGCCCGTGACGAGCTCTTCTACGCTCGCGCGGCATGAACTCGAAATCAGTGGCTCGACGTCTGCTGCAACGAGCGCCGGCGTTGCGACATTCAGCGGATCCATCTTGCGCGGTGAGCTGAACGAGGAGTACACCGCCAAAGTTACGTGCACGCGTGACACCACTATGTCGCTCACGGACATCACTCCGCTCTCGCTACCTGTTCGTATCGGCCTCTGTTCCCCAGGCTCTGAACCGCTCTTCGTGCAGCACGCCGACGGAGTCTCCGTCGCTCGTGAATGCACGGTCTGCAAAGATCGGACGTTCAACTTCGACGGCATTGCGTGCCGCGCGTGTCCTGAAGGTGGCGACTGTCGAGGTGGCACTTCTCTCGATGCCCTGCCCGGTTGGTGGCGTTCTTCCGATTCCGCCGAAGTTCTATTCTCATGCCCGATTCGCGAATCGTGCGTCGCCGGCAACGTCACCGGCGCGAACGCGTGTGACGAAGGATACGAAGGTCCAGTGTGTGCGCTCTGCGCCGAAGGTTACCGGCACTGGGGTGGAAAATGCTCAAAGTGCGGCTCCAACGCCTCGTTGGCGATGCCCACGCTCGGAATCATGGCGTTTATTGCGTTTTTGGTGTACATCTTCCGCAAGCCTCTCAAGCAAGCCGTCGGCACGGTTATCTTCGCCGCTCTGCTCTTCGTCGCGCAAATTGTGGGCTTGCTCAAAGAGTACGACATCTCTTGGCCTAAATCTATCGGTCGATTGGTTGAAGTGTTGGATATCACGAACTTCAACATGGAGTCCCTCACGCCCGGGTGCTCATCGAGCAAATCCAACTACTACTCGACGTACATCACCGCAGTCGTCGTGCCGCCCGCCGTCACGTTATTCTGTGTACTCGTGTACGTCCTCATGGGCGTCATTGAACGTCGCGCGCCTTTCTATCGCTTACGCGAAATGGCGTGCGATGTGAGAACGAAGTGCCGTCGCAATGCCACTTGGCTCGTCGTGCTTTCGTACTCGGGCGTCGCGAAGACGGTGTTGCAACTCTACAATCAGCGCCATCTCGATGTGGGCACGTACTTGAGACGGGACTACTCCATCGACGCCTCCAACACGGAGCACATGGTTTATCGCATCACCGGCTACGTCGCGCTGATCGTGTATCCGATCGGTATTCCGCTCGTCATCACGTACATTCTCGTGCGCAATCGCAAACGACTCGACGATCCCTCGGTGCAGGCCAACTTCGGATTCCTCTACAACACCGTTCGCGAAGAAGTCCCTTTCTGGGAACTCACCGGGCTATTCTTGAAGTTTATGCTCGCCGCGATTCCAGTGTTTGCGAACGAACGCCTGCTGCGCATGAAGGCCAGTGCGTTCGACACAACGAGCGACTTCAACGGCGCGACGCAACTCTCGCTCGCCCAGCTCTTCATCGGCGTCGTGTTCATCGCCACGATCTGCGTGCGACCGTACAGAAAGACACTGCACAACGTGCAATTTTCCCTCGCGATCGGGATCGTATTTGCGTTCGTCACCCTCAGTGCGAACGTTTTCAACGCCGTGAACACGTACACGGAGCGTGAAAAAACCGGCGTCGCCGGCGTCGCCGTGGCGCTCGCCGCGGGTGCCCTGTTTGCCTCCGTCGTCAACTCGTTCCGCGCGGGCGAGTTCAAGCCCGCCTCCAAGGGCGACGCCGGCAACGACAGCGACGACAGCGCCATGAGCGCCGGCGTCGACGTCACCAAGCTCAAGTCAACCGTTTAATCGTCCGACGAAGCGCTCCTTTATCCTCGGAGCCGTCGTCGCGACGCCGCAGAGACGACGTCCCGCGTCGACGATCGTCGACGCCGCTCGCGCGACGCGCGCGCCGCGCCGCACCGCGCCCGCGATAAATTTACTTTCATCAATAAGCGCGCCCACGGCCGCATTTTACGCTGTAACACCGACGTCTCCGGTCACGTTTACGCCTCGCCGCGAAACCGCTCTGGAAAACGCTCCGCCGCGCGCCGGCGCCTCCGCAGATCCTCGCGCGCGCCGCCATGGATCGCCTCATGCGCGACCTGCGCGATCTAGACGACGACATACGGCAAAACGCGAGCGCGTCGGCGTCGCCGTCCTCGCCCGCGCGCGCGTCCGCGCGTCGTCGCGGCGCGTCGCCGTCGTCGTCGAGCGGGGTCAAGTCCAAGTCGGGGACGCCCGAGCCCACGAGCGCGCTCGCGCCGCGCACGCCCGCGCGCGACGCGACGTACGACGGACCGTGGTCGCCGGTCCCGTGCGCGACGCTGCGCGACGCGCGCTCGGCGCTGGAGACGGCGGCGCGGGAGCTGAGCGCGCTCGAGGCGACCGAGTTGGCGCGCGCGAACGCGAGCGGAGCGCTGCGAGCGCCGCGAGGGAAGAGCGTCGACGCGAGCGAGCGCGTCGCGGGGCGAACGGCGACGCGCGGCGCGGCGCTGGGACGGTAGCGTCGCGCGCGCGCCATCATTTTTTGTCGCACCGACGACGGCTCGCCGCGGGGCTCGAGGCGTCGACGACTTGTAACGATACGATACCACACACACTCGCGCCTCGACGCGCGCGGCTCGGCGGTCGACGTCGACATGGCGTCCGCGACGATGGCGTCGACCGCGTCGACGCGCGCGCGCGACGCGAGACCGCGGCGACGCGCGTCGGGACGGCGCGCGACGCGAGCTTCGGGACGCGAGCTGGCGCGAGCGTCCCGAGGCGAAAGCGACCCGGACGACGCGCGCGACGCGCCGGCGGTCGCGTCGACGTCGCGTCGCGTCGCGTGCGCGGCGTTGCTGCTGGCGACGCGCGCCGGACGCGCGCGCGCGGCGACGGATGGATCTCGGGCGGCGCTGGAAGAGGTGCGCGCGGCGCGCGAGGACGTCGCGACGGCCAGAGCGGCGCTCGGCGACGTCGACGCGGACGCCGACGCGAGCGCGGACGCGCCGTCGGTGTCGAAGCCGTTGCCTTTGAAGGAAATCGCGGCCGCGCTGAACACGAGCGCGGTGAAGAATTTGGAGCGCAACGCCGTGGCGCTGGACGCCGTCGCGAAGGCGAGGCCGCTCGAGGACTGGGAACGCGAGGCGTGGCGAGGCGTGCGCGAGGATGAATGGTTGACGCAGAGTCAAACGACGACGCTTCCCATGGCAAAACGTCCGAATGACTTCTTGTGCTTCGTGTTCTCGTGCTACAACGATCCCAGGGCGCCGGCGAGCACGGAAGTTTTATTGACGATGCGCTTGGCCAAGGACGGCGTCGCGATGGGTCAACGGGGTGACAAGCGCATCACCGATCTCGGTCTCGCTGCGTCTCTGGATGACGTTTTAGAAAAATTAGACGCCTATTTGGCATTTGCGTCGAAATTCGTCGAAGCGGGCGAGTAGGATTGATGCGGGTCGATGGCGTCGCGTCGCCGACGCCGTCGCCGACGCCGACGCCGACGGTTAATATCACGAGACGCGCCTCTGTACGACACATCCACGCGCGCGAGCGCGCGCGATTTCGAACACACAGCGATGTTTGAAGTTCTAAACGTTCCTCTCGCGTTCGCGTTCGCGTGCTTTCGTCCGAAACGAATGAGCAAACCGACGACGTCCCGCTCGCCGCGCCCCGCACACGCCGCCTCCGACCGGTCCTCCATGTCTCGCTCCATCGTCGTCGTCGGCGGTGGTAACGCCGCGGGCTATCTCGTCCGCGCGTTGGTGAGCGCCGATCCGACCCTGGGCGCGCGAACGCTCGTCATCGGTGCCGAGGACGTCGCGCCGTACGAGCGTCCCGCGCTCACCAAAGGATTCCTGCACAAAGAAAGCCCGCCGCGTCTGCCCGGTTTCCACACCTGCGTCGGCGGCGGCGGCGAGCGACAAACGCCAGAGTGGTACGAACAGCACGGGGTGGAACTGAGGCTGAACACGACGGTGACGGCGGCGGATTTCAAGAGCCGTACGGTGACGACGAGCGCGGGCGAGTCGATCGGCTACGAAACGTTGGTCCTCGCCACGGGATGCGGCGTCATTCGGCTTCCCGAAGCCATCGGGGGGACGTTACCGGGAGTTCACTACGTGCGGAACAACGCCGATGGACTCGCGCTCGTGGAAGCGATGGACAAGGCGACGAAGGCGGTTGTCGTCGGCGGCGGGTACGTCGGTTTGGAAGTCGCGGCGTCGTGCGCCACGCGCGGATTGAAGCCGGAGGTGGTGATGATGGAGCCGCACGTCATGGCGAGGCTTTGGAACGCCGATATCGCGCAGCATTACGAGCGATTGTACGAAACTCGGGGTACGACGTTTCACAGGTCGAGTAAGCTCAAGGCAATTTTGGCCGACGCCGACGGCAAGGCGCGCGGGATTGAATTAGAGTCTGGCGCGGTGATCGACGCCGATTTAGTCGTCGTGGGCGTCGGCGCGACCGCGCCCGTGCCTTTCACCGGACTGGACGCCCCCGAAGGACGCGTGGGTGGGATCAAGGTGGACTCGCGATTCCGCGCTTCTGGCGCGGACGTCGCGCCCGGTAGCGTGTACGCCATCGGCGACATCGCGGCGTTCCCACTCAAGCTCGCCGACAACGAGATCGTCCGCATGGAACACGTCAAGCACGCGCGCGACAGCGCCACCTTGGTCGGTAACATCATCGCCGGCAAATCCGACGACGAGTACGATTACACGCCCTTCTTTTACAGTCGCGTCTTCGAGCATCCCGGCACCGAGCGCGCCGTCAACTGGGTCTTCCACGGCTTACAGCGCGGTGAAATCATCACCATAGGCAATCTCGACCCCACGCTCGCCGCGTTCTGGATTGACGACGGCAAGTGCGTCGGCATCATGCTCGAATCCGGCGCCCCCGAGCGCGTCGCCGCGCTCGCCGCCGCTGTTCGCGCCCGCAAATCCGTCGACGTCTCCGCGCTCCGCGCGTGCGCTTCCGTCGACGACGCCCTCGCGTTGGTCCTTTAATCTTCCCTTCTTTACTCGTCCCGCTTTCAATTTTATCCCACTTTCATTCGTTTAAATTCGTTCAGACGCCGCGGCGACGTCGTCGGCGTCAGAGCCACGTCACCAGTCGCTTCGCGCGGATAACTTTGCCTCAGACACCACCGCGCGCGCGACGACGCGCCGTCGTTCGCGCCGCGCGTGGACGTCGAACGACGCGCGGCGACGATGCGCGCCAATGTCGTGGGGTGCGAGCGTCCAGCGGCGCGCGCGCGCGTCGCGACGGCGCCGCGAACGTCGCCGCGTCCCTCGCCGCGGTCGTTCGTCGCGACGGTTTCGCGACGCGTGACGCTCGGTGCGACGACGAAATCGCGCGTTGAGAGCGCGGAAGCGCGCGCATGCGTCGCGCGCGGCGCGTGGTGCGCGCGACGCGCGGCAGGAGCGATGGAGATGGCGGGAGACGCGAGCGAAGGCGCGGCGAGAGGGGACGCGGGCGCGGCGTGGCTGAGCGAGGACGCGACGCCGCGGAACGACGCGCTGGATAAGCTCATCATCAGTCTGTTCGTGCCGGCGATGCTAAACTTTTTGATAATCCCGCTCGTGGGCGCGGTGGATGTGTTTTGGGTCGGGCGATTGGAGGACGCGGTGGCGCTCGCGGCGCAGGGGGCGGCGAATCAGGTGTTTCAGAGCGCGTTTTGGATCATTTCCTTCATTCCGAGCGTCGTCGCGCCCGTGGTGGCGAAAGCGGCGGCGGGAGGTGATACGAACGAATTGTCGAAAAAGATTGGGGAGGGGATCTTCTGCGCCGCCGTGGTGGGGGCGATGGGGATGGTGTTGATGTATACGATGCAAGAGCGCGCGTTGGGCATCGTCGGCGTCGCCGCGGGGAGCGTGACGGCGCATCAAGCGGCGCCTTACGTTGGGTATCGCGCGCTGACGTTCATTCCAGCGATCGTTTCCACGGTTGGTTTCGCCGCATTTCGTGGGACGCTTGACGTGATGACACCGATGAAGATTACGTTGGCGAGTCAAATGTTAAACGTCGTCCTCGACCCGCTCTTCATCTTCGGCGTCGGCACGTTCAAGGCGATGGGGGTCGCTGGCGCCGCAATCGCGACGTCGATTTCAGAGATTTTCTCTGCGGGTTTGTACACTACGTTACTCGTCAAGCGCAAGCTGGTCGATCTTAAGGATATGTTTAGGCCTCCGAGCGCGGCGGCGTTGGGGACGCTTCTCGTCGGCGGCGCCGGCGTGCAGCTTCGAGCAGTGGCGCAAAATATCACGTTCTTGGCAGTGATGCGCGCCATACTTACGATGGACTCCACCGGTACGGCGGCTGCGGCGCACACGATCTCGTCGCAGGTGTTTCAGCTCGGTGTTATCGCTATTTTGGCGTTGAGCACCATCGCCACCATTTTGATCCCCCAGCGCATGAACTCGATGGAAAAAGGTGGACCTCGCGAAGCCAAGCGCGTGGCCGATCGTTTGCTCGTATGGGGCGTTGTTATCGGTGTCATCTTGGCCGTCTTACAAGCGGGCGCGATTCCGTTCCTCGGCGTCTTCTCCTCCTTGTCTGAAGTTCAAGAACAGGCCAAGATGCCCTGCATCATCGGCGCGTTGCTGCAGCCGCTCAACGGCATCGTTTTCGTCGGAGAGGGCTTGATGCAAGGCCATCAAGCTTTCCTTCGTCTTGCCGCGGGCATGTTCGTCTCCACGGGTGCCATGCTCGTCGCATTGAACATATACGGCAACTCCCTCGCCGGCGTGTGGTTTTGCTTCACCGTATTCAACACGTTTAGATTGTTCTTCGGCTTGCGTCATCACTTCTTCGACGGCCCGCTCGCGCCGCGTCACATCGACGCCACGATCGCCAAGCTCGAAGTGGAGACCGCAGCCAAGGCTGCGGCCGCCAAGACGGATTAATATCGTCATCGCTAGATTGAGTAGTTCGCTGTGTAGTTTCTATTTCTAATCCACGTTTTGTCACGCGCCAGAACCTCGCGCGGCACGCGCGCGCCGTCATGGGGCTTCTCAGCATCATAAAAAAAGTACGCTCGGCGTCGCCCGCGCGCGCGTTTCGTCTCTCGCCTCGCGCGCGCGTCGCTCGCGACGCCGAACCGTCGAGTCGAGTTCGTTGTTCGTTGACCCGCGCTGACGCTGACTTCGTCCCCGCGCTCGCGAAACGCAGGTCAAGGCCAAGGAGCGCGAGCTCCGCGTCCTCATGGTCGGCCTCGATAACGCCGGGAAGACGACGATCGTGAAACGAGTGAACGGGGAACCGATCGATGAAATCTCCCCGACGCTCGGGTTCAACATCAAGACGATGACGTTCGGCGCGTACTCGTTGAACATCTGGGACGTAGGCGGACAGAAAACGCTGCGGTCGTATTGGAAAAACTATTACGAAGCGACGGATGCACTGATTTGGGTCGTGGACAGCGCGGACGGGCGACGGATGCGAGACTGCGCTCGCGAACTCGCGGGCGTGCTCGGCGAGGAGAAGCTCGCGGGGGCGAGCGTTTTGATTTTCGCGAATAAGCGCGATATTCAAGGCGCCATGGACGTGGATGCTATGGTGGATGCGTTAGGGTTGAAGACGCTGGTGAATCGGCACTGGAACATCGTCGCGTGCTCGGCGGTGACCGGCGAAGGGTTACTCGAGGGGTTCGACTGGCTCGTGAAAGACTGCGCGGATAGGATTTACATGTTCGATTAGCGGAGTTGGCGCGGCCATCGCGCGTCGCCAATATAGTCATAGATCGCTGTACAACAACCACATTCTTTCGGCACTCATCGCGCCGCGCGATGGCGAGAAGAATCGAAACCGCGGCGCGCCGAGCGCGACAGCTCTCTCGCGTTTGAATCTCCCCGACCTCACAAATCCGCGCACGATCGCGCGCGCGCCGCGATGCCGCCTAAAACCCCCAAAACCGTCCTCGACAAGGTTTTGCACGCCATCGAGACCCTGCAAACGCCCGGCGGATCGTCGCGCCAAGCCATCGCGAAATATCTCAAGGAACACTTCGACGCCGATAACGCTCCCGCACTCAAGCGCGCGCTCGCCAAGGGCGTCGCCGACGGCAAGCTCGAACAGAGCGGGCAATCTTTCTCGATTCCTGGCCTCGAATTCGACGCGCCCGAGGACGAAAAGGTGAAGATTGAAGTCTTGGACGAGGGACGGTACGCGAGCGAGTCGGGACGGTGCGAGCGAGGCGACCAAGTGATGGTGGACTACGTCGGCACGCTCGCGGCCACGGGCGAGGAGTTCGATCGCTCGGACGGACCGTTTCGGTTTAATCTCGGGTACGGCGAGGTGATCAAGGGATGGGAAGAGGGAGTGATCGGAATGCGGTGCGACGAGACGAGACGGTTGACGATTACGCCAAAGTTGGCGTACGGGAAACGAGGGAGTCCACCGGAAATCCCGCCGGACGCGACGTTGGTGTTCGAGGTGACGATGTTGCGGTTCGAGCCGGTGGGATGAGCGCGCGGTCGTCGGGGGTTCGATTACTCGAGGGTCGGCGTCGACGGGCGCGTCAGACGACGCCTCGACATGCGCGCGGCGGCGACGGCTCGACCATCGACGGCTCGACCGTCGACGTCCGCGAGACGCGCGCGGCGAGCGCGAACGCGCGCCGTGCGTGATGAACGAATCGACTTCCTCTCCACGACGCTCATCGTCGACGACCTGGTGTTCGCGGACGGGACGACGCGGATGGCGGTGCTCGGCGGCGGTGGGCCGCAGACGCTGTTCGGCGCTGCGGTGACGTCCGACGGTGAGCTCACGCTCGGTCTCGTCGCGGGCGTGGGCGAGGGCGATTGCCCGGAGACGTGCGCGAGGTGGCTCGCGGACATTGGCGCGGAAGCGTTTTTGTTGACGTTGGGGACGTCGACGCCGCGGGCGTGGCAAATCACCGAACGCGACGGACGTCGCACGCAGGTGTGGAGATTGGACGCAAGCGATGCTTTGTACGCGATGTTGCGTCCGAAATACGCGATTTGGCCAGAGAAGTGTAAGCGTGCGAACGCGGTGCACTTTGGCTTGAATCCGTCGCGACCAGACGTCGAGCTCGTGCAAGCGCTTCGCGAAGGCGGGTGCGGCTTGATTTCGATCGAACCGTTCACGCACGCCGAGGCACCGCTATCGAGGAAAGATTTGGAAAATCTCGTTTCCATGGGTGATGTTTTCTCGCCGAATGAGCGCGAGGCGAGGAGTTTCTTTGCGAAGGGCGACGGGATGTCGCCGAAGGATTTGATCAAAGCCATGCGAAAAGCTGGGGCGACGATATGTTGTTTGCGGCGCGGGTCGCGCGGTGCGATGGTGTATGATTCGCGAACGAACGAGGGTTACGAGTGCGAGGCGCTCTCTGCGAATGTCGTAGACGAAACTGGATGCGGCAACGCGTTTTGCGGCGCTTTCGCCGCCGCCTTGGCGCAGGGCGCCACGATACGCGACGGTCTTATCCGTGGAACGGTTGCGGCGAGCATCATGCTCGAACACGTTGGCGTCCCAAACGGCACATTGGTCGAGTATCGCGCCGAAGCAGCGAGGCGTGCGAACTTGATCAATCCCGTTGCGTTTAGTCTCGACGAAGAGGTTGCCGCGTTCGTCGACTTCGACGAGTACATCCCCTAGTTTAGCTCTAGATGTTCAGATTAAAGTTATGCAACGCGTTTTATTTACACTCCTCCTCCTCGTCTTCTGGGTCACCTCCGGCGTGATAGAACGGACTCGTCGTCAACTTGCGGCGAGTGTCGACGACGACGAGCGGGCGGCACTCGCAGTTCTGCGGCCACGCGTGCATGTGTTCGCGCATATTTTCGCTCGGCACGTGTCCACCGAAGCAGTACTCCACCATTAGATTGCACATGAACGCCGAGTGTGTGACGACTATGATTGAATCTTCCTCGCGATCGAAACACCAGTCGAGAAACTTTCGCGCTCGCGCTCGCAGCACCGGTTCGGGCTCGCGATTCTCTCGGCCCGGCTTCCACAACACGTCGTCCTCGTCCTCGATGAACGAAAAGTCAACCCCAGGAAACTCTCGTCGATATTCGCTGACGCTGCGCCGTCTATCGCACGGATTCCCGCCTATTTGCTCGCGCACCATTTCGAGCGCGACGAATTTCTTCCCCCCGCGCAACCGCGCGTCGCACCTCAACGCCGGTCGTTCGCACGCCTTCATCGCCTCCGCCCTCGTCGCCTCCATCAGCACGCACCCATCGCCGTCGACCGATCCGAACATCCCCGCCGCCGTCTCCATCGCTCGCGTCAACGGCGACACCACCACCAGTTCGCACGTCTCCAACATTTTCCCGTACGCGTCGCGCGACTCGAGCGTCTCTTTAAAATGTTCGCACTGTCGCCATCCTCGCGCCGTGAGTCTCGCGTCCGCGTACGCCTCGCTCCCGTACTCCTTCGGGTCTCGCTCGCCCGCTGCGCTCCCGGCGCTCGACGCGCGCCGTCAGTCGTTTTCCTTCGGCTTTCGTCACCGACCGTCTCTGATTTCAATCTTCTCGCGCGTCGCGTCCGTCGCGTCGCGCGCGTCGCACCTCGATTGTGAAACCCCTCGGCGTGTCGTATGAGATAGATCGTCTTCGTCGCGCCCGCCGGCGCGCAGTGCACGTCGCGCGCGTCCGCGCTCGGCGGATGGCGCACCCAGCCCATGTCGCGGCGAAAAGTGCCGTCGCGGTGCCGACCCGGTGCCGCACTCGCCGTCGCGCGATGGCGGCGACGCGCGGGGAGTACGCGACGTACGGCGTGGGCGCGTTTTTGGCGTGCGTGTCGAGGGTGCGCGACGGCGCGACGCGACGCGACGCGACGCGACGGCGCGGCGCGACGGCGCGACGGCGCGACGGCGCGACGCTTTCTCTTCGCCGCGACGACGCGTCGACGCGCGAACGCGACGCGCGAAGGAGCGACGCGCGAAGAAGCGCGGACTGACGGGAGTCGTGACTCGCGTGACAGGGCGTCACGGGCGTGGGCGCGGCGATACTGTTCCTCGTGACCTGGGTCGTGTTCTCCGTGGCGGGCGCGGAGACGAGCTCGCTGAAGGACACGGTGGCGCTGGAGGCGTTCGTGGGATTGGTGACCATGGTGCCGTTCATCACGTCGGCGAACATTCGCGAACACACGAATTGGGTGATACTGGCGTCGTTTTTACCGTGTCAGGCGGCGAGTGTGCCGTTGGGGGCGCTCGCGTTGCAGAGGGTGTCGCCGGCGTATTTGGAGCTGACGTTTTCGGCGTTGATCGCGTTGTTCGTGAGCGAACGCACGGGGGCGTTCGGGTACGTCGCGCGAAAGTGTGGAGGTGGCGAGAGTACGACGACGGTATCGACGACTGCCGGTGACGGTGATGGCGACGCACGGGGCGTGAACGCACCCGACGTGGAGACGGGCGAAGAGGTCGAGGCGCGCGCAAACTGGTGGAAAGAGCCCAAGAAATTCCTCATGTTGCCCGTGGACAACGATGGCTTGACATTCAACGGCGAAAATTGGAAGTTTATGCTTTGTTGGGCCGTCGCTGGGTGCATGAGTGGCTTTTTGGGCGGTATGACGGGCACGCACGGTCCGCCGGCCATCGCGTGTTACACGATGATGAAGGTGAGTAAAGACATCGTGCGCGCCACGAGCGCGGCGATTCTTGTCACAGTCATGTGCTCGCGCCTCGTCACGTACGCCGTGAACGGGATGTTTGACATTAGTAAACCCGGCGTCTACGGCACCGCTGGCGGCTGCGGACTCGCCGGCGTGTTCCTCGGCATTTACGCGCAAAAGTTCGTCGACAAGGACCAGTTTACGAAAATTTTACTCGGCATCCTCGGACTCGGTTCGGTGCTCATGCTCTACAAGGGCATCGAAGATCTATGATATTCGGTCATTAATACTCGACCACCAGTTATATTCTTTGTAGTCTGTTGTATGGTATTCGCATCGCTCGCGCCGCGCGACGTCCCGCTCGCCGCGCTCGCGCGAGCGTCGACGCCTCAGACGCCGCCGCGCGCTTCTCGAGATGTCGGACAGCGCCGCGCGCGTCACCGCCGCGAGACGCGCGAAGGAACGCGGGAGCGATTTGTACAAATCTGGCAAGTGGCGTGACGCCGCGGACGCGTTCGGGGAGGCGATTAAAATCGCCCCGCGAGATGACGAAGACGTCGCCGTCTACCATTCCAATCGCGCGGCGGCGCTCCTGCAACTCGGCGACGCGAAAGCCGCGCGCTCGGACGCGGAGAAATGCGTGCGTCTTCGCCCGCACTGGGCTCGCGGGTGGTCGCGCGTGGCCGCGGCGTGCGAAATGCTGCAAGATGACGCCGGCGCCGAGCGGGCGTTGGAAAAGTTGATTTCGCTCGACGCCGATAACGCGGACGCGAGGCGGAACCTGAACGCGGTGCGGGCGAGAATGCGCGAGCGCGGTGGCGCGTCTCGGGGATGGCGCATGCCGTCGATGCCGTCGATGCCGTCGATGCCGTCGATGCCAGACGTGTCGGCGACGGCGGCGGCGGGCGCGGCGTTTTGTCGCATGCGCTACGCGCGCGCGACGCCGAACGAGCAGTTGGCGGTGAAGTGCGCGCTCGGCGTTTTAGCGTACTTTGTGTTCAAGCGCGTGGCGAGCGTTTTCGGATTCGGTGGTTACGGCTACGGTTCGTACGGTGGTGGTTACGATCCGTACGACGGCGGTGGTTTTTCGTTGTATACGCTCTTGGGCGTGGTGGCGCTGTACTACGCTCACAAGAGCGGCGCGAGTTGGTGGAACTTGCTTTCGATCGCAAACATGTTTGGCTTGACCGGAGGAGGTCGGCGTAGAGGCTACGGCGGCTACGGCGGCTACGGCGGCTACGGCGGCTACGGCCGACCCGGGTTCGGCGGACCGGGGATGTTCTTTCGATGAACGCGTACGATTACATCGGCGCGTGGAAAACGCCTAGCCTAGCCTAGCCTAAATCGCTAAATCTACATCTCCAACAGTCCCCGCAACGCCTCCCTCGCATCGTCCTTTTCCGCATCCCGTTTCCTCTTCCTATCCTTCTTCTCTCGCTTCCTATCCTTCGGCTTCGCCCTCGAGACCCCCCCGCCGGCGCCGAGCTTCTCCGCGCACCGCGCGCACGCGCGCACCTTCATCATCGCCTTCTTCCTCACCCCTCCCTCGTCGTACGCGAACACGCACTCGAACGACGCCAACCCATCGCTCGTCTCGCATCTCTTCTCGCCGCACGTGAACTGCCCCTTCCCCGCCCGCACCTCCGCCGCCGTTCGCCACCGCGCCCCCGTCTCGCCGTCTCGCGTCGTCGCGTCGAACACCGCGTACGCCTTGTACAGCTTTTCGTGATACCGTCTCGCCAGTCGCACCGCCCACGCGTCGCCGCGCCTTTCGTCCTCCTCGTCGTCTCTCACGAATCGGTGCTCGCGCGCCAGCGCGTCGCCGTCGCCGCGCGCGCGCCGCGCGTTCGCGCCGCAGAACCGCTCGTGCGCGTCGAGCAGCGCGGCGTGACGCGCGCGAGGGCTCAGCCGCGCGAAGTCGGCGCGATCGAGCGCGGCGCGCGCGACGTCGTCGCCGCGCGCGCGCCGCATCGCGCGTCGCGGCGTGCGGGCGACCGACCGCGCGGGCGCCGTGCACGCATAAATCATCCATCACACATGGGCGAACGGGTCGCAGAGTACGCGATCGAACGCGCGGGCGCCGTACACGCATAAATCATCACACATGGGCGAACGGGTCGCGGAGTACGCGATCGAACGCCCGCGGCGCGCGATAAAAATCGACCGCGCGACGTCACCCGTTTGACCGCGGCGCCGCACACGCCGGCGCGCCGCGCGACCGCGCGCGCACGAGCGCGCGGACGTCGAGCGCGACGTGAAGCGTCGCGTCGTCGCGGCGAGCGCGCGCGCGACGCGAGGAAGCGAACGCGACGCGACGCGAGGAAGCGAACGCGAAGACGCATTCGCGCGCGCGGCGCGCACGATGAGCGAGGTGCCGATCGTCGTCGGCCTGCTGCACGGCTTCGACGGCACGGGACACTGGTTGAATCACGTGCTGATCGATCGGTACGTGCTCGGGGTGACGAAGGCGGGAGACGCGTACGATCCGTCGAGATATTCGATGGCGAGAAAGTTTACGGTCATGTGGGCCTTTTTGACGTTTTTCACGTACGCGCTGTACTTTACGCTGTGCCCGTTGTCGTATTGGTGGAATTTTAAGCGGAAGAACGCGGAGGGGAAGAATAAGGCGAAATGGCTCGGTCGCGAGGGGAAGGATCAGGTGAAAAACGAGATCGTGCTCTCGGTGTGGTCCATCGCGGTGATGACGTTTATGATTGCGCCGTTCGAGCTGATGGTCGAGGCGGGATGGACGAAGTTGTATTGGGACGTCGATAAGTACGGCATGACGTACTTTTGTCTCACGCCGTTGTTGTTTTTGGTGTTCAGCGACACGTGCATTTATTGGATTCATCGCGGGTTGCATCATCGCGCGGTGTACGCGCCGATTCACAAGTTGCACCACAAGTACAAGGACACGACGCCGTTTAGCGCGTACGCGTTTCACCCGCTCGACGGCTGGTTACAAGGGTGCCCGTATCACTTGTTCATCTTCCTGTTCCCCATGCATCACATGACTTACTTTATTTCTCTCGCCATCGTTGGTTTGTGGACGATCAATATCCACGACCGCGTTTCGATGCGGTTTCCTTACGTCAACTGCGCGGCGCACCACACGATTCATCACACGGGGTTCAATTACAACTACGGGCAGTACTTTACGTTTTGGGACAAAATCGGAGGGTCGTACAGGGACCCGCACTCATACCCGCCTTACGCGGACAAGAACCCGAACTTGACGACTAGCAAAAAAGCTGATTGATCGATTAATAATTGTTTGTAACGCTCACGAAGAATTTAGCGAAAGGGGTGCGCGTCGCGCCGACGAAAAGCTTTTTGGTTTTATCGTTACAGTGAAAGGCTCCTTTGTGTCTTCTAATCTCCGAAAATATGCATCACCGAGACGACGCGATCACTTTCGCATCTCAAAAAACCAGCGGCCGACGGCGCTCGCCGTTCGCTTACAGGTACTTTTCCACCGTCCCGGTGAGCGTGCTCTTCGGCACCGCGCCAATCACAGTGTCCATCTTTTGACCACCCTTGAAGATCATCACGGTCGGGATGGAACGAATGCCGTACTCCGTCGCCACGCTAGGGGATTCATCCGTGTTAAGCTTGACCTGCACGCGCACAAAAATCGTTGAAACTCGTCAGTCGCCGCGCTTTGTTTGTCTCACCGCGTCACCCTCGCTCGACGCCGCCCCGCGCGCGGCGTTCTACGCTCGCGCGCGCACCCTCGCGCGCGCCATCGCGCGCGACTACACTCGCGATCGAACATTTTCAACGTACCGCCTTGAGCTTCCCTTGGTACTCCTCCGCGAGTTGATCAATCAAAGGCGCAATCATTCGGCACGGCCCGCACCACGGCGCCCAAAAATCCACGAGCACCGGAACGTCGGACTTCAACACTTCCGCCTCAAACGTCGCGTCCGTGACCACGGTCGCGAGCGAGCCTGCGCGTGCACACACATTTTCATCCGTCAGTCGCCTCGTTCGCGAATATCGCGCGTCCGCGCGCGCCGCGATTCTCTTGTCTATAGAGCCCTCGGACCCCCACACCCGGGTGGCTTATCGCGAACGCGATCAGGGGTAACGACGCGATTCCCATCGCGCCCGCGCGCCGCGCGCCGCCCCGCATCCGCCCCCCGGCGCCCGCGTTCGACGCGCGTAAATCTCCACCGCGCATTCCCACCCCTCGACGTCCGAGCGTCGCGTCGCGCGCGCGTCGCGCGTCGCGAATGCACCGCGCGCGCGCGCCCGCGATCGCGCGCATCTTCATTCGCGTTGACGCACCGCTCGTGCTCGTCTCCTCCGCGCGCGCGACGACGCGCGCGCGGTTGGACGGCGTTCTATTTTGGTGCGTTTTTCGCGTCACCGAGGTCATCGCGGGGCATCGCGCGAGGGTGAGCGACATCGTATACGCGCGTCGCGCGATGCCGACGTGGCCATTATCCGAGTTGATCCGGCGCGGTAAACAATGATCCGTGTTGTATTGCACGAAACGACCCCATGTTTCTTTGAGTCAAGATCCGTCAGAGCTGAGGATCACGTATTTCGAGCGCTGGAAGCGCATGAGTCGCGCGACGCGGCCGCCGCACGCCGCGGCGCGCGGCGATGGCGACGCCGGCGTCCACCGTCGCGGGCACGCGCGTGGTGAAGATCGGGGACGCGTCGCTCGAGGTGCGGACGCGCGCGACGCGCGCGCGCGACGGCGCGACGGCGCGAACGCGCCAACGCGCGCGATGGGCGATGGGCGACTGACGGCGCGGTGACGACGACGCAGGTGCCCTCGTTCGTGAGCGCGTCGAACGTCGGGACGAGCGCGCCGCGAAAGAAGCATTTTCGTCAGCGCGCGCACTGTAATCCGTTGAACGATGGGTACTATTACGCGCCCGTGGGACCGTGGGAGATCGACTGGCGCGAGCACTACGAGGAATTTTTCGCGAAGCGGGACGGCGACGGCGACGCGGGAAGTCTGAAGATACGCTTCGCGGACGTCGGATGTGGGTTCGGAGGGATGCTCGTGCGACTGGCGGAGGTGTTTCCGGAAAAGTTGATGCTCGGGATGGAGATACGGGACAAGGTGAGCGAGTACGTGCGCGAGCGGTGCGCGGCGTTGCGCAAGGACCACCCGGGTAAGTACTGGAACATTTCGTGCGTGCGGGCGAACGCGATGAAAAATTTGCCGCAATATTTCGAAAAGGGGCAATTGGAGAAGCTCTTCTTTTTGTTTCCCGATCCACACTTCAAGGCGGCGAATCATAGGCGAAGAATCGTGACGACGACGTTACTCGCCGAGTACGCGTACGTGCTCGCCGAGGGCGGAATTTTGTACACCATCACCGACGTCGAGGAACTCGGTAAATGGATGTCCGATCACATGTCCGCGCATCCAATGTTTGAACGCGTGCCCGAGGCTGAGCTCACGAAAGATCCCGTGGTGCCGCTCCTTTACACGGGCACCGAGGAAGGGCAAAAAGTTGAGCGAAACTCGGGTTCGACGTTTCTCAACGTCTTCAGGCGCGTCGCCAACCCGAACCATTAGTTAGCGCGCGTCAAGACGCAACGTAGTTTTCTAGATTCTAAGCCATCACAGTATTACATGATTCCCTACGTGCGCGCGACTTCCTCGCCCTCGCTCCTACGTCGCCTTTGCCTTCGCCGCCTGCGCTTGGTCGTACGAAAACCTTCGAAACAGTTGATACGACCCCGTCGCCGCCATCACCATGTTCACCGCCATCAAGTTGTAGTTCACGGGCGTGATGTCCAGCGCGTACTTGCACCAGATCAATCCCGTGAGCGTCACCGCGCTCTGCTGCGGGACGCTGAGCAATTCGGGCGGGCGCGAGAAATCCTTCACGTTCGCCGCGGTGATCCCCCATTTCATCGTCGGCGCCCAGAAGAAGATGGTTTTAGGGCCCGCGGGGTGGTTCCAGAATGATCGCGCGCTCGCGGCGAACGACATGGCGAACGCGCCGCGGAATGCGTCGCGGCGGAAACCCCCTGAATGGACTTTTGCGCTGTGTTCCGAACACTGGCTACGTAGAGCTCGGATGAATGTCGTATCACATGGGTCGTGGTGAAAATCGTCGAGAAGGAAACTAGAGTTTGAGCTGGATGGCGACGCCGGCGTCATCGCGTCGCATGGTTTTCGTGCAGAGAGGATTTTCATCGAGCGCCGCGTCGGCGGCGGTGTGAACGATGATTTTCGCCTTGAGCGCGGACGCGGCGTTGGCCTTCTTTGCCAAAGCGATATCCGAGTCGACGTTTGACGGGACGTATTGCGCTACCATGACGGATTCAGTCCACGGCTTGAAGTTCAAGTCGACGTCGCCGTCATCGTAATCGACGCGAAACGAATACGTGTGCGGATCGAAGGCGGTAATCGTGCCAGAGTAAAACGCGTTGTCCCGCTGCCACAGCACCACTATCCTCTGGCCTACGGCTTTGTCCTTGCGAAGCGCTAGTGTGGCGCCGATTTGACCGTGTCTCGCGAGTTCTATGATCTTCATCTGTGCGCACTTTGATTTCATCTTAGAACGACCAGCCGCGAGCTCCGACTCCGTGCCGGACGAACGCCGCGATCTCGTCTGCGGTTTGCTATCGGCCATAGCCTTGTGCGCTTCGGTGACGCACACGTCACATTCGTAACATGGCGATGGATCGGTGAAGAGATGTGCGTTGTTACGCTGCACGATTGGGTTGACGGGAGCCTCTAAATTCCTCGCATTGCACCACGCCCGTGCCGACTCGACTGACTGCGTAAATTTCGCCTTTGAAGAAAACACAGGTTGTTTCATCGCTTCGCCGTAAAATTTGTCGAACGGATAAACTTCCGACGCTTTAACCCATGCGAAGGATCTGCGATCGTCGAAAAAGATCACTAAACGATGATCCTCGGTGAACTTGGGGCTGAAAGCTGCAACACGTGCGCCCTCAGGGATAACGGCGTGATCCCGAAGCGGATGGAGCGCGACGCATGGCCAGTACATGGTCTTTCCTCGCACAGCTCCTTTCCATTTCACCCACGAGCACTCGCCGTGTGTCGTCATGCCATGTTCGTCTAAGTCGTTTTCGTTGTTTTCGTCTCGATGTCTCTTTTCCTTTGCAGCCTCTGTTTCTTCGCTCTCCCCCTCGTCTTCATCCGAATCGTCGTCGTACTCATTGGCAGCTTGTTCGTCGTCTTCGGCGTCAATGTCTTCTAAAATGTCAATCTTAGACTTCTTTGATGGCGACGGCAGGGTCACTTGTGTCGAGTCACGCTTGACGTCTAACGCCGCGAGAATCGTCGAGTCAATGTTCTCGTGCGCGAGCTCGAGTCTCCGCAAGTAGCCTTCTCGAAGTTCGTACCGCACGGGTTTGTTCTTTGTGAATTCAAGAAAATCGCCGAGCGGTGTGAAACCGCGAATGAGTGGAAACTCTGAAACTTCGTTCGGCGCGCGTTGTCGACCTGTCCATTTCGGATCGCCGTTCACGTTGAGCATGTTGTAAGCGGCGAGCGGCCATGCCTTTGAAGATCGATCGCGCGTCGCTGGTCCCGGACACGGCTTTTCGAATGGCGTCGCCAGCGCATCGTAGGTAAATTTCACGTTGTACGGGCATTTCAACTGCTCGCCAAGCCACCGGCTTTGTGGGACGCTGCACGCCAGACCTAAGAGACTAAATCTTTTCATCGTTTGTAAATCCGTGTCGAACACCGGCGCTCGTTCGTTGGGACGCATGAGCGGATAGCAGGGTTCCGTATAACCCGGAGGAAATCCCATCAATCGTTCGGCGTCTTCTATCGCCAACATTGACAACTCAGCCTTTTGCTTTCCGATTTGGGTCGCGACACATGTACGACGTCCGTTGCTCGTCGTGAAGCAGTGCATGATATCGCAACACGGCGCTCGACGCTTCTCCCCGAGATCTATCGACGCCGAAAACATCTTTGTCGGTACTCGCGGTGGAGTGATGAAGCACTCGTAACACTCGTTGTTCATTCCCAGCTGGACGCACTCTCCCGAACACATCGCGCTCTGCGACAATAACACGTCTCGGGGATCACCGTGCAAAGATGCGACGACGAAAACGCGTCGTCGCTTATGAGGCGTCCCAAAGGACAAAAGATCGACGACGCGATACGCCCATCTGTATCCGAGATTTTCCAATTCATTGACTACGTAATCGATCGCCGGTCTCTGTTCGCCGTCGCTGTGCCACTTCAACAACCCGACGACGTTCTCGAGCAACAGCCACGGCACCCGTCTCGCCTCGAGCAAGCGAAACACGTGCGAGACGGAACGCGTGGCGCCGCCGAGCTCGAGTCCGGGTCGCTTGAGATTCTCGCAGCTGCAGTCGTTGCACGGAAACCCAGCGACGACGCAGTCGATGTTTTCGAGCATGAACGGGAGCACCTCCGCCACGTCATTGAGCAGCGCGACGCCCGGAAAGCGCGCCGAGAGGACTTGCTTGCAGTGGGCGTCGCGCTCTACCATGAGCTCTATGCGGTGGCCGGCTTGCTGGAGACCGAGATCGAGGCCTCCGACTCCGGAGAATAGGGACGCCACGCGAAGACTCACCATCTTCGCCGCGTCGCGATGCGTCGAGCGTCGGGGTGTGTGGACGCGATCGCGGTCGCGCGGCGAGACGGGACGACGCCGACGGCGAGCAAATTCTAAAATACATTAAAAATATGCCTCTCGCTCGCGAAGAAACACACGACAATCTTGTTCTGAATCCTTCTTAATCTTGCTCGGAATCCTTCAAAATTTTGTTGTACAGCGTGGCTTCGTCGCATTCGACGCACTCGTCGATCTCCGCGTTGAGCGAGCAAAATAACTGTTCTCTCAAGATTTCCAAGTTCACGTCTTCGTACTTCTCCTGGCATCGCTCACCCCCGAGTCCGCGGTTGAAGTAACTGCGCCATCGTTTCAACAACACCACTCTCTGCGCGAGAATTCTCTGCGCGTGATCACTGCGCCCTTCGGCGAAGAGTTTCTTGATGAACTCGTCGCCTCGGTTCTTATACTCGCTCGCGGCGAAGTTGTACAACCACTTGTACTCCCCCTTCCCCGGCGACAAATCCGTCTCTTGCATCTGCGCCAGCGTCTCCTTGAGCGCTCGAAACGTAAAGTAGTTCATCAGCAAGCTGTCGACGTCGTTAAAACTCTGTTCAGGCGCGCGCGCGTCGCGCATTCCGTCAGTCAATCGCTCGAAAAGTTTAAACTCGCGCACTCGCCATCGTCGAGACGTCGCCGCTACTCACGTCGCCGTACGCCCCGCCGAGGTCCCCGCGTCGAATGACATCGCGCGCGCGATGCCGCGCGACGCGTCGGGCGGCGAAAATCGGTGTCGCGCGCTTGACGCACGACATTTTGTGCGGGGTGCCCGCGTCCGTGGTCGACAGTTGAAGGGGCCTCGGCGCCAGCGTGGCTCGAGCGCGACATTCGAGGGATTGCGGTCGGGGAAGAGGGGATGTGGTATTGAATAGAGCGTAGAATGCTAAAGCGAGAGTGTGCGCGTCATCTCGACGCGCGGGTGGGCGAGAGGAGCGATGACGACGAGATCCGCGATCGGGTCTCGGCGACTCGGCGCCGCTCACGCGGCGGGCTCGGGCGCGGTCAACGCCGCGTCCGTCGTGATCGTCGACGAGGTCTCCGCCACTTTGGGCGCGGGTGCGGGCTTATCGGTCGCGGGCATTCTCGCGCTCGTCGCGCGCTTCTCTACCGGTGCCTCTTGTAAGAGATCCACCACCTTGTACACGCCGAACAAGACCGCCGCTCCGACGGCGAGCGTCACGAGCGTCGTCACGCTCGGTCCCGAGCTTTCCACTACCTCGAAATCCTCTCCCCGAATCGTGTCTTCGCGCACTTGACCAGAGCGAATCGGGTCACCGCGCGCGTATCGACCCTCCTTCAGCGTCTTACTCTCCGGTCGCGAGCCGTAACTCTCCGGCGCCGTCTCTTTGCGGCCGTCCGGCAAGCTCTCCACGAGCTTTCCGATTAACCCGCCGAGCTCGGGCTTCTCTTCGCTGCGGTACGCCGAGGAATCTTTCGCCTCGTCTTCCGAACCGGCGCGTCGGACGATGTGGGCGCCTCGCGCGAGCTGCGAGCGGAAGAATCGGCGTTAATCACTGTCGACGTCATCAAACAACAAACGAGCGTCGCGCATCGTCGAACGAGCGTACCTGTCGCGCCGCGCGCGGGCATACGGTGGCGGGCGTCTTCGCGGAGACGTTTAAGCGCGCGGTGGCGGTGATGAGAGCCATGTTAAATAAAGGAGCGTCGAACAGTGATGGAGCAGAAGGGACGTGATATCCACTCACTTTATCGCTCCGCTAGCGCGAGACGCGAGACGAGGAGAATCGCGCGCGACGAGGGCTGATGAATACTCTTGAATTACAGCAAATGAATGATAAATGAACCGCTGCGCGCTAGTGTGTGTGTGTGCATTTGTATGTGTGTCGTATCGCTCGATTATTTCGCCGCCGTCCTCGCCGGACCGCTTGCGGGATTAAAGTTACGCTTGAGCGCGTCCCTGTTTCCGCCGAGGAACCGAATGAGGGAGAAAAGCTCGTCGCGCACGAGCCACGTTCGAACGGCACCACGATCGGCGACAAGACAGCCGATGTTGTGCGATGGGACTTCGAAGGGTGAGTCGAGACGACTGAGCGTCGCGATGGTTCGCTCCTTGACAGGCGAGTGGCCGTACACGGTGCTGTGCTTGCCCCAACCAGTGACGACTTGAATCTCTTCAGGCAAGTCGCGAATGTCGATCGGCATTTCGGACTTATTCTTCAACCCTGATACGAGCGCACGCGTTCCTTTGCCCGCGGCTCGAACGTCGAGCGGTGCCAAAGCGCGTTGACGCATTCGGCGCAACCACCAACGTAAGACGCACTGCGCGGTGCCGGCGGAACGAATACGGTGCAGGTCTAAAACACCGAGATCGTCCTCGCATTGGAAGTGCCCAGCCGCTTGAGCTTGTTCGAGCCACGTCGTTGCGCGATCCCATTGACCCATCTCCTCGCAAACATCGATGAGCGCGTCAAACGTGAGCGCGTTTGGCACGATCCCTTCACTCGTCATTTGCGTCATCGCCTCGCCCGCCTTTTGCCACTCTTTACGAGCCTCATACGAAATCAATAGCGAGTTGTACGTGTGCACGGTGCGCGTGACGTCGCTCGTCAGCATGTATTTGAATGTGTCCTCCACCTCGGCGTACTCGTTGTTAACGTGAAGCACTCGGAGCAGGGCGTCGGAAACGAACCCTCGCCATCCTGGAACTTCTTCGAGCTCGCGATCGTCGGCGAGCGCGCGTATAAGAACCGGGAGGTTCCCGACTGGACTATCGCTCACGTCGCACGTGCGTTCGAATTCGGGCAAATCGATGCCCTCCAATTCGGCTCGCTTGATTTCCTCGCGAAGCCTTTCCTCGCGACACGCCTGAAGCTTTTCAATACCGCACAAGCAATCGAGTGTGATGGTGTCCGGCGCGAATCCCGAAAGAAGAAGTTCTTTATATATTTTCGTCGCGCGCACCCAGTCACGCTCTGCGCTCGCCTCCATCAGGAGCGTGTTGTACGTGACGAGAGTCGATCGCACGCCCTCCGTCTCCATCACTCGTAAAACCCGTTGCGTGCCTTCAAGATTACCCGCCTTGACACACGCCCCGAGCGCGCTGTTGAATATCACGGCCGTCGCGTGCAAACGCGGGGCAATGATGACTTGATGCAGGAGCTCGAGAGCCCGATCGATGTTGCCGCTATTGCCGTGCGCGGTGATTAACACGCTGTACGTGGTTTCGTTCGGCATGACCCCCGCGCGCTGCATGGATTGGCTCATATTTTCCATGTCACGAATGCGTCGCTGCCTTCCGAGCGATTGCAACATACCGTTGTATGTCGTCACGTTTCGCCTGACACCTTCCGTTTGCATGCGCTCAAACACGGCGGCGGCGTCCTTGTAACGGCCCGAGTTCACCGCGGCAGAGAGCAATGCGTTGTACACACCCGTGTCCAATTGCACGTGCGAGCTCGCAAACAAGCTTTCGAATAACTCGCTCGCCTTTTCGAATTGTCCGCCCTTGCCGTACGCGCTGATGAGGGACGTGTACACGCGCACGCTCGGGTGCCACGTGGGCCCGCGACCTCTGAAGTCGCGCTTCATCTCCTCAAACGTTTGTTCGGCGAGCTTCCACTCAATCGCACGCGCGTACGCCGCGATCACCTCGTGATACGTCTTGGCATCCGGACCCGGGCCGTGCTCTCGCATCTCGCGCAGCAATCTCGTCGCGTCCGCGCTCGCCGGCGGACGCGAGCGCTTGCACGCTCGCAGCGTCATGTTGTAAAACGCCAGCGGCACCGCCACGCCGTTTCGCTCGCCCGCCTTCTTCATCCGCTGCAGCGCCGAAATCGCCTCAGGCGCGTCTCCGGTATCCGCCGCGCGCAGCATCACCGCCCCATCCACCGCCCACATCGCGTCGTTCGCGTCCCACGCCGCGCTCGTCGACTTCTCGTCGTCGTCCGACCGCAGCGCTCGCTCGAGCGCGCCGTACGACGACGACAACCCACCGTTTCGCCGCCCACTCCCGTTTCCACCCGTCGCGCGTCGCCACCCTCGTCGACCACCGTTCGCCGCGCCATCGAACCCGCTCCCGTCGCCCGCCGCGTCGAAATCCTCGTCGCCGCTTCGCCGCGTCGTCACCTCACCGCGCGGACCCTCGACGATTTCCAGCCCCTCCCGCGCCCAACCCCGTCGCGTCGCGACTCCCGCGTACGCCCGCGTCCCGTTCGACGCCGCCGCGCTCGACCCGTCGTCGTCGTCGTCCTCGTCGCGCGTCGTCTCGTACGACGCGAGCGCGTCGCCCTCGTCGTCGTCGTCGCGACTCGTCGCTCTGCGGTTTTTACGGCTCGCGCGCGCCGTCACGCGCGCGCCGCGCGTCGCCATCGCCGCGCGCATCGCGCGTCGCTCGAGCGCGTCCGCGTCGCTCGCGCGTCGCGCCGTCGTCGTCGACGCGCGCGGTCGTCGTCGCGCGGTCGTGCTTCCCACCGGCGCCGTCGCGACGCCGCCGCGCGTCGCCATCGTCGCGTCGCCGCGCGTCGCGGTGCGTCGCGCGAGACTTCGTCGCGTCGCGCGCGCGTCGTCGCCGCGCTCGCGTCGCGTCGCGCGTCGCGCGCGCGCGTGTGACGCCGCGCCGTCGCCGCCGCCGGGCCGACCGCCTTATCTGCGACCGCGTGTGCGCAAACAGTGAGGACGTACGTATACGTACCCCAGATGGGTAAAGTGCGCGCTGAATACGTATACGTACCCCAGATGGGTAAAGTGCGCGCTGAATACGTATACGTACCCCAGATGGGTAAAGTGCGCGCTGAATACGTATACGTACCCCAGATGGGTAAAGTGCGCGCTTGAATACGAGCGGCGCACCGCGACGCGCATGCGCGCGACGCCGCGCGCGCGCGCGCGCGTCGCGACGCCGCGACGTCGGCGACGACCGCGCGCGGTGACGCCGATCGCGTCGGCGTCGTCGGACGCGCGGCGCGCGACGCGACGCGTCGCGCTGACGACGACGGCGATCGCGCTCGCGGCGTTCGGCGACGCGCGCGACGCGCGCGCGCGGCCGCTCGCGGTCGTCGAGGCGCGCGACGCGGTGGCGCGCGACGGCGGACGGTTTACGTTTGAGATCGAGCTTCCGAGGGGGTATCACTTCACGGAGGGCGCGAACTCGAGGTACGAGACGACGGCGGCGGCGAGCGGGACGAGGGGCGCGCTGGAGGGCGACGGCGGAGCGAAGAGGACGGTGGTCGTGCGCGCGGCGGAGGGGGTGAACGAGGCGCGCGTGGATTGCGTGGTGTATTTTTGTCGAACGGATGACGTGTGCCTGATGCAGCGCGTGCGGTTCGAGGTGCCGGTGGCGACGGGGGGGGCGAGCGAGACGACGGCGGAGTACGTCGTCGCGGCGGAGGCGAACGACGCGGCGGTGCCGAGTTTTGATTGAATCGCTGCTCTCGTGTTGTATTGTTCGTACATGTGTTAGGTGCGTGATTCGCGCGCGTCGCGTTCGCCTACTTCTTGGCTTTGGCGAGCTGAACGCCTTCCATTTCGTCTTCGACGTCTGAAAAAAGCTCGCGTAAATTCTCGAGAGTCTCCTCGTCGGCGTCCCACATTCCGCGACCGGCGGCTTCGAGCATGCGCTTGACGACGTTCCTGAACGCCTGCGGGTTCGATTTTCTCAGCTTGTCACGCATCTCTTCGTCTTCGACGTAGGTTTCGTGCGCGCCGTCGTACACCCAGTTCTCGGCGAACCCGCTCGTGGCGCCCCAGCCCACGAGCGCGGTCATGCGTTGGGAAATTTCGTACGCACCGCCCGATCCTTGGTCCGCCATCGCGGTCGCCCATCGCGGGTTGAGTAGTTTCGTGCGGTACTCCATGCGAAGCGTCTCGTCGAGATCTTTCGGGGTGACGTCTTTACCGAAAGTCTCGACGATGGAGCACGCGACGTCGGGATTTTTCACGCCCGCGTCTTCCTTCGCGGCCTTGGCTGCGGCGACGAGCGCGCCCGTGTTGGCGTAGTACTCTTGGATGTCGGTCAGACCGTACTCTACAGAATCGATTTCCTGAACCACGCGCTCGGTGGTGCGTAAGAGCGATTGTAAAACTTCTGGTCGCGCGGTGCCGCGTTCGTCGCCTTTGCCGTACGAGTACGCGTTTCTCGACGCCCACGTATCTCCAAGCTCGCGAGAGTCCTCCCATCCACTCGTTCCGACGCGTTCGTTCACCATGGAACCGTAGTCTCCGGGAGGGTTGCTGAACAAGCGTGCGGTGGTGTTCTCGATCCCCTCGCTTTGCATCTCTCTCGAGTGTTTGCGAATGAAGTTCATCTCAATCGGCTCGTCCGCCTCAGCCGCTCGAACGAAGAGGTCATCCAACAAACCAACGACGCTTGCAAAGCTGTCCCGGAAAATGCCAGACATGTTACACAAAACATCGACGCGCGGACGCCCATTCATCTCGCTGAGAGGAATCAGTTCGTATCGCACGACGCGACCGGTGCCTTCTTTCACCGCTCGAGCGCCGACGAGTTGCAAAACTATGCCGACGCTCTCTCCTTTCGTTTTGATCGCGTCGAGTCCCCACAAATTTACGCTGACTGATTCTGGATACGCACCGTCGTTTGCGTCTTGATGTTGTTTCAGAATGGCATCCGCCACTGCGGCGCCGCGCGTGGCGGCGGCGGCCGATGGCATGCGGTACGGATCGAGTGCGTGAATGTTCCTTCCGGTTGGAAGGACTCCTTTACCGTCGCGCAACAAATCACCACCCACTGCCGGAGGCACCCATTCGCCGTCCAGGGCTCGATGCATACCCGTGATCTCTTCTGTGTTCATCGAGAGCAGATCACGAATCTCGATCGCTTCCGTGACCTTGTCGCTGACAGTCGCCGTAGCGCCTCCGCTTTGCAGCGCGTCTTGCGCGCTGACGGGCACGGATAGGTTGAACGTTTGCTCGAGCCTAGCTTTGACCGCGTCCAGTGATTCGTTTGGATCAGCCTTGACAATTTCATCGATCAGGCCCGCTTCGATATCACCGTCAAAGTACGCGCTAAGATACTGTGTCATTGACTCGCGCGTCGGCGCGGTGCCGAGCGAATGCAAGCCTTCGCTGAAGAGTCGATTTTCCAGAACGCCAAGGTACGTGTAGAGCTCGCTGGCATACGCATCGAAGTCTTTCTGAGAGAGAGACTCCGCCATTTCCGGCGTCATGCGAACATGCTCGCTCGTTTGTGCGTCGACGTAAGGGCAGTCGCTGTCTAATCCAGCCGCAGTCACCATGTCAAAGATGGACGTGCGCAAAGCGCTGTTCTCGTCGGGATTTTCCCTATACTCGTTCAAAATTTCACGCAACTGCGCGGTTTGCTTGTACAAGCCGGCGCGTCCGTACGGTGGCACGTTGTGCGAAATGATGACTCCGTATCCGCGTCGCTTCGCGATGATGCTTTCACTAGGATTGTTCGCGGCGTATACGTACACATTCGGCATCGCGCCCAACAACTGTTCGCTCCACGACAAGCTCGTGTTCCCGAGCGGCGAACCCGGGAGCCACTCGACGGTACCATGCATGCCGAAGTGAACGATCGCGTTCGCCTTGAACTCGTTTTGAAGCCATTTGTAATACGCGGCGTACTGCGGATGCGGCGTGAGATCGCGCTCAAACAACAATCGCATCGGATCGCCCTCCACGCCGAGCGCAGGTTGAATGCCGATGAAGACGTTACCAAGCTGGAGACCAGTGACGACGCTCCCTTTGCCTGGCGCAGTCGCAAGTCCGATGTAATTTTCGAGCGGTCCCCACGCCGCTTCCATCTTTTTTACGAGTACGTCGGGTTCTGGTAAGTATGGAATCGGTCCCCACTCCGTCGGTCCCCACTCCTTTGGAAACGCGAGCCACTTCTTCAGCTGCGCCGGCGTCACGTTCGCACCCGCAACCGTGACTCCAGGGAGCTCACCGCCTTTCGCCATGTCGCTCACCGCGTTCACCGCTCCATCGTAACCAGCCATGATTGTGGCGTTTTCTTCCAACGTACGCAAAGCTTTGACGATGGACTCGCCCGTGGGGAGCTCGTCGGCGTCGCCGAGGTAGTACCCTTCAGCTTTGAGCGACTGTAACATGTTTTCTAAAGAATTCGGCACGTTTAGTAACGCCGCCGTACCCGTGGCACCGACGCCCGGGGGGAATCCGTACATCATCACTGCGATTTTGCGCTCATCTCGCTTGGTTTTGCGTAAACTGTGCCATTGCTTCAGACGATTTGAAAGCGCAAAGACGCGCTCGCGAGTGAGGTAAATGTTGTCGCCGCACAACCCACCGAGCGCGACCGTGTCGATCGCGCCGTCAAGTTCTGGCAACGCGTAGAGAATTGTACTTTGTAAACCACCAACGCCACTTCGAACCCAGGAAGCGATGTCTTGAATCAACAACGGCGCGGCGACGAAGTACGGAATGTTCTTCGCTCCCAAGATACCTTGCGCAACTTCAGCCTGCCGACCCGCCTCCATACTTCCCGCGGGGCCGCCGACGAGAGGAAATCCGACCGTGCTAACCACGGCGTCTACAACTGTGGCGTCTTGCTTCAAAGAATCGACCTCTACGACGCCTTCAGCGCGTCTTTGTTGTTCGTATTCAGACGTCAGCATGTCGCGCACAATGGTGTGCGCCTCGACGCCGTTGATGAAAATTGGAATCGGCAGAACGCCGGAGTCTTCGAATGATTCGACTAAATCCGCAAGATATGGCTGCTTCGTGATGACGTGCTTACGGTAAAGAAGCATAGCCACGCGCGGGGCACCCGCTGGAACTTTGTGGGAACGCGTCCGAGCGTGCCAATCAAGGTAGGACGCGATCGTCTCGAAGTACGGCATCTTTTCTCGCTCGCGTTGCGGATGATAGAGACCCAGCGCCGGAGTTTCCACGGGAGGTTTTGGCGCGCCAGAGACACCGAAGATCCGTTCTATGAACGATTTCGGCTTGTTCTCGTCACCGGGCGGGGCCAAGTACTCTGACGCAAGATACGCGAACGCTTCTTCAACGTTTTCTTTGCCGCCTTGGTTCCAGTACGCGTACACCGTGAGCCAATTCTTCAGATCACGCGCCTTATCCCCGGGAACAAACTTCAAAAGTTGTGGGCCGATCTTCAAGAACGACAAGTAGCCGACGAGCTTGTCCTCCTCCTTGCCGCTTCCAAACTTGGCGAGCACGGCTTTCACTGCCGGCGGCGGTCCCGCCTTTTGCCCGCTCGGTGCCGCCATTTGGAAAGAACCGACGGATGTGCAGCTCATGAGCTCGAGGGCGGACTCGAACACAAATCGCAAGGGAATATCTGCGATGCGCGCGCGCAACCACTCGACTTGATCGTAATCGAACAACAACGACCCGAAGAAGACATCCGCGCCGTCGAGCGCGGCTTCCAACTCCTCTCGTCTTCCCTCGATATCGCGATCGCTAAACACTAACAAATCAACGTGAGGGTATCGTTTCTTCAAATCTCGCGCCGACGCCTTGTACAGCGCGACGTTAAAACTCTCGAATCCACTCAACAAAACAATCTTCCGCGCGCCCTCGCGCGTCTCGGGAACCGCGGACGCCTTCATCGGCGGCGCGCTCAAAAACCCCACCCCACCGCGTTTCGCCACCGCCAGCGCGTTCTCCGCCTCCGCCAACGCATCTCGAGCTCGATCTCGCCGCGCTTTTATCGAGTGCACGCTCTTCTGAAACGTCAACCACTTCGCCCCGTCCTTCTCCGCCTCCCGCAGCAGCGCCGTCGCCGCCTTCGGTTCGCGCGCGTTCAGCTCTCGAAATCCAATCTCCGTGCCCGCCTCGTCCCCGAGCGCGCGCTCCTCGCCGTCCTCGCCGTCCACTCGCGGCTTCATCGTTCCGAACGCGTCGCGATACGCGCCATCGAGCGCGCTCGTGAGCGCGTCGACGTCGCGCGTCAGCGCCTCCACTCTGGCTCGGCGCTCGGCGACGTCATCGTCCTCTCGCCGCGCGCCCTCCGCCGCCGCCGTCGCGAGGACGTCGTCGGCGTAGCGCTCGGCGGCGCTCGACAGGGGCTTCGCGTCGACGCCCTCGCCGCGGGCGACGCGCGCGGCGGCCGTCGCGCGACGCGCGCGCGACGTCGACGACGCGCGGCGACCGAGTCGACCGCGCGACGCCGCGGACGCGCGCGGCGGCGCGGACGCGCGCGGCGCGAGGCGCGGACCGCGCATCGCGGACGCGGACGACTGTCGCGAGCGATTCGCGCGAGCGATGGGCGACGCGCGCGTGCGAGTGACGCGGTGAAGACGCGCGATTGGCTAGGCGTGCGCGCTGCAAAAGTTAAGTTACTCACTCGGGACGAGCGTCGTCGTCGTCGTCGTCGTCGTCGTCGTCGTCGTCCTGGGAGAAGAAGAAATCCTGGGGGTTGATGCCGAGATCCCAAAGCTCGCAGTCGTCGAGCGCGGGGTCGCACTCGTCGTCTGCGAAGAAAATCTCTTCGCCGCCGACGTGCCCGGCGGCGGTGCCGAAGCGGCAAGGAGCGCCCCACTCCTCGCGGATGAGCGTCATTTTTTGTGGCTCGTCCGTGCGCTTGGGAAAGAAGCACAGCTTGAGGACGAAGGAGTATCGCGGGACTCCGGCGATTTGGCTCGGCGTGGAGACGCGATGGAGGATGTCCTGATCCATGAGAACGACGCGACCCGGCTGCGGGCGGACGAAGACGCCGGTGCCGGTGCCGGGGTCGAGGAAGAGCGTCTCGGCGTCGAAAGCGGCGGGCCAGTGACCTGGGTTGAGATAGACCATGGCGGATACGAATAGCGGTCGGCCTCGCTCGCGATTGACGTACGAACCGTAGCGCTCGACCCAAGGCGCGGACGGATCGAGCTGGCTCGGGTCCATGTCTATATGCCAGTTGAACATGTCGCCGTACACCGCGGCGTTACCGATGGCTGAGCAAATGCTCGAGCCCCCCCACGCACCGGGGACGGCGTCCGGCTCGAGTGCATCGCTCGGCATGGTGCGTATGTCGTACTCTGGGTATAACGCCGCCAAGCGAGCGCGAAACGCGCGCACAGCGTCGGTCTTCATGACTTCTTCCAACGTCTCCGGCGTCAGTCCCCAGCTCGGCGGCGGCGATTCGCCGTCTTCACCTTCCAACCCATCGCGCGTCTCCCGGTTCCACTTTCCCGGCGGCGGTCCTGTTTCGGTGAAGTGGTCGTATCCAACCTCGGTAAGCGCGTCGAGAAGCGCCGCGCGCAACGGCTCGCCGACGACGCCGTCGATGGCGACGACGTGCGACGAATCGCTCCGTAAGCGCTCTTCCCCCCGAGCCATGCTCGCCGTATCCAAAACCTCGGCTCGATCCATCGAAACCGCCATAGCTGTCGTCACTCGCCCTAAATCCCACGCATCCTTCGCGCCCTCGTACTCAAAATCGACGTGCTCGTTCACGTCGTACGAATCCGCCTCCGTCGTCGGCTTCAAATTCCAATACCTCTCATGCGCCTCAACCACGCTCTTCGCCGCCTCTCCCAGCGTCCCGAGTCTCAACTTCTCCGTGAACACCCCGAACACCGCCCCCTCGAACCCCTCTTCGTTCATCTCCAGCTTCAAATCCGGCATCAGCGCCTTCGCCGCGTCGCCGTCCAGCATGACGACGCGTTCGCCGACCCCGTCTTCGTCCTCTTCCCCGTACGTCCCGCGCACGCTCGACGTCATCTCGCTCGCGCGCACGCCGCGCGTCTCGATCTCACCGAGCTCGACGCCGGAGTCCTCCACCGCGGCGCGCAGCGCGTCGACGAGTTCGCGCACGCGCGGGATCTCCGCCGCGCCGTACCCAAACAGCGCCACGCGCGCGACCGCGACCGCGTTCGGCGTCGCGGCGCCGCGCGCGCGCGCGACGCGCGACGCCGCGCGCTCGCGCCGCGCGCCCGCGCGACGCGTCGACGGACGGTGCGCGCGCGCGCGCGGCGCGAGCGCGCGCATCGCGCTCGAGAGTGCCGTCGGCGCGCGCGTCAACGCCTTTTCGCGGGAACAAACGTAGGCGCGAGACTGTTTGCCCAGTGACAGCTCATCGGCGACGCGCGACTGGAACGGCGCGGCGTCTCGGCGTGATTTGATGTGCGTTACAACCCAGACGGTGCGCAGTTTTATTGTTCATATATATGCCGCGGGCCGGCGGCGCTCAGAGGTAGACGCAGTACGCGCCGGCGAGGGACAGCAACGCCATCAACGCCTCCGGGACGTAGTGCATCGGGTACTTGACGGACAAGTTGTTCTTCAACAAGTTCCACTTGGCGTTCCAAGGATACAGCACACCGACCGCGAACGACGCGAAGAGCGCGATTTTAGCGCCCGTGGCGACGTCGAGCTGTTGCACGGCGTACACGAGGCCGGCGAAGGCGACCGAGGAGCCGCGAATCCAAAACTGCGTCAATTGATCCGCCGACGCGTTGAAGTGGTCGGTGATCATCTTCGCCGGGACCAAGAGCATTTGCAGCGCGTAGACGCCCATGACGGCGCTGAACGCGGTGACGTACTGCGCGGAGGTGATGATGCGCGCAGGCGGCGGCGGCGGCGGCGCTTTACCCGCGATCTGCGCGACTTCGCGCGTTTGTTGGCGCTGCGTCGGCGCGAAATTCGCGGCATTCGCCGTCGGCGCGTTCGCGCGGACGATCGGCGTCGCGCGTCGCGCGTGCGCGCGCGCGCGCACCGCGGGGCGGGCGAGAACGGTGGAGGTCGTCAAGGTGAACATGTTCTGTCGGCGGGCGAGCGTACGGTGCGCGTCGACGAGCGTCGTGTTGTGACGACTCTCGGAATGCGTGAGAATTATAATCGTGCTGACGCGGCATGAAAATGACGCTGAAAAAAAATGTCCGATTTTCGGGCGCGAGACGCGACGCGACGCGACGCGGGGGTCACGCGACGCGCGCGAGATCGAAGGCGTCGACGACGGCGTCGGGCGCGCGCGCGCGATAGCGAAACGCGGCGTCGTCGGCGCCTTGGTATGGAACGACGCGAAGGGCGCAAGACGCGCGATCGGAGGCGTCGTCAAAGTCGCAAATCAAGGCGCCGAACTTTGACGCGTCGGGGGCTCGAACGCACGTCGGCGAAGACGCGAGACAGGAGGTGGAGTATACCTTGGCCCAGATGCCGCTGTCGGTGAGTTGAGCTTCATTTTTGTAGCCGCCGATGCCGACGACGGCGACGGCGGTCAGACCGTCGTTTGAAGAGGCTCGAGACGGCCGAAGCAAGACGCGACGCGTCTCGCGGTCGTAGACTTGAAGATCTTCTCGCGTGAAATCGTAGACCTTGGAGCCGAAGCGATTCATGGTGAAAGAACGACTGTACACGTGTGCGTGTCCAGTGACTATAAACGCGCCGTATTTGCGACATATTTCGTACGCCCCGAATCCCACCGCGTCGCCTTTGTAGCTGACTTGCAAGCGCTCTTGCGTCATGTGCCACACGCAAATTTTCCATTTTCTCTTCGACGAACTCAACGCGCGCTCTAAAAAGTCGTAGTGGTCGCGATTGGCCGACTCCCCAGGTCGTTCGGCGCCGACGGAAGACAGTACGATCAAAACATCAGGGGTTTCCATGATGAAATCTTCGCCGTACGATCCCGAATACGTCGAACCTCGCAACGTCGGAAGTTGCCGCCGTAATAAACTTTGGTAGCCGCGTGGTCCACTCCAAAGATCACTGACACCGTCCCATCCATCGACGTCGTGATTTCCTTTACTCGCGATGTACGATATTCCCCGCCTCCAAACATGTTCCGTGAGGAAGCGAAAGAAGCTCGTGGGAGACGACGCGTAATCGAGATCGCCCGCGTGCACGATCAAGTCCGCACCGGCGTCCGCGGCGAGTCGGAAAACGTTCTTTGCGCGAGAATACGCGCCGCAGTATTTGCCATCAAACGTTTGACACTCCACGCCATCGACTTTGTACGATGGTCGGCGAACATTTCCAAGGTAGTCTGTCCAAACCGAGCCTGGCTTGTCGTTGCCTATGCCCGTGTCCCCTATGAACGCGATGCGCAGCGCGCACGTGCATCGTGGTGCGTAAAGCAATGCGAGCGACAAAAGCACGAACGCGTGTCTTGAGGTGTGCATGATGCGTGCGCGTGTGAAGCACCAAGGCGGGGATAGATTTTCCAATATCGGTCACATCAAATTCACATGGGCGAGTTAACATCCGCGCTCTTCGACTACGCGCTCTTACCCGGAGACTTGAGCGAGAACAAACGCTTCACAGCACTGTTGCTCTTCTTTACGCTTGTCGGGGTAGCCATGGACGCGGAACGCGGTGTTTTATACGAAATGGCATCGTCGTCTGCGCCACGTGGGCTGGCGTGTGCCCGCGAGAACGAGTTGGGCGATAACGGCGTGGACACCGCGAGCTTCGTGAGAGACACATTCTTTTCCCACGGGACGAACGTAGTATCGTTCATGTGTTGCAGACTCCAAGGCGGACACTCGTTGAGCTTGCGCTTGCAGTTGCCTCCCAAAAATTCTGGTACGCGATCGACGCCTCCCATGATGGCGGCGAGCTTGGTCAAGTTACCACGCTTGACCGAACCTAATATTCGAACTTTCGCTCGCACTCGACTTGGTAGAATTGCAGAAAATGTGGACCAAACAACTCGCGCACCGATCGGTACATTGACGACGTACGTGCGATAGAGAAACTCCGGGAAATTTGCATCAACTTCTTGCAAACGCTTGAAGACGGCGATGTTGCGACTCGACAAGAGACTCAAACCCGCCCCCTTCATGTCGATCACGTGCACGATTTTATCTCGCGCGATCGATCCAGGGCGTCTCGCCATCTCTGGCAACAACGTCTTAATCATGTACCCTTGCATGCGCATTCTTTGCCCTACTATATCTTCCACGCTCGCGGTTTTGAGCATCTTCTCGACGTCCAACGTGCCAAGACGCTCTACGTAAACCGGCACACCCAGCGGGGTATTGGCCGTGTACCAACCGCCCTGATATCCCTCATACATATGTTCGCGACTCTCGGCACTCACAGCCTCCCAAGATTTCATGGCCTCTTCTAAATCGTGCGTCGCGTGCCACTCCGCTCGTCGTCGCATGTCTCCCGCGGCGACGCTCGCCTTCGTCCCGCCCGCCACCAATCCTCGCTCGTACGCTTCCCGCACGTCCAACTCAGGATTTCCACTATCAACAATCATATCTTTATGCAGCGCGCTCACTTCGAATTCCCGCTGCAGCGCGTGAAGCTCGACCATATATCCCTCCGCTTCGCGCTTCGCCCGCATCGCGTTCTCGAGTTTCGCGCGCGCCGTCGCCGAGCTCTCCGCTTCACCCGCTCCCCGCACGCTCCGCGATCGCGCGCTAGCGCTTCGATATCCCATCATTCTCGCTTGAAACTCTCGTCGCTGCGCCCGAACCTTCCTCGGCGTGAGCGCGTTCCGCGTTTGACTCAACGCGCGTCTCGCGACGAACCACGCGCACGCGAGCGCGACCGCGCAGTAGCTCACAAGCTTCGCTCTGAGCGTCGGTCGCGCGCGCAGCAGCGCCGCGACGCCCACTGGCGGCGTTACGTACCGCGCGCGCGCGCGCAAGGCCTCAGCCATCACCGGTGCGGACCAGGATCGTTCGCCGTCGACGCGTTTCGCGGGTCGATCGACATCGCGACCGGTGAACTCCCACGCCGACGCCGTCGCGGTGCGCGCGAGGACGGCGACGGTGACGGCGCACGCGATGCGTGACAGGTTTCGCGCGCGTCGCGCGCGGGCGCGCATGTCGCGGTCCGGCGCGCGCGTGTGCGGGCGCGCGCGGTCGTCGTCTCTGCAGCAGATAGATATTTGCAGATAGATATTTTGGGTCGTTCGCTAAGCTCAAATGACAAAGGAAATATTAAAGCGCGCGGAGGTCGCGACGCGGACGCGAGCGCGCGCGCGCTCACTTGCCCGCGATCATGTCCTCGGACACGCGGTGGATGCTGTCGACGAGGTAGGCGACTTTTTCGACGTCTTCCTTGCCGCCCAAACCGGCGCCGAGGTTCGCGATGAGCTTTTGCGGACCGAAATCCTCAAGCATTTGCGTCACCTCTCTTTCGATGCCTTCGAAAGACGAGCCGCCTTCTTTGTTCAACAGGCTTGGGTCGAAGTTACCCTGAACGCCGGAGGGTTGGACGCCGCGCGTCTCGGCGTCGTGACTCAAGACGTCGCGGGCGACGACGCGGTCCATCGCGGTGTCGATGGTGATGATGTCGTAACCGGCGCGCTGAAGGGCGGCGAGACCGTACGGGGCATCGCGCGCGAATCCCAGCAAAGGCACGGTCGGGTGGCGCTTTTTCAATTCGCGCGCAATCTTCTCCATGCACGGCATGGCGTACTCGTAAAAGCTTTCCTCGGTGATGTGCTCGCACATCGCCTCAAACACTTGCACCATGTGCACCCCAGCCTTGACTTGCGCGTCGAGGTAATCGATCACAACGTCCGTCAGAATGTCCAACAACTTTTGCGCTTCCTTGGGGTGTTCTTTCAACCATCGCATCCCCGCATCCGTGTTCTTTCTCGACGACCCGCCGACCATGTAATACATGAGCGTCCACGGCGCCGCGCTGAACCCGATTAGCGGCACTCCCAAGCCTTCCTTTTCGATCTGCACGTTGATCTCCTTGACGCTCGCCAGCACGTGCGCCAACTTTTCGTTCACATCGATCGATTCCGGCACTCGATGCATATCCTCCGGTCCCCGAAGCGGATTCGGCACCAATATCCCCTTCCCGCCCGGCATCTCCACCTCGATGTTCAGCGCCTCCGCGATGACTAAGATATCGCTGAACAAAATCGCCGCGTCCAGGTTATAACGTCGAATCGGTTGCATCGTCACCTCCGCCACGTCTTTCGGGTCCGCCAGCAGCTCGAGAAAGTTTTTCCCCGTCGATTTCTTATACTCGTTGTACTCGGGCAGGTGGCGTCCCGCCTGTCTGAACAGCCACACCGGCGTGCGTTCGACCCGCTCTCCGCGCGCCGCGCGAATCATCAGATCGTTCGCCGGCGTCGCGTTCGCGTTCGCGCGCGTCCGCGTCGCCTCGGCGCGTCGCGTTCGTCGTCGCGTCGCCGCCCGCGCGGGCGTCGACGGCGTCGATCGCATCGCGCGCGTCGCCATCGCGCGTCCTTCGGCGTCCACTCGCGAGTCGCGCGCGCGCCGGTCCCGCGCCGGGCGTCGAGGGCGTCGAGCCGCGTGCGTTCGCGCGCGCGCCGGGTCGTCGGCCTCGCGCGGGTCCGCGCGGCGACGTGCGGCGTCGCGACGGCGTTATCCGCGCGCGGGGCGCGCGCTTTTGATTAGACGCACCGTATTTAAGGGATCTATATACGCCGTCGTACTGTTTGCTCGATGTCGTTCGAGCCGCCGCCGCCGCCGCGCGCGCGTCGACGCCGCGCTTCGCCGCGCGCGTCGCCGGGCGCGCTCGCGACGCGACCGCGCGCGAGAGTCGCGCGCGATGCCCGGCCCGAGCGCGCACGGGCAGCGAAACAAGAAACACAACAGCGGGAAGCATCAATCGAAACACTCGTGGAGGAAGCACAAGACGTCGAGCGATGCGTCGACGCGCGAGATGTTCGGCGCGCGCGCGCGGGCGTCGATGAAGATCGGACACGGCGTGGGGAATAAACGCGAGCGGGCGCTGCGAGGGAAACAGATTCGAGACGCGAACAGAGAGGCGCTGGTGATGGAACGAAGACACGCGAGGGCGACGCCGAGAGTCGTGGGCGTGTTGGCGTTCAACGAGGAAGAACAGGGATTGGATGATTTGCGAGCGTGCTTGGAGACGTTGGTGCGAACGATGCGAGGGGATGAGGACGCTGGGGGGGAGGAGGAGGCGGGGACGTTCGTTAAGGGGATGTTTGACGATTGCGTGACGCCGCGGACGACGACGTGCGGGCGGCATCGGCAACGAGTTTCGTTTCTTTTGATCAACTCAGCGAACGTGATGTCGGCGTTGGAGACGCTCAAAGTGTGCGATTTGTTGATGGTGATCGCGCCCGTGAGCGCGCACGAGCCGAGCGCGGTGGTGGCGCGGTGTTTACCGACGCTGAAGGCGCTCGGGATTCCGCAAACGCTCCTCGCGCTCAGAGGATTGGACGACGTGAAGCAAGCGAAGAGGCAAGAGGTGAAAAAAGCGATGCTGAACATCGTCGCGACAGAGTTACAAATTCCCACCGACCGCGTGAAAACGCTACCGGCCACATCGCGAGCCGAATTCACCGAGTTGGTGCGACAAACGGTGGAGCTTCGCGGCGAGACGCCGCGTTGGCGCGGTCAGCGGCCGTATGTGCTCGCGCATCGTCGCGAGATCATCCCCGACGTGAGCGACGATCGATTTGCTACCGTCGTCGTTGAAGGGTACGTTCGTGGTGTGCCTGCGACCGCGAGTCAGCTTTGGCATTTGCCGGGCGTGGGCGACTTCCCAGTCGTTAAAATTGAGTCCATCGCCGAGCCTGCGCAGGCGCGCGCGAACGCTGTGAGTCGTAACGACGCAGCGATGGAAGGTAACGAGGTACTGATGACGTGGACGCGGGATGCCAACATAGCTCAGGAAGTTATGCGGGAAAACCAACCGGATTCAATGGCTGGTGAACAAACGTGGCCGACGGCAACAGAGCTCCAACTCGCCGAGCTCGAGGCGAAGAGGAAAACTCGCCCGGCTGGTATGAGCGATTATCAAGCATCGTGGCTTTTAGACGCCAACGAAGATGGCAACGCCAATGAAGACGCAGATGATGCCGACGACGCCACCATGGACGACGCGCCTGGAGATGACACATTTGGCGCCGAGGCGGAGATGCGCGAAGGCGGTGCCGACATCGCGGAAGATGGGGAATCAGATGAAGAATGGGTGAATGCTGGTGGTGATGATGAAGACGAGGTCGATTTGGAAACGCGTCGAAACCTGGACATGGCCGAGCGCGATAGTAACAAGCGCGCGGCGCTTCAAGACGCAGAGAATGAGGACATGAAGTTTCCAGACGAAATGGACACGCCAGCGCATTGCGTCGCTCGCGACAGATTCGCAAAGTACAGAGGGTTAAAATCTTTCAGATCTTCGCCGTGGGATCCCAAAGAGTCGCTTCCCTACGATTACTCGCGCGTGTTTGCGTTCGAAAACTTCAAGCGCGCGCATAAACGCGCGCTACAAGTTCAAGAAGAGGACTCAGTGGGCGGCGCGCAAATCGGAACGTACGTGCGAATCACCATCGCTGGCGTCCCACGCGTTCCCGTCACCGCTCTTTTCGAAGGCTTGGGCGGATACGAAGCCCCGAATCCGAACGTGTGCCCGCGGAGCGAAGATGGCAAGATCGGTCTCGGCGTTGGTCCGTCCTGGAGCGGTTGGGTTGGTGGCGCCGGGCCTGTGGTGTTGAGTGGCTTGATGCAGTACGAGTCATGCCTTTCGCTGATGAACTATTGCGTCACAAAGTCGACGTACTACGACGCGCCGTTAAAGTCGAAGGATCCACTTTGGTTCCACGTCGGATTTCGCCGCGAGCGCGCTGGTCCGGTGTATAACACCGATAATCTCGGCGATAAGCACAAGCTCGAGCGCTTTTTGCGCGCTCGCTCGCCGACGATTGCCAGCGTGTACGCGCCCATCACGTACGGGCCGGCGCCCGTGATCGGGTTCAAGGAATCGTTCACATCACACGGGATCAAAGTCGATCTCTGTCTCACGGGATCCGTACGCGATGCGAACCCAGATAGAATCGTCCTCAAGCGAGTAATCCTGAGCGCGCTTCCGTTTCGTACGCACAAACACAAGGCGGTGGCGCGATACATGTTCCACAATCCCAACGACATTCGTTGGTTCAAACCTTTGGAACTTTGGACAAAGTACGGATTGCGAGGTAAAATCGTCGAGCCCGTGGGCACGCACGGTCGCATGAAGTGCGTGTTCAACAACGTCATCCATCAGCACGACACGATTTGCGCGACGCTTTATAAGCGCATCTACCCGAAATTCGCCGCATCGGAGCAGCACGCGCACGCCGCGACGTGATTTAACGAAGCGAACGCGCGCGCGCGATGGCGGCACCGACACCCCGACGATGTAACGTAAATATTAGCACGAGTTTGAGTCGTAAAAGCGACGTCTGCGCGGTTTTCGTCGGCGCGGTTTTCATCATTTCAATAAACTAACGACACCATCGCCATCGCGTCGTCGTCGCCGCCATCGCGACGCCCGACCAAAGACAACACTCTACGTCCGCGCGCGCGCTTCCGCGTCGTCGAGATCGATTAATCATCATCCTTAAACTCGCGTCTATCCAAGTACCGACTCGGGCGCAGCTCCGCGATCTCCTCCGGCGACATTTGTTCCCCGGTCGCCTTCAGCGTCGCCCTGTTCAGCTCGCGAATCTCTTCCAATCGCTCCTTATCCCGTCGCTCCTGCCACACGAAGAAGATCGGGATCCCGAGCCCCGCGCCGAGGCCCAGCACGGCGGCCCCGATGGCGGTCACCGTCTCCTCGTTCAGGTCGATCGCCGTCTGCGCCACCACCTGCGCGGCGTTCGCGCGCGGCGACACCGCGATCGCGCGACGCGATCGTCGCGCGACGTTCGCGCGCGCCGACGCGCGCGCGACGCGCGCGGGCGCGACGGTGTTCGTCACCGCGCGCATGTTTCTGCGGTCGGCGCGCGACCGCGATAGGGTCGACGTCACGGCGATCGCGCGACCGCGGGCGCGGGCGCCGGCGAACCCGCGCGCGAGGTTGGACGCGCGGCGTCGAACGACGTCGCGTCGATCGCGCGCGCGCGGGAGTCGACTGCAGTCGACGACGCGCGGACGCGGCGCGCGCGACGCGCGGGCGACGCGCGACGCGCGGGCGAAGGGCGAGGGGCGACGCGCGACGACGCGGCGCGCGCGGCCGCGATGAAGAAGACGATCGCGCTCGCGCGCGCGCAGTTTACGAGGGATGAAGCGCTCGTCGAGAAGATTCGCGGGCGCGGGCGCGAGCGCGCGCGCGACGCCGCCGCCGACGACGACGACGACGACGACGAGGGAGAGACGGTGACGTGGACGAAAGCCGAGGTGGTTCGACTGAACGCGTACTCGAAGTACTTCCTCGCGTGGTATCTGGGAACGATCGCGGGGATCATGGGGTTCTTTGGATTTGGTTGGACCGTGTGGGGCGCGTTCTTCATCAACGTCGGGACGTACTTTTTTGAGACGATGTACTTGCGGATCGATCTGGATGAGATCGGAGAGGGAATGGAGTTCTTCTTGGACTCTCTCGCGTCGAGTTACGGGGTGTTTGTGCTGACTTGGGTGGTGGTCGCGGAGACGCTCGGGCGCTCGCGCGCGCAGATGCCCACTCACACGATTCCGCGCTTTGGCGGGTGACGCGCGCGTCGACGTTCGTGGTGAGGGGTTATTTTTGTATAGCCTTGTAATTAATATACTCGATGTTGAAACAAAATTCGTGTCGGCGCGCGTTGGAGCTGCGGTGGCGGCCGTTATTCGTACATTTCAAAGACGGAGAAACATTCTCATCGACGTCTGCCTCGGCGCAAACCGAGAAGAAGTTCACTAGCGTCAGAGAGCTCCGACATGCAGCTTTTCGACGCCACGAGCGAACCAGCGACAGATGGCGTGGCGCTAGCAAAACCATCGCGGTTGATTCCCGAGTGTTCTGTGCTCATGGGATTCATGTACGATCTCGCGGGGACGGTCTCCGACGCGCGCGGCTGCGGTCTCTTTGGCGATTCGTCCACTTGCGAACGTTGCAAACCGGCATTGTTCGCGCTTTTCGCTGCCGCGTTTACGACGCTTTCAAGCGCGTACGCGCCTCGAGACACATTGAGGAATCGTGCGTCTTGACTCAGACGACTGTACAGTGTGTTCGCCGGCGTCTTTCCGGCGAGCCTTACGAGCGAACGATCCTTGATCAAGCGCACCATTTCGCTCACTTGCAAACCTTCGGGGCCGGCGGTGAGTAAGAGGTGATAACACGCCTCGGAAATCGACTTGAACGGGCAATCCGTTTCGTCCGAGGTCACTATGCCCTTGCCCGAGTCCCCGACGAAGGAGCCGCCTACGGTCATCGGCGGCTTACTCGTTGTATTCCCTGAATGATGTTCGCTCGTCGTCATCGTGCCGCCAAAGTTACTCGGCACTGCCTCGCGCTTGTAGCGCTTGGTGCTATCGCCGGCTTCACTGACGCTCATCATCGCCGCCAAGTGCTTGTACGCGGAATCTGGTCCGACAATACCACTTTCCTGCGGCGCGCCTCTCGGCGACCAACGCCCGTACGGTGACAACGTCCAACCTCTTCTAATCGACGCGTGCTTAGGCCGTGTCTTATTCCACGTCTCGCGAATCCACGATTGTCCGGTGGAGTCTTGGAACACTATCAAGGATGTATCGTTATTCACGCCAACGCCCGGAAAACAAACGACAATTTTCCCGCGAGCGTCGGTGATTTGAGAAATATATCCTTCGCACCACCTGTTGTTGTAATGCACGTCGACCTCCTCGTTCAAGCGACGAGACGCGTCCACGGCTAGATTGTCAACTGGTGGTGTCGGGCGAACAGTACTCGACAGCGTGCTCGTGGGCAAACGAACGTTATCTGCGACACCATCGCCGCCGCCTTCCGGCGCGACGCCGAGCGTGATAAACTCCCCGTCGTTTTCGATAACCTTGGCGCTCGCCCAGGTCGCGCCGTGGGACTTGTGCGGACGCGCTACTTCTACCATTGACCCTGGTTCGTACGCCAAGTTCACGTCAACGAGCTCCGAACCCGAACTCTTGTCACTTTCGCTCTCGCACCCGACGTAGTCCTCCGTCTCGCGACGACGCTTGCGACAAGCCGCCGCGCCCGCGAACTCAACCTCATCCGCACCCCGTCGCCCCGTCGACTCCCCGTCCAGATCGATCACTTTATACGTCGCGCGTTTGACCAGCACAAACATCGGATCTACGTTCGCGTTCGCATCGTCAGTCTTCTTGCCGAAAAATCGTCGCGCGTCCTACGTCGCCTCGCCTTCGTCGTCGTCGCACCTTTAGACAACTGTCCGACGATCGTATTCTGCGGCGTCGCACCGCCGAGTTTCACCCCACCCGATCGCTCTCGAACAGCTCTCGTGATCTCTTTCACCTATCGTCGCCCGTCGCGCGTCGCGCGTCGCGTCGTCAGTCTCGCGTTCGCCTCGGCGCGTCGACATCGCGGTCCGTGTGCGTGTACAGTCTCACACCGGCCCCCGTCCGCGCGGGGATACCCCCGTCGTCGCCTCGCGCGCGCACCGTCAGGCCCTGTTCCCCCGCCGCGCGCAGTGCGTCGTAACACGCGCGTTTGATCGTCCCCTCGCGGAACCGCGACGCCATTCTCGTCGCCGCGCCGCGCGCACGCCCTCGCGAATCCACGGTCGTTCGCGTCGTTCGCGACGCGATTCCCGTCGACGAATCCGGCGCGCCGCGACGCGCGCGCGACGCGCGCGCGCCCGATCGCGCGAGATACGCGCGGTAGAGAATACGATCGAAGTCGTCGACGCGAACGAAGGCGCTCGCCGCGATCGCGCGACGCGCGAAACGCGCGTGCGAGTGCGGCGCGCGGTGCATTTCGGGCGCGCCGACCCCGTCGCGGTCGTCGAGTCCTGACTCGTCCGAGAAAATCTCTCGCGCGCGCGCGTGCCGAGCCGACAGCGCGCGCGCGCGCGCGACGCCGCGACGGCGCGCGCGGCGCGTCGATCGCGCGGCGACGCGCGATGATGATCGCGTCGTCGATCGAACGCGGGCGAGACGGCGCCGCGACCGCGCCCGCGCGGGGAGCGGGCGTCGATCGCGCGCTCGCCCTAGAATTCCGACATTGGCACCGCACGGGGCGCTATGGGACGCAGTCGGATCCGACGCATCCGCGCGCGACGCGGCGTCGTCGCGATCGCGATCGACGTCGCGCGACGACATCCCGCGAGCGTAACATTCGCGCGCGCGTCCGCGCGCGCGATCGTCGCGTTCGCGCGTCGCGCGACGCGTCGCGACGCGCCGAACGCCTCGACCGACCGCGTCCGCGAGCGCGCGGCCGCGACGCGACGTCCGCGCGTCGCGCGCGCGTCGCCGCGCGCGATCAAGCGCGCGTCGCGCCGCATTCGCGCGCGCGAATTAATCCCCGATCGCGCGCGCGCGCGTCGGGCGTCGTCGTCGCGCGTCGCGCGCCGCGCGCCCGCGCGCGCGCGTCGCGACGAGTCCCGATGGGCGCGCGCGGGCGCCCATCGCGCGAAATTGCAAAAAATACTCGACGTTTCGAATTCTCGTACGCGCATTCAGTGAGACGATGCGAACCGTTGCGAATCGCGAAAACACGGCGGATGTCGTCGGGCGCGATGGACGACCGACCGCGCTCCAGGGGTGGCGCGCGTCGCGTCGTCGGCACTAAACCACGCGCGATGTCTCTCGCGAACGAGCTCGCGATGAAGTCCGCGGTCGCGTCTCGCGCGATCGCGACCAAGGTGCGCGCGACGGCGGCGCGCGCGCGCGAACGGCGGCGCGATCGGCGCGCGATGGCGCGCCATCGTCGACGCTTCGATCGGATACGTCGAGACGATCGGACCGCGAGGACGACGCGCGCGCGGTCGGGACGACGCGCGATCGCGCGGGGTGGTTGGAGCGAGCGTCGCGGGATGTGTAGAGACTGACGGTGGAGCACGCGCGCGCGCGCGATGGATGAACAGACGATGAAGAGGACGAAGAGCGCGAGAGGGGCGCCGCGAGGCGCGCGCGCGGCGGCGAAGCGCTCGGAAGACAGCGAAGAGGTCGAGGGCGGCGCGCTGAAGCGCATCGTCGCGGCTGGTACGGTTGCGTTTTCCGTGCTCGCGGGCGTGGAGGGGGCGATCGAGCCGGCGCGCGCGGCGGGCTCGGCGACGGAGATCGTGCAACTCGCGCTCGACGCCGTCGACCCCGTCGAGGACCCTGACGCCAAGGCTGAAGCGCCCGAGCGAGTCAAGGCGGATACTTCCTCGCTCGAGGGTGCGCTTAAGGCACAAGTGCAGTCGCGAAAGTCGACGGTGAAGGAAGCGGGTAAGAAAGCGGCCAAGGCTGCCGCCGCGCCGGCGAAGAGCGGCGCGCCCGAAGGCGCCATGTCTCCGAACGCGAAGGATTACAAGTCTGAAATCGGCGAAAGCCTCGCTACTCTGGATTATGACGCCATTATCAAGAAGACGGACGACTATTTTGTCTACCGCTACGATCGCGGCATCGATGAATCTCAAATCATCGATCTCGACGACGAAGACGACTCTGCGACGCGCGGTCCGAAGGGCACGAAGAAACGAGTCGCGGTGGCCAAGTCCACCACCGCCCCTTCGTTCACCTTGCCGAGCTTCACCGCGCCGAGCTTCGATGCGCCGAGCTTCTCGATTCCGACGTTTGAAGTGCCGAGCATCGAAATTCCGGCTATTCCGGGTGTAGCCGAACCGGCGACCAAGAAGGACACCTCCGCCGAAGACGCCGCGAAGGCTGACGCCGCGGCCGCGAAGAAGGCCGAGGCCGAGGCCGAGGCTGCGAGGAAGGCCGAGGCCGACGCCGCGACCGCCAAGAAGGCCGAGGCCGACGCCGCGGCCGCCAAGAAAGCTGACGCTGAAGCCGCCAAGAAAGCTGACGCCGAAGCCGCCAAGAAGGCCAAGGCTGACGCTGAAGCCGCCAAGAAGGCAGCGGCGGAAGCCGCCAAGGCTGAAGCTGCCGCGAAGAAGGCTGAAAGCGCGAAGAAGCCGATGGCTGCCGCCCCGGCCGCCGGTAGCAGCGATCTTGGTTTCGATTTCGGCTCTCTCTCTCAATACATGGAATCCGCTCCGGCGGCGCCGAAGGTTGACAAGAAGGCTGAAGCCGCCGCTAAGAAGGCTGCCAAAAAGGCCGCTGCTGAGGCCGCGAAGAAGGCTGCCGAGGAAGAAAAGAAGGCCGCCGCTGCCGCGAAGGCCGCTGCGAAGGCTGCTCCGAAGCCGATGGCTGCCGCCCCGGCCGCCGGTAGCAGCGATCTTGGTTTCGATTTCGGCTCTCTCTCTCAATACATGGAATCCGCTCCGGCGACGCCGAAGGCACCGAAGGCTGACAACGCGTCCGCCGCCGCTGGTCAAAAGGCTGCCGAAAAGATCGCCAAGCAACAGAAAGAAGCCGCCAAGAAGGCTGAGGCCGCCGCGAAGAAGGCTGAGGCCGCCGCGAAGAAGGCTCAAGCGCAAGAGGAAGCCGCCGCCGCGCGCGCCGCCGCCAAGGCTGAGATGGCCGCGAAGAAGGCGGCCGGGAAATCCGCTGAGAAACCGACTTACAGCAAGCGCACTGTTGAAAAGAAGGCGAAGCCGACGTTCACGAAGTCTGCCAGAGATGGTAAGTTCGCTCCCTTCGCTGGGACTTACAAGACGACCGTCGTCGAGAAGGAGGCCCTCCCGGGCGTGCCCGTCGACTTCGATGCCATCGTCGACGCCCAAGAACCCAAGGCGGAAGCGATTCTCGCCAAGGCCAACGATAAATCTGGCGATTTCTTGAACATTTCCGGTGAAGCTGGCTTCGCCATCGCGGGTACGATTGCGTTGGTTTACGAGACGGAGGACAAGAAGTTCCGCGAGCAAGCGAAGAATGCCAAGATGCCGGCGCCGACGAAGACGAATGCTCCCTCCGGTGAAAGCACCACCGAAGGTTGGTTCGATGCAGCGCTCAAGAAATACATGAACAAAGATGGTTCCGCCCCGAAGCCAAAGCCCGTCGCCGCCGCGCCGAAGCCGGTCGCCGCCGCGCCGAAGCCGGCCGTGCCGAAGTCTGATCCGGTGAAGAACGCCAAGGAGGCGCAATCGTGGATGGACAAGTGGTCCGCGAGCAAGCCTAAGCCGGCTGCCGCCGCGGCGCCGGCGCCGGCGCCTGCCGCGCCGAAGCCCGCGGCGCCGAAGTCTGATCCGGTGAAGAACGCCAAGGAGGCACAGTCGTGGATGGACAACTGGGAGCGCAAGGTCAAGCCGACCGCCGCCGCCGCGCCGACGCCGGTCGCCGCGCCGGCGCCGACGCCGGTCGCCGCGCCGGCGCCGACGCCGGTCGCCGCGGCGCCGAAGCCCGTCCCGACGCCGACGGTCTCGACCACCACCACTCGCACGGTCACCTCGGACAACCTGACGGCCGAGCAACGCGCCGCCGCCGAAGCCTGGCTCAAGAAGTGGCGCGAGGACGGTCGCCCGACGGACGAGACCAAATTCGACGAGGCCAAGACGTGGTTGAAGCAGCACAACTTCGACTGAGCGATTACAAACAACGAGTGAATCGTTCACATTGACTGTTCATGAAGACATTAATAAACAAACGCACACGCACTAAGCTATCCGGGTCGCGCGTCCAAGCCGACGTCGCCCTCGCGTCACGGCGACGTCCCCGGGGTCTCCTCTCCCCCCCCCTTTCGCGCCTCGCGCGCGACGTCGCAGCACCGCACGTGCGGCAGATTCACCTTCCCGCACACCCCGCACCGCACCACGCTCTCCACGAACGGCAACCTCTTGAACTGATTCCTCCGTTTCCTTCGACTCGGCGTCACCTTGCGCTTCGGCACCGCCATGAGCCACATCTCCATCACCCGCGATCCCAGTCCACCGTCCTCGAGCGTCGCGCCCGTCGCCGTCCGCGCCGTCGGCGCCATCGTCGCCGTCGCTCGCGCCTCGCGAATCGCGTCGTCGCGCGTCGCCATCGCGCGTTCGCGCGTCCGCGCGCCGTCGTCCCCGTCCGTCGCCGTCGTCGCGTCCGTCGTCGCCATCGCGCGCCGTCCCGCCGTCGCGCTCGCCGCCGCGCGCGCCGCCGTCGTCGCCGCCGTCGTCGCGCGCGTCGCGCGCGCGAGCGCGCGCGCGAGCGCCATGCGCGCGTCGCGGTGTGCGTCTCGGTTTCCATCGTCGCACTGTTTGCCCATACGAAATCGCGCAACGTCGAGGTTTTATTATCCACCCGCGTCGATCGCGGCGCACACGACGACGCCGCGACCGCGCGCGCGACCGGCGCGTCGGCCGATGCCGCGCGTCGGCGCGACGCCGCGCGCGTCGCTCGCCGCGCGCGGCGTCGCGCGCGCGACGCGAGGGACGGCGCGATGCGCGCGACGCGCGACGACGACGGCGACGGCGACGGCGACGGCGACGGCGCGGATCGAGCGACGGCGCGACGCGCGCGGCGACGGCGCGATCGCGCGGGCGCGACGCGCGACGCGGTGCGACGCGCTGGGAGGGCTGGAGGCGATGGACGCGAACGCGATGGCGGCGCTGGCGCGCGACGCGCACGCGCACGCGAGCGCGGTTTTCGAGACGGCGGACGTCGGCGCGCTCGCGGACGCGGTGCGCGCGGTGAGCGATGCGAACGGTGCGGTCGGCGATGGGGCGATGGCGGTGGACGCGGACGCGCTGAAAGAGGCGATGAGCGCGGTGACGGAGGCGGAGCGCGCGGCGAAAATCGCGAGCGGGGAAATCGCGGCGCCGCAGAGAATGGAGGGATGGCTCGCGCCCGTGTCCGACGCGCTCGAGGATCTGTTGTTTGCGATTCAGGGGCAGTTGCAAGGGCTGGGGGTGCCGTACTCGACCGGGAACGCGATCATCATCGTGACGATTTTGGTCAAGTTTGTGACGTATCCGCTCACGCGAGATCAAGTCGTGAGCTCGCTGAATATGAAAAACTTGCAGCCACAGATCGCGGCGATTCGTGAGAAGTACGAGGACGACCAGGAGCGCATGAATAAGGAGATCAATCGCGTGTACGAGGAAAACGGGGTGAACCCGCTCGCGGGGTGCGGTCCGGCGTTGTTGACGTTTCCCGTGCTCGCCGGGTTGTATCGCGCGTTCAACAACGCCGGCATCGACGGCGCGTTTGACGAGGCTTGGTTTTTCTTACCTTCCCTCGCAGGTCCCACGGACGCGCGAGATTTGAGTTGGCTGCTGCCGCTCGACTCGGATTACGCGCCGCCGATCGGTTGGGAGGAAGCGTCGCTGTATTTGATTTTCCCGGTGCTGACGACGATTTCGCAATTCGTGAGCATGGAAGTGTTGAAACCGGAGGAGACTGAAAAGACGGATGAGATGAAGAATCAGTCGGTGTTGCTCAAGTTGCTTCCGCTGTTCATCGGCTACATCTCCCTCACCGTTCCCGCCGGGTTAGCTCTGTACTGGTTCTGGAACAACGTATTCACGACGGGGATTCAGGTGTTTTTGCGCAACGGCGGCGCGAAGGCGACGGTGGAGGCTCCGGACGACATTAAGATTAAGATTCCTCTCGGATGCGTGGTGATTCCGGAAGACGCGGAGATCATACCGGCCGGCACCACAGACTTCGGACCGAGCATCGTCTGGGACGAGGAGTGGCTGGCGAAATGGCGAGAGGAGCAAGTCGCCGCCGCGCCACAGTTGGCGGCGCAAAACGCCATCGCCGCGGGCATGAGCGAAGAAGACGCCAAGACGATGGAGGAAGCCCTTCGTAACCGTCTTCCGCGCAAAAAGAACATAGAAGAGCGCAATTTAGCCACAGAAACCGAGTTAAAGTCCCTGATCAAGGAGTTCAAGGCGCAAGGCAAGGACGCCACCGTGCTCGAGGAGGGTCTCGTCGCGCTTCGAGCGTACAAGGCGGAACTCAAGGCGAAGAAAGAAGAGGCCCCATCCGAAGCCGCGACGCAATAACGCAGATGTTTCTAGCCATTGATTGTTACACGTCGATTCTAAAAGATTGCAGCTGCAGAGTTGTCCTCACGCCGCTCCCGCCCCGCCGTACGCCCCTTTCACGAAGATGTACGCCTTGAAATTTTGTCCACCAGTCGTGCGCATCGTGAACGAGTGCACGTGCTCGACGTTTCGCAAACCTAATCGTCGCCACAACTCCACGCGCTGGTACGTCACGAGCACCTGGAAGTTCGAGCGGTTGAGCTGCTTGGCCAAGAGCGCGAGCGTCTTTTCGTTGAAGACGCGATCGTACATGTAAATGTGCGAAAACTTGAACGCTCCGCGAGTCGTCGCGTCGCCTTGCTCCAACTCGCACCTCGGCGGAGACACGAGTTCGCGTCCCTCGTCCGTCATGAACGCTCGATCGCCGTTCAAAAGTTCAGCTTGGACTTCAGAAGCCTTTTGCGCTCGCGAAGGAACGTATTCGATCCCCACCGACTTTGCCACCTTGGCCGAAAGCGCGGCGTGAAACACCACCTTCCCGTATCCGCTCCCGACATCGATGAACGTGCTGTCCTCGCACAGGTTGAGATCGGCCCACATCTCCGACATCGACTTCCCCTTCACGGGCGTTCGCACGGGCAACGGCGCGTCCAAGTCGGCGCTCGACAAACCTCGCAACAGCTGCAGCAACCGCTCGATCGACCCCTCCGTCATCTCTCCGTACCCCTCGCTCGCCGCGTTCTCATCTTCACCCTCCTCCGTCGCGGTCTTCGCCTTCTTCGCTCGCCGAGCGTCGTCTCCGTCCGCCTCCTCGCGCTCCCGCTTCGCCGCGTCGTCGTCGTCGCCGCCGATCGACCGACGCTTCCTCGGTCCCTCCACCGACCAATCGCTCGTCAGTCCCCAATCCAAGTACGTCTTCTTATCGATGTATCGATACACTCCCTTGACCGCCGCGTCGACGCGCACGGGCGCGCCCTTCGTCGGCGTCACCGGCGCGTCGTCGCCGCCGCGTCCGCGATCGGTCTCGAGGTCGTCGCGCGACGACGGCGCGCGCTTCGCGGGCGTCGACGGCGGCGACGCGGCGAACGAGAACATGAATGATTTTTCGAGTCGATCGCTCGCGACGCGCGACGCGCGCGGTTCGGGACGCGTCGCGAGCGTCGCGCGATGCGGATCGCGTGAATCTTAACAATTGGATTTTTCCCGCCTTTTTCGGCGCGGCCGCGAGACGCGTCGAACGGAACGCGCCATCACGACGACCCGCTCGACGCCGACCTTAAACGCGAACGAACGAACGAACGAACGAAGGAAGAAGCGAAGGCAGCGAATCGAATCGAATCACGACGCGCGCCGCGCGTCGCCGGACGCGAACGGCACCGTGGGATCCACCGTCGGCTCGCCGAGCAACACCTCCGCGGGCACGAACGCGGGCGCGCCGTACCCTTCACCGCCGTGGATGAAATCCGACCCGAACAAAAAATACGTCGCGCAAAACACCACCGATATCGCCGCCACGAACGGGCCGAACCCGAGAAACACCGCGAATCCCGTCTTGAGCAGTTCCGTCGCGCGCGCCGGAAATCCCTCCAGCCCCTCGCTCTGCAGCGCGCGCGACCGCGCGAGCTGATCGCTCTCGTCCGCGCGTCGCGGCGCGCTCGGATTCGGCGCGAACCGCGGCGGTTTCGGCGCGTCGCTCGCGCCGTCGCGATCGAACGGGTTCGGATTCGCTCGCGTCGTCGACGCGCGCGCGCCGCCGCGTCTCGCCACCTCGTCCGCGAACGAGCTCGACAGCCCGTCGTCGCCGTCGGTCGCGCCTCGGTCGTCGTCATCGTCGTCGTCGTCGTCGCGCGCGCTCGATCGCGCGTCGTCCGCGTCCGCGCGTCGTCGCGCGTCGCGAATCCGCGTCGACGGCCGTCGCGTCGCGAATCCGCGCTTTCGCGTCGCGAATCCGCGCGCCGTTACTCGGCGCGTCGACGCCGCGGGCGTCGCGCGCGACGTCGACGCGCGCGCCGTCGTCGTCGCGCGCATCGCGAACGCGCGCGACGCGTCGGTGTGCCGCGGATTCGCGACGCGCGTGACGTCGCGACATCGCGACGCGCATGGCGTCGCTCCCGCGCGTCATGCGCGCCGCGCGCGCGTGCGCCGAGACGCGCCGCGTCGCCGTCGTCGCCGACTGCGAGGTGCCGGCGATCGGCGCGCGCGACGTGCTCGTGGAGGTGCGATGCGCGACGGTGAATCACATCGACGTCAACGCCGCGCGCGACGGGTACGCGGTCGACGTCTACGCCGGCGCGCCGAACGCGCGACGCGCGTGGACGCCGGGACGAGAGTTCTCGGGCGTGGTGCGCGCGGTCGGCGCGAAGACGCGAGGCTGGCGGGTCGGCGACGAGTGCTACGGCGCGACGGCGCCGACGACGCGGCGCGGCGCGTGGGCGACGTACGCGAAGGCGCCGGCGCACGCGGTGGCGAAGAAACCGCGAGGAATGACGCACGAGGAGGCGAGCGCGATACCGTTCGCGGCGCTGACGGCGCACAGGGCGGTGATGGAGCGAGGACGGGCGAGGGCGGGGGAGCGGGTGTGCGTGCTGGGCGGCGGCGGCGCGGTGGGGACGGCGGCGTGCGCGCTGGCGAAGAGCGCGGGGTGCGAGGTGGTGACGACGGCGCGCGCGAGCGACGCGGTGAGACTGCGAGAGGTGATCGGGGTGGACGAGGCGCACGATTACGAGCGAGAGGGGTTTTCGTTGCGGCGGGCGACGGCGGCGCGAGCGCCGTTTGATTTGGCGGTGGATTGCGTGGGGACGGCGCGGACGGAGCGGAGCGCGATCGAGTTGTTGAAGTACGGCGTCGGACGGTACGTGACGCTGCACGGGGATTTGGGCAAGCACATCGCGAGCGAGCGAGGGATGGTGTACGGCGCGATGAGGGGGGTGGGCGAGTACGCGCGGAAGGCGACGATTACGCGTTGGCAACGCGACGTCGGGTACGAGCAAGCCGTCATGCGTTTAGATCCGGACGCGATGATCGATATCGCGCGTTTAGTCGACAGTGGTAAGCTGCGCGTTCCCGTCGGCGAGGTTTTGGCGTTGGAGGACATCGAACGCGCGTGCGATTTATTGCGCGATCCCGCGGTGTTTGGGAAAATCGTCGTTCGCGTGTCCGAGGGGTAGTCGCGAAGCAAACGACAAAATTTGTACAACAACCTCACTAGTAGCTCTACCATCGACCTCCGCGCTCCCACGTGTACGCGTCTTCGGTCGGCTGCGCGCCCTTCGCGAGCACGCTCGCGATCGCCGCTCGATCATCGGCGTCTAAATCAAAGTCGAAGAGCGCGAGGTGATCGGAGACGTGATTCGCGTTTCGCGCGCCGACGATGATCGCCGGCACCGCGGGCGAGTCCAGGACCCACTTCGACGCCACGTTGGCGATGCTCGCGCCGTCGTGCTTGTCGCCCACGGCGCGGAGCGTTCGGAGCAAACTTTGATACCACTGGTATCCACCGACTTGCCCGATGACCGACGCGTACTTTCGCAGCGACGACGTATTCGTGACGACGTCCTCCGCGCGCGCGTCCAAATATTTATCCGACAACAGTCCCCCCGCGACGACGCCGTACGGCAACAGCCCGACGCCCGTCTGTCGACAATAGTCCACCATCACCTTCTCCGGCCGTCGATCGAGCAACGAGTACTGAATCTGATTCGTCGAAATCTCCGCGCCCGCGTCCACCATCTCCTTCACGCGCTTCGTGTCGAAATTCGTCAGCGAAACCGCGCCGATTTTCCCCGCCCGCTTCAAATCCGTCAAAAACAGCGCCGCGTCGACGTAATTTTTCTTATCGTAATCGTTCCAATACAGCTGCACCATCCCGAGTTTCCCCACCCCTATGCGTCGCATCGGTCGCGTCACGTTCTCCTCGACCCACGCCTTCGTCATCGTCGTCTGCTCTCGCCCGACGCAGCACAGTTTCGTGCACACGATTATCTCATCGCCGTGTTTTTTCCCGTGCGCCGTCTTCAGGTACTCTCCCACCAGCGTTTCGCTCGGTCCGTAGCCGCACGCCTCCGGTCCCGTGTCGAACGTCGTCACGCCGCGGTCGACGAACGTCGCGAAATCCGTCGTCGCGTCGTCGCCTCGCGTGCGATCGCTCGCGCGTTCGCCGCTGTGTCCGCCGGAGAGCTGCCAGCACCCCTGTTTTGTGTCGCCGTCGGTCAGTCTCCGCCTTCGTCTCGCGTCGCCGCGTCTCGTCGTCGTCGTCGTCGTCGTCGTCTCACCTTGACCACCTGGGACGGCCGCAGCGTCGTGCCGAGCAGCGGCGACGTCGAGCGAGGCACCGCGCTCGTTCGCGCGCGCGCGAGCGGCGGCGCGTCGACGCGCGCGCACGCCGCGGACGCGGCGAGCGCGGCGAGCGCGCGTCGCGTGAGCGCGGCGGCGGCGCGGTCGTCGTCGCGCGACGCCGACGCGACGACGACGCGCGCGCGCGGCGCGGGACGCGGCGTCGACGTCGGCGTCGGCGTCGGCGGCGCGCGCGGGACGGCGCGCGGCGCGCGGAGCGTCATGGCGGACGCGGCGGTTGGATTCGGTTGGATTCGGTTGGATTCGCGGCGCGAAGTGACGCGAAGGCGTCGGGCGCGTCGTGGTCTCGAATGGCGACGGTTGACGTTAAAACGCTACGAAGAGATGGAAAAAGAGCCACGCGTGGAGGATGGCCCAGTAGGATAGGGCGGCGAAGCGAAGCGAGGGTTGCGTTCGCATGACGCGGAAGAAGCGAACGAAGGCGTTGTCGCAAAATTCCATGATCGGTTGGAATCGCGCGGGCACGCGGCCGGTGACGCGAGAATCCTTCCAAACGCGAAGGGATTTCGACGGTGATTCCGCGCGGTCGCCGGATTCGATGTCGACCGCGTGCGAGCTGTCGCTCGGCGTTCGCGGGAGTCGTCGCGACGCCGAAGTCGGCGGCGGAGGCGTCGACGGTAGCGGGGCGCTCTGCTGCTTCGACAGCGCGGCGTTCGCGTCGGCGAGCTTCGACCTTAAATCATTTTGCACTTCTTGCGAAGTCGTGAGGTTCGCTTCCGCGCGCACCAACCGCTCTTGCAAATCTCGCGTTGACGCGAGCGACGTCTGCGCCGCCCGGAGCTCTGCGCGCAAGCTCGAGACTTCGCCTTGCGCCTCACCCAGCGCTGCGTTCAACTCGCCGATTCGGCTTTGTGCCCCAGCGGCGCCATTCGCCTTTGCCTCTTCTACTTGGGCGGTGAGTCGCGCGATCAACGCGCTCTTTTCCTCAACCAACGCAGTCGTCTCCGCGAGCGTCTTCTCCTCTGCGACTCGGATATCGGCGATTTCCTTTTCAAGCACGGCGACGCGCGACGCGGCTTCGCTCGTCGACGCTACATCACGCGCAAGACTATCGCGCTCGGCCTCAACTTTCGCCAAACGCTCTTCAACGTCGGCTCGAGCGACGAGGAGCGCCTCGCGCTCGGCGATCGCGGATTCGTGCGAAACGCGCAAGTCGGTGAGTGCCTCGTTGACGCGAGACAACTCTTCGCTTGAACCAGCGTTCATTGATTTGATGTGCTCGCGAAGTTGCGACGTCTCTTGATTCTTCTCCGTGATCGCAACTTTGAGCTTTTCCTTCTCATCCTTGAGCGCCGACAACTCAGCGTCGACGCCCTGTAATCGTTCCACGTATTCCTTGAGTTGTTTTTCGGCTACGATCTTCTCCTCCTCCATGGCGTCGAGCTTAGCTTGCGTGTGCGACAACTCCTCGCCGACGGCACCGCGCGCTTCGTCGGCCTTCGCGCTGAGTTCATTAATATGGTCGCACTTCGCCGCTAACTCTTTCTCGAGCGCAGATTTAGACGCCGCGACGTCGGCAGCCTCCTTCTCCACCGCTTGAACTCGCACGTTTGCCGCGCTGATTTCTTCTCGCAACTGCGCGATCGAGTTTTCTTTTTCTTGCTCAGCGGCGTCGAGTTTTGCGCGAAGCGCGGCAAGTAAATCATCGGACGCCTTCTTCGTCTTCTTCGCCTTTGCAGTCAGTTTGGCTATTTGCGCATCCTTTGCACTCAACTCGCCTTCGGCTCTCTCCTTGGCGCTCGACAGGGACTTGATTTCATCTTGAGAAGCCTGCAATCCCGTTTTAGAATCGACGATTTGGGCCTCGAGCGATTCTTTTTCCTGCGTAAGGAGTTCGATGCGCGCTTGAAGCTCGCCCACGACGTCTCCGGATGATTCGAGCGAACGCATGTGTTCCGTGAGCTTGGCGATTTCTTCGTCTCGCTTGGCGACAGTATCCTCCGCACTCAACTTGGCGGAATTCAAAGCCGCGAGTTCTGCCGTCTGTGCTTGCATGCGCGCGTTGATTTCGACGAGTTGTTCGTGCTGCACACTCTTTTCCGTTTCAGCGGCGTCGAGGCGCGAGCGCGCATCTACGAGCTCAGCCGCCGCCGCGCCTCGGGCGTCGTCGAACGCAGATTGCGCTCGCGCAATTTCGTGATCCTTTGCTCGAAGCGCGTCTTCGACAGCAGTCTTCGCTGCCTTTAGCGCGTTCGCTTCTTCGTTTGTCGCGCGCGCTGCATCGGAAAGTTTGGCGATGCTTGCGCTTTGAGAGGCATTTTCAGCGCTTAACTCTTCCAGCTGCGCGCGCAGTGCCCTTGTTTCATCGTTGGAAGATTGGCTCGCTTCCTGAACGCGAGACGTGAGCGCGGCAATTTCATCGATTTTCGCCGCGATCTCACTCTCAAGCGTCGCGTTTTCGTCGCTTAATGCGGCGAACTTCCCGTGCGCGTCTTCTAATTGTGATGACACATCGTTCAGACGCTCTAACAAATCCGTCGACTGGGCTTGTTTTTCTTGCTCGGCGGCTTCAAGCGCCGCTTGCAATCGCGTCACGTCATCGTTAGATGAACTCTGCGCGTCTTCAATCCTCGCCACGAGTGACTGAATCTCCGCGTCCTTCTCAAAAACGGCGCGCTCGGAAACGCCCAATTGCTCCGTGATGTCGTCGATTTGCGACACGAATTGCGCGCGCTCCTCTTCAATTTTTGCCTGTTCCTCTGCAGCGCTCTCTTCGACTTTCCGCAAGGATTCGACAGCAATTGCCAAATCTTCCCTCAACTGCATGGTTTGCGCATCCGCATCCGCGCGCGCGGCTTCAACGTCGGCTTGTGCACTTTCAAGCGCACTTTGGGCGTTTTGAACTTCAGCTTTGAGCTTTTCCACGGTTTCTTTCGCCGCAGCGAGCTCAACCTCGAGTGGTTTTTCTTTCGCTTCGAGAGATTTCAACATGACAAGCTGCGCTTGAAGATCCTTGTTACGAATCTTTTCTTCGGCGAGTGCGTCGTCCATGCCCTCAAACATCATCGCTTTATCGTTTGCGGCGTTGAGATCGTTTTGAAGCGCAGCAAGTTTGGACTCCGCTTCGGCGAGATTTTGTGTCAACTTGGCGTGTTCCTCGCTCGCCGAACGTAATGTCGTCATCTCCTCCTCGAGCGCCTTCTTCTCAGCCTCGATACTTTTGCCTTTGGCGATAGCTCTCTTGACTTTGTCTTTCGACTGCTTCTTCGCCTCCTCTACCGCGCTCTTCATCTCCTCCATGCCCGCTCGTGCCTCTTCGATCTCCGCCGCCGCGCTCGACAGCTCGTCCACCTTCGCCGCGAGTTCGTCGCGAACCTTCGCCACCTCCTCCGCGCTCGCCCGCGCCGCGGCCTCTTTTGTGTCTAACGACACTCGCAAAGCCTCCAATTCCGGTTCCACCGTCTTCAATCGCGTCACTTCGCGCTCTAAACTCGCGATCTCCTCCTCCAATCTTTCGCGTTCGCCCGCGAACTCCTCGCGCAGCGTCTCCAACTCCCGCTGCAACTCGCCCGCGACGTCTCCCGCAATCTTATCCGCCCCGATCGCATCCATCGCATCGTTTACATCGCGATAATCCGTCTTCGCATCGTACAGCGCGCGTTCACTCGCGATGCGCGCGTTTTCCTTCGCCGCCGCCTCGTCGAGCGTCGCGCCGTAATCTTCATCGATCACCTGCGGCCGCGCTCTCGCGCTCTCCGGGCTCGTCACCGCCTCCGCGACGCCATCTAACGGCGCATCCTCGCGCACGCTTCCCGCGACGCTGCCTAACTCGGCGAGTTTCGCTTCCAGTCGCGCGCTGTACGTATCGTTCGGCTCACCGTTCGGGACGTCGTCGAGCGAGACGCGCGCGTTCGGCGCAGCGTCGCGCTTCAACGACGCCGCGCGCGCGGCTTTACGCGCGCGGAACTCTTCGAGCTTCTTGCGACCGTTGTCGAGGTCGCGCGCGCGCGCGTCGGGGGCCATCGCGCGTCGTACTGTCGGTGGTGTGGCGGGCAGAGCAACGGACTTGGCGACAGCTGGAATTTCAAAGATGAAGATTGAAGGCGGCGAATAGGATTACGCGAGTGCATGTATCTTTTGCGCGGCGTCCAAAACAGCGTTGCTGACGAACGCCGTGGAGAGACCGTGGACGCACCCGAAGGCGTCGGCGACGACGGCGCGGGTGCCGGCTGGATTGAAGGCGGCTGCGCCGACGGCGACGTCGGCGACGACGCGCGTCTGCGCGCGAGGACTTGGAAAGGTGATGACTTCGCGAAACGTGCGAACGTCGCTGACGTATAGAGCGAAGTCAGTGGTAGTGGCAATCCAATGTTGTTGATCTGCGATCTTGGTGCACGAGAGTGGGACGCCAGGAGGGAGCTGGAAACGCGCGGATTCCGTCGCGGCGCGCTCGTCCCAGATTTTCACCAGCCCGTCGATGTCGACGGTGGCGAGGCCTCGTGGAGTAAGAGTGCAGTCAACGACGATTGTGTCGTGTGCAATAAACTCACGCTTACACGTTTCATGGTCGAGATCCCAAAACTTCACCAATCTATCGCCACCAGTGGAGTAGAGCGTGAAGGAATCGTCTGAGCATAAACCGCGCACACGCGAATTGTGCGCTTCGAATGACTTCATGATGGTGGGACCACTACGACTGCGGACGTCCCATACGCATATCTTCCCGCCACCGCCACCGGTGATGAGTGTTCCATGACCGGCATCCGTCATCGAAAACACGCCCAGTTCATGTGCCTGAGCAACCTTACTCTTTGACCACGCCCATGAATTTGCACTGAAATCCCACGCAGTGAGCGAGCCATCGGATCGTCCAAAATAGACAATCGAATCAGACCTTTCGGAATGCATCGTAAGTATCGGAGACGGAGTGAAAGCAAGGTCATCTTTAACAACCTTGGCTTGCAACGGAGTCATGTCCATGTTGAGCTTCCAATTTTTTGAGTCGAGAACACGCACCGAGCCATCAGACGCGCCTGTGACAAAGTACGAGCCAACGCCGTGGAGCTCGAGATGTGCCGCCGCGGTCACTTTCGCTCGATGAACAGACACCGTTGTATCGTCAGATTTTCGTGATTCGACGTCTTCCTTCGCTTCCGCGCGACGAAGCATGTTGGGATCTCGTGGGTAAGCGCCCGTGGATGCCGTCCCTCGTCGTCCGATCCAAGACCAGAGACGCATCGTTCCGTCTCCTGCACCCGTCACAACGCAACTTGCGTCTAGCGAAATACTCGCACAAGTAATTCGATGAATGTGATTCATTGAAACAATCAGTTTACCGGTGAGCGAACTGTGGATTTTGCACGTTCGATCGACAGATGCGGATACGAGCAGTTTGCCATCTCGGTTAAAGCTCAAAGCAGTAATCGGTCCATCGTGTGCTTTGATCAGCCCCACGTGCTTTGCGTTCCTAGGCTCCCACAGCATGATGCTGCTGTCAACACCACTGCTTGCGAATAACCCAGTCGACGCGCAGGCGGTACAAGTGATTTCACCGATGTGCCCGCGGAATTCCAACGTCACCGTGGGAGGTTGGGAAGCGACCTTCTTTGTTCGTCGCCCTCCGATGAAGGAGCTGTTACCGACCGACGGTGTGTGATTAGATGTACCAACGCCCGAAGTTCGGTCATCATAATCGTCCGCGCGATGAAAGTTGGTCCCTCTGGACTTTTGTTGCACCATTGTTGAGTTTTCGAGCGTAAAGACCCACAATCGCATGACGCCGTCAGTCGCGGCCGTGATCATGAAACTCAAATCCGGTGCGAGGGAAATCGAATTGACCGGCACTTTATGTTCTGTGTTCAAAACATATAGTAACGGGTATCCCGGCGCGCAAGACCAGCAACGGATCTCGTCACCTCCCACGCTGAAGAGCTCATTTGTAGACAATGCGATGGCGAGAGAAGTGACGGGTTCTTCGTGACCAGTCAATGTGGTGCAGTCGCGACCGAGTGAATCGTCCAGGCGCCATATGCGGACCGTTTTATCCCGAGATGCTGAAGCAACGTACACTGACGTGCGTGCGTTCTTGACGAGATCGTTATTAATCAACTCGAGCGCCGTCACCGCGCGCTCGTGTCCAACGAACCTCGCAACTGTCGAACCACGATTTGCGTCCCACATCTCAACGGCGCCACTCGCGTAACCAGCGAGAAAAGTCGCGTCGTCTAGCCAACGCACACATCTGACATCACCCTCACTCTCACAGCCGCTTCGCACGGATACTTGAGTCAATGCTTCGCTCGGTATATTTTCCCAACGCACCATCACTCGCTCCACGCCGGCGTAATCTCGAATTGAACTTTCACTTGCCTCGATGATTCCACCAGAGCACAGCCTTCGCGGCGTAGCGTTGCCAATATCGTTGAAGAACTGTTGACGTATGAGACTCGGGTTCCTGTGCACCATTTCCAATTTCCGCCACAAGACGTCTCTTATCGCCACGAGATCTTCAGTGAGGTTGGTATTGTCGTCACGCGACGCGAAAAATTGATACGCCTCAACATGGAATCCCAAACAATGAGAGTTGTAAACGGCAAGCTGGCGCAAACGTCCATCCAGTCCAGACGGCGCACCGGGAACATCAACGACTTCCTCACTCGTCGAAAGTTGATGCGAGATCCACAAAGGTCGCTCTGGCCCGCAGCCGAAAGGAAGAATGCGATCGAAATCATCAACCAGACCTTGCCCTTCTCCAATTTCCAGCTTTGCTTGGAGAAATTCGAGATCGGTGAGAACGGCACCGAGCCGATCAAACATACGCGCTTGCGTGTAATAGTATGGTAAATACTTGAGCGTATTCATCGTCGTATGATGATCCATGTACAAAACGTGATTAACGATCATACCGTCGCCATCGACAGCAAATGGACTTTTACCAGATTGCTCCATGTCTTTGAGAATGGTGAGTTTCGCGAGGAGGTCCGCGCCAGTCACATTGTCGCCGTAGTACGTCGCGAGCATCTGGTACACTGACCGCTTCTCGCTTTCCTTCGGAGCGTATCTTTCCATGATGACATCGTGAGCGACTTGGTCTTCGACTTGAATTGTTCCCGTCGCTACGCTCGCGAATCCCCCGCCCGCATCGCCTTTGATCATGAAGCGCACCGACCAAAGCAATCTCGGAACTGTGTCTCGCATGATATCATGGATGGCTGCATTCGTTCGGTAGTTGGCTTGAATGATTCGTGCGATGTCTTCTTGTCTGAGACAGTTGCACCCACACGCGATTGCTGGGAGAACGAGGGCGAGTAACGCTTTGGGCACAAACTTCTCGACACCGTCCAACAACTGATGATAATATCCACGCTCATCGTCTGGTAGCTTACTGAGAACCGCCGCGAACATATCATCGTAAGGATCTTCCATAGCGATTCTAGCGCACGTCAACTGCATCCCACGCAAATTCCCAGTGCACGTTTTATCCATAATCTGCATCGTCATGGTGTTCGTGAGCTGAATGCCTAGAGGCCGCAAGTATCTCTGCGTGTACGCGCGCCTCTCTTCGAACTTGAGTGTGTCGATCACATATGCATTTTTGAGCGCCTTTGGACAGGACGCACCAAGCGCGACGTGTTGAATTTTGGTCATTCTGTAACGATACGAGTTGATAAGATTGTACTCGAGCGTGGGCATTCTTCGCTCGTCACTCTTCGCCGATTTCTTCTCAAACTCTCGTTTGCGATCGATTCGATGGATGCCCAAAAACAGTTGCACGCCAATTGGGACTTCAAATTCATTCGGTAGCCAAGCCGAGCCACTGTCATTGTCGATAAGGTGCAATGCATCGATAAAAATGAGCACGCGCCCGCGCATTCTCGTGACGCGGTTGAACATACGCAGCATGAGCGCGCGTATTTGCTCCAACGAAGCTGGAATATGATCATCAAATCTGAGCTTGACTTTCATTTGCTGGACAATATTTCGGAGAACTTGTGTCGGCGTCGGACTTTTCCTTCCCTCCGCTGCTCCGTAGTCGCTGATGACTGTTACGCTTCTGATCGCGGCGCCTGCTTCGGTGACACCAAACATGAGACGCGCTACGCAGGCCATGTGCTGCAACAAGCTCGTAGTTCCCATGCCTGGCATCCCTTGCACGACATTGACCGTAGGTTGACCGATTTTCAAAGACTTGATGAGTCCCTTTTCTACGGCGTGATGGTGAAAGTAAAACGGCAACTTCTCGCCGAGCGACAATTCGGGATCAGTGCAAGTTTGTAGCAGCGTCATGTCCTTTGCCACGTCGGGTGCGAACTCCGCCTCGATTCGCGCCCACACGTCCTGCAACACGGTGTATTCGAAATCTGCAAGATGAGTGGTCCGGGGCGGCAGTCGAATGTGGAAAAAGTTTTTTTTATCGGTGAGCTGCAGCGGTGGATCTAACCGCGCCAAATATTGACTCATAGACACATCCGGGTGCGCATAGAGTGTAGAAAACAACGCACCGATCCGTTCTTTGTGGACGGGATCTGTGCTCATCAGGTAGTTGGTGAATTCTGGCTCTTTCAGCGCGACCAACTTTTCGTAGAGTGACTTGCTCGGATAGTACGCCAGCACGAGTTGTGCTCTTCTCGACTCTTTATACGCGTGATCGTCTTCTAATCGTCTGGCTTCAATTCCGGATAAACAGGCGGCCGTCTCAGCGATTTCCTCCCTCGAAAGTATTTTCAAGTCTTCGTAAACTCGAAGTAGCTGCGCAATCTGGATCTCAATACGGCTGTAATCGTTCGGAGCGTGGCGTAACCACGACAATGCGTTCTCCTCTTCCTTCGACGCTTCAGATCTCATGTAATTCACATACTCACATATCCGCACGCTCGAGTACCAATCGATTTCGTGCTTGGCCGACAAAAGCACTACGAAAATTCCACCCGTTTTCACGGCGTGTAACAAAGACGCTAATGCCTGGCCAGGGCCAGCGTTCGGACAATCGTCTTTCAAGTCCACGTAAGTGATCCGTACTCTTCGCCCGCGACACCGATGTTTCAGTCGAGGCAACACCTTATTGCGCAACGCGTCCCGTTCCTCGCTCGTTCCCGGCATCGACAACACGTGCAGCGTAATCTCGCGATAGCCATCGCTTCGAGTCTCACAGCGATCCTCCAATCCCACCTTCATCGGGAGCATTCGCTTATCCGGTATCGCGTGTGTGTCGCAAATATCAACATGATTCGAGTGTGCCAAAAAGTGTCCCACCCGAGCGCTCTGGAAAACGAGCGTTCCGCCCGCTCGAACCGTCCGCAGCAACGCTAGCAAGCTCTCACTCTGCAACGCCGGCGGAATCGCTACCACAATCGCCCCGACGGTACCCGCCAGTTGTTTAAACCCCAGATCATCGTGCGGCATAAACACCACCTCCCGCATCTCCCATCCACTTTCTCTCAACTCTTGACAAATCGCGTCCGCCGTCGCCGTCGCCGCGTTCAGCTCCGTCAGCGCTCGCCGCACCGCGCTCGCGCTCAATCCACTCCTGTGTCCTCGCTCCGCCTTCAACCTCATCACGCGATCCCTATCTTCCACACTCGGTCTCAGTACGATTCCTCGTCGCGCGACGCGCGGGACACTCTCGCTCGGCGCCTCGCCTTGCTTGCGCTTCCACTCGCTCGGATGCGGCCCCGCGTACGAGTACGGCGTCGTCGTCGTCGTCGCCGCGCCCGTCCGCAACCGCTCGGCCAGAGCGTCGGCCTCTGTCGCGACGTTGGAATGCATCATCGACGCCACCAGACGTTGGGTCTTCGTCTGCTTCTTTCGCGTCGTCGGCGGCGCCGCGTCGTCGGCGGCGTCGTCGAAGCCGCGGGGGACAGTCGACGAAACCGTCGCGTCGTCGCGCGACGGCGCGGTTTCATCGCGCGCGGATGCGACGGGACGACCGAGGAGTCTCATGTTCGCGTACAGGCGCGCGCCGAGGAGATGGCGCGGACGCGCGCGCGCGCGAGTGAGGCAAATGTCGCGAACGATGCAACGGCCGTTACCTGTGGCATCAGAGCGCGAACGCGCGTAGAAGTACCGCGCGAGACGACGAAAGGGCGGGGCGGGGCGGAGCGTGCGTAATATGGCGAATATAAGAAATTGACAAAGATTCGATCATAACTAAACTCACGCGAAAGGATAGTGATGTGGTGGATAGAGCGAATAAATTTCTCGCGACGGCGAGCGCTCGGAGCGAACGTCGGGCGAGAAATGGACGGAGCGATTACCAGCCACCGCCGTTTTCGATCAAGTTGGCGAAGAAATCAGCCGGGGCCTTACCCTTGAGCTCGGCGCCGGCGTCCTTACCGGCGTCCAACAACGACGCGGCGTCCCAGGCACCTTCGCGGGTGGTCTCGAGAACTTGCTTGCCGTCGAGGGAGGCGATCAAACCGCGGAACTGCATCTTACCGTCGACGAGGTGGCAGTGAGCGGCGATCGGGGTGCGGCAAGAGCCATCGAGAGCGGCCAAGAAAGAGCGCTCGCCTTCAACAGCCATGCGCGTGTCTTCGTGGTTAAGCTTGGCCAAGAACGCGAGCTGCTTGTCGTCGCCCGCGCGGCAGGTGATACCGATGGCGCCTTGCGCGACGGCGGGCAACATTTCTTCGGTGGGGATGATGACCTTGGCGTGTTGGGCCAGGTCCATGCGCTTCAAACCCGCGATAGCGAGCAAGGTGCAGTCAACAACTTCCTCCTTGAGCTTGCGAATGCGCGACTGCACGTTACCTCTAAAGTTCACGCACTTGAGCGTTGGAAACTTGTACAAGAGCTGCGACTGGCGGCGAAGAGACGCCGTGCCGACGACCGCCCCTTCCGGCAATTGCGACAAGGAGTCATACTTCAAGCACAAGAACGCATCTCTGACATCTTCACGCGGCAACATGCACGGCAACACCATCCCTTCCGGCAAGTACGTCGGCACATCCTTCATCGAGTGCACGGCGATGTCGATGCGCCCGTCGAGCAAGGCGTCGTCGAGCTCGCGAGTGAACAAACCCTTACCCCCGATATCCGCCAACGGCTGGTCCAAAACCTTATCCCCGGTCGTCTTAATGATGCAAATCTCCAACGCGCCGTCCTCGGCGAGTTCCGGGAAGTTCTCCTTCAACAAATCGCGCGTCATGTACGCCTGCGCGAGCGCCAGCGGCGATCCTCGCGTACCAATCTTCACGATGGGCGCGTCCACCGCCGCTCTCACCACCATCGACGCCCGCGCTCGCGTCGCGCACTTGGCTTGCTTCCTCAACTGTCTAACATTCGTCGCCGTTCTCGAGGAGATCGACGCGCGGCTCGTCACCGCGCTCATGTTGTTCGTTCCTGTCCCGGTCGATCGCGAGTGGATAGATAGGTCAGCTTTCGAGCGTTTTCACCGCGCCTTCGACGTCGCTCGCGCGCGCGATCGCCCGCGTCGCGTCGCGCGCGCGCGTCGTTTCGAACGCGCACCGTCGCGTGCGCGTCGTTCCCACCGACGTCGTTCGCGTGCGTCGTGACGCGCGCGTGTGTCGCGTTATCGCCGCGCCATCCATCCATCGGGGTCTCGCGCGAGATCTCGGTATAAATCTCGACTTCGGACGTTTGTCTCGCATTGAAGCGTATTTCGCGCCATGAGAGTCACATCTCACGCGTCCCCATCGCGCGAGATCTTTTCTTTTTCGGCTCGCACACGCGGGTGTTTCGACGCCGCGACCGCCCGACGCCGCGCGTCGCGTCGCGCGGCACAGCGCGCGGTCGCGCGGCACAGCGCCGCGCGCGACGCGACGCCGCGAATGGCGCCCGCGGCGTGGACGCGCGTCGCGATCGTCGCGCTCGCGGTGACGCTGTCGACGCGCGCGGCGGTCGGATTGGAGATTCGCGTGCGACGAGGCGAGACGGAGTGCGTCACCGAGCGCGTGCGAGAGGCGGACGTCGCGATCACGGGGTCGTGGTTCGTCACGAAGGGGAGCAACACGGCGGCGCCGAGCGAGCGCGGACCGCCGGGGTACGGGACGTACGATGATTACTATTATTGGGACGCGCACGAGGACGCGTTCGACGCGAGGGCGACGCTGGAGCGGGCGAAGGATGGTTCGGAGGAGGAGATTTATAACGCGTTGAAGAGGAGTGAACACAGGTTTGACTACGTGGCGCGCGATGCGGGGACGCTGCGGACGTGCTTTACGAATTCGGGGTCGCGAGACGCGAGCGTGAGTTACAGCGCGTCGTTGGGCCATCGGTGGGATCACGAAAAGGCAAAGGCGCAACACATCGATCCGACGTACGAGCGGTTGAATAACGTCGAATCGAGCGTCGGGACGCTGATGGAGGAGGTGAAGTATCACGAGCGGCGGGCGAAGCGGCACTTGCGAACGGCGAAGTCGACGGACGCGCGCGTCGTGCGTTGGGCGCTGTGCGAAGCCGCCGTGATGATTTTGGCGAGCTATTACCAATTTTATTGCGTGAAGAAACTCTTCCAAACGCGAGATCGCCGCGGCGGGTTCGCGCGTGTTTAAGTCGCGGTGCTGGTATGTAGCTAGTCGTTGTGTTGATAACAGAAAGAATGAAAAGAATTGTCAACCTAAAACCCGAACATGTTGAGCGCCTCGTCGATCGCCGCTTGGCCATCGACCGGAGGCGTCGTCGAGCTCGACCGCGCGGTCGACGCGCGGAATAGTCGCGCGCTCGTACTGCCTCCTGTCGCAGGTTTCTTTAGCTCCGCCTTAGATGGCTCAGCGGGTGTTGCGACTTCAGGTTCTTTGCCTTTGCATCGCTTCTCGAGAATTTTCACGCGGAATTTCCCTCGCATCCCCCCCCCGAGTTTACCGCTCGCTTGCAACAAAGTACCGTGTTTCCAAAAGTGCGCGACTACGTGGTCGTCGTCGATCTCTTGTAAAACGTAGTTGCCGGAAAACTCGCGAAGGGACGCCTTCACGCCGGCGACGCCGACGGTGATGTCGGTGAAACTCATCGCCAACTCTTCGTACTCGCCTTTGGAGAAGTGTTTTGTGTACCCATCAAAGTACTCCGTCGCCTCTTCGGGGCGCGTTTTCGAAGCTAACGTCCCTTTGGTCGGCGCGGAGTCCAAGTCCACGAGTATGGCATCGCTCAGACGAAGCGACGGGAGCACGCCGCCTTTGTTGCCGCCGGCGAAAAAATCGATATGTCTCTTCGGATCTGCGCCAAAGCTCGCCGACGTGATGCCGTACAACTCTGCGACGACGTGGCATAACTCACGCATTTCCCGGTTCATTGGTTCCATGGACACTCGTCGCTTGCTTTTACCGGTCACAATATCCTCGAGAGTAGCCTCAAGTCGCTTGACCAAGTCGGGATGTTTACGCGCCAAAACGAGTTGAGCGCGCGTGAACGCACTCGCGCTCGAGTCGGCGAACATGCTCGGTCGCTCATCGGGCTTAGTAACACCGAACGCTTCAGCTAGTTTGTTACGCCGCGCCGTCGCTTCATCGACCGGTGCGGCTGAGGCCGCGTGCGTCGACGGTTCGTCCTTCTTGGCAACCGTCGAAGTCAAAGTCTTCTTGGCAAATATAGTCGCCGCCGTGCTGCGCGGGATCGCCTTAAATCGCTCGGCGGCACTCGCTCTCGGCGCAAACGTTCCCCAACTCGGCGTCGCTCGAGACGAGCCAGCATCGAGCGTGGGAAACGAGTCGCCGCGGGACGCATCGGGCACCGCCACAGGGGGAACCCAGTTCCCGGACCCACCGCCGCGAGACCGCGCACCTGGAAGCTCGGGAAAGTCATTGCCTCTATTCTCTATGTGGCTTGGTCGACTCCATCCCCCCCATGACGCCAAGCTTCCGTGATCCTGCGGCCTCGGCCCGCGCGCGTCCGCGCCTCGGCCGTCCGCTAAAGACACGTCTCGCAGCATCGACACGTCGTCGTCCACGAGCGCAAACCTGCCGTCCGATTGCAGTTCAGCGAGCGCATCCGAGATTGACGTCGATCGCGGCACCGTCGACGACGCGCGATTACCGCCGAGCGAGTGTTCATCCCGCCTTCGTCGACCGTCCGCGCCGCCGCCCCCGCCGCCTCGCTCGGCGGACGCCCTTTCGCGAAGCGAAGTAAACATCGTCTGCGCCAGCGTCGTTCGTAGCTCGTCCCGCTCCCGCTGCATGTTCAACCTTTGTTCCTCGCTCCGTCTCTCCGCGTTCAACTCCGCCTCTCGCTTTTCCTTCGCCGCCGCGTTGAACGCCTTCTCCACGCCGAAACGCTTCAGCTTCCACTTCGCCAGATACGCGTCCAGCGCCCGACACTGCCGCTGATCCAGCGCCTCCCGCGTCAGCGGATTCTCAAAACACCTCGACCGCGTCACGTACTCCGCCAGCACCGCCCCGTCGAACATGTGTCCCCGTCTCGCGTCCCTCGCGCCGTCGCCGCCGTCGCCGCCGCCCTCCGCGCCCTCCATCTCAAACGGCGCGTACGCCATCCCTCGCAGCGGTTCCAGCGTGATCGGATCGCACGCCTCGTCGTCCAGCGTCTTCCACCACGCGCTCTCGCGCGCGTCGCCCCCCCCCGGCGCCCGCGCGCGTCGCTCGCGCGCGCTGAACCTCCCGCCCGACGCGTGCGTGTTCCGCGTCCCCGTCCCCGACCCGCGCGCGCGTCGCGGCCGCGCCTCCGGCGCCGCGCGCGCGTCGCTCGCGCCGTCGTTCGCGCCGCCATCGCCGCGCGCGTCGTCCGCCATCGCGCGCCGCGCCGCGCGCCGTCGACTGTCGACCGACGACCGACGACCGACGACCGACGTTCTCGCGCCACTCGACGCCGCGCGCGCCGCCGTCGCTCGCGCCCGCGCGTCGGCCGACTCGCGCCGATCGCGGCTTTCGCCGTCGTCGCGTCCGTCGCGCCGCGCGACCGTCGACGCGACGCTCGCGGCGCGATGCCGACGCGAAGGAATTCGACGGCGACGGCGACGGCGTCGCGTCGCGCGCCGACCGTCGACGCGAACGGGATGACGTTCGCGCGCGCGGACGCGGACGAGCTGAAGAGTTTACTGTCGAGCGGGACGAAGCCGGAGGGCGGGACGCGCGCGCGGTCGAAGCTCGGAACGGTGCGGAATCGCGCGATCGCGATCGAGCGGGTTGGTGTTGAGACGACGACGACGACGAGAGAGACGACGAGAGAGACGACGGCGGCGGCGGCGGCGCGCGCGGAGATCGCGCGAGGGACGCGGGGAGTCGACGCGGTCGGCGCGACGCGCGGGACGGCGGCGCGCGCGAACGCGCGCGAGACGGACGCGCGAGGACTGACGAACGACGGACGCGCGCAGGGCTCGCAAACGGCGATGGACGTCGCGAGGATGGAAGCGCGGGAGGAAGAGGCGATGCGCGCGATGATGCTGGAGCGACAACCGTCGTTGCGGTCGATCAAGACGAAAGTCACGGAGAGGGGGCGAGACGCGCGGGGAGGGGACGAGAAACGCGCGGACGAGGGCGCGCAGGCGAGCGGGAGCGCGCGATATAGGGCGAACGGAGGTCGCGCGATGGGTCGGGGCGTGAACTTTGATAAGGATGGGAACACGCCCAGGAGCGGCGGCGATGGGGAGATGCTCGGCTCGATCGACAGCGGGACGCCCAACTTTTTTCGAGACGCGAAGGCGCTCAAGGACGACGCCGTCGGAGGAAGAGCCGTGCACGCGGGGTACACCGCGTACGCGACGGTGGTCAGAGACACGCCCGGAGCGGCGGACTCGACGTACTTCAACAACACCGAACTCGCAGATTTGTTGATGATCGTGCACGGGCGACAAAGCGGCGACAACGAGACGCCGCGCACGGCGAAGGCTTTGAATACGCCGACGCTGGCGGAGGTGAACGTGCTGTCCACCGCGCCGATGAACTACTGGGAACGACGAAGCGGGGACATGCGAGAGATGAGCCCAGAAATCTCAATCGAGGGTGACGAGGAGTACGTGGGTAAAAAACGTAAAAGCTGTAAGAAGAGGCCGAAGTCGGAAACGAAAGCGAGGCGTTTCTCGGCTGAACTACTAACAAGGGAAGAGTTGGCCATTCGTAAGATGAAGGCGTTCTCCACGCGCGGCAGCACCCTGCGTACGGTTGATGATGAAGATCTCGTACGAACACTCGTTGACGTGAATGGTCATCCGCTGTCGCAAGAGATGAAAAATGCATGTCTCGAGTACAACGCGAAGACGACGGAGCTAAACGAACGCCACGAAACCGAAATGGCTTCAAAAAGTCTCATCCGTGAAGTCAGCGCCGACGGCGCCGTCGAACCGAAGAGTCGAACTTGGACGCACGAAGAAGATGCCCTCGTGCGCCAGCTTGTCGACGAGCACGGCCCGCAGAAGTGGGCATACATCGCCGAACGTCTCGTCGGCAAAACTCAAAAGCAAGTCTACGCACGCTGGCGTGATTACCTCCAACCCGGTCTCACCACCCGACCGTGGGCCGAGTTCGAGGAAAAACACTTGGTGTTCATCCAAGAAGCGATCGGTAACCAGTGGGCTGTGCTCGCGCGTCTCATGCCCGGTCGTTCGCCGAACGCGATCAAGAATCGATTCCACGCGACGCGTCGCAAGTGCGAGCGCGCGGACGAACTGGTTGACAAATTCGCGTAATCTCTCTTCCCTCGCCGTGCGCACTCGCCGTGCGTCACACCGATTTCCTGTCACAACATTCAGTACACTTGTATTATCTGTACGCGCGTTTAACCTGTAATATCCAAAACTGAAATCGAAATCACGCCGCGCGCGGCGCGCAGACCCCGCCGTCCTCAACGACGAGCGCGTCGCCACTCTCCGACTCGAATCACGCGAGCGAGCATGCGTCTCACGCGAGCCACGACGTTGGCGATCCTTTTATCCGCCTCAGGTGCGCGCACCGTCCGCGAAAGCGCGCTCGCGCGCGCGCGCCGCCCGCGAACGTCGACGCGATCGCGCGATCGACCGATGTAATCTTGTCCCGAAACTGACGGCGCCCGCGACGCGCTCGCGATCTCACGACGCGCAGGCGTGGCGGCGATCGATGCGTCGCCGAAATACCTCCTCACGGACATTCCCGCGGCGAATCCGGACGTGGAATCCGTGGTGGCGTTCCCCGATCACGCCGATCGAGCGTTTCCGGGCGGCGAACGCGTCAAGGTGCTGCTCGGGTTGCGCAACACCGGCAACGATGCGGTGAACGTGACGCACTTGGCGGGGTCGTTGAACGTGCCAAATAACTTTAACTTTTATGTGACGAATTTTACGGTGAGTTCGTTCGGGGACGCGGTGATTAAACCGAAGAAGGAGGCGACGTTTGAGTACGAGTTCGCCATCGATCCGCAGTTCGCGGGGCACTCGTTGCAGTTGGCGTTGACCGCGTTTTATGACGAAGCGGGTGTGGCGTACGCGACGACGTATTTCAACAGCACCGTGCCGGTGTTAGACCCCAAGGTCGTGTTCGATCGCGAGCTCGCGGTCATCTATTTGACGCTGGCTGGCGTGGCGTTTTTGTGCTTCGCGGGCGTCATGAAGGCGGCGGGCTTGGGACACCTCGTGCCCTTCATCGGCGAGGCCAAGCCGACGACGGGGGCGACGAAGAAGACATACGTCAAAAAGGTTGAGAAGAAGGGAACTACATCGGCGAGCGCGAGCGACTCTGAGCAATGGCTCGAGGGCACGGCGTTCGCGCGCTCGTCGAGCAAAAAGGAGAAGAAGAAACAAAAGTGAGCAACGTTGTAATGTGAAAACGCTTGGCGTCTAGGTCACGATTGGAATGTTATCGATTATCGTATCGTCGTGCTTATTGAAACTCTATTTCGTCACTTCGTGCATCGCCGCGGCTAAGCGACCGACGTTCGAGCTCGTCACGCCCGCCATAGAAATTCTGCCGTTACGAGTCATGTAGATGTGATGGTCGGTTCGCAATTTATCCACTTGCTCGCCAGTCATCCCACTGAAGCAGAACATACCGATTTGGTCGGTGACGTGCTGCCACGGAAGGGTCGAACCGCTTTCTTCGAGGTTCTTACGCAAGAGCGTTCGCATTTTGATGATGCGATCCGCCATGCCCTTCACTTCCTCGTACCACTGCGCCTTGAGCGCGGCATCGCCGAGAATCGTGGAAGCGATGAGCGCACCGTGCATGGGTGGGTTCGAGTACATCGCACGCGCGATCACCTTGAGTTGCGACTCGACACGGTTGGCTTCTTCCTTATCTTTGCACATCACGCTCACGGTGCCGATGCGTTGGCCGTACAAGCCCATGTTCTTCGCGAAGGATTGTGCGAGCGCGACCTTATGTCCGTCTTCAACAAAGATTCTGATCGCTTGCGCATCACGTTCACAATCGCCCGAGGCGAAGCCTTGGTACGCCATGTCGAAGAAGGCGAAGTGATTCTTCGCCTTCATGACTTTGGAAATTTCGCGCCACTGCTCCGCCGAAGGATCGACGCCAGTCGGATTGTGCGCACACGCGTGCAACAAGAACATGCTTCCGTCCGGGGCGTTTTGGATGTCTTCGACCATCCCTTCGAAATCGAGCCCGCGCGTTGATTCCTTGTAATAACGAAACGTGTCTTGTTCGCACCCGGCGTCGCGCCAAATGTTGTGGTGATTACTCCACGTCGGCACGGTGATGTACACCTTGCAGCCCGGCATGAATCGCCGTTGGAACTCCGCCATCAACCGGCACGAGCCCGTGCCAGACAACGACTGAACGGCGGCGATGCTACCGTCGGCGACGTGCGCGGAATTCTCCCCGAACGCCAATTTCAAAGACTGCTGAACGAAATCCTTCGACCCGTTCGTGGGCAAATACTCCATGTTAAAGTTCCCCGCGATGCGCTTCTCCGCCTCGCGCACGCAATTCAACACCACGGGCTTACCGTTATCATCCCGATACGCCCCCTGCGCGAGTTCAAATCCGTCGATCGTCAGTCTAAAACTTTTCCGCGCGCCCTAATCGCGCCCTCGCGCGTCGACGGCCCCCTCGCCGTCCCGCGCGTCCCGCGTCTCGTCGCCGCACGCACCACCCCGAGATTCATCTTCTCCGCGTGCGCGTCCGCGTTAAACATCTCCGAAATCCCCAGGATCGGGTCCTTCGGCGCTTCCGGGACGTCCCCGAATCGCGACATCGCGCGCGTCGTCGTCGTCGTGCGGTCGCTTCGACGCGTCGCGCTTATTTCTTTTCCCAACGTTCGCTTCGCGAGCGCGGCGCCCGCGTCGCGCGCGCGGCGGTGCACGATCTGCGCGGTCGCGCGCGCGAGCATGCGCCGGCCCGAGCGCGCCGGTGTGCGCCGTCGCGTCGCGAGACGCCCGTCGACGAATCCATCGCGCCCTCGAAAACACCCGCGTGTGTGAAACCCCACCAGGGTTTACACCGCGATCGATCGACCGATCGATCGATCGATCCGCCGTCTCGGCCGTCTCGGACGGCGACGCGAACCGTCCGAGACGGACGCGGCACACCGCGACGCGACGCGCGACGACGACGCGACGCGCGACGACGACGCGACGAAGAGCGACGAAGAAACGATGACGACGACGATCGACGCGTCCAAGCAACTGACGCGGGAAAAGTCCGCGGCGATGGTGACGAACATGCTGCGCGTGGCGCTGCACACGGTGACGTTTTGTCGAGGTGCGCACGAATCGACGAAACGCGAGACGACGAGGCGCGCGCGCGCGGACGACGACTGACGGCGGCGAGGACGAGAGGGCAGGGATATTCGACGCGGAGACGCACTTTAAGGAGTGTAAGAACATGAACGTGTCGATGCATAAGCTGGTGCCGGCGAGTAAGGGGGCGAAACGAATCTTGGACATGCTCGAGCGAGGCGTGGCGGACGCGCTGGAGCGGGGATATTTGAGGAGCGTGTCGTTCGCGCTGACGCGAGCGGTGGTGAAGGATGGAGTGAAGGATGCGACGATGCGGGAGACGGTGGAGGAGTATAAGTTTAACGTGCGCTATGGGAGCCGAGGCGAGGTGACGCTCGACGACGCGCGGTACATCGGCGGCGGCGATCGAGGCGACGTGAGCGTGGGGCTGAGCGATCGCACGGGCAAGACGACGCGCATGGAACGATTGAGCGATGTGGATTACATTAAGAAGGCGGCAATCGCCATGACGCGCTGTTTGCTGTCGCTCGTGAAGACGTTGGAGAACGTTCCCGACGGGTGCGCGTTTAACATTCACGTTTCGTACGTCAACGGTACGCCGGCGGATTACGAGCCACCGTTCTTTGAGGCGGCGGACGCGACGAGAGAAACGACTTGGTCGAAGAACCCGTTCAGTATGAGTGTTGGAAAAGTGGAAACCGAGTATCACGGGCTGTCGCTTCGCGTGCGTTCGGTGTTGGATCCCGCTCAAGACACCGACAGCGGACAAAAGAGCAATCCCGGATCGTCGCAAACTTCTTCTTTGCTCGATGAGTCACCTTCGACGCCTGTCGGCGACAAAACGGCCGCTGACGACGCCATCGTTCCCATGTCGCAAGACGTTGTGGTGAATCTGTCACAACCGAAGGCGGAAGCCGCACCGACGTTCGACGACGGCGAAGTCGAAGCGCAAGTACTCGATTGGGTGAAAACGCGACGGAGCTCGGGCATCGTCGACGCCGTGGCGTGCTCCAATACATTCCGAGCGTACCCGTTCAAGGTGATAGATCGTGCGTTCGAGCGCTTGCTTGCCAAGGGGCTGGTTGAAAAGAACGGGGATCGAGGTTTTGTCTTGTCGTCAGCGCCAAAGACGAATGGTAAGAAGCGATCCGCGTCGACGAAGGCTATCGCGCCGCAGGCTACTCGTCGCTGCTTACGCTCGAATACGCGAAAATAAATGTTGTGGACGAGAAACATATGAGAATGTTATATACACGCGTAAGATGAATGAGTTTAATGTGAATGATTGTTAATGAATGTCCATCCGTCGCGTCTACAAGTACTTCACGAAGGATGGGATGGAGCCAGTGATTTGGCGCAAGATTTTAACCGTGTACATCACCTTGCCGTGCATCGTCATATCAGTCATTGTCTTGAGCCGGATACCTGTGTCGATGATTTCCACGTCGTACGCATCGCTAATACCTTCGACGAGAAGTTCTTTCACCATGATCGACGCATCCGTGATCAAATCGATGATGGGAGCGGTGGGACTGTCGAGCAAAATTCCTTGAATGCCGAGATCACCAGCCAGTATGCGCATTTCCCTGGCAAAGACGCATGACAGGCTGAATTCGTCAGGTTCACCAAACGTATCACGCATCAGCGCGAGGACGTCGTGCACTTGTTCGTGCGCGGTGATTGAGTCAATCGTCGCCTTGACTTCGTCGCTCGCCTCCGTGGTGGCGATGTAGAACGGCGTGATCCCGAATTCATAACCAGCGGCACCGACTCGAACGTCATCGGCATCAATCGTCTTGATTCTTAGATTATCGATGCGTTGCAGCTGTTTGTAGAGAAGCTCCAGGTATAAATCGGCTCCGACACTATCGACGTCTCCGCTTTGCTTTTCGCCAAACATCGTGCCGACACCTCGAATGCCCATATCTCGCTCTGACAGACGGAACCCTTCGCCCAATCCGCAGCATTCCTCCAGCGCGGCCAAGCGCTCCTGCGCGCCCGTCGTCAGCTCACTCTCGTCTGCGGAGTAGAACATGTAAGCGTACGCCTGGCGACCGGCCCGACCAACGCGACCGCGAAGCTGATACAACGAAGCGAGCCCAAAAAACTGCACATTTTCGATGATGATCGTGTTACAGTTGGGAATGTCCAAACCAGACTCGACGATCGTCGTCGCGATCAGTACGTCCGCCGAACCGTTTGAAAATGACTCCATGGCGTCGTCGATGGCTTCGCCGTCCATTTGTCCGTGCGCCGTCATGATTTGTAAATTCGGGAAAAGGCGCAACAGTCGATCGCATGCGTCGCGCATCATATTGATCCGCGGTACGATGTAATATATCTGCCCATTCCGCGAGATTTCGTACTCGATCGCCTTTCTGATGTCGTCGTCGTTCTGCGGCGCGAGCACCGTGTTAATTGGACGGCGCTCCGGTGGCGGCGTCTGCACCAGCGACGCGTCGCGGAATCCCGACATGGCCATGTGCAGCGTGCGCGGGATTGGCGTCGCCGACAACGTGAGAACATCGACTTCAGCTTTCAACGCACTTATCTGGTCCTTGTGCTTGACACCGAATCTTTGTTCTTCGTCTATAACGAGTAATCTGAGCTGCTTGTAATACTCTTGCTCCAAGTTCACCAGCTTATGCGTACCGACGATGATTTGCACTTTACCGTCCCTAAAATCATCGAAGATTGTGTTTTGCTTTGCGGCTTGGATGTGCCTAGTGACTAATTCAACGTTTATACCCAACGGGCGAAATCGAACGGCGAGGTTTGCCGCGTGCTGCTTCGCTAAGACGGTGGTCGGCGCCATCATGAATACGCCCCCTCCGCTGCTTGCCACATGAAACATCGCGCGCATGGCGACTTCCGTCTTCCCAAAACCGACGTCACCAATAACTAATCGATCCATCGGAGCGTCTTGCTGCAAATCTTCGGTGATTTCTTGAATCGCGCTCGTTTGATCTGGCGTGAGCGTAAACGGGAACGACGCGTCAAACTGCTTCGCCCTCTCGGGGTCAGGCAACGGGTACGGCTCTCGCACACATTGCAACCTTTGGAGATACACCACCATTTGGTTCACCACTAGACGACGAATCGTTGCCTCGGTCTTCCTTTCCCTCAAATCCCAAGTCGATTTGTCGTTGAGCTTGTTGAGCTTTGGTGGTTTCACCAATCCTCCAGGAGAACAAAAGCGGTAGAGCAATCGCCTCGACGCCTCTGGACTAATCTTCGCCGTCGCATCCTGATACTTCAGGAACAAGAACGGTTTGTTTTGCGTACCTTCATTGGCTGACTCCACGGCTAATACCTTCATGCCGAGAAACTGACCTATGCCGTACTTTCGATGCACCACGTACTCACCCGTGACGAGTTTAAAAGGATCAATCGCGTTGTTCACCCCGAACGCATCTTCCACATAACCGTCTCGCACGCGTCTATTCTTTTCTTCTACTTCCGCCGCGCTTTCAAGCATGTCATCCACCTGTTCATCGGCTTCAGAGCTATCCATGCTCGTTCTAAACGTGTCCCATGCCGAAATCGCGCCGCCGTCGTTAAACTTATCTCGCACCATCCCCATGCCCCGCTCGCGACGCTCCGCAAACAACCGCCTCAACCGATCTCCCGCCGCTTCTCCCCCGATCGTTGTCTCTTCTCTAAGCGCTGAGGACAACTCGACCTCTTGCGCCGCGGCGCCGACGGACGCGTCCCCGAGCGTCGCGCCGCTCGCCGCCGGCGCCAGAATTCTCCCTCGTTTCTTCACGAAACTTTCCAACGCGAGCGCTTCTCTTTCCCGGCGATCGACGCTGATCACCTGTCGCGTCTTCGAGCTCTCTTTCACCGACCGCGCGAGCTTGCGAACTTTGCGAACCTTCGGCGCGCTCTCGCTCTCGCTCGTAGATTTCGTCCCCGACGCCTTGGAGCCGTTCTCCGTCTTCGGCGCGCGTCGCGCGACGCGTCGAGGCGTCGCGGACGATTTCCCTTGGTCATCTTTCCCCGCCGCGCGCGCGCCGACGTCGCGCGACGTCGCCGCGCGGCGCGTTCGCGACGTCGAGGTCGCCGGCGGCGGCAGGCGCGGTCGCGTCGTCGTCGCCGCATCGCGCGTCGCCGCGCGCGCGAACGCGAGGGCGGACATCGCGCGAACGGCTATAGAGCGCGCCGCGTCGGCGAGACCGAGACCGCGGCGCGGAGGACCGCGGCGTTGTGAGGGAGCCGTGTCGCGTCGCGCGAAACGAGGCGGTTCTCCGCGCCGCGAGGGGCGGGCGATGCGAGGGGAGGGCGGCGACGACGTGCGATTAATTGTTTAACTTGTTTTGTTCCTTCAATATATACGCGTGAGTACGAGTCTCACGATCGCTAGGTCGAATCCCGCGGGGTTCGCTCGAAAGCTCGACGCGAACGCTTAGAAGCCAAACGAACCGCCGAAGCCTGTCGCGCCACCCCACATGCTTTGCGGCTGGCCTTGCGCCTGTTGCCCAACACTTTCGGGCTGCGGAGCGGCGGCGGGAGAGAAAAGCGAGTAGCCCAGGCCGACACCAAACGGAGACCGACCGCCGAGAGCGTCGTACGCTCCAACGTTGCTATAGACGTCCTCGGCGAGACCTTCCATGCCCATGCCGCTCACGCCCCACGCCGCTCCAAGCTGCGAGCTTCCATCCGCTGCAGCCACGCCCCCGTTCGGCCGCGCGTTTCTATCCCAAGCGTTCGCGTGCGGCGCCGATTTCTCGGGCGTCGCGACGCCGAAACCGCCGGGTTGAGAAAATCCGAAACCCGGCGCCACAGGTTGAGCGCGTTGATTCGCCTCCGGCGGTGGGCCCGCGGGTACGGGAGGAACGAAGCCTTCACCGACATTCGGCATACGGCTCGGCGCTTCCGCTCCCGCACCGAACGCAAACTCAGGCTTCGGGTACTTTGGGTACGTCTTCGGCGACGACGCGTTCCCAAAGCTTATCGCATTCGGCGAATCGTCCGCGGCTTGATCGCTAGCTAACATCGAACCAGTACCGAACTGAAACGTAGGTCCACCCATCACCGCCGGCTTTGCGCCGTTAGCGCCCGCTACGGGCGCCGCGGACGCACCGTTCGGTGTCGGGAAGCGTGGCGTCGGCACCGACGCCCCGCTCGTCGTGAGCGTCGGCGACTTCTCCAAAGCCGCCACCGCGGGCATCGGTGCCGTGGGTAACGGTGGATCCAAGCTCGCCTTTCTTCCGACCAACGCCGCCGCGAACGAGCCTTCAGTCGCGACGGTCACTCCAGCTTTGGCGGCGGACGCGTAGTCTATCGCCCCGCTTCGCTGCGCGATCGGCGCCGGCGTCGGCTCCTTCGCCATCGTCACCGGTCTCGCCACCGCGTTCAGCCCTCCCGCTATCGGCAGCGGCTTCGGAATGCTCACCCCACCTACTCTACCGTTCGTCGGCGATCCCGTCGGCGACCCGCTCGCCGAGGCGATTTTCGCGAACGCCGCCACCGCGGCGACGTCGTGAGAAAACCGACACTGATCCCCCCGCTTACACGTCCCTTTCGCGTGATCGAAGCACACGCCCGCCGCCGCTCTGTGCGGCGACCCCACGCCGCGTCCCATCACCCCCCCCGCCGCGGGATTCCCTCCCGCTTCGCCCTCGTGCGAAAACCGACAGTCGGCGCGCGCGCACGATCCCCGCGACCAATCGAAGCACGCGTCCGACCGCTCGAACGACCCGTTCCGCGCCAGTCCGCCCGTCCCGGACGTCGGCGACATCCGTCCCATCTCCAGCGCGCGTTTCGCGCGCTCTCGCGCCGCGCGCTGCGCCTCCGGCGTCATCGCGGTCGAGGTCGCCGCCCTCGCGAGATCGCGTCCGCGTTCGCCGCGCGCGTCCGTTCGCCGCGCGTCCGTTCGCCGCGTTCGCCGCGCGACGCGCCGATCGACGCGCGACGCGCGCGCGGTGCGCTCGCGGCGCGCTCGCGACGCGCGCGCGGTGCTCTCGCGACGCGGACGCGCGCGCCGCGCGCGCGGCGATGCGACGAAATCGCACCCGCGCGCGGCGCTATTCTATATACCATTTCGAATGCGTCCTTTACGTAGTAATGTAACTGCATGGGTGTTTACTGTGATACAATACGATACACGACGTTTATCGCGTGCGATCGGTCGGTCGGTCGCGACGCGTTCAAATCTCGACATCGCGACGCGCGACGCGCGAGCGGGCGACCATGCGGCGCGCGCTGGCGCGGCGCGGATACGCCGACGCGAAACCGCTGAAGCGCGGCGCGACGGGACGCGTGTACGAGGCGACGCGGCGCGACGACGGCGCGCGGTGCGCGCTGAAGATGCTGGCGACGCGCGACGCGCGCGACGAAGACGCGACGACGGCGACGACGCGCGAGGCGGACGCGCTGCGACGGTGCGGAGGACACGCGAACGTGATCGCGCTGCGCGAGGCGTGGATCGACGACGCGCGCGGCGTCGGGTGGATCGCGATGGAGCACGGCGGAGGAGACTTGACGACGCGCGCGGCGACGGCGGCGCGCGCGGCGAATTACGCGGCGCAGATCGGGATGGCGCTGCGACACGTGCACGAGAGGTGCGGGATGGTGCACGGGGACGTGAAACCGGAGAATGTGCTCGTGGACGAGGATGGGATGGTGAGACTGGGGGATTTCGGGAGCGCGCGCGCGCGGAGCGACGAAGACGGGCGGGCGCGGGCGGGAGGCACGCCGTTGTACGCGCCGCCGGAGGTGTGCTCGGGCGAAGGGCGCGCGTGCTCGACGGCGGGAGACATGTGGGGGTTGGGGTGCGTCATGTACCAGCTCGCCGCGGGCGCGCCGCCGTTCGACGGCGGTGATAAGGAAACGCTTCGAAGGAACATCGTCGAGACGGAGCCTCCGGCGCTCGAGGGGGAGTTCGCCGGAGAGTACGACGATGTCGTGCGGGCTTTGCTCGTCAAGGACCCGGCGCGGCGTTTGACCGCGGAGCAGTTTCTGTCTTTGCCGTACATGCGGGAGCGCGTGTCGCGGATTTTAGAAACTTCGAGGAACCATCGCGAGCGAGCTTCCGGGGCGGTTGAGTTCGATGCGGATGCCGACGCCGATGCCCTGAATTCAAACGCGACGGTGGCCACATTCGGCGACGCTGACTCGCTCGTCGAGCGCTTGGCCGCGCTTGAGGCGAAGAACGAAGTGTTGACGATGAAGCTCGAGGCGTCCGAGCGGGCAAGACGCGAACTGTGCGAAAAACTCGAACGCGCCATGTTTCGCGTGAAACACGACGAAATGAAGTCCCAAGCGAGTCCTTCGACGAGTTATGCAGACGGCACGCCCACGTCAGCAGCGACGGCTGTTCCTCGATGCGCGCACACGATGTCTTTCATGGACTCGCCGTTTATCATGTCGAGCAGCGCCGAGCGCATGATTTCCAGCCATCGTTGGTTTGAAGACTCATTCCATTTGGCCCCGATATCGCCCATCGCGGCGAACGTGAACGGTGCACGTCGAGATGCCATGCATGCTGTGACTCCGGTGCAAAGAAAACACGATTTGGTGTCCTTGTTTGAAAAGGCGGAGATTTCGCCAGCGGGACCGCTAGATTTCAAATCGTCGCCAGGCGCGAACGATTCGAGCGTCATGAGCTCGCCACCAACGTCGGCGTCCAAATCACGCGACGAGTACATCGATAGTCTCTTGCGCCGTGCGCGTAAGTCTCGCACCGCCGAGGCGAAAACTGACGACGCATCGTCGATGTCCGACGACGCCGAAAACGACCCGCCGTCGCCTCGATCTGAAGACGCCCTCCCCATCTTCGAGAGCGATCTCGCGACTCCACCAACGGTGTCGCGCCGTCCAAAGACTCCGATGGCGCCGCTCCGTCATCAAAACCACCGTCACGACGACGACGACGTACACGGTGACATCGCGCTCGGGCGTTCGATTAAACACGGCGTCGCTCGCGAGCGATGGAACGTTCGCCCGCGAGCGCTTTTTTGATACCCCTAATAGGCGCGCACACGCCGCTGTTGTAACTTAATAACCAAACGACGCGCAATTTGGAATGTTTTATTCCTCTCACCTTCGTCTCCTCGCCTCCGGGCGTCGTCTCGCGCGTCGTTCGCCTCGTCCCGCGTCGCCGCGCGCGTCGCCGCCGACGCGCGCCTAGGTCTTGCCGTTTGCGTGGCCACCGTCCATCGCGCGCCGCACTCCCCATCGCGCGCGCGCGCCGGTCGTCATGCCCGCTGCGTGCGCTCAGAGCGCTCTTCGCGCCGCCGCGCCGTCCTCGAAGCGCGTCTCCGCGCCGTCGTCGCGTCTCCGCGCCGCGCGCCGCGCGTCCGGCCCCGCGTCCGCGCGAAACCTCGCGCGCGCGCCCCGCGGCGTGAGCGACGCCGGTGACTGGGCGTGCCCGCTGAACGGATGCTCCGTGAGTGACCTTCGCGCGAAGCGGTTGATCACGGCCATCAAGACGCCGTACCTCGCGAGCGGCAAGGTGGACCTGTTCGCGTACGACGCGCTCGTCGAGCAACAGATCGCGGGCGGCGTCGAGGGACTGATCGTCGGGGGCACCACGGGCGAGGGACAGCTGATGTCGTGGGACGAACACATCATGCTGATCGCACACACGGCGCAGCGGTACGGCGGGAAGGTGAAGGTGATCGGAAACACCGGGAGTAACTCGACGCGAGAGGCGGTGCACGCGACGCAGCAGGGCTTCGCGGTCGGAATGGACGCGAGCTTGCAAATCAATCCGTATTACGGAAAGACGTCGCGAGCGGGTCTTTTGGAACACTTTGAGGCGGTGATGGATCTCGGGCCGGCGATCGTGTACAACGTGCCGGCGAGAACGAGCCAAGATATCGTGCCGGACATAATGTTTGAGCTGGCCAAGCACGCGAACTTTGCCGGGGTGAAAGAGTGCGAAGGGAACGCGCGGATTAAGCAATACACCGATAATGGGGTGACGTGCTGGACTGGAAACGATGACGAGTGCCATGATGCGCGCTACGACGCCGGGGCGGTGGGGGTGATCAGCGTCACCTCCAACCTCGTCCCAGAGCTCATGCGCGAGATGTTATTCGACGGCCCGAACCCGGAGCTTCGCGACAGGCTCCTACCGCTCATGAATTGGCTCTTCGCTGAACCCAACCCCACGGGCATCAACACCGCGTGCGCCATGCTCGGCGTCGCACAGCCCGTGTTCCGCCTTCCCTACGTTCCGTACGCCGCGGCGTTGCGCGCGCAGGGCGCCGAGCACCTCCGCGCGGTCGGCTTGGACGCCGTCGCCGGCGACGGCGCCATTCGCGATCTCAGCGACGCCGACTTCACCATCCTTCGCGACTGGTGATCATCGATCATCATCTAAGCACACCTAGCAGGCTTTTATCTATTTAGCGATAACTGTTACAACTGTTCCCTTCGCACGCTCGAAGATTTGAAAAAACCTAACACGCGGGTGTTTTCTTGTTGACAGTCTGTCGCCGAGCGCGGCGCGACGCCACCGCGCGACGCCGAGTCGCACGCGCGTGATTTCCGCGCTCAACACTTCTCACGACACCGTATCGATGATGCACGCGCGCGCGCTGACGTTCACGCGCGCCGTCGGCGGCGATCGTCGCGCGATGCGCGCCGAGCACAAAAAACCGGCGGCGGGACGAATCCGCGCGGTGACGCGCGCGTCCGGTGAAGACGACGAGATCGCGCTGCTCGAAAAGGCGCTGAAGATGGCGAAGACGCGCAAGGCGAACGGCGAGGCGAGCGCGGCGCCGGCGGCGCCCGCGGCAGGTGGTGCGTACAGCGGCTCATCATTCAACGTCAAGACGTTCAACGCGATTTCACCGGTGGGTTTGAACAAGTTCCCGAAAGGGAAGTACGCGGTGAGTGGAGACGATAAGGAGCTGCCGGGAGACCCGATGGCGATGATGCTGCGGTCGCACAAACTGCAAGTGAGTGAGGTACCGTCGACGGTGCGAGGCATCGTGCGCTGCGGCGCCGGTACGAATAACATTCCGGTGAAGGAGATGAGCGAGCTTGGTATTCCGGTATTTAACACCCCGGGTGCGAACGCGAACGCGGTGAAGGAGCTCGTGGTGTGCTCTTTGCTCCTGGCGAGCCGTGGGATCATCGAGGGTAACAAGCACGTGAACGATGTCATCAACGTTGAAGAAAACGGCGACTACGCCAAGATTAGCGTGCGCATCGAAAAGGACAAGGCTATGTTCGGTGGTACTGAAATCGAGGGCAAGACGCTCGGCGTCATCGGTTTAGGCGCTATCGGTTCTCGGTACGTTTCGTTTCGCTCGCGCGTTCGCCGGTTAAATTCGCCGGTTAAATTTCGTCGCTCGACGAGCGACGAGTCTTCCTTCTCAAAGGAATGATGATTCTCAATTAGATGTTTGATGGCGTTCAATCGACGGTCATCGTCGACGGACGTCGCTGAGACTACAAAATTGAGGCATATCCATTCTTTACCTGACCTTTGAGTCGTTTTCGAACTCTCGCGGCCGTGTGGTTGACTCTCACTCGGCTTTTGACTAACCGCGTCTCTCGTTTTTCGCTTTGTCGCAGTGTCGTAAACGCCGCGCTTGGGCTCGGCATGAACGTCATCGGTTATGATCCGGTGCTTTCTCTCGAAGCCGCGTGGCGTCTTCCGGGGGACAAGATGTCCCGAGCGGACGACTTGGATGAACTCTTCGCTTTGGCGGATTACATCACCATCCACGTCCCGTACATCAAGGGTGTCACCCACCACTTGATCGACGCCAAGTCTTTGGCGAAGTGCAAGCCGGGCGTGAACTTGCTCAACTTTGCTCGCGGTGAAATCATTGATGGTTCCGCTGTGCGTGCGGGCTACGACGCGGGCAAGCTCACGGGCAAGTACGTGTCTGATTTCTCGGATCCGGATTTGATGGGTCACCCGAGGCACATCGTGCTTCCGCACTTGGGCGCGTCGACAGAGGAGGCGGAAGAAAACTCCGCCGCCATGGCGGCTGATACGATGATGGATTTCCTTGAAACCGGTACGATCCGCAACTCGGTGAACTTCCCCACCACCATTTTACCGCCTCACAAGAACTCCTCCGGTGCCCGTCTCTGCATCGTCAATAAGAACGAATCCGGCGCCCTCGGTGAGATCACCACCTTCCTCGGCACGCAAAACTGCAACATTCTTCAACAGATCAACACCTCTCGCGACAGCGTTGCGTACACGGTGATCGATTTGGAAACCTGCCCCGAAGATCCGGGTGCTTTGCAAGACTCCCTCGCCGCGGCGTGCCCGATGGTGATCTCTTCTCGCTTCATCGGCTCCGTCTTCAACGACGAGCTCGGTCAACCGGGGACGTACTTTTGGGTTCGCGAAAACGGCAACTAAGCTTTCGTCCCCGCGAGTATTCCTCGCGTCGAAGATCTATCTTTCTTTAATACAGCACTTTAGCACGAGCACCAATCGCAGATGCATCCATAAGGAGTCTGACTCAGCCTTGATATTTGAGTGGTGCGACCGAGCATTACTCGTGAGAGTTTGCCCATACGACGTCAAAATATCCCGAAAAAAGGGCTCGTCCCGACACAGCATGGAGCGCCGATCGACGCGCCGCGCGACGAGTAGCGCCCCCGCGCGCGCGAAGCGCACGCCCAAGATTAATTCCCAGTTTGCCCGCGATTTTGTCGTGGGAGAAGTCGCGCGACGCACGCGCGACGACGCCGATGGGAAATCCCGGGTCTCTGGCGTCGGCAAACTGTCGAGAAAAAGTGCATCGAAGAAGAAGAAGGTCGCGAACGCACTGCGTAAGCGCTTGTTACGCCAGAAAAGAGCGTCGGACAACGCAACGCGATGGCGCGTGGGATTACGGGCGCGCGCGCCGGCGATGAAGGCGACGAGTTGTCGAAATCTGGTCAAAGCGGTCACCGCGGGGTTACTGCACGAAGCCAACGCCGTAAAGGCGACGTGGTTGAACGGCGCGGGCGTGACGATCGCTACCGAACGACGGTCGCGAATGCGTGTTCGGACGAGTGCGTGGCATTTGGAACGTCTGTCGTCGTTTATCGGGGACACGAGTTCGTCGTTTTGGGAAAATCATCCGGATTTCGTCGTCGGCGGCGACGCGACGAGCGACGGCGACGAGCCGAAACGCGACCCGTTCGTGCAGTGGATGTGTCGAGCGAAGGAACTGGCGCCGGATGTGTTTAGTCGTGAAATGTCTTTTGCGCGGGAGTTTTCGCGTGATGGCGCTCGACCGTTTACGACGGCGATACGTATGATTGATGAGTGGACGACGTCGAGTCTTCGCCGATTGCACGCGCACTTTCCAGGATGTGTCGATGATAGCTGGAGAACTGGCATTCCAAGAGACATACCGCTCTTGCCGGACCCCGAGAGCGTCGACAGAGAGCATGCTGCGGGAGAAAGTGAAAATGTGATCGCATCTGATGTGTCGGCAGACGCGAGTGCAAACGCTCTTCAAGGCTTCGTCGCCGCGCCGATGTCGCACGCGACGCCGGCGCCGGTCAGCGAGAGCGGCGCTCAGCTGAGTTTCGTCGCGCAGGTTGCCGCACAAAGCTTTGCGCTCGACGCATTTCCTATTCTCCCACTCGAAATCTTACCCGTAGAACACTTCGTGCTCGGGCTCTGGAGTTCTAAGAACGCGACGACACCCGGATCACCGCCGTCAAAGCCAAATGATACGTTTTCGCTACCCTGGCTGGATTCGGCGTGGATCGACCTGATGGATTCAACCCCAAAATCTCCACGAAAGCAGCGAGCGCGAGTATGGCGAGGAAAAAATTTGGACATGATCGTGTACGGCGAAGATGAAAAGCAAACGTGGGCTTCGAAGATTGCCGCGTTTCTCAAGCGCGCTCGATCGGCACTTGGTAATAGAGTGCTCGATCGTGGGGCTTGGGGAGGGTCCATTCTCGATAGTCTCATCGGCGCAAATCTCACACAAAACGTCAGCGATGTATTGTCGAGTACGGCGTTTATGAACCTTGCGGCGAGGTTTCCGTACAACGCATCGACGGCGGAGCAGCACGACTCTCGCGCGTACATTCACCGAATCGTCGGCGAAATGTTTGACAGAATCCGCGAAGGCATCGAGCCGAAGGCGGTGGTTGTGCCCGATGAACTTCCAGGTAAACCCATCGATGAACTCTCATTACGCCCCAAACGCACGGTGGTGAAGAAGAAACTCAATGCGAAGAAGGCGAAGAAGGGTCCACTGCGCAAGTCGAGAAAGGTGGCGGCGGGCGTCATCGAGCAGGTCCTGGCGAGGCCAGATCCGCCTCGAACGGAACACACGACTGATCAGGTAGACTGGTACGCCGTTTTGGACGCACCGCTCGTTGAAATCGTCAAGTGCATCAGATGCCGTGGCATGCACTGGATGCTCGCGCGACGCATCAAAGGTATTTTGAAACGAGTCATGGCGCAACGTGGATGTCTTTCGCTTGAATTTTTGCGCGACACGCCGACAAGAGATGCCAACGAATATCTGCTCGCTCTCGACGGTATGGGCGTGAAGACGACGTCTTGTGTGCTACTTCTTGCGTTGCATCGCACAGACTTCCCCGTCGACGTTAACGTCGGGCGTATCATGGCTCGTTTGGGTTGGGTGCCACTCGAGAGCGAAACTGCTCTTGAAGAGCTCGCGCAATACGCTCCTGAACCTGCGGTGTATACTTTCTTGCGCGAACGTCTTAACTCTTTCGGCGTTGAGATGCTTTACGAGTTACACTACCACATGATTACACTGGGAAAAGTTTTCTGCGGTAAGCGCCTGCCAAACTGCGGTGCGTGTCCACTTCGGGATGTTTGCGAATACGCCAAGCAAGGCGGCAAGTGCGTTGATCGACCAGACGGGCACTCTGGTCTCGCGTCTCTGCAACCAGAACTTCCCACCAGAGCTCGACCATTGAATGACATCGAGGATATTGGAGGTCAAACTGTGCCGCGCACTTCGAATGTACACGAAAACGTCGCGAAAGATGGCTCGTCGTACGTGCTGAAAGCCATCATCGCCGCCGGCGTGGAATGGGACAAGAAGGGGCGACCCGAAGGTGCACTCGCGACGAATGTTTTACTCTTGAGCGCGGCAACATCGAGAGAAGATGTTCAACTTGCATACGTCCGCCTCTCTCGTGTGGTTCACCCGGACAAGAACTCTCACCCCGACGCTTCGCTGGCGTTCAATTACATCACCATGGCGCGTAAAGTTGCGCTCAACATCACAAACAACGACACGTTGGCTCAGAATATCGAAGCTGAGCTCGAAGAAATGATCCGATTATCGGTGGAAGACGTAGAGGAAGTGCCCATGGATGAATTTACGGGCATGGAGCTCAGTGAAACAGTCATCAAAGCAAGCAAAGTTCGCGCCGAAACACTCGGATGGTCGGTGCCGACGACTTTACTCCCGCGACAAATCATTGACGAACTTGGCGGTGAGTCGAGTGCGTGTGGCTGCATCATGGTTCCCTTGGACTCGAACTTGAAATCACTTGACGAAATCACAGCCAAAACGGTAGACGTCGCAATTCTGGTTCCTTGTATCTCGGCGATGAAGAAAAAGTTCCCACTGCACGGCACGTACTTTCAAGTCAACGAGGTCTTCCTCGACGAAGTTTCGTCGAATGTTCCGCTCAAAGTCGAAAAGACACAACTCTCGAAATGCAAGCGCATAAGAGTGCTCGTCGGAACGTCCATCGGAAGCATTGCTCGTGGAATGTCGCGCGTGCAAGTCACGGCGGCGTTTGCGAGTCAACGCATCTGTGTTCGAACGTGGAACAGAACGACCAAGCGTCCCGGACCGCTACCGCGATGGCTGTGTCCGTTCTTCCCGCAACCCGTGGAGAGACCTCTCGAGCCCGAGCCATCGCCTTTGACGAAGAACGGTCGACCGATGAACCCGACGCCTTTGTCGCCGGTATCAGTGCTAACATTGGCGCAGAGTCCGCAAATCGCGACCATGGCCGCCGCAGCGCCGGTGGATTCCGTCGAGCACAGACTCCTCGAAGAATTTCAGCGAATGTTCAAGGGCAAATCAAAGCCCAAGATGCCACCTGGCCTCAAGCGCGCGTTCAACGAGTCCAACGATGGTTCATCGCGCAAACGTCGCGCACTGTTCCCAAAAGTTCTTCGGCACCAGAAATGCGGATTCTGCCGCAATTGTCTCAATCCCAGTTTTAAACAAGCGTGTCTCACGCGGCGTAATCAGATGCGTCTGAGCATGGCGTCGCCTACCGCGTGAGAGCGCGAGAAATAATCAATGTTACATCACGATTACAACAAACGTTTCTACACTCTGTACGATCTTCGCATTGCGAGCGTTTGCGCCAGCGTCTGCCGAATGTAGGGCACAACCAACGCCTCGGCGTATTCCACGACAAAGTCCGCGAGCGAAGGATGATGCAAACCGTCATTCAACGGTTTCATCTCATCAATCGCGCGCTGAATCGCTCCCGGCTCCTCAAACAGCACCTCCGCCGTCGACTCCACGACCGCTCGCAACCGTTCATCGTCCAACGACACGTCCATCGCCGCCGCCAACGCTCTCGTCGCGTCTCCCAACCCCTTCATCGCGTCGGCGTCGCCCGCCGCGAGCAAGCATCGCGGCGCGCGTTCGACGACGCGTCCCAAACACACCTCCTTCATCGGCAACGCCGCGCGCACGTTTACCAGCGCTCGCTGAATCTTCGCCGCGTCCACGCACACCAACGCCGCCTCCGGGCACTTATGAAACACCTCCCCCGCGCGAACGCCCTCTCCGCAAAATCTCTCGAGCGCCTCGCACATCGTCGCGATGGCGTGATGATCTCTAAAAATCTCCCCGACCTCGTCCTTTCGATGTCGATTCCCGAGTATGAGCAACCGCGTGACCCTGGTCTCCGAGTCCACGCCCACTTCGCGCCACGCGCGTCGCGCGTCGCTCTCCCACGCCCCGCTCATCGCGTGCATCGCGAGCGAGTTCTGCGCGATGCCGTCGACGCCCCACTCGCCGTAACTCCGTCGGTCGTCGTCCCTGAAGTCGACCGCGCGCGGACGGCGCGCGCGCGTCGTCGCGCGCGCGGACCCGCGCGCGAGCGCGACGCGCGTCGCGACGCGCGAGCGCATCGCGCGCGCGCGAGTGACGAAAGTCGTTAGCGCCGCAAACGACGACGCGCGCGCGCGATGGCGACGCGCGACGGCGCGAGCGCGCGCGCGACGTCGCGCGCGACGAGCGCGACGTCGCGCGCGACGACGGAGTTCTGGCTGACGATCCCGCGCGCGACGCGACGCCCCGACCCGACGCGCGCGGGCAGGGAGACGATCTTCTACGACGTCGCGTGCGCGCTCCACGGCGATCGCGGCGACGGCGCGAACGCGCGCGGACGAGACGCGGCGCGCGTCGAACGCGTCACGCGACGGCGGTACCGCGAGTTCGTGGCGCTGAAGGAAGATTTGGATGAGGAGTGCGGCCGCGGGGCGGCGCCGGAGGCGCCGCCGCGAGAACGGTTTCGTCGAGTGAACGCGGACGAGGGTAAGGTGGAGGCGCGAAGACGGCGGTTGGAGAGTTGGTTGTGGGGGGTGCTGGCGAACGAGGCGTGCGCGAAGAGCGAGGCTTTGGGACGGTTCGTACGGTTGGGGGCGTGCGAGCGGGCGCTGCGGCGCGCCGAGGCGGCGGCGGCGGCGGAGGCGGTCGAGGCGAACGCGGAGGGGGGAGAGATCGCGATGACGCCGGAGTCGACGTCGGTGCGCAAGATGGACGCAGTGACGCCGGAGATGGTGACGAATCCGAGCGCGATTCTGTCGTCGCCCGAGAGCGAGGCGAGTCCGTATGAGCCGCGGCGGCGAGCGATCGAGGAGAGCGAAGCGGCGGCAGCCACCGCCGTTGATGCGCTGAATGCGACAAATGAAGAGATGCGGTCTCTCAGGGAAGAGCTCGAGGCGACGAGGGAGTGCTTGAAGGATGCGCGCGCGACCGCGGCGGCGGCGGAGGAAAAGTTTTCCGATTTCGAAGTCACATCGCGGAAGGAAAAGAAAGTGTTGAGCAAGGAGATTCGCTCGCTGCGGCGCCAGCTCGAAGCAGCGAAGTTGGATAAAAACGAACAGGCAAACATCATATCCGCGGAAGATCGCACGGCGGTGCTGCGAGACGTCATGCACGAGGTGAGCGTGTTGCGCAATCGAGTTCAAGAGTGTACGTATGAGAAATTACTGTCCGTGGAAGCGAGTAGCCCGCACGGACACGCAGGTGGAGATCCGAACGAGCTGCTTGCTGTGAGCGATAACCGATTGGCCGTGTTGCTCGCCGAGACGCAGATTATGATATTAGGCGGCGAGGACGCTCAGCCCTCGATTTCGGATTCCCCAGAGAGCGCCGAGGCAGAACAAGAGCTCCTGAACGCCGAGCGCGAGACCCGACAGACGTTCGCAGACTTGCTGTCGGATCTCATCAACACGCGCAAGAGTATCAATTCGCTCTTACGCAAACACTTTGCGAGAAAGAACGAACCGGCTTCGACGACAGGACTTAGCAGTCGCGTGACGAATCTCGTGGGCGCGATAGAAAAGAAACTGACCATTCCTCAATAGCGAACGGTCGTGTAAAATAAATTGCTTCTACTATTACGTGCTAATCTAAGACCGCAGCCGCACATCACAGACCGGTTTGCTGCATTTTCTTCCCTTGCGCGTCGAAGACGTACTTCTTGAATCGCAACGTGAGCTTTCCGTTCCCTGCACCTTTCTTGATGCCGTTCGAAAAGTAAACCTTGTACTTGCCGCTCTTCCCGAAACCGCCCTCTATTGTGCCGCACTCTTGATTCGACGTCCACACGCGCATGCCCAAGAACGCAGTCAGGTCGGATTCTTTTTTAAACATGCCTTTGCCGATGACGGTGCGCTCATCTTGCACGCGTTCGATCGCACCCTCGCGAGATTTCATTTTGAACACGCGAAGCGAACGAATCGCGTCTGGTTCGCGCTGCGTGTTAATGTGCTGAAGCATTCTCCCGTGAAACGCGAGTCGACACGTGTTTTGATGGATGTCGGTGTCGAGACGCGACGCGATGTACAGCTCGTCCGTCGGCACCGTAATCGGTTGCTCAAACTCCAACAGCGCATACTTCGCGAACGTCGGAGCGTCGAACGCGTCGACGCCCCCAGCCTCATCGACGATCGCCCTAGCCTCAGTTTCGGTCAAAAGCTCCTCGCAGTGCTTGTACTCCTTGGACGCGTCAAAGCCAACTTCGGTCAACTGCATACTCGCCAAAGCATCCGAGAGAGCGTTTTCACCACCTCGTGAGACGTCGCCGAAGAAATGAACCGTCGCCATCACCGTCGTGTGCCCGATCGTGATGTGAAACTTTGCGCCGCATTTCACAGCGCTCTTGAAAAACCGAATTTTACTCGCGCTCACGATGGCCGCGTCGAATGTGGGCACCGTGTTCGGTTCGCACACTAAACCGCGCTCGAGGACTTTCGCATCCAACCCCGCGACGCAAATCCCCAATCGATCGCCGCGCGCGCACGAATCGACTGACTTCTTGAACATCTGCATGGACTTGATCTTCTTCTCAAGTTTCAGATGCGGAATCTCAATCGTATCCCCCACGGCGACGGAGCCCCGAAGCGTCGTCCCCGTGAGCACCGTCCCTTGCCCTTTCACCGGAAAGCAGTGATCGACGGCGAACAAAAACGCTCCTTCCGCTTCGCGCTTCTTCTTCACCTCCGGTATTAACTCCAACAGCTTCGTTTTCAGCGCCTCGATCCCGATCGGTGGGTCCCCGCCCGAGTCCAGCGCCTGCGAATCCGCCCCGCCCGGCCTCGCGCTCACCGGCAACATCGCGCATCCCTTAAACTTTGTCTTCGCGAACACGCTCGCCAATTTCGCCTGCATCTTCGCCACCTTTTCCTCTCTCACCTCCTCCGCGAACGCATCGATCTTATTCACCGCCACGATCAGTCTATCCGTCGTTATTTCCCCCACCACCAAGCACTCCGCCGTCTGCGTCTGCACGCCCTTTTGCGCGTCCACGACCAAAATCATCAAATCGATGATCGACGCCCCCCCCAGGACCGTCTTTATCAGCGACGCGTGTCCCGGGCAATCCACCAGCGTGAACTGCGCGCCGTCGTACGCCTCGCGCGTCGCGTCGTCGACGTCATCAGGAAACTCGGCGAGAAACGACGAAAATCCAAGGTCGAGCGTGATGCCCCGCGCCGCGCTCTGCGGGCACTTATCCAGGCTCGCCGTGCTGAACGCCGTGCTGATCGCGCGCGCGAGCGACGTCTTCCCGCTGTCGATGTGCCCGAGGACGCCGACGTTGACGTTCAGTCGAGGTTTCATTGCGCCGCGCGCGACGCGCTCTGATGCCATCGCGTCGCGTCGCGCGCGCCGAGGACGCGTCGAGCGCGGCGCGCGCGCGCGCGGCGACGCTCGTCGACGCGCGCTGGCCGCGTCGGGGCGACGGGCGCGGGTTCACGGGCGCGCGCGCGGCGCGCGAGCGCGACGGGGCGACGCGGTGCGCGCGCTTCGTGCTCGAGGTGGCGAGCGACGACGACGACGACGAGGGCGACGAGGGTTGGCGTTGCGCGGGCGCGTGCGTGGTGGAGGATTCGTGCGCGGTGCGCGGGCGCGAGGGCGCGAGGAACGGGATGATGCGGAGCGTGGTGGTGGACGACGCGATGAGACGACGCGGGCACGGCGCGGCGCTCGTGCGACGAGCGACGGCGCTCGCGCTCGCGGAGTGGGACGTCGTCACGGTGTGGTGCGAAAAGGGATTGGTGAAGTTTTATGAGAGCTGTGGGTACGTGTACGAGCCGGCGAAGGGGCGAAGGTACGCGGAAGACGACGAGGCGGTGCTGCGAGCGACGCGCGATTCGGTTAGAGACGCTCGCGGGATATCTACCGGTGGGTGATTAGAATTAGAAGTGCAATCGGAGTTTAGACGGAGTAAGTCTTCGAGCCGTCCTGGCGAACGTCGCCGCGCAGAACGAGCTCGGCGATGTCCTCGCACGAGCCGAGGAAGAGCGGCGAGCGCTCGTGAAGCGTCGTCGGTTTCTTGTCGAGTATGGTTTCGACGCCGTTTGTCGCTTCGTCCGAGCAACGAATGCCATCAGAAGATGCCGCACCGGCGGCGCGAGCGACGAAGGCGAGTGGAGCCGCTTCGAAGACAACGCGAAGGTGCGGTCGCGGGTTGCCACACCATCCGCCGTAAATCAGCGTTCGGTGCGCATCCCCGACGAGCGAACAGATGTATCGCGCGCTGTACTGAGAGCCGCTCTCGCCTCGACCGTTACGAATATCATTAATGTACGACTTCAAGCCTTCGGGCCAGTCATCAAATCTGGCGTCGTTGAGCGAGTACACTTGACCTCTGGGAGGGCACGACATACGTTTGTTTGCCACGGCGAATTCGCCGTCAAACAACGTGTACTCGACCGCTGGACCTTCATCGCCGCACGCAAGAACTAACGTTGTCGCGCCGCTATAGTGCGCGTATCCAGCGGCGACTTGCTCGCGCCCTGGTTGCACGGCGTTCTCTTCGGCAGAAGCTCCCTCGATAGCGCGATATACGCCGAAGATTGACCCCACTGGAACATTGCAGGCAATGTTTCGCGAGCCATCGAGCGGATCAATGCACACGACGTAACCACCGTCGACATTCAACACAACAGGCGTGTCATCTTCCTCGCTAGCGTAGTACTTGACACCTCCACACTCCGTAAGGTGCCTTTTAAAGATGTCATTCGCCACGACGTCGAGCTTTTGCTGCGAATCGCCGGAAGCGTTACTTCCACCTGCGGCGCCGAGAAGTTCGCTGCCTCGCAAAGGCGCGCTCGCTAAAGCACTTGCGAGCTCTTTACTTGCGTTCGCCAGGGCGACGAGGACTTTACTCAGCATCAAGCGTTCTGTGGGCGAGCTATCGCGACCGGCGAAAGATTCGCATTCATGAATTTGTGAACCGACGGCGAACTGTCTTGCCGGATTGGAGTTCCATTGGACAACGCCGTACTTACCGGTGACCATCCAGCTTTCTTCCTTCTTGGCCATTTCTTGACGTTCACGAGAAATACCGCACCCCAGCTCAGCTTTCAACGTACGCAAAGCTAATAGTGGTGCGGGAAAATACGCCGAGACGTCTTCGAAAGGCGTGTCCAGCTCCCACAAACAATCATTAAGAAGCCGCCGATAGTTCGCGTCTCCCTTGATGATGACGAGATCTGAAGACTTCAAGTCATCGTGAGCTTTCCGCGGGAGCGCCCATAACGGTTGTGGCTGGCACCATGCAAAGTCCGGTGTGATCGCCCACGCGCCACTACTGAGATGCGCCGCCCATCGACGGCCCATGACAGCCGTGTCCTCGTCCTCGCTCTTCATCATCGCGTCGATGGTATCTCTGCAATCCTTGTCCATCGCATCCGACACAAAGACAGGGTGCGCCTTGACGCGAAGGATTACTCGTTGCACAGCACCGCTGGTGATCAGCGCATCCGCGAGTGCGAGGTCGCTCACAAGCTCGAAGCCGGCGTTGTCAACGACGATCGACACGTCACGCATGCCCTTCGCGAGCGCTGTGGACACCCGTTCGCTATCGTCCCACAGAAGGTACTCTTCACCAGCGTGTAGCGCTTCGACAAATGCCTCGCTTGCGCGATTCGATCCATCGCCATCCGATCCAGACTCAGGCCATATACTCAGATCCATTCGGTTTCCCCAAAGTGCCACCATAACAAAGAGTCGAAGTTCTTCGGCGAGCGTCGACGCAGTCTTGGCTCGTTTTGAGAAAGAGTTGGCCTTCTTCGCCAGAGACGCCGCTGCCTGCGCGCCTGCACGCAGGCCATTCATTTTATCTACCGAGAACGGGTCGAAGTTAAAGAGCTTGGACTCTGAATCGAAGTAACCGATGGCGTTCAGGATGCGTCGATAAAAGTAAAACTCGACCAGAAGCCAAGGCGCGTCTAACCACGTCGTTCCAATCCACGGATCAAGGATTTCGCGCCACGTCTCGATATCAGGACCACCATCCGGTGTGATGTGTTCGATGACACTCGTCGACGCCGTGGAGAGCTCAGCCTCGAGTCTACGTAGTTTAATCTCTGCGTCGCTCCCGGGCGTGAGTACAGTGGCATTGTCCCTGAAAACTCTTCCAAGAATGTCTTCACGAAGACGGCGATTCACAGTGTCGTACGACCACGTTCCCGGGACGTTGTTCACGATCACGGGTGGCGTGGAACCGTCCCAAGTGCGCGGGCCCGCTGCGGCGCCATTATCCATCCGTCCCGCTCGTCTTCGCAGAGACGCTCGACTCTCCCTGAGCATCGACGACGACGTGCGACGCGACGAAGGAGACGCCGTTGATGCCGTCGACGCGCGCTCGTGCGCGCTCAGTGCTGCGCGCATCTTTGTAGCGCGTCACTCACCACTCTCGCGCATGGCGACAAAGCGCGCTAAAAAAGACTCCAGAATGAAAACTCGATAGGCGAGCAATTCGCTAAACTCGTCGTCTTCGAGGGATCGAATTTTCTCTAACATTATCTGCGCCAAGAACGGGTGAGACTTGAAGATTTCTTCGATGGCCGATGCGCGCGCGCGCCAGAGTTCGCACACGGTGAGCGCCGAAGCGCGGACTGATTTTCTTCGTTCGGGTGGAATGAGTTCGTCCAATCCAAAGTAGCACAAGTACGCATCGGCTTGCCCAGTGAGAACAGCGATCATTTTGCGCTCGTTGGGACTTGAAATTGCCACGACTCCTTCGGTGACGACGTAAAAGTAACCAGAATCTATGACCATTCCAGGCTCGATGACGACTAGCTCGAATACACTCACGATGTGCTGACAAAGGCCGTTCGAGACGTTCCCGAATATTCGACCAACGTTCGGCGCGAGCATGTGGTGCGCCATGGACGCCATTAAATCAGTCGGCAATGACTTCATGATTTCTTCGTTTTCTCGTAGGAACGTGCGCCGTGGCTCGACTTCTGAAATGAACGACATGATGTGCCTCCTGATGTGCGTCGGTGCGTGTTGCCGATCGAGAAATGCGTGCACACGCGTCACGCGTTCTCGAAATTTGCGCTGTCGCGACATCGTTGTTGAAAGTGCCTGAATCGATGCTCCCATGCTCCCAACGAGATAGGCGAAGAAGATCGCGCCCACGATCATCGCTACGGTCGATATGCAACGCTCGAGGTCATTCGATCCCGCAGAGATGTCGCCAAAACCGACGGTCGTGATCGTGGCAGTGGCAAAATATAGTGCAACGATGTAGATTTCGGAGTTTGACCCATCTGCCAAGTCCGCCTGCGTGAGCCAGCTTTGATTACGGCCTTCCTGAATCGCAACGAAGATGTAGACGCACGCCACAGAATGGACCAAAAGCGCAAACACGAGCAGCGTCTGCGCGATGAATATCACCATCGGAGTCATACGAAACAGCTTCATGAACAAAATCTCCGGCGTCGTCAACGATGAACCAGTCACTCGAAGAACTCGCAAAAGACGTAGAATTCTCGTTAGGCGTTCCACCGGTGTGGATTCGCCTTTAATCGAGGCGATTATTTGCACGACAAACGGGACGCTCACTATCACGTCCGTGACAAATGAACCTTCAAGGATGTATATCTTACGGATGAGTCTGGGAGTCGTGATGAGCTTCCGTCGCCCCGTGGAGCGACACGTCAAAACTTTGGCTTCTAAGAAGTTGACCACAAACGTATCGATGAAGAAGAGCGCTCCTGCGACGAAATCGATAATCGGCGCAGCACTCAACCCTCTCCCTTTGAGCTTCATCGGGTAATCAAACGCTATGACAAACGGTTCAATGACAGACATCATCACTGTTACCGCCACGATGATCACGTTCCAAGCAAGCTGAAATCGCGACGACGGGAGAAAAAGAGATTCCCACCGTGGCCGACGATGCCGCGTTCTTCGCGCGTCCTCTTTCACGTACGCGTAGAACCTACTCGAATTCACCAACACGCCGTGTTTATACGATTCTCGCACAAGTGTAGACTCGAGATCATCTTCTTCTATCACGAAACCTTCGATATCTTCCTCTTGCTCAAGACATTGTGACAACGGCGTGGCTCTGCGCTCTACGACTCCTGGTCCACCGTGCGCAAGCCTTATCGCAGCAGAGATGGCTGTGCCGCCCCAAGGTAAACGATCGCGCGTGCGATCAGAGGATAGCAGTGCTTGCTCGAGCGATCGGAATGACATGCGAAACGGTTAGGAAGGAGCGCGAGGTATACTGTGGGGGCACCGGCGTCGTAACTACGATGTGTTTGGAATACAATACTATACTCAAAGTTTGAGAGATGGCTTGTTCTTCGCGGAGTCTGACTTGCTCTTCTTCGCCACACCGCCGCGCGCGGCGTCTGCGTCTTTGGCATCTTGGAGCATGCCGAAAACCTTGCTCGATTTGGAGAAATCGGATTTGGATTTCCCAGCCGCCGAACCGACGGCGAGCATCGCAACTTTCGGCGCCTTGCGCGTGAAACCAGCATCTTCTTCTGCCTTGTGCTGGGCCTCGCGTGCGCGGTCTCGTTTGGCCTTGACGCGATCTTTCTCTTCTTGCGCGGCTTTGGACTTCCGTTTTCGCTTGGCACGACCAGCCTTGCGTTCCTCCTTGGTGAGTTCGTCGTCCGCCTTGACGGCGCCAGCGGCGGAGCCGCGCTGTCCGCCCTTGCCTTCGCCTCCCGCGAAGACTTCCTCGGGCGCCAGACGTTTGGACTCGTCGAACGTCAACGGCACAATATTCCCCTTCGCACGCGCGGCGAGTTCCCGATCGATCTTCTTTTCGAGATCCTTCGGATCCTCCACCTCGCCCGTTTGCAAGAGCACGTCCAAGCGATACGAAAGCGTGGCCCAGAGCTTCTTCACCTCGGCAACCATGGGGTCTTCCTTCTCGCCGAGCGCGACGCCAGCCTTTTGACGCATGTACTCATCGGCGTAAATATCACCTAAACCCTTGGTAGACTTGGTGTCGTCGAGTTGTGGGAGCTCCTTGCGTTCGCGCTCCTCCACGGGTTCGACACGCTCGACGTCGTCGAATCGGCCTTCGATGATTCGCTGCTTGATGATTTCCTCGAGCTTCTGGGTTATCTCTGCGCTGATCACCGGCGCAGGTGCCATGACGTGCTCGAACTCGAGATCAGTTTCCAACGCGCTATTCATCGGCCGCTCTTTTGCTGCGGCTTCACCCTTGAGAAGCCAAGACTTTTCGCCGATGGCCGCGGCTTCGAGCTTTTCGATTTGGCGCCCGAGCGCTTCTTGTTGGCGCTGGAACGCCGACTTCGGACCCGACCGCGGCACTTCCTTCTCGTCGTCGTCGATGGCGTCGCTATCGCCGTCTTCGCCCTCCGCCTCCGCACGAGCAAGCTCGGCGTCCAAATCCGCGTCCAGCTTTCTATCCAACTCATCGAGCTCTTCTTCGTCGCCAGCGACGAGTTCGTCTTCTTCGTCCTCTTCTTCCTCGTCGTCGTACTCGTCCGCGTCATCGTCATGGTTTTCGATTCCACGACTACCGGCGATACCGGTCTCCAACTCCCCATCCAAATCGTCATCCTCTTCGTCGTCGTCTTCGCCGTCCTCAAGTTCGTTGAACATGTCCTCCTCCTCGTCGCTCAACTCGTTCAGTTCAGCGTCTGTCGAAGCGCCGAGCTTGCCACCCTTGCGCCCACCGAGAGGCTGCCCCTGGCGCTTGCCGAAAAAGTCTTCAAACATTAAATCTTGCGCCTTCTTGCCCTTGGTGGCTTTCCTCGTCGATTTTTTCTTGCGCGCGCTCGCGCTCACGCCGGCGAGTTTCGCCGTGTACGCCAACGCGTCATCAAGGTCATCCTCCTCGTCAGAGTTCTCGTTTTCGTCCCCATCTTCGTCGCTGTCGCTCATGTCTCCGTATATGTCGAGCATATCGTCGTCTGACTCGCCCTCTTCGTCCGCCGAGCCGCCGTCTACTTCTTCGTTCGCGCGACGGCGCTTCTCCTCCTCGACGTCTCCTTGATCCATGAAGCTCTCCATCTCGTCCAAACTAAACATTCCAGGCTTTTGAAAGATCTGCGCGGTGCGATCACTTCCGCTCGATTTCTTACCGCTCTTCGCGCGTCGATCGTCCCGTCCTTCGTCGTCGTCTTCGCTTTCGTCTTCGCCGCCGCCTTCGTCGCTTTCGCCCTCGTCTTCGCTCTCGTCGTCATCGCTCCCTCCCTCACCCTCATCGATCGACACTCGAAACAACTTATCGACGTCTATCTCGCCCCCCCGCGCGCCTTTCCCGCCCAACGCTCGCACCGCGCGCTTACACGCCGCCAACACCGGCGCCGTCTGCGCGTCCACCTGCGTCCACACCTGCTCGCAATCCAACCCATCGACCACGAGTTCGTCCCCCAGCGGCAGCGCGATCGTCCGCGCGCCCTCTCCCGCGATCACCGCTCGCGTGAGCCGCGCGAACAGCGCGCGCGCGGCGTCCCGCACCGCCTCGCGCGCCTTCGTCGCCGTCGCCTCCGTCGAGCCGCCGCCGCCGACCGCGCGTTTCCGCCGCGCGCCGGGCGCGCGCGACGCGCGCGGCGTCGCCCCCGAGTCCGCGAGCGTCGTCGCGAGCGTCGTCGCCCATCGCGCGTCGGGCACCGCGGGCGCCGCCGCGGGCGCGCCGCGCCGCCGCGCGCCCATCGCCGCGCGTCGCGAAGTCGCGCGTCGGCGGGCGCGTCCACACTACGAGGATGCGCGCTATCTGTACAGGCAAACAGTGAGAGATGGTGGTCGGTCGGACGCGCGGGCTCGGCGACCGCCGCGCGCGCGCGCGCCGTCTCTTCACGACGCGCGACTTCACGCGATGGGTGCGTCCTCGACGAGCGCGCGCGAGCGACGCGAGCGCGACGACGCGGAGGCGCCGCGGCGCGCGCGCGGACGTCGCGCGCGACGGCGACGCGACGCGCGCGGACGTCGCGCGGGCGCGACGATCGCGCGTAGGGTCGCGGTGACGCGCGCGATGACGCGCGCGCGGGGCGCGACGCCGCGCGTCGGACGCGGCGCGCGCGCGATGGGTGTGGATGATATCGCGCGCGCGCGGTGCGCGCGGGTCGACGCGCGCGGGCGCGCGCGGGCGACGCAGGCGAGGATGACGGGGGCGACGCTGGGATGGGGCGAAAGCCCTAACCTCGCGATGGCGCGATGGACGCGGGGCGACCGCGGCGCGCGGACGGCGCGCGGACGCGCGGAGATGGGTGAATGCGTGAAGCATAAATATTTCGCGCGCGCGATCGATGACTGACGACGACTCGCGAACGTTTTATCGACGCAGTGCACCTTCGATGCCACGAACTCCGCGAGCGCTCCAAGCACGACTTGAAGCAGCAGCTGGAACAGTTGAAGACGGAACTCGCGGCGCTGCGAGTCGCGAAAGTCACGGGTGGTGCGCCCGGTAAGCTTAGTAAGATTAAGCAAGTGAGACTGGCGATCGCGCAAACGCTCACGGTGATGCGTCACAAGCAGTTGAACTCGTTGCGCGAGGCGTACGCGGGGGCGAAGTACACGCCGCTCGACTTGCGACAAAAGAAGACGCGCGCGATTCGCCGCGCGTTGACCAAGTCCGAGAAGGGTGCGAAGACTGTTCGCCAGGCGAAGAAGGACGCCGCGTTCCCGAAGCGCAAGTACGCGCTCAAGGCGTAAAGGAACTGCGATTCTTTTTCGTAGAAAACTTCTTTAGGATGGACGTGACGAGATAGCTTTGTAATCGAATTCCGGCGAGATTTCGACATTCCCGGCGCGTTCGACCATGACCCGCGCGCCGCGCAAGCTCGTGTTTGCTGTCGTTGAATGAATTAAATCGTTGCTACGCGACGCGTGTACAATTCACGCCGCTCTGCTATTTGGGGAGTCGTCGTCGTCGGCTTGCGGCGCCGGCGCGTTTTTGCGCGTCTCTTCCTCGGCAAACTCTTTCAAGAGCTCTTCTTGCCGCGGCGACAAATTTGCGGGCGTCGAAACGCTAAACCTAACAAACAAATCACCGACGAGAGCGGTGCCGAGAACCGGCAAACCGCGCCCGCGCAATCGTAACTGGTCTCCGTGTTGCGTCGCCTTGCGAACCTTGACCTCGACTTCGCCGTCCATCGTCGGCGCCTTCACCGTGCCCCCCAAAGCGGCGGTAGGGAAGGGAATATCGATGCTCGTGACCAAATCGCTTCCGACGCGTCTAAATCGCGGATCCATCCTGACCTGGACGTTGATATATAAGCTACCTACGCGCCCTCCGACGCCGCGAATGCCTTCGCCGGCGACGCGCAGTCTTTGCCCATCCTCGACGCCCTTTGGGATGTCCACCTTGACCTCTCGCGCGGGCTGCGTCTCACGCTTCCCTCGCACGTTCGTCACCGTCTCTGGAATGTTGATTTCTCGGCTCACGCCGCGGCGGACGTCATCCAGGGTTATTTGAACGTTTGCCTGAATATCGCGAGCGCCGCCGCGACCGCCGCCGAAGAAGTCTTGCAAAACTTCCTCGAACGGATCGAACCCACCCGCGCCGCCGCCGCTCTGGTAAAACCCTTGGAATCCACCTCGTCCGCCGAAATCTTGGAACCCGCTGAACCCTCCTCCCCCGGCCCCGCCCCCGCCGTTCTCCATGCTCTCGTAATTCGCGTGTCCGACTTGGTCGTACGCGCTTCGCGTCTTCGCGTCCCTCAACACCTCGTACGCCTTCTGCACCTCCTGAAACCGCTTCTCCGTCTCCTCGTCGCCCTTATTCGTGTCCGGGTGATACTTCTTCGCCAACGCGTAGTACGCCTTTTTAATCTCCCCCGCGCTCGCGCCGCGCTCCACGCCCAGCACCTCGTAATAGCTCCGTCCCGCCGCCTCCGCCCGCGCGCTCGCGCGAAATCCTCGCGCCCGCGCCGCCGCCGCCGCCACCGCGCTCCCGATCGTCGTCGTCGCCGCCGTCGACCGTCTCGCGAACCCATCGCGCGCGCCGCGCGTCGCCGTCGTCGACATCGTTCGCCGCGCGTCGCGCGCGCCCGCGCGTTCGATCGCGCGCGCGGCGCGTCGCGCGACCGCGATCGCTCTCGCGCGCGACATGTTCGTCGCGTCGTTCGACGCGCCGCGCGTCGCGCGACGCGAAGTGCGCGCGACGACGCGAATTCGCGCCGACGCATCCGTCGAATCGCTCGCGCGGCGAAAACCTCGACCGCCGACGACGCGACGCATCGCGACGCGCGAGCGCACGCGCGAGCGCTCGACGCGCGACGGCGCGCGAACGAACGCGCGCGAGCGATGCACCTGGCGCGCGCGATGGCGTTCAGAACCGCCGCGCGAGGCGGAGGCGCGCGCGTGGCGATGCCCTCGAACGCGCCGGCGCGAGCGCGAACGTACCGCGCGAGCGACGTGACGTGCGGACGCAAGGCGGCGAAGATCGCGCAGAAGAAGGGCAAGACGGACGCGGCGCGCACGAAGCTGTACGGAAGGTACGGGAAGCTGATCGCGCAGACGGTGAAGCAGGGAGGGAGCGCGGACCCGGTGGCGAACGCGGCGCTGGGGAAACTGCTGAAGCAGGCGCAAGCGGCGAACGTGCCGAGAGATTTGATCGAAAGAAACATAAAAAAGGCGGCGGAAGGGAAATCTGGGGATTACTTTGAGCTGACGTACGAGGTGTACGGGGCGGGAGGGGTCGGGATCGTGTGCGAGGTGCTGACGGATAACGTCAACCGCGCGGCGAGCGAGACGAGAACCGCGGCGACGAAGGCTGGGGGCAAGATGGCCGAATCGGGAAGCGTTATGTTTAACTTTAATCGACGCGGCGTGTGCGTGCTCGACGGTGGCGACGAAGAGGCGGTGTTTGAGGCGGCGATGGAAGCCGGCGCCGAGGACATCGTTCCGCGACGCGACGGCGCCGAGGGTTGGGACGTCGTCTGCGAGCTGGACGATTTCTCCGCCGTGCAGGACGCGCTCAGCGAAGCGGGATTCACGATCAACGAAGACACCGGGCTGAAGTGCATCCCGATCAACGAGATCGAGACGAGCGACGAAGACGCCGACGTCAACGACAAGATCATCGACGCGCTGCTCGATCTCGACGACGTCGACGCGGTGTACTCGCAATAAAATTCGCGTCGAATCCATTCTTAACTCATTTAATACGCACATCTTCGCGTTTCTTCCGTTTTCGCGTCGCCGCGCCGCGAAAGATGCCGATTACCCGCGCGCGGCGCCGCCGCCGCGCAAAGTCTTCCCAATCCCCGCCCTCGGCGACGCGTTTTCCCTCACAGTCACGCGCGTCGCGCCCCTCGCCCTTCCGCGTCGCGCGCGGACGAACGCGAACGCGTTCGCGCGATATGTCCGCGCTCGATGTCTGCGTCGCCGCGTGCGGCGCCGCCGCGGACGCGACGTGCGCGACGGCTTGCTTCACCGCGTCCGGCTGGGAGATTCCCGCCGAACCGTTCCTCCCGAGGACGCCGAGCCTGATCCTGGGGTGCTGCCTCATCCTGCTCTCCGCCCTGTTCAGCGGCCTCACGCTCGGGCTGATGTCGCTCGATCCCGTGGGGCTGGAGATCATCGCCGAGGGCGGCGACGCCGAGGAGCGCGAGTACGCGAAGCAAATCATTCCGGTGAGGAAAAACGGAAACCTGTTGCTGTGCACGCTGCTGCTCGGAAACACGGCGGTGAACTCCATGATATCGATTTTGATGGCGAGCGTGACGAATGGGATCATGGGCTTGTTGGTGTCGACGCTGAGCATCGTGATTTTGGGGGAGATTACGCCGCAGGCGCTGTGCTCGCGGCACGGGTTGTACATCGGGGCGAAGACGATTTGGATCATGAAGTTTTTCATAATGTTACTGTTCGTCGTCGCGTGGCCGATATCGCTCGTGCTCGATCGCATACTCGGGGTCGACATAGGGACCTTTCACACGACGGAGGAGTTGAAGCACTTGGTGCGCGTGCACGTGGAGAAGCCGCAAGGCCAGGAGGAATCGGGGTTGAATCAACAAGACGCCACGATGCTCACGGGGGTTTTGGAGTACAAGCACATGACGGTGGCGGACGTGATGACGGATCTAGACAAGGTTTACATGATTGAACTGAACACGAAAATGTCTTTCGCCGTGTTGATGGATATTTACAAGAGCGGGTTCACACGCATTCCCGTGTACGAGGGCACTCGCTCAAACATCGTGGGGATTTTGTTCACGAAAGATTTGATTCTCATCGACCCAGACGATGAAATCGAATTGTCCGCAATCTTAGCGTTCCACGGCGGTAAGAATGGTGGGTACATTCGCTATGTTAGCGATAACACGACTTTGGACAAGGTGTTCCTCGAGTTCAAGACGGCTCGCATGCACTTGCTATGCGCGCACTCCGAAGACGGGCCGCCGCGCAAGGATGGATCAAACGCTCAAGTCACGGGTATAATCACGCTCGAAGATGTGCTCGAAGCGCTCATCAAGGACGAAATTATCGACGAGACGGACAACTTGATTGACGTAAACGAGCCAACGTCAATCGTGGAAAGGCGAGTGACGTTTCGCGGCGCCGATCCGACCAAGTTTATGAGCGTCTTCGAACACAAGATGAACGAAGAAGAGAAACTCGGCGAGAATGAAGTGAGTGCGATCGTCGCGTTCTTATCGTCGAACGTGGCGGAGTTTAAAACTCTCGGCGAATACCACAAAGTGCTGCGCAAACTCATCGAAACATCAAATGTCGTAGAAAACGATGACACGAGCAGTAGCGATAGCGAAAATAGTACGATGGGGACACCGGGCGTGCACAGGGGACGCGAATACGACGAAGACCTCTTGTACAGAGCTGGAGAGCCATCAGACGTTTTTACGCTCGTCCTTCAAGGTCAAGTCAAAATCTTCGCCGGCTCCGAAGACTTTGAGTCTGAGCTCGGTCCTTGGTCGTACATAGGACAAAATGCGCTCATCACAGACCCGTACGTTCCTGATTTCCGCGCGTACAGTTGCGGTGGAACGAGGGTGTTGAAGATTGCTCGTGCGGACTATAAAGCCGCGCTGGCGAGCGCGGCGGTGAAAGCCATGGGCGCGGGCGCGAAGAAAAGAGTGCAGCTCGTGGGATCGAAAAGCTTTTCCGAGACCGAGCGCTGATGAGCACGAAGTAACAGTACATTATAGCGGCACACGACGACGAACGATAGGGTCACGCATGTGATAAAATTTACAGCAACGAACGCATTCTCTTAAACCGAACGCGCGTTTTGGCCGACGAAGACGTTCTCCGTCGCGATTAAAACGTACAACAACGCGTCACTGGTGCGCGATTCAGACGATCTCTCCATCTTCAGCGCGCACCGCTTCCCTCGTCCATCGACTTTGTCGACGATTGCTTTTCAAAATCCGCGAAAATATTCCTTCTAACCTCAATCTTCTTCTCCGGCTCCGCGTCGTGTCGAGGAAAATGTTCGAAAGCCGCCGCCTCCGAGTCCCCTCCCTCGAAATCCGCCGGCACCCTCGACGACGCCACGCGCACGTACCCCGTCCCTCCGCACGCCTGACACGTGCTGATCGTCTCTTGGTGCCGTCCTCCCCGTCGCGTCGTCGACATCACCAACTTATTCCCGCCGCACTTGCCGCACCTGCGGTCGTACACCTCCGTCGACTGTTGAATCGTGCACGTGTCCAGCTCCTCCGCCGACGGCTCGCACTTCGCGTCGCCGAACGTGCTCTTACCATCGGACGGTCGAGGCGGGGCGACGTGGTACGTTATCGGCAGACCGAGCGGTCCGTCGCGCGGCGATGACGACGATGACGACGTCGATGCCTTTGACGATGACGAGGCGACGCGCGGCGCGCGCGCGACGCGCGCGCGGCGATCGACGACGCGATGGACGCGACGATGCGACACCGCGCGCGTCGTGGACGCGGGCGCGAGTCGGGCGCGCATGGCGAACGCGCGCGGTCGTGTGCGGGCGATCGCGGTCGTTGCGGTCGGTCGTTGCGGTCGGTCGATTTTTGGGAGAGAGCGCGCGCGGGCGAAAAACGACGCGGACGACGATCGCGCGCGGCGGAGGGACGAGTCGCGGAGACGAGCGTAAAGTACAGCGGATGTGGCAACACGCGCGCTACGGGCGCTCCGACGGCGCGCTCGCGGCGCTCGATCGCTTGAGACGCTTCGGCGGCGCTTCGGCGGCGGCGCGACGAGATTTCGCGCTCTCGCGCGCGCCGGTGAACGGCGCGCCCATCGGTGGGAGCAGCGTCACCGGTGGACGCGACGTCCAAGGTTCGTCGATGACCGGAAGCGGCGGCTCGCGCGACTCGGCGGCGTCGGCGCGGCGACGCGCCGCCGTCTTCTTCGTCGCGCCCCTTCGCGCCTTCGTCGAGGACGGCAATCCATCGGACGGCATCCCGTCCGACGGAAACCCATCGGAAGGGAACCCATCGACGAGCGCCGCGACATCGCCGGTCAACACCGCCTCCTCGAGCGTCTTCGCGCGTCCCCTCAATTTCGCGTTTTCCTTTCTCAACCGCTCGCACGTCGTCTTCGTCGTCTTCAACTCCCGCCTCAACTCCTCCGACGCCTTCGCCGCGTCTCCCGTCGTTTCCGCGTCCTCACCGCTCGCTCTTCGCGCGCTCTCCGCCGCCTCGCGCGCTCCTCGCGCGCTCCACGCCTCCCTCGCGCTTCGCTCCGCCGCGTCTCTCGCCGCCTCCGCCTGCATCCGCCGTCCCCGTTCCTCGCTCGCCATCTGTCGCGCCACCGCCACTTGCTCCACCGCGTCCGCGTCCGACAGCACCACCTTCCTCTGCGACGCGCATCCCGCGTGCAGCAGCTCCAGCGCCTCGTACTTCGTCTTCAGCGCCACCAGCGCGTCGCGCATCTTCGACCGAATCGTCTCGCTCTCTCGCAGCGCCTCCCGCACGTCCGCGAGCGTCGCGCCGCGCTTCGGCGGCGACGTCGTCGCCGGCGCGTTCGTCCGCGTCGCGCGGTGCGCCGCGCGCGTCGCCGGCGCCTGCGCGGGGTTGCGCGCGCGCGCCGTCATTCGTCGTCGCGCGCCGAAATGCCGCCGACGCGCTCGACGACGCCGACGCGCTCGACGACGCGCGCGCGCGTCGCGACGCGCGCGAAAAGACGCGGGCGCGCGTCGCGCCGACCGGCGCCCGGCGCGCCGACGACGCGCGCGCGCGAGGACGCGAACGACGACGACGACGACGTCGGCGCGCTCGACGACGTCGAGCGCGCGGTGTTCGACCGCGCGGACGGCGCGTACGCGACGCCCGAACCGGTGGCGATGGACGCGATGCGAGAGATCGAGCGAGCGAACGCGCGCGCGATGCCGGCGGCGGAACGGGCGCGCGAGGAGGCGTTCAGGACGATGATGCGACGCGCGAAGGCGCGAGAGGATAAGTTGAACGCGGCGGAGCGAGCGCTGAGCGTGGACTCGTTGTTGGTGTTCGGCGCGGATGGGGTGCTGCCGGAGCTGGTGAACGCGAGAGTGGCGATGTTCGGCGTGCTCACGGGACTGGTGGTGGAGGTGACGACGGGGAAGAGTTTCTTCGAGCAGTTGGCGTGGAACGCGACGCACGGCGTGAGCGAACTCGTCGTGGGGGCGGTGATTCTGGCGAGTTGCTTGCCGAGTTTTAGGGCTGAGAGCGATGGAGAGACGATTTTTGGGTCCGGGGCGTGTAAGTGGAGGCGGGATAAGACGGCGCGCGCGGAGAGAGGGTACTTGGTGGATCCTTTGAATCTGGACGTGCGAACGCTGCCGGGGAAGGACACCGTGCTCGGACGCGTCGGATGGGTGCCTTTCGTCGAACTGCTCAACGGGCGGTTGGCGATGATCACGATCATCGTTCTGTTCGCGGGCGAACCGCTACTCGGACATCCGTTCTTCACGTCCCCGTGAGCGTTTAGGAGATTTGCACGATTTTAATTACAACGAGCGCGTCGGCTCCTCTTTTTGTTCTATTTTTTCGCGTCGCGTTTCGCGCGAAACGCCTCGCGAAGCAGACTAATTTTTTCGTCCGTCACAGGATTACTCTCCACGGCGGACTCGTTTTGAAGGAACAACACGCTCGTGTCGCTCGTCGCTAATCGATATCGAGATTTCTTCCGATGCTGCGCTCCTTCGTAATAACCATGCTCGCGAACCGATATCACTTCGGCGCGAGAGCAAAACTTTGAGCGTCTCATCTTTTCCCAACACGGGCGATTGGGCCAATGCGGGGTGACGACGACAAAAGTCAGCGCGGAAGACGCTGCGTCCAAGCACTCGAACAAATGTTCAGCCATGCGCGCGACGACGTCTTCGTCGAACGGAGGATTGGCTTCGAACGCGCCTCCTGAGGGCTTGCATGCGCGAAAGTCCCCCAGCGACCCGAAGGGCTTGTCCACGTCACCGTATTTGCTGTAATACATGGGCCAGCGACAGTTCAACGGCGAGGCGAAGAGCTCGCACTCGACTTTAAAGCAGTCACGCAGCACGTCGAAAACTTGCCCGTGTAACGAAGCTTGAGAACCACCGGAAAAACGAAACTGCCCGCCAGCCGCCGCGTCGTACCGACACACCATCGCGAACGCGTCGAACAGGAAATCATTTTCGACAAACTCTTTGGACGACGCATTCGCGTAAAGCGTTTTCAATTTCTCAAAGTGATCACCGTTCAACCGCACCTCGGTCTTTCCTACGCGCAGCGAAACGACGCCGTCGGCGCGTTCCTCCTTCGACACCGACGTCGCCGGTCCGCGAAACTCATTTCTCATCACGCGCGCGCACTCCGTGGCTTTCATCATCATAACGCGCACGACCGCGTCGACTGCCTCATCGCTCGCGTCTTTCTTCTTCGCCCGTAACTTCTTCGCCAACGCGTCGCCGCCGCCGTCTCCCGCCGGCACCAGCGGTTCGTCCTCCGACGCCGACGCCAACCACTCCTCGAACGCCGAGCACCACCGCTTGCCCAAATGCGGTCCCGCGACCCTCTCAAAGTCCATGCACAGGTGCGAGATCGCCCGCAATCGACACGCCTCGATCGCCGCGCGCGTCGCGCGTTCGTCGCTCGAGCTCGTCGCCTTCGCCGCGCGCTCGCGTCGCGCCCTCGCGCGCGCTTCGTCGACGTGCGCCGCGTCGAGCAACCCCTCGCGATAGTCGACGACGACGCCGTCGTCGCGCGCCGTCGTCGCGGTCCTCGCGCGCTTCCGCGCGTCGTCGTCGTCGCGTCGTCCCTCGTCGCGCGCGCGTCGTCCGACCGGCGCCTTCGCGTCGTCGCCGCCGCGCGCGCGCGCGCGCATCGCCGCCCAGTTCGACATCGCGCGCGCGGACGCCTCGCGCGCGCGTCGTCGACGCGCGTCGCGCGCGCGCGTCGCGCGCGGCGCCGCGATGTCCCGGCGACGTTCCGCGTCGGGCGCGCGCCGCCGCACACGACGACGACGCATGGCGCGCGCGGCGACGACGCCGACGCGCGCGACGACGCCGACGCCGACGCGCGGCGTCGCGCGACCGCGACGCGGCGACGCGCGCGCGCGACCGCGACGCGCGACGCGCGCGAGCGCGAAAAAGCGAAAAGGTTTCGCCGAACTCTTGGGCGGCGCGGCGAGCGACGACGGAGACGCGCGAGCGGAGCGCGCGGGCGCGACGACGAGCGCGAAGGGAAAAGCGGCGCGGAGCGCGGAGGCGCGATGCCCGTGCGGGGGAGGGCGCGATGGGCTGACGTACGCGAGCTGTTGCAAGAGGTTTCACGACGGCGACGCGTACCCGGAGGATCCGGTGACGCTGATGCGCACGCGGTTTAGCGCGTACGCCAAGGGAAAAGGACTTTATGTGGTGAAAACAACGCATCCGGATAACCCGCTGCTGATGGAGGGGGCGAAGACGAAGACGGGGAAGGTGGTGAGCACGCTGGCGCGAGACGTCGAGGCGACGTGTAAAAAGGTTCGGTTTTACGACTTGGACATCGTGCGCGACGTCAAGGGCAAGGGTAAGGGCGACGCGCGCGAGCATTTGGTTGGGTTTCGTTACAAGTGTCGGGTCGTCGGGCAACAGGGGTTCAACGAGCTTCCCGAGGAGAAACACGCGGAGCTCTCGACGTTTCGCACGACGAGGGACGACGACGGGAACGAGGTGTGGAAATTCGTCGACGGAATCCAAGGATCGACTTAGTACTTTTCTCGATTGTATTTGAATATTTGATTTTTGTTCCACCGCGTGTTCGCGTCCGACGTTTGAGGGCTCTCGGTTGGGCGTCGTCTCGTCCCGGCGGCGTCGCGGATAACCTTCACAGTCACGCTCGCGTCGATGCCCGCGCTGACTTCGACCGCGCGCGCGGCCACGCACGCGTTCGCCACGCATCGCGGCGTCAACTCCCGTCGCAATCCGCGCTCGATGCAAGCCGTTCGCGCCTTCTTCGGCGGCGCCGCCACGTCATCAAAGTCCGCGCACGAGTTCACCGTGAAAGACATCGACGGCAAGGACGTCTCGATGTCCAAGTACGCCGGAAAGGTGTGCCTCGTCGTGAACGTCGCCTCCGAGTGAGGCTTGACGGACCAAAACTACAAGGAGCTCGTCGCGCTGGACGCGAAGTACGCCAACCTTGAAGTTTTGGCTTTCCCGTCGAACGAGTTCGGCGGACAAGAACCGGGAAGCGCGGCGCAGATCAAGGCGTTCGCTCGGGAAAAGTACGGGGCAAAGTTCCCGCTGTTCGAAAAGACCACGGTAAACGGTGCGAGTGCGAGCCCGTTGTACAAGCATTTGAAGGAATCCGCGCCCGAGTCTGGTTTGCTCGCGATGGCTGGTTCAGAAATCAAGTGGAACTTTGCCAAGTTTTTGCTCGATAAGGACGGCAAGACGATCGCGCGTTACGCGCCGACGTCTAGCCCTTTTAGTATCGAGGGGGACATCATCAAGGCGCTTTAATACGTCATACTGTCACGACAAAGACAGTCGCAACAGCGCAAGATTTGCCGCGGAGAGGTGACGCTTCATCCAATAAATCGACGTCTGTCGAGGGGATGGGCCGAGTTAACATCCGCGTCGTTTCGCTCGCGCTAACATTCTTTTACATTCTCTGAACACAGTAATACAATCTACGCTATGCGGCTGCGCAATGCTCTAAACTATTCTAAAAAATCGGCGACGTATTCTGCCACCGCGAGGCTCGACGTCAAGCCGGGTGACTCAAAGCCAAACAGATGCACCAAACCAACCGCACCGTGCTGACTTTCAGTTTGAAATACAAAGTCAGTCGTCGCGCCGGGCTCATCAGTGTCACCTGCTTCGTTGATGAGCTTAGGTCGGATACCCGTGAACGCCGGTCGAAGCGCGCCGTCTTGCAAACCAGGCCAGTACTCGCGAATCGCCTCGTAAAACGAACGCACGCGCGCTGGGTTCATCGTGTAATCGATGTCGTCTATCCATTCAATGTCAGGACCAAACTTGCACTTGTCGTAAACATCGCGAGTGAAGTGCACACCCAGACCTCCTTCTCTCGGCAAAGGATACACGAGCCGCTGAAAAGGCGCCGAGTAGCCTTTTTTCAGCTCACAATACATCCCTCGCGCGAAATACAAAGGCGGTGGCGGCGTCACGGAGATGTCGTAAACATCTAACAACCGATCGCACAACCGGTGTGCGTATAGCCCGGCGGCGTTCACTAAGCGCGGCGTAGAAATTACGCGACGCGACTTTGTCTTCACCTGAAACGTTTTGCTCAGCCCGCGCGTGATCTCAACCACTTCATCCCCGAGCGCCACCGTTGTTCGCCCATCTCGCACGCAATCGCGACGAAACGACTCCATGAGCTCTTGAACGTCGACGATACTCGTCGAAGGCGACAAAACCCCAGCGTAACCTCGCACATTTTTCTCGTACGCCGTGAGTTGCTCCGACGTGAGCAACGCCAAGTCGTCGACGTCGTTCATCTGCGCTCTCGTAATCATCGCCTCGAGCGCGTCCATCTGACTCTCATCCCGCGCGACGATGAGTTTACCTATGTTTTCCCACTTTACATCTTTCTTCTCACAGTATTTCACAATCTTTCGCCGCCCTTCGACGCAAAACTTTGCCTTCGCGCTTCCCGGGACGTAATGCATCCCCGCGTGTAACACCTCCGAGTTCTTTGAGCTCGTCTCCGCGCCGATGCTCTCCGCTTTATCGATGACGCACACGCGCATACCACGCAAAGACAAGGCGCGCGCGCACGCCAGTCCGATGACACCGGCTCCGACGACGACGGCGTCGTAGCGTTCATCAGCGTCAAAGCCGCGAAGGGCGCCCGGACGGAACGTCGTCGCGCGCGCTGTGCGGGCGCGCCCGTGCGGTAGCGCGCGCGCGCGTGACGTCAATACATCACGAGACACGCGTTGCGCATCGTGGACCCGCATGTAGGGCGTCAACGTCTGCCGCTGCGCGCGCGAACGCTCGTCGACTCCTACGCCCGAGGGTCCTCGTCAACCTTTGCGAAGTTCGTGGCGACCTTTTGTCGCAAGAAGTCGGCGTATCGCACCTCGCGCGGAGATGAGTAACCCGATTCCAAAGCACTTTGATCCGTGAGATGCCTGTTCGATATCACAGCGTCGTAGTTGGGTTCATAAAAGAACGCAATCGAAATACGAGGACGCGCGCAGTTTTCGTCGCTCGGCTTTCGGACGACGCGATGCCGGGTGGCTTTGAGACTGTCGTCCGTGAAGAGCTGAAGCATCTCGCCAACGTTACAGACCATGTGTTCTGGATGGTGAGGAACATCGATAATCTTGCCTGATACTTCGATTTGTAAGCCTGGATGCGTGGCGTGAATGAAAGTCAGCAAACCGTAGTCGGTGTGCCAACCGCACGAAGTTTTCTCGCCATCGGAATCGCAACCGGGCGAGTTTATGAGCCGTAAGATCCAAAACGGACATCCCGCGATGTCATCCTCGAGTATGTCCTCTGTGAAGTCGTCCGCTATGCGATAGTGGAGGTATTCTTTCCGAATCGCGCCCAATAGCGCGCGCAAAATATATTTACCAATGCGCGTCATCCCTTTCGCGTATCTGTCGACGCGCTCGTTCAAATCGTTCGGACCAATGTACGGATGCGGCGCGCGCAAACCACCATCACTAACGGCACACGGTCGATAAAAATCAATGGCTTCGTGCTGATCTCGTCTCCCATTCGTCACATTCTCCCCTATTCGTTGATATCCTCTTCCGTTCGTCATCGCGTACGCGTCCTTGTCAGCCTGTTTCTGTGAAAACCACGCGTCGACGTGTGCAAAGGTCAAATCTTTCCCCTCGATCAGACACCCTTCTGACCGGTCATGCCGCGCGTACTCCCAGAGAAAGTCGTCGGGCAAATCATCACGGGTGTTCAGCGTTAACAGGTCAACGACGTCGGCCCACGGGATTGATTCCTTTTGAATGGTGCATACGATGGAAAAGAAGCCGAACCGTTCGCACGCGGCGAGAAGCGCTCGACCGACCTCGCGTCGTCGGGCAAGAATGAAGCGAACGTCCTCGTTCGGATCGCCGGCGCTGAGTAAAGGGCCGACATCGATGACGGGGTACTCGGACGCTGCGTCTTCGCGCGCGGCGGGCATGCCGTCGAAAGCCGCCGCCGCGCGAGGCGCGTACTGACGCACGAAGGCTCGGTCAAAGCGTCTATACGTATCACAAGGGCATATTCGAGAGCAACTATCAGTTTGGTCGTTCGGAGTAATCGAGAGTGGTCCAATCGTCGAGATCGAGGAGCGCCAAGACGTCTAAAATTTGCTCGTCCTCGACGTCTACAATTTCCTCGTCCTCGACGTCCTCGACGTCATCTGTGGCGGGTGGTTCTTCGGGTGAGTCAATCAACGTCGACGTCGACGGCTCGCCAGTCGTCTTTTTCTTGTTCTTCTTTTTCTTCTTAGAGGGTGCGGGGGATATGACTCGTGGTACGTCATCCTTTGCCAGCGCTTCGGCGTCCATGCGTCTGACTGCTTCGTCGGTGAGCTCGGCCATGGCGAGCGCGCTTTCCATGACGGCGTTCAAGCGTTCTCGGGGCCAAGCTCTAGGTTCTGTCTTCAGGTACACCACAATTGCTTCGAAGTCGTCGAGTTTGAGTAAATCCACCGCGGCTTCGTTCAGAAAGGATATACAGATGCGCATGATGAGCGACGGAGAACGTTGCGCTAAGAGACAGTCCATGACGCGTCCACTGAATCGAACGGGAAAGTCAGAAGCAAAGGCAGACATGAACCACCCCGACGCGTATAACACAGGTGCAACGTCATGCTTTTCTAAGTGTTGCGCCAGTGTAGCGTTCTTCACGCGAAGTACGACGGCGAGTTGGCGTAGACGCGTCTTCAAGCCTTCCATCGAGCGTAGGTACATCGAGCGGAAATCGCTGCTCTCCATGAGCGTGACGAACGCCGCGAACGCACGATTTTCGGATAGGTATATCAGAAGCACGCCCGCGACGAAAGCCATGCCTTGGCAGTAACCAACTTTTGTGTCGTGTATCGCGTACGCCTTCAGTATGTTGGCCAACGCCCGTCGCCCGTCGGCGCCCTTCGTCGTCGCCGCGGCGAAAAATTCATGATTCGGAAACGTCCTCGACAGATCCCGCTCGATAGCCGCACCGACGTTCTCGTCCCAGCCTTTCGATGCTTTAACGCACGCACCATCCCCAGCGCTCGTCTCCGCCACGCGCGCGCGTTCGCTCTTCGCCTCGAAGGCCTCTCGCAACACTTCGTAGTACCCGCCGTCCGCCGTCAGCACCGCCGCCATGTCGTCCAAGATATCGCCCTCCGCGCCGTCGCTCGAGCTCGCCAATCCGTGCCCACCCTCGCGCTCGGCGCGATCGAGCAGGGACTCCCACAACTGCGTCCGCATGAACCCGGGCGAGTCGGCGTAACAGTTCGCGCCCACTTGCAAATCACAAAGTTCATCCGTCTCCAACTCCCGATTCTTTCGACTCAGCGTCGCCGCGTGCTGCAGCGCGCGACCGAGCCGTTCGCCAAACTCTCCGCCAACCTTTCCGAGCGCGCTCGTCGTCGATTTCGCCGCGCGCGCGCGTATCGTGGCGTCGTTTATCAGTGAATTAAGCCCAGCCGACGCGCGTTCGAAAAAGTTCGGCATGGCGCCGTCGCGTCGCGTCGCGCGTCGTCGACGCGCGCGATTCGCGCCGCGATATCGTCGACGAAATTAATCCCGCGTCGCGCGAGCGCGCGCCGCGAGATGACGATTGCAAACGCGTTTGCTACGAGTCTCTAACCGCCGGCGAGCGGCCACACCTCCGCGACGCACGCGGGCTCGGAATCGTCCCTGAACTCCGTGCCGCATCCTCGACAGTGCGCGACGTACACCGCGTACCGCCCGGTCTCTCGATCGAGCGGGACGAACGCGCAGCTCTTCTGCCGTTGCTTGTCGCGCGCGACAAAGGCGCCCGAGCCGTCGTCCTCGTCGAGCGCGAACGCGGTGACGCACGACAGCGCGGGCACCGGCACGCCGCACCAGCACCAGATCGCGTCCGTGCATCCGTCGCCGCACGAGACGTTGTAGGCGCAGATCGGACAGGCGCGGCAGACCGCGCGGCAGGCGCCCCCGCACTCGTCGCCGGTGCCACCGCGGCAGCGATGGAAACCGCGAAAATCGCGCGCCGTCGTTCGACCGAGCGCGCGCGCGCGCGCGGTCGCCTCGGCGTACGTCGGGTCGCGCTCTTCCACGCCTTTGCGCATGTCGAGGGCGTCGGGCGCGCGCGTGCGCGTCGTCGACTTCGCGTCAGTCATGGAACAACATGCGAACCGTCGAGTGGCGTCTAAAGGCGAGCGCGACCGCGAGTGTTTTGGTATTCAATCACCGGACGCGACCAACTCTTCTATGATGGCTTGCATCGCGCGCGTCTCGTCCTTGGCGTCGGGCTTGGCTTGATCGCCCTCGGCGAGAATCGTGCTGCCGAGGTTCAGCTTTTGCTCGGCGATGGCGACGATTTTTTCATCGACGCTGCCTTCGGTGACGAGACGGTAGACGGTGACTGTCTTCGTTTGGCCGAGACGGTGGCAACGGTCTTCGGCTTGACGATCTATCTGTGGGTTGAAGTCGCAGTCGTGCAAGATGACGGTGTCGGCGCCGGTGAGGTTTAAGCCTTGGCCGCCGGCGCGCGTGGATAGGATGAAAGTGTCGAGGTATGAATCCTTGGCGTTGAATCTGTCGACCAACTCTTGTCTGTTATCCACCGCGGTGTCTCCGTCAAGTCGGGCGTATTTCCAACCCATGTGATGAAGGACCCACTCTAGGATGTCGAGCATGATTTTCCACTGAGAAAATATCAGCGGGCGAGAGCCTTTCGCCTTCAACTCGACGAGAAGTTCCTGCAAGCGTTGCACCTTAGCGCTCTGCAAACCGATCTCGGGGTCCAGCATCTTGTCCTTAAGCGCGCCGTCAAGCATGTAATCGCCGCAGAGCTGATGTAAACCGAAATCGCTCAAGCCGCTCACGTGCTCCTTGACGCGCTCGAGTCGAGCGTCGGGGCCGAAAACTCGTTTTTTGTGACAGATGTCGGCGATTTCAATCAAGTCCTCGTCGGTGTATTCGTTTCGCACGAGTAAAGGATGATTCGCAACCTTGCGTAAATGCACGAAAATTGCTTTCAACCTTGACTGGGCCAAACCGATGCCATTCGCACTTCGCGCCTTGCCTTCTAACGCCTCACGACGAATTCGATCGACGGCGAGCTTATATGCCTCAGCTTGTCTTCCGCTCATCGCGATGACATCCTTCACTTGCACCTTCGGCGCCAATTGCTTCGCGACAGTTTCTTTGAGGCGTCTGAGCACGAAAGGTTCCAGAATGCGTCGCACTTTCTTGACCCTACGTTCGGATTGGTCGTCTTCTTCGAGGCCCTCGCCAAGTTCGCCGTGTTTCAGTAAGCCTGGTAACACGAATTCAATCAACGCCTCGAGTTCGCGAAGGTTGTTTTGAAGAGGAGTTCCGGTGAGCAGGAGACGATAGTGCGCCTTGCGCGCCGTTCTTGTCAACCTTATTGTTCTCTGCGCGTCTCTGTTCTTTAGCAAGTGCGCCTCGTCTAGGATTAAGTGAGAAAACTCCATGCGTTGTAACCACGAACGATTATCTTGCGACTCGATAGAGTCACGTTCGAATAAAGAATAGCAAACAATGATGACGTCGTAGCAGCATTCGCCGGTTCGCTCTCGATGATATTCTTCCGTTTGTCGGACGTCTGCGCGACTTTCGCCGTGAAACACACCAACGCGCATATTTGGGGCCCACATGCCGAGTTCACGCTTCCAGTTTTCCAGAAGACTCGCCGGAGAGACTACGAGGACGGGATTTGGCTTGGAGACCACGCGCGGCCAACGCACGCCGTTCTCGGCAAGCGCGCCAGTGTCTGGGTGATATCGACTCGTCGCTATGAACGCAATCGCTTGGGCGGTCTTTCCAAGACCCATTTCGTCTGCCAAGATAGCGCCTGGAATCGCGTTTTGCTGTAAAAGCATGAGAAAGTTTACGCCGACCATTTGATACGGTTTAAGATTGACCGAAAACGTTCCGCTGTCCATACCTCCCGTCGCCTCGACGACGTTGTCAACTGAAAACACTGGCAATCGACCATTCTCAGCGTGCGCCGCTTCCTTCAGCGTATTTCGCAACCGCTTCGACATGTTCTTACACTCTTCGTACGCTCGGTCCTCATCCTCCGTCGCGTCTCCCCCGGCGTTTTTCCAATCCTCCTGATCCGGACGATAATCATCAAACTCATCATCCTCTCGCTGCATGACGTAGTCTTCGCGCTGTCTGTAACTTGGCGCGCCTCTCGCGTCCCTAGCTTCCTGCGCGAGCGCGTCCAGCCGCGCCTTAGTTTCGCTCCTTTGCCTCGCGCCTGCGTCCTCTTCTTCGCTCTCCTCGTCCGACGTGCTTCCGCTATCGCTATCTTCATCCTCCGATCGCACGACCGCTCTCGCCGCAACCGGCTTCTTCACGCTAAACTTCAACGTAGGCTTCGTTCCCGGGGGATAGCGCTTCGGGTCGACGTTCTTTAACACCACGCCCTTCACCGCCGGCGCCCGAAATCTGCTCGCCACGGGATTCGTAGAAAAATCCTCCGCGTAGTGCGCCCCCCCTCCGCCGAATCCCGCGCCCTCGTCCTCATCGCTCGCGCTTCCAAGCGACGACTCGCTCGCCGCGTCCGCATCGCTCTCTTCCGCCATCTCGCTCTCGCTCGCGTCTTCGCTCAAATCCTCGTCGTCGTCCGCCAGGAAGGAATCGTCGTCGCCGCCGCCCGCCTCCCGCGCTCTCTTCCTCGACTGCGTCTTCGCCTTCGTCTCCCCCTTCCGCATCCAGGGCGGCGACGACTGCGACGGCGCGTCTAACGATCCGACCGCGCGCGTCTCCGCGCCTTCGTCGCCGCCGACGCGCGCTAAAACACCGTTCGAGTGTCGAAACTCGTCGAAGACGGCGTCGTCATCTTGCGCCGGTCGCGCGCGGTTTTCGTCGTCGCTCGCGGGATCGGCGTCGCGCGCGCGCGAGGGATCGATCGGGGCGAGCGCGGCGGCGTCCATCGCGCGCGCGAGCGGTCGGACGCGCGCGCGCGGCGAGGTCTGACGCCGACGTGGGGTGGGCGCGGCCGGGGCTGGGCTGGTTTGAATCTCGGCGCGAAGACGAGGGCGACGACGACGCGGCGAAGAGGACGCGGCGATGCGGTGAATAAAATACAACGGCCCGAATGCGGGCGGTCAATCGTCGTCGGAGTCATCGGTGTCGGAGACGAAGTGAATCGCGGCGGGAGAGCGGTCGGCGAGCGCGGCGGTGGGCTGCGCGGAGCAGCCGCGGCCGTCGACGCCGACGAGGGCGCGGGTGCCGTCGTAGGTGCGTTCGAGCGACTTTCCGAGCTCGTAGACGAGCTCAGACGTGCGACTGGCGGTGAACGAGATGTAGTCGAACACGCCGAACGGCTTCGGGGACTTGCGATGGGGATTGGCTTCGCCGAGCGCGGCGTGATGGACCTCGAGAACGTCGAGCGTGCGCTCGCGGAGCGACGACGCGACGCGAATGAGACCGCCGGCGTAGGACGCCAAGGCGGCCAAAGCCACGTTGTCGTTCCTCGCGAGTTTCATCTGTTGGAGTGAAGTGAACTCGGCGTTGGGGTATCTCGCATAGAGCACTCTGCGGTACGCGCTCGAGTTTCGAAGTCGTCGAGCGAGCGTCTTCGCGCGAGAACCGTGTCCCCAAGTCTTCAGAGTTTCCAACGAGTCGATCGTTTGTTGCTCCTTCAACTTCGCACTCCACACCGCTTCCGCTTTTTCTAGCGCGTCTAATTGCGCTACGACGTCGATGTCGCTCATCACCGCGTGTTCTTCCGTCAAATCGCTCCCCCAGAAGGACTCGCGATCCGCCAACGCCTCGGGATCGAACCCGTAACTCACGCTCAGTTCGTTGTACAAACGCACCCCTATCGTCTCTTTCGCGTTCGCCTGCAACGATTCTTGCCACGCCGCCGGCACCGGCATCGCTTCTATGCTCAATAACGATATCCTCGTCGCCCCTTCGATGACGCCTCGAATCCACTGCGACGCGCCGATGACCTTCTTATACTCCTCCTTGGACAACCCATTGGGAGATTTCAGCGTCGGTTTCGGCGCTTTAACCTCCAACACCACCCCGTTCCACTCCCTCGCCACTTCATACGCGCTCGCGTACGTGAACGCGCCGTCATCGTCCGAAAACGACGCCGCCGCGTTCGCCAACTGCTTATCCAACGCCCGCAGGCATTCCCAGTGCTCGCGCAGCGTCTCTCCGCTCCGTCCGCGCTCTCCGGACGACGGCGACGGCATGGACTCCCTCTCACTCCCGGGCATCGCCACCGACCCAACGCTCGGCGCCGCTTCGCACGCCCGCGCGTACGCGTCGTCCAACGTCTTCGCCGCGCTCGCGCGCGCCTCGCTCGCCGCCGCCCGCAGCAGCGGCACCCGTCCCCATCCTCGCGCGCACGCCTCCGCGACCGTCTCCGACGTCTCGCGCGCGTCGCGCGCGTCGCGCTCTCGCCGCGCGTCGCTCGTCGGCGTTCGAGGCGTCGCGCGTTCGCGTCGCGTCGTCGATCCGTCGTCGGCCGCGCCGGCGGCAATCGGCGTCGTCATCGCGCGCGCGTCTCGCGTCGCCGGCGCCGCGTCGCACGCGACCGCGCGCGCGCGATCCGGACCGTCGTCGCGCTCGCGCGCGCGTCGCGTCGCGTCGCGTCGCGCGCCGCGGACGCGCGCGCGCGCGAGCGAGCGACGCCAAGTAACGACGTAACGACCGCACATGACGACGCGCGAACCGACGACGTGGCGCGACGTCGACGCGCGCGACGTCGGCGCGCGCGCGCGCGCGCTCGCCGATCGTCGACGTCGACGCGATGCGACGCGCGGCGCGTCGTCGAGCGCGCCGGACGCGCGACGCGCGAGCGATTCGTCGCGCGTGGAGGACGCGCTGGGATTCGAAGGCGTCGACGCCGTCGCGCTCGTCGAGCGCGCGCGCGCGACGGCGGGCGAAGACGTCGACGCGTGGGATGAGAAACGCGCGCGCCGCGCGACGCTGGCGAGGATGACGACGACGGAGGAGGGGTTCGACGCGAGGGCGTATCTCGTCGCGGCGCACGGCGAGCGAACGCGCGAAGAGCTGGCGAGAGGGGCGACGAGGCTGGAGGCGGAGATCGACGCGGTGCGGGCGTCGACGCGAATGTCGGCGGCGGAGGAGTTGCCGACGGTGCTGGCGTGCTTGGACGCGATGGAGGACGCGAGAGGGGTGCTGCGAAGAGGGCGAGAGGAGGCGGGCGAATTCGGCGCGACGGCGGAGTTGGAGGCGCGACTGTCGCGAGCGTGGAAGAGCGCGAGGGAGAGCTTGAGGGAGGTCTTTGCGATCGAGGAGAGACGGGAGAAGATTGCGCGCGCGCTCGAGGCGATGGAGCGGCACGAGGACGTGTTCGGGATTCCGGGAGCGGTGCGAGAAGCGCTGTCGCGAGGAGAGTACGCGCGCGCGGCGGAGACGTATCGTCGCGCGCGCGCGGCTTTCAGCGGCAAACGCTCGCGCGTCTTAGATGCGGTCTTGGATGAAGTCGAAGAAAACGTGAAATCCGCGGAGGAGCGCATGTACGAACGCTTGTACGTGGGAGACCTCGACGACGCTCACGCGGAAAGAATCGTCACGGCGCTGCAGACGTTGAAACTTTGCAGGCCCGCGTTGACGTCGAGTCAGGGTGAAGTCACGGCTGCCGGTAATGCCGTGCATATTTATTTAGATAGATTAGTGGAGTACGCGTGCGAGGAACTGACGAACACGGCCTCGAGCGATGACTTTGACGTCGAGACGCTCAGTCGAGGATATCGCGCGCTTTTCGTTCGCGTCTGGCGCTTCGTGACTCTCATGGACACGTGTGCGTCGTCATACGCGCGTGATGCGTCGACTAAGATCCAATCGGTATACGTTGGTTTCATGAAATCCAGGTTTGACAACAGTCTCAACAAGCGGACAATTGAAACTGACGCCGAGCAAGCGAATCGTCGCTTTGACGTCTTAATTGACAAGTGCGCGAAAATGTCTTGCATCGGCTTTTCGTTATCGTATTCATACGATATTCTTGGCACGCGATTAAGCTTACAACCGGACTTGCTCGAGGCACTGCAGCAACAATACACGCGTTTTAGCGTCAGTTTGCGCGTGCACTTGGAACAAGCGCTCAAGTTGGCGGCGCAACCGCTCGCGCAAGACCAACGCCTCGAGACGACCACACAGTCGTTCTTCCGTGATGCACGCGTCGTATTTCAAATCACCGCGGAATACTGGCTCGATGAGCGGTTCACGCCTTGGATGATCAACGCCGGTTCACGAGACGTGGGAAGTTTGATTGACACCTTTTACGACGCTGCTCGCTCGCTCGTGGCGCTGGCACGCGAACTTCGGCGTGGTCCGTTGGCGTCGTTGGCCGCTCTGAAACAGATCGAAAATTGGTGCGCGGTATTTTTCGATGAGTTCAATTTTACTGGGACCGGAATAGGTAACGAGGCGAATCGCGTGGCGTTCAGAGACGACATCTCACGAACCACGCAAATGTTTCTGGACGAATTTGTCGGTGGCGAAATGAGCGCAATTATCGTCGCAGTGCGCCGTTGGTTCGCAGCACCGGTGGAGAAAACGTTAGAATCACGCCCGGAATGCGTCGATGTCTTGCATCGGGTGCGTTCAACGTACGAGTCTGCGACGTCCACGGTGCCCGAACTCGCCACGGCCATCTCGCAAGACATCGCGGCGCGACTCGTCGACGCGTTACGCTCCGAGTTCACCTCGAATCTCAGTCAGCTTAGACCGACGGCGAGTACACTTCGCGTAGAGTTCGAGCTTTTGAAGCTCGCGCTGGACGCGCGCTCGACGAAACAGGCGCGAGACGGCGCGTCTCGTCTCGTCGATTTGGCGGCGCGCGTCGCCCCCGACGACGACGCCATCGCGCGCGCGCGGGCAATCGCCAACGACGCTCAAAAACACAAACACCTCCTTGTCGCGCTCGGGAGATTAGCCTAGCTTTTAGTAGTAAGTAGCTCACAATCGCCGCGTCCCGCTCGACGTCCCGCTCCACCGTCGCCGCACAGCGCGGCCGCGCGAGGCGGCATGCCTGCCCCCCTCCCCGCCCCTCGCCTCGCCCTCGTCGTCCTCACTTTCGCCGCCGCGTTCGCGTGTTACATCGACCGCGTCGGCTTCCCGATCGTGTACACCGCCATCGCGCGCGACGCTTGGATTCCGAAGACGATTCAAGGCTCGGTGCACTCGGCATTTTACAATGGATACACCGCCACGCAAGTCCCAGGAGGCGCGCTGGCGACGCGAATCGGCGGACAAAAGGTCATCGTGTGGGCGTTCGCGCTGTGGGGACTGATGAGCGCGCTCACGCCGAGCGATGGAAGCCGAACGAGGGCGATTTGGTGGTGCCGCGTCGGCGTCGGCGGCGCGATGGGGACGGTGTTCCCGTCGATGCACTCGATGCTGGCGCAAGCGATCCCGACGCAGGAAAGAAATCGAGCGGTGAGTTTTATGACGAGTGGGATGTATTTTGGCAGCGCGTTCGCGATGGTGGCGGTGCCGGTGGCGATGCGATTGGGCGGCGCGGCGTTCGCGACGACGGCGACGGGGTGTTGCGCGTTCGCGTGGTTGCTCGCGTGGAACGCGGTGAACGAGAAGATGTCGATCTTGCGGCCGTTTGAGGACACGACGGTGTTACCCGGGGCGATGGGGGCTAGGAAACCGCGCGGTACGCCGTGGGGGGGGTTGTTGACGTCGCCCGCGGTGCTGGTAATCATGTTGAACAACTTTACGTTTCATTACGCATTCTTCATTTTGATGTCGTGGATGCCGACGTTTTACGAGCAAAAGTTAGGACTCGACGCCGGGTCGTATACGTGGCTGAAGATGATACCGTACTTGGTCATGGGGACGTGTTCGAACGTCGGCGGGATCGTGGCGGACAAGATGATGTCGTCCAAGGCGTATTCGCCGACGTACGTGCGTAAATTATTGAACACTATCGGATTCGTCCTCGCGGCGTTGGCGCTATGGTCGTTGCCGCTGTGTACGAGCGTCGGCTCCGCCGCGTTCGTGAGCTCTATCGCTTTAGGCGCGCTCGCCGTCGCGCGCGGCGGTTACGCGGTGAACCACATGGACGTCGCCCCTCGACTGGCCGGCGTGCTCATGGGTATGAGCAACGGTTGCGGCGCTATGGCGGGCATGATCGGTCCTTGGTTCACGGGTTTAGTTTTAGACACCGCTCGCGATCCTTGGGTCGCCGCGTTCAACATGCCCGGATATTTGTGCGTCGGCGGCGCTGCGGCGTACTTGAGATACGCCACGGCGGAGCAACTCTTCGATTAGCATCACGCTTTGTAGTCAAACAATGCACGCGCGTTAGGAACCAAACGCCGTCGAACGTTTCAGACGCGCCCGTCGCGCGTCTCAGTGAAAGGAATAGTGCTTCTTTATCGCCTTCGTGACGTTCCACGTGCAAGACATGCCCGCGGGAAAAGTCGCGAGCGTTCCCGGCGTCAAGCGCACGGGCGCCGATCCATCGTCCGGGGTCACGACGCACTCGCCCTCGATGACGTAGCAAGTCTCGCTCGAGCCGTACGTCCACGGGAACTCGCTCGCCTCGCACCCCCAGGTGGGCCAAGTCTTAGCCTTCGCGACGTCTTCGGCGCTCGGGGAGGCGTCGACGCGCGCTTCGGCGAGCGCGAACACGCGCGCGCATCGTCGATGATGCGCCCGATGGCGTCGAGGGGCGAAAACGGCGGTGCGCGCGGTCGAGGTGGTGACGCACGTCATCGCGAAGAAGAGGGACGAGCGCCGGCGAGTGCAGTTCGCGAAGTTTGTTACAACATTAAAGGTAAGGAGGGATTAAGGTACAGGAACGCTGCGTAAAAGAATGCGTTGCGCGCGCAAGAATTGTAGCTCGACGCGGAATCGTCGAAGCGCGATGCGTACGGCGTGCGAAGCAGCGCCTCGGCGCGGCTCGAGCTCACGCCGACTTCTGCTTCTTGACTCGGCCGTAAAGAATGACGCCGAAAATCGCCAGGGCGGTGCCTATGATGTTCGTCGTGCTCACTGGATTACGGAAAATGATCACAGACGCGGCGATCACGGCGACGCGCTTGAGGGAGTTGCCGACGCTGTGCGTCACGGGATTCACTCTCGAAAGCACCATGAAGCTCAGCTGCTGGTACAGTTGGAAGCAGAGCGCCGCCATGAAGAGATTTTTACCAGCCACCGCGAGCGGCATGCCGCCGGCGACGATACTAGCGACGTTCATCTTCGAGCTCTCAAACGCGAGCGCCAAGGGAAGCGCGAACACGGTCGACGCGATGGTGAGCACGCCCAGCAAGTTGACGTAATCGAGCTTCTTCATGTCGTCTCCAGTCATGACGAATTTGCTCAACACGTTGCGCGATTGAAACGTCAAGTTCGAGCCCATGGCGGATAAGAACCCAGCCATGTTGAACGACACCTCAGTCGCGCTGGCGATCATGACCCCGGCGATGATGGGCACCAAAGACGCGCACATCGCCAGCGACGGGATATTCCCGAGAAAAATGGCGCTCAAGCCGACGCTGAACACCGGCTCCAACGCCTTGACGGTGTGCGTGAAGCTCACCGCCACCTTCCCCAGCGACACATTCGTCAGCGCGTTCCCGAGCATGTGCACCATCCCCAGCGTCGCGATCGGTTTCAGCATCGACGTCTTCACGTCGGGCCTCGCCTTGGCCCCCAGCCCCCAAGACGCGGCGACCAGCGCGCTCCCTATCGCCAGCTCCAAGAAGGTCGCCGTCAGCGGCATCGGCACCGCCTTCAGCAGCGCTTTTTGGTACACGTTAAACGCGATAGAGAAGTAGTACCATCCCGCGAACAACGCCCCGAGCTCGACCGTCGGCCGCCACTTCGCCGCCGTCGTCTCGAGCGTCGCGCGCCAGCCCGCGCGCGCGTCGACGACCGCGGCGTCGTCCATCGAGCCGCCGACCGCGCGCGGCGTTCGCGCGCGCGCGCGCGGCGCATCGTCGCGCGCGTCCTCGCGCGTCGCGCGCGGCGTCGAGGCTCTCGCGCGAGAGACGCGCGCGCGTCGAAGCGTCGTCGGTCGCGCGCGCGTCGTAACCGCCGGGCGCGGCGCTTTCGCGGCGTCGCGCGGCGCGCGCGCGGCGCGGAGGGGCGCGAGGACGCGGTGGGAGACGATAGTGACGTGCATCGCGCGCGTGGCCCGAGCGCGGCGCGCGCGGCGATGAGTGCGGCGTCGACGGGCGATCGCGGCGCGCGCGCGACGAGGGTGCCTCAAACGCCGGGACGCCGGGGCGCGGGGACCGAGCGTCGTTTGAACAAACGTGCGTTAAACTTCTATCAGTGTTCTCTACTTGAACAGGAGACGCGCGGACGATGTCGGCGAAACGAGCGTTTCGCGTCGATGGCGTCGACGTCTCGTGTGCGCTAGTCCGTGTACTATGTTGCGCTACGGGGGCCCGCGCGTGCTTGCTAAGCGACGCGCGCCCGTGACTACTCGCTAGATCTATTGGCTAGATCTTTAAGATGGCGCGACGCGCGCGCGCGAGATCGAATACATCGTCGCTCTCGCGTCGTCGGACGGTGCCGACGAGGACGAAGAGGGACGATAGACGAACGCGTGCGCGCGGCGACGCGCCCAACGTTTTCCGAGGCGCCCTTCCGAGGGATTACTTCGGAAAGTCGAGCTCCATGGGTCGCTCCCACTGGCTCACACCTGTTCTGCTGTTGTAATAGTACACGTACCCTTCGGGTGCGGTGTGCTCGGTCCAACCGTGGCTGGACGCATCGGCGGTGCCGCCCGGAGGCTTGGAACCGTCGCCGGCGTACCCGTATCCGGGCTTTTGTCCGCCCGCGGCGTCGCCGCCGAGGGTCCCCCAAGGGTTCGCCCCGTCGTACGCGCCCGGCGCACCGCCGGCTTGCGGTGCGCCGTATTGCTGTCCGCTGTACCCATACCCGGGTCCCGCGGCACCGCCCGGTCCCCCGCGAGGCTGGCCGTATCCGTACCCTTGCGAGCTCCTCGGCGGTCCGCGCTGCGGCGGCGGCGCCTGTCCTCGCGGCACCGCGCTCTTCACCTCCACGCGCTTACCGAGCATGTCGTGGTATCGGTTTTGAAGCACTTGCTTCGCGGAATCATCCCGTTGAAACGTGATGAACCCGAATCCTCGGCTTTGATGGTTGTGCGGGTCGCGCATCACCAGCACCTGTTTTCCGAGGGGAAAAATCGTCAGTCGATCGCGCAATCTTCGCCCGCGCGCGAACTGTTTCCGCACTGTTTGCGCATACGCCCACACGCGATCGCGAAAACCCTAGCGCCCCCCCGACGCGTCGTCGATCGCGCGCCGCGCTCGCCTCTCGCGTCGCGCACCTCCATCACCGGCCCGAACTGCGAGAAAAAGTTTCTCACCACGCCTGCGTCCGTTCGCGTCGTCGTCTCGTCAGTCCCCGCGCGCTCGATCACCGCGTCGAATCGCGCATCGCGAATCGTCCCGTCGCGCGCGATCGACCGATCGCGCGATCGATCGCGCGTCGCGTCGCGTCCGTCGTCGTCGCGCGCGCGCGCGTCCCGCGCGATCGCGTCGCACCTTCATCGACGGTTCGATCGAGTCCACCGACGAAGATCTTGGAGCCCGCGCTGGCGTCGCCCGCGGCGGAGTCGCCCATGTCGCGCGCGCGTGTGCGGGCGCGCGCGCGCGCGGGGCGTCGCGCGCGCCCTCGCTGGCGTTGAGTCGCGAACCGTCGATGGGATCGGCGTCGCGCGCGATGAGTCACGAACGGTCGATGGGATCGGTCGCGCGGTCGCGGTCGCGCGCGACGCGAGAGCGCGACGCGCGGGCCGACGCGCGGCGACGGCGCGGCGACGCGCGCGCGGGGCGACGCGCGGCGACGCGAGGCGCGAGACGCGGTCGGATTCGTCGACGACGCGAGAGACCGCGAGCGATTCGATTCGAAACGAAACGAAACGAAACGAAACGAAACGATTCGAGCGCGCGACGCGACGCGCGCGATGGCGACGCGAGGGATGGCGGCGGCGTCGACGACGCGGGTCCTACCGGACGGGCGGCGCGCGCGAGGACGCCGGACGAGGCGGCGCGGACGCGCGGCGCGCGCGGCGGCGGAGGTGGTGGACGTCGACGAGCGAGGCTTGGCGCGGGCGCTGGAGCGACAAGGGCTGCGCTTGGGCGAACGCGTCGATCAGGGGTCGTTTGCGGTGGTTTATAAGGCGACGAGCGCGGGGATGCGTGGGGGGGATGAGACGTCTTGGCAGGGGGCGGAGGGGACGCTGCACGCGGTGAAGATTTTGAGCGCGACGGCGTCGACGGTGAGTTCTCGGCGCGATTTTAAGCGAGAGGCGACTCTGCTGACGCGAGTGAATCACCCGGGGATCGTCAAGGTGCAACACTACGACGAGACGCCTCAACCGTACATGGTGACAGAGTTTTGCACGAGTGGGAATTTGTGGAACGCGCTTCGCGCCGAGGAAATCAAGGCGACGCGGTTCGCCGGCGCGAGCGGTTCGCCGGCGCCCGTGCCCGAAGAAATGCCTTTGCTCGACTTTCCCACGCTCATGAAAGATGTGGCGGATGCGCTGACGTATTTACACACCGCCGGGTTCGCCCACCGCGACATCAAGACGGCAAACATTTTGCTCACCTGGTCGTCGGAGCTGAACCGCTTGCAAGCCAAGCTGTGCGATTTCGGGAGCGCGGCGCCCGTGTCTAAAATGCCTCGTCGCCCGAAGCGCGGGGCCGTGGAGAAGGCGTTAGGTTTAGGTAAAGGTTGGCAACCGGTCGGTACGATGCTTTGGATGGCGCCCGAGATGCTTCGGCCTCCCATCGTCGGCGAAGAGTTGGAGGGATTCGGCGGCGACAAATCAGACATCTACGCGCTCGGCGTCGTCTTGTGGGAATGCTTGGAGTGGCGCGTACCTTGGATGGGCGACGGCACGCCCACGCGCGCGAGAGTTATAGAGGAAGTCGTCGACAACGGTTCGCGACTACGTGCGGGCGATAGGTCGAGCCAGGCTGTGACGTCTCTTTTGGACGGCATGTTCAAGACGGTGCCCGCGCAGCGACCGTCTGCGTCGCAAGTCTCCAACTCGCTCTCCGCGATACAAAAGCGTTGGGACGGAGCCGGTATGTTCGACTACGTGAGTCAAATGGCGATCACGCGAGCTACCGAGGTAGCGAGCTTGCTTGAAAGCACGTCGATCGATAAAGACACGCAAAGCGTCATTGAAAAGGAAGCGCGCGCCGTCGCTGGTGGCGGGGGTGAAGACGAGGATGCGGTCGAGGAATCCGCGACGGAGTCTGGGCAAACGATCGAAGCATCAGATTTGTCCGAAGCTGTGCAGTCGTTCAGGCCGACCGCGAGCGCTGAAGAGCGAGGTGAAGACGAACTCGACGGGACGACGGCGAAACAACTCACACGCACCGAGGAGACGAGAATTAGACTCACAGACATCGATCCGGAGACGTGGTTAGGCGAGCCGGGCACGCTCGATTCTGACTTACTGTGCGAAAATTTGCTCAACATGATTTTCCCGCACATCCTTGACGCACAATTCACTCCTGAAATGGCGGACGAGATGGCGAAGGGAATCGAAGAGTTACAATCGCTCACTCAAAAATTCAACGAGTTGAAGCGCAGATCACGCACGGATCCTTTCGCCGCGCTAGCCACAGATTCGAAAGGCCGTGAAGTCAAGAGAATGACGAGCAAAATAGAAAGAATCGAAGTTGAAGCGCAAGTTGCGGCGTGGGATAAGACGCGCACAGTCTTGCGCGAGCAACAAAAGAGAGCAGACGAAGAGTATAGTTCGTGGAGGCGGGCGCTTCGCAAACTCGGGTGAGCGACACCGCGGCTTAGTGCACTTTGGCTTTGAAGTAGCGACGTGCCGTATTTCCTATTAATAGTAGATGGTGAATATAGCAGCGCTGGCGCTCGTCTTTTAAATTTTTTTTTATTTCGCCGATGGTGTATAAGGCGACGAGCGCGCGACGCGACGCGCGCGATGGCGACGCGAGGGTATAAGGCGTCGCTACTTCAGCGAGGTGTGCCCCAACGTGTGGCAGCTTGTTTTGTTCCCGTCTGTGTCGAAGACTAAGGGTAAATACTCCTCGTTTTCGCACGGGAATCTACTGTTTTTGAAGTGCTCGACCATCGCGTCTTTCCCCTGCACGCGCGCATACGTGACTTCGCAAACTTTTCGCGAATTGAACTCCTCCCATTTTTGCTTATGGAATTCCTTGTAAAACGCCGCTGTTTGCTTTGCACACTTGAAGTTGACAAAAGCGTAGCCCAAATTGCACTTGTTCTTGAAGTCGATTGGAAGGTAAAAGAAGTCATATTGTCCCGCGTACGAGCGATTGAGTAGGTCCAACATCATCGCTTGATTGTACTTGTTAGGGATGTTACGAATCATGAGCGTCGTCCGGCCGTGTACCTCGGGATGTTCAGACGTGCCCTCATCGTTCGCTTCTTCCATACTAAAGATGAATTCCTCCGGATTCGATCTCGCCCCTCCATCTATTGCACTATTACCGCTCGACCTTGATCGAGCCATGCTTTCGCTGGTACGCGGCGAACGCATGTATTCCCCGCTCGTCCGCGGCGAGCGACGACTGGCGCCATAGCCCCCGACACCTTGCATCATTGCGTAGCCGTACTGCTGTTGCTCCGTAGGCCACCCTTGGTAGCCAAATCCTTGCATCGCGCCCATCGGCATCCCCGGTCCCATCGAATTTGCGTACGGCCAGTACATATTCGACATCATTTGTGCGCCCATGTACTGCGAGAGCGTCGGCGGCGACTGCGGGGAGAAGGACTGCGTCTGCATTTGTTGCGGATGTCCACACTGAAAGTCGACGTGAAGTGGTGCGCCTCGGAAACCGACTCGCTGGAGCTCCATAACCGCTGTCTCGGCGTGTCGAACGTCGAAATACTCCACAAATCGATGATTCTCATGTCCCTTTGGCACCGTCAACCGCTTCAAGTCGCCAAACGTTTCAAGAGTGCTTCGAAGCTCGGCTTCGCGCTCAACGTCATCACCCGAACCGACATCGTACGCTAAGAAACGCCCTTGGTTTTCCATGCCCGGGATCCATTCGCACGTCGCCGAGTACGCCACCATGTGAAACACGTGCGTGGACATTTGCAACGTACGCTTGGCGCTCTCTGCGCATCGCACGTCGTAATATGCGATAAACACTGCGTTCAACGAGCGTCGCATCTCGGTCGACAGCGCGCGAATTTCTCCGAACGGCGACAAAATTTGCCACAGCACTTGATCACTCATCGTGGGATCGGCCAACACGAGATAGAGCGTGCGAGACGGGTCGTCATTCGTCCAGACCGCCGGCATCGTCATCGACGTCTCCCGCTGGATCGGCATCGACGCCGCCGATTGTTGCTGCATGCTCATCAAGTATTGTTGTTGTTGCTGTGCCGTTGACTCCATCAAGCTCGTCGGCAACGGTGGTGGCGCCATCATCGGCGGCGGCGGCATCGGAGGCACGGGCGGCGCACCTCCTCGCCACGCGCCCGCGCGCGCGTCCGCATTCGCCGCTTTCTCGCTCGCATCCGCGACCCTCTGCTTACCGTACGCAACACTTTCACTTTCACATCCATCGTCCCCGACGCTCGACGACGACATCCGTTTCGCCAGCTCTCCCTCCTTCGCCGTCGACGCGTCCGGTCTCGCCTCGCGCGCCTCGCGCGCCCCTCCCGCGCCGCGCGCCTCGCTCACCGCGTCCAACACCTCCATCGTCGACGTCCCCGACACCCGCACCGCGCGTTCAAGACTTTCCCCGAGTCCATCCATCCCCTGCGAATCGCTCCCACGCGATCGCATCGCGCCTTCAGCCCCAACATCCGCCGTCGAGCGCCCGTCGGCCCCGCGTCGCGCATCCGCGTCGTCGTCAGCGATTCCCGCCTTCCCGTCGCGCGCGAACGCACTTTCCCCGCCCGCACCGCGCCGATCGCTCGCACAATATTCATTCTCACCCCCGTTCGCATCTTCGCGCGTCCGCGGCATGTCTCAACGCCGCGCGCGCGCGCGATTCACCTCGACGGCGCGTCTCGATTGCGCGATGTCGCGCGATCGCGTGCGCGTTCCCGCGCGCGCGCGCTCGCCTCGCCCCCCGCGTGCGCGTCGATCGCGCGCGCGTTCGATCGCGACTTTGCGCCCGCGTTCGTTCGTTCGTTCGCTCGCGCGCGCGTTCGTTCGCTCGCTCGCGCGCGCGCGTTCGCGTGCGCGTCGCGCGATGCCGTGCCGACGTGGCGCCGAAATATCTGCGCGACTTTTTGTGCGCGCGCGGTCGGTCGTCGTGTGCGCAAACAGTCTGGCGCGTCGAGACTTTTTAAAACTTTTTGCGATCGCGCGCGACGCGCGATCGAGCGGTCGATCGGTCGATCGATCGCGATCGCGCGCGCGACCGCGCGCGCGTCGATCGCGCGCGCGCGTCCAACCTCGCGCGGTGGGTCGACCGACGCGCGCGCGTCGATCGCGACCGCGACGACGACGGCGCGCGATCTCGCGCGCGGGCGCACACGACGACGACGACGACGACGACGCGCGCGAACGAGCGAGCGAGCGACGCGCGAAGACGAAGGCGACGATGGCGAAGATCGAGGAGATGACGGACGCGGACGCGGCGCGCGAGGCGAAGACGCCGAACGCGAAGGCGACGGAGGGGACGAAGACGGCGACGACGACGACGACGACGACGACGACGACGGCGACGGGGGGGAAGCGGGACTCGACGACGGCGCCGAAGCCGACGCCGCCGACGATCTCGCCGAAGATGTTCATCTCGCCGATTTTGTTGATGGGGGGGAAGCGCATGGGGATCGATTATAAGGATCCGGCGCACGTGGCGAAGATTCGAATGTGCTTCGTGGTGGCGATGACGATGTTGGCGCTGTGCTTTGCGCATTTGTGGGTGACCATGAAGAAGAGGAAGAAGAAACTGGAGGAAGATACGTGCGAGGTGAAGGTTAAGGATGTGCAGAGTGGGGAGACGAAGACGGAGAAGGTGACGCTGTACGAACACGACGTGCGAGAGTTTCGCAAGGTGTTGATGAGCAACATCATGGGCGGTTGCATGGTGAGCATGTTGCACTTTGCGTTCAAGGTCGTGCCGCCGTTGTTGTTGCAGTCGATCATGATGCCGTTGAACTTGTGGGATGGAAATCTGTGGCAGGTGCACGTGCTCTCTCGCGGGGAAAAAGACAACGCCAAGTTGAGACGTCCGTGGGAAGAACCCGAGCAAAAGAGTCCGTTCGCGGCGTTCGCCGAGGCGATGTCGCCGGAAACAAAGGCGAATCCGAAAGCGATCGATGCATCGCAAAAGAAAGCGAAAGATGCGAAGAAGAATCCGAAGCACAAGAGATAACAAGCACGAAATGGTTGACGAGTTGATGATGTAACTAGTGTGTGGAGCTGTGTGTAGTGTCAAATTTACATGTTACGTCGCACGTTTCCTCGTCTAAAGTCGTTCTCCTCGTCTTCGCCCTCGACATTTTCTTCTTCGTCTCCTCTATTTCGTTTAGCGCTCAGCCCGTCGCGCCACTCAGACCCGAGTTCTTCGTCCAAACGTCGCGCCAGACGCGCTTCGATTTCCCGAATGCTAGCGTCCGCGTCGTCCGCGAATCCGGCATTCGTAGCCGGTAGCGTGATGAACGGCGCGAGCGAAAGCATGGATGCTTCCACTAAGCACACTGCGACCGTGGCGTCGAGCCGCGTCGCGACGTCACGGTACATGAGTCGCGCGTGCGCCTGCGTCAACCGAATGAGCGATTCGAGCATGCGAATCGTCGTTCGAGCGACGCTGCGACCTTCCAGGCGCCTTTGCGCCTGGTAGTACGCGGTGAGCAGACGTTCGGCATCGCTTGTGAGTTGTGGCTGAAACACATTCTTCACGTGCGCGATGTAGCGCCGAAGACGGTCGAACGGCCACGCCGCCACGCTCGCGTCTTGCAAACGCTTCGTTCGCTTCGCCGGGATCTCGCCGGCGACGTCGTCCGCCACCTCCTCTGCAGCCTGTGGAACAGCACCCCACTTTTCGAGCGCGCGTCCCCATCGCACGCCATCGGAGAGTTGAGAGCTCCCTGGCTGCGTCGCGACGGAGGACGACAACGACGAACGACCGCGCCCATCGGAACTTTGCGTACCCGACGGTAAATCGTCCTCAATCGCGCCCAATCGAGCGTGCGTTTCCAAAATGTGCGCGCTCACCGCACGATCCCATGACGGTTTACGATCGTCTCGTAACACGATCAAGCAATCGAATCTGCTCAATAATGGTGGCGCTAATCCTGTGTTCACTGCGAGACTCGATCCCATATCGAATTGCCCACCTTTCGGGTTCGTCGCTCCGATTACCGTGGTGCGCGTGCGAAGCGTCGTCACCATGCCCGCCTTGGCGACGCTCAGCGTCTGTTGCTCCATCGCTTCGTGTATCGTCGCCCGCTCGGCTTCGCGAATAGAGTCGAACTCGTCTATGCAGCACACTCCACCATCTGCCAGGACCAACGCGCCGGCTTCCAGCGCCCATTCTCCCGACTCTTTCGTAGCGGCGACGGTGAGACCGGCAGCGCTCGAGCCCATACCCGTGGTCATAATCGCTCGCGGCGCGACGGCGGCGGCATATTTCAAAAGCTGCGATTTGCCCATGCCAGGGTCACCGACGAGAAGAATGTGCGACTCGCCGCGCACGCGTCCACCACTCGAATCTCGCCTGGGAACTCCACCTATGAGCGCCAGCATCAGCGCAAGCTTTGGCGTCGCCATGCCAAAGAGCTGCGGACACATGGCGCGCAAAATCATATCTCGCGCATAAAATGGTTTTGATTCGTGTTCGCGCCAAAACGCAGCAAACGCAGCACTTTCTACATCGTCCACGATTCGTTCAACTGTTTGCTGCTTTTGTTTGACGTGCAGACTAACGCAGTGCCCGACGAGCTCGACTTCGCATCGCTGCTCGCGAGCGCATTTGTACCAGCGGCGTCGCACGACAACTGCCATCTTCACGTCATCACCCGCCTGAACTTTGTCAACTAAATCATCTTCTAAAACAATGAGCAACGCGCGCGGCGCCGCGCGCGCGCTCCCGCCCGCTGGACCACCGACGGGCTCTTGAATCCGAATCTCTTGATAATCGCGAACCATTCGGCGCGCCGCCGGCACCGATCGAAACGATTTCCCCTTGCACGGCTTCGTTCGCGGACACGCGGGTGGGGGTTCACCACCACTTCCCTCCTCCACGTTCACCGGAATCAAAAACTGATGTCCGCACTTGACGCATTCAAACACCTGTTCCGCCTCCAGCGACTTCGCCGATCCCACGCGCACCGCCACGCCCTCCACGCACCACATTCGATTCACGTGCCTCGTCCGTATGCTCCCGATCCCCGGCGCGAGCTCTGGGTACGTCTCACACAGCCTATCCGCGTCCACGCGCGCGCGCACGATCTCCTTCACCGACATCTTCTTCGCCAGCGTCGCCGCCTCGCCGTCGCCCGCCTCCGCCGCGGCGCGCGTCGCCCGCATCACCTCTCCCTGCGCGCTCCGCAGCGCTTCGTCCAGCGCCGGCATGAGCGCCAGCGGTCGATGTAACATCGCGTTCGCGAGCATCGGCACCGCGGCGAAGAGCTTCAGCGCGTCGACGCGCACGGCGTACGGCGCGCGAAGGTCGGGCGCGGTGAGCGCATCGACGAGGGCGTCGCGATGGTTTTCGACGACGTAGCGCTCGAACTGCTGCGTGATCGTGAGCGATGTGGACGCCATGGCGACGAAGCGACGCGCGATCGTCGTGCGTCGCGGCGCGCGGGCCGCGACGGCGTGTGGCGCGGCGCGAGCGGTCTGATTCGAGCGATGGCGCCGGTGACGGCGGGACGCGCTTTGGCTGTCGACGCGCGTTTGAATCGGCGGCGTGAACTCGCGGTGGAGTGAAAGAAAAAATGTCAATGAAAATTAAAACAATCTTTACTGTTAATGTCTAGTATGGTACGTATGGTACTGCGGTCGTCGCCGCTCAGGCGAAACCGAATCCGCTGCTGCCGGTGCGCACGGCGTGGAGCAAACGAGCGGCGGTTTGCTCGGCGCTCGCGTACTTGGGAAGCTTGAGCGTTAAGAAACACGTTTGCGCCATGGGAAGGTGATCAGTGGATAATTTCTCGTCGAAACGCACCTTGAAGTTCAAACCTTCGAATCCGCTGTGCGGTAGATGGGTGTACGCGGCCCAGAAATGGAGAAGTAGCGCCTGGTCGGCGGACGAAAATTGCGTGATGGCTTCCCAAAACCACTCGACTCGACGCTCTTCTTCAGGCGTCGTCACCTTGGGTTCGTAAATCGTCGCTTTCTTCCAAGCTTCGACGGAAATTTTCGGGAGCCCGCACACTAAACGCTCGAGGTCGACGGGCGAGAGCGATGAGAGCAGCTCGGCCGGAATGACGTCGCACAGCCCTTTGCGAGCGGCTTGCGCCACGACTTCGATGCTCTCCCCGTGCACCATCTCCATCGAGTTCCACGCATACGATTGAACGAAATGCTTGCGATTGTGATCGGTTACCGCGATTTGGCGGCCACCAGAAACGAGTTCGTACTCGGCCATTTCGCCGCTCGGCAAACGCACCGTGCGCGAAAAGTTCAACCCGGACATCTCAACCCACTTGTTCTTTTCGTGCGAAAGCGGGTGCGTATGGAGCGTCATGAGCGTTCTACCAAATTCTTCATCCACCGCAGAGAGCTGCGAAAGCGTGCCTCTGCGACCAAGCAGTGCACTCCACAACCAAGGTGCTAATGGCAAAACAACCGTGACGTTACTCGATATGATAAGGCCGATGACCTTCCCAAAGAACACAGCCGCGGCGAGCGGCGCGTCGGGGCGGAGCGTCAAGAACGCCGAAGCATTGGCGTTTTCGGACGACAAAGCGCACAACACGGCTTCCCCGGGCTTATTCGGCGCCCCACGAGCGAGAGTATCGATCAGAATTTGCATCGCTTCCCGATTTACGCCGTCGCCCAATCCATCTTCACCTTCAAACGAAGCGTTCAAAGATCGCCCCACGAGCGCTCGTCGGCACAAAGAGTTGATAGCTCGCCAAGCCGAAGGGCAAGGTGAGCTGCGATCGAGCACCAGCGAGATGGATGATGCGTTTTGAAACTCCGCCGCGTGGCGTTTAAGATCCTTGCGAAGACGAGAAATCTTGAACGAATGTGGGAAGACGTCCGCTGAGGCCCCGATCAAATCGAGCGAGCTGCCGAAGTAAAACATGTTCGGCGACGCGGCTTGGAGCATAGAAAACGTCTTGTGCCATTTCGGGTCAGTGAGCAGTGCGTTGACGGTATTCGATGCGGATGCGTTCGGTGGACGAAGCTCACAGAAGCAATGCAACAAAAGCTGAGTCATATCGACGATTTGTTGCGCTGGACTGTACACTGGGAATTCTCCTTGCGAATCAGTCAACCAGCGCGAATTTCCCAGGAGGGACAAACCGCCTCGAATACCTTTGTGTCCACCGTCCAGAGCCCATCCCAATATTGCCAAAGGCGTAGCGATACACGCAAGAGCACTAACACAGTCGTTAAACGCCGCAACGACCGGATCGAGGTCGACCACGTCGTTCGCTTGAGAGCGCGATGCTCGTCGCGAGTTGCTCGCTGAACTTGGTCCGAGCTTCAGACTTTTCGCTGCGGCTTTTGAGTTGGTCTCAACGCCAGTTTCAAGCGCTGCACCGTCATCGTCGAGTGGCACCGTAACTCTCGAGCAGCACGATTTGATTCGCATGCCAGAAACCGATGAGATCGCCGCGGCCAAGCCGACGAGAACACCGAGGCGGACGCCCCTGCGAGCGTTGACTTTGTCATGAAACGCCAAACCTGGCACTGAAGGATCGTCGTTAACGGTGAGATCCGCCTTATTCATGTAGTCTGCAGACACAGAACCAGCACGCTCAGCCGTGAGTCTGACTTCTTTTGCCCACATAGCAGTTTCCAGTACACTTTGTCGAAGTTGCTGCGGGATCGTCGTTTGCGTAAGCTCGATCGCCGGAACCCATCGAGTGTCCGTTTTCGCTGCGTCGCAAATGATGCGCGCAAACAAAAAACAGAGACCGCTTACAGAGTCTACAACGGTGGTCGATACCTCGGCATCAGCCAAGTCGTGCAAGAGTTTTGGCGCAGCTTGAGCGAACAACTTTCCCCACGACAACTCGGCGTTCGGTGAGCAGCAGTCGGGACCTAAACCGTCTTCCATGACGAGTCCGGCAAGGATAGCTTTAGCCACGACATCGCTCATTTCATGACGTCCGCTATTTCCAGTGTTTGGGAACGTCAATGAAATACCGTTCGAGCCTGAACTCCAGCAAATGAGCACGTCTGCAAGATGTGCCAGCGTCTTCCACCAGTTAGCCGGACGCAGCTTCGGGGCTTCGCCCGCTTCAACGTACGCCGCCAGCACCATGCGAATCACCACGGTGACGGCCGTACAGAACATCGACGCAGGCGCGATGGTTGTGGGGAATTCACCATTCGTTTCGCTGAGCAAGCCGTTCATGATACATATCTGCATCGGCATGCAGTGAACGGTGAGCGCGCGACCCAAGACAGCGCACCAACGCCCATCTTTAGCTGATTGCTTGGCAAGACGTTCGCACAACAGGTGCGGTGAACCGGTACCAATCTTTGCAACGTCCGACGTGTTGGAGTACCCGAGTAGTTCCCAGCGAGCGATGTGCTCGAAGAGCTTGATCATATTCGGAGACCGAGTCTTATTCTTTCCAGTATCCAATAACGGTGCCGAAACAGATCGAAGTCGAGTGGAAAGGTTGCTGACGAGACGTGTGATCCCGGTAGCCTCACGCATACGTGCTTGACTCAACGGCTGTTGCGTCGGCACGCGTACTGGTTGGCCACGTTCAGTGAACGTCAGACGAGCGTGCACTTGCGTGCTACTCGCTAAACGAGATGCATGGAGTCGAGCCTCGTTCGCGTCCGTCGGCGGCGCCTGGGCGTCGTCGTTCTCCGCCTCTCCCGCCTCACGAGCAGCACGTCGGCCTGTCGCAATGTCATCTACCATCGTATCCATGTGTCCCTGATTCACCCAGTCCATGAAAGCGCGATCACTTACGGTCAGATTGTTGTTGATCATTCCAGTCAGGTCTGGCTCGCCCTGATTAGGTCCATGAAGGTCGCTGAGATCGACGACGTGCCCACCGGGACGCGGTATCAGTAGTTCGTGTTCGTCGTTTGCAACGCGACGCTGCGGCATCTCAAACCTCCAAGCTCGCTGGGCAAAATTCGCTGACGTTGAACGGTGCGCCGCCGCCGACGAAGGCGCGTCACGCCGCCGCTCGCGTTGGTCATGAAGACCCATGAGAGCCCGGTTGAGTGGAATCGCATGTTCGACCGCACCGTCTTCGTTGCCACTCGAAACACGTGGAGCGTCGCGACCATCGTTACTCGCGCGCGGGATGCGCTCTCCTGAGTCTCGTATACCTATGTTGTCCTCCGGACTAGTCGACGCATCTCGGACATTCTGTCTTCCTGGGGAACTCGCACCACTGACTGGCTGCCACACGGCTGACCAGGATTTTGGAACGTCGGACGGTTCCTGCGTTCTCGCGGTACTCGGTGCGTGCGTCGGCGGACCGTGGTAACTTTCGTGAAGCTCTGTCAATGCATAAGGGGTTAACTGAATTATCTGCGTCGGATCGTAAGGCTCGACGTCGGCCGAGGACTCACTGGCGACGACGCTGTCCACCGAGTTGACGATTTCGTCGAAGTGAGAGTTCAAACTCAATATGGTTCCGCAATTCAGTCGCCACGCCCGTCGCAATCTACCGAGTTCAATCAAGAATTTGCCCGCTCTTCGCGGGTCGTACAAGTTACCCTCGTTTGTGGACGTCCCAATCACTTTGAATATCAGAAACATACAGCGGTTGAGCTGCTGCGTCACACTGGTTCCGGCTTCCAACGCACCAACGGACTCGGCGCGCAGCAACGGCATCATCGTCCCGAACGCCCGACTCACAAAGTCCATATACAAGTACGCCAAATCTAACACGCACGGACCTTGTTCGCGGTTCTGCATCTCTTTGAACGGATCAGCCTCTAGCACGAGCTTCACCTGTTCCTTCGCGCGTTCGTGCAACTCGAGCACCGCGTCTCGAACTCGCACGACGCTGTCTCCTTTCCCCAACTTCAAAATAGGGCTCTTGTCGTGCGCGGTTATGATTCTCGCCAACTTTGCAAGCGACACGCTCAACTGATCCGCTGGTTCCGCCAAATCAGTCAGGTGTTTCTGCACCACCTCCACGAGCTCCGGCCGCGTCCCCGCGCTGGGCAACCCCAGCGCGGATGTGAGCGATTTGAGTTCCCACTCCGAAGCATCCTCGCGCCAGTTCCACGCCTTCGTCGCCGTGGTCGCGTCCACGCTCCGCGTGTCATCGCCAGGCGACACCAACGACGCGACAACTTTCCCCGTCGGCGACTTCCCGGGCGACCCCCCGTACTCTGAAAACAGTTTGTTCAGCACCGACGACCTCGCGTCCGGCGCCAACTCCGCGATTCTCTGCGCGCGCGCGACGTCAAACCGTCTCCAGTCAGTCTCGCGTTTCAAGTCTCACTATCGATCACCCCATCGTCGTTCGCATCACCGTCCTCGCGTCGCGCATCGCGCGTCGTCTTCGAGTTCGTCCTTCGCGCGTCGTCCCGAGCGTCCCGGCGTCGTCGCGCGCGCGCCCACCTTTAACAACTCCGTCTCATCCCCGGTCGTCGACGTCCCGTCCTCCAGCCGTCGCCGCGACGTTCCTCGTCCCTCCTGCGCTCGCGTCGCTCGCGCGCCGTCGTCGTTCTCGCGTTTGCGTCCTCTCATGACGCGCCGACGCGCGCTCCGCCGTCGCGACGCGTCCACCGCAGATCGCTCGCGTTTCTTTCGCGTCCCGCGCGCGCGCGCGCGCCTCGCGCGAGACCTCCGCGCGCGCGAGCGACGACGCGAGACGTTCGCGCTCGGTTCGTCGCGCGTCGGCGGTCGCGCGGCCGTCGCGCGCGGCGGTGTGCGGCGCGGCGGGCGAGGGTAATGCGCGGTCGTTGCCGCGGTCTCAAACTTTGTATTCAACACGGACACGTGTTGACGGACACGTCGCGGCGCCGCGCGCGCGGCACTCGCGCGCGCCACGCGCGTCGATCGCGCCTCGAGCGCGCCGCGACGGTCGAACGCGTCGCGTAGCGCATGCGCGCGCGCGCGCCGGCGTCCGCGGCGTCGTCGTCGACGCGCCGGACGTTCCGGAACGCGCGAACGACGCGCGCGGGGGGCGGCGGCGGACGCGAGACGACGCGGACGCGCGGAAGCGCGCGCGAAGGGCGAGCGACGCAAAGGCGCGACGTCGCGAGACGCGCGCAGTCGGACGCGATGTACGGAATCTCCACCGAACCGTCGGATGAGGACGTGAAGACGTTTAATAGAATCATTCAGGCGACGTCGTGGGAGGGCATCGTGAGCAACGTCAAGGCGAGCGCGAACGGCGGTGAACTCACGACCGGCGTGCTCGGGGCGGGATATTTGGTGTTCACGGAGTCGAAAAAGCGAGGCGAGAACGAACAGACGCTCGGGGTGCTGCAGAACATCATTCAGGTGATGACGCAGGCGTTGATGACGATGTCGGCGTCGCCGGCGCAGCGCGTGATGGACGAGCTCATGGAGCTTCCGGTGAGCGAGGAACGAAAGCTGGTGGATAGGATCGAGGAGGCGTATAATGATGGCATCGATACCTACGCTATCGCGGAGTGTTTGAGAGATTTCATTAAGAATTTACAAGTGCAAGAGATGTCGTTCGACCTCGAAGTCGCGAAGGCGAAGGAAGCCAAGTGGGACGACCAGATCGCCAAGCTCGAGGTCTTGGCGCAAGAGCGCATCGAGGCGCAAAAGCGCGCGATGAACATCCTTAAGCTCATCGGCGCCGACGCGCCACCCGCGATGCCTGCGATGCCTGCGGTCGATCCCAACGCGGCTGGCCCTTCGCCCGCGGCGGGCGCGTTCGAGGACCAAACCGACTGAGCCCTTGCTCGTCCGTCACCACGCCTCGAGGGCCGTGGATGTGATAACTCACACGCATTAACGTTGTTTACACGTCGTTTCGCTCCCGTTCGAAATCACGCGTCTCATTTGCGTCTCATTCTCGCGCGACAGTCCAAGAGTATTTGTCTTCCCAGTCGACAGTCTGGCTCGCCGAAGCGTCGCCGAGCCCGCACAGCTCGTCGCGCGCGTCGCGCGAGCGCCAGCCCTCGGCGACGTTCGTCGCGACGAACGCTTCCGACGCGATGCACCGCTCGGGCGCCTCGAGCGCGCTTCGAGCCTCCGCCGCGCGCGTCGGCACCGTCCGCGCGCGAAGCGTCGGCGCGGCCTCCGCGTCGCGTTCGCCGCGCGCAGCGCTTCGCAGCGCGATCGCGGGGCGCGGACTCACCGCGCGCGGGTCGAAGAACTCAATCTCGAACGCGCTGTTGCTTCAAGACGCGCCGAAGGCGGTGGGAGAGGTGCGCGCGACGACGCGAGCGCGCGCGATGTTGGCGGCGGCGAAAATGCGTCGAAGACGTGCGACTAACGACGACGCGCGCGACGGCGCGATGACGCACGACAGGGCTCCGGCGCGATTGGGACGCAGATGTGCTCCATTCTGGCCATGTATGACCCGAACGCGGCGATGGAGGACGGACGAGAGGAGCTGATGCGCGAGCTGAGCGCGCGCATGCGAACGCGAGGGCCGGACGGCTCGGGATATTACGGTTCGAAGCGCTATGGATTGGCGCACGAACGCCTGGCGATCATGGACCCCGAGGGAGGCAAACAACCGATCGTGTACGAGGACGCGGCGAAGACGTACGCGGTGTGCGCGAACGGTGAAATTTACAACTTTCGTAAACTGCAAGCCAAGTACGGGTTGACGGCGGCGAAGACGGGAAGTGATTCGGAGGTTTTGTTGCAGCTCTACAAGCATCTCGGGAACGAGTTCGTGAAAGAGCTGAACGGAATCTTCGGTTTTGTCGTCGTCGGTGACGACGGTGAGCACATGATCGCCGCTCGCGATCACTGTGGAATCAAACCGCTGTACATCGGGTACGGCAAGAATGGCGTCATGTGGTTCGCGTCCGAGCTTAAAGCCATCTGCGACCAAGACTGCGAACGCATCGAAGAATTCCCGGCGGGTTATTACTGGACTCCGAAGGAAGGCTTTGTGAAATGGTACAACCCGACCTGGGACTTTGACGACGCCGTCGGCACGAAAGACACGTCGCACGTTCGCGCGATTCTCGAAGAGGCGATTCTTGATCAAACCATGGCTGATGTTCCGATCGGGCTTCTTTTATCCGGCGGTCTCGACTCTGCGGTCGTATCTACTGTTTTAAAGCCGTTTCTTGAGGCGAGTGGGCAAGAGTACCTGTCGTTCACCGTCGGTCAAGAGGGTTCGCCCGACGTCACGGCCGCTCGTATGATGTCCGAGTTCTTGGGCACGAAGCATCACGAGTACCTTTTCACCTCCGAAGAGGCGTGTGCGAACATCGAAAACGTGATTTACCATCTTGAAACCTACGAGCCGGAGCTCATCAGATCCGCCATTCCGAACTACTTCCTGGCTAAGCTCACGTCGCAGCACGTCAAGGTGGTCCTCACGGGCGAAGGCTCCGATGAGCTTTTCGCCGGCTACCTCTACTTCCGCGATGCACCGAGCTCCAACCACGTGCACAACGAACTCCGTCGCATCTTTGGTCACCTGCACAACGTGAACTGCCAGCGTGCCGATCGCATGACGATGGCTCACAGCTTGGAAGCGCGCGTGCCTTTCTTGGATCCGCGCGTCATCGACGCCGTGATGGCGGTTGATCCGAAGTATAAAACAATCGAAGGCGAAGAAAAGCCGGAAAAGCACGCGTTGCGCGCGTTGTTCGATGGTGAGATTCCTGACCCCGTGCTCTGGCGCACCAAGGCGATGCAGTGCGAAGGCGTCGGCCTGAACTGGGTCGAGGACCTCCAAAAGTTCTGCGAAGAACAAATATCCGACGAAGATTTCGCCAAGGCGGAGTCGACGTACCCAATCAACCCTCCGCACAGTAAGGAGGAGATGTACTATAGACGCATCTTCGAAAAGCACTACAAGGGGATGGATAAGTTTGTTCACGTGTGGGAGGGTGGATGTCGCGCCGGTGGCGCCGCGTGGGAAAACGATCAGTACACGCGCGCCGGCGTGAAGAACGTCAAGCAACTCGCGAAGGGTCTCACCGGCGTTAAAGGCGCGTAAGGAGTATGGTTTGTCGTTTTGTGTTGATTCTGTTTGTATCGGTCGAGATGCTCGATATATCATGTTGTACCTACGGTTTCTATTCTTAGCGTTTTGTTCATTTTGAATCAGTCTCTATTGCGTATTAACTCTGCTCACCAACTTGGATTTTTCGGCGAGTGTAATCGACGCGCCATCCTCGGCGTTCGTGAACACAAACGTGCGCGCATCCGTGACGGGAAAACTCTTCGCGACGAGAGCCTTCATCGGACGGTACCCCGGGTACGACATTCGATCAAAAACAACCGCTCCGGCACAAACAACGCCCGGCGCCGTCGTCGCCGCCGCGCTCTCGATCCCCCAATCGCACTGCATGCCAACCTTGTGCGTGACGTGAATCTCCCCACCATTCCTCACCACGTACTCGCTCGCCCCAGCGACGAACCGCTCGACCAACGCCCGATTCGCCTCGAGTTCCTCCGCGCTCCTCGCGTCGAATCCGCCCAACGCCGCCTCTCTCGCCGACCCGTCCGCGTCTCGCGCCACGCACGGAAAGTTCCAAATCGCCGCGTCGAACGTCCCCCGCTCCACCGTCTCCGGCAGCGTCTCGCCCAAATTTCCCGCGTCCACGCCGTGAATGACGCGCGCTCCTAACCTTTCCAACTCTCCCAGCGTCTCCTCCATCGCTCGTTCCCCGTAAATCGCATCCAACGACGCCCTCGTCTCGTGCGACGTCGCCGTCACCCCCGCGCCGCCCAGCGCGCGCGCCACCGCCCTCGAGAACGTGAAGTCCCCGTCGCCGACCGCCAGCACGCGCGCGCGTCGCGCGTCGTACAGTCCGATCCTTTTCCTTCGCTCGCCGCCGTCCCGCGCGCGCGCGCACGCCTCCGGCCGCGCGTTCGGCGCGTTCGCGACGCCCGCCGTCGCGAACACCGCGCGTCGACACACCACGCACCCCGCGCGCGCGCACGCGAGCTGCGCGCGCGTCATGTGCAGCGCGACCGCGGGCGCGACCGCGTCGCGCGTCGCGGCGACGCGCTTGGCGTCGCGCGCGTCGTCGTCGTCGGCGTCGCGTCGGCGTCGCGACATTCGGCGCCGCAGAGTGCGGCGCGATGGACGGCGCGCGCCGAGGCGCGTGCGATCACGCGCCGACGACGTCGGGCGGTGCGGGCGACGCGCGACGACGACGCGACGCGCGCGACGCGCGACGCGCGCGACGCGCGACGCGCGCGACGCGATGCGATTCGATGCGTGGTGCCCGAATTGACGAACGCGACGACTGACGACGGCGACGGCGACGGCGACGGCGACGACGCGCGCAGCGCTCGCGGAGACGCCGACGCCGTGTCACACGCTCGTGTCGCTCGCGTGCGCGCGGTGCGGCGCGCGAGTGGTGCCGTGCGACGCGTGCGGGGGACTGGCCTCGGCGACGGCGAGACGGTGCCCGAGGTGCGCGGCGGCGCGCGTGGAGGGCGACGCGACGCGGGCGGCGATCGGACTCGACGCCGTCGACGCGGTGGACGCGATCGAAGCGATGGAGATCGCGCTGGACGGCGGATGGACGCGCGAGGCGTACGCGAGGGCGAAGAGGGAGGAGCTGGCGCGGCTGGAGACGCGGGGCGAGCGACGCGAACGCGCCGGACGCGGCGACGCGTCCGTCGCGCCGAGGCGGTCGAGCTCGAGCGCGCCGACGCTGGACGACGAGGGCGTGCGCGGGACGCCTGACGCCGATCTGGACGAGCGACGGCTGACGCTGAGCTCGGTGCAGTGTGGGCAGCGCGTCGTGCCGGAGAGCGTCTTCAAGACGCCGAAACCGTCGAGGTTCGGACCGGCGCACGCGACGGTCGCCGCGTCGGCGTCACCGATCGGGGCGAGCGAGGCTCGAGCGAACGCGAATGCGTTGGACGCGGCGATCGTACGCGTGAAGAGTCAGCTTCTGTTTTGTGAGAAGGCGACTCGAAAGCGGCGCAAGACGCTCGAAGAGTACACTTGGACCGACCACGAAGTGCTGCAAGTTTTGTTGAAACGCGTCAAGTACGACGTCGCGAGCGCGCGACAGTTGATGATGATTTCCCGGTCGTTCCTTGAGTCCCGGGACCGCATTCATGCCGACGTCACGTACGCGCAGACGTTGCGAACGGCGATCGACACGCTCGAACGCGACGTACGCTTGATCATCGCTGGGAAAGACGAGACGCGGGAGCACGACGGCGATCATCGTTCGTTACATCTCCTTTGGCCGGACGAGCAGAGTGAGACGAACACAGAGGCTCACGCACTTTTATCGTCCGCCTTGCGCGCGCGCTCGAGCTGGGCCGATGACCAAGCGCGCGAAATCGGCGCCGAGCACAGCAAGAGGCTGCGGGAAATCACGCGAGCGCAAAATGATTTGTTGGCGACGATCACGGAAGGTTCGTGCGACCAGATGACGCACGACGCCGCTTGCAAAGCAATCTACATGGTTTTGCGCATGTACAAGACCATCTTTCTACTGACGGAGCACGCTAGAGCTAGAACTACGTAAAACTGGGCACTGCTAATAAACAACATACGGCGTGCGCCAAGTCTTCATACACATCCACGGGAAAGCACTCATCGGGAAGCGACATCGTCGGATCGTCCGCGCGCGTCGTAATTCTGTACGGCAGTCGTTGATTTTTCGACCGCAGCGCTTCACCCATGACCTCTCCGTACCCCGTGCACACCAAGCACCGCCGAACGCCCGCTCTCGCCGCCGCCTGCATATCCGTCACCGTGTCCCCGATGAACACCGCCCGCGACGGCTCATCCGCGAGCCCATTCGCCGCGAGTGCCTCGACCACCATCCCCGGCGCCGGCTTTCGCCGGTCGCACGGTTCGTCTCGCGCCTTGTGCGCGTAATAAATCTCCCCCAGCGTCGCCCCGGCGTCTTCGCGAAGCGCGCGTCGCATCTCCCCGTGCACCACGTCCTCGACGTACGCCGCGCTGACGTGCCCCTTTCCGATCGCCGTCTGATTCGTCACCACCGCCGTCGGCACGCCCGCGTCGTTCAGCGCTCGCACCGCGCGCGCCGCGCCGTCGATGAGCTCGAACTGCGCGACGTCCACGACGCCCGGCGCGCCGACGTCGACGTTGATCACCCCGTCGCGGTCGAGCAGCGCGAGCGCGACGTCGCGCGTCGTCGCCGCGCGCGTCGTCGCGCGCGCGCGCCGCGCGCGCGCGACGCGCGGCGTCGCTCGACGACCGACCGCGAGCCGCATTGTGCGACTCGACGACCGTCGCGACCGTCGCGACGGTCGCATCGCGCGACGCATCGCGCGACAGCGCGCGGCGATCGATGTTCAACGCGTGCGCGCCCGCGGCGTCGCGGTGCGGGCGGAACAAGGGCGCGAAACCGCCCAAGCCCGAGTGGGCGGAATCGTTCGAGCGATTCCGAAAGGAACGCGGCGAGTTGACGCGCGAACAGGCGGAGAAGGCGTGGGAGGCGCAGAAGACGGCGATGCTGCAGGAGGAAGAAGTCGCCACGCGGTTGTACGCGGAGATGGACGTGCTGGAGGGGACGTCGGGAGGGCGAACGGGGAACGCGGCGGCGACGGCGGAGCTGGTGAGCGAAAACGTACGAAGGGCGTCGCCGACGGCGGCGGACGTGGAGCAGGCGAAACGAGCGGATGCGAATCCGTTCAAGTGAGACTCGGTTCGAGTGAGACTGGCGCGATTGTTGTGGTACTACTAGGATTGTATTTGAAATAAAAACGCAGATGCGTAAGAGGAGCGCTGGCGGTGGGCGCCCGACGCGGCTACGCCTCGACTTTGCCAAACTTTTCCTCGATCCACTGCGACGTGACGGATTTCGGGCGTTCGATGGGGTATCCAGACCCGCGAGACAGCGTGAGTTGGCTCAAGACGCCGATAGCGCGCGAGGCACCGAATAAGACGGTGTAGAAGTTTGCTTCGGTGATGCCGTAGTATTGAAGCAACACGCCCGAGTGCGCGTCGACGTTGGGCCACGGGTTCTTCACTTTACCAGTCTCGGTGAGCACGCCCGGGACGACTTCAAAGAGCTTACCCACGAGCTTGAACATCGGATCGTCGGGCAAGTGCTTGAGCGCGAACTCGCGCTGACACGTGTATCTCGGATCCGTCTTTCGCAACACGCCGTGGCCGTATCCCGGAACGACCCTGCCACTCTTCAGCGTCGCCCACACGAACTCAGTGAGTTCTTCCTTCGTCGCGTTGTCGCCAACTTTTTCGCGCGTCTCGTTGAGCCATTTCAGCACCTCTTGGTTCGCCAAGCCGTGCAACGGGCCGGCGAGGCCGTTCAAGCCGGCGACGAGCGAGAGGTACGGATCGCTCAACGCGCTCCCAACCAGGTGCGTGGCGTGCGCCGACACGTTCCCGCCCTCATGGTCGACGTGAATGGTCATGTACAACCGCATGAGCTCCTTCACGGCCTCGGAATCGTGCCCCATCATGTGCGCGAAGTTCGCCGCCCAGTCCAGACTCGCGTCGGCGGCGACGAGCGTCCCATCCTTGAACGTTCGCCTGTAGATCGCCGCGCACACCGCGGGTAAACGAGCGATGATATCCATCGAGTCTTCGAACGCGTGCTCCCAAAACGTCGTCTTGTGCGCGCCGTCTTGATACGCCTTGGCAAACTTACTCTCCGGTTGCATCGCCATCAGCGCGACGCTCAGCTGCGTCATCGGATGCGCGTTTTTCGGCAGCGCGTCGAGCGCGTCGAAAACCGCCTTCGGCACCTCCGCGCGCGCCGCCAGCTCCGCGCTCAGCGTCCTCACCTGCGCCTCGCTCGGAATCTCCCCCGTCAGCATCAACCACATGATTCCCTCCGGCAGCGGCTCCTCGCCCCCCCGCGCCTTCGGCAACTTTTCCCGCAGCTCGGGAATCGCGCGCCCTCGGAACCGTATCCCCTCCTCCGCGTCCAACAGCGACGTCTCGTACAGCATCGCCGTGATCCCTCGCATCCCTCCCGCGACCATGTTCACCGTCACCTCGCCCACGACGCGGTCCCCGTGCGCCCGCTTGATCGCCCGCAGTCGCGCGTTCGCGCGCTCCAGCGCCGCCGCGACGCGCGCCTTGAGCCCGACCGCCGCGTCGTCGCTCGCCGACGTCGCGCTCGCGCGTCCGCGCTCGACGCGCGTCGTCGGACCGGTCGCCGTCGCCGTCGCCGTCGCCGTCGCCGTCGCCGCGCGCGCCCATCCGTCGCGCGCCCATCCGTCGAGCGCGCGCGACGGACGCGCGCGCGACTCGAGCGCGCGCGCCGCGCGTCGGCTCGCGCGCGCGACGATCGCCGACATCCGCGTCGAGCGCTGGCGCCGGCCGCGCGCGCGACCGACGCGACGCGGATGTCGGCGATCGACCGACACGCGGGTGTCTCGCGGCGCACGACCGACCGACCCGAACGCGCGCGTACACCATATAATAATCGTCAGCGCGCCGTCGACGCGCGCGACGTTCGCGCGAAATTCGACCGCGAACGTAAATCTCTGCGTCGTGTGGGCGAACAGTGTAGAGCTCGGACAATCGGCGCGCGTTCGAATTGCGCGTCGACGGATTCGCGCGCGAATCGCGACGACGCGCCCGCACGACGCGACGCGCGACGCGCCGAGAGCGCGAGGCGAGATGGCGCGCGACGCGCCGAGAGCGGTCGAGGACGACGAGGGGCTGGCGATGGCGATCGGACTGGACGTGGGGATGCGATTGGCGACGCGCGGGACGCGCGACGGGGATTCGGACGCGAACGTTGACGAGGACGACGACGACGACGACGACGGGGTGCTGCGAGCGATGGATCGATTGGGAACGAGGGACGAGGCGCTGCTGTCGAGGGTCGGGGCGCTCGGGACGCGAGGCGAGGGCGAGGGCGAGGACGAGGACGAGGCGAAGGCGGGGGGGGAGACGCGCGCGGACGACGCGACGGCGGACGCGGCGAACGCGCAGGGTTCGAGGGCGCTGCAGATACTCAAGGTGAATCCGCAGGTGAGGAACGCGGAGTCGGCGCAAATGTTTCTGCCGGCGATTCATAAATCGCTCGCACCGAAGATTCGGACGGAGATGAAGACGAGCGCGTTTCGACCGCAACTTCCCGCGTGGGCGGCGACGAAGAAGGATAGTTTGGAGATTTCGGGAGACGTGGACGCGGTGTCGACGGCCTTGGACGCGAATCAAAAGTTTCAGCAAGACATATCTACCCTGTTGCGGGCGTTGGATGAAAAGATGGAGAGGAACGAGCGCTTGATCACGATGGTTACGCGTTGGAGAAATCGCAAGGGTCGTCGCGTGCACTGGTCGCTGCGAGAGGCCATGATGGACTTGTGGGGGCAGAAGAGCGATTTGTACTTCAGAGTGCCTTCGGCGTGGAATCCATCGAGCCGCGCGAGCGCATCGCTTCATTCGGACGACGCCACAGGGATCATGTCTCAGGCGACGCTGCAAAAGCAAATCACGCCGAACGCGGACATGCTTCGTCTTGGCTGGGCAAATTTGGTGGAAAAGATACCGCTTTCGTACGCCTCGCATTGTCGAGCTTGGACGCCCAAGGAAGACGCACAGCTGAGAAAAGGTGTGCACTTCCAGCTGCAACAAGCCCGTTTACTCACGGATCAGCGCATGAGTCTGGAAGAGCTTGCGGGAATGTCAGTGCAACCGCTCAGCGCGCTCCTCCAGCCGGGCGGTTTGGACGTCGTCTTGCGCGATTCCGAAGCCATCGATTGGGGCGAAGTGGTTCGCATGCACATGCCGTTGCGCACCGTGGATGATTGTCGATTACGGTGGATGAACGTCGTCGACCCGCGAATCTGTCCAGAAGCGTGGACGGACAGGGAAGACGATATGCTCATCGAACTCGCCGAAGGATGGGAGACGAAGAGGAATTGGACCTTGATCGCCGAGGAGATTTTCGCGGCCAAGATCACGCCCGGAAAACTTCTTCGCTCGCCGCATCAGTGCGCGATGCGCTACCAAGCGGAATGGAATCCGTCGCTGGTGAAGAGCTCATGGACGCCGGAAGAAGACGCGTTCATTTTGCGTTGGATCAAGGACCACGGCGTCGGACACTGGACTAAGCTCGCCCGTCTGCTGCCGGGTCACACCGGGCAGCAACTTCTTCATCGTTGGCGTCGGATCCAGCCCACGAGGCGCACGGGCGCGTGGACGGAAGAGGAAGACGAAGCGTTGCGCGTCGCCGTCGGCGCGTACAAGCAGGGTGAGCGAATCAAATGGTCGTTGGTTCAAGAGCACGTCCCGACGCGCACAGACGTGCAGTGCCGCGAGCGTTGGACGGGTGTACTCGATCCTGGCATCAAGACTGGACCATGGACTGAGGAAGAGGACGCGGCGTTGATGGCGGCCATGGGTCCCCACTGGCAGGAGAACGGCTTCAACGAATGGGCGCGTCTCACCGCGGTTCTGCCTGGTCGCACTGGGAAGCACTGTATGCGACGCTGCCGCGCGCTCGCAAAGAAACAGAACGACGACGGCGAGGCTTCTCACCAAGGCGGAGGCGAACGATCGTCGGCCGCAAAATCGAAGAACAAAGCGACGACGACGAAGAAGAAGCGCGCTGCGGCGACGACCACGGCACCCGTCGCGGAGCCCGCTCTCGAAGAGCCGGTCGACGACGCGCTTGGCACCGACGAACATCCACCGACTGCGAGGAAGAAGGCTCCCGCTCGACAGAAGACTGCGAAGACCACAGCTTCTAAGACGGCGTCCATCGCATCGCCGAAAACGCGCGATGACAAAGCGCCCGTTGTCGAACCCGAGCCGAAGAGACCGCGAAGAAGTACGCGGACGACGTGAGCGAGCGTGCATTTTTTGCGACGCGACGTAGTCAACCAGCACTAGATAGAACGACACGAACGATACGAGGTTGTAGTAGAACAGAAAATAACAAACGACGAAGACGACGATGACGAAGGCGGCAGTAGGGGTGATTGATTTCAGTAAGAATTGACGTTAGAGGTTTACAAAAAATGTGTAAAAGCTTGAATGGCGAGTTCAACCCGACGCGCGTGCTCGGAGAGAACTCAATCTCATGACGAGATTGATGAAGCAGAATCAGAAAGATTCGACGCTTAGCTCATGCGAGCGGCGGCTTCGAGAGTCGCTTCGAACGCCTTGGCGCACGCGGCTTCATCCGGCTTGCCGGCGCACGCCTGCTCCATGGCTTGCAAGTCGCCGTTGCCGAGCTCGAGAGCGACGTCGGACGGGATCAAGTTCAAGCCATCGACGAGTTCTTGCGCGATCATACCCGAGATGGAGATCATCGCGAGGCGGCCGTTGTTGAGCTCCTTCAATCGAAGTTCATCGAGTTCTTCCTCGGACTTGCCTCGGCCGAGGCCGAGCGGGTCGAAGTTCAAGTCGCCCGGCGTGTAGCCATCCTTGAGCAAGAAGAGCTTGTCGGATTGACCCGGATCTTGCCAGCCCGCTTGCACGCGCGTGGATTCGGCGATCGCGATCGTCGCGCCGATCGCGAACCAGAACGGCGTCGGCACTTGTTGGAAGTGGTTCACCGCCGGACCCGTCACCTGCGCGTCGAACAAAAAGCTCGACCCCTCGACTTGTTCGCCGACCAAGAATCCCACCGTCGCGAGCATCGACACGCGACCGTGCGTGAGCTCCGCCTCGCGGTATCGCTGGAGCGACGCCCCGTCGATGCCGTTGCAGAATCCGAGCACGTCGAGTCCCTCCGGGAACGGCGCCGACGCCCCGACGAGTCCCGCCGCGGTGGCCTCTTGAATGTTCGCGTAGTTCTTACCCTTCGTGAACACGCCCGCGGACGCCGTGCGGACGGTGGGCTTGACGCTCATGGCGTTGACGACGACCGGAGACATCGTGCGTTGTCGGTGTGTGAGTTCGTGCGTCACAGTGACGCGCGCGTCGCGCGACAGGTCCGCCGAGCCCCTCGGATTATCCCTTCGATGACGTCACGCGACGTCACGCGTTTCGCGCGTGTTCGTTCGTGTGGTCGAGGCGCCTCGCGGGATTTTGACTCGTTCAGAGCAACATCAGTGGGGTTTCAGTGACCGTTCATGACTCAATAAATCGTTGACCAGTCATAACTCGCCAACAGGGACTGTGCGGTCGAGGCGCCTCGCGGAGGAGTCCCTGTTTTGAGCGTTCACGACTCACGAAGTATCGCGGTGTGTGAACGAACAGTGCGGTGGTCACGTTCCGTGTAGTAGTGTCGCGCGAATGACGGCGTTTCATACGAGCGGTCGGCGTCGCGACGCGCGACGCGTCGCGGCGACGCGCGAGACGCGCGCGCGGGGACGGACGCGATCGCGCGATCGCGGCGCGCATGCGAGGCGCGAACGCGAACGCGAACGCGAACGCGACCGCGAGCGCGAACGCGTCGAATCGAATCGGTGGCGCGATTGCGCGATTGGACTCGATTTGATTCGTCGTCGACATGTCGCGCGACGGAAGCGCGCCGACGCGAAACGAGACGTCGAGGGCGACGATGGCGTTCGCGGCGGCGATGCGCGCGGACGAGGCGAGCGACGAGGCGCGAGCGGCGGCGGGGAGGGCGCTGCGGGACGCGCTGGCGCGAGGCGCGGAGACGAACGGACGCGAGACGAGACGCGTGGTCGAGGGCGTGCGCGCGGGGCTGGCGCGGGGAGGGCGCGCGCGGACGGATGCGTTCGATGCGTTCGGGGCGGCGTGCTGCGCGGTGAGGGGAGAGACGTTCGGGGAAGAGGTGGCGGCGGAGGTGGCGACGCGCGCGAGCTCGAGCGACGCGGGCGACGACGCGAGTCACGTCGCGAAAGGGCTCGAGGCGTTGCGGTTTTACGTGCTACAGTGGGACGGGAGGAGTGCGGCGATGACCGCGGCTGTGGTGGCGTCGATCGCGCCCGCGGTGAAGTTTGCGGCGAAATCGATCGACGCGAGGGAAACCGCGGCGCCTTCGGAAGCGGCGACGCAAGCGGCGCTGTTCCTCGCGACCGTGTGCGTAGTGTGCGGAGACGTGGACGAATTGCGCGAAGGTTGGCGAGCAAAGGCGCGCGGCGTCCTCGACGCGGCGCCGATTTCCGTCCAAACATTGCTCGGGCCGCGCGCGAGTCGCGCCTCGCGCGCGTCGGCGAACGAGGCGGCGAGGCGCGCGCTCCGCCGCATCGCGCAAGTCACGGCGCCCGTCGAAGTTTCGCCCGCCGCCGTCGCCGAGCCATCATTGCGAGAGTCGTCGCCGGCGCCGGCGCTGGCGATGAACGATCCCGTGACACCGTTGCCGCCTTCGCGAGACGCTTCGGCGTCGGCGTCGCCTTCGACGTCCGACGACTCGCGCAAAGCTCCCGCGGCGGACGCTTCGTTCGCGACACGGCGGCACTTCGACTGCACGATGTTGGCCGAACCACTTGACGCAAACGTGACCGTCGACGCGATGTTTTCGTACCAAATTGATGGCATGTGCGCGTATTCAGAGGCTTTCTGCGACACTCTCGTGGCGGCGGCGAAGTGGGTTCGCAAATGTAGAGCGACGTTACGGCGAAGCACACTGCTTAAGCTGAATTCGACAAGTAACAGAGCGATCGAGCACGCGCTCAGGGTAGTTTTAGACGCGAACGTGCTCGCGTTGACGAGCTTGACGCGGCTGGCGAAGATGGTCGGCGAGCGAAAGCTTTTGCTTGCGAATCGAGATAAGGCTTTCATCGCTTCAAAGAACGTTGAGGCTTGGGTTCACAGCGGTTTTGCGCTTCTCAGAAGCGCGGCGCGGCAAGATTTAGGCCTTAGTGCTTTCGCAGTCGTCGCGCTCGCGACACATGAGCCGAGCAGTAGATATAAAAGCTTGGGTGCCAATCACGGCTTCCCTGGCGCAATTTCGGCGCGGATGGCGTTTCTTCGATGGTCGCGCGTCATGTACGCGCACAGAGCCGAGGCAAAAGCCGAACTTCTGGCGTTGGTGCATTACGAGCAAACGCTCATGACGAAAGCATTTCGTACGTTGAGCGAGTATGCACCGTATCATCGTCAACAAGCAAACGCGCTCGCATTGAAGTTTGGTTTGCGGTGGCGAGCTAACGCTCAGTTGAGTCGCGACCGCGAGCCGTTCGAACACACCTTTGGCATCACTACGCCGTTATCGCAGCGATCATCGACGGCGCGCTCTTTGTCTCAGCACCATGGCGCATCTTCAGTACCGTGGGCGCCGTCCGTCGGCGCGCTGGGTAGTTCGCGTGCAAAAACGCGCCGCACTCGAAGCGTCGTGAGTCGAAGTTCGTACAAGTCGATCGGTGACGAAGGTGAGATTTTGGACTTCGACGTCCCGCACATCGTCTTCAACGAATCGCAAACAATCATGTATGAGGCGTTCCAAGCGTGGATCGATCACACGTACGAACAGCTTCTCACCGGGCCGAGTTTGGTGGCGAAGGAGCACAGGCGCGCGGTATTGTTGCGCAAATCCTTTAAAGCCATGCGTCGATACGTAGTTCGAAGCGTCGGCGTGCGCGAAAAAGCCGTCGCGATCGAAGTCGCGGTCAATAAGCTGGACTTTTACGTATGCGGCGGAGCCGCCTTCCGCAAATGGGTCGCTGGCGTTAGATACATCAAGCGTCTGTACACCTTCGTCGACGGCGAAGTCGAGCGATGGCGAAACGAGCTTCGCGTGAATTGCTTCCGCGCCTGGCGCGAAGTAGCGGCTTCGGGCGCACGAACGACGCTCTGGGAAGAACAAACGTGGGCAGATATCACGCCGAAGCTCGAGCACAACCGTCGTCGCGTGTGGTTGCGGCGATGGGTCAACGCAACTCAAGCGTCGCTGGAAGAACGATTCGCTGAGGCGCGAACGTGGAGACGACGACGCTTGCTTCTTGCCTGGCGAACCGTCGCCGGCGAGCTCGTGGTGAAACGAATGGTGGCAGATACTATAGACAAACTCGCGCGATTAGAAACATAATGTAAAACAGAGATCTAGTTGTTGAACTTGCGCGGCTTGGTCGGATACAGCGGCTCGCGAGGCGTGTTGATGCACCAAATCCCCCATACGAGCGTCGTGGCGATGGTCAACCACACGGCCAACGGCGCGATAACGTATCCCGCGGTGGGCACCACCTTGTAGTACTGGTACACCACGTTATACGCCGATCCGACGACGAAGAGCACGCCGACGGCGGCCACTCCGAGTTTCTTCTCGACGTTGTTGATGCTGTTCCACGTGTCGCCGATGGATAGATGCGCCACGAGCGCCAATATGGCCGGGTGCGTCACCACTCCGGTTTGCGCGAACACCAACATCGTCGATAACGCGCGCAAAAATCCCATAGATATCCAAACCAACGGGAACACGATCGCCGGCGGCGTCCACGACGGTCGCTTCTTCTGCTTCTTCGCCAACCGCTCGTTCGCAATCTTCGGTCTCGACGCGTTCAGCGGCGAAAACACCCGCGAGCGAAACGCCAGCATGAAAAACATCACCGCCACGATCGCTTTCGCCGCGCCGAGGTTCGTCGCGTGCAGGCTCGCCAACGCGTACTTTTGCGCCGCCGCGAGCGCGAGCGCGATCCCCCCAACCTCCGCGCACGTCGCCAGCGCGTACTTCACCAGCGCCAGCGCGTCCACGTCTCCAGTGCGCACGACCCACGCATCGATCCACGCCTGCGCGCGTCGCGCGCGATCGAGCGTCGCCGCGTCTTTGGGCGAGCGCGACATGAACGCCGTCCCCGGCCCTCCTCGAAAAGACACGCTCCCGACGCTCGCGCGCGCCGCGCCGGCGCCGGCGCCGCGTCGCGCGCGTCGCGCCTTCGTTCGCGTCGTCAGCGCCGCGGGCGCGCCGCGAAACGCGCCGCGCGCCGTCGCGAGGGCGTCCATCGGTCGTCGCGCGCTGAAGTGTGGATAACGACGCGCGCGCGCGCGCCGCACAGCTCGACGCGCGCGCGCGCTCGAACGCGCCGTCGGATCGACGAGACATCGCGCGCGCACATGTCGCGCGCGCTCGCGGACGCGCGCGCGCCTCGGAGCGCGCGCGCGAGCGTCGCGCGCGCGCGCGGCGGGAAACCTCGTCGCGGTCGCGCGACGCCGAACGCGTCGCCGCGCGCGGGCGCGCGCGCGGGCGCCGGGACCGCGCGCGCGGTCGCGATGGACGGCGTCGACGTCGTCAACGTCGATCTGGGCGATCGATCGTACCCGATCTACGTCGGGACGGGGCTGCTGGACGACGGGGACGCGCTGCGCGCGCACGTCGCGGGGTCGACGGCGCTCGTGGTGACGAACGAAACCATCGCGGGGCTTGGATACCTCGATCGCACGGTGAAAGCGCTCACGGCGAAGGATTCGAAACTGCGCGTGGAGACGGTGGTGCTGCCGGACGGAGAGGAGCATAAGAATTTGGAGGTGCTGAACGCGGTGTACACGAGGGCGCTGGAGACGCGACTCGACCGCGGGACGACGTTCGTGGCGCTGGGGGGGGGCGTGATCGGTGATATGACGGGATACGCCGCGGCGTCGTATCAGCGCGGGGTGAAGTTCGTGCAAATACCGACGACGGTGATGGCGATGGTGGATAGCTCGGTGGGGGGGAAGACCGGGGTGAACCACGCGCTCGGGAAGAATATGATCGGGGCGTTTTATCAGCCAGAGTGCGTTTTGATCGATATCGATTCGTTGAAGACGCTTCCCGATCGAGAGTTCGCGAGCGGGATCGCAGAGGTGGTGAAATACGGTCTCATTCGCGATGGGCCGTTTTTCGAATGGCTCGAGGCGAACGTCGATAAGCTTCTCGCGCGCGATACGCAAGCCATCGCGTACGCCGTCGAGCGATCGTGCGTGAACAAGGCGGAAGTCGTCGCCGCGGATGAGAGGGAGGGCGGCGTTCGAGCGACGCTGAATCTTGGGCACACGTTCGGTCACGCGATAGAAACCGGTCTCGGCTACGGCGAGTGGTTGCACGGCGAAGCGGTGAGCGCCGGTATGTGTATGGCGGCGGATATGTCTCTTCGACTCGGTTGGATCGACGCCTCGCTCAAGGAGCGCACGATCGCCTTATTGAACAAGTGCAAAACCCCGATCGACGTCCCTGAAAAGATGACGGTTCAAATGTTCATGGACTTGATGGCGGTGGATAAGAAGGCTGCGAATGGGAAATTGCGCTTGATTTTGTTAAAGGGCGAGCTCGGCGAGTGCGTCTTCACTGGGGACTTCGACCAAAGCAAGCTCCAGGAAACCTTAGACGCGTACGTCAAGTAAACACTTTGAAATAAATAAAACGACTGTACCGATCATATGAAATTCTTTTACAATGATGTTAACCTCGTGCGAGCTAAACCTCGTGCGAGTCTTGTGGAGGCCGCGGCGCGAACGGAGGAGGCGGGCCTCGGCTTCCTGGCGGCGGGCCTCGGCCTGGTGGTCCTCGGCCTCTTCCTCGGCCGGGCGGCGGTCCTCGACCTGGATATCCTCTACCAGGCGGAGGGCCTCGTCCGCGTCCACCGCTCATGTTCGGCGCGAGTGCATTTGACATCGGTGGTGCGCTTGGTGGCGCCGAAAGTTGAGGCGGCGCGGCTGCCGGAGGCGCCCGTTGCCATTGCGGAACGATGGGCTTGTTCGTCGCTGGATTTCCCATCATGACGAACGGTGCATTTGTCGCGGCAGCTTCACTATCAGGAGTATCATTCGCCATCTCTTCCATGGACTGGCCGCCATGATCCGTCAAACTCATCGATCGCGGAATACCATTCGTCACGCCAGACTGGTGCGTTCCAAACGGTTCACCCGCGTGCGGCACTTGCGTAGGGAGGTCAGCCATGTGCGGCGGCGGATTACTCATCGAAGCGTATGGATTACCGAAGGTAGGCGCGTACTGTGACACACCGTTAGCTCGGGGCGACTCGACCGGGGAGGGGATCCCGGTCGGCCCCGCGCCCATCGGCGGCGCCATCATGACTGGCGGCGCCAACGCGTTGCCCGTGTTGTAATGCGTCGCGGCATCCGCGTGCTGCAACGGTGGGACATCTCGGCGTCGCGGCGAGTCGGGTTGGTTTGGGTGTGACAAAGGAGCCGCAGAGCGCGGTGGTGGACCCTTCCATTTGCCTTGTGTTCCCGAATTCTTTGCGCCGCCACCCAGAAGTACGCTCACGACGCGCATCAAAATAAGCGTCAACACGATGGGCGGCCCGAAAATCGTTGCGTTGACGCCGAAAGTGATCAAATCTTTGTTGGAAGCGAGAGCGGTACCCATGATGGAGTCTACCTTCACTGCAACCGACGTGAACGTCTCGTCACACAGCTCCATGAACGAAAGCAACTTGTTTCCGTGCTTGGTTTTCCACGCTTGATGAAGAATGCCTTCCATGACACGAGTCACGAAATTGATGATGAACATGACAAAGGGAGAGACAAACGTCCAAGCTCGACCAAAGCTCGATCTTATCATGTCGAATCCAGACGGATTACCCCGTGTATCGTAAAACTGAGACGACTTAGACTCTTGCTCGTGTGTAATTTTCGCGTCTTCCTCATTCCAGTCCAAATCCTGTATCAATCCTGTATCAATCATTTGCTCATCGATGGACGAGTCCGTGGCGGCGGTTTCGTCCATAGAACCTTCGGGAACTGATATTTCGTCATCCGCGACTTCTTTCGTTTCTTCGACGGTCACTGGCTCTTCGATTTGTGGCTGTTCGCCCAGCTCCTCAGTGACTTGTTCTTCGTCATTTGATGTATCGAAGACGCTCTCGTCTGTTGTCGTGTCCATGACGGGCGTATCATCGACCTTTGTATCGACTTCTACTTCGTCCGTGGTAGGATCTTCGACAACTGCTGTTGACTCGGCGTCTGACGACGTCTGTTCGGTCGACTCGACGTTCATAGCCTTCTCGTGTTGAAGCGAATCTTCTTCACTCGGTGCGGCGGTGCTCGCGCTTTCTTCACACTTTGGACACGTCTCCGGTTCAGGGCACTCTATAGGTTTCGGACATTTCTTTTCTCGGAGCTGGCGTTCCTCGTCCAACGTCTCTTTGGTTGCTTCGGTCAACTCTGTCTGCTCACGTAAAAGTCTCTTGGTCTCGCCGTGCTGTCGATCGATTTCGTCGCATCGATCTTTTTGCTCGTCGAGCTTGACTTCAGCGTCGAACGTGCGTTGACGAAGAGCATCGGCTTGTTTTTGCAGATTACTGCGAAGCTTTGCGCTCTGCGCCAAGCACGTATCCGTGCAATCACATTCGTTTTCAGTCGAAGCTTCTGTCGCCGCGAGTGCAAGTACTTTCTCGTTGTACTGAGTGAGCAAAGCGTCCAAATCAGCTTGCACTTTCTCATGTTGCTCCTTCATGGTGCGCAGTTTTGACTGACACTTGCCCAACTCATCGACAGCCTCTTTGCTCGATTCAACCTTCCCTTGAAGAGATTCTACCTGCTTCGTCGCCGCCGCGAGTTCCTCCGACAACTTCTCGATTTCTTCCTGCGCCAAGAGCAATTCTTCGCTCTGTTTGTCGTAGGCCTCCTTTGTCGTAACGGATCGAACTAATTTGTCGTACTCGTCTCGTAAAAGGTCGTAATCTTCGCGCAGAGAGCTCTTGGTCTTTTCGGCTTCCGCGAGACTACGCGACATGTCAGCGGCAGACGCTACACCTGGAGGACACGCACTCGTATCGCGCAACGACTCGAGCTCTGCCGTGAGCTCATCGATGCGCGCCTGTGCGCTCATGTGCTCTTCCGAAACACCGCGAGCATCTCCAAGTTCACCCTCGAGCTCGGCCAACCTCGAAACAAGCGCTTGCTCGTCTTCGCCTCTTCGCGAAAAATCCTCTTCGAGCGCGTTAATCTTCTGTTTGAGTTCTTCGTTCTCGCTGATGATTTGCGCATTACTCGCGATTTGTTTTTCAAGATCGACCATAACGCGCCGATCATCAATCTCCGCCTCGTCGTGTGCGACCTTGCGTGCCATGAACTCTTCCAACTCGCGCTTCAAATCGTCACCATTTTTTTTCATCGCGCGCATCGCTTTGCTTGTCTTCAACAGCGTCGCTGAAACAGCCTCAACCGTCTCTCCCGCGGATGCGTCCACACTCACCGGAATCTTGTTCGCGGCCATCCACTCCCGAAGCGCGTGAAGCGACTCGTCCGCACTCAGTCCGACGGGCACATCAATCTTCTGCGCGGCTTTTTGCTTCGCACGCGGCGGTTCCGACATCACCGGCTCTGGCTCCATCACCGGCTCTGGCTCCATCACCGGCTCTGGCTCCATCTCTGGTTCGTCCTCAACCGCGGGCTCACGTTCCGGCTCCACATCCTCCAATTCAACCGCACGCTCCATCGCGTGCCCTAATTCACCGACCTCGGGCTCCGCCTCGACTCGCGTCTCGCGCCCCGCCGACGCCTCCCCCCCCCCGTCCTCGTCCTCTTCCTCCCATCCCTCCGGCTGATCCCACTGCGACACCTTATCGATCCCATCGTACCAATACGCCCGCTTCGTCGTCGCGTCGACGTGTTTCGTCCACCGCGCGCGCGCGTCGACGCCGTTTCCCATCGAATCCATCGACTTCAGATCGTCATCGCTCGCGAACGCCGGTCGCACCGTCGCGCACGCGCCGCAGACGACCGCGCACGCCGCGATGAGCGATGCGAATCGCGCGCGTCTCCCTCGGGCGCGATCGCGCGCGCGCGCCATCGTCGCGTCGTCGAGTGCGCGAGCGACGGTCGTTACGTCGAGACTTTGAGACTTCGCGCGCGCCGCACACCGCGACGCGCGCGCGCGCGATGTCGAGGACGCGCGAGATGACGCGCGGTCGCGCAAACGCGCGCGACGTCGCGACGACGCGCTCGCCGGTGCGCCGCGCGCGCGATGCGGTCGTCGACGCGATCGTTTCCCTCTCGCACGGCACCGGTCGACAAACCGCGCTGCAGTGGCTCTCCTTGGCGCTCATCGTCGCCAGCGCGCTGATGGTGTGGAAATCGCTGATGTTGTTCACGCAGAGCGAGTCGCCGGTCGTGGTCGTGCTGAGCGGGAGCATGGAGCCCGGACTGCGACGAGGCGACTTGCTGCTGCTGGATAACTCGCGCGGGCCGAGCGAGATCGGCGACGTCGTCGTCTTCAACATACGCGGACGCGACGTGCCGATCGTGCACAGAATACTACACGTACACGCGAATTCGCCCGCTGACGTCGGTTCGCGGTTGATGCTGACGAAGGGAGATAATAATTTCGCCGACGACGGCGCGCTGTACGCGCCGGGACAGCGATGGTTGCGACAGGACGACGTCGTCGGACGCGCGGTGGTGTTCTTGCCGCACGTCGGGCGGCTGACGATATTGATGAACGATTACCCGTGGTTCAAGTACGGGTTAATCTCGATTTTAGGGTTTTTCGTCGTCACTGGGAAGGACTAGTCCGTAGCAGAAGAAGTCGCGTGGCGTTTCGTAGATTTGTTTGTAGCGTTGAGATTCACGTCACTCGCCCGCGCGCGCCGCGCGATCGCGCTCGAGTTCGGACTCGCGCGGTCGATTTCATCCATCGGACGCGCTCGCTCGCGCGTCTCCCGTCGCTCGACGCGCGGCGCTCGCGCGTCGGCACCGCGCACCAGTCGCCGGGGGAACTTTCGAAAGCGTCGACAGCTGACGGCTATTTCGCCACGCACGCGCGCGCTCGACGTCATGGGCGAGAATCTCTCGCCCGAAACCGTCAATAGCATCATGCGTCAACTGAAAGATTTGATGCAGAGCCCCGCGGAGGGGATCAGGGTGCGAGTGAACGAGGAGAACGTGACGGATGTCTTCGCCGAGCTCGACGGTCCCGCGGACACGCCGTTCGAAGGCGGGACGTTTAAGATGAAGCTCGCGCTGCCGGCGGATTACCCGAACAATCCGCCGAAGGGATTCTTTACGACAAAAATATTTCATCCGAATATTCGTCAGCCGAGCGGGGAGATTTGTGTGAACACGCTCAAGCGTGACTGGCAACCGACGCACGGACTGCGGCACATATTGATGGTGATTCGATGCTTGCTCATAGAACCGTTTCCGGAGAGCGCTCTGAACGAAGAGGCTGGAAAGCTTTTACTCGAGGATTACGAAGAGTATTTTAGGCGCGCGAAGATGTACACCAATATTCACGCCAAACCCGAAACGGGCAAGGCGGAGGACGCGGCGAGCGCGTCGGCGGCGAGCGGCGGGGAGAAGAAGTTGGACAAAAAGAAGGACAAGAAGAAGAGCTTGCGCCGTCTTTAGCAAAAGCGTATCGCGCGCGCGGTAGCAGATGAATGAACGTCGTTGTTGTGAGCGAAGCTTTGATTACAACGAATAAAAATTGCGTTCCGTCGCTCACCTTTCTTCTATCTGATGTATCGTTAAGTCATCCGTCGCGTTAGTTGAGCTTCGCATCCTGCGTGTCGCCGGTGAATCGCGCAGAAGACGAACCGTCGTTACCGTCGTTACCCCACGCCACGTAATCCTTCTTCGTCTTGAGCTTTTCCGTGAACGACCCCTCGATCTTCAAGCCGGCGTCGTCGCCGCCGATGACGATGTCGATGACTCCGTACTGCTTCGCCTCGAGCGGCGACATGTAGCGATCGCGATCGGTGTCTTCGTCTATCGTCTTAACGTCTTGTCCGGTGTGGAACGCCATGAGTCTGTTCAAGTTGGCCTTGTGGTGCATGATTTCCTTCGCTTGGATTTCGATGTCCACGGCGCTCCCTTGCGCCCCGCCGAGCGGCTGGTGAATCATGATGCGCGCGTTCGGCATCGACATGCGGCGACCCTTCTCCCCGCTCGCGAGCAAGAACGCCCCCATGGACGCCGCGAGTCCAAGGCACACCGTGCTCACGGGCGCTCGGCAAAACTGCATCGCGTCGTAAATCCCCATCCCCGCCGTCACGCTCCCTCCCGGAGAGTTGATGAAGAGTTTAATCTCCTTCGTCGGATCTTGCTGATCGAGCAGCAGCAACTGCGAGATCACCGCATCGGCGTTAAAATCATCGACCTGCGAGCCGAGAAACACGATTCGGTTCCTCAGCAAGCTATCGAACGGCGACCCGCTTTGGTCTCGCGGCACCACCGGCCCCGCGCGCGCGCCCGGCGCCCCGCTCGCGTTCACCGCGTCGTAAATCTCTCTCTGCGCCTCGTTCACGCCGTCGACGTGCGCGATTTCGTTCGGGTTCTCGTAGAACGCTCCTCCCGCGCGCGCGACGCGCGTCGCGCGTCCGCGCCCGTCCGCGCGCCGCGCGCGCGATAAACCTAGCCTCGATCGCGTCGCCCGCGTCGTCGCGTCGCGTCGCGTCGCGCTTCCGCGCGGCGCCGTCGTCGTCGCGCGCGTCACGAGTCCCATCGTGCGTTCGCTCGCGTCGTCGGTCGCGTCGCGCGCGTGTGCGGCGCGCGCGCGGTCGACGCGCCGCGCGCGCGGGCGCGCGCCTGGTCGGTCGGTATGCGCAAACAGTGCGGGTGCGTTTTTCGACGCGTCCCGACGTCCCGACGGCCGCGCGGCGTCGGCACACCGCGATGCGAAGCGTCGCGCGCGCGTTGAAGTGCGCGCGCGCGACGCGAGGCGCGACGACCGCGACGATCGCGACGACCGCGCGCGCGCCGGTCGACGGACGACGACGCGGGACGACGAGACGCGCGGGACGCGTCGACGCGGGACGACGACGCGGGACGCGCGCGATGGCGGTGAGCGGACGCGCGCACGCGCCGGCGAACGCGGACCCGATGGCGGGCGTCGACGTCGCGGCGAACGGGACGGCGTGGCGAGACGCGGCGGTGGACGTGGTGGTGTGGGCGGTGCGAGAGGAGGACGTCGGCGCGGAGACGGGGGCGCTGGAGTGCGACGCGCTGCGGGCGTTCGACGCGGCGTCGGGGGGGGCGGTGCGAGCGATGATCGAGGAGGGAGAGTTTAAGGGAAAGGTTGGGACGTCCGCGTTCTCGAGGGCGATCGCGGGGACGGCGAAACACGTCGGCGTGGTCGGCGTGGGGAAGAGGGGGGAGGCGACGACGAGCGCGATGTTGACGCTGGGATCCGCGGCGGCGGCGCAAGCGCAAAAGAGCAAGTGCAAGACGCTCGGGATTAAGGGTGCGGACGGATTCGAAAACGCGGTCGCGGCTGGGGCGTACTTGGGCGCGACGGAGGATCAGAGGTTTAAGTCCAAGCCGCAGGCGAAGACGCTCGAATCCGTGTCGTTGTTGGACGTCTCCGCGGATGTCTCCGAGGGTAAGGCGCGCGCGGTGGGCGTGCAGTTGACCAAAGATCTCGTCGCCGCACCGCCGAACGTGGTGACGCCGACCGCGATGGCGGAAGTCGCCAAGTCCATCGCCGCCGCGCATCCGGATTGCATGAGCGTGAAAATTTTGGAAAAGGCTGATTGCGAAAAGCTGGGCATGGGATCCTTCTTGGGCGTCTCCGAAGCCTCGGACGAACCGCCGAAGTTTATCCACCTCACGTACAAGGGTGCTGGGAGCGACTTGAAGAAAGTGGCTGTCGTCGGTAAGGGGCTGACGTTTGACTCCGGCGGCTACAACTTGAAGGCGGGCGCGGGGTCGATGATTGAGATGATGAAGTTTGACATGGGCGGTTCCGGAGCCACGCTCGGCGCCGCGAAAATCATCGCGCAGACGAAGCCAGCGGGCGTCGAATGTCACTTCATCATCGCGTCGTGCGAAAACATGATCGGTTCTCGCGGCTTGCGCCCTGGCGACATCTTAACCGCGTCCAACGGCAAGACCATCGAGGTGAACAACACCGACGCTGAAGGTCGTCTGACGCTCGCCGACGCCTTGGTGTACGCCGACAAGACGTGCGGTGCGACCGCCATCGTTGACTGCGCCACTCTCACCGGCGCCATCATCGTCGCGCTCGGCAACGACATCGCCGGTCTCTTTTCCCCGAAGGACGCCGCCGCCAAGCGCGTCGAAGACGCCGCCAAGGCGGCGGGAGAAGATCTCTGGCGTATGCCCATGCCCGATTCCATGTGGTCTATCATGAAATCTGAAATCGCCGACATGAAGAACACCGGCTCTCGCGGCGGCGGTTCCATCACCGCCGCGCTCTTCTTGAAGCAATTCGTCGACGAGAGCGTCGAGTGGAGCCACGTGGATTTGGCCGGACCGGTGTGGGACGACAAGAAGGGCGGTGCCACCGGTTACGGCGCAGCGCTTTTCGCCGCGTGGGTGTCGTCCTTTAAGAAGTAAGTGATTCCTTTAATTAAACTGTCCAACCATAAAAATTTAACGCGTCGCCGAATAGTCTTTTCTGCATCAGAGCGCGACGTTCGCCGTCATGCGTCGCGCGACGTCGACCGCGAGCGCGCGGCTGCTGGTTCTGACGTTCTTCGCGATCGCGTCGAGCGTCGCCGTCGCCGCCGCGGCGTCGTACGAGACGCGCTCGACGCGCGCGCCGCGACGCGCGTCCAGCTCGTCCCAGTCCGCCGCGCCGCGTTTCCGCGCCTACACGTGGGGAATCGGCGGCGAGCGCGTCGGGCGACCGTCCAACCCCTCGAGCTTGCCTCCCGCGCGCGTTGAATTGGACGAGAGCGCGGGAGACGTCGTCGCGATCGCGGCGAGCGGACACACCGCCGTGGTCGTCGAGCGCGGGTGGTTGTACACCGCGGGGCGAAACGCGTCGAGCGGTGGTGGCGGTCGGGGATCGCCCCCGATCGAAGATAGCGGACAGCTCGGTCGCGGTGGTAGTTCGGGGGCGATGGAGCGCGTGATCGGGGCGCTGAGCGATGAGGTGGTCACGAGCGTGGCGTGCGGACGATATCACACCGTGGTGTCGACGGAGAGCGGCGCGGTGTATTCGTTCGGGTTGAACGACGCGGGGCAGCTCGGGACGGCTGGAGTGATGGGTAAATTACCGATAAATGGGGTGACGTGTGATAGCGGTGGGAACTGCGATGGGCTCGAGCGAGCGAGCAAGGTTGAGGCGAAGGAGGGCTCGTCGTGCTTCGGCGGCTCGTCGTGTAGAATCGGGACGCCGCGTCGCGTGCGGTTTTCGAGCCACACGGTGGAGGTTAGGAGCGTTGCCGCAGGCAGGTACTCGAGCGCGGCGATAGCGAGCGATGGGACTGTGTACGTGTGGGGATTGAATTCTTGCGGCGATAGCGAAATAGGCCGCGACGAGTTACTCGCCGACGCGAGCGTCGCGGCGGTTCCGCGAGTAGTCAACGGCATCACCGACGTGACGCAGGTAGATATCGGGTACACGAATATGATTTTTCTGACGAGCTCGGGACGAGTGGTGACGTGCGACACCGGATTTACCGGGTATGCGCAAGTGCAAGCGAACGCGGATGTGAGCTTGCGGCAGCACATCACGTTTGCGGACGCGCCATCGACGCAGCGTGCCTTCGACGTCGCCGCTGGACGCTGTCACTACGTCGTTGCCACGGAAGGTGGCGGCCTGTACACGTGGGGCTGCGACGGTGCCTGGCTAGGCCGCGACGGCGATCCACTCAAACCAGCTCAAGTCGGCGGCGACTTGGCGTCTCGCGCCGCCGTCTCAGTCGCCGCGGGCGAATACTTCACCCTCGTCGCCACCGTCGACGGCGAAGTGTATGGTATGGGTGCCGCCGGTAACGGTCAACTGGGCGTCCAAGCGTCGAACTCCGGGCACAACTCCCCCATCCGCGTGAACGTCGGCGACGCCGTGGGCACCCTCGCCGTCGCCGCGGGATACCAACACTCGGTCGCCATCGTTCGGTCCTCCGACTAGCGGCGCTGTACATCACACTCCATTCATGATTTCTTTACGTTTCCTCGCGTTTTACGCGTTTTCGCGCCCTTCGTCGCCCTTCGTCGTCGCCGTCGTTTCGGCGAACCACGACCGTTAATTAATTCCCGAGATACGCGCGCGCCATTCCGCGCCGCCCCGCGCGTGCGCGCCGCCTTCCCGCGCCCACGGGCGAAAACTGACGCACGCGGACGCGATGAAGTCTCCGCCGAAGCTCCCGACGCTGCAGCGCGCGTCGACGAGCGCTAAAGTCCCGACTCTGGTCGTCTCGAATTCAAACGCCAAGCCGTTCGCGTATTACCTCTCCGAGGCGCAGACGATGCTGAAAACCCACGGCAAAGTGCGCCTGTCGGGCGTCGGGAACGCGACGCAGCACGCGCTGGTCGTGAGCGAGGTGCTGAGCGCGCGAGGGATCGGAAGGGTGACCGCGGTGCGCACGGGGACGGTGGCCAAGGAGGAACTCGCGGACGAGCACGCGGCCAAGATCGAAGTCACGATCAACGGCGCGTGATCGCTCGCGCGGCACGCTGTACGCTAGCTAACTATTATGATGGTACAATACGATAAGATGTGGTGTATTCCGTCACGTCGACGCGCGCGGCGGAAACTCGCGAAGCGCGCGCCGCGGCGTCGGCGCCTTTGGATTCCCTCTGACGTAAAATTCCTGAAACATCTCGATCGCCTCGCGCTCGAACAACCCACCGCGAGCGTCGTACGGCTTCCCCACGCCTCCCGCCCCCCCGCACGCGCCGCATCCGCGCGCGTGCGCGTCGAGCACGGTGCCCGCGCCGCCGAATTTGTCGTTCGCGCACCCGTACACCACCTCGCGCACGCCCAGCGCGCTCATCGCGCCCGCGCACATCACGCACGGCTCGCACGTCACGTACAGCGTGACGTCCTCGAATCGACACGCCGCGCGATCGCCGCCGTGCGCGTCGAGGAGCGCGTCGACGGCCTCGAACTCCGCGTGTCGCGTTCCGTTGCGCGTTCGATTCGTCGCGTTGCGCCCGACGGCGACGATCTCGCCGTCGCGCGCGAGCGCGCACCCGCACGGGACCTCCCACTCGTCCAGCGCGAGCCGCGCCTGCGCCAGGGCGACGCGCATGCGCGCGCGCTCGGCGTCGGTGAATTCGCGCGACGCGCGTCGCATCCGCGCGACGCGCGAAGTGGCGACACCGCGACGCGCGCGAGCCGACGCGCGCGCGCGAGCCGACGCGCGCGCGCGAGGACGATGATGTATCACTACGTCGACCCGCAGGGGCGCGAGCAGGGGCCGTTCGCGTACGCGCACCTCGCGAAGTGGTTCAAGGCGGGGTACCTGCGACCAAACTTGGGATGTCGACGACAGGACGAGACGACGTACGCGCGCACGGTGACGCAGGCGCTGCTGGAGGACGGCGCGATGCACGGAGTGCCGGAACACATGCTCGGGGAGGTGGTGCGACCGACGACGGCGGCGCGGACGGGTGGGGGGGGGGCGACGACGGTGAACGTGCCGCCGCCGCCGGCGACGACGGCGACGACGAGCGTCGGAAGGTCGGAGGAAGACGTCGCGGAGTGCATGGAACGTCTGATGATGGTGTTGGATCACGTGCTGGCGATCGTCCTCGAGGGAGGGCTGCGCGCGGAGTTCGGGGAGGTGTGGATGGATATGTTGCACACGCCGCCGCCGTGGACGCTGGAGACGACGCTGCGCGAGCTCAAGGCGAATTGGGGGTCGTTGTTCTCCACGCAGCCGCGACGAATGCGAGAAATTGAGGTTTTGCTCGATGCGGCGATTCGACAGCGCAAGAATCAGCCCATCGCGGCCGGTGGGTTGGCAAGGGACGTTTCGAGCGCGGCGGTGGCGTTGTTAAACGCGTGCCCGAAGACGTTTCCGCCGGAAGTCATCGAACATCTCAGGGTGGCGTGGGAGGAGTGCGAGAAGATACGCGCGCACCTTCACGCGTGAGTCGCGACGCGCGTTCGATTCGTCGAGGACTAGATTGTGAAATACTCATTCGTTTCTAGAGAGTACTACATCGTCGCGAGCTGCCGTCCTAGTCGCGCGCACCCTCGCTTGAGCGGAGACGCGATTCTATTTCTTCTAAAGCAAGCACCCCGCGTCGAGCGATGCATCGCCGTCGCTCTCGTCGCCGTCGCTGTGGTCGCTCCGCGCGCCGCCGAAGCTTGGACGTCGAGCGACGACGGTTTGTGAATACCGCAACGCTCGACGGTGATGCGCTGAAACGTCTCGCCCTCCTGCCTCGCGTCGCCGAGCTTTTGGAGAGCGTAAACGATATCGTACCCTTCGATGACCTGTCCGAACGCCACGTGACGATTATCGAGCTGCGGCTTCGCGTCGAGCGTGAGCATGAACTGCGAGCCGTTGCGACCCGGCTCGCCGCCGCCGTCGTTGTGCATCGTCAACACCCCTGGACCGCCGTGCTTGAGATTGAAATTTTCATCATCAAAGTACGCGCCGTAAATGCTCTGCCCCCCGGGCAACGCGTCCGGCAACAAGTTTGCGAAATCGAAGAAATCCGGGTCCTCGGCGTTGTAAATCACCTCGTCCAGCTTCGTAAAGTCCCCGCCCACGATCCAATTCGACGGATACACCTTGAACATCGTCCCCGCGTAGCACCCATACTCGCACAATTGCGCGAAGTTCTTCGCCGTGATCGGGGCGACGTCTTCCTTGACCTCGAACACCACCCTCCCGAGGTAGTAGCCGCCCGCGCGCAGCTCGAGGAAGCACTGCGGATTGGCGTCGTTGATCGCGTACGGCGGCGCGTACGGCACGGGCACGATCTTCAGCGGTTCCGCGCGGCTCACTCGGGTCTCCCACTTCACCGCGTAGACGCCGCCGGGGGCGAGCGGGAGGATGGATGGGATGTCTTTCTTCTCGGCGTCGTCGGGGACGTCGTCGGGCGTCGACATGGCGCGGGCGACGCGACGCGCGCGATCGGAGCGTCGCGAGGAAGGCGCTCGACGCGCGGGGTGGGCGCGCGTGGATGAACGCGGTGTGAGGACGACGCGCGGGGCGGTGTGACGAGGAGTCGCAAAGATTACGTGGATAGCGCCGCCGGCGGACGGCGCCGAACGCGAAGGGCGCGAGAGGATCGTTGTTATTTCGATGCAAAGAATTCGTTCAATCAATCGTGCTAGTCGATACTAATCATCATCGTCGTCTTTGAAGCGCTCGCCTCGCGCTCAGCGCAAGTCCACGCTCGACGCGTTCGGGATGCAGTGGGTGTGTAAAATTTCCTTCGTGGATTTTTTCGCCGCCTTGGTCTCGAGCACGATTTGTATCGATTGATCGAGCTCGATTTTCAAGTACTCGTGCTTGCAGCCTTCGACGATTTTCACGAGTTCGCGCAAGTTTCTCACGGATTTACCGTTCACGCCGCACACGACGACGTTGACGATGTCTTCATAGCCAATGTTGATGTCCGAGTTGAGCACTTGACTCACGACGACGACTTGATCGTCTGGCTTCTCCTTGTGCCCGTGCATCATCTTCGTCAGTAAACGCAGCGGAGCGTCGTAATCGTAATCTTTACCGTATTCCGATCGCAAGTACGGCACACACACCACGGTGAAGACGATGCCCGCGCAAATGTAATACGACGGAGGCTTGCCCTCGATGTGCACCGGAACGAGGCGGTCGTGCGGCGTCAACGAAATGTCGAAATTCATCATCTTGCCATCGCGTAGGACGGTGACCGCAGCACTATCGCCGACGTACTTGCGAGAGACTAAATAAGAAAAGTTAATGCGCTCGCCCGTTCTAAAAACCACGGTGCCGTCGGAAGCGACGTCGACGCCGTCGAATTTCATCAACACATCGCCGCGTTTCAACACCTTGGCAGCCGGCGCGAGAGGCGATAGACGTCGAAGCAAGACGCCGTTGTGCGCGGGTTTCATCCCGAGACTCTTCCGAAGCGATGGGTTCTCCAAGCGCTGGAACTCGCACTGCAGCGCCGGGAAACCGTTGTACACGCCCGTCCTCTTGAAGTCGCTAATAAAATGGTCGACGACGGGCGTCGGTATGATGTAGCCGATTCCTTCGGTGTCCGAGTCCTTGAGCGATTGAAACGCCACACCCACGCACTGCCCTTCGCGCCCGAACGCCGGACCCCCGCTGTTGCCAGAATTGATAGCCGCGTCGATTTGCACCCCCAAAAGCTCCGTCGCGCCGTGCGAATACGACGTCACCTCTATCCGACTAACCACCCCACTCGTGACGCTAATCGCGATCCCACCCACCGGATACCCAACCACAGTGACGCTGTCTTGCAAGCGAGGCAACACGCCGAACTTCACCGGCGCCACGCCCTCGAAAAACTCCTTCTCCTCCACCGTCAACAGCGCCAAGTCGCACTCCACGCCGATGGTCAACACCTTGGCCACGTACTTTTTATCGCTCCCGCGCTTCTTCAGCTTCACCTGCGTGTGATGTTCCACGCTGTGCGCGTTCGTCAGCACCATATTCCCCTCTATGACGAACCCCGTGCTCGTGCTCGAGCTCTGTCGCTTTCGCTGCCACGGCAGGCTCCAGTTCGGCTCGGTGTGCGTCGCGAACACCTTCACCACCGCGTCCAGCGGGTACTGCGGCGCGTCCTCGTCGTCGCTCGCCCATCCATCGACGTCCCCAAAGTAATCCACCGCGTCCTCCGACGACCGTCCGCTCGCCGGCGCCTCCGTCGCGTCCGTCTCGTCGTCCTCGTCCGCGTCTCGCGCGCCGCCTCGCCTTCGTCGCGTCGTCTCCTCCTTCACCGGCGTCTCCCCTCGCGCGCGCTTCGACGCGCGCGCCGGCGCCTTCGTCGCGCGCGTCTTTCCCGCGCGCTTCGTCGCGCGCGTCATCGCGCGTCGCGTCGTGCGTCGCGCCGCGCCGGCGATCGTCGCGCGGCGTCGAGACGCCGCGCGCGACGCACACACGGACCACACCACACCCGCGCCGCCCCGCCCGCGCGCCGCGCCCGCCCGCGCGCGTCGCACGACGCCGCGATGGCGCTCGCGACGGCGCCGCCCGCGGGCAACGTCGCCGACGCGCTCGCGTACGTCCGCGAGGTCCGCGATCGGTTCGCGCGACAGACGGGAAAGTATCGCGAGTTCCTCGCCGCGATGCGCGACTTTAAGACTGGAACGTGCGTCGCGACGTCGCGCGACGCGACGCGACGCGACGCGACCGACGCGCGATGACGCGCGAGCGACGAACGACTGACGACGACGACGACGGCGACGCAGGCTCACGCCCGAGGGCGTGATCGAGCGCGTGCGACGGTGCCTGCGAGGACACGACGATTTGCTCGACGGCTTTCGAGCGTTTCTGCCCGAGGTGCGGGACGCGCGAGACGAGACGGACGCGAGACGAGACGGAGACGGAGACGACGCGAAAACGACGACGATGGCGCGAGACGACGAAGGCGCGGTGACTGACGGTGACGCGCGACGCGCGGGTCGGGGCGCAGGGATACTCGACGGCGACGGCGACGGCGAGCGGGACGCGCGCGCGCGGACGACCGGCGACGGCGAGCGGGCGCGGAAGACCGAGAAAGGCGCCGAGCGCGCGGGAGGTGGCGATGAAGCGCGAATGCGAGGTGCGCGGGCGACGGCGACGCGCGCGCGACGCGCGCGCGGCGGCGAACGCGACGCCGATCGACGCGGGGAAAAGTCGGCTGGGGTCGGAGGGACTCTTTGACGAGTCACGACCCGTCGATCGTTTGAAACCACAGCCGTCCGACCGACCGACCTGATCCGACGGCGCGAACCGGCGGTTGGGGTCGCGCGGGCGACGCGCGCGGGACGGCGACGGTTTCGTTCGGTTCGCGAACGCGCGGAAGACGATCGAGCGCGTGACTGACTGTGTGCGCGAACGCGCGCGTGATAAGGCGACGCAGGAAACGGATGAGAATCGAAGCGCGACGTTACTGAGCGGACAAGATTTGCTCAAGCGCATTCGCGCGCAGTACGCGTCGGACGACCGTCCGTATCAGGCGTTTTTACAGACGTTGATTAAGTTTAGGAACAAGCAGTTCAGCGCGGAAGAGGTGGTGCAGAAGTGTGCGATATTGTTTTATGATCATCCGCAGTTATTGGAGGGTGAAAATGGGTTGGCCACCTTTGTGCCGAAGACGTGCAAGCCGCCGACGCGGTCGTCGTGGTTCGAGTGGAGTCCGGCGGTGCATCATCGCTTCAGCAGCGAGAGCTTTCGATTGTTCGTGCGCACGTTGTTATTGTGTGAGTATAAAAGTCGCTTAACGCCGCCGGAGCCGAAGATGCGGCGTTGGCGTCTGACGGATGGCGACAGTAGCGAGTCGGATAGCGACGACTACACGTCGTCGGACGAGAGCGAAAGCGAGAGTTCGACGGTGATAGAAAAAGAGTCTGGCACGCTTCGACCGGATCAAATTCCCGATCGATGGGTGGGTAAAATACACGACCGAACGTTGAGCGCGTTCGAGCGCCTGACTTTAGAGCTCAAACCGAAAGACGAAGAGTATTGCTGGGCCGACACCAAGGCGGCGCGCGAAGCCAAGGAGAGCAAGGACGCGATCGAACTTCGGGGCAAGCGCGGTCGCGGCGAAGAGCGAGATTTCACGACGACGCCTCGAGATTCACCATCACCGCCGCCGTCGTTTAATAAACGGCGCGCGAGCGCTCGCATCGTGGCCAAGGTGAACCGAGGCATCGTGTACAACCGCTATCGCAGCTTGGCGTCCCCCGACGGTCTCTCGCGCGGTCGCATGCGCATGACGCGATCGATGAGCACGGTGGACGACACCTTGCCCGCCAAACCAGATCGCAAGTTCTTGATCAATCGTGACGAAGGCAAGATGTCCCCGCTGTGCGCCGAGCGCATCGGATTACACTCCCTGCCCGCCGTCGCGCTCGAGAAAATCATCGCGTGCTACAGCGCGCAAGAGGGCGTCGCCGAGCTCAATCAAATTCGCGAGTCTCTGATCAAATCGCTCATAAAAAATAATAGGTAACGAAGCACGCGCGCGCGCCGCCGCACGGCGCGCGATCGATGTAAAGGCTATCATACATGTGGCATTAAACTCGTCCGAGCGCGTCAAGACCTACCTCCGCGATCCGCCCTCGCGCGCGCGATCCCCGCGCGCGCGTCTCCCCTTCCCCGCGTCTCGCCGCGCGCGCGCGCCTCGGCGCGAAAACGCGTCTCTACCGATCCTTCGCGCCGTCGCGCGCTCAGTGCCCGCCCGGATTCACAAACTTGCTCGCCTTTTTGTCCGCCTCCGTGATTCCCATCGTCGCGTAGACCACCGCCACGCCGACGGCGCCGATGCCGGTGAAGAACGGCCACGCCTTGGGGATCTCGCGCGTGAGCGCCGACAGAAAGCTCGTGTTCGCGTGCGGCATCGGTGCGGCGCGCGGATTCGTGAGGCGTGCGCGAGGTCGAGGACGCGCGACGGTGTCTGCGGTCTTCACATCGCGACGCGACGCGAACGCGCGACGCCGACGCCATGACGAGCGACGACGCGCGCGCGTACGATCACCTGGTGAAAATCCTCCTCGTCGGCGACTCCGGGGTCGGGAAGTCGTCGCTGCTCGCGCGATTCATCAGCGATTCGTTCGACGAGCAGGGCCCGACGGTGGGCGTGGACTTTAAACTGAAACACGTCGACGTCGACGGGACGAGGCTGAAGCTCACGGTGTGGGACACCGCGGGACAGGAACGGTTTCGAACGCTGACGAGCTCGTATTACAGAGGCGCGCACGGGGTCGTGTTCGTGTACGACGTGACGTCGAGGGAAAGCTTTGAGAACGCGCGCGAGACGTGGCGAAAGGAGGTGGAGATGTACGGAACGATCGCGAATTCGGTGAAGATTGTGATTGGAAATAAGATCGATAGGGAAGATGAACGAACGGTGGCGCGGAAGGAGGGCGTGGCGTTCGCGAAGGAGTATGGGTGCTTGTTTCTGGAGTGCAGCGCGAAGACCAAGGTGCGCGTGGCGGAGGCGTTCGACGAGTTGGTCAAGGGGATTTTGGACGCGCCGGGGTTGTTGGTGGACGAAGTCGACGATGGGGTGAAACTCGGCGCGTATGCCGATCGCGCGGGCGGTGGGTGCTGCTGAAGAACGCGAGCGGTACCGCGCCGTCGCGGGCGAGGAAGGAAATGAAACTCGCCGCGACGCATGTTGTAATCTAGAGATAGTATTGAAAGATCTTCAAAAAGCTACAGGCGCGCTCTCGGATCGGTCGAGACATGGTTCGTCGCCTCGACGTGTCGCGAGCGCATTTTTACGTGTACAAACATCGACTCGCATCTAGAGTGGCGCGGCGATGACTGCCTCATACTTCTTAACCGTCGTCATCAACGAGAGATCGAAGAACTTTTCGCCGATGCTCGCCGTCAAACCACCGATCAATCGAGGGTCAACCACGGCCTCGATCTTCAGCGTCGAGCCCGATGGGGCGTGGCCCTTGATGGATTCCGTAACCTTGGTGAGCTGCGCCGGGGTGAGCGCCTGCGCCGTCGTGATGACGCACTTCACCTCGTTACGGGAAGCCATGCATTGCTCTTCGAAGCGAAGCGAAATCTTGTGCAACTCCTTCAGCCGTCCGTACTCCGCCATCGTGGCGACGAAGTTGCTCGTGATCGGCGTAAACTTCGCGCCCGCGCAAAATTCCTTGACGCCCGCCAACTTCTTGCTCTTCGCCATCGACGGATCCATCAGAAACTGCTTAAACTTGAGATCTTTCTCGACCAAAGCCGTGAGCTACATCGATGAAATCACGCGCGCGTCGATCGTCGTCAGTCACTCGTCCTCGTCTCGCCGTCGTCGTTCCGTCCCCTCTCTCTCGCGCGCGTCGCTCGTCTCGCGCTTTCAAACTCACCTGCGCCACTTCACTCTCAACCGCGGCCAAAGACCCAGCCTTCGTCGCCGCGACGTACAACGCCGTGGCGTACCGTCCGCTCGTCCCGAATTGTTGCAAAGGCGCCTGCGTCGTTCCGCCCGCGTCCCAAAGTCAGTCCCCGCGCCCGATCCCCCCCCCCCCGCGCCCACGCCTCGCCGTCCCGTCCCTCGCCCTCGTCCATCGCGTCCTCGAATTTCCCACGCACCTTCACGTCCCCCCCGCTCGCCCCCTTCGCGCTCGCCGTCGCGTACGTTCGCTGCGAAGCGTCGTCGTCCGTCAGTCCTCGCGCGTCCCGATCGAATCTTCGCGCGCGTCGTCGCGCGTCGCCGTCGCGCGTCGCCGCGCGATTCGCGTCGCGTCGCATCGCGCGAATTTCGTCTCGCGCGTTCGCGCACCTCGAGCGTCGATCGCGCGGTCGCGCATCGCGCGAGTCGTCGAAGCATCGCGTCGTCCGCGTGTGCGGGTCGCGCGCGCGCGGGTCGACCGCGCCGCGCGGAAATCGCACGCGCGCGCGGCGCCGAGCTCGTAACACCAAAGACCAAAGCCGGCGCGCGTCCATCGCGCGCGGCACACGCGCGCGCGACGGCGAGCGCGCGCGACGACGCGCATGGCGCGACGACGCGAGCGCACGCGTCGACGCGCGCGCTCGCGCGCGCGATGGACGCTCGGCGTCGTCGGAAGCGCGGTCTGCGCCTGCGCGACCGCGATCCGAGGCGCGCGCGCGGGCAACGCCATCGGCGCGGCGCTGCGCGCGACGGGAGGCGCGACGCGCGATGGGCGCGATGGTGGACGGGAAAACGATGGCGCGCGCGGGACGACGCGAGCGAGCGCGAGGGCGAGCGATGGGGCGAACGCGGTGGGCGTGGAGGAGCTGGACGAGAACGCGCGCGAGAGCGAAACCGCGGCGGCGATTCGTTCGGGCGCGCGGGTTCGATTGACGGACGCGCGAGCGCGAGAGATGCTGAGTGGGACGATGATGGCGATGTACGGTGGCTTAGGGGAGACCGGGGAGACGACGAATTCGATGGACGTGCTCGTCGGGAGCGGGAGCGGGGATTATCTGGCGTGGTGTCGACGCGGCGAGCGCGCGAGCGCGGCGCCGGCGGTGGCGAGTGTGGGCGCGGCGGTGCACGCGGACGCGAACAAAGTCATGTTTCACGGCGGGTACAAGGTTTGGGACGCTGGCAGCGAGTTTGAGGACTTTGCCTCGACGCGCGCGTTTGATATGAAGACGGGTGAGTTTGAATGCCTCACCGCCGGAACCGCCGAAAACGAAAAGGCTGCGCTGGGCCAGACCCACGGCGCGTGCCCGAAACTCCACGGCGCGCACACTGGTAAGCGCGACGAAGAAGTGGCCGTCATTACCACTAAGCCGATTCGTTTGCCGAAAGCAGTGGCGAAGAAAGAGACGGCTCACGTCGAGGCCGCGCTCGGTAAACACTTGACTCGCCCAGAGCTTCCCGCGATCGACGTCGAAGACGAGGAAGACGACGCGACAACGAGCTCTGTTGAAGAAACTACCGATGGCGAAGGTGCGTCTGAGCTGGGCAGTGAGTCCAAGCAGCACGCCATGATCATCTTTGGTGGTCGCGACGAGAACGACCAACGCTTGGACACCGTCTACGCGCTCGGTCTCGAAGACAAGAAATGGCGGAAGATTGAGTACGAACTTCCAGACGAGCGAGACGACATGGTGCCCCAAGGACCGTTTGAAATGCCACTCATCGTGAAGAACGAGCATAAAAACGGGAAACCGTTTCCGCTTGGGCGTTCGGGCGCCACCGCGGTGGTGACCAAGGACAATAAGATGATTATTTACGGCGGCTTTGTCGTCGAGGGCCGCCTCGGTTTCAACGTCGGTGAAACGCTCGTGCTTGATTTAGATAAGATGAAGTTCAGCTACCCGATGACGAGTGGCTCTATTCCAGTTCGTCGTAACAAACACTCTGCAGTTCTTGACAACGAGAATCGCATGTGGATGTGGGGCGGTTCGGTTTGGGATCACACCGGAGGTAGCTCGACGTATGCGTCCACGGCGACGTACTACGCCGACGTGAGCAACCCCAAGTCCATCGTATGGCATCGTGTGGAAACGAAAGGCAAACCGCCGAGTCAGCGTCGATTCCATTCAGCCATCATCGTGGACGGCGGCATGTACATCATCGGCGGTGAAGACTATCGCACTCGGACGTACCTGAACGACGTCCACAGGCTCGACTTGAAGACGTTCACTTGGACGCAGCCCGCTGTTCTAGGTGGTCTCGAAGGTGGTCGAATCCGTTCGAGCATGTTCCCGTGGGTAACGGATGCGTTCAAGAAGCTGGCGCATCCTGAGGCGAGTTTAGGCAAGTCTCACCACGAGCACACGCACGACGACAAACACGAAGAAGATTTGAAGCGGAAGGTCTCGATCAAGGACGCGGATGAGGAAAAGCCAAAGGATGAAAAAAAGGACGAAACTAATGCTTTTTCGATCGACATTTCTACGTGCGGCAAAGGTGAACAGGCGCGCGTGCGCACCGGCGAGAACCAGCCTGAAATTGAGAACTTGATCTCGGTGCTCGTCGATGGTTCAACTTTGGCTTCCAAAAACGGAGCTCTCGGCGCGGAAGACCCGACCGACGCCGCATCGTTGGCAGCTAGTCTCGCTAGCAATGGCTGGCTTGCAAACACTGCTCGTGGAGCCTCGATTATGTCTGAATCCAGCATGGTGTGGCGCAAGGCGCCGAGTGTCGGCGAAAGCGAAGGCGTCCCGGGTTGGATCACTGATGCCGGCGGGCGCGATAGTTCGATCTTGACTGAAACTCTCGACGCAGATCCGGATGCGGCGAGCATCGAGGAGCGATTACTCGCCGCCGTCAAGGCAGTGTCTAGTGACACAAAACTTAAGTCGAGCGGCGGTAGCGCGCACGCGGTGAAGAAATCTGAAACCAAGGAACACGAGAAAGCATCGCCGAAGAAGCGCGTCGACTCAGAAGATGAAGATGACGAAAAGAAGACAAAGAAGAGTTCGCATCACGAGTCTTCGCCTCATCACAAATCATCGCGCGACCACGACGACGAGGACGAAGATGCCGAGGAGCCTAAATCCTTGAAATCGTCGCATCATAAGTCGTCCAAAGAGGCCAACCACGAGGATGACGACGAGGAATCGGAACACAAGACACATCACGGTTCTCGCCACAAAGACGAAGACGAAGACGAAGACGAAGACGAATCACGACACTCGTCTCACTCTCACTCGGCGTCTCACAAGAAGGAAAAGGTTCACCTCTCTGGTGCGGCCAAGATGCTTCAGATGATTCAATCCCAAGGTGCCGATGAGGCGAGGCTGGGTCGGGTCGCGAACATTCGCGCCGGCGACTCGGCACGTCACTTTTACTTGTGGAGCGGCGTCGCTCTGGTGGCGATCGCTGCGGCGATTCTTATCAACCAAAAGAAGACCGAGAAGAAGCAAGAGAGTGACGTCGAGCGAATTCCCTTAGTTTTGAGTAGCTCGTCGATCTCTGACTCGCCAAACAAGAGCGCCACGTGGCAGCAAGAAGCGTTAGCTCGCAGAGGGGTCAGGTATGGCGACGATTTTGACGAGCCATAGACAGTTTGTGTAGTTCTAAGATAATCAAGTACAAATCAAACGCTTTCGTCGTATTTTGCGACTGTGGGCCCCCCGCTTACTAATGGTTCGCTATCTTCGTCGTTGCTCGTGAATTTCCCTTTCGCGATGGCGACCAAAACTACGCCGAAGGCGATCGCAGTGGCGCCAAAGACAGCGTTGAACGCGACATACTTTCCCTCGTCAACCGCGATCAGTTGAACCTCCTCCACGCGACGACCAGGGATCTGGAGCCGCACGTACGACAAATCCTCACCGAGATCACCGTCGGAGTCATCACCGGTTTGTTCACTTTGCAAAATCCACCCCTCCGTCGGCATCTCCACGAGCACCTCGTTTTCGCCTTGTGCGATCGAGACGTTCGTCAGCGGCACTTGAGGATTGAACGCACACTCAGCATCGGGAGTGAATGTACACACCGAAAACCCAGTTGGCGCGCATCGAAGCGCGTAGACACCATCTCCGTGCTTTCCTTCCTTGTGATTCCAGAAATGACCGGGAGCGTCTTCACCGCATCCTTGCGTTACGCTACACGTGAAAACGCTGTTTTCGACGTCGTGAGCCGATTGACTAGCCGGATTGAGTTGCTTATTGGTCAGAGTCAATCCACCATGATCGTCAGCAATCATGTCAGAGACGTTTTGCGACGAATATTTGTCTGAAGTCCCGTACTGAGCTGCAGTGACGGTGTTTGCGTCGCCACACGAGTTAACGATGCCGAGCTCTGGACAGAACTGTGTACCGTGCGATCGCAAGTTGAGATCATCGCAGTTTCGCGAGCGAGAGTTTCGCACATTGAAACATTGCCCGATTTCGAGGTTCGGCGCGCAAGAACAAGAGCATGTGCCACTGAAACGTTCCGGGTCATCCTCGGTCCAAGTCGCATCGTGCGTGATGGAGGCTGTTTGTACTTTTGACGCGGCGACTTGATCGTCGGGAACAGAATTCACGAGTGTTTCCATTTGGTCGTTGTACGCATTTTGATCGGAATCCCCGAGACGCGGTAAGACGACTTTTCTCTCTTTAAGCGGCTCATTTTTGTGGTGCAAGCTCGCCCACACATTTTCGTAACTCGTGCCCGATCTAGAGAGCTTCGGGTAAGTCAATCGGTGATTTTGATCGCTCGATGGCTTCGGATCGATGGCGTGCGCGATGATCTGCCAGGCGCGTTGTACGACAAACATATCATTACGTGGAAGAACTGTGCGTTCAGATTCTGCAAGATCTGCTTGTTGAATAGCTGCACTGACGGCCGGACAAGTCGGCGACGAGCCCCACGTTGTACCGAGGCTGACGACGACTGTTCGCTGTTCCGGAACAGTGATCATCATCGAACCCATCTCACCGGCGTTAAACAAGACATCGTAGCTCGGCTCGGCTCCCGGAAGCACCGGACCGTCGTGTACCGGGCAATCAGCGCCCAAACCGCTGACGGAATTCGTCGGCGCCGACTCATTGCCAGCTTGCGCTTGTTCTTGATCGTTCATCTTTGATGCGGCGTGCACGTTGTACGTCCATCCCGCGAGACCAAAGTACCTTGACGCGTCAGGATAGGACGGTCGCATCATCGCACGAAGAAATTTTTTGTCGACGAGTTGTCTGGAGCCGCCGTCTGGCATTTTCCATCTCCCTTCGTTGACGATGAGTTGTCCGAAGCGAGCCATATCGCGGCAGCTCGCGAGCTGTCCGCCGACGAATGACATCTCACCTTTCGAGCTACCCGTACCTTGCTCGAAGAAATCGCCCAGTCCAAGGGGATCAGCGATGCGCTTCTTCGCGAACGCCGTCGGGCGCTGTCCCGTGGCGCCTCTAAGGACGCCGTTCAAATATTTCAAAGGCGACTTTTGGACGTCGTTATACGCCGCGTCGTTACGGAACTCCTCTCCTGGTACGTGGCTTCCATCCGAGCTCACCTGCGCGAGCAACTCGCGCACCGTAAGCGACGCCCAGTACTCACTATTCCACTCCGGCGGCGTATCACCTCCGAATTGTTGCGCGCGGTCCAGCAACTCCTTCACCTTGTCGTCCAGCGTCAGGTCCTGTCTCAGAATCGCCGCGCCGATCGCGAGTGCCGTCGCCACTTTCCCGACGTATCCCACGTTGAACACGCTGTTCAGCGTCGCGCCGTTGTAATACTCTTCGTGCACCACGACGCCGTCCTTCACCACCACCACGCAGTCGCGCGCCGGCAAGTCAAGCTTCAACTGCGTCGACCCCTCGATCAGCGCGTGACCGCGCAGACCGTGATCTTCGGGAAAGCTAGAGTACCACGACCCATTCGCCGGTCCGAGGACGTCGCGCGAGCCGAGCGCGAGGAGCTCGTCGCTGTTTTCGTACGCGTACCACGCGCCGAGCGCCAACACCACGGCGATCGCGACGGCGACGACGCGGTGGCCGTGCGCGGACCAGAACGAGCGCCGACCGTGCGTGGCCCACGCTCGAGTGTCTTCGTTCATCGCGAGCGTTCGCTCGCGCGACGGCGCGCGCGCGCGCGAGGATGTGTAGAGCTGATTCATCATAGGGTGTTGGCCCGCGCGCGGTGCGGCGGTGGTCGAAATACGCTGAATTACAACAAGAAAGCTATTAGTTAAAGCCAGGGGGTGCTGGATAAGTCGCCCGTCGCCGAACGATCGTCGAGAGGGTCGACCGAGCTCGTTCCCGCGACTTCCTTACCAGACTTGGCGCTCGAGGCTTCCCAACCGCCGAGCGGCTTGGACGTGTCGAGGAGCTCGGATAACGACTCGCCGCTCGGGATGGAGCCGGCGATGGCGAATTTCACGCCGGTTTTGTCGAATATTCGCGATAAACCCAGAAAAATGTGGTGACGAAGGCGCATTGTGGTAAACCCAGCCGCGCGGAAGACGCCGTAATCGTTATAACAGACGATTTCCAACACCGCGCCTCCCGCGAAAGAGTTCATGCCGGTGAGCGTGCAACGCGGGGCCAAGCTCACGCCACGAACGACGTCCGCGCCCACGGTTGACCGGAGAAAGCTCTCCACTTGCGTTTGTAAGTGCGGGACTTTGGGCAAGTCGTCGAAAGAAATCGCAAACTGCTCTCGGAACTCGCGATACGGCGCTCGCGAGAGGTTCTCCACCTTGTACGCCACCATGGCGCTGTTCGGGATGTACGCCACCTTGCCGGCGCGGTTGATTAACTTCGTGTACAAATAACCGATGCTTTCGACGCGACCGGAAATTTCGCGACGTCCTCCGATCAGGACTCGAATAACTTCTTTGGGAACGAACCATCCCGCCGCGATGACGATGAGGCCGCCGAAGTAGTTCGCAATCGTATCCCGCAAGACGACGGAGGCGAAAATTGCGAGCACGACCCCGGATGCGCCGAGCACTTGAAGCACCGCTCGCAACGGTAACCCTAACGAATCAAGCGCGGCCAGGCCCGTGATCCCCCAAATCAGCGCCGCACTCTCTCTGTCGTACACGTGCGCCGGTATTAAATCAGTCGGTTCCCTCGAACCGTACATTTTGCGCCGCAAGTCTCCCGCCGCTTTCGCGAGAAACTTTTTCCGAAAGCTCGTCACCACGCTTCCGTAATATACAATCTTCAGCATTCGCACCACGCGTTCGGGCGGTAACAGCGCGTGCGCGTCCGGGCTCGCGATCGGCACGATCACCGCGTACACGAACGCCAACCCGACGTTGAACAGCGCGCCTCGCGCCAGCAGATAGACGAAGCCAAAAACACTCTCCGCGAACTCCTCGTCCTCGTCTCGCCGTCGCGCTCGCATCCACGCGTTGTGCACCACCACCAGCGCCGGCCGCAGCGCTCCGACGGCGAGCATGAGAGAGAAGGAGAAAATCGTCGCGTACGCCAGCACCTCCGCCACGTTGAGCCTCGCCGCGCTCTGCAGCACCTGCGGCAGGTACGTCGCCGACTGTCGCGCGACTTCGTCCGAGATCGTGCTCGCCGTCGCTCGCGCGCGCGTCGAGCGTCTCGCGTCGCCGCGCGCCGTCGCCGTCGCCGTCGCCGTCGCGTCGCGCGCCGCGCGTCGCGTCGACGCGTCGGCGCGGTGGTTGGCGTTCGCGCGCGTCGATTCGCGTCGCGCGGACGCGACGCGCGGCGCGAGCGACGCGCGGGGGGCGGGCGCGACGGCGCGCATCGATCCGGACGCGCGCGCGACGCCGCGAGCGGGACGCGCGCGATTCGGCGCGGCGGTGAGTGCGGTGGGAACGCAAACATCTCGCAAACATCTCAAACGCGAGCCTCGCGAGACGATAGGGGGTCGTTACAGCGACTAATGCGGTCGGCGTGATGGTCGAAAAGCGCGCGCGCGAGCGTTGGGTGAGATGAGAGGGTCGAAGAATCACGGACCGCGACCGCGACGCGAGGCGAGAACCAAGACGGCGAAACCGAGGACGCCGCCGCCGACGGCGGTGGGATTCTTCTCCGTCGCGCGCTCCACGCGCTTGATCACGTTGTGCTTCGTGCGCTTGTACAATCGAACGGCCGCGCCTTGAAGTCTTCGAATGGGATGTTCCCGCACGCCAGCCTTCATGCGCTGCTTGAAGGGCGAGCGAAGCGGGCTGTCCGCGAGTTCGTCTTCGATTTCCTTCGCCTTCGCGCGCGCCGCGCTCAGCGCGTCGGAGAGTTTCACCTCCATCGCGCTCTTCGGTTTCGGCGTCGACGCCGGCGTCGACGCCGACGCCGACGCCGGCGTCGTCATCGATTTCGTCCTCGATCCCGCGGACTTGGGCGTTTTCAAAAACGAAAACGCCTTCTTCGGTCCCTCGCCCGTCGACTTTTTCGGCGTTCGTTCGAAACGCGCGTTCGCGTTCGCCTTCACCACGCTCGCCACCGCCGTCTCCACGCACGCCCGCACCCCGCGTTCCCGTTCCGCGTCCTCGATCACGCGTTCCACGATTCCGCGCGTCACCGCTCGCACCGTTCGCGCCCCCACCTCTTCCTCGTCCTCCGCGTCGTGAAACTCCTCCTCCGACCCCTCCGCGCTCGCGAACCCGTTCGCGTCCACCCACGCCGCCCGTTCGCCGCCCCTCACCGCGCCGTTCGACGTCTTCGCCCGTTTCACCGGCGACGCGCGTGTCGCGTCCGCCGTCGCCGTCGTCCCCGTCGACGACGCGTGCGCGCCCTCGCGCTCGCGCCGCGCCGCGATCGTCGCGATCTTGTCATCCTTCGCGCGCACCTTGGCCGCGCGTCGCGCGCGGTCCTCCTCCGCGATCGCGCGCGCGCGCATTCGAACCGCCTCCGCGCGCTCCGACGCGGACGGTCGCGTCGTGTGCGTCGCCGTCGCGCCGCGCGGCGTCGTCGTCGTCGCGGAATTCGACCGCGCGTTCGAATTCCGCGTCGTCGTCGTCGTCGGCGCGTCGCGCGCGGCGGCGGACGACGCGTCGTCGAACGCGGGCATCGCGGGCGGTCCGCGTCGCGCGCCGCGGCGCGACGACGCGCGCGCGCGTGTGCGGCGCGTCGCGAACGCGTCGTCGAACGCGACATCGCGCGTCGACATCGATCGATCGCGCGCGCGCGCGCGCAGAGCGCGGCGGCGCGTCACCGGGCGCGCGACGAAGACGCCGCGCGACCCGCGTCGTCGGCGCGCCGCACGCGCGCGGCGCATGGCGCGCGCGAGCGACGACGACGCGCGCGACCGGCGTCGCTCGTTTCGGTGTCGCGACGTCGTCGACGCCGTCGTCGACGGCGACGACGGCGCGCGCGCGCGCGTCGTCAACGTGAACGGCGTCGCGCGCGTCGAGGTGTCGTCGCGCGCGGGCGCGGGCGCGCGCGCGGGGCGGGTGGGACCGGTGGACGCGCTGCGCGCGGCGTGCGCGTGCGCGACGGCGGCGACGTTCGAGTCGAGGAACGCGCGCGAGGCGGCGGAGGGCGCGCGCGCGGTGCGAGCGATGCTCGCGCTGGTGCGAATGGTGTGCGAACGGCGGGCGACGCGGGACGAGGCGATCGAGCGAGGGGTGATGCGACGGACGTCGACGGCGGCGCGGGGCGTCGGCGCGAGCCTGGCGGCGCACGCGCGGGCGAGGAGGGGAAGGGGGGTCGGCGCGGTGTTCGCGTCGTGGTGCGCGACGAGGGACATCGGGGACGTGACGGCGATCGTGCGATCGCTGGTGGAGGCGTACGGGAGCGCGACGGCGCCGATGCTGACGATGTTCCCGAGCGAGGGCGACGACGGCGCGGGCGGTTTCGTCGAGGAGGATCCGGTGGGGGATTACCTGAGCGTCATCGCCGCGGCGTCGGATTGCACGGAGGACGTGGAGTATCGCATGGCGTGTTTGCGGTGGTTCGCGCGCGCGTGGTTCGACGAAGCGTCGACGAAGTCGTCGTCGAGACCCACGAGGCGAGACGCGTTGAACGCGGTGGCGGTGCTCGACGGAGCGACGCGCGCGCTGGAGAAGCACCTCGCGAGCGACGGCGATCGCAACGCCATGGATGGTTTGGAGAAACACGTCGTCGTCATCGCCGAGATGCTTCGCTTCATCGCCCTCGATGACGCTATCGATGATTATTTCGACAAAGACGTTCTGGGCGAGCGTTCGCTGCTCGGCGCGATCGAGTCGATTTGCCGTATCACGCGCTCAGTTCTATCTCTGTACACGAAAAGCGCGTCGGGCGACGTCAATGAGTCGTTGGCGATCATGCTGGTGTACCTGTTGGAAATCGTCGAGCTGTTTACGGCGGACACCAATGCGTACGAAGACATCGGCACCCTTCTCAGAGCCGACATCGTCGCCATCTTTTCGATGCCGCGCGCCAAGTTCATCCAGTTGTGGTCCCCGCATGGCGACATCGGTTCTCGGGTGACTCGACACCTTCTCGTCGAGTCTCACGCGAACACACCGGCGCACACGCTGTCCTTGTTCCGCATCGTCGGCAACTTTCACGACGTCGATCTAGGACTGGTGGAAACGAGCGTCGCCCTAGAAAACTTGCTGACGCTTCGTACGACGCTCGAAGGAGAGGTCGGGGCAAAGGCGCCGACGCAGGAAGAGATGGATAATTTCGCGCTAGCCATTCAAGCGTGGACGCGTTAGAGTTTAGTTACAAGTGTCCGAGTTTTAGTGTACAAACAGCATCACCGCCCCTGTTGGCTTTGAACGGCGTCGCTTGTGGCGCCGCCCGGTGGCGCCGCCGTCACGCCCCAGACGCCGCGACGAGGCGCGGATGCGTCGAGCGTGCGTTTTGTGTCCCAGTCCTCAGTCGTCCACTCGCCCATGCGATCGCGATTCAGATGCGCCTCCCAACTCCCGCCGTCGGCGAAACCGTATTGATGGACGACGTCGCGCTCATCCGCGTTGGAATCGAGCTTATACTCGACCGGACCTTCACCGCGAAAGAAATCAGGAAACAATGCGAGAAGTGACTTGTCCGTCGCCGTCACTTCATTCGAATCGGTGGCTGGAACTCGCTCGCTCCGCGCGCACTCTTTTTCGAAAAAGGCTCTGTACTCGTCTCGCCACGCGTCCGCCCCCTTCTCCTTCGCCTGCTCGTGAACGCGCGCGAAAGCCTTTTCGAGCTCTTCTAGTGCTAATCCCGGATGGTCGATCTCCCAAAATTCTTTGCGCGGCTCACCGGCGACGTCCATTTTCATCGCCTCAACCCCACGCATGGCTTCTTCGTTGAGCGAGTCCGTCGACGCCTTGATGGACTCCGTCGCAAGCGTGCTCGACGCGAAGTAGCGATGGGCGAGGATCTCCTCGCACGATGCCCGCATCGATGGATCGAACTGAAGCATGCGACGAAGTAAGTCACGCGCGTCGGCGTCGACGCCGTGATGAAAAAGAGTGTCTAACGAGCCAGCTCGTCCCGGGAGCGATCGCAGATACTCGCGCCAATGTGACGGCTTGATGCGCTCTATTTCCGCCCAACCCGGAGTGCCGATGACGTTGAACAGAGTGTCGAGCTGCGACCTTCTCTGCTCGGCACTTTCATCGCAGTTGTTGTCATCGTATTGCTCACCAGTCGGCGGCGACGCCAGTGCGGTGTCTTCAAACGAAAACAGCGGCTTCACCGTCAATTTTTGATTCAACGCTCCCAAATTCGATGACACTTGCCTCTGCAACAGCTCGGCGAAAATGCATCCCAACGCCCACACGTCGACCGCACCAGTGTAAGCTATACCTCCCATGATGACCTCAGGCGCGCGATAACACGGCGTCATCACGAACTTAGTGAGCGCCCCGTCGTCTACGCGTGCGCTCAAAGCGCTCGTCGCCATTCGCCGTCGCTTGGGCCCGCAGTTCGCCTCCGTCTCGTCCTCCAGCGCCCCTCCCATCGCCCCTCGCGCGCTGCCAAAGTCACACAGCTTGATCACTCGCCCCCCGTGTCGATGTTTTCCCAACAGCGTGTTCGCGCTCTTGATATCTCTATGCCAAATTCCAACCGAGTGCAAGTATCGCGTCGCCTCGCACGCTTGCTGCATCAATCCCACGACCTCCTTCGCGCTCAACTGCCCTCGCAGCGCGAATATATCCCCACCTTCCGCGTATTCAAAGCTCAAATACACATCTATAGACACCGCCTTGAGCTTCATCGTCGTCGCGTCCAACTTCTTCGCCCCCTCGTCGCTTTCCTCGTAAAACGCTCGTCGCAGCGTGCACACGTTGGGATGATTCGTCCTGCGCAGCGCGACGATTTCCCGCAGCACCTTCCTCGCGTCTCGTTCCGAGTGCAGCACGTTTGAAATGCGTTTCACCGCCGCCCTGACGCCGCCGTGCGTCGCGTCTCGCGCTTCGCACACCGCGCCAAAGCTCCCGACGCCCAACAACCGCGTCAACTCGTAACGGTGCCCGACGCGCCACGTCTCCGTCACCGCTCGCCCGCCGCCCGCGTCGACGTGGGTGACGTAATACGTCCCATCGTCACCGCGCGCGATCGCGCCCGTCATCGCGCGCGCGGCGTCGCGGCGCGCGGCGTCGAATGAGAAGAGCGCTTCGGCCCGTTCGCGACATCCGTCGAGCCCGTCGCCGATCGACGTCACACGCCGCCTCGCGCGCGCCGCGACGGCTCCGACGCGCGACGCGCGGCTCGAACGACGCGCGGTCGTCGCGCGATGGCGCGCGCGCGACGCGGCGACGACGGCGAGCCGCGCGTCGGCGCGCTCGTGTTCGCGACGGTCGGGAGCGCGCGCGTCGGCGCGGACGACGATGAGATCGCGCGCGCGGGACACGCGAACGCGCTGGCGGTGAGCGGAAAGTACGGATACCTGGTGCACGCGCGCGGAACGACGGCGCGCGTGCTCAGGACGAGCGAGGTGGCGCGCGAGGTTGAGGGTTGGCGCGCGAGAGAGGCGCCGGCGAGCGAACGGCGACTCGATGGTGATTGCGTCGACGCGTGCGCGCGATCGGACGGTGGAGACGTGATTGAAATCGTCAGCATGACGCCGGATGAACGCGCGTTCGCGACGTGCGATCGGCGCGGGCGCGTGGAGTTTTACGCGGCGAAGGATTCGAGCGACGGTAAGGCGAGAGGGGAAAAGTTTGGAGAGATGACGCTCGAGGCGCCGGTGCGGGCGGTGAAGTGGTGCGCGAATAGCGCGTCGTTTATCGCTTTGACGGGAGATGCGTTGATGTACGTTGAGGCGGTGGGGAAGGAGCCGAAGGAGATTGCGACGAACGTGACGTGCGTGAGCGCGCGAGCGAACGGGACGCTGGCGTGGGCGAGCGGTAACGTTATTTCAATCGCGTCGAGCGTTGATCCCGCGCAAACGGTGAAGGAAACGATCGAAATCAGTCCATTTCACGATCCCGAGGATTCGGTGGAAATTGACGGGGTGTACGTGCACAGCGCTGACAAGATTTTGTTCACCTCGAGAAGCGTCGAAGATCCCGCCGACTGCTCCTTGGCCGTGCTCAAGAAGGTCGATGGGAACTGGGTGTGCACGCGCCTCGAATCCGCATTCGACATCGATTCCGAAGTTGTTGATTTGACTGGTCCAGTACTTGATGCGAGCGCGTTCAGTCCGTGGAATGTGGTGTTCGCGACGCATCGAAAAGCTTGGGACAACCAGCTGTTGACTCTTCAAATAACGCGCGACGCGGATCCTTGCGTGCTCGAAGTCGAAGACGACAGATGCAGCGCTTCGGTGCCGATGACTGAGGACGACGAAAACAACTACGTCACGGGCTTAGGATTAGACTTGACTGGCGCGGGTGGAACCATGCTCAACCCGCAGGATAAAAGCGCGCCCGAGTTGGCGAAAGGACCAGCGATTGTTTTCAGCACCACAGATGGAAGAATTACGATTCTGAAATGTGCGAACTTGGACACCGAGGAAGCGCGAATCGGAGCGCAGTCGATACAGACGCAGCTGACGCTACCGACGGATTCGCCGCCGGCGATGATTCAAGCAGGGTCGTCTCCAACGCTCACACCTGCAAAGCCTTCTTTCGGCTTCGGTTCGGCGCCACCGGCGACTCCAACGTTGGCTTTCACGGCCAGTTCGCCTGCCGCTACGGCGGCGAGCACGCCGGCGTTTAGCTTTAAGCCCACTGAAACGTCCGCGACACCGGTGGCTTCGACACCAACCTTTAGTTTCAAGCCGCCGGAAGCGACTGCAACGCCTCCTCCAGCGTCCACACCTGCGTTCAGCTTTAAGCCCGCCGAGGCGGCATCGACGCCGGCGTTCAGCTTTAAGCCCGCTGAGGCGGCATCGACGCCGGCGTTCAGCTTTAAGCCCGCTGAGGCGGCATCGACGCCGGCGTTCAGCTTTAAGCCCGCTGAGGCGGCATCGACGCCACCCCCAGCTTCGACGTCGGCGTTCAGCTTTAAGCCGCCAGAACCAGCGAAGACGCCACTTGCGTCGTCAACGCCAGCGTTCAGCTTCAAGTCGCCCGAACCTTTGGCTTTTCCGACCGCGTCTCCTGCGTCCGCGCCGGCGTTCAGCTTTAAGTCGCCCGAGCCAGCCAAACCACCGGTGTCTCCGACGCCAGTGGTGTCTCAGCCGACGTCTTCTCCCAAGCCTATCGAAACGGTAAAACCAATCGAGAGCGTGAGTTTACAGTCTGTCGCTCCGACGCCACCGCGAACGACACCACCGCCGAAACCGGCGACGCAGTCCGCGGCCGCACCGCAATCGCCAGTCGAGAAAGGCATGGAACTTCTCAAGCGGTTGAGCATCGGGGAAATCGACGTAGACACGGCACAGCTCGAGCTTAAAGGATTGATTTTGGATAGCACACCGACAAAGAGCACAAAAAAAGACTGGAGCGTATCTATGGCTAAGTTTACGCCGATCGATACCACGCGTTCACCTGGCGTAAACTTGCAAAGCTCTCCGCTTCCTTCCTGGGGCAAGAAATTAGAAGACATTAGGCGATCGAAGGAGCAAGCGAGCTCGGAGGCGGACGGCCTTAAGGCGATAGAAGACGATATGGCTTCTGTGATCGCCGAAGTAGGTGCCATGCTTGAGGATGTCACGAGCGTGACAAAATCTTTAAGCGGCGAAATCAGTGATGGTTTGATGCCAGGAAAAGCAGACATTGCCAAGATTGAACAGTCGTCGGCGTCTGCGAAGACGACCATCGAATCGTTGTTGGACGGGAGCAATCAGTTGCGCAGTCGACTCAATGAGTTGTGGGCCGCAAACGCTTCGGACGAAACATTGCGAAGCGAGCTAGAGAGCTTGATTTCGGCGGCGTGTGAAGAAATCGATGAGAACTCAAACGTCGACGATACGCGGGAACTCAGTCCTGCATTGAAGGATGTCCAGGACAACATGCACAAAGACATGCGTACGGTGCTAGAGATGGCGGCGGATCTCGAGGCCTCAGTTGAAAGACTAGAAGCCGCCAAGAGAGAAGCCAATCGCCCTAAGCCGAAAACAATTATTCGTAGTGGATTGATAGCATCAAAGGTAGACACCTCCGCGAGTTTCACCGCGCAGATGAACGGCATTGTGAAAGCCATTAACACGCAAGCCGCGGTGATTGAGGCGCAAGCTGAAAAGTTGGATACACTTCTGGCGCGCGTTCAAGAAGAGGACGCGCCGCGCGTATCGAAGATTAAGAGCACATTACCAAAGGAAAACACGCCGCCGATACCGGCGAAACCGCTGAACGTAACCGCGAAGAAAGCTGTTGAGCCCGAGCGCTCAGCGGAACCCTTGATGCTCAAAACTCCCGTGAGTAAGATAGTGGTTGCGGATGAGGGTTTGGGGGACGACTTGGAAACTGTCATCATGTCGAGAATCGCGTCGACAAGAATCACGACGGTGAAGAAAACGACTCCACCTAAACCGAAGCAAATTTCGCCGATCAAACCTGCTGCGATTGAAAAGAAACCAGCACCCCTAGCGGCGTCGCAACCGGAGTTAGCAAAACCGTCGGCACCGGCGATGAGCTTTGGCGCCGATTTCTTGGCCAAATCTCAACAAGATTACGCCGCGGCTCAAAAGGCGTTGGATGAAGATTTGAAGAAAGCAACGACACCGACGGAGTCGAAACCGGCATTCAGTTTCGCCGCAACGCCCGCAACGAAGCCAGCCGAGACCGAGTCAAAGCCGGCGTTCACGTTCGCTCCGCCGGCGGCGAAACCGTCACCGTCTACCGAGTCTAAATCTGCATTCACGTTTGCTCCTCCATCAGCAAGCTCGAGCGCAACGGAATCGAAGTCGGCGAGTGCGGCAGCGCCGACGATGAGTTTCAGCGCTGACTTTCTCGCCAAGGCGAACAGTGGGTATCAGAAAGCCCAAACTGCGCTTGAAGAAGAGCTCAAGGGTGAAAAAGTGGAGGAGAAGAAGTCAGAGGCAAAGTTTAGTTTCGGTATCCCTGCGAGCGCACCCACGTCGACTTCGACGTCTGCAGCGACACCGGTAAGCGGTGGATTTGGTTCGAGTGCTCCCGCGTCGAAGCCCGCTGGTGGATTTTCTTTCGGTACACCGGCGAAGGCCACGGCAGATTCAAAGTCTGAACTCGCGAGTGCGCCCGCGTTTAGCTTTGGTGCGAAGCCAGCCGAAATAAAACCGGCCGGCGACGTTAAATCAAAGGAAGTACCAGAAGAAGAATCAAAGAAGGAAGAATCAAAGGAGGCAACTACGCCCGTTGCGGCGCCACCCATGAGTTTCAGTGCGGACTTTTTGGCCAAGGCAAACAAAGGGTATGCTGCGGCGCAAGCGGCGCTAGAGGACGACCTTGCAAAGGCGACACCCCCGCCTGGTACGCCGCCAGCGAGCGCGGCGAGTGCGTCGCCAGAGAAGCCGCTTAGCTTTACTGCCGCGACGCCGTCGCCAGCACCCAAATTCGGAATTACCGCAGCGTCGAGCTCGGCGAGCTTAGCCACGGAAGTCGCGCCTTCGAAACCTACATTTGGGTCGTCTGCGAGTTCAGCCGCGACTACAACGACTGGTATATCATCTGGCTTTGGGAGTTTCGGTTTCGGCAGTTCTACGAATTCTGCTTCAAGTGGCGGAGCAGGCGCGTTTGGGTCTACCAGTCCAGCCGCAGCCGCGGCGTCCGCACCAGTGTTCGGTGCTTCGACCTCTACAAGCTCGCAAAGTGCGCCCGCATTCGGTGCTTCCAGTGCATTCGGTGCTGCAACCACGTCGAGCTTCGGTGCAGCGCCGGCGACGAGCGCGCCGGCGTTTGGAGCAGCGCCGGCGACGTCGGGCGGTTTTGGTAAATCTTCTGGTTTCGGTGCTGCGGCAACGACGAGTGCACCCGCATTTGGGGCACCTTCGGCATTTGGTGCCGCGACAACGACAAGTTCACCTGCATTCGGAGCACCTTCAGCGTTCGGTGCCGCGACAACGACGAGCACGCCTGCGTTTGGCGCACCCTCTGCGTTCGGTGCCGCGACAACGACTAGCGCCCCGGCTTTCGGTGCGCCTTCTGCCTTTGGTGCTGCGGCGGCGGCTTCCACGCCAACAGCATTCGGAGCTGCAGCCACAGGAGCGAGTGGCTTTGCGGCGGTGGCGAGCAGCCCATCTCCCTTCGGCGCCGCGGCAACCGCGAGTGGGGGATTCGGCGCCGCCGCGACGCAAGCGACGACTGGCTTCGGTGCGGCGGCGGCGCAAAACTCCAACGGATTCGGTGGTTTCGGTCAATCTACGGGAGGTTTCGGTGCGGCGGCGACGCAAGCGACGACTGGTTTCGGTGCGGCGGCGACGCAAGCGACGACTGGTTTCGGTGCGGCGGCGACGCAAGCGACGACTGGTTTCGGTGCGGCGGCGGCACAAAGCTCGAGTGGCTTTGGCGGTGGGTTCGGCCAGCCCACGGCGTCGAGTGGCTTTGGCCAGCCCGCGGCGTCGAGTGGCTTTGGCCAGCCCGCGGCGTCGAGTGGCTTTGGCCAGCCAGCGTCTCCCGGCTTCGGCGCGGCCGCTCAAACTTCCGCCTTCGGCGGCGGATTTGGTCAACCTGCATCGGCCGGCGGTTTCGGCCAGCCATCATCTCCGAGCGGGTTCGGACAACCGCAACAACAATCCGGTTTCGGCGCTCAAAATCCAGCGTTCACTCAAATGCGACGTTAAAAAGTTCTCACCGTAGAAGGAAAAAAAGTGACATCACATCGACGACACAAATCACGACCGCGTCTCGCGACACTCGCCCGCGCGCACTCGCGTCGAATCGAAAGCGCGAAACGCCTCGCATGCGCCCGTCTGCGCTCGCACGCCAAACCCTCCACGCGCCCGCGCGTCGCGTCTGTCGGCCGCGCGACGGTCCCGCGTCGTCACCGCGCATGACGTCACGCATCGCGCGCGCCGTCGCGCCCGCGGACATCGATCTCCCCAACCCGGCGGCGATATACGACGTGTGCGACGAAGAATCCATGCTCTACGGCCCCGCGAACACGTTCGCCATCAAACCGGATGATCTCATCGTGCGATGCAAGACGGTGCTCAAGAATGGCTTCGCGAACATCGCGGGTGATTTGGCGGAAGATTTTCAATTCATTGGCCCCGTGGTCGGACCGCTTCCGGCGAAGGCGTTCGTGAAAGCGGTCGGGGGATTCGATCTCACGCAAGGATTCCCGGACATGAAGAGTAATTATTACCATTTCCGAGTCGACCCGTACGAGACGAATCGGGTTTGGTTCACGAACCGAACGACGGGGACGCACACGGGAAAGCTCGCGGGACGATTCGAAGCGACGGGGACGCGGGTGGAATGCCCGCCGCAGGCGCTGTCGATGACGTTTAATGCGGAAGGGAAGGTGACGAAGATCACGGTTGGAGTGGTGATGGACCGCACGCTCGGTAATACGGGCGGGCTCGGTGGCGTATTTGGGTTGTTCAACGCCATCGGCTCGCCTTTGCCGTTCCCGGAGGCGCGACCTTGGAAGATGAGCAAGCGTTACCGATTGTTCCAATGGATCGGGAGGCTCGCGAGTCGCGGGAACGACGATTAGACACAAAATTGAATTATTTAAATACAACAACGCCGCAAAGAATTGATTTACTTTCACTGTGCCTTCTCGGCACGACACGCGTCAACTTCGCGCATAAGATTTTGATTTTCTCGCATGACGCGATGAAATTCGACTCGGCGCGAGTCCGCCTCCGCCTTGACTTGACGGCGTAGCGCCGCTATGGTCTTCTCTAAATGATCTCGCTGGCGCTTCGCTTCCATCTCGCAGGCTTCGTCTCTCCATGCTTCGAAGGCTTCATCGGTATTGATGTACTTGTGGTACATCGCCTTCACGCTTTCTTTGAGGAGTTTCGCGTCTTGAATGTTGTTCGCGCACTCGTGCAAATCGCGCTGGAACCTCTTTACGACGGCGGCCGAGTCAGCGCTTTGTTTGCGCGTCCGCAGAACGTCGCGCTGAAGAGCTTCACGTTGCGACTTGACATCGCGAACTTGCCTGACGAGCGCGGAATTTGAGTTGTAATACCTCAACAGTTCCTCATTCATGGCTTCAAAGTCCGATTCGCGAGCACGCACGCGCTCCTCCAAAGGACGCTGCTGCTCGCGCAAATCATCGGCTACTTTCGCGAGTTCGGCTACTTGTTTCTCGGCACGAGCAAATTTCGCGTTTGCACGCACGAGGTTTTTATTCTTCGTCTCGATGGCTCGTTCGTGACTGTCGATGGTGTCATGTAAACTTCCCGCCTCTGCTTCGAGCGCCGCAATCGTCTCCGCCATCGTCGCCTTTTCCGCGCGCAAGGTTTCGATTTCTTGCAATCGTGCGTCTTCATTCTGCTTCACAACGGCATACTTGGTCTTTGTGACGCCGTTTTCTCCACGCAGAACCAAGCAACTATCGTGTTCACGCCTTACACGCGCCTCGTAGGTCGCCTTCAACTCTTCAATTTCGGCGTCGACTTCGGTGTCCATAACGCTTCTCGCGCGCTCGAAATCCTCGAGCATCAATTCGCGATCCTTCTGGAGACCGTCGATGTCTGACTTTAAGGTTGCTATCCTCGCGTTAAACACTCCTTTCATGATTTCTATCTCCTTTTCGTGTTCATCGACAAGCTTCGTTTCCAGCTGTTCCCACTCAGCCTTCGCGGCGTCGCTTTGCATCTTGAGATCGTCGAATCGCCGCACTTCCGTGAACATTTTGCTCGTGTAATCATCTTCCGCCTCCGTGAGTCTTTTCTCGTGATCGTCTATCGTACGCTCAAGTTCACGTTTCGTGTCTCGCACAATTGCATCACGCTCGCGCTCGAGCGCTGACACGCGTTGCTTCTCGTACTCAAGTAATCGTGTCGCCTCGTCCTCGGTCGACTTCACCTTTTCGTTCATCTCGGCTGTCTTTAACCGAAGTTGGTATTGCGACTGTAACGAAATTTCTTTCACCTGGTTTTGAAGCTCCACTATACGTTGATTGAGTTCATCTAAGTCACATCGCGCAATGAGAACTTCGTCCGACGACAAGACATCGTCTTTTGACGCCATTCGCGGCGCGATTTCGCCAGCGCTTCGTTCTGCCGCGTCAGGTTTCACATCGTACGTGAACAAGCACCCATCGTCGCCAGCGCTGTGCAGCGTGGTCTCATCATAACTCAACTTCAACGATGTGATGGGTTTGCCGTGTCCTGTGAATTCGACGTACTCACCCGTGAGTGGAATCTTGTACACGCGAACGCCGCCATTCGCCGTGGATGCGAACAATCGATGCAAAGAGGCGCTGTACGCAACGTGCGTCAATGCGACGCCACCAGACGAGAACTCGCGCACGACTTTCAATTCATCGTCGAGCTCTTTCAATTTTGCGTCGCTGGAGCACGCGATGATTCCGCCTGTTTGTCGAACGACGGTGATGGAGGTGTACGCGCTGCCTTTGTGAACATGTTCGCGTCGGCGCGCTTTTTCATCATCCTTGCTCGCGGCGCGCACGTCCCACTCGTAAATTGCGCCATCAGCGCCAGACGATATCAGTGTCGCGTCGTTATTATCCCACACAACCGATTTTACTTTTCCACAATGACCTCGCAGCACCGCGATGGATTCAAACGTGAAGACGTGGTACACGTAAATAGTCGCGCCGACGGCGGATGCCACGAGATGTCCTCCCTTGGAAAACTCAACAACGCGACACGCCTTGAGCGCAAACTCTCTCACGACGCGGAAATCGCCGTTGAGAATATGCATAAGGCGCAACTTGTCGCTAAAACCGACGCACGCGATCCAACCACTCGGATGAATAGACACGCAAAGCGGGTTGTCGAGAAATTCTTTCAACACCTCGCACTCGTTCGACGTCAAGTTCCATAAACGCATCGATTTATCCGTCGCACTGACGCTGACCATGATGCGGCGTCGACGACAAATGTCCAACGACGAGACACCGTTGAGGTGTGCGTCCGGCAGCACGCGTTTGAACCGCATTTCGTTCGCTTGCATAATATCCGCATTCGTCAACGACAGCGCGAGCACGTGCTTGTTGTCCAGAGTACAGATTACGTTGTCACTAGAAGGAGAGATGCTCATCGCGACGACCGAGCGCGCTACCTGAGGCTCGAGCAAAGCCGGTTCATAGCCTTTAACTTGATCTCCATCCATGATCGACGGCACTCCGCTGGTCGAGGTGTCGTACAAATCTTCATCTGCGCTCGCGCGCGCGGCGAGAGTCTTGACGCATTTGTACGCGCGTCCATTCTTGACCTGTTTTTTCGGTACTCGATCGACGATCACGACATCCCCTGAAGATCCTGCGGTTATAAAACCGTTTTTATACGACTCGACGCAGTTTACGCGCGTGCGTGCGTCGAGATCCGACGCTGGGAGCGCGTTGCTCGTTTCGCCGCCGCCTCGATGCACGTTCAACTCATAAACGATTTCGTCGCCCTCCAAGACGATAACCTGTCCAGTGCTCGTACCGATGGCGACGTGCTTGTCGTCGCCCTTCAACCATAGGTGCGTCGTTGCATCACGACCTTCGTCTTTCACCAAAGTGTTCAATGCCTTCACCATCAGAGGTTTCACTGTCGTTTCATTTGCTCTGTACATCCTAAACACACCCCCGGCGCACACGGCGCTGATGACCCCCGGTTCGTGCGGGGAAAACGACGCGTGCTTTATTTGTAAAGTGGGATCGGAGACACGTTGCGCAGAAGAATGTTCACCTGCGACCGTGCTAACAACACGCCGAGGCGAGGGAAGTTCCACCGCCGAGCCGTCGACGACGTTCCAACAAACGAGAGCGTGCGAAGTCGTGCTGTATCCCAGTATCGAGCGCCCGTCTTCCGAAAAAGTCAAACCATCTAAAGACACACGGTCGCCGACGCCACCGCTGGCGTTTACTCCCACGTGAGGCTTGGAGTCCATCGCACGCGTCAGCGTCCTTTTTTTCTTAAACGTCTGCGAATCGTACATCGCGATGGAACACTCGCCGCCGTCGTCGAGCACCGCGACCGCGATCATCGACGACGATGCGTGCGCACACATAGCGCTCACCTCGCGCACATCCTTCGCGATCGGTAAGAATCGTTGCGTTCCGGTGGCAAAATCATACACCACCACCAACTTCCCCGCGACGTACGCCACCGACCCGTCGTCGATGAAGTGCGTTCGCCCTCGCGCACCGGCGTCGAGACCGAACGCCGCGCGCCGCCGCATCGCCATCCCACCTGTCCCCGCGCGTTTACTACCCGCTGGATTCGCTTCCATGACCCCACGCGCCGAGGTGTGCGCGCCCCGCATCCCTTCGTCTAATTTTAGCCTCCGCGAGCGCGAGCGCTCGCGACGTCGTTAACAACGCCTCAACAAGCGCGCGCATCAACGCCCAGCATCATCGCTCTCGCGATGCCTCGACACGTCGCGCGTGATTCTCGCGCACCGACCATCGCGACTCCGCGCGGCCGTCATACATCCCATCGCGCGCTAGTGGTCGTCGTGCGCCGAATCCATCATCTTCAGCTCGCCCCGCAACTGTTCCATCTTCAGCCCCATGCTCCGTCGCACGCGTCCTCTCGCGTCCTCGCTCGCCGCGCTCTCGAGTAATTTTTCATACGCCGCCATCGTCTTCTCCACGCACGCGCGCGCGTGCTCGGCGTCTTCGTTAAAGTACGTCGACCCGACGCTCTCCATGGCGGCTTCGATTTCCTCTCGCGCCTCGGCGAACGCGTCGTTCACCTCGTCCTCGAGCGCTTTCCCGGACGCGAACGTCCGCGTCGCGCGCGCGACGTCGACGCGTCGTCGCGCGGCGGCGACCGTCGCGCGCGCGAGACGGCGCAACATGATGAATGAGCGAGTGAGCACGCGGGCGCGTCACAGAGTGCCGCGTCGCCGCGTCGTCGCGTCGTCGTCGTCGTCGTCGTCGTCGTCGTCGTCGCGCGCGAGATGTCGATGGCGCGCGTCTTTCCGCGCGTCGCGTCGTCGCGCGCGCGGACGCCGCGCGACGGCGCGCGCGCGAGACGCGCTCGGCTGACGACGACGCGCGCGACGACCGAAAACGGCGGCGACGGCGACGCGGGCGCGAAGAAGGTCGGTCGGTTCGTGCGAAACGATGGCGCGACGCCGCGCGCGCCGCTGGGGAGCGGGCCGGGCGACGTCGGGCCCGCGGGCGTGGCGCCGCCGACGTCGACGATGAACGTCAAGGTGATTCCGCTGGAGGAGACGCGGTTCCAAGGCGTGGCGAACGCGGCGAAGGCGGAGACGGCGGCGGAGAGGAATTATAGAATCGCGCAGTTGGTGGTGGGCGATTGCGCGGCGCTGCTGGCGTTCGCGGCGATCGGTCGGGGAAATCACGGGGAAGGGATGTACGCGGCGGATGTCGCGGCGACGGCGGCGCCGTTCGCGCTCGGGTGGTTCGGAGCGATGAAAATCGGGGATAGTTTCGGGAAAGACGCGCGGGGGAGCGATGGAATGAAAGCAGCGGTGAGCGCGGGAAAGACGTGGGCGGTCGCGGGACCCGTGGGTTTGGCTTTGCGCGCGCTCGGGAAAGGCGCGGCGCCGCCCGCGCCGTTCGTCGTCGTCTCGCTGACGTTCGCGGGTGCGTTTTTAATCGGTTGGCGCTACTGGTTCGCGAACTCGAAGAGCGACTCGGGGCGCGGAAACAAACAAGGCAACCCGCTCGAGTTCATGAACTTGCTCTTCGGCCTCGTCAAGCGCTGGTGAATCCGGGATCGTTCGTCGTCGTCGACATTCGACTCGGCGCGCGAGGATAAAGTCGCCGCCGCGAGCGAGCGATCGCCGCCGGCGGCATCGCTTTTGTAAGCACTATTCGTTTTAATCATTTTCACACGCTTTCTACATCGGTTCGTTCGCCCGCGCGATCGTCGCACCGCGCGCTGGATGCGCCGCGCCGCGTTCGGCGTTCGCGTTGACCCGCGCTCGACGCCGGGCAGCCAGTGGCAGCGAAGCCATGCATTCACCGCAGAAGCGCTCGCTCGCGCGCGTGCGCCCGGTTTCGACGGCCGCACGACGCGCGCGCACTTGTGGCGTCGTCTTCGTCGCTCGTGTCGCGCCCGAGACGCCTCGCACACGCGAGCGTCGACGTCAACGCGTCCGCTTCGTGAGATCGCCGGTCGCGGTGACGAGCGAATTCGCCTCGCCGTGATCGCGCGCGCGCGAGATGGGGAGCCGTGGCAAGCGAATCGTCGAGATAGGTCCCGATGGAACGAGCGAAGGGAGCGAGGACGAGGCGTTCTGGGCGGAGCAGCCCGCGCACACGGCGAATCGAGCAGAGCGGAGGGCGGACGCCATGCGCGTGCTGGACGTGCAGTCGAACGATGACGCGAGCGCGGTGGCGCAAGCGTATCGAAAGTTAGCGCTGAGACATCATCCCGATAAACACCGAGGGGATCCGGACGCGGAACGGAAGTTTCGAGAGATCGTCAGAGCGTACGACACGCTGACGAGGGAGTACGGACTGTCGGGCGAAGCCGCAGCGACGGGATCGATGCAAGATAACTTTGCGAGCGCGGCAGACATGCGTGATTTTGCCGCGAGCTTTTTTGAGAGCTTTTTCTTCGGTGGAGGGTCGTTCGCGGGTGGTCGAGGCGGGGGCGGCGGTCGACGAGGGGAGTATGACGACGCGAGCAGTCGCGACTACGACGACGACAGCGAGGGCGACTCTCTTCCTAGCTTGGATGACTACGACGACGACGACTACACCGACGACGAAGAGTATACGGATTTACACAACTTCTTCGGGAGCGATCCACCGCCAGGGTGGGCTTCGCGAGGGGCACCCGGCAAGTGGTTTGGACGTCCGGGGAGTAGTCAAGGGAGCGGGGGACGACCGTCCATGACGGATGATCAACTCTTTGAGCACTTGGAACAAATGCGTAAAGAAGCTGCGCGATACGCTGCGGAGCTGGCGAAGCAAGAGAACGAGGCTCGACGAGCGAATGAACCTCTGGAGAAGCTTCAACGCCCGACGCTGGTTTCGCGCACGGATGACTCCATTACGCTCAACTTGTACCGCACAAAATCTACCACGCAAACCTTACCGCAAGACAGGTGCTGGGAGCTTAGCTTAAAGAAAGAAAAGGAGCACAATTACACGGTGTTCACATCCGTCAAAGGCAAGACTGTAATTACGGTGGACGATTTATTACCGGGAACAAAGTACTGCTTCAAGGCTAGGGTAGGACGCGTAGACGAGTCCACCGGCGAGGTCACAGAATGGGGCCCGCATAGCGTAGAAAGTATGTACGTGACGTCTGGTCGAGCGCCGGTAGGAAATAGTGGGAAACAATCCGTCAGAGCAGAACACGAAGAAGTGGTGACTGAAGCCGGTATGGGGAAAAAGGCAAAAAAGCGCGCCGCGAAAGAGCAGGCCGAAAAGGAAGAGCGTGAGCGTCTTGCTGCTGCGGAGAAGGAAGGCAACACCACTGCAGCAGCAGTCGCAGATGAAGCTGCGGCTCGTCAGGCTGCGCTGCGTAAAGCTGCGGAGGAGGCCGCTGAGCGGGAGATGGCAGAGATGGAGGCTATTCGCAAGCGTGTCGAAGCATCGAAGAAACCGGACGTCAAAGCGGCAGCTTCTGCGGGTGAAGGTATCTCCAAGAAAGCAGCGCAGCGGAAAAAGAAGAAGGAACGCGCAAAGGCGGAGGAGTTAGCGAAAGAAGTCGAATCTAGTATGGGGTCAATGCCGACGGAGACGGATGAAGAGCTTGCCAGACGTTTGCAAGCCGAGGAGGATCGTTCTTCGATGTTAGGAAACAAGCACATGAGTGCACCTAAACCACCAGTACCGTCGGGACCCCCGCCGTCTTGGGCGGCAGCTCCTGCGATGCGAATGCCAGTGAAGAAACCTGAGCCAGTAGCGGTGCGTGGGCCACCCTCGGGCGTGCCTCTTCCGCCGCAGTCGGCGCCTCCGCTAGGTCAGAGTAGAATCCCCACACCACGAGCTGGTGAAGAAGGACACGCCCCTCCCCCTCTTCCACCAGGTCCTCGACCTCCGGCGTCGTATGGTGCGGCTGCTCCTGCGCCGCCTCCTCGGCATCGAGGTTCTCCGCCGCAAACCGGCGCTTGGGGCGTCGCGCAAAGCTCTGGAATTAGCTCCGCGAGCACCTGGGGCGAGACGAGGCCTGCAGTAGCGCCAGTGGTTGCGCCATCGCCGCAGCACGCTACGCCACCGCACCAGGCGCCGAGTCAACCCGCTTCTTGGAGTCCGGCGAACAGCAACTGGCAACCCATGGGCGCCGGCATGGGCGCTTTGCCCGTCGGCGATGTATTCGCAACGGACACGCAGCAAATGCCTCCACCATCCGCTGGTCTCTTCGTTGGCGGCTTGGAACAAAATTGGAATCCATCTGTGGCGCCCGCCGCGCACTGGGGCGGTCAATCATCGTGGAACGGAGGCAGCGGCGCTCCACCGCCGGCTCAAGGCGCGAGCGGCGCCGACTGGGGCCTGGGAGGTTTAGGCGTTAATGCCGATCTAAATGCTGGCACTCCGAGCTGGAGTGCGTTCGCCGGTACATCCCCCACCGCCGGGCCTGGTGTGTGGTCTACCCCGAACGATCTCTCCGTCGACGTCGGTCGCATGAACCTCGACGCCAGGCAGCAACAAGCCGCTCAGCGCAGTCCCGGCACCCCCGACGGCGACCCCAATCTCATCGATTCCAGTTTATTGAGTTTTCTAGGCTAGCGATAGCGCTTCGCTTTCAATCGACTCTCTCTTTCTCGTCACCTCGCATCATTCGGACATCGCTCGCGTTCGACGCGCTCAAATCCGCGCAACCACCAACTCTGCAACTGTCGCAATAATCTGAGTATTCCAAACGCGCGCGCACTTCGACGCGCGCGCGTCGCCGGTTCCGCGCGCGCGCGAACGCGCCCACGCGAACGTTCGCGCGCGCACGACCGTCCGCGATCGCGAACGGCGTCGCCGCGCGGCGATGACGCTGCGCTTTCGTCGTCCGCGCGTCGGCAAAGTTTGGGAACACGGCGCCGCGGTGGACGTCGTCGTCGAGCGCGCGGATGATTTCGATCGCGATCGCGCGCGCGAGTGTGAGATCTCGCTCGTCGGTCAAGGGGCGTGGATGCGAAGCTCGAAACACGCGACGCTTGGGAAGATTTCATTCCGCGAAGGCGAAGGCGAAGGCGAACGCGAGCTCGACGAAGGGAAACTGACGTGGCGCGTGCCGGAAGACGTGCCGAGCGGAGAGTACGAACTGAAGGCGAGCGTGCCGAACTCACGACCGGCGATCGAGACGACGACGCGGATCGTGATCTCTGAAAGGATGAAGGCGCGACGGACGAGCGCGGGGACGTGCGAGGCGACGTGGGACGCGCGCGCGATTCCCGGAGATTACACGGCGGAAGATGGATGGAAACTGGCGATTGATATCACGCCCGTGATTGAAGAAGGAGAGGATGTCAACGCAGTGGTGTCTCACGCGTTTATACTCGCCGCAGAGAGTGGATTGAAGACGCACACGAAGGATGGGACGCGCATCTTGTGCGACATCTCAGAGGCTGAGCGAGAGAGTCGGCGCAAAACGTTGCGATTGCTTCCCAACCGCGCTTGTGATATCGCGCTTTGCGCTTTTGGGGACGAGTCAGATGCCATGGCGGATTACGTCACGTTGAGAGTTAGGGTGGACATGTCGCAGACGATGATGGAAGTGTGCGCGAGTGGGCATCCGTCGCAGACGATTTCGTCGCGGAGCGTGCATTCTGCAGACGGCTACTACTCCAGAAGTCCACCGATTAAATCGATAGAAAAGAAACCGGACGGCGAAGAGCTAAAAGATGTTACGAACATTGACGATAGGGAAGCGGTGCTGAAGGATGACTTGAGCTTGGGTCGCTGGGCCGCAGAGGAGAGCACCGACGGGTGGCGACAGGAGCCTGGTTTGAATGTTCTCGTCGTGCGCGCAGACGACTTCCAGCCAATCTATGAGTGTACATGGGACACCAGCGGTGGTGCGCGTCGCGCGAAAGAAATTGAGACGCAGTTACAGTCATTCATGAAGTCATTCTTTGACGGCGGCGCCGTCGACGTGGCTCGAAAAAGCGTGCCAGAACATTTTCTTTGCATCACCACCTGTGGTCAATGGAGCGGAGGGACGGCTAAAATTAGCGAAAAAATTTCAAAAGCGTTGCAACTCGTTCTCGTTGGAATCCTAGGCTCGGACAAGGGCGACGATGGCGTGAGCGCGCGCATTCACAAAGCATTGGCAGTTCCAGACAAGCCTCTTGCCATCGCCGCTGTGTCTTATGGGAGCGCTCGAGACGAAGTGCACACGTGGGTTGACGTGAGCGAACCGAAAGGCAAAGCGATCATCAAAACGTCGTTGAGCAATTCCAACGGTGCGTGGTACCCTACGTTGATCCAGCGCGGCGAAGGCGAGCACGCGTCTGATTGGTACATTCCTTGGAGAAATTACGCGCGCGAAGGGTGGAGCGTATTAAGTGAAGACGCGCGAGTTCAACGATACTCACAACTGATAGGCGATATACGACACATGGTTTTCGATGCCGAAAGTGGTTCTCGAGTGAGCGTGTACAATTTGGTACGTGCACTCGTCAAATACGCCTCACGGCGTAGTGGCGATAAATCGTTGGTACCGACGGTGGACATGCTTCTCGTTGAAATTATTCTTTCGCGTGGAGCGCTGGCGGTTGTCGAGTGCGTCAATGCTGGTGCGGTTGAGTATGTCGTTGATAGAGTGCTTTCGTGCGTGCGCGAAGATGCCACCCACGACAAGTTGGAGGTGCTAGATAAGGCGTACATCAAATCGCTTCTCAAATTGCTCACCGTGGACGATTTTGCGATGTATGCGGAAGGCATTCGCAGAGGCGCCGCGGATGCTGCATTGCGCGTGATTCATGCGTTTTGGAACGGGAGTTCCACATTCTTTGATAGTAACTCGCGCGAGATGCTCTCACAGCTAGCGGAGCACATGGCGCTCACAGATTTAGCCACTGTGCGCATGGTTGCCAAAGACGAACACTCAATGACTGCTTTTACCGCCATTCGGTCGAGTTTAACTTGTGCGGCGCCTTACTCAGGAGAGATCTCTGGCAAAGTCCACATTCTAGACATCTTGCCAGCGAACGAACAAGACGGACTGATTGAGTTGCCGACATCGCCGAGGACAAATGATGACGTCTCACCAGTAATGACGCCGGCGCAGAAAATATTGCAGGCGTACGACGAAATTTGGGAAGGCGGCGAGTCACCGGATAAAGATGGTGATAAGGAGTGGACAATGGTAGAAACCGGCGCCGATCAAGTGAATCAACCTGACAACGCAGCGTCAAGCTCGCTTCAAATAGAGGAACCCGTCATGCACACCCCAGAACCGATCAAACGAACAATGTCCGGACAGATCGAGTCAGCGCCTGAGCAACCTCTCGACGGTATAGTCATTCTTTGTGCAAAAGGCGGCGACTGGAACACGCATATTTCGATGATTCGACAAGCTCCCAGACTCATGTGGCGCGCTCGTGAACGCGGCGCTCGCGCTGTCATTTTTACGTGGCCTCGACGCGGGTTGGCGTGTGTACCGGTTCAGCCGTTGTTATCGAGTCCAAACTTCGACAACGTGACGAACATTCCAAGCTTCGTCATGTGCGCGGAGTCACTGACACGGTTGCTTCAGTTTTCCGATGACTGCACTCTAAAAATTGAGATCCCTCCGAATGGTCTGGTTGGCACCGCTGAAGCGCTCGCAAAGCGAATCGGGAACCAGCTCATGGCGGCGTGCGCAGATCGACCACCGCCCATGACGCCGTCTGTTACACCGCCAATCGCCGGTCGTTTTCGCGGCCGATTTAAGCACACTGATGCGCAGACTCTTCTTCCACGTGAAGACGTCTCTTCACCGCGAACGCCTTCGGCGTCCACAGGAGAAGGCTTTGCTGCGGCTTTGATTCGCAGAGTCACGTTTACGCAGTCCGGTGAAAGCAAAGAAGAACCGAAGGATGAAGAAACCTACGTGCGCGATGCCGAGAAGGATGAACGTGACTTCGAATCGCTTCGCCATCTCAGTGAAAAAGTGGCGGCGCCCCCGATGGACGAAAACTCGCATCTCGACGCTTGGCGGAGCGCAAATTTAGAAGGCGGCGTGTCGCGATGGACGCGTGCCATGCGACTCGTGAACGCGCTGGGGGATCACGGAGTGCCATTCATGAAAGGCGCGTATCCGGATAACACCGGTGCAGATGATGATGGACCGATTCGTATTCTGAGTTTGGATGGAGGCGGCATGCGTGGCATCGGCACGCTCGTCATGTTGGAACGCATCCTAGAGGCTACGAATAGTTGGTGTGTCGGAGACTGCTTCGACCTCGTTGTAGGCACTTCCACGGGTGGTATCATCGCTGTTGGTGCTGGTCTGCTTAGGATGACGACCGACGAGTTGCACGAGCTGTACGTCAAGATGGGCGATGAGATATTCCCTAGAAAAGCCGACTCATCCTTGACTCACTGGTACAACCAAACGACAAAGTTCTACCACCGCGGTCGAGAAGAGGCAAGAAGTTTTGAGACTATGCTGCGCAAAGCGTTGCGAGAGGAAGCCGAAAAACCACTGTACAGTATCACGTCCCATCCACGTTGGTATTCCTCGACTTCTCCGCCGCCGCACGTCTGTCTAGTTTCACACCTCGTGAGTCGGTCACCTGCCACAACGTTTCTGATGCGTTCGTACAAACACGACGCGAGAGGCAAAAGCCATCTCGGCCACTTGCCAGGCGAACATCGTGCGAGCTTGTTGAACTCAATTCGCGCGACGACTGCCGCGCCTTGGTTCTTGGAAGAGCTCAGGATGAAGAAAGAAATCGGGGGCGCTGGAGGTTTTGCACGAGAGCGTAAGTCTGAAGCCGATAACGCGAACTCTCGCGCGTCGCCCAACGACGTGGAAAAGAAGCAGACTACGGAAGACCATCGCCACGATCATCAAAGAGCACCGACAAACGTCAATGCGGAGATCCGATTGATCGACGGCGCCATCGCGAGCAACAATCCCACCGCCGTCGCGGTCTTTGAAGCGCGTCGCTTGTTCTCAAAATCCCGACCGCTCTGCGTCGTTTCTCTCGGCACCGGTGCCGCCGTTCCAAACTCTCGCGACGCGCGTCTATCCGGTTTCCCCGGTTGGCTCGACAATACCATCCACGCGTCGTGCGACGTCGCCCAAGTCGACGCCACCATCAGACACTTACTCGGCGCCGACGACGCGTATTACCGTTTCCAGCCAACCGCCGACGTCTTCAGCTGCGAGCTCAACGACGTCTCCCCCGAGACGTCGTCCAAGCTCAAGCACGCCGCCGCCGCGTACATGGACACCGTCGACGCCCAGGTTCGCGAGCTCGCCGAGATTCTTCGCATCGCCGCCGCGCCCTCGCCATCGAACCGCCCAGACGGCGCGCGATGAAATCCAAATTGAAAAGCCGTTAGCCAAGCATCGACTGACTAATCATTCCACCCTCCGGCCCGCACACGTCGCCTCGCGCGCCGCGGGCGCCATGCTGGCGCACATCGCGAAAACCGTGAGCGACACGGTGCAGAAAACCACGCGCGCGCGCGCGTGCGAGCGTTTAAAGCCGTCCGGGACGCTCGCGCTCGACAAACAGACGGGCGCGGTTCGCGCGCTCGGAGTCGTCGACGAACGCCTGCTCGGCGCGTGCGATGACGGCGGACTGCGTTGTTGGAGCACCACGTCGGGGGCGCTGACGTCGCAAGCGCGCGCGCACGCGGGCGCGGTGACGGCGATGGTGACGTCGAAGGATGGGACGCGCGTGACGAGCGCCAGCGAGCGCGGCGACGCGGCGACGCGAGACGCGCGCACGGGCGTCGTGACGATGGAACTCGAAAATGGCGTCGATGCCGTTGCGCTGTGGTGCCTCGGGATGTTGACGAGCGGAGAGTTGGTGGGAGGGGACGACGTGGGGAGGATTTTCGTGTGGGAGGACGGCGAACGGTTTCCAATTTGGCGATTCGCGTCGACGGCCGAGTCGGCGCCGATGCCTGGGAAGGCAAAACGTCTGAAGCCTTCGGAAGGGCCGCCTGATCGCGTGCACGCGGTGTCGGGGTGGGTGCATCGTTCGACGGGGAAGGAGTTCGTGGTGAGCGGGAACGGGCATGGGATTCTGAGTCTGTGGACGGTTCGCGTGGGCAAGCCGGTAGCGGAGTTCGGTCCTGACGACGGCGGGCATCGGGGCGCGATTCACACCGTGTGCGATAACGAAGGCGTGATCGTTACCGGTGGGGCGGATGGGCGCGTGTTGGCGTGGTACGTCAACGAAGAAGGTCAGCTTCTCGGTCCACCGGAGGAACTCAGCGTCCACGGACATCACACGGGCGCCGTGTTATGCGCGGCGAGCATCCGTCCCGGCTTTGTGTGCACGGGAGGCGTCGATGGACGCGCGTTGGTGTGGGATATCAAGGCGCGAGCAGTATTATTTGAGTGTCCGGGCACGAAATCGGCGGGAGCTGTGCGGTCGCTCGCCTTCGATGGAAATGGTGTGCTTTACGTCGGATGCGCTCTGTCACAAATTTCACGATGGGAATTGCCGAGCGACGAGTTTCTCAGCTCTCGCAGTCGCGACGAGCTCCCCTTACTAACGCGTAACATGAGCAGCGAAAACATTAGTCAAGCTGTGCCACACTCGGTGAGCGCGCCGACCCCGAAGCGAGACGTCGCCGCGGAAGAATTGAGTCTCGCAGATACAATCAAGACGCTGGACGCCGTTCGCAAAGAGTGTGAGCGTTTACGAGAGTCAGACAGGAGTCGCGCATCGAAGGTTATAGGCCTTGAAAAGGAGCTCGTGACCGTGAACAAGTCGCTTGCTAACGTCGGAGAGGAAAATCAGCGACTCAGGGCCAAGGTAGATTCGATGGCGCCAACGCCGAGCGTTGCGCCGAAGGACGACGAAATCGAGGCGCTGCGCAAGAAGTGCGACAAGATGGAGAACATCGCTCGTAAGCAAAAGACGAAAATCGAAGAGCTGAAGGGCGAGTTACAATCGGCGGAAAGCTCGCGTGCCGAGGACCAAAAGCGCGCGACAGACGAGCTCGAGGCGTCGAACGAGAAGCTGGCAGGCCTGCATAAAGAGCTTGAAGAAGCGCTCGCGGGCGCTCAGGGTGAAGGTTTGAGCGTGGAGGACATGATGGCTGCAGCCGAGAAAGCTTTGCTGAGTCCAGAGCCTGCGACGAGTGAAGCATCCCAGGAAATGATGCGCGAGCTGCATAGCGTGCGGGAAGAATTGCAACTGTCTAAACAAGACGTCGCGAGTGCGGAGCAGACCATCGCAAAATTGCGCACGCAGCACGATGTGCTCACCGCACGCGCAAAGGAAATAGAGGAACAGAGCCAATCCCTTTCACAATCACAAGACGCAAAAGTGGCGACGTTACGTGAGGATGTGACATCCCTTCGCGAAAAACTCGGGTCAAAGGATGCGGAATTAGACGATTTGCGCAAGCAACTCGGCGAAGCGAAGAAGCGAGCCGAAGCGCTCGATAGGGAACGTCTCGAACTCACGGCGCAATGCGAAGAAACATCAAGGCACCATAAAGACGTTGACGCATCAAACGCTGAGGTTACAAGAATGCGCGAAAAATTTGAAAACGCAGTCACGAAAGGCAAAGGATTCCAAGAAGAAGGCAAAAAGCTCCGCGCAGAGCTTGAGGCGAAACACGTGGAGCTGGCCCAAGCTCAGGATGTTTCGACTTCGATGCGGGCTCGCGTGACAGAGCTTATGGCGAGTTTAGACGCCGCAAACGAGAAAGTCACCGATGGGCTTCGGCTTCTTGCGCAGAAGGAGGAAGAAGTAGCCAGGAGTGCGTCGACATTGAAAACCGTCGAGAATGCGGCGAAAGAACTCAACACAGCGAAAGCGGAGACAGCCAAACTGCAGCAAAAGTTTGATAACGCGGTCAAGAAAGGAAAAGGATATCAAAGCGAGTGCGGTGCGCTCACCGCTCGGCTGAAAGAACGCGAGAGCGCGTTGTCGGCATCAAATGCGTCAAAGGCTCAGGTTGAATCACAGCTTGCCGCTGCTGTCGCAGAAATTGAGCTCGTGCGTTCCGAGCTCGAGACAAGACTTGACGACGTGCAGCGCAATTCCACAAAAGATACCGAAGAACTTAATTCATTGCGCGAGCGCTTGCACGACGCCGAGGCGCGCCTTCGTGCTGCAGAAGATACGAAGGGCTCCGCCATTGCGGAGCGCGAAGGTAAAATCTCTGCGCTGGAGAAGCAAATTAACGAGTCAGATGCGAACTTTGAGCGGATGCGCACCGAACTAGCAGCGCGTGATGAGGAACGCGATCGACTTATATCGCAGATCAAATCGAGCGAAGCGGCCCAGGAGGAGCTTCAAAAGCTTCGCTCGAGCATCGAGTCATACGAGACGGAAATGGTGTCTCTCAAGACTGCGATAGACACGGCGAAGACAAAATTTGCCAATGCGGTTAAGAAAGGGAAAGGATTTCAAGAAGACGCTAATAAACTTCGTGATGAATTAGCCGCGAAAGATGCCGAGCTTGCACATGCCCGCGGCGAGTCAGCTTCGGTAGACACTCACCGCGCTGAGCTCGCGGCGAGTTTAGATGCTGCGAACGCGAAGATCTCAGATGGCCTTCGCCTTCTTGCGCAGAAGGAAAACGAAATCTCGGGTCTGGCGGCGGAGTTGAAAGCAGTCCAAAGTCGATGTACTACGCTCGAAGAGGATATCAGCAAGAGAGACGCCAAGAAGAACGATGAAATCGAGCAAGATGTGCGGGGACAGCGGTGGCTCGAGGAGCAAGCACGCGCTGCGGCGGAGTCTCAAGTGAGAGATTTGGCGGAGGAGAACGAACGACTGAAGCAAGAAGTTGCGGCAGCAGCGGCTGCAGCGCAGGACGCGTGGCAAGTTGCGGCGAGCCACGGCGTGCGTCCTGGAGATTCTCGGCCTGTGAGCGAAGTGGGGTCCCCCGTTCGCGAAGGCTATGGTCATCGAGCACGCTCGCTCTATCAACAACCAACGTATCGAGGTGCCATGTCGATGGTGCACGAAAGGAACGACATGGTTGTACCCAGAGAAGACTACGACCGCGTCAAGGAGCGATGTGTAAAATTGAAGAGAGATTTAGAGGCGGCGAAGCAGGCGGCAAAGGAAGCTGTGCAGCAAGTCATCAACCGTTTGGAGCTGGAAGTGATGGCCAAAATTCATGCTGAATCTTCCGCGAAAGCCGCAGAAGCGGAATGTGATCGCGCGTGGGCGCACGCAAAAGACGCGCTAGCTACGGCGCGCGAGATGCAAAAGCAACCGGCTCGTCAGCTAGCTGTCGCCGAAGCGTCAAGCGTCAAGCCACAGCCACCCCCGGGTACGCGCGCGGCGGTTGCGATGGAGCGTCAAAACGGTAACGGCGTGGTCGTCATTCGACAAGAACACTTAGCATCGATCGTCGCCGCGCTCCTCTCATTCATCATCGGAACGTGGTTTGCGAAATTCTAGAAGTTGCCATTAAATTCTACTTGCTGAAAATGTCTTTGATACCATCGAGGAGCGATACACCGCGCTTCGGTCCGTTGAACGCATCGAAAATCTTTCCAACTGCACTTTGCGGCTCGAAACGCGCCATTATTCTCTCGAATCTTGGATCCTGCCGCAGAATAGAGATGTCCTCGTCCTTGCGTATAGCCGGGTACTCGTCGTATCCGCGTTCGAGTGCCGCATTCAACGACGCCAGCCCTTCGCTCACATTACCGAGTTTTGCGTGACAGCACGCCGTGTTGTATCGAATCGCAATTTCTTCTCCAGCACTCAGCTCTCTTGGTTTGAACCCGGCGCTCGGCCCCGCTGGGGCGACTACGGATTTCCGATACCGTACCGGTCCGCTTCCCGCGAGCGTCGCCGCGCGCGCAAACGTGGCCAACGCCTTCTCGTAGTCCCCAGCCGCGTACTCTCTCTGTCCATCCGTGATGCACTCCCCCGCCGTATTCGCCATTCTTTCCTTCTCTTGCTCTTCTCGCAGCGATGCGAACGCGGCGTCGTCAATCATCTGCGGCACCGTCGCCCCAGCCGCGCCCACGAGCGCCGCCAAATCCGCGTCGCTCAGCTCCTGCAGGTTCGCCACGCCCACGTCCTCCGTGGAGTCGAAATCCATCCCAGCGTCATCATCAGCGTTCGCGTTCCACGTCAGCGGGTCGTTGGCGTCGAAAGCGCGTCCACGGGCGACGACGGCCGGTCGACGGCGAGGATGACGACGGTTCGCGAGCGAAGACTTCAACGGTGCCGCGGGCGCGCGCGCGTCGATCACGGACGCGGCGTGCATATCCGGAACGTCGAGGTGTGAGTTGGGATGATCGAGCGAGCGTGGCGCGCGGCGTCGGGCGGTCGTGGGGAAGTGGCGTCGTCCAGAGGGGACTGGCGCTATCCACAACGTCGAGGTCGCCGACGGCTGGCGAGGTGCAACGTGCTTGATGCGTGATGTTGTTAGAGAAAAATTGCTGTTGTGTCAAATTGAAGCGCCAGTTCTATTCTAAACAATATATGAATGAATGGTTAACGTTGTGATTGGGTTGCAGTGAGCACTTGTCCGGAGCTCGGTAAGATACACGGGAAGCTTTAGTTTTAAGCGATCCTTTATTCGGACCAGCCGCCCCAGCTGGAGCCGCCGGATCGAGCGGGCGCACGATCGCGACCACCGCCACCGCCGCCGTAGCCATCACCGCCGTAATCGCGTCTTGGGGGACGATCGTTGTAATCGCGTCTCGGCGGACGATCGCCGAAGTCGCGCCGGGGGCGGTCGCCTCCTCCTCCGTCTCGACGTTCGTAGCCGCCCTCGCTTCGGCCGCGGTAGCCTCCCCCGCCATCACGATCGCGGCCACGGAAACCGCCGTCACGGTCACCTCCATAGCCCCGTCCGCCGCCACGGCCACGGCGCTCAAAGCCACCGCCGCCGCCCCGACCTCGGCCGCCGCCTCGGCCATAGCCTCGGCCGCCGCCTCGGCCGCGTCGACCGCCGAACCCAGAGCGTTCTCGCGTTTGTTCAGCCATGAGATCAGGAAGTATCGTACAGACGCTCAGATCGAAACCATTCAAGTCCGTGACGGTTTCAAGATCCTTCATGTACGCGGCATCGATGTCGAAGCACAATCCGTTCTTGCTCTCCATGAAACGAATCTTGCCGCATCCATCCGCGAGCTTGCGGTCGATTTCAGTCAAAGCGCGAAGCAAGTCGCCCGCTCGGATCGCAGGCTCACTTCCTTCGCGGTCCAGAACCATATACGTGCACGAATTGGGCGCACCGGTGAGGAGCGATCGCGGAGGCGGCGCCTCCGTCTGCCCGCTGATGGCGGCCAGAGCGGCGGCCAGAAGCTTGGTGACTTCCTCGTCGGTGTCCGCCGGCAGCAGGCGAGCAGCGGCGGGAGAGAAATAAGGTAACAGTTCATCGTCCACTTTCGTGAGGACGTTAGAAGCGGTAACAGCGCAGGCGTCCATGACCTCCGTCGACGACGGAATGCCGATGGTGCGGAATTCGCATCCAGTTTCCTTTTTGATGCGACGAATCATGTAGGATTCGCGATCGGTGTGCATCGCGATCGCGGCACCGAGTTGTCCAGCGCGGCCGGTACGACCGCATCGATGCACGAACGATTCGACGTCGTTCGGGAGCTCGTAGTGAATGACCAAGTCGACGTCGGAAATGTCCAAGCCGCGAGCGGCGACGTCGGTGGCAATGAGCACGCTGAAGCGGTTGTCACGGAATCGCTGGAGGGTGCGCTCGCGCTGCGCTTGAGCGATGTCGCCGTGGAGAACTTCAGATGCCACGCGACGACCGAGCGCGGCGGTGAGTTCATCGGCCGCGCGCTTGGTTTGCGTGAAGCAAATAGCCTTCTTATCCTTGGCGTACACGGTGACGAGGTCCATGACGATGGAGGTTCGGTTCGCGTGCGACACGGCGCACGACATCAAATCAATCGTGTCCGCGACTTTTTGCTTGGAGTCACCGACCAAATCAACCACGACGTGCCCGGGTTTCAAGAACTTCTTCGTGATTTGCTTCACCCAGCTCGGCATCGTCGCCGAGAACAAAAACGTTTGGCGGCTCTCCGGGCAGTCTTGCAGAATCGCCTCCACGTCTTCCTCGAACCCGACGTTCAACATCTGATCCGCCTCGTCGAGCACCACAAATTCGATTTCGCCCAAATCCAAGCTTCGTCTGTTCATCAAATCCTGCACCCGACCCGGGGTACCGACGACGATGTCGACCCCTCGACGAAGTTTACCCTCTTGCTGACCGATGGGCGTCCCCCCGTACACGCACACCGTCTCCAACGACGGCGCGGTGATGCAAATTTCGTTCTCAACCTGCTTCGCCAGCTCTCGCGTCGGCGCCAACACGATGCATTTCGGATTTCTCGACCGTCCGCTCGTTCCATCCGTCAACAATCGCTCAATCACCGGCAGCGCGAACGCTAGCGTCTTCCCCGTCCCCGTTCTCGCCCTTCCCACGACGTCCTCTCCCGACAGCGCCGGTTTCAGCACCGCCTGCTGTATCGGAAACAGCGTGTCCACGCCTCGTTTTCTCAGCGCCGCCACCGTGATCGCCGACATTCCGAAATTCCCCACGTCCATCGGGTCCGCGTCCGCCTTCACCTTTATCACGACCTCGTCCTCGTCCGCGACGTACCCCTCCTCCAGCGCGCTCTCGCGCTCGTCCGGCGCGTACCGCCCCGCGAACGCGTCGTCGTCGTCCGCATCGTCCTCGTCGTCGTCGCCGAACGCGCCGTCGATCTTCGCGAGCAATCGCGCGTCGTCGCCGTCGTCGTCGGCGGCGAATCCCGCCGCCGCCGCCGCCGCCGGTCGCGCCGTCGTCGACGCGCGATGGCGACGCGCGACGGCGGCGGGACGGCGCGCGAGCGCGTCGGCGCGCCGCGGGATCGCGCGCGCGTTCGCGGGGCGCGCGGCGGCGCGCGCGAGCGTCGCGAAGGCGACGGCAAAGGACGCCATTCGCGCGAATGCGTCGGCGTGTGCGGCGAGGGGCTCTTGACATTTGACGCCGAGACGCGAGACGCGAAGAAGGAATACAGTTACACGCCGAGACGGGCGCGAAGCTCGCGAAGGGCGGCGTCGACGTCGACGTCCATGGCGACGGAGACGCGCGGACGGTCGGACCAGGCGTTGCGGAAGAGCCAGGCGCGGCGAGCGTCGAGGAAGACGGCGCCGCGGGCGCAGTCGCGGGCGAGCGCGACGCGGACGGCGCCGCGGCGGAAAGTGAAGACGGCATCGCGGACGTGAGGGAGGGCTAAGAGCAGAGCGGTGGGATCGTGGACGTAGATGCCGTCGAAGTCGGCGACGCGGAGGTGATACGCCTTGTAGAATTGGGTGGCGTCGTGAAGAAAGGCGCGGAGGAGGTTGGAGCATCGACGCGGCGGCGAGACGGCGTCGGCGTCGCGGAGAACGGTTTCCAAACGCTCGATCTCGGCGCCAGAAAGACGCACTCGAGTCGTCACGTCGAGACCTACGACGAAGGTGCGCTCGAACGCGCCGAAAACCTCATCCGCGGCCTCGGGGTCGCCTAAAATATTCGCCTCCGCCGCCGGATTTACGTTGCCGTTTACCTCAAACGCGCCTCCGAGCACGACGAGCTCACCCATGGTTTCCGAGCACTCGGGATGCCGCCGAAACGTCAGCGCTATGTTTGTCAACGGCGCGAGCGCCAGCACCGTCACCTCGCCCGGGTACTTGGCGCACATCTCCGCTATAAAATCCGCCGCCTCTCGCCCCGCTCGGTGTTCCACCGCGCTCTCCTCGGGCCGCGTCTCGTACGCGCCGCGCACGCCCCCGAACCCGTCTTCGCCGTGCACGAAATCCGCGACCAACACCGCGGAATCGTCCGCCGTGGACGCGCCCGCGCCCGATCGGTCGTCCTCGTCGAGCGCCGCCAGCGGCGCGCGCGCGCCGTCGACCACCGGCAACCGCGCGCCGGCTTCGCGCCTCCACGACCCGGCGAGCGCGCACATCTCGACGAGCGTGCGCGCGTTTCGCGTCGCGTCGTCGCGCCGAACGTTGCCGAAGACGGTGGTGAGGCCGAGGACTTCGACCTCGGTCGACATCGTTTCGAGCGCGAGCGCGATGGCGAAGGCGTCGTCGACGCCGGGATCGGTGTCGATGATGAGCTTGCGCGGCGGCGGCGACGCCGGCGTCGACGCGGGAGACGCCGTCCGCGTCGAGGAGGCGTCGACGGGCGCGTTAGTGTGTGTCGTCGCGGGAGACGACATCCGCGTCGAGGAGGCGTCGACGCGCGCGTCGATGAGTGTCGTCGCGCCTACGGCGAAGACAGTTGACCTCGAGCGCGCGCGCGAAGGAGAGAGGGAGACGCGCGCGCGTCGTTCGAGCCGAGCGCGGACGCGAGACGCGAATCGTTGAATGATGCGTGGCGCGTAGGCACGCGCTCACGCGCTAACGGTGCGATTTCGACGCGATTGTCGTTCTACTTGCGCTACGTTTGTTGCTCGGGACTGGGCAGCCTGGAAGTCATCGCTCGTCCTCGTCTTCGTCGTCTTCGTCCCAGAAATCCTTGATGGCGCGGATCGTGGATTGTAACTTGGGTTTGTTCACGAGTTTGCGTCGCAGACCGTAGCCACCGTCGGTCTCCATGACGAGATTAGGTCCGGTTAAGAAGGCCAACGCGGCGCCGCCGACGAGTCCGCCGGCGTGCCCCCAATTGTCTATTCGTCTACTCGTGAGACCGAAACCCATGTTCACCGCCAACGCCGTGCCGAGTTGTTGCAGCTGCATGTCCGCGCGCTCGCCTAAATATCGCTTGTGGCGCTGCAAGTACACCGCCAACGCGCCGGCCAAGCCGAAGACGGCGCCGCTCGCGCCGACGCTATTCGACGCGCAAAACCGATAACTCGCGTAATTTCCAGCCACGCCCGCGCCGAAATACACCGCTAAAAACTGTTCGCGCCCGAACGTCGCCTCCATGAGCGGTCCGATGCTGTTCAACGAGTACATATTCACCATCAAGTGCGGCAGCCCGCCGTGCAAAAAAATCGGCGTCGCCAACCGCCACAGCTGCCCCGCGGCGATCCGTTCGTTCACCTTCGCCCCGAGCGCGGTGATCGCCTGTCCGCTCAAAATCTGTAACGCGAACGCGCTCGCCGTGCCGATCATGATGGCGTTCGTGCACGCGCGATCGGGATCGTCGAACACGCCGCGCGCCGCCGCGCGGCGTCCGCCCTCGCGTCGTCGCCCCCCTCCTCGCGCCCCGTCCGCGCGCTCGCCCGGGCCCGCGAGCGCCGCGCCGAGCGCGACCGCGTTCGCCGCCTTCCCGACCATCGGCGCCGCGCGTCGCGCGCCGTCGCGCACCGCCCGCGCCGTCGCCGTCGCGTCCTCGCGCGCGCGTCGCCGTCGTCGTCGTCGCGCGTCGCGCGTCGCGTCGTCGCCGCGATCGAACGCGCCGAGCCCGCGACCGAGCGCGACGAAGCGCGTCATCTCGCGTCGCGTCGCGTCGCGTCGCGTCGCGCGTCCGCCGGCGCGGCGTCGGCGTGTGCGGCGGACGACGCGCGTCGTCAGAGCGACGCGCGCGATGGCGACGGCGACGCGCGCGACGGCGTCGATCGCGTCGAGCGCGCGCGCGCGCGTTCGAGCGCGGCGGACGACGACGACGACGCGCGCGCGCGACGACGACGCGGACGCGGGACTGAAGGCGGCGTGGTACGGCGCGGAAGCGTTCGGCAATCTCATCGGCGCGACGCGCGCGACGACGACGCACGGGACGACGACGACGACGACGGCGATGACGCGCGAGGGCGCGCTCGAGTCGATTCGCGCGGATTACGCCGAGGAGTACTTCGTGAGCGGGCGAGGCGAGATGGCGGCGTACGCGGGCGACTGCGAGTTCGCCGATCCGTTCGTGTCGTTCCGAGGTTTGGATAGATTTCGCGCGAACGTGGCGAACTTGGGAGGGATGATGCGGGAGGTTGATCTGCAGATTAAGTCGTTCGAGGAGACGGAGGACGGGGTGCAGACGGAGTGGAGGTTTTCTTGCGTTTTAGACTTACCCTGGAGGCCGATGCTCGCGGCGAGCGGGGGCACGACGCACGTGTTAAACGACGAGAATCGGGTGGTTCGGCACTACGAGCGGTGGGACGTCGATCCGAAGAAGGTGTTGGGGCAGCTCTTGAAGCCGGCGTCGAAGATTCCGGAGAACCAGGCGGAGGTGTTCATGGCGTCGGCGGGGTCGGGGGACGTCGTCGGCGCGTTGGGCGCCGTCGCGCCGGTGCTGCTTCGCGCGAGCGCGCCGCTGTGGTTGACGTCGGCGGCGCTGCGCGCGGGGACGCACACGGAATCGACTGGGATCGAGGGTTTCTTCGGTTGGCTTTTCGCGTTGGCTTGCGTGAGCCAAGTCGCCAAGTTCTTGCGCGGCATCGGAATTTCTTAAACGCGTGAATCTATCCGTCTATTAGTTCTTACATGTGGATTGTTTTGTAGTGCTACGTATCGCTGACTCAGTTGCGCTTGTGACGCTGCACTTTTTGAATCCCTCGAGTGGGCGTCTCCACAGCCTTTCGCTTCATCGAAGCCGGCTTCGGTGGGATTGAATCTTCTCTCTTGATTTCGCCCGCCGACGCGACGCGCCTCGGGACGATTTTGTGTTCCAAGCCGCCGACCGCCTTCTTCGCCTCTACGTCCGCCATTCCCGGAATGTACCCCGGCGTCTTACCCTTCGCGACGAGCCGTTCGTACACGGTGACAAGTTTTTTACGCACGCGCAAGAGTTCAATCGTTTCCTCGCGCAGCTTTAGCCAACCAGCGCACACCGCGTGCGTGTTCATCGAGGGCGTCTTCACGCCGAGGTCTTCTAAGGACTGATCGATACGTTTAGCGAATCGCGCGCCGCCTTGCGCCGCGTTAGCTTGTTCGTTCGCGACGGTGATGAAATGCTGCCCGCGCAAGTACGGCCCGGGCTTCAACGCCGCCGAGCCTCTGAGTGGCAACTCGGGCGCCAACGTCTCAAAGTCGGCGCGAACGTCGTCTATGGACACTGGATTCTGCACCATGTGCGTGCGTGAGGTGGAGAACACCGCCGTGGCCTTTTGCAACAAGGCTTGATTTTCCGTTCGTCGTCGCTTTTCAATCTCTCGCACGCGCTTTAAAATCTCAGCCTCTTCCTTCATCTCTCCGTTGGTACGATTCAGCAGCGTGTTCAGCGCCACCTTTCTGTCGAGCTCGTGTTGGGCGTTGAACGGCATTTTCACGATTTGATGCGCCGCCGCCTCCTCGGGCGATTCCGCGCGCGTCTCAATCAACGTCTTCGCAATGCTATAGTATCTCACCTTCAAATCTTCCACCGTACGCGTCTGTTGACTTGCGAAATCCCATCGATCGACGACGACGATGAATCGCAAGTCAAACCGCTCCAGTTGTTCAAACAAATAATCCGTCTCCTCCTTCGTCCACGAATCGTCCAAGTGTTTCAGCACTCTTTCGTACTCATCGCTCGTGTACTTCAACATCTCAATCTTTTTGTTATATTTCGCGAACGCGTAATCCCCGCCCACGTCTCCGCCGTTCGTCCCCATGAGCGTCGGCTGCGCGCCGCCGACGGCTTTCTTCACCCAGTGCTTCAGTTGCAATTGATCCGTTCGCGCGCTGTTCCGAAACGGCTGCCACTGCCACGTCACCGTGCGCGCGGTGATTTTGCGTTTATCCTTCATTCCGTGCAGCGACAGCGCGCTCGGGACGATGGCGGCGCGCGCGTCGTCGCGTTCGTCGTCGCCCTCGCGTCCGCGCGTGATCTGCCACACCTCTCTGTGGACACCTTTCGGCGGTTTGAGCGACGGTTTCGCCTTGGCGCGCGATTTCGGGGCGCTCGCGCCGCCGCGCGGGATGCCTAGGATGTCTTTCGCGTCCGCCATCGTGCGTCGAGGCGCGCGCGCGACGGAGAGTGGCGTCGCGGAGCGCGAATTCACGAGAACCTCGCCCCGACGACGATTCGCCGCACACGCCGACGCGCCGGCGCGCGCGCGCGCTCGAACGTCGGTGACGATGAGCGAAACGGCGACGGTGACGTACCTGGAGAAATTCGTGGACAGTGCGTGCGCGAGAGCGAGGCGAGAGCGAGGCGAAGGGTGAAATTTCGCTCGGACGACCGAGGACGATCGAGCTCGAACGCGAAGACTGACGATCGTTACGCGCGCGTCGTGACGTAGATCTCGCGGACGTCCCCGCGGAGTTGCAGCGGATACTACAAACGATCGGGGAGCTCGATAAACGGAACGTGCGATTGCGAGATGCGGTGCAAGCAAAGGTGGACGAGTGCGCGTCGGCGCCGAGTCTGAGCGCGCGAGGCGCGCGCAGCGCCGACGTCGACGCGGTGAGCACGTTGAAGAAAGAGATCGAAGAACTTCACGATACGATGGCGATGGTATCCAATGAGAAGATACGGTTGGCGCAGATGGCGTTGGATTTAGTGAAAGGGAACGCGACGGTGCTCGACGCTGAGATGAAGACGTTCCGCACAGAGCTCGAGGAACAAGGTATTAACCCGGACGAGGACGTCGATGATGGGTACGGCTACGCGCAGGTGCAAGCGCAGTACCACCGCAAGATGCAAAAGCCGCAATATCAATATCAAAGACCCGCGCCTATGCCGCAGCAGCAGCGCGCGTACGGCGAACACGCGATGAGCTCGATGGACGTCGGCGACCTCGTGGCGGCAAACGTAGGGGCGTTGAACCAAAGCGCCGGTGGACAAGAGTGGATCGTTGCGACCGTGACTCGATATTCTCCAACTGAACGCGAGTTTGAGATCGTTGATGCGGACGAAGACGCGGAAAAGCACGTGTACCGCTTGCCGCAAAAGTTTGTCATCCCGCTTCCGAAGACGGCGTCTGTGAAGCAGTCGCAAAACTTTCCCGCCGGGACGAGCGTGCTCGCTGTGTACCCGAACACGACCACGTTCTACAAAGCCAAGGTCGTGCAACCGGCGAGAAGACTCCCGAACGCGGAGTACAGCGAGTTCGTGTTAGAGTTTGAAGACGACGGCGACGCCGACGGTCAAGCGCATCGCCCCGTGCCGTTCCGCCACGTCGTCTTATTTCCGCGATGAGCGGTGCGAGCGGGAACACAGTTTCGCGCGATCGATCGATCGTGCGTGCGCGCTATTTCGTGTAATCAACAGGTAGTTTGTTAGCTTTAAAACACGCGACGAACGCTCGACTTCGGCGCGCGCCGAACCAAGTCGTCCCGTCTACTTTTGATTTGAGCCCGTCATCGCGCGACGACGTCGCTCGGGTCTTTGACCAGACCACACGACGGCCGCTTACGCCGGCGGAGACACCCCCGCGTGCGTCTCCAACCACATCTTGAGCTTATCGTACGAAATCGCCCCCTCGTTCTTCGACCCCGCCACCTCGGCGCCGTCCTTGAACATGATGAGCGTCGGAAGCCCATACACCGAGTACTTCTCCACCAGCGCCGGGTTCCCATCGCACTCGACCTTCACCACCTTGATCGCATCGCCGTACTCCTTATCAGCCTTCTCCACAATCTTACTGATCAGTTTGCACGGCCCGCACCACGACGCCCAAAAATCGACGAGCACCGGCTTCCCCGCGCCCACGACCTCCGCCTCGAACGTCGCCTCGCTCACGTCCGCGACCGCGCGCGCCGTTCGCGCCGCGCGCGCCTCGCGCCCAGCGCCCGTTCGTCGTCCGCGTCCCATCACCCGACGCGTCGCCGCGCGTCCCATCGTCGGCGTCACCGTCGCCATCGCCGTCGCCATCGCCGTCGTCCCGCGCGCTCGCGACGCGCGTTCGTTCGCGCGCGCGTCCGCGTCCTCGACGAACGCGCGCGTTCGCGACGTTCAATTTCGCGCGCGTCGACGCGTTCGCCGCGCTCCCGCGCGTCGTCGTGTGCCGCGCGCGCGCGTCGCGCGATCGATCGCGCGACGTCACGACACGCGTCATCCAGTTTCCGAATGTCCGAACCCACCGTCGACCCCCTCGCGCGCGACGAGTCCGCACCCGCCATCGCGGCCCCGTCCGAAAAAGAAATAAAAAAAGTCCCGAACGTTTACATGGCGCGAAACCGCGCATCGTGCGAGAATGATCTGCTTTTTGACGCGCGTCCTCGACCGCGCGTCGCGCGCCGTCGCCACGTCAGCGCGGTCGCCACACGCCGACGACGCCATCGCGCGCGGGCCATCGCGCGCGCGCGAACGCCGCGCGACGCTCGACGGCGCGCGCGAGCGCGGACGCGCGCGAATCCGTCGATCGCGACGCGATCGCGCGGCGGCGCGACGCGAGGCCGCGGCGACGCGACGCGCGCGCGACCGCGCGAGGCGAACGGACGCGCCAACGGGACGCGGCGACGGGCGGCGGCGGCGCGGCGACGCGCGACGACGGCGCGCGCGCGACGCGAGAGCGCGAGCGCGCGCGAGCGATCGCGAGTAGAGGTGCGTGGACGCGCGACCGCGGCGATCCGACGACGCGGCGACGACGGCGCGCGCGCGATGCGGGCGCGGGCGACGCGATGATGCGCTTTTCGGGCATTCGCGAACGGGACGCGGGATTCGAATGGAATGACTGACGAATGCGACGGTCGGCGACGGTAGACGGCGCGCGAGTGATCGAACATGGGCGACGTGCGGTTTGTCGCGCGCGAGGATCGAACGGCGTTCGCGAAGGCGAGGCCGTACGCGTACGCGAGCGAGGTGAGCGGCGAGGCGAATTCGTTCAAACGCGCGGGCGCCCAGCGAGACGCGGTCGAGACGGCTGACTGACGATTTTATTCCACGTCGCGCGTAGATGTTTGAAAATGTGCGTCACGTTGGGCACGATTTGAAGGTTGAAGACGGTGGCGCGTGGCGCAGGCCGACGTACGAGTCGATCGTCGCGGCGCAAGGGCGAGGCGAGCGAAGAGAGCGCGACTCGAGCGTGGAGAGCGACCACACGACGCAGAGCGACGCGTGCGCCAGGAAGGTGGTCGTCGAGGACGACGGACCGTCGCCCGAGGCTGGGGTCACGTGCGCGTGTTGTCGAACGCAAAAGACACCGTTGTGGAGAAATGGCCCGACGGGGGCGAAGACGTTGTGCAACGCGTGCGGCGTGCGCTTCAAGGCGGGTCGCGTCGTGTGCGACGAGGACGGCAACGTCGTGACGTTGGCTCCGCAGAGTCGAAAGCGATCCTTGAGCGTTGATCACCACGAGCGCGGGCGGCAGCTGAACAAGAGTAACTACGCGGCTTTGCACAAGCGCATCAAGCCTTCGCACTCGTCGTTTGCGTACACGCATTTGAGCGACGCGCGAATGATCGAGCTCCAACGCGTGGGCGATCGAGGCGCCAAGGCGCCTTTTCCCCGCGTGCACTCTGCGACAATTTTGACCGACTACGACGGTGCCGTGCTGCTGATGCTTTTGCACGACGGCGAAGAAAGTGAAGGCGAAAGCGACGAAGACTAGGTTTGTCTTCAGCACCCTGTACCATGACCATTCTGTTTGTTTTTTGTTTTGCGCGCTCTTGGTTTCAGCCGCGGCCCCGAGGTCTTGTCCTCGGGTTGTACTTTTTTCAAATAACCCGGTCGCACGAAAGTGCGCCTGTAAAAAATCGATTCTTTTTCACGACGTTGAGCGTGACATCGTACAATAAAACCATATTCATAACTCTGTAAACTTTGCTTTGATGTGTTATAAAAACTTTCCACTTTTTCTCCGTCATATCCAGTTTCTACTCGCGCGACGCGCGCCGACTATTAATGGTGGTCCATAAACTTATCCATCGCCACGCTCAACGCCGCCATCGTCGCGCACCCCACCGCCATTCCCGTCGGCCCACTCGTGCGCGCCATCACCCCACCCGTGAAGCAACCCGCGTACGCGCTATTCGCCACGTCGTGCTTCGCTCGCACCTTTTCCACCACGCACTCGCTCCCGGCGTACAACGCTCCGAACGCCGCGAACCCTTTCGCGTAACTCCACGATCGCGCACCCGCGCTTTTCGCACCTTGTCTAATGGTCTCCCTCATCGTCACCTTCGGCGCATCCGGCGCCGGCACCTCCATCGGCTCGAACGCGCCGAACACCACGCCCATGACCCCGCCCAGGGCGCCGCCGAGCACGCACGACATCACCGTCTTAATCGCGCAGTTATCCATCGCGTCCTGCTGATACACGTCCTCGGGCGTCGGCAGCTTCACTCGCTCGTACGTCTTCTTCTTTTTCTTCTTCTTCTCCCCCGGCGTCGCCGTCGCCGCGCGCAGTTCGCCGTCAACCTCGCCCGCCGTCACCTCGCTCGTCGACGTCTCGAGCGTCGACGACGCGTCGTCGCGCGTCACCGACGCCGAAGACGCGTCCATCGCGGTATCGTCCGACATCTCGCGCGGCGTCGCGCCCGCGCTCGCGTCGCGCGCGTCCGTAGTCGTCATCGCGCGCGTCGAAGTGCGGGACGGCAGTTCGCGCCGCCCATGGTCGACGCCGACGCCGCGGACGGCGTCGAGGGCGACGCGCGCGAGCGCGAGGCGTTTCTGAAGATCGCGCGCGCCGTGCACGCGTACGACGCCGACGCGGCGCGACTGCTCGAGCGATGGCGCGCGCGACTCGAGCGGGACGACCTGCCGAAACGCTACGACGGCGCGCTCGACGGCGCGCGACGGGACGTGCGAACGCTCGGTGCGAAAGCCAAGGCGTTAAACTATGATTTCTTGCGGTGCGCGCTGCACACGTTCGTGGATAATGAGCGCGCGCCCGCGCATTTGCGCATTCCGAGCGCGCGCGTCGCCGCGTGGTCGCGGGACGAAGCGTTTCGCGCGGAGCGGGACGACGTGGATAAGGTGCGGTACGTGCTGAAGAATGTGTGGCGAGATTGGTCGGAAGAGGGTGCGCGCGAGCGGAAACCGGTGTACGATTTGATATTCTCGGCGTTGAGGGAGAAGTTGGGGGCGATCGACGCGCGCGTCGGGAGCCCGGTTGGCGAGGCGCCGCGCGTGCTCGTGCCTGGATGCGGTTTGGGACGATTGGTGTTTGAGTTAGCCAAGCTCGGATACGACGCGCAAGGGAATGAGTTTAGTTACTACATGTTGATGTTCTCTTCGTTTTTGCTGAACGCGACGAGCGAGGTTGGGGAATTTGGAATTTGTCCATGGATGCATAGTCGAAGCAACCATCGCGAGGCGGCGGACATGTGGCGGGAAACGCGCATCCCAGATGAGGTTCCGGGCGACGCGAATTTGCCACCAGGAGCGATGATGAGCATGGCCGCTGGGGACTTCGCGGCGGTGTACGGAGAGGCGCGCGAAACCGGAATGTGGGACGCCGTCGTGACGTGCTTCTTCATCGACACCGCGCACAACATCGTAGAGTATTTAGAGTGCATCGCCAACTGCCTACGTCCTGGAGGATGTTGGGTGAATTTCGGGCCATTGCTTTATCATTGGGAAGAGTACGTCGACGAACAGAGCGTCGAACTGTCGCTCGAGGAAGTGCTCGCCGCGGCGGAATCGTTCGGCTTGCGCGTCGAGCGCTCGGAATCGACCGCGCCAGTCGACTACACGAGCGATCCACGCTCCATGCACAAGACGACGTACTCGTGCGCGTTCATCGTCGCCACCAAAGTGTAACATCACACAGCTGTACATCGCGCCGCACGCGTCATCGCGCGCGCTCGCATCGCTTCGATTCCGTCGTCGTCTCGCGTCGCGCTTCTTCCCCTCTCTCCCGCGTCCGCACACCGCGTCGTCGCGCGCGCGGGTCCGGGCGAATGCCCTCGCGAGGCGACTCCCGCTCGCCTCGCGCGTCTCCGCGCGCCGGCGCGACGTCTCGCTCGCCCCATCACGCGGCGAACGAGCGCGCGGATGGCGTTGATGTTGGTGTTGCGACGCCGCGTCCGGTGAAGATGTCGCCGGTGCCGCACGCGCGACCGCCGAGCGACCTCCCGGCGGCGCTGCGAGAGATCGACCGGTTGCGCGCGCTGCAAGAAAAAAACGCGTCGAGCGCGATGGTGGCGACGCGCCGGGCGTTCGACGAACAGGCGCGATTGGAGAAGAAAATCGAGACGCTCGAGCGCGCGGCGGAGGAGGCGAAGGCGAAGGTCGAGGAGGCGACGGTGAAGGCGGAACGCGAGGCGCAAGATACAAAAAAAGCGCTTAAAGCGGCGAAGAAGAAGACGCAAAAGCTGGAGGCGAAGTTAGAGGAACAAAAGATGGAGACGCGAAAGTGGGAAAAGTACGCGAGCGAGAATTTGCGCGGCGAGATGGCGGAGAGCGCGGAGAAGCTGGAGAGGGCGAGTCAGCGCGAGATTGAACTCGAGGATCGGTGTTCGAGACAAGAGAGCGCTTTGGAGGCGATGCGTGGGCAGATAGAGGAGTTGAGCTCGACGTTGGAGGATGAGAGGAAGCGAGTGCAGACCAAGACAAGTTCGCAGGCGAACGAGGTGAAACGGCTTCAAGAGGAATTGCGGGAAGCGTTGGACTCGGCGGCGACGATAAAAGAAGAGGCCGATTTGACTGTAGAGTCTTTGCGCGCGGCAATGGAAGCTCAAGTTGGCGGTGGCGACGGTAATGAACGTATGAATGAAGAAATCCAACGCTTGCGCGCGCGCGTCGAAGAATTGAGCGCGTCGCAGGTATCTTCGACAAGTAGCGACGAGTTCGCTCGATTGGAGGAAAAGACGATCGCTCTAGAGCGACTTTTAGAAGGCGAGCGCGCATCAAAGGCAGTGTTGCGAGCGGAAAAGGATGAAGTAGAAAGATGCGCCGCTGCAGCGGAGGCGAGCGCGACCGCTCGCGATGCGAAGACTGCACAACTCGACGAGCAAGTCGCGACTCTGTCACACCAAGTGGTTAACCTTGAGCAAGCTTTGCGTAAAGAACAAGAGTTACACGCATCGTCGAAGAAAAAAGCCATCGATGACGTGAGAGCCGTAAGAAATACGTCGACAGCGGCAGAAAAGGCCATCGCGGCGGCGAACGCGGCGATGGATTCGGCGGAGACGCGCGCTGAACAATCTGAACAAATGGCTCGTGAACGTGAAGAATCCATCAAACAGCTCACCACGCAACTGGCTGATGCAAAGCGCCGTGAGGACCAACTGAGGTTAGAGTTGAGCAAGTCTTCGGATTCCGATTCTCAACAACTAAAGGAGAAGCAACAGAGAATTGAAGAGCTCTCGACGCGAGTCGCCGAACTGGAAACTGTTTCCAAGCAAGTCGATGATCTGAAGGAGGCTCTCCGTTCGGCGACCGCTGCCACGACGGCAGCCGCGCGTTCCATCGAAGAAAGCGAAGTCGAACTGGCGCAAGAGCGTCAGCGCGCTGGGGTCGCGGAAGAGAAGTTCGCACAGGCTCGCCAAGCCGCTGAGGAAGCCTTGAAGAGCGTCCAGGAACGCGACGCACGAATAAAAGAGTTGACACTTGAGCTTCAATCGACATCAGCTCAAGTAAAGGAGGCGCGGGACAACATGCAACTGATCTCTGCGAGCGCATCTTCGAACGAAGAGATTGAGAAACGCCGAGAAGTTGAGGTTCAAGCCGCGACGTCGCTGGCAAAAGCCTCCGAATCACGCGCAGCTGGACTTGCATCACAGCTTAAGATTGCCGAAGACGCGCGAGAGGAAGCGGCCAAGGACGTCGATCGCTTGAAACGTGAACTGAGTACCGCGCTAAATTCGCTGAAGGCGAGCAAATCAGCGGCAACACGCGCGGTTCAAGAAGCCGTGAGTGCGAGCGGTAAACGCGCGCAACAATTGACAAAGGAGCTCGAAACGGCGAAACAAGAGCATGCGAGCGCACGATCCGTCGTCACTGACTTAGAGGTTGAGAACAAACGCATCAAGAACCAATATGCTGAGCTTGAAATCCTCGTCGCACAGCTCAGAGAAAGTCTCCAGACGATTGAAAGAGATGCCGAGACAAAGAATCATGACAAATTGGACATGGAGTACATGCGGCGAGAAGAAGATCTTCGTGCAGAAATCAGCGACTTGGTTCTCGAGTTGCACGAAGTTCGCGATGATTCTATGTCCAAGATAGAAACGGCCGAACGACAAGTATCCGCGCTGGAATCCCAAATCGAGGAGCTGGAGGCGGCGCTCATTCAAAGCCGCGACGAGACTCGAACGCTTTCGCAACAATCCAGCGCCAAGCGGTCCGACTTGACGCAGGAAACGAGTGAATTGAGGAAAAAACTCGTTGAAGCGCAAGAAATCGCCGCGACAGCATCTGGGGCGACGGAGGCTGTGAAGCGCCGATACGAAGCTCGTCTGCGCGACGCCAGCGAGTTGGCGGAGAAACAAATCATTTCACTCACGAAGGACCTAGATAACGCGAAACGACTCGTCGAGCTGGCGGAGAAGGCAAAGGCGCACGCGCAACAAGAGGCTGCTCGCGCGGCTGACGATTTGAAAGAAAAAGACGCCTTATTCGAGGAGCAACTCGCGAACGTTCGTATGGCTGTTAACGCCGTAAACGATGAAAAGCTTGCATTGAGTCAACAGGTTGAGGAGGCAAAGGCTGAATGCGCAGCAATTCGGAAGCAAAAGGATGCTATGGAGAACGATCTCGTGGAAACTTGTTCGCTTCTCGAGAAAGTCTCTGCGAAAGCAAACGCGTCGGCAGATGAATATAAGATAACCATCACCGAAATGAACGCGTCAACTGAGAGTCTCAAGGAAAAGCTCGAGGCTGAAATTTTGCTCGCCATGGACCTCGCTGAGGAGAAGGAAATCATCATACGAAAGATGGAAACGCGACAAGACGAACTTCGCGCGCAGCTCGACGCTCTCCACGAAAAATCATCGGTGAGCACGTCAAGAGTTGTTGCCTTGGAGTCCAAGCTCAAGGAGACCACCGCGGGCGAACGGGAACGTCTCGTTGTTTTGCAAACTGAAAACAAGCGCTTGGAAAAACGACTGAAAGACACCTGGACTGCGTTACAAGGGGCGCACGCAGTGGTTGAGCAAACGAAGACGGCAGCGAAGGATGCCGTTCGTAAAGCGAATACCGCAGCGTCTCGCGCAGAGAAAGTCGCCCTGAAGCTGAAGCAAGAGCTCGCGAGCGCGCGCGGAAGTCGCCATCCTCTCGTCGCGGTGGATGAAGGGAGCGAACCGGCATCGCAGTCGGCGTCGCAAACGGCTTTGCGCCCGACATCTACGAAAGCTTCTCCAGTGAAACCGATTGTTCGGGGCAGTAATAACGCGTTTGACGACGAAATGCAACGCGCTAGTGATCTCTTGGAGCGCATCAGTCGGCAGACAAGTAGAGAATCGAGCTTGAAGGACGACGAATCAACTCGAGGCGGAAGCGAGACAAGCAGCCAAGCGGGCGCCCTGGGCGGTTCTTTTGGATACCGCGGGGCGATGCAATGAGCGCAATAGCTAATTTAATTCACATCTAGTCCTAGTAGCGCTAAGTCGCGAAACTCGCTAATTCCGTGCGCTGAAAGCCACCGAATGACCAAAACAAGTACAACATGACGGCGAAGACGACGGACGCAATCGAGTGAACGGCGACGTTTTCAAAGAGATCGAGAAGCTTCATCGTAATCCTGTCCCAAGTCGTGAACGGGCGTGTTTGCGACATCACTGTCTTGGCTATATTCTCCCCGGTCGTAAACGCTCTCAAAGCCATCAAGGCTTCGTCCCAAAGTACGCCCGCAGCCGCCTTGAGTTCGGCTAATCGCTCTCGGTGCTGCTCCACCTCTTCTTCGTCCGCGGCCAAGACGTCGTCGAACGTAATCTTTTCGCCGCGATCTTTGCAAAATCTTTGCACATGTCGAAACTTCGTGAGTACATTCATTACGCGCGCGTTATCTCGGTACTTCGTCACGTTGTGAAAGTTGCTGATTACGTCATGGACGGCTTCACGAATCGGTTTGATTTGCATATCACTCTGAAACATCTCGTCTTCAATCATTCCGAGCAAAAACGTCCGTAACTCGATTTCCTTCGTCAACACGGCGTGCTTCTCTAACGTTAACCGCACATCCTGCGGCACGCCCTCGTACTTTTCCACGCCAGCCGCTATCCACGAACGCAGACGTACCTCGAGTGGATCCGAGCCCTCGCGCGAGTTTTGACTCTTCGCCCACTTAGTGGGTAATTCAGCGCGCGGCGCCGCTACGACGCTCCGAACTTTTGTAGACTTCGAAGCTTTCACTGCCACCGCTTCAAGCTTACGTTTGACGTCCTGCCTCGCGTGATCCTTTGGAAACATATCCGCCGCAGTCAAGTCGTCCTCGCTCGTCAAGTGCGCCGTCGCCGCCGCGCCGCTGAGCAAGAGATACTCAATCACCTCCACCTGCGCCGTCAACGAGGCGGCCATAAGTGGAGTCATGTAATCGCTGTCCGCGCAATCGGATCCGCCCGCATCCAAGCCGCACTCGTCTATTAAGAATCTCGCCGCTTCCAGATTACCCAACCCGCACGCCGCGTTCAGCGCCGACCTCGAGGCGTTCGCCCCGTCCCCCCCACATCGCACGCGACTGCGCTTTGGATTCACCCCACTCTGTATCAATAATCTCGCCATCTCCACGTCCCCTCTGACGCACAACGCCTCCGCGAACGCGTCGCACCCGTCCGCGTTCCTCGCTCTCGCGTCCGCCCCTCGCGCCAGCAAAATCTCCACCGTCGACGCCTCCCCTTGCCTACACGCCGCCGTCAGCGCCGTGTCATCGTTACAATCGCTCGCATCGATCCACGCGTCGCACGTATCGATCAAAAACTTGACGCATTCGTCCCTCGCGTTCGCCGCCGCGTGCGTCAGCGCGCCTCGCCCGTCGTCGTCCTCCGCGTCCACCTCCGCGCCGTGCCTCCGCGCCAGCGCCTCCACGACGTCCACGCACCCGAGCGCGCTCGCGTGATGCATCGCGCGCCGTCCCTCGCGATCGCGCGCGTCCACGAGCGACGCGCCTCGTCGATCGTCATCCATCGCCAGTCGCGCATCCATCGTCTCGACGTCGTTCGCGCGCGCCGCGGCGAGCACCGCGTCGAGCGCGTCGCGCGCGCGCGGCGCCATGCTCGCCCGCGCCGCGCGCGCCGCGCCGGCGCGGGCCGTCGCGCGTCGTCGTCTCGCGACGCCGCGGCGGCGCGCGATCGAGTCGTCACATCGCGCTCGCGCGCGCCGCGCCGCGCTCGCGCGCGATGACGAGCGCGATCCCGGACGATCACATGGGCGACGTCGGCACGGGCGTCCCCGACGGCGCGACGCTGACGACGCTCGCGGCGCCGCTCGCGCTCGAGAGCGGTGACGCGCTCGACGCGTGCGACGTCGCGTACACGGTGTACGGCGAGCTGAACGCGAATAAAGACAACGTCGTGCTCGTCGGACACTCGCTGACGTCGAACAGTAACGTCGGCGAGTGGTGGGGGGAGGTGCTGGGCGAGGGCGACGCGTACGCGCTGAACTCGAGGGAGGATTGCGTGATTTGCGTCAACTATCTGGGCTCGCCGTACGGAAGCGCGAGCCCGGTGAGCGCGGATCCGAGAAAGGAGGATCGCGGGGCGTACGGGGTCGATTTTCCGACGCCGGTCACGGTGAGGGATAACGCGGTGATGTGCATGATGCTGCTGAGGGAGCTCGGGGTGAACGGGGTGCGGTGCGCGATGGGCGGGTCGATGGGTTCGATGCTGGCGCTGGAGTTCGCGGCGACGTATCCGGATTTCGTAAAGGAGATAATCATCATCGCCGGGTGCGGACGACACACGGATTGGGCGATCGGCATAGGGGAGGCGCAACGGTACGCGATCATGAGCGATGGGAAGTATAAGGGTGGGGCGTACGAGCGCGATCAAGGGCCGAACGCGGGGTTGGCGACGTCGCGAATGATGGCGATGCTGAGCTATCGCGCGCCGGCGAGCGTCGATGGGAGATTTTCGCGTTCGAACATGGGAGACGTCGCGAGACCGGCGGAAGAACCCGAGCTAGGTGTGCGCGCGCACGAAAAGGAGACTAAGTTGCCGTATTTTGCGGTGGAGTCGTATCTGCAGTATCAAGGGAAAAAGTTTATTCGCAGATTCGACGCGAACTGCTACATTCAGTTGACGTACACACTGGACTCGCACGACGTCTCGCGTGGGCGAGGGGATTATTTCGATGTGCTGGCAAATATTAAACAGCGCGCTCTCGTCGTGGGTATTCTCAGCGACGTACTGTATCCGTATGCGCTTCAGCGCGAGCTCGCCGACGCGTTGCCGAATTCGCAGCTGTACACCATAGACTCCCCGCACGGCCACGACTCGTTCTTGATCGAGATCGAGCAACTCAACGCCGTCATGGCGAGATGGCGGCGCGGTGAAAACGTCGATACGCGCAAAGACGCGCGTGATTTCACCGCCCTGGAATCGAGCGACAGCGTCGAGGAGCTCCGCGAGGGCGTCAAGCGTCTTCGCGAGGAGCTCACCGTAGCCGAGCTCAAGCGTGAGCGCGCCGAGGCCGCACTTCGCGCCGCGCTCGATCCAACGCAAAATATCTCCGCTGAAGCTTTGCAGCGCTCAGCGTCCGTCGGTTCGGCGCTTAATCTACCGGGATTACTCATGCCCATGAATCCGAGCGGCAGCGAAATGGTGCGCGCGCGCGCGCCCGTCTTCGGCAAGCTCGCCGCCGACATCGACGGCGCCCCGAGCGGTTACGCCGGCGTCTAGTGTTTCGATCGTCTGCGACCATCTCATCTAGCACATAGTTTCTCGCGATGCTTATAACGCTTCGTTCGTTTCGTTTGTTTCGTTCGCCGCCGCCTCGCGACCAGCTCGATTTGAAACGCTCGCGACAGCTGGCCGCACTCGCCACCGCGCGCGCGCGTCTGCGCACCGCGCGCGTTCGCGCACCGCGCGGAAGAACGCGATGTCACCCGCGCAAAACACGCTCGATGCGTTCCTCAAACGCGCGTCGTCGTCGACGAAACCGCGCGAACGCGGCGACGTCGAAAACGTTGAAAACGTCGACCCGGAGCGCGCGCACGACGACGACGCGCGCGCGCGCGCGGAAGACGTCGCGAACGACGTGCTCGGTCGATGGTCGCGCGTCGCGCGCGCGTGCGTCGCGCGCGCGTGCGTCGCGCGCGCGGCGACGTCGACTTCGACGACGTCTCGGCGCGCGGAGGACGTCAAGCGCGCGGCGTACGCGTACGCGACCAAGATGAAGAACGCGCGGCGAGCGCACGGGACAAAGTTAAATCACGGACGGGAGATGATGACGCTAGTTGGGGATTTGTGGGCGTGCGAGCGCGGGATCGGGGCGCACGGGGCGAGGAAACGGTTGAGGTTCGCGGTGGGCGGCGGCGCGTCGATGCGCGCGTTGGTAGAATACGGCGCGTGCGCGTTGCCTCGGGTGACGAATAACGCGCGAGCCGCGGGGGCGAACAACGCGGTGAATGCGATTGAGTTCGACGCGGCTGGAGGGATGGTGACGAGTGGTACGAGTGCGGGAGCGATCGACGTGCTGGACGTCGCCACGCTTCGTACCACAGCCGGAGAGCTTTATTGTCCAAAACTCAAACTCTCCACCGATCGTTACATCGATGCGATGAAATGGAATCACGACGCGTCTTTGGTGATGACGGCGTGTGATATCTCCAGTACTGTGATCGCATATCGTGGAGATTCGACGCGCGTCGTGGGACCTCGCGGGATGGCGCCGCGGACGCACGTTATGCACAAGTACAAAGTACAAACACGGACGAACAACGCGTCGCTTGGGCTGCGAGACTTAAAGCTCGATCCGAAAGATCCGCGTTGCATCATCGCGAGTGCGAGCAATGGGCAGGCGTATCTTTGGGACACGCGTTTGGCTGGAGATAAACAAACGGCACAGTTGAGTTCGCTTCTCAAGACGACAGCGATCGCTTCGCTAGTCGTCTCCGATGACGGACACACCGTCATCGGTGGTGATGGTGACAAGGGCGACCTTTTAATTTGGGACATGCGCAAGGCGACCAGCAACACATCAATCGGTGGTCTCGGCGACAACACACAGTATTACAGCATCGTGGCGCAACTGAGCATCACCAAGTTGCTTGCAAAGACGGCGCTCGCAACGGATGTCAAGATCTCAGACTCCGGTGTGCATTGGATCGGTTGCGATCCAAATGATTGCAGGAGGTTGGGATATCACCTCACCAACGGCTGGAGCGGCGTACTCGACTTGATGAAGCCTTGCGTAACGCACGCGCACTGCCCGCCGGCGCCGTGGCTCGAGGCTCGTCAATCCGAAGTTCGCGCGGAGAACTCGCTCGAACCTGATGCCTTGTCCGTACCACTCAGCGATTTACGGCGTCGAACACCATGCTGGTTGCCGGACGGTGGATCATTCGCCGTTGGCCTCGGTGTCAAGCCCGGCGTGCGGGTTTTAGACTTTGCGCCGACGCCGAAGTCAAGACACTGGATTCACGGGTTGACTATCGCGGATCTCGAACGTGAGCCGGCCGGACGATACGCCACTGGCAACGAACCGGTCTTTATCGAGACTTCCTCGAAGATCTTTTCCGTGGCGGCACATCCATATCATCACGGTGAGCTGATCGCAGGGGGCGAGAGTGCGCTGTGCTTGCTCGGATACGGCCACGTGGCGTCAGGAAGGGACGAAGATGAGCAAGGTGCCTCGTCGGAGGTCGAAATCGGCGACGCTGTCGATGCATAGCTTAGTCATAGGTAGTTGGTAAACAAACATAGAATCATTCATTCATCGGCTGACGGCTACGTCGCCTAGACTAGTTTTTGAACGACACAATCTTAGGAGCAACACTTGGACTTTTCGCTCGGCGCCTTGGTGCCGAGGTTGATTCCGCCGGCAGAGATCGCCCCCTTCGAGCCCGTCAACCGAGTCAACCGAGTCAATCGAGTCTTAATATCGCCCGCGATTGTCATGAATGCGTCCTCCACGTTCACGCTCGCCTTGGCGCTCGTTTCGAAGAACGGAATCCCGAATTCATCTGCCAACGCCTGCCCGCGAGCCTTCGTAATCGCCCGCTTCTCCTCCGACACGTCGCACTTGTTCCCGATCAAAATCTTGTTCACACTCGAGCTTGCGTGCTGCTCAATATTTCGCATCCACCCGCGCACGTTTTCAAAGCTCTTCTCATCCGACACATCATACACGAGTAAAATCCCCATCGCGCCGCGATAATACGCCGTCGTAATCGTCCTAAAGCGCTCCTGTCCGGCGGTGTCCCAAATCTGCAGCTTCACCCGCTTCCCATCGATTTCCACCGTTTTAATCTTAAAATCAATCCTTCGCGCATCGACAACCGGTTCTCGGGGTCAGTCACCGCGCCGTCGACGTCGTTTACGCGTTTCGCGAGCGCCGACGATTCCTTCGCGCACCCGATCGTCGTGATGAAGCTCGTCGTGAACTGATCGTCGCTAAATCTCAACAGCAAGCAACTCTTCCCAACGCCTGCGCGCGTTCGTTCGATCGCGCGTCCTCTCGTCAGTCATCGCGGTTCGTTCGCGCTTCGGTCACGCGCGCGCGGAGTTCATCTCTCGTCGCCTCGCCTCGCCTCGCCTCGCCTCGCGCGCGCGCGCACCGCTATCACCGATGAGCAGCAGCTTGAGCAAGTGATCGTAGTGCATCGACGCGCCGTGCGCGCGCAATTGCGCGGCGTTCGACATGGCGCGCGCTCGTGTGACGCGATTGCGCGCGCGCCGATGCCGTCCGCGTCAGACGTCGCCGCGCGTCGTCGCGCGCCGCGGCGATGCGAGCGATCGAAGGGCACGCGCTGGGCTACGCCTGGGCGTTCGCCGCGTCGCTCGCGAACGCGTCGCAGGACAACTTGAGGAAACTGGCGTCGAACCGGGTGAAACAACCAATCGAGATCGTCGCGCTGAGCGAAGTGTTCAACGTCGTCGCGCTGGCGTGCGCGGTCGGCGCGAGTGGGAAGTGGGGGAAGTTCGCGCGGTACGCGCGACGAGGGGATCTCGTGGCGCTGGCGGCGGCGGCGGGATGGTTGAAGGCGTTGAGCGCGGCGCTGTTGCAACGGGCGCTGCGGTTGACGCCGTTGTCGCTGTGTGTGCCGTACCTGGCGTTCACGCCGCTGTGGTTATTGGTGATTAGCTTTTTCTTAGTGCACGAGACGCCGACGTTGCGTGGAGTGTTGGGGGTGATGGTGATCACGGTCGGGGCGTACATGTTGAACGCGAACAGCGCGGCGCCGGAGAAACTGGAAAAGAGTCCGCGGTTGGAGGAAGGGCTCGTTCGCGGCGGTGGTGGGTCTTCTGGACGGGTTCGGAGTGCGAGAGAGTCGCTGGAATCGCTCGCGACGCCGCCGACGAACGGTGCGGGTTGGATGTCTATAGCGTTTAGCGAAGCCGCGGCGTCGTCGTTTCGCGAGGAGCGTTACGGTGTGAGGTTGGGATGCGTCGGGCGATCAGTTGCGAGGCAGGTGACGACCTTGCGCGCGAATCCTGGGAGTTTAATCACTCTCGGCATCGCCGCCGTCTACGCTCTCGTCGCTGATCTCGACAAGCTCGGTAAATTGCACTCCGACGACTTGCTCGTGTTCATCTTTTTGCAGAGATGTTTCCTATTGGCGCCACCTCTGACGTACGTCATGGTGAAAAATCCAGCAGCCTTCAACGTTTTCACGAAAACAAAGAAGGTTGGCTGCGCGTTAGCTCTCATAGGTTTCCTCGACATCGCCTCCATGTACGCCTTCCTACAGTCGCTGAACTACATCTTCACGAGCTACGCCGTCGCGGCCAAGCGTACGAGCATCCTAGCCAGCGTCGTCGGCGGCGCGCTCTTCTTCAAAGAGCCCATCGCCCGGCGATTGCCGTATATATTCATCATGTTCATCGGCATGGCGTTGATATTAATCGCCGATGCCGACAAGCATTAGCGCGCGCGACGGTGTCAATACAACACGAGCGCCGTCGGTGCGGGTTCAAAACTCTTCACCCCATCCCCTTCACTCTCGCCCGCGCGCCTCTCGCGATGGCCGACCAAGACAGCAATGAAAAAGAAATTGAAAGTACGTCGCGCCCCATCGCATCGCTCGATCGATCGCGTCGCCCGCGCCCTCGGGCGCGCGTGCGGCGTTGATAAAGCGCGCCGATGACTTCGGCCTAGGTCGAGTGCGCGTACGGTTTCACCTCGCTCGCGTCGCTACGAACGCGCTCGAGACGCTCGCGACGCGCGCGCGAGGTCATGAATGGCACGCGTGACCACGAGCGAACGACTGACGAGACATTCGCGCCGCGCGCGCGCGCCGTTGACGATGAACAGTATGGAAGATGCGCAAGGTGCGACTGGCGGCTCGAACTCGACGCGCTCGTGGGAGCAAAAACGATGAGAAATCGCGACGTGTCGGCATCGCGAACGAGGTGAACGAAGACTGACGGACTATTATATCGTTTTACTCGAACGTAGCTCATCAAGAAGCTGGAAGACGCGCGCGGGAACGGGACGTCGATGATTTCGCTCGTGATCCCGCCGAAAGGGCAAGTGAACCTGGTGCAAAAGATGTTGATCGAAGAGATGGGCACGGCGACGAACATTAAGTCTCGAGTCAATCGACAGTCAGTGCTCGATGCGATCGGTTCGGCACAACAGCGCTTGAAGCTGTACAATAAAGTGCCGCCGAATGGGCTCGTCGTGTATTGCGGCGCGGTGTTGACGGAGAGCGGGAAGGAACGGCAGATGAAGATTGATTTTGAACCCTTCAAACCGATCAACACGTCGTTATACATGTGTGACAACAAGTTTCACACTGCAGCGTTGAGTGATTTGTTGCAAAACGATCAGAAGTATGGTTTCGTCGTAATGGATGGTAACGGGACGCTCTTCGGAACCTTGTGCGGGAACCATCGCGAGATTCTACAAAAGATTTCCGTTGATTTACCGAAAAAGCACGGTAGAGGTGGTCAATCCGCGCTTCGTTTCGCGCGTCTGCGTTTAGAAAAACGTCAAAACTACCTTACCAAGGTTGCTGAGCTCACGACGCAGCATTTCATCAGTAATGATAGGCCCAACGTCGCCGGCTTGGTGCTCGCCGGTTCGGCGGATTTCAAGAACAAACTCGCCGAGGCGGATTGCTTCGACAGTCGCCTTCAAGAAGTCACCTTGGCCGTAGTCGATGTCTCTTACGGCGGTGAAAACGGCTTTAATCAAGCGATTGAGCTCTCCGCGGACACGCTTTCGTCGCTCAAGTTCATCCAAGAAAAGAAATTGGTTGGCAAGTTTTTCGACGAAATCGCCCAAGACACGGGCAAGTACGTTTTTGGTATCAACGATACTTTGACGTGCTTGGAAATGGGAGCGGTTGAAACTTTGGTGTGCTGGGAAGATCTCGAGGTCGCGCGCGTGACCCTGAAAAATAGCAGCACCGGAGAGGAGACGATTAAGTTTTTGCGGCCCGAAGAGACTGAGGGCAATGAAAACGACCACGTGCGCGACGCCGATGGCAACGATTTGGAGATTGTCGAATCCGTCCCGCTGTTGGAGTGGCTAGCAAACGAGTACAAGAAGTTTGGTTGCGTCTTGGAACTCATCTCGGATAAGTCGCAAGAGGGTAACCAATTTTGCCGTGGTTTCGGCGGCATCGGCGGTTTGTTGAGATATCAAGTCGATCTCACCGCCTTCGAAGTCGCCGCCGACGCCAACTCCGACGATTGGGACTCCGACGATTCCGAATGTTTCATCTAACCCTTCCCGTTGCATTGACTCGATCCTAACGCCACATCCCATAGCATTAACAATAAGACGACCCTGGCAGTTGTTCGACGCCGCGCGCGCGAGCGCCTTATCCTTCACACGCGCGCGCGTTCGCCGTCGGTGCCCTCCCGCGACGCGGCGCGCCTCCGTAAACGTACCATGGGTATCGCCGCCAGCGCCACGTCTGGCTCCATCGCGCGTCGCGTCGCTCGTGACGACGACGCAACGAACAAGTCGTTAGCGTTACACCCCGTGCACGCCGACGCCCGCGCCCTCCCGCCCTGGACGCCGTCCTCCATCATCGACGCCCTCCCGGACGACATGGTGGACATCATTCTCGACCACTGCACCGGCGTCGACCTCGCGCGCGCGGAGTGCGTGTGCACGAGGTTGCTCTCGCTCGCGCGACGCAGCGAACGAAGGTGGCGGGACGCCCTCGCGCGCGACTTCGGCGTGCAATTCGCCCCAGCCCCGGGCGTCGAACGACTGCCGGGGCTGCCGCGAGGATCGATGAAGCGCGAGTACGTCGCGTGTCGAGAGACGCTCCGCGCGATCGTGCGTGGGTGCGCGAAAGGCGCCGACGGCGGCGTCCCGAACTTTGCGCTCGGGACGAGGGTGTACGCGTGAACGCCGCAGTCTTAGACGCGCGCGATCGATGGATTTCGATCGCCTGCTCGAGGGCGCGCTGAAGGATGCGCGTCGACATCTCGGGTCGTCGAGTAAGGACGGCTGGCGCGCCGCCATCGACGCGTGGGTTGGGTTTTATAGCGCGGTGGATTGGCGCGAGCCGTGGTTGAGAGCCTTGCTCGCCGCCCACGCGTGCTTGTTTATCGTCGTTTTGCTCACGCGAAGAGATGAGCGAACGCAAGGAGTGTTGTTCTGCGCGTGCGCGGCGATCGTATTCATGGCGGAGCGCATCAACGCTCTGGCGGCGGCGAAGTGGGAAACCTTCGCGACTCAAAACTACTTCGACCCGAGGGGTCGGTTCACGTCCGTCGTGCTCTCCACGCCGCTGGTCGTGGCGACGCTCGTGATTTTGGTGAATTTGTTACTCATCATGACGTCGATGATGGTTGAAGTGGCGAAACGGCGCAAAGACGCGGGGGTGAAGAAGACTCAATGAGTTTTGTCTAGTGTACTAGTACAGTGGAGCTTGTAAAAGAATGTAAAACGATTGGTTGATTGCGTCCTCGACTTCGCGCGCGGATGCGTAAGGTTGCATGAATTTTTGTTACACATATGAGGTGGAAGTGTTGTGTTCATGGGGCTATCGATTGTTGGATAGTTGGAACTATGCCCGCCGTCAGTCAAATTTGACGACGTCGTGCTGAACGCAAATCTGTTTGATGTGGTCGAATTTCGACTTGGCGTCGGGGATGTCCAAGCTCAAGTCTTCGATCGCGCCGTTGGTGCGTATGAAGCCTTTCTGTAGTTGACTCGCGCTCAATTCGGCGCTGTCTCCGAGAACCTTGAATAGCCCGAGAATGACTGCAACGCTGTGGCAATCCCGCGGAGCTTCCAGCGCAATGTTCAACGCTTGCTTGACAAACTCGTGATGGAAGAAGGGCATGTGTAGGTCGTGCAAGCAACGACGAGTCTCCGAAACGTCGTTCGTCACCACGTATTCCTCCAGCATCGACTTGATTTGCAGCTTGGCGGCGTCCAGAGGCGACTTGTCGAAATCGCCCCACGCGCGAAGCACTCGATCAATGTGACCAGGTCCAAAGAGATGTCCGTGTGCCAGTAGAAGGGCCTCTTGCGACTGTTTACCTTCGCACGTTACGAGACAGGCGACGTTATCCGGGAATGAGGGCGGTAAGATGTCGTCGATGATGGCTCGCGCGATGAACATGCCCAACGTTTCAGCCGCGTCGGGAACGTCGATGGACAAATCATCCGCGGCTTCGACGAGACGCAAGAACCCACGCTGTATTTGCGCTCCCGACAGCGCGCTGGGATACAACGCGCTGAGTAACGTCGCCGCGGCTTCTTTTTCTCGATGCCCCCGGTCCATAGCGAGGGTAACGAGGCGCTTCACGAAGAAGTGTTCGTACACGGGCGCGTCCAACTTCTCCACGCTGATCCACGCCTCGTCAATGTCCGCAGAGTTGAAATACTCGTTGATGATCGTCTCGGCTTTGTTTTTGTACTCCACGACGACGTCCGATTTCGCGTCGCCCGCCGCCGCGCGCAACCCAAACGGTTCCTCCGTCGAGTCGTAATTCGGATCTCCCCTATCCAACGCGAACACAGGCGATTCATCGATCACGCTCAGCACGCGCATTGTTTCATCACCCTTCTTACCCCGCCCGCTCGCTCGACTGTGCTGCACCCCGTGTCCATCGGTCCATTTTTGCTCGAGCGCGTCGCCTCGCCGGTCCGAGCCCTTCGCGCGCGCCGCCTCCAACTGCGTTCGCTTTCGCAGCGTCGCGTCGAACGCCTTTTGCTGTTCGGCCGTGAGCAGCACCATGTCTGTCAGCGTCGACGCGATCTTCCGATCGCCCGTTCGTCCCTCTCTCTCTCGCGCGCGTCGCGGTTCCGAGAGCGGTCGGTTGGACCGTCGCTTTTCGACGATTCCTTCTCTCCGCGCGTCTCGCGCGTCGCGTCGCCGCGCGTCGCCGTTCGCGCGCGCGAGACCGAAGATCGGACCCTTTCCGACGCTCCGCGCGCGCGCTCGCGCGTGTCCGTCGATCTACGCGCTCGCGTGTGCGGCGCGACGTCGACGCGAGGGCGACCCGCTGACGTGGCGACGATAAACGCGCGCGCGTCATTTTATATGGGCTAAAAATAGTCACAGTATAGATGCCTGCGCATGAGTTACAGTTGGCGACCGCGACCGCGACCGCGACCGCGACCGACCCGCGCGTTCGCCGCGCGGCACCGTCGACGCCGCCGCGTCGACCGCGTCCCTCGATCGTCCCTCAATCGTCGCAGTTCGGATCGTCGCGATCGAGCGCGTAGATCGGCGCCTCGTCGCGCATGCGAATCGCCGCGGCGTCGTCGCCCTTGCGTCCGCGTCCCGACGCCCTCGCGTGCGTGTGTCCGCGCGCGTCGCGCCACGTGTCGCGCTTCGGCGGCGATGCCGGCGGCGACGCCGCGGGTTCCGCCGCCGCCGCGGCGCGCGCCTCGAGCCGCAGGCGCTCTTCGTCGGATTTCACGAGCATGTGGGTTGGTTGGATGTCCCGGCGTCGGTCGTCTCGAGCGCGTCGGCGTCGCGCGCGGGCGTTCGCGGTGTCGCGGTCGCGCGTCGAGGGTGACGCGGCGCGCGCTTTTCGATCGCGCGCTTCGAGCGCGTCGACGTGTGCGCGCGCGCGACGCGCGCGCGTCGACGCGCGCTGCTGACGCGGACGCGGGCGTCGGTCCGTGTTGCGGTCCGTGTTGAAGCGACGCTTCGCGTCGCGGCGTCGACCGACGGCGCGCGCGCGGCGACGCACTCGCGCGCGCGACGAACGCGACGAACGCGACGCGCGAACGACGCGCGATCGCGATGCCGCGAGGGCGAACCGAGGACGGCGCGCGCGAGGGAGGACGGCGAAGGGTGACGCGCGGCGGATGGCGATGGGTCCGCGGCGCCGCGCTCGCGGGCGTCGCGCTCGCGAGCGGCGGCGCGCGCACGGCGCTGGCGAAGAGCAAACTGCAGATCGTGAACGCGGGACACGATATCGCGCACGCGTCGCACATACTGTGCGGGACGGGGGACGCGGGGAAGCGAAAGTGTCAGGATTACGCGGAGATGTTGACGCCGTACCAGGACTCGGCGCACACGCTGGAGCGAGCGTTCGCCGAACTCGCGAGGCGGTACAGCGAGTGTCCGACGGGAAGCGACGGTGGTGATTTGGGGTATTTTCCGAGAGGCGAGATGTCGCGAGATTTCGAGAGCGTCGTGTTCGATTCCAAGACGCCGTTGGACGCGGTGGTGGGACCGGTGGAGACGAGAAACGGTTGGCACGTCATGCTCGTGCACCACAGGCATCTCGCGGATGAAGACGCGAAGGAAAGGGCGCGTTTGAAATCTGAAGAGATGAAGAGAGAACGATTGGAGCGCGCGGAGAAGCAGAAGGAGTATCAAGAGGAACGGGCGCGTCGAAAGGCGCAACGAGCGGCGAAGCGCCACGAGCGAGACGCCGATAGACACTCGCTTCACGCACACGCCGAGGAGCACCTTCACGATGAACTGTAAGAGCGCCGTTATGACAGCTGAAGCGTATAGACACCAACATCACCGCATGCATTAAAAATAATTTGAATCAATAACGTTCGAGAAGCTCTCGCAAATACTCCGCGCGATCCGCGAGCGCGCCCGCATTCGTCGTCACCCCGTAGCCATCCATCAGCTCTTCCGCTTGCCAGAGCTCGCGCAAAAGCTCCCAGTACTCACCGCCGTTGTCGGACAGAAACTCACACGCATCGGTCCAGTCGGGCTCTTCCTCGCAATACGCGCGAATACGTTTGAAATCCAGTTCGTGAATGTCGACGAAGACGCGACGAAGCGCCTCAGCCGACGTCGCGTCCGACGGCCCGTAAGCCGCGAGCGACGCGAACACGAGCTCGGTGAGCACCAGCGCCATGGCTTTCAGATCAACGACGACGCTTGTTGGCGTGCAAAGCGTACTACACCCAAAATTAATCAGCCTGACTTCCAGATCGTCCGCCTTTGTGTCTAAAAACGTGCTGCACAAAAACGTCGACCCGTCCAACGCCCCGTGCGCCACGCCCCTCTGATGCGCGTACCACACCCCCTTCAAGCACTGCTCGAACGCTCTTCTCACGTACCTCGCCCGCGCTTTCTTTGGTTGGTCTTGCACGCGCTGCACCGGAGGCCAAAACTTCGTCTCAGACTTCCCTTCCTGCTTCGCTCGCGCGTACTCGCTCAGCCTTCGCACGCCGTGCCACTCCTGCGCCGTCCACAAGCTCCTAGTCCCATCACCGTCGATCGAGGCCGACGCGAAGTACCCAACCAGTCTCGCGATCGGTAACGCTTTTTGTGGCAGCATCCCCGGCCCTCGACCGTACTCATCCACCTCAATCTCCACGTCGTCGTCCGCCAGCAGCCGCTCGTACGCCCGCACCTCCGTCTCCGCGAACGCCGCCGCGCGTTCACCCGCGTACTCCTTCAGCATCACCGCGCCTCTGTCGGCGTTCCTCGAAATCGGCGGTACCGACGGTGTGTGCACGTACCTCCCCGCGTACACGTTCACCCTCGCCGCGCCGTCGTCGACCTCCTCCTCGACGCTCGACGCCGCGACGCTCTCCGGCGCGCCGCCGTCCGCGCTCGCGCGCCACGCGAACGCGCTCGCGCTCGGCCGCTCCGTGCGCAGCGTCACCGATCCCAGGCGCGTGGTGATTTCAAAATCGTCCGCCTCGGCGCGTTCGAGCGCGCTCCGCGTCGTCGTCGTCGGGTTCGTTCGACGTCCTCGCGCGCGCCCGTCGTGGATAGCGCGTCGACTTCGCGCGCGCGTTCGCGCGCCGGCGCGCGGCGCGCGCTCGAGCGCCGCGCGCGCGCGCACGACGCGAGCGTTCGCGCGCATGTCCCGCGCGCGCCGGTCGTTCGCGACCGCGCGCGTCGAGGAATGCCGCACTCGTCGACGCGGTTCGTTTCATGTCCCCGAAAACGCCCGCGGTGACGTCGGCGCCCGCGCGTCGCGACGAGCGCGCGCGCGAGGGCGAACCCGTGGAGGTGTTCGCCGCGCACTCGCCCTACGACGCGCTGTGCGTGCTCGTGGCGCTCGTTCTCGGGCTGTTTCGAGCGGCGAGCGCGCGGTGCAGCTGCTGAATCGAGTCGAAACGATGAAGCGCGAAGACGCGCTGCGCGCGACGAGCGCGACGCTGCGCGCGCGATCCGTGCACGAAGCTCGCGTGCGACGATTGAACGACGCGCGCGCGAGGGAGGCGCCGGATGGGGCGTACGTGTTGCTCTGGGCGCAGAGCGCGCAGAGGACGCGCTGGAACGAGGCGTTGGAGTACGCGGTCGACCGGGCGAACGATAGACGCGCGCCGCTCGTGGTCGTGTTTTGCTCGACGGCGACGTACCCGGAGGCGAACGAACGACACGTTGGGTTCATGTTGGAGGGGTTGTGTGAGATGCGGGCGACGCTCGGGAAGCGGCGAATCGCGTTCGAGGCGTTCGCGTGCGCGCCGCCGGAGGCGGCGCTGGCGGCGAGCGAACGAGCGATCGAAGTGGTGACGGATTCGGGGTATTTACGGTTACTTCGCGCGTGGCGGGATGACTTGGCGCGGAGGGCAACGTGCGCGGTGACGGAGATCGAGACCGAGTGCGTGGTGCCGCAGTTGGGGCAGGGGGCGCGACGCGCGGAACCGTCGGCGGCGACGTTTCGGCCGAAGGTGCTGGCTCGCGTGCGGGAGTTCACTAGAAACGCGTGCGCCGTGCTGCCTTACATCGCGGGCGAACTGGATGACGCGACGCGCGCGATTTTTGAGAAGACTGTCGACAAGTACGAGCGGCTGCCGCTCGAGCGAGGCGTCGACGCGTGCTTGAACGTCCTCGACGCTTACGGGCTAAAGCGAGATCCCAGCTGTCCTCGCGTGTCGTCTCACGTCGGTGGAGAGTCTCGAGCCAAGGCGAAGCTCGATGTGTTTTTGACGAAAAACATGCTCTCGCGCTATCATCATTCGCGTAACGATCCGTGTTTGTGTTTGCAGAGTCATCTGTCGCCGCACATTCACTACGGGCAAATCTCCGTCGTCGAAGTGGCTCGCAAAGCGCTCGCGTTTCGCGACGCACACGCCGATGAAGCCGACATCTGTGCAAGCGTGGATGTTTTCCTCGACGAACTCATCGTACGAAGAGAGTTGGCGGTGAATTTTGCGCTGCGAAACCCAAAGTATGATTCTTACGACGGGCTTCCCGAATGGGCGCGAGAGACGCTGGAGAGGCATCGAGGTGATCGCCGCGAATGGACGTATACACTCGAGGAGTTTGAACACGGCCGAACGCACGATAAGTTATGGAATGCATCGCAACGAGAGCTTGTGTCCAGTGGTAAACAACACAATTACTTGCGAATGTACTGGGGAAAGAAAATCCTCGAATGGAGCTCGACGCCAGAAGAGGCTTGGCGTATCGCGATGACGCTCAACAATAGATATTCACTCGACGGTCGAAATATGGTTTCTTTGACCGGCGTGGGATGGTGTTTCGGCCTGCACGACCGTGAATTCCACGAGGCGAGCATAACTGGCACGATTCGACGCTTTTCTGAATCTGGCATGCGCAAGAAGTTCCCAGCCGGAATAAAGGGCTACCTCGAGCGTTGGGGCGACGACGGAGGGACGAAACGCCAACTGCGACTCGAAGACGTGTTCGGCAAACGATCGAAATCGAAATAGTATCATCAGTAGTCACATTTTGAATCATCATGTTGCAAACAATTGTATATGCTAAGCATCACGCCGCGGCCGTCGTCGAGGTATCGAGGCGGTGTCTATCTGCTATTTCCGCTGCGCTTTGCGCGACCAAGGCGCGCAAATACGCTTCGACCGAACATCTTCCGGTCGAACCGACGGTGCTGTACGCCAAAAACGGGAGCTTTCTGAGAGCGCGACCGCTCAGTCCGTCGCAAGCTTCGGCAGCTTCGCGCAAAGTCAGCGACACCGGGCAACCTTTCGCGACACCATCGTCGAATTCCATCGGCTCAGCGCCCTGCACCAAATCGCGACGAATGAGCTCAAGCACGCAGGAGCGCAAAATCTCGTACCTCGCTCGCATGCCGGGCGGGCCGATGTAGCATTTGATATCCGCGCGATCGACAAACGCTAGATCGATCGCTTCGGTGATGTTGCTCGTCGTTAGCACGATGGCGTTCGGTCTAGACTTCAGCGCGTCAAGCTGCGTGAGCAGAGCGTTGACGACGCGAATCGCGTCGCTGGGTTCCGAACCGTTCGCCGCACTCTTTCTCGCCGCAGCCAGACTTTCGACTTCATCGACGAGCACGAAAACCAAAGAATCTTCGTCTTCTAATAACTCTTGTATCTTACCGAACAGTTTACTCACCAACTTTCCGCTCTCGCTAAACCAACGACTGAAGAGCGAATGCGCGTTCACCTCCACCAACACGCTGCTCGAGTATATATGATTAAACCTGATGGACAACCGCTGCGCCAACGCCTTACACATCGTCGTCTTCCCCGTCCCCGGCGGTCCATGCAACAACACCACGCGATTCCACGAGATGAGCTGCGCGTCCACGCCGCGTTCACCGAACAACAGCGCCGCCGTCGCGTACCGCAGCAGTCGCGTCTTCACCTCGTCGTCGTCGAAAATCAAAGACTCCCACGCGCCCTCAAAATCCACACACGGCAGGCTCCACTCCGTGTACGTCGCGATCTCGTCTCCTTCCCCGATCTCCTCCCCCGGCCCGTCCTCGCACAGCCCGTACGCGCGCGTCGTCAGCGCGCACTGCCACGCCAACAACCGTCGCGTCCCGCGCCCCTTCCCCTCGTCCCCGTCCAGCCACTCCACGTCCGACACCCACACCTTATCGCACTGCGCGCGCAAAAACGCCCCCGCCTCGCACTTCCAATCGCTCTCGTCCCCGTCCACGAGCGCGCCCGCGCGCGCGTCGTCCACGCACGCCTTGCGCTCGAGCACGAACGTTCGAACCGCCGCCTCGATGGCGTCGTTCGTCGCCGTCGACCGCGCGCGCCGTCGCGCGTCGACGTGCACGCGCGCGACGATCGCGTCGCCGTCGCCCATCGCGCGCGCGTCGCGGTCGTTCGTCGCGCGCGTCGCGTCGTGCGGGCGTCGCGCGTCGCGCGTCGCGACGCGTCCCGTGTCTCGACGAGTCACGACCCATCGATCGAGGTGTTAATTACTCAAAATAAGCGAATAGGAATCGTAATATAAAGACGTGATATTTCACATACATTTTTAACTCCAGACGAGAAGCGCGGACGAACCGATGACGACATGTCGGCGCGACGTCCCGTCCCGGGCGCGACGCGAAAACCGCGCGATACTGCGCGGTCATAGGCGACCGCGCCCCCACACGCGCGCGCGCGGACGCGCGCCGCTCGCGCCGGGTTTGACCGCCGACGAGGCCCGCGCGACGCGAGGACAACGACATCGTCTTCGCGCGCACGCGACGAGGGCCGAACGACGGCCGCGCGCGACGGATGTCGGCGGTGGAGACGACGACGAACACCGGGCTCCCGATTCGGATGCCGAACGACGCGCGCGGCGCGACGCACGCGATCGATCCGCTGAGCGACGTGCACACGGCGGTGAAATCGGCGACGGGGACGAAGATCATCGCGCTGATCGACGTGAGCTCGAGGTTCGCGCTGCCGATCGCGCAAGCGGCGAAAGAGGTGCGGGCGAGATTAGATTTCCGGAGGATCGCGGCGCGGCGCGCGACGAGTTTCGAGAGACTGACGCGCGAATGGGTCGACGCGGAAACAGCTGGATGTGTGCGTGACGGTGCTCAAGTCAACGTGTCGCGCGTTCGGCATCATGCGATGGCCGTATCGAAAGATGCGAAAACTGAACACTATGATTAAGCAGCTCGAGCGGTCGGCGAGAAACGCCGCCGAGGAAAACATATTACATCATAGAATGAAGCGACTTGAAGCGTGTCGACGTGCGAGAGATTTGTTGGTGCTAGAAGCAGAGGCGAACGCACGGGCGCGAATCGGAAAACCCGCCTCGCAGCAGTCCGCCAAGGCGGAGATAGCGTCGACGGGCGCGCGCTACGATTCCAGCGGGCGACTGGGCAACTTTAAGGATCCTGGATACGCTTTCGATACCGACCACAAGGGTTATGCGCTGCATGAGGCGATGCGGAAGATGATGGAGACTGAGGGGTTAGATACGATCGGTCGTTCTGGTCACGTGGATGTCGAATCTGACCCACTGAGCGAACTCGCCTCGCAGGTTACCGCCGTGCAAGAGCGTTTCGTGCGACGGCCAAATCGCAACAAAAGACAGCTACCAACCAGATGCCCGGAAGAGATGGCACTACATGAATTCGTCATGGGCAATCCGGGACTCGAGGCAATGGCTTCGTTGACCGCGCGATTGCGCCGGCAAAAGGAATCGAAGAAACAGACGTCTGAGCACGCCGACGACGCGGACGGCGAAGTCGACATCGATGGGGACGACGGGAAGCAAATTGCGTGGATCGTAAGCTCTCAAAGTCCAGCCTATACCGTCAATGTCCGTCCAAGTAACCCAACGGCGCGAATTCCAGACGTCTTGGTAGAGGAACGCTCTCGGCGAGAAGCCACCTCTCCGCTCGAGCCCAGTCTAGCTCTGTTCCCGTTAAATGTGTCAGCAATCCACAGTGCGGCTTGACACTTGTTACTCAGTATTGCATTATTGTAGAACCGCTTAGTATTTTATGTTATATTTATGTACCACGCGAAGTAACTCCCCTTTGCCGCGTATGCCTAGCGAGCGTGCTATCCGCAGTCGCGAAAGGGTCCAAACCCTTCGCCGCCACCGCGCGTTCTCAGACGTCCGCGCGCGACCTCTCACGAGCCAAAGAGTGAACCGCGCGAAAGGTCACCGAGTTAGTCGCCATGGGTAAGACTCCGGCGCAAGAGAACCGCCTGCGCGCGAAGAAGCAAGGGATGTCTCACGAAGACGTCAAAAAAGAGCAAGCCGCCGACGCGCGAAAGATCAAGGATCTCGCGAACAAAGACGCGACGTTCGGGATGACGAAAGGAGCGGCGATGAATCGTAAGCATGAAGTTGCCATGCAACGGTTGCGGGACATGAATGACCCGACGACGGAACTCGGGAAAGCGACGCTCAGGGCGGCGAAGAAGAAGGCCAAGGAGCAGCAAGAGTTTTTGTTGCGAACGAAGGGCATAGACGTGAAACAACCGGAATTACAGCCAGGAGTGGACCCGAAGACGGTGCTTTGCGAGTTTTTCAAGCACGGTTGCTGCGCGAAGACGGCGGATAAGTGCAAGTACTCGCACCAGTTGGATATCGCGACGCGGCAGCAGAAGCGAAGCGCGTTCGAGTTGCCGAGCGAGGACTCCATCGAGATGTGGGATCAGAAAAAGCTCGAAGCTGTCATCGCGCGAAAGCACGGGCAGGAAGCGAACACAAACAATGAAACGACGATCGTGTGTAAGCATTTCTTGGATGCGGTTGAGAAGAAGCTTTATGGATGGTTTTGGCACTGCCCGGGCGGTGCGGACTGCAAGTACAAGCATAAGCTGCCGCCGGGTTTCGTGTTCAAGAGCGAGCTTCGCGAGAGATTGCTCGAAGAAGCTCGCGCGAGAAAGACCGACCAAGACATTCTACGCGAGAAACTGATCGCGCTGAAGAAGAGCGGGAAGAACACGACGCCGATGACGCTGGATGTGTATTTGGAGTGGAAGAAAGAGCGCGTCGACAAGATCAAAGCCACTGTGGAGGCTTCGAGGGAGGAGCGCATCAAGAACAACTTGCTCACGGGGCGTGAGATTATTGAACAACAGCAGGGTGGAGTCGAGGCGGCGGTCGATGCCGGTGCGAGCGCCGGAGATGACGAAATTGCTCGATTGATGAAGGCGCGCAGAGAGGCGGACGACGAGGCAGAGCGCAAAGCCGCTGAAGAAGCTGCTGAAAACCTTGCTCGCGCGAAGAACTTGGGTGATCTTTACAACATAGAGATGTTGCCAGATGAGACCGACGACTTCGCTGATCTTGAAGAGGAAGAAGACAACTTCGAACCGCCCGAGGGCTGGACTCCAGACGCTGTCGCTCCGGGTGGCGACGGTGGTCAAGACGAAGCCGCAGCAGTGGAATCGGCGGAACAACCGGATATCAACGAAAAGAAGGCTCGTCGAGAAGCCGAACTCAAGGCTATGGAAGAGGAGGGCATCAAGCTCGTGCAAAAGACGACGAGAAAGGACAAAGAGGAAGAGCTATTCAAGCCCGCGGTTGAGATCCCGGACGAGGCGTTGGGCGACGGCGAGATGGATCCGAAGAAGCTCGGTGAAATGATTGCGGCGAAGCGTGCAGCCGAAGAAGCTGAGCGAACGAAACATCTTGCCGATATGGCGGAGGAAAGGGAGCGAAAAGACGCCGCTAAGGCGGCAAAGAAGGCCGAACGGGAAGCCGCACGAGCGGCGAAGAAGAAGAAGAAGAAGGGTGACGACGAAAATGACGACGTGACGACCATCGAGGCAGCCCTTGGCAACGTTGAGCTCGAAGAGACTGGAACATCGATGAAACGCATGTCTACTGGTGTGTTGGCGTCTCGTCCCACCGCACGTGATATCAAGATTATCAACTTCTCCATGGGTATGGGTGGTCGCGAGCTCATCAAAGACTGCGACATCGAAATCACAATCGGAAGAAGATACGGTTTACTCGGTCAGAATGGCTGCGGTAAAACAAACTTTCTCGAGTGCTTGGCTCGCCGAGAAGTCCCAATCCCGGATCACATTGATTTGTATCACTTGCGTGAAGAAGCTCTTCCGAGCGAACGATCGGCGATTCAAACCGTCATCGATGAAGTTCAAGCTGAGATGGAACGTCTTAACAAGTTTGAACTGCACATTCTCGAAACTACCGGCCCAGATGACGAACGTTTGGAGCTTATTTACGACCGACTAGAAGAGATCGATCCTACTACGTTCGAAGCGCGTGCATCTGAGCTTTTGCACTCTCTCGGTTTCTCCCAAACCATGATTCATCGCCCAACGGCGGACATGTCTGGCGGCTGGCGGATGCGTGTCGCGCTTGCCAAGGCGTTGTTTGCCCAGCCCACTCTTTTGCTGTTGGACGAGCCAACGAATCACTTGGATCTCGAAGCGTGCGTGTGGCTCGAACACTACTTGGGACAGTACAAAAAGTGTCTCATAATCGTTTCTCACTCGCAAGATTTCTTGAATGGCGTCTGTACGCACATCATTTGGTTGACGCAGCAAAAGCTTACATACTACACCGGTAACTACGATACATTCCAGAAAACCGTGAACGAGAACAACATCGTGCAGCAAAAGAAGTACGAAAAGGAGCAAGCTGACATCGCGCACTTGCAAGAATTCATCCGCTCGTGTGGTACGTACTCGAACATGCGCAAACAAGCCGAATCGAAGCAAAAAATTATCGACAAGATGATGGCCGCAGGTCTCACACCGCCGGTCGCCAAAGAGCACGATTTCAAGTTCGACTTCCCCGAGTGTCAAAAAGTTCCGCCTCCCGTGCTTCCGTTCGCGAACGTGTCGTTCTCGTACAATGGTAAGAAGGAGGACTACTTGTACGAAGGGTTGGAGCTCGGCGTCGATTGCGACAGTCGTATTGCGTTGGTGGGCCCGAATGGTGCCGGTAAATCCACTCTTTTAAAGCTCATGACTGGCGAACTTTCGCCGAGTGTGGGTACGGTCGATAGACACCCGGGTCTGAGCATCGGTAAGTATCATCAGCACTCAGTCGATGTGCTTAACAAGGCGATGACCCCGCTGGAATTTTTCATGGCTGAATATCCCAATAACCTCAAATTCAAGCGTGAGATGGAAGAGTGGCGTGCATACTTGGGGCGCTACGGCGTCAGCGGGCGCATGCAAACGCAGAAAATTGGCGAGTTGTCGGAAGGTCAACAGTCCCGTCTCGTGTTTGCCATGATTTGCATGCAGCGTCCGAACTTGTTGCTTCTCGATGAGCCGACGAATCACTTGGATTTGGAAGCGATCGATGCGCTCGCAGAAGCCATCAAGCGATACAACGGTGGGCTGGTGCTCGTGTCGCACGATTTCCGTCTCATCGACCAGGTCGCGGACAAGATTTGGGTGTGCGAGAACAAAACGGTGCGCGATTGGAAAACGGATATCAGAATGTACAAGAAGCACTTGAGCGACAAGGCGGATCGCGAAGCGCGCGAGCGCAAGGCCAAGGTTCGCAAATAGATGAATTACTTTTACGGCGTTGACGTTGATACTACACCATTCATTGAGAAATTTTAATACTAATCCCATTCTAGTTCCTCCACCTTTGATTCGCGCGTCACCCCGCCGCCGCGCCAACGCCGAATTTCGCCGCCACCGCCGTCTTCATCGCCACCAACCCCATGTCCGTAAACCCTAAAAATAGCGTCAGCGCCGTCATCCCCAAAATCACCGCCACCGCGTTCGACGCGATCGCTCGCCACGTCTTCCCAGACGTCAGCGGCGCGGTCGGCCACCGCAACAGCGGCGTCACGAAGCTCAAATTCTCCGGCTGCTGCGCCATCCACGCCCGCATCGCGCGCGCGGCGTACTCCGCCAACGACTCCTCTCGCACGTCGTCGTCGTACGCGCCATCATCGCGCGCCAGCGCCTCGCGCGTCACCGTTCGCGTCACCGTTCGCGTTCGAAGCCAACCCGCGGCGTCGAACGCCGTCACCGCGCCCCGCGCCGCGCGCGCGCGCCGCCGCGCCGTCGCCGCACCGCTCGACGCGCGCGCGACTCTCGAAGTCGCGCGCGCGCGGATCGTCGCGCCGCACCGCGTCGACGTCGTCGCCATTCGCCGCGATGTGCGGTACCTCAGAATGTCGCGCGGCGTCGCGCGCGCGCGCGCGGCGCCGGCGCCGGTCGCGCGGTTCCGCGCGCGGCGTCGCGCCGGTCGCGCGGTTCCGCGCGCGGCGTCGCTCGGCGTCGACCTCGAGCCCTGGGCGCGCCCGCTCGAGCGCGCGCTCGACTTTCGACGCGATGGCGCCGGAAGCGCGTCGAGCCGCGCCGCGTCGCTGTTCACGACGGCCGTCTTCGCGCGCGCGTACTGGCGCGGGTATCGACAGCTGTTCAGGGCGCTCGGGTACCCGGGAGCCGCCGCCGAGGCGTCGCTCGCGCTCGGGACGCTGCGGGACGGCGGCGCGATGCTGGACGTGTCGTGCGGACCGGGGCTGATACTCGACCTCTTGGCGCGCCATTCGGCGCGCTCGGGGAAGTGGGAGCGCGTGGTTGGTTTAGATTTTTCTCGAGAGATGGTGACACTGGCGCGCGAGGCGTGCGGCGAGCGCGCGACGGTGGTGGTGGCGGACGCGTGCGATTTGCCGTTCGCCGATGGCGCATTCGACGTCTTGCATTCGAGCGCGGGGGCGCATTGTTGGGGCGATTTGAACAGCCGTGGCGTTCCCGAGTCGGCTTTTCGCGAAATGTATCGAGTTTTAAAACCGACGGGGGAGATACTGGTATCGACTGTCGTCCTGCTGAAGCCGACGACGGTTGAGGAGGAGTACTCGCGAACGCCGAACACGCCATTTTTCGACGAACGCGCGGTGTGCCGGATGATTCAAGACGCTGGGTTTCGCGATGTTGAAGTTATAGCAAAGGATAAGTGTTTCGTGGCCGTCAAGGCTGTTAAGTGAAGAGATGGCGGCGGAGGTGGCGAGGTTACGAAGCGACGCTAGCGGCGCGATGAATAGAATTAAAAATCAGCAACGAAACGCTTGTGCGCGCGCGAAATCAACGGCGAAGAATCTGCTTCAGCGCTTGGTCGATCCTCTCGTACTTGAACTTATAACCCACATCAAGCGCGGTTTTGGGTTGGATTCTCTGCCCTTGAAGAACTAGAGTCGATCCTTCGCCGAGAACTGCGCGCAACGCGAAATCTGGCACCGGCAACCAACTCGGTTTCCCTAAGGTCTCGCCGAGGGATTCGCACATCTCTCGCATGCGGACGGGCGTTGGCGCGACGCAATTCACCGGACCTTCAAGTTTTACGTTTGTCAAGCTCTCCATTATGATCCCCACCGCGTCGTCTCTATGAATCCAACTAAACCACTGCTGACCGTCGCCCAAGGGCCCGCCCATGAACGCTTGGAAAGTCGGCACCATCTTCCCGAGCGCCCCACCATCTCGATCGAGCACAATCCCTAATCGCAGCAGCACCACTCTACAATCTTCAACCCCACTCGCGGTTTGTTCCCACGCCTGGCAGACTTGACTTAAATAGTCCGCGCCTGGCCCGCTCGCTTCGTCGTACGTATCTGTCTCACTCGTCCCGTAGTACCCGATCGCCGAAGCGTTCACCAATACCTTAGGTCTCTTGGCGTCGTTTGTGATCGAATTCACGTGTTCGACGACCGCCTTGGTGGTTTTCACTCGGGACGCCATGATTTCACCCTTCACCTTCGGGTCCCAGCGCGTGCTGATTGGTTCGCCAGCTAAATTCACCACGTGCGTCGCGCCGAGCAACCCGCGTCGCCACTTATCCGGAGACACAAACGCGACGTCGCCCTTTGGGAGATTTTGTGGAGAAAGCTTCGCGCGAGCGCGGTTGACGTCTCGCGTGAGCACTCGCACTTCGGCGCCCCGCTCGAGGAGCGTCTCCACTAGCTTGCTACCCACGAACCCGGTTGCGCCCGTGATGGCGACGATGAGCCGATCGTCGGACGACGCTACGGACAGGTCGTCGTCCACGCTCGCGGAAGGCGCTAGAGCGCCCCGACGTGCGCGCGTCGAGCGGAAAAGATGGCGACGACACGTCTTATCCACCGAACGGGACGGCGAGCGGAGGCGCGCGCAGGGCGTCGCATTGCTCGCCGGAGCACGATAAAACGCGTTACAAGTCACTGCTGACGTCATCTCGTGGTTTGAAGCTCGCGCCCGGTGCGCACCGCGTCGTCGACTGCGGCCTCACCAACGACGGCTTGACGTTTTTGCAGGAAACTATGCCGCCGAGCGGCGTCGGGCGTCAACCGTCGAGACGGATTCCAGTGCAGCGCTCGTAGTAGAAATGCGTTGAACCGATCGTCGTCGATATCGATGACTTTCGTGCGCTTGCTTCGCGGCTTGTGCTTTGAGGATGTCCGATCGCTACGTTTGTCGTCTCGTCGACTTCTCGCAAACGACGACTCGCACACATGAAAGTCGACTCGGCGATCGGAGTGTGCTGCCGAGCTAAGAATGCGGCGTGGAGGAGGCCCAATCCGCGAGGTGATCGCGCTTAACTGGCGTGCCTCATCGTCGCCCACAAATAAAGTTTTGCCAGTGGCAAGCTCGGCGAGAACGCACGCCAAGCTCCATACGTCAATGGGATGGCCGTAATCGATTCCGAGCATGACTTCCGGAGCGCGGTAGAATCGGCTCTGAATGTACGTATACACTTGTTTTCCCTGAAAACACGCGCTTCCGAAGTCGATGAGTTTGACATCGAACGAGCCAGGATGTTCTAGCAAAATGTTTTCGGGTTTGATGTCACAGTGCACCACTTGCATGTGTTTGAGGTACACGAGCGCATCCACCATTTGCCGAGCGATATGGCGGACGTGTTGAATATCTAACTTCGCGAACGCGCGGGCTTCCAAGAACTCGTACAAGTTGATGTGAAGCAGCTCAAACACAACGCACAATCGACCGCGAAACTTTAAATGCTCGAACATCTTCACTACGCGACTCGAACCACCTTCGACACGTTTGAGCACCGAAACTTCCACGCGAGCTTGACTCGCAAATGTTTCGTCAGGAGAAATCAGTTTAAGTGCCACTTCGCGCTTATATTTATGGTCAAAGCAACGCACAACTTGACCGAAATTTCCCGCGCCGAGTGAATTGAACATTTCAAATCGAAACGCCACGTGCTCGCCCTTCCTGATGCGAAAGGCATCGTCCTCGTCACCACTGCTAGCACCGGAACCGTGCGATAGCGTTTGCGTGTCGTCTGAGAGATGTTCTAGAGTCGGCACGTACCACACATGTTTGTAACGCAAAATATCGTTTCGGTCCATCACTCGAAGCCGCTTCCAAAACTTCTGCATCGCTTCTACGATCGACATTCCGATCGAGTCTCCATGCCTGGACCTATGAGTTTCCGGTGTCTGTTGGGATTGGTATTTTCGCCTCGCCGTGCCAGGCCGGCCGGTGGCGCCCGCGCCGTGTCGTCGACTCGAGCGCGCGCTGAGCGGTGGTATGGTTGGTGTGAACTTAGGGGTCATGGCCGTTTCGTACGACGATGTCTGCTGGACCACGCCGAAACAACCATTGCAAGTTCCATATTTGTCGTCGGTCACTCTGGCGTTTGCGAGCGCGTGCGAACGTAAACGAGTTTGAGTCACGGTCGCAGTGGCAAGTCTTCTCGGTGGAAGTTCGGTCAACGCGTCCACGCGGCGAGGAGCCGTAGAAGGCATACGACATCCTTCGCCGCCCGGTTTAGCGACTGGGTCAATTGTGAGGGTTGGGAAAATGCGCCTACGATCGTTTGTCGCATCTCGAGTCCGCATCGGCTTGTGAGGTTCGCGTTGGCCAAATATAGGTGGCAGCCAACAAGTAAACTGCTCATCTAATTTTCAAACCTTGATTTTCTAGCTAACCACTCCGGAACACGTCCCGATCATCCTAACGTTATTTCCGACACTATTTCTGCGCTTCCGCGCGTTTCTTTGCCTGTTCCAGCGCTTCTGTCAATTTCTTCGCGGCGGCAACTTCCTTCAGGAGTGCGAAGACCAACGGGATATAATTGTGCCTACGTCGTATATTATCGTTCCTCCATTCAGCCACTTTAGCCTCTTCGACTTCTAATTCGCGCTGCAAATGCGCGATCTCATCCGCGGCGCCAGTGCTCGACGACCGTAGTTCCTCGAGTCGCTGTGAAATTGCGATTCTAGGATCCTTCGTAACAGCCATGAGATTAAACTTGATCTCATTCGACGCGAATGACGCGATCTTCCGTTGAATCGCCGGAACCGCTACGTCTAACCAATGCCCGTCGCCAAAGCTTCCGTGATTGATCGGCCCTCTCTGCAAACCATCGAGTTCGAAGACGGAACCGCCTCTTGGTACGTAGGCAACAAAGTGAAACACGTCGTCGTCCTCTTGCGCAGGCCTAGACTGCAAGACGATTGGTTCTGGACGCGCGAACGAGTTATGTGCGTCGCGAATGATGTCCGAGTTGGAGATACTCATCCCTTTCGTTTCAGCATCGAAGTCGAGGGTGAACTCCCTTAGCGTTTGGAGCGTCTCGCCCAACTCAACTTCTTGTTCGGCGTTCAACAACACGCTAAGCACCGCTTGCGTGGCGCACGCGTTGTGAATCACTTGCGACGCGAAGAACAAATCTTGCGGTGGGTTTTCATCGACCTCAACTGCGCTCGAGCTGTGACCGCCGCGCCACTTGAACAAAAATATGAGTCCGTAGATTGGTTCGTTACGACGAAGTTCATCAACGTCTAGCGAGTAGAGTTCTGTGAATGCGACGCCACGCGCGCCGATTCGATGGACCAGCTCGCCGAAGACCCCGGGATCGCTCTCGATGAGGCACCAGTCCATCGAGTGCGCGCGCGTGAGTGTGCGGTTGAACTTCTTAGGGGTCGTGCTCGTCGGTGAAGGGCGAACGAACTTTATTCAATAAAGAGTTTGTATAATTACAGCAGTTGGCGTGCTAAAGTGCGCGCCGCGTTCGTCTTATCGCGATACTATTCCATGATGTCGTCGACAGCGCCACCGAAGCGGCCCCACAAACCAGATCGGCGAGCGACGGGCTGTTCGGGCTCTTTCTCAGGTTCATCATCGAGGACGCTCTCGTCGACGGATTCTCCGGGTGCAAGCGCACGGCTCTCGACGATTATTTCGTTGCCGTCAGAGTCATACTCGACGATTTCAAGAATCTCTTCCGTCTCTTCAAGGTAACCAGGTTCTTCTTCCTGCTCGCCGTCTTCACTCGGTTCATCTTCAACTTCTGTGTCGTAGGTCGTGGCGATCTCGACGCGCGAGCCATACCTGCGCTCCATCGATTCTTCCACGTCGTACACGACGGTGGGTTTGGATGTAGGTGAAGGCGCGCTTCGAATCGGTTCTACTGGCTCCGGCTCGGGTCGCTTTGGAATTTCCGGCATCTCGAACGTTGGCTCGTCGCCCAAGTCAAAGTTCACCGTGGTCGAACCGACGTTCGGATCTGCCATCTTTGGCTCGGGTCTAGCCATGAGCTTGTCCCGTTCCGATCTCAACTCGTTTAGCTCCGCCAGCTGAGATTTACAGGTTTCGTGACACTCATCGAGAAGCTTCTGCAGTTCTGCGGTGCCGTCGTCATGCGGCTGTGATTTCGCAAGCACCAATGCCCTCTTAAGCTCCGCGATCTCCACCTTGAGTGTGATTAGGAACTCTTCAGCGCCTTGAGCGCGTTTGTCATTCATTCTAGCCCAGTTCTCGGCGTACTCGACGGCCTCTTGGCTTGACTTGATCTCGTCTTCCAACGTGGTGACTTCTTCTCGCGTGGACGCGAGTTCGATTTCAAGGTCGTGAATTTTAGCCCGAGTTGCAGCCGAATCGCCTGTCGCACCAGCGGCTTCGAGCTTCGCGGCCGCAATAGCCTTTACAGACTTCTCGCGTTCATCGCTCAATTCATCTTCGAGATCACTGATTCGCTCTTTGAGTGCAGCCAGCTTGCCACGCAAGTCTTCTTCGTACTCAATTCGCACATTCGAAAGCTCGCTGCGCAACTTCGTAATCTTCGCGTCGCTCGCCTTTTGGATGCGCTGACTTTCAAACATAAGTTCTTCTTGCTCGGCCGCGTATTCTTGGACTTGCGCGCGAAGCTTAGCCAATTCAACTTCGGCGTCGTTTAACTGTTCTTGTGTACGTTCGAGCTTCCGCTGAATCAAGTCAGCATTTTGTCTGGCTTCAATCTGGAAGAAGTTGAACTCCTTCGTGATAAAGTCCTTGGCGACACGCAAACGTTCGAGCTCGGCGAGAGCCTCGTCGAGTTCCTCCTTGAGAGATACATTTTCGTCGTTCAGCTTCTTGCCTGCGCTGATGAGGTCGGCACTCTTTGAGCTCACTCGTTCGGCTTCAGCGCCGAGCTCATTCTGAGTGCTCTCGTACTCAGCCTTGAGTTCCTTCACCTGCAACTCAAGACGCTCAATGAGCGTGGTTTGCGAGGTGATCTTTAAATGCAGTTCTTTCTTCACGCGCATAGTTTCCTCTGAAGCAACATTCGTCGCAGTCATCGCGGCAGTTGCCTCACGTTCTCGCGAGGACAGCTTCTCGCGTAGCGCGTGGACTTCACGTTCTCGCTTGGTGCGCTCCGTTACGAGTTCTGTTTCAAGATGTTCAACCTTCGTTCTGAGCACGTGAATCTCTCGCAGAAGATCGGGGTCGTTGCTTGATGATGCTTGAGATTTATCCTTCGCACCTCGCTCGAGCTCGTCCAATCTAAGACGGAGTTTCATCATGTCAGAAACAGCGACGTCACGCGAATCCGTCATTTCAACAAGATCGCCCTCGAGATCTTCGATGATTCTCGCATAATCCCGCGCCGCGTTTTCGCGATCCTTGATTTCTTTACCTATGGCGAAACTGTGATCGGAAATGATCTTTTCAACTGCCGCGGCATGTTTGCGCTCGATCGAGATGATTTCTTGCTCGAGCTCTGAGATGCGCTGTCGCAGCGTTTTCACGAGTTCATCGTTCACACCTGTATTTTTCCCCTTGACGCGTTCGGCATCACTCAACTGTCGACGCAGCAAATCAAGCTCTTTCTCCAAAAGTTCTTTTTCCGAAACATGCTCGGCGGATTTCGCTTTGAGCGCGTCCAGCTCAGACTGCAACGAGGGGATGATCGACTGTTTCGCTTTCAGCTCGGCGAGCTTTTCTTGCAAAGCGGCAAGTTTCGTCTCCAACATCTTTCGTTCCTCATCGGCATTTGCCGACGCAGGCACTTGCTTTCTCAGCTCGTCCAAATCTGCTTGCAAAGTATGAATTGTTCTTGTCGCAACTTCACCGTGCACCTTTAATTCCGTTTTGAGCGACCCTGCGAAAGAAGAAGCCAGAGACAAAAGTCTCTTGTTACGAACATCACGAATCGTGCATCGTAACAACGCCGCCCAGCGTAATTGTGCGCGTTCGGACTTGTTAAGGCCATATTGCTTGCCCTCCATATCTGCAAGTCGCTTCGCTGCAGACGCTGCGTCGGCCATCGCTCGAGATTGCAGATCGTTGAAATCTCGCTCGAGTCGCTTAATCTTTTCCTGAGCGGCAGCATTTGCCGACGCAGGCACTTGCTTTCTCAGCTCGTCCAAATCTGCTTGCAAAGACTGAATTGTTCTTGTCGCAACTTCACCGTGCACCTTTAATTCCGTTTTGAGCGACCCTGCGAAAGAAGAAGCCAGAGACAAAAGTCTCTTGTTACGAACATCACGAATCGTGCATCGTAACAACGCCGCCCAGCGTAATTGTGCGCGTTCGGACTTGTTAAGGCCATATTGCTTGCCCTCCATATCTGCAAGTCGCTTCGCTGCAGACGCTGCGTCGGCCATCGCTCGAGATTGCAGATCGTTGAAATCTCGCTCGAGTCGCTTAATCTTTTCCTGAGCGGCAGCTAGGCCAACGCTTTGCTCGCCACCAGTGAGAAGCATCTTCTCCAAATCAGAAATCGTCTCATCTCGCTGCCCGATGATAGCTTGAGACTTTGTCATCTCGTACGAAACTCGGATCTTTTCCTTTTCGAGCTGTGAGATCTTCAACTTGAGATTAATAATCTCCTCCTGCAACGTGCGCTCTCGCGCCTCTGAGGACGCTTCAGATTCAGTGGCACCGGCGAGGCGCTTCTGCATGCCGTCGAGCTTATCCTGTAACGAATGAATGGTGATCTGGGCGGTGTTTCTGTGCGCAACGAGTTCTCGCAATGTCGCCTTGCTGTGGCCGAGAGCAATATTAAGGAAACGTCGATGGCCTTCCTTCACTTGCAAGATGCGGCACGTCGTGCGCCAACGAAGCGCGGCACGTTCTGATTTCGTGTGCATCATTGCATCATCGTGCGTTCTCTCCAATGAGACACATCTCTTTCGTAAAACATCCAACTCCTGCTCAAGCCGCTGAGCGACGCGAGCAGCATCTTCTGCGTCTACAGCAGACTGAGCCTTGAAGTCCTCGTACTGCATTCGCAACTCAGACAACTCGCGACGCGTAGTAATGGCGTCTCCCGACATCGAAGACTTCGACTTCTCCAACTCTGTTTCATGCTCCAGTAATAGCCTTTCGAGCTCCTCAACTCTTGAATCGCGAAGTCCCAAAGTACTAGCGTGACGGAACTTGAGCACAGTGAGTTCCTTCTTCTGAATTTGCACGAGATCGGCAATTTGCTGCTCAAAGTCGGCGTGCGCTTGCTCGGCGCGTTTCGCAGCGTCAGCGGCTTCAGCGCGCATGCGCTCTCTCAATTCTCCAAGTTGCTGCTCGAAGTTCGCCACCATAAGTTGGTATCGAGATTCAGAATCTTCAGCATCCGATGCTGCTTTCGCCTTGTGCCGAGCAGACAGACTTTCGAGTAAAGTCTTAAAGTTCGCCTGCGCTTCAAGTTCGCGTTCAGCCGCTTCATCCGCCGCCGCGCGCAGTTGTTGCTCGAAATCCGCTTGCGATTGCTGCGCGCGTGCTTCAGCGCTGTCAGCATCAGCTTTCATGCGCTTGCGTAAATCCTCGAGCTGCTTCTCGTACTCTTCCTTCATCTGCAGGAAACGAGCGTGTTCAAACGTTGCATCGGACTTTGACTTATTCTTCAATCGCTCCGCCAAGTCATCGAGCTGATTTTTGAAATCAACCTGCGCTTGGTGCTCGCGCGCAGCACTTTCATCTGCGTCTATACGTGCGCGTGTGCGAAGATCTTCGATTTGCTTGTCATAGTCGGATTTCATGCTTTGGGCTCGACTCTTCGCCTTTTCCGCGTCAAGCTTGAGTTGATTCTGGAGGTCGTCCAATTGCGCAACAAGGTTCGCCTTTTCGTCCTGAAGACGCTGCAACTCCGAAGAAGCGGTGGATTTCGTGGAATCCATCGAGGACTGTGCCTCTTGAAGCAAGAGTTCAAGCTCGGCGACGCGTGCGTCGCGCACGCGTACAGTCTCGTCGAGATCTTCGAGCGCCTTCAGCTTCGCTTTCACTTCAAGCATCTGGTCATTGAGCGAGCGAATCGTCTTGTCGGACGTCGCCGCCCAGCTGCGTGCCTCGACGAGCTCGGCGGACGTAAACGATTTTACGAGTGCGACATGACGCTGGTGCAACCTTCGTGCGCGCAAGACGCGGCACATCCAGGACCAGCGCAACGACGTTCGTTGAGACAAAGCACGCGCTTCCGCGTCTACGAGAGCCTTTTCAGCGGCTGCAAGTTGCGAGCGGAGAGCATCACCGTCATTTGAAGCCGCGCTGGTCTTCAATGATAACCCTTCCAACTCGGCCCGCAGCGTCTCAATTGTGCTCGCCAACGTCAACTTTTCTTCGGAGGAAACTTTCAGTAACTCCTTCAGATCGCTAACAGACTTCTGAAGCGCGGTTATATCATCAGC